GACTGTGGTCCATGATGAAGCAGACTTAAGCACAGCCTCGTATTTGGATTGTTGTTCTGGGGTAAGCTCCGCGGGTGCTGCTGGCTTGGCTGTGTCCAGCGGCTTAGCGAAGGGCTTCTGGATGAGACCGTCTGCGGCGGATGTCGGCAACTCGAGGTCAATTGGCTTTGCGGTCGAAGTAGACTCGACCTGGGCGTTCACGGGGGCTGATTCGGCCAATGTCTGTCCGTTGGTATCGGACACAGTATCGCCATTGGTGGGCGCATGCGCAGTAGCACCTTGTTCGGGGCTCGACATGATCTTAGATGGTACCTAAATATAGACTATACAATGACACGTGGAGATCTAAAGAATGAAAAATAAACCTAGGGGCAAGGCTAATCACCAATTCTCACGATCGACAGGTCCACTCCTATCAAATGCTCGAATAATATTACTGCTTTGGGCTGCTTAGGTCAGCGACACGGTCTCACGCGTCTTGCGCGTGTCTACACTTTCCACGTCCATTGCCCTTCCACGATACACATCTCACCAAAATGGACGCCGAGGGAGAGCTCAATGAGTTTTTTGCGGGCACATTCCCCGATGGAATCCCTAAAGACATCCTTGCCGAGCTCCTCTCCATGCTGCGGGTGCATTCGATCTCCGCAGAGGAGCTGTTCTACAAATGGGAATCATACAGCATAAAGATGGGCGAGGGAGTGACATTGACCATGCAAACAGTGCGAGGCTTTAAACAAGATGTCCAAGAAGCTTTGGAGCGTGAAAGTCGTGACAAGGCTGGCCGGCACACAGAAAAACGGAGCGCAAACATGGCAACTCCGCGGGGCGCGGCCGCCGCTGGCAGCGATATGTTTGGGATGTTCGATCAATTGACGCCGACTGCCTCGAATGTTCGAATTGCGAATGGATTTGGATCCGCAAAGCGCAAGGCTGAATTCACCTCGCCCGCTACACCAAGAGTCAGCAAGTTCGAAAAGTCTGGCTCACAAGCCGGCACAAACACACCGACTGGTACACCTGGCGACGGAATGCAGTATGTGGTTTTTCGGGCCTACATGATGTATTGAAGGCGCTGACATTACGGACAGAGCAGTTTCGTTCTCCGATCGACCGAATCCTGGCCAGACGGTGGAAACCCTCAATGCGCACTTATCCTTGCCAGAAACCCCAATGGCGCCATTTTCCGAGCCGCGCATTAAGCCCACCGCGAATACAGACCTCAAAAAGTTTGGTTACAAGCCCATGGGCATGAAATTGTCAGAGGCATCGGAGATTTTGGATGATCGTATCGACGAGTTCGCGACTATATTCCAGACAGAATTCAATTCAGACGATGTTACATTTGGGAGTGCAGCCATCCAGAGCGCAAGCGAGATTATTGCTGTCGGACGGATCGCTTCCGACAGTCTCGAGGGAAAATTGAACCCAGCTTCCCTCGTACTTGAGACTTCGCGCCGCACCGGAGCCGGTAGACGAGTCCCCTTGAAGGTGGATTCGGTACCATCGGTGAACTTCTTCCCAGGCCAAATCGTGGCTCTCCGAGGAATTAACCCTTCCGGTGAATATTTCACTGTCAAGGAAGTACTCCCAATTCCCCTATTACCACCAGCCGCATCTTCAGCTGTGGCACTGGACAACATCAACGAGCGACTTGACGGAGATGCAAACCCACCGCTTAATATTATGGTTGCGGCCGGGCCATACACAGCGGACGACAACCTGGACTTCGAGCCACTGCAGGAACTATGTCAGAAGGCAGCCGAAAGCTACGCCGATGGTCTGGTGCTAATGGGACCATTCCTGGACATTGAGCACCCTCTTCTTGCATCGGGCGATTTCGACCTGCCAGACATCAAGGGTCTCGACCCGGACACAGCTACACTGTCCATAATGTTCCGGCACTGTATCTCAGCGCCACTAGCACGACTTGCAGCGGCCGTCCCGAGCATCACGATCGTGATGGTTCCGTCTGTGCGCGATGCAGTCAGTCGGCATGTGTCCTGGCCCCAGGAAATGATCCTCAAGAAGGACCTGGGTCTCCCTAAGCAGGCCCGCATGGTCCCAAACCCCGTCACATTATCTTTCAACGAATGCGTTATTGGTATGTGCTCACACGATGTGCTCTCCGAGCTTCGCCGCGAAGAGGTCTTGCATGGTCGGCCCGCAGAAGGCAACCTGCTCACCCGTCTGCCCAAGTATCTCGTCGAGCAACGTCATTTCTTCCCCCTGTTCCCTCCGACCGCACGGTCAAATCTTCCAAGGCCCGGAACTGAAGGTGGCATGGCTACAGGCGCCATGGTGGATCTGCCCTACATGAAACTGGGCGAATGGTGGAATGTCCGGCCTGATATTTTAATTGTGCCTAGTATGCTGCCGCCTTTCGTAAAGGTATGTTATCCCTATCCGAGGATTTTCGTTTCCAACTACCGTGAAGGTGCTAACCTTGTCATTTCTGCAGGTCGTCGACAGTGTGCTAGTCATCAACCCAGGTACTCTGTCAAAGCGTCGCGCTGCAGGCTCATACGCCCAAATGGCCGTCCACCCACGACTGGTGGCGGAGGACGAACGCGAACAGAAACAGTTGAGTCACAAGCTGTACGAGCGGGCTCGGGTGGACATCAATCGTATCTAGAGATATGTATAATCATATCGCATTACGCGCGGCGTTAAGGCTCAGACCAAGCTAGGTCTGCAGCCATTTTATATTGGCGGTTCTTGGAACAAAATCGCAAACGAACGAATCAACGATCTTCAGATATCATAACAGAAGGATACATCCAACGTGGGTATCATAACGAGGCTATCCAGCCCGAAAAATATACTCCAGTAAAAAAATGCAACACAAGACACCCATTTACCTGATCAGGTAGAAAGCATTCACAGCACCAACTCCAGTAAAAAGTAAGCCCCCGGCCTCAGTAGATACTGTCATCCATTACCGCAACCCAATAACCCTGCGCCCACCCATCCTCCGCCCAGAATCCCTGACTCTAATAACAGGCGCCCCGGCCGCCGCCGCACCACCCCCACTACCCCGCAGCGTGGCCCCAGGCCCAGAGGTCGCAGCCCCGGCAGCACCAGCACCTCCAGGACCGGTCAAAGGCCCAGTATCAGCCCCATGCCCTTCGCCATTGACAAGGGCCTCAAGGCCAAGATCGCGCCACACGGCATCCCGTCTCCGCTCCATAGCGCGGGTGATACCGAACGCCGCATGCTGGTCTGGGACGACGTCGTCCTCGTCTTCAGGGTTCGGGGGCTGGTATTGTGGCGCCACGTAGATGTCTTCAATTGGTAGGTATGATGGGATTGTGGAGGGAGAGGTCGAGCCGTAGGTTACGGCGTTGGCGGCTGTGCTTGCTGCGTCGCGGTTTGCGGCGGAGGTGCCGTTGGCGTTGTGTGGGTCTGTTGTTGAGTTGGTGGCTGTGGACGTGTGTGGTCGTGTAAATTCTTCGAAGAGGTCGGCCAGCCGTGGTTGGTGCATGTGTAGGTATGAGGCGGAGGAGTCTTTGCTCTGGTGGTCTGGTGTTAGCTTGGAATTGGTGGACTCTCTGGGAAATTCTGGAGGGTGGTTAGAGTTAACTACGTACCATTGTGAGAGCTCTTTGATCCTCTTATCGAGTTCTCAGGAGGCGCGAGAATACCTGGTCAATGGAGTTGTTAAGGAAGAGGCTCCCTATGGCTTATCGGCGTGTAGATGGTGTTGACGGCAGAATCACACTAGAGTACACCGCTTACGTCACGTGTAAAATACAGTGTGCGCCAATCACATGCCTGTAATTCCCTCCAGATGTCTACAAGAGCGCATCCCACGGCTCTAGCAGGCGTATCTTTAAAGTAAATCGCATCCATTTACGGGAATCATACATAATTCTATCTATAAAGAAAAGGACAGAATAAATGTGGGGTATGTAGAGGGAGGAAAAACAAAAAAAGAAAGTCGACGTCTATGTGGATATCTAGTATATATGTAGATAGAGATGAGGAGTAAGATCATAGAGAACAAGATCAGATAGAATATTGAGTTATAAATGACACTTAGAGATAGCACGTCTCTTTTGGCTTCGTTATGATGCATCTGCCTATCAGTATTAGTGGTTACGAGTATTGTGTCCTGTGATTTGATGATGCCTGTGAGATATATATCGCCTTTCCCGACTCACCCCCTGCACCTTAAGGGAGTAATCGACACCTTCAACTACTAACACAAATAATGCTATACCCAAGCCTTTCCTACTCTTCTTAGATATATATAGAAATAGATATCATTGCCACACACATGTCAGTATCATAGCTAGAAGGATAAAGACAGTTTAGCCGCATGTGCATTGGACAAAGTGCATGTCAAAACAACGAGAACATTTTCCTTTGTGTATGTATCTAATCTCGTAACCTCCCGTTTTCCCGGCAAATTGATTGGTTGTGATAGCTGTTGTTTTTTTTTTTTGCTCGTTTGAGTTTGATAGAGAAGCGTCCTTGGGTAGCATCTTCATCCAGACCAATATCTTCATGCAGATATCTGCACATCCATTGCCAATTCAAATATACATATATATAGACATACTCTACTTGGTAAGTCCGAGGCAGTTGACATCCTACCGAAGAAATTTGAGTTCTTAGCAGGAAAGTTATTGTCCATTGCCACGGCAAACATTGAATGCATAGTCCTACACTATTATTAGGTACGCACTCGCCTTCATGACAGGGTCACTGCTCTCTTGGACGGAATATACGCGCTACCCCTCCCAAACCAGTCCTTTCCTGATACTCGCAAGAGCTTCCCTATGCTAGGACTGAATTTCCTGTGTGGTGCCGAGGTGCCGAGAGCCTCTATCAGTTTTTGAAGATGACCAAGCGATGAAAGCCTCATTATTATTATTATTATTATTATTATTATTGCGATCAGATCAGGTCCCTTCCTCGCTACTGCTGCTGCTTCGTCTTGCGCCAGTTTCTAACCATTCATTACTTGCATTTAGTAGTCGAGGCCTTCCGAATCACTAGTTTAGCCAATCTCTATCCATGATACGCATTATTCCCAATTCGGCCGGCCATATCTGAAGAAACTCATGAAGTCGCCAGCACCAGTCATCCATCCAGTTGAGAAATGGGGGCGTGCAAAACGCACTGGTATATTCCCAGAAGTCAGGATACCAGCCAGAAGCTTCCCAATCCACAAGCGTGACGTCAAAGGATCGCTCTCCTCGAGAATTGCGACCTCTCTCCGCGACCACAATGTTCTTCGGCTGAAGGTCCCCGTGTGTTAACGTTGGCCGGTGTCCTTTAAGTAAGCGAGGGAGGGCGAGTTCAAAGAAGCGAGTTTTATAGTCTGGCCGACCATCACTTTCAGTTGCAGCTCGATGATTCTCTGCGAGCCCTGCAGCAAAGGCAGCTTCACCATGGAATGGCCCCAAGTGCTTTCCACTGCCCTTCCGACACCAGAATAAATGGTAGTGGCAACTGCCGCCATCCAAGCTTCCATAAAAGTCATCAGGCCATGGGCTCTTGGCCTGCCGCAAAGTATCAACTGCCGTGCGGATTTTGGCGACAATGTCATCTTTGTCGGACTCAGTCAATGACGACCAAATTGAGTCCAGTCGCACACCTGGAGCGCGTTGCATGACCAGGAAGAAATCCCCAGCATCACGGTACATTGCGTACAGTCGGGGAGCTGGAACATCAGGGGCGTGTTGTTCGAGGTAAACTAAAGCCTGTCCCTCCCATGGATACACAATTCTACCAAATTTAACAACAATCTCATCATTTATAGCAACGACCTTGTCAACGAAGTCCGATATAATATTGGGACATGCCCGGATCTCATCTGGAGTAGGTAGAGCGCGTAGAGGCAGAGAGCCACTTTTGTAGGGAAGAGCAACTGGTTGCCACATGACGGAGTGAAGAAGTTGAGGTGAGACTGGAAATAATTAGAGAGGGAAAGGAGACACACCTACTGAGCGGTCAGGCCCCCTGACCTGTGCGTTGTCATCGTGGCCTGCCCTGTTGTATGGCCAAGTGACTATATACAGGGGTACAGGGTTCCTGCTGGCGAGCCCCCAAGCGTCCATGGCAAAACCAAAATCCGAGTAAAACAAGCACATTGTACAAGAAATGGAAAAAGCAGTACCTAAACCTACATACATATGTATATGTACGGAACCAGGTATCTAGAACCAACCCAAAAGCCAGCAAGTACACCAAAAAGAAAGAGGGATAAAAGAGACAGAAGAAGAGAAAAAGAAAGAATACCCGGAAATCACGACGCCTAAGCAGTCGGAACGACTCTCATTGCTTTTAATTTAGATTACAGGTTCAATACGCTCCAGATTCATGACCATGTTGCAGAAAATTCGAAGAAAGCAATACATCACAGGTTGGTCACCATACGGTGAACGATCGGGACAGCGCTGGGAGGAAGACTGCCCATCTCGGTAATAACCATGTCGACGTATTCAGCCGGGGTAACATCGTACATGATGTTCAGCAGCTGCAGGTTGGGAGTGTTATGCCAGTCCGCAAGAGGCGACGACGAGGTCTTGTGCGGGATAACAGGAGATTCGGGAGCCGGGGTGCGGTTTCCACCCTTCTTATTCTCAGGCGTGGGGGGGGACATGCGCATCCGGGGTGGGAACGGCGAGGGAGACAGGGGGGGTCCATGGGTAGGAGCTCGTTGGCATCGGCGATCTCGTTGACGACGATGCTGTCGAGGGCGACGCGGTCGGTGAACTTGATTGTCTCGCAGCAGACAATGACGGGGATTTCGACGCCGCTGGCGCGCTCCTTGGCGGACATGGCGACGAGGGCGGTGCCGACGCGTGAGTACAAGCCGCCGTTACTGGTCATGGCGTGGGCGCCGAGGAAGACCTTTGTGGCGTCCTTGACGGCGTGGGTGATGGAGTGGACGAGGGAGTATTGGACGTCGAGCCCGCTATTGGCGAGATCGCGGGCGAGGCTCTTGCCTTCGAAGAGGGGCCGTGAGTCGATGATTGAGACGCGGAATCGCTTGCCTTGTTTGTGTGCTAACAGAAGTGTGTGCTTGACGATGCTGCTGCCGGCAAAGGTCACGATCACGTCGCCATCTTGGACCTTCTGTGCTGCGCTGTCGGCAATGACCTGGTCGGCGACGGTAATCTTCTCCCGGATAAAGCTGTCGATGTACTCGCAGAGTGCGATCTTTGCGCTCGCCTCGGGGGTAGAGGGATCAATTCCGGCAATGAACAGCTTCAAGGCACGGATGGCATTTCCCTGACTGATGGAGAGGGGTCGGCATGTCGAGAGGTAGGTGATTTGGGACGAGAGGTGTGTTGTCAGGTGGCGAGCCAGCGAGGTTCCCATGGGAGTTGTGTATGATTCAATGACCTTTAGAAAGCGACTTGTCAGCATATATGGTCATAGTTATCAGCATGAAACGAGAGAAACAACATACTCGTTTAAAAGCAAGCAATGTTGCCACGCAACGCGCACTGCTGCCGCAGATAGCGTAGTCCACCAGCTGCATGCCCAAAGCCAGGATGGCAGGGTGTACTTCCTTTGTGGCACCGCCGACAGTGACACGGCGCTGTTGCCCATACAAATGGCCAAAGACAGCAACCTTCTTATCATCCTTCTTTTTCTTTTGCTCCACGAGAACGGACCCGGTTTGCGCGACGGGACCTGAGCCACGGCGCGGGGGCGGCGCCCGGGGTCCCTTCTGCGCAGAGCCAGTACCAGCAGCATCCTTCTTCGGTGTAGTCGGTTGACGAGGCTGGGCTCCGACACTAGGAGTGGGAGCGGTACTGCCGGTGGTATTTCCTTCCCTCTCTAATTTCTCTCGGATGCGCCGGGCAGCCTTATCGGCCTTGGCCTTCTTCTTCAACTCAGCTGGGGTAAGCGGCTTGTCTGTGGCGCTGTCGGTGGACGCGGGCGCATCTCCGGTGGGCTGGGTGGGTTTTGAGTCGCGGATCGGGAGAGTCTGCGGAGGGTTTTCGGTCGCGGGTTGAGCTTGCTCTGGAGTTGATGAGACGGGGGCGAGACCGGCGCAGTCGGCGCTGGATTGGAGGTTTCCGCCATCTTGTCTGTGAATTAATTCTTGTGTGAGGGTGGTTCTGCGACGGTGGTGGGGAGAAGGAGAGAGGGTTGACTCACGGAAAAAGAAATGATGCCATAAGCGGCCCACGCAGCGGCGCAGCCCTAACTTGCGGTTCATTGCAGACAATGGACAATGTGTATTTGTTGAATACTTCTTGAATAAGTCTCGGTTTCTCTTCAGTTGAATACCTAATTTCAGACGGCAATAATTTACTACTCCTAAATGAATGACATGGCCTCCATATAAGAGCGTTGCCTGAAAGAAACTCATGATACCCAATGAATAGGTTGGTAGGCATTGAAACATGCATAACATCAAGTGTCTCATTATTCATCGCAGGGGCTCGCTATAACAGAAATAAGTACACAGTCCAAAACTAGTCTGGTCCCAAGTCAAACAAGGAAGTCCAGACAAAGACTTCAAACATTTCCAAAGGGCATCGCAGAAGAGCAGACAAAGAGATCGCCGCCAACACCATTCAATCCCTGTACACCCAAAAGATAAAAATAAGTCATATCCACATATTAACGATTGCTGGTAATGGTTCCCAGGGCGCGCCGTTTCCGAGTCGTATGCTCCTCGATGGGGCGGAACCGCTCATGGTCTGTGGCCAGCTTCCTCTTGAAGACACTCAGGTCACCAAGAAGTTCGTGCATGTGATTTTGCATCAGTTGCGCCTCGTGCTCGGTGACATCATCGGTGATAGTATCGTCATCTTCCCAGACGTCCATGTCGGATTCAGCATCTGATACCAAAGGAGAGCCTTCGTGGTCCTCCGGATCATGGCTGGGTGGTTGATTCTCATCCTCCAGGGACATAATGCTTGGCTTTCGCTGCTCGAGCGTAATGGGTGGGATTGGGTTCTTAAGACTCTCAACCGCTAGCTTCAGATGCATGCGCAAAGCGTCGTTTTCCGTTTGCAGTTGTCGAATCTTGCATTCACTGACCATCTTATTCTCTTCCATGAGGCGTTGCATTTTCTCAACTTTCTGTTGGTACTCTTCGAGCTTTTCATCGGAAGCCTCGCTCACCCGCTGGTTGACTGCTGCTTGGCTCACGCTGAGTTGGAGGGTGCGAATTGTCTCTGTCATCTCCGCAATCTGTCGATCACGCTCAGCTGCCGACATTTGGTCTTGGTTGACCCGTGCCCGTGTCCGAATATTCTTAGCTTGGTCTGCATAGCGAAGAGTCGAAAGTGTCTCTTCATAGTCGGCAGGTGCGATACAGGCGATCATCGCTGTCTTGGAGTTGCCGCCTAGACTGTCCTTCAATAGCCATGTCAGGATCGAGTCGCGGTATGGTACCAGTTCTTTGCCCTTTCGCGGGCCGCGGAGTTTCTTAGGATCTGCGAGCGCTGCAATGACACGACCTAGCGTGGTCAAAGACTTGTTGATATTTGCACCCTCACGAAGTCTAGCGCCAGTCGCTTCGGTAGATTTGGCACGCTCGGAACCTGCCAGATCGACCAACCGAATCCGAGCAGTGCGCTCCGTCGTCTCATCTGTTGACAAGTCGTGGTGGATCTGTTTTAAAGTAATGGTAAAGACTGCATGAGATCGGGATGAAGTGTCGTTCATCTTAGTGCTGGCCGTAGTTCGTGAGACGTCGCCCTTTCGCATAAACTTCATCAATTCACTGTAGTTCCTCGCCGTGACCTCTGTCAAATCCTTGACGTATGGACCCTCTGACGGCGATTCGCGAATGCGGAGATAGTGCGGGGGGATCTGTTCGGGGGACCAAGAGATCGCGAACATGCTCATTGTATACTTCGAAATAAGACACTCGGACGTTGTAGCTGATATCGGGAGAAGGCGAGTTCTCAATGCGCTGGAACAGATCCTCGCACGTTCGAGGAATTAAGCCGGGCCTATCTGGTGTTCCCATCATGGTGTAACTCTTCCCGGAACCTGTCTGTCCATATGCGAAGATACATGTGTGGTATCCTTCGAAGTTGTGATCCAGGAACTCTTCACCGAGAGAGTTGTACACATCTTCCTGGTGCGCATAATGCTCATCCTCCTCGTTATGGGACCAGAAGGAGTTATCGAATGTAAAAGATTTATCTTCCAAGGTCTTGCCGCGGGCCTGTGACTTGGGTTTCCCTTGATCGCCGGGTTTCGGTTTCGGTGCTTGAAGGCAGGTCATCTGCGTGCGCGGGTCCATCGAAATCAAACATTCTGCCTTGCGCTCGATTTCTACAAGAGGTCAGAATATGTCCTCCACTTTTGGGGATCGCCTCCCCACATCCCTCCCAAACAACACCTACCTCGTGGTAAGAACTTCCGCACTCGCACGACGACGCGCACGTTTCCCCCTGGTGTTGGGCTGGCCATCCCATCTCTAGCATGGGGTATCGCGAACCCCTCTCGGGCGCGCAAGGAAGGACTTGAGGCTGTGGATCGGAGGGTGGCGGCGGAAGCGGAGGTGGAGATAATGCTGGGCGAGGTGATTCCTGTGGCGGCTGAGATGTCGGATGAAGCGGCTGAAGATATCGAGCCTGGGCCCGGATGGCCGATGTGGTGATAGAAGCGCGGATCTAGTGCCATGTCCCTACTGCTGTCGCTTAATAGCTGCACACAAGCGGTGACGGCGTCGCGTCGTCGATCAAGAAGAGAGTGGTACATGCAAGATTGATTCCATGCAATGGGATTGACAAAGGGGAAAATAAGAGATAGATTGGAAAGGGAATATGTAGACTGGAATGAGTGAAGGGGGGGGGGTGTTACTGTTGCGCGTTGTTTCCTGGGAAGTTCAAATGTTCAGTTCATTGTAAACACACTTGGTGAGTCTGGAGCATATTTTGTGGAAAGAATGTATAATATCAGGAAAAGAAAGAACGGAATTGAAATTGGAATTGGAATAGAATAATAGAATAATAGAGCAAGGTGATGATTTCCTTCTACATCAAGAGTGTCACCGTCTACAAGTGCTGTTGCCATAGCAATGACCCGCTTAACTCCACTATTATATAGACGGAGTACATGTGCTACTATTAAAACCTATTAAAACCTACTGAAACCTATTGAAACATATTGAAACCTGCAGTAGATAGCTTTCAAATGTAGTTAAATTCTTTTTGAAATATATGGGATATGGATAATTACATGTACTTAATTTCTGCTCCCTTTCTCTCAGACATCAAACTCCGAAGTCTCCGCGTTCATCGCCTCAACCAAGTCCGATTCTTCGTTAGGCTGATTCTTTGTAGGGCCCCAAGTTGGCTCAGGAACGGGGTTGCCAACAGAGTCCATGTGTTCACTCAAAAGTTCAGAAGGGCCCATTTCACTGTGTTCAGCCTTTTGCGCAGCATGGTTCCTGGCTCTGGCATTGGGGGCTTCCTCGCCCTTATTTTGGCCTTTGTCCTTAGGCATGTCTTCATAGTGTTAGCGAGAGTTCTTATAGAGCATCGCATCCCCCCACCGTCAACTCTCGATGCTCTTTTCATAAGGTCCAAGGGGTTAGATTGGGATCCATACCAAAATGCGTTTGTGGTTATATAGTAAATTTCATTCAGATTGCTTGATGACTGTTTAAAATCCGGGGAAGACTGTCCATATTTATGGGCTTGGAGGTGGCGGCAATGATACGATCATGACGATGAGATTTACCACCACTTTGGGTCCTTCTCCGCAATTGCCATCCAGATGCATCTAGTTGTGCCACTGATTCTATGGTGTTCTGAGATAGAGCCAGTTAATTGATGCTTGTGGACCGTGGGTGTTCTGAGGTAATTCGTGGATCCTGGACATCTGGATATACCATCATAGCTTTTTTGCCACAAAGCTCTGTTTTGTTATTATTTTGGCTACCCACGCATAGTATCTTCTTTAACCATCTGGGTGGCAATCGAAGCGCATCGATTCTGTTGGCCTAGTGACTACCCTGGTTGAAGTTCCACAGGCCCAACTGCTATTCGGTTATGTGCAGATGAAAGAACCATATGACGCCGAGATGTCACCTCTCTACGATCTAGATCATCGAACATAGGGAAAGAGTGCTCGAGTGCTCATTGGACGCTAATTACTTATGCTAATTACTTATGTCCAATCCCAAAGAGTTACGCTGCTGATATCTTCTGCTATCAAATACCTCACCCCGGGCCGCTACAATATTACAGCAGCATGCCCGCGGGCAGGTCCACAACACTACGAAATTGTCGATTTCATAGTTTTAGAGAGTGACATTCTCTTATCCTAGGTAGTCTCCGTACATTATTATTCGCCTATCTCTGTCATGGATGCCACTTCCAAGGTTATTGCTTTCCATAGCTCTCTTTGAAATTATAAACCTACCCATACATGCTTTTGCCTCAAAACGGGAAATTAGGAGAGCCTACCCCGAATTCAACCAATTCCGATTCCAAAGTCGAAAACTCAGGGCAAAATAGATTGAAATATGGCGTGGGAATTTGTACAGGCTCAGGGACCTGCATGTTAGAAGCGAGATCATAGCGAACCCCGTCGCTGAGTAAATCTGTATCACAGGGGAGCTCACGCTGCTGCGATAAGGCATCTACAATGTTCGAAGCCGCGGATGTGGTTCTATTTGGAGAATGGCACTGCCTATCCGGGAACCACATGCGCTTCAGCAGACCTGCAAACCGACTAGCAATATGGCAATCGCTAATGGCAGCTTCTTCAAGTACGCGTATAAAATGCTGCACCAAGTTGACAACTTCGGTATGTTCTGTCCGCAGAGCCCCAAAGACGTCTGCTTTATACAAAAACACAGCGGAGTACACGGTATACCTATTCGCACCATTAGCCATTCGCAGATACAACCCGTTAGTTATACGTACATGTAGAACCGGAACGGCATATAGCGAATCTGCGCCTGGGAAATTGTCTGCACGGCTATTGTCAGGATCCCCCGAGCTGCATCTACTGCTTCGAGCACATATGCACCCTCTGCGGTTGACATGATGCCCCGTGGAAACAGCGATGGGGCTTCCTTTCCCGAAGTTGTCCGGTTTCTCCCGGTCGGTTGTGGTGAACTGCCTTGGAAAGAAGTGACTGGAAAGAAAACGAGTTCGCATACAATCGAACGTATTCCTTGAAGATATGCAGAGTGCAGTGCAGCTTGGGGGATGTCTCGAGACTATCCCAGCGATCTTTCCACGTCGATATGGAGTGCCGGAAATCATCTAGATAGCGGTTGTAGTCCCCACGTCGAACCATTTGGTTCTTTCGCTCCTTGGACGAGTACAAAGTGTCGTGCACGTTGTGAAGTAGCTGTGTGAGTTCAATGTTGGCCTGCAATACATGTGCATATTTGTGCTCTGCATCTGCCCTGAGTCGTAGACTTGGGAAGTCATTGGCTGTGAAGTTCGTCGAGAGCGAGGGTCCTCGCGACCAGAATGACTGTCCCATTCGGACGGAGATCTGTCGGTCGGAGATATATACAACTAGCAAAGCTAGTCAGTATCGCTTTATAACTGGGGTCTAATGAAACGCACAGATCCACGCTAAGAGCTTTCGATTCTCGAGTTCTTGCGACTCTCCAAGAGCCGTCTCCCGAAAGGATGCCTTGTCTGAGACGCAGGAGATAAGAATGCCTCACTGCCTGGCCGATGAGTGACCAGGCCATATTATCCTCGACCGCGCTTAGGTTCCTCGGGAACATATTAGGATAGGAGCAGGTCTCGAGTTGCATATAAGGAACCCACTCCGCGAGAAGCAGGAGACCTTCGACAGACCCGACCCTTAGAGTGGATGGCGTGGCGAGAAGTATATCTAACAAGTGCCGATTGAGGTACTTCCAGCAATGTTGGTGGATATCTTTATATGCGGGCTCGTGTTTAGATGCAATGGTCAGAAGCACTGTCAGCAGGAACGGCTCGTCTACCGCCGCCTTACGCGGATCCGTCGTCGCCAGAAGTCGTTTTGGTGCGAGGGGACAGAAAGGATGGTAATTTGCCGCGTAGCTAGACTGTCAGAAGAAAAACAATCGCACACGGAATGAAAAGGGTATCATACTGATGTACAAGGCGGCACACAGTATCTGTGCCTAAAACGCCGATCACTAGTGTTTCTGTCTCGGACAATGTCGACTGCAACACAGGAGGCTCCGTGGAATCAATTGGGCCCTCTGCATTGACGGCAGTATCTGTTCCCTCTCGCTTTGCAGATGGAGTCACCGGGAAAGGATCGAAGGTCGTAGAGTCATTAGGGTTGGGAGCCTGGGAGTCGTTCGCCGCGAGTTGCGCAAGGATGTGGAGTGCATCTCCCGGATTCGTTAACTCGGCATAGATTGGATCTTCGATTACTTTCTCGTCATCTCTAACTTGCTCGTCATGCAGTCCGTGGCCTATGTTAGTCCTACTGAGGGTTGAAGAGCTTCGCTCCCTGTATGAGCGTCGAGACCGTGAGAAGTCGCCTCCGCGCCGTGACCCGGCAAGTATGCACTCATTACCGGAACGGATGCACTGAACGCAGGAAGACTTTGTTCCATCGGACAAGTTGGACCTGAAGAATGTCAATGCCAGAAATGGGGGAGAGGCACCGTACAACTCACGGATCACATTTGAGTTTGCGTTGACGACAACGTTGGCATGCGCGATAGACACGAATATTTTGACTGCGAGTCATTGTGGGAGTTGCAGATACCAGGGAGCAGGAAGTGCTGGGAGATTTATTCCCCAGATTAACCCCACACTGTGGGGTTCGGCAATAGACGGAAATGTACTACGTACCTACATGGGTAGTTTGTACCTCGCCCAATTGAAGACGCAATCTGCCTTAAATTTGCATCAAGATGACCTAAGTCTAGGAAATGCAGCCTGGAGAGTAGAAGCACAAAAAAGCCGAGTTCATCAAGTACCTATCAAAACCACAACGATCCATACAAGCCGTGAATATCCCAGAGCTAAATGTTCTACTGTTCAAGGAAGCCCTTGCCTAACATCCGTGTGCTCATTCAAGCCCCAAGCCGTCGAGCTAGAATCATGAACAGTCGTCCGTCTCATATCCCGCTTGTATTTCCAAAGGAACGACCCCCCAACAGCCCTGTGCATAGTGCACGTGTTATCCCAAATAACCAGATCGCCTGGTGCTTTCCACTCAATCTCCAAGGTATTGTCATCGCGAGTGGCATGCTTGTAAAGCTGGTCAAACAATGCCTGCGATTCGTCCGGGGCGAGGCCTTCGATATGGTGAACGTGGGCCGCAATGTACAAATTCATACGGTCGGATGCCTCATGGCGCTGCACTAGCTTGTGCCGTCCCATAGGATAGTCGAGCGGGTTGAGTTCGGCAAAGGCCTCGGGAGCGGCTAGTTTGCGAGAGTGGTGCATGGAGTGGCAAGCTATGTAGTCTTTGGCCAACAGCTGCTCTTTGAGCTCTTGGGGGAGATCGTCGAATGCCGTCCTCGTGTCTGCAAAGGCAGTGTGGGCTCCTATGCTAGTCGGCGGTAGCTCGTGTGCTAAGAGAAGGGAGTATCCGGCGCGGCGAGGGTTGAAGCTCGAGTCCACGTGGAAGAGGTTATTACCCTGTGTATCCGTCGTCAGAAATGTCATGGAGAGAGATTCCGTCTCAATTGTTAGGTGGTTACCTTGTTTGCTTGACCACGTGGGCTGTTAGGGTCAAGGATCGATCCGTCAACCTCGACATTGCTAACGTCGAAGAGCTCTGCGTATTTGAGACGGTTTTTTCGACCAGCGGCGATATACGGTTTCACATCGTCTAGCTCCCCGAATTGCTTAGAGAATGCAATATGGGCCTCGTCTGTGAGGCCAGTGCTACGAAAGACAACGACACCATACTGAGTCGTGACCAGTCAATATAAAGATCGCATAGTGCAAGTTCGTGATATCAAAGACTCGGGGCATACCTTGGCCACAGCCTGATATATCTCCTTGAATACTGCATCCTTCAAAGGAGACGAAAAGTCCACGCCACTGATCTCGGCACCGAATGTCGGGTGCAAAGGCTTGACGGAGATGTGGGAAAATGCGATTCCGTTTGTGGTGACGGTCATTCTGGACTTGGACTCTTTGTATGAATAAAGATATAACTAACAAGATTGCCTTGGATTTGAGAATGTGTTCTTGTGGCTCATCTCGAAAGATTGCCAACGCTCTTATATAGATATGATTGAGACGGAAAAAGATGAAGTGCAAGTTAGTATTTTGGTCGACATCCATCTATTGCCGTTATGTCTCGCTCTGCGTCCGGAGCCATCTACACCCGACACATAAAGTGGAATTGGCGGAAAAGGAATAGGCAAAAGATGTGAGCTCTGTTCTAACTAATTTTGGAGATAGTTACAAGCTACATAGCCTCGGTTAGATTGTGTTGCTCAACGTGTCCGATGGGAATCCCCATCTATACCCGTCCCCACCCGCTTCCCCTCTTCCATACGGAAAGCATAGATAGCTTCGTTGATAGGTTATGATCAATGCATTCCATGACGTTTCACCAAGGCACAGCCCGACCAAGGTAATCAAGGTATTCAAGCCCAGGTCGTTCTTTCTTTGCAATAAGTACATTCACCAAGCTAGGGATGCTTTCTTCGATAGTAAGCCGAGCATCTGGACCTCCCAACTCCGTTTTAACCCAACCGGGAGCCATCACCACCATTGGACGCGATGGATCCTGACGAGCTGCAAAACTTCGCATGAACATGTTCAGCGCGGCCTTGGTGCCGCGATATACCTCTCGTAGACCTGTCTCATTGTTGCTGATGCTTCCCTGTCCAGAGGACATCACACCGATAAGACCTGTCGTAGCCACATGATGCGCCAGACTCTCAACTACACGCATGGGACTGAGCGAATTCGTGACCATGACATGTACAAAGTCCTCGGTTGATACTTCTCCGATCGTTTGGGTGGGGTCGCGATTCGTTGTTCCGGCGTTCACAAACAGGACGTCAAATACCTTGCCCGATAAGCGCTTGTCGAGCGCTTTGATTTGATCGGGTTGGCAAATGTCCAAGGTCTCAATATCAACCCGGCCGTTGTACTTGTCTGCCAGCTCGTGGAGTAATGTGCGCGACCCTTCACCGCGGACTGTCCCGACAACGTTCCATCCCTTTTTGTAAGAATTCTACCGCCATGGCGTAGCCAAGGCCACGCGAAGCGCCGATGAGAAGAATTGTTGGGGGTGAAGCGGACATTGTTAGAAGCTATTTCGGACTTGGTCAATTTAGTTGAGCGGATTCGGTGCCTTTTAAACCCAGCAGAGTCGGCTCGGCATTTTCTGGTCCCAGGTTATCTCCGGCTCGGATTCCCCTTGCGGAAAGGCTGGTATCAGCAGGGAACAATCTCTGCTTAGCCGTATCGAGACTTATCCATGGATTTCGGATTGGATCTCAGCGTCGAGTCATGGCGTTCTACTAGCAGAATGGCGATATCCCCCGATTATCATGCCTCGGGAAACATGAAATTGTTATGATTGTGCATGGATTGAATGCTCCAAAAATAAATACAGAAGTGTCAAGAATGAGAGGTGCAAGCATTGATATGTAACCAGTTCGGCACCAAAGAACTCAGATCTGGATGAGAAAGGTCGAGGCTTGAAGGGACTGAGCCGACTATCTAGTCATCTATGTCAGAAGAATTAGACAAATGTATATGTCCTTGCAACTTAATCCATAATCTAAGCACCTTGCCCAGATGGCTTCTTTAGATGCTCCGTATAAAGTGATCTTTTATAGAGCAGATACCAACCCAGAACACCAGAACCAGAAACTATTAACATTGCTCTATGCACATCTAACTTTATATCCTAACTCTACTCAATATCTACAACACTGGAGCAAGGCAACCCGCATCACCGAATAGCCACGCGAATCTATTTCGGCGGCGCAGCCTTCCAGAACAACCACGCAATGGCAGCAACAAACTTCAACCCAGCAGCCATCCACAACGCAGCCTGCATACCACCACTGCTACGACTCAGCCAGCCACCGACAATAGCACCGATAAGCAGACACACAACGCCACCGACACGACGGTTGCGCTTGGCATTCGCAGTCGGCTTATCAGTGATCTTCGGATCGGACGCAATATCAAAGTAAACACTCGTCAAGACCACGGTCGGGATCTCATTGTAGCCCAGCGCACGACTGCACGTCATGCCGCCCGCGGACTGGAAAGCCAGCAGGGCGATCGGGATCAACTCGAGGAACAACTCGCCGCCGGTTAGGGCGGCGTCAGCGGAGGTGTGGGGGATGAGATCGGCTTCGATTAAGGCGACGGCGATGACGATGAGCACGGTCTGTACGAGGAATGAGACGAAGAGGGTTCCGCGACGGACGGAGCCGACGCTGCGCATGACGATCGAGAAGATCATCGCGCCGACGAAGAAGGCTGCGATCGAGACGAGGGACTTGAGCCAGCCCCATGGCTTGTTATTGGGTTGAGCGGAGGCGCCGAGACCGAGGAAGATGGTGTTTCCTGTTTGGAGGAGGGGTTGTTAGTTTTTGTTAGTTTGTGTTTCGGGGATCTTTGGTTTTTGACTTTGCGCCCCTTGCGGGATGCGGGAGAGCGACGGGGATTCGTACCGGTTTGCATTCCGAGGAAGCAGGACCACGCATTGTAGGCGCTGCTATCGCATAGCCCGGTGAGGAAGGTGAGGAGCAGACAGATCAAGTCTGCGTGTGTGGGTGTCAGGTTCTGCTTCCATCGTTGGACGACGCTGGACTCTTTAGGAGGGACGTCTGAGGCTTCGATGTCGGGTGCCGGGCCAACTTCTTTCTCCATTTTGACTCTGTGTGAAGTTGTACTCGGTACGGAGTACGGAGTACTTAATAATAGGTCGCACGTACCCGTGGAGTAGAAAAGACTGAGTCACGGAATTTTAGCGGACGGCTCGAGGCGACTTCCGAGGAGAAAGTCAATTTCTCGGCGATTTCGTCCGATTGCGGTCTTCTGCAGGACAAAAGTAGACTTCTTCAGGAGGTCCAAGGTTCTTCAGGTCTATATAATATTTATAATATTATAATATTTCAGATCTAATGCAACTAAAACCCTTTCAAATTCTGCTGCCTGGAAGCTAAGCACGCAATAGTGGAGAGTCCGCGTGTAGTCTCTCGGATAGGGCTGAATTAAAGGCAACCAACCACATCCTCTCTATTTACTGAATGTTATATGTAAGTATAACTGGTATATGCGTATATGCATTCTAGATATTGCTGGTTACACTCGAGAACATATCAGTGTCACAATATGTTCTTCGATATGTCACACAGCCTAGTTAAAGACGACATCGGTTCTCACCAAAATTAGCGGGAAATACACCCGACTCACATCCGGCATATACCACGTTCATTGGGGGTCAATTGCATATGTCTGTATGCAAGAGTTCATCTACGACACGGAAGCGACGACAAGAACGGGTTCAAGGCCGACGCTACGCGAAATGATGCAGAAGAGGGTTACAACAACCGTCAGATCACCGGCGAAATGTAAGCCCTAACCACAATCCCTGCTAACTTTGCTTGCAATATAAAGGAGTGAATGACCTTGGCTTTCATGAGGGGAATCTCACTCTTCCCTGACTATCAGCTGAAATATGCACAATCCCACCGGGTAGTAAGTATCTTGCATCTAATGCAGCCACTGTTTTAGCCAAGGAACAGCTGCATCTTTCGCCCTCTCCAACCCCTCTTTCTCAGCTTTATTCACCCGACTCATTGATGTATAAAATGAGCTCCAACCCGAGAATTACTTATATTTTATGATAGCGCAATTGCTTTCCACTCTGCTGTGAATATATAGGGTCAATCCTAGGCGCCATAATCTCGAGCGGGATACCAAGACGCTAGAGATTCTCACCGTAAGCTAAAACAAGTGTGCAGGTGAGAAATCGAGATGCAACCTACGAAGTGCCAGGACCTTGGCAAAGGCGAGATTCCGAACTTGCGCATGTTTCTGTTATCAGTGAAAGTGAGGAGATCTGCCCTGCGCCTTCCTCATCGTCCCAAGGCGTGAAGAACCTACACATTTCTCGGCACAGAACTCTCCCTTCGTCCGGTCAAACAACACTTTTTTAACTCTCAGCACCTGTACCTTCCTACGTTTTTTCCCTTTTAACAGTTATCTACCAAGTGTTGGGGCGTTCCTGCCTAAAGCGGAAAGGACCTCTGAAAGGACCTCTGCTCCTCACCAGGTTTGATCTTCCTTCCCTAACCTCTCTCTTTCAACTGCAACACTCAATCTCCACACAGAGGTTGCAAGGGTTTGTCATAGTTGTGACCGAAACCGTGGTGGCTGTGGATGTCACAACAATGACAGTTCCAGTCACGACGCCTGCATCAAAACCCAGGGCGAAGATACAACAAAGCCAAGAAGTATGGGCTTTGTCACGCAGCTCCAGCGAAGACATTCACGAATGCGCGAGAAGCAGCGACGGCGCTGAACCCTAAGTGAAGGAGCTCCCAATTCTCGCCCGCTGAGAAAGAGATGACACTGCGATTTCTCGCTTTAATGACCCAGCTCGTCTACGGGTACACGTTACCACGTTCAGTTGAAGCGCGACCGGTCTCAACATGCACTCAAAGTGTAGTCGGATTACTCTGATGGAATAAATAAAAAATGGGACTGAGTCATGACTGTTCCAAACCGTCGGGCGCATCCATCGCCTCGACCAACTGGACGAGTAGCGTACGTGCGTGCTGTGAGATTGGAATATAGGCATTTGTTCCGTCTCCGGAGAAGCTAAGAGCTAAGGGAGCTTCTAGCAACGAACTGCTTAACAAGCATATGCATAGGGATTTTCACATCCCTGTTATTTTTCTCTCAAGTCTCGAGTCCTCACAACTTGACTCGCACTTCGCTTTGACCATGCCTTGCGTCCTGTTCTTGTGGCTTGTCAAGATGCCACCATTCAAAGTTGTTAAGAAAAGAACAACAAAGCAAAGACTGATGGACGCCATTCTCGACCTCCACAGCAAAACACACAAACTGTCCTACACCGAGCTAAAAGCGTCCATTGCAAACAAATCTTGCAAATCTCACATCAATGGTAGAAGGAGACCAGTTTGAGCCCCCAACAATGGAGATTTCTTCCATCTGTGGTACGTACCCCTTGAGGAATATTAAAGTCGATGTGACACGTAACTAATTTGACCAAGCTCAATGAATGGAGATGGACATGACGAGAAACGCATTTGGCAAAAGTGAGCCAAACGAAGCATTGACCCAGATCACAACCTCCTCATCTTCGCCCATCACTTTCACCTCACAACCTGACAGCACTTTTACGGACTTGAAGATGAATAACTTGCACCTGAATGCTGAAAGCATATAGGCGGTATGGCCCAGTCATGCATAAGGGTATGGTGTTGTGTGTGATGGCCAGTGGTGGGTCTTTTTAAAGATAAACAACGATTCAGAGGTGAGTAGATTATACCATCAAATCATACATGTTCTAACTTGAACAGTGGTCGGAGTATATCGTTACTGCTCGCCTCGGCAATTATCAGGAGGTGGTGGGTTTACTTGTGCACATGTTCCGTGCTGCTGCGACCATGTCTCCCGCTCAGTCAGAGGGGACATCAGTTCAGACCCATTCAAAAGAGGCTTCTGCAGAATTGTACATGGGGTTGATGAGGAGGCAGTGGAAGATGCGATGAGGAAGAAGTCTGATTGTTCTGTTCTATCCTTTTTTGTATATTATTGATATCAACCGGGAATAAAGACATGTGCAGGCTATATCACCTCGCACCCTATTCTCATTTTACTTCACATTTACCTCAGTTATCCTTCAGTTATCCTTCAGTCCTCGCTATACAAATAAGACCTCGACTAAACATGTGTTACTAGGAAAGGACCATATCGGAGAAGCTTTTGAAAACGAAACGAGTCCGGAAGGGTTGATAGCATTATCGTCAAACAACGATCTATAAAAGATCTAGAGAAATGCCGGACAAAGCAGTGTCATTGGCTTCCGAAACAGGAGAGCCACGCCCTTAGCCAAGGTGTGTTAGGGGCTCCGGTTCCCTAACATTTAGGGCTTTATTAATTCAACGGAAATGTTAAGTAGAAGAGAAACCTCTATAGGTAGTCAACTACCCCCATTATCCGCTTGACGCAACACATTTGATCCCTCGAGCGAACTTCCCTACACTATATACTAAGTAGATCTCATCTCGTCAAATAGAAATAGACCTTCCCCTGCCACTCTTTACTCTCAATACACCCCGCCACCATGTTATGCTTCACAGCTCGATAATAGGCCATCATCGGTCGCTCATCGTATACCAAAGCCGCAGAGACAACACCGTGGTATTTGATTTCACGTAACTGCCAAGAAAAGAAATGTCAGGGCTATATCCCCAGCCAAAATACGTAGAAAGACCCATTCAATAACCAAAACCACAAGCGCATAGCTATGTATGCATAGTTATACACCGTAGATGTGTCACATCAAAAAAGGAAAGGTACTTACGGATGCACGCCCCCAATCCTCGAATGGCACCCGCTCCCCATTCCGCGCAACAATCAGCGGCGCTACGTCCTCTGCGGAATAAAATGTATTGCCGAACCAATTGAGTGCGTCCAGTTCGTCTTCGAATGGATGCCCGGTGGCAAGGATATATCCGTCCCATTCACCGATTAAGTCATCTGGCTGAAGGGGCTTGAGCTCGTCAAAGATGGTGTTGATTTTCTCGCTAGTCGCCCGAGGGTGTTTGGTCAAGGAGATGAATTTCTTGGCTGGGCTTGGCTGGAAATAGTCGAATGACATTATTGGGAATTGGATTGTCATTTTATGTGTATGTGTGTGTGCGTGTGTGTCGTTGGCCTAGGTACAGCCTGAGGGGTTTTGAAGGCGAGTTGAAGACTTTGGTTTCTGACTTGCGTATGTGCTTCCTTCATCTTCGTGACTGAGTTGTCTTATTTACTAAATATGAAATGAATGGGGTTTACACAGAATGTACCTCCTGCAACAGTGAAAAACGGGCGCTTCCAGCGCGTAAGGCAGAAATCCCCAAGTATGTCACGAACTTTGATCTGCACACTGAACAGGGAGGAGACATCAGTGTTTATTCGAGGACCCTGCGAAGTAGAAACCAACATTCTATCTGATTCCTTCGAGATCAGCCATCGTATACTGCCAGGAAGGGATCCTGGCATGGGAAATGCTGCTAATACCCCGGCCGGCCCGCGACTACCCGCACTCTGAGATGTATCTGATCCTTCTCGCACTAGATTGCATACTCTGTCCCACAAAAGGCAAAACATGGTGTGAGAAGATTCTCTTGCCTGGTTGCCACATTCCAAGTGTGGGTTCGCCCGCTCCGGACTGTTTTGCCTGGGTCGATCAATGATTGATAAAGAATGGGCTATTATGTACGTTATGGTGAAGTGTTGGAATTCTTGCTAGAACCTCCTTTTTGGTGGGTAAATAATTGGTACTTTTATGTTGGATGGTGGGCAATGAGGAATTATCAAAAGACATGCATACCCATGTAGGTAATTGTTTGATATTACGAATACTCTATCACATAAGGCTACTAAGGCATAGGAATGTACAACTAAGCTAAGAGACTAAGTACCGGCCACCTTTTGGTAGCGACACAAGGCTGTAATGTGGGGGGTTAGGGTGTTGTAGGAACCAACATATTAAAGGTTGTATAGTTATGGAGAAGCTCTCTTTTATAGATTAAGCCTTTTTTATCCCTTTCCTACTATCTACCTAACAAACTAAGAAGGGGAAGAAAATATGTATATAACTAGATACATAAACAGCCTACCTGAAGTGTTTACAGGGAAAAGGCTGTTAAAAAGACATATAAAAAGACCATCGGGGAAGACTACCTAAGAAGACCACTACTAAGACCACGGTCGTATGAGCGGCCGACTATTCTTATTATAGGAATTGAGCTATTGTAGAAATTGACCCTGTCGTAGTTGATATTTATTGGAGGGATTAATTACTAGAATTTGTAGGTAATGGAAGCTGGTCAAATACGATATGCGCACTGGCAGCTATACACGATGGGTCACTATGCGGGATGTCACCGCAACTCCACAGATGCTTGCACGTACTTGAATCAGATACACGACCAATTCATTGACATGTATACACCTTTGTATCAAACCATTCTTATATCAGAAAGACGCCATCCATGTCCACCTCCGCCTCCCTGAAAGCAGATAAAATGACCCGAGATACAAATTGATCCAGCGGACCTTCACAATCGACCACGGGACCAGGCAAGCCTCAGTATAGGGTTATTGAAGACGTCGAAGAGCTGGGTAGATAATGTCCTGGGAGATATCATCCTCTGAAAATCGGGGACGACTTAGACAACAGCCGATATCGACTGGTTGACAAGCTTGGATACGGAGAATACTCGACTATATAGCTAGCCCGTGACCTACAAAGAGCCAGATACGTGGCAGTGAAGGCGATTACGCCGATGCCAGTTCTTGTACGCTTGAGGCTAGTCTTATGCATTCTCTGGGACACTCGCCGTCTACACCGGGTGGAGAAATTATTCCACCCCTCAACATTGTGAACGGCGGTATGTGAAGCCTACAAGTGGATTTAACGGGATAACCTAGCTGACCTCGATTTCTTAGACCTTCATCTCGGTAACATTCTCGTCCAGTTCCCTGAATTCATCGATCGTTATTCTACTTCAGAATTATACGAGAAATTTGGAAAGCCACAGTCAGAGGCCGTTGTTCGTCAAGATAGCATGCCATTATCAAATGGAATACCTACACATGTCTTTATCCCCGGTTGGTTTGGCGTACGCAGCGTTAACATTGCTCTTAGAAAGGAAAGGATCATTCTCGGCGCTTCGGAGAACCTTTCAACTCTTATGAAACGGCTAGGTCTTTTTCGAAGACTCTCCCTCTCCTTCAGCCACCTGAGGCCCGATTCTCTGATGAGCCACTCTGCTTTCCCTCAGACATCTGGACACTCGCCTGTACTTCTGGGAGATTTTTGGCCAGCGACCTTTGTTTGACAAATTCTTTGCAACCGCTGATTGTGTCACAGCGGAGCAAGTCGAAGCCCTTGGCATCTTACCTCCCGAGTGGTGGGAAAAGTGGCATACAAGGCTCGAATGGTTTACCGAAGACGGAGAAATTGATATGGCATATAGGGGCCACGACAACCTGCGCAGGACCTGGGACGTGAAGTTTGACTACAGTATGCAGAATCCTCGGGCCAAGGCGGGCCCAAAGATCGTGACGGAGAGGGAGAGAAAGGCATTCGAGGCGATGCTTCGCTCAATGCTGACCTTCCAGCCGGGAGAAAGAGCGACAGCGCAACAAATATTGCAGTCGGAATGGATGAAAGACTGGGGTCAACCAGCCCTCGAAGAGAGCTGGAGGACATTTCATTCTGCGAAAGGATAGGGAAATACACATCTCATTCTATAAAAATAATAGGAAAACAAATGTCTCCTAGCAAGCCTGAACTCATCCACGACAACAACTCACAACGCCCAAGTCCTCACGACCTCAAGAGACTCCTTCTCAATCTCCTCCCACCCAAGCTTTCCCCACCTCTCAGGCCTCTCGACAGCATCAACAAACTGCCTCAGCGCGAGCACCGTCTGCACCGCCCAGCGCTCCTTACTAACCTTCCCGACCCCCGTAGCCAACGGCGTCATAAGAATCCTGCCAATCCTCCCCACCCCCTCCGTTGCACGATTATGCCCCTCAACCTGACACAACAAGCTCCAAACACACTCATAGACAATCTCCCTATCCCAGCGCACATTCCCAGGCTCACGCATCGTCGGACAAATAGCCACCCATCCACAGCCGTATTTATTCTGCTTCAGGTCATCCGGGAACTCAACAAGCGTGCACGAGCCCGGTGGCGCAAAACCGCGCCATTTCTCGTAAAGGACTGTTTGAGCTGCGCGTGTCAGAGCGTGGTAGTCCTCTCGTGGGCTGAAGGTCTTGGAGATGGCGTGGTCGAAGGCTCCGTCGAGGTGGGCGTAGGAGTTTGCTGGCGAGACGATTAGGTCGAAGGTTGTTCCTTCTGGAAGGGTGTTTAGGCGCTCGTGTATTGGGGTGATCTTTAGTTTTTCTGGGTTGTGGTCTGGCCAGGTTGTGTTGAGGGCATCGTTGAAGGCTGTTATGAAGTCCTTGTCCATGCAGAGTAGGAGGATCTCAGGGATGTTGGTAGTCATCTTTGGGATTGTTGATGTAGGGGGGTAATGTTGTATGTTTGGTAAAAACTGGGGGATGTCAGACAGCATCCTTGGAAGTGTATGTTGCTAAATAGACTGAGCCTCAAGGCATCATAGTTACACAGCCCCACGTATGTGGGGACTCAAACCATAATGACTGTAGCTTTGCTTGTTGACGACAACCTTGGAAGTTGTCAATAAGGGAATGTAGGATGAATCCGTCATTTAACGGCTGTATTTAGAGGAAGCTACTGGCTACATGTATGTTCGCACCTTCTCTTAAAACTACATGGTGCCATGATCTGCAGGCAGAGATAAATATCCAGGTACCAACCTGTGACGTGGGCCCACTTCCCTCTTTCGGAAGCATATATGTTCCCTCCAGGGCTGTGCATACAAGCTACATATACCCATGGACAAACTAAGAAACTCATTCATCTAACCCAATATCCCTCTCCTTTCTCAGCGTTGGCTCTTCCGTCAAATCGGTACCACCTCCCACAGCCCGACTCTCTTGAGTCGACACGTACCGAATCAAGCTTTCACACAACCGATCTAGAACCCACTCGGGCTCTGTCTGTTTTGCCAACATGGGACTATTCTCACCAATCCAATCCCAATTAACAAGTCCATATTCATCTTCATCATTCAAAAGGCCTTCCTCACTTACTGGCTGGTTTCTCTGTGACGAAGGCGGCCGAGCTCGCGGGTCAGTAAACTGAATGAGCCGGGTGAACTCGACCCATTCTTCGTAAGAGTATCGTTGTCGTTTACCTTCGCGAGCCTGTTTCGAGGCGCGCCGAATAGCAAAGGCAAGTTGCTGGGCAAGCTCGAACGGGGTCGGGTCGCGGGCAAGTTCCTCGAGAGACCGGTGCGGATGAGACTCGGCTAAATCATCGCTTCGAGTATTAGATTGACCAGCCTCCTCGGCGTCCGCTATTTCCCGGGTGTTGGATTCATCAGCCCCCTCAAGTGGGAAACCACGCTCTCGTCGCTTTTTCACTTGGCGAGACAGTATGGACTGGGAAATGCCGGGAATCCGACCCAAGCATGTCTTGTAGACACGGGATTGAGGAAGCACGAGGTAATCGGCGACTACATCAGTGGCATGCCTGAAGCCAGCGACGACTGTGTCGCTCATCTCGGAAATGAGCATGGTCATGGTTGGGATGGCGATCAGAGACCATACCACAAAGAAAGGTCTTCCTGGATTGGACTGTGGTGTGAAATCGCCGTAGCCGATTGTTAGCAGGGAGACGAAGCAAAAGTAGAGCGATTCGAAGTATGTAATGCCTTCTAATTTCCAGAACACCACTGCTCCGCAGCACCACACAATTCCGAAGGCAACGATGCTGATGATCAAATTGTTCCAGCGGCGGAAGCGCATGGTATCTGACTGGATACGGCGCATAGCGTCGAACCGATCTTTTTCTTCACGCATGACAAGGACCCTGGGTCGGCGACCAGTGGCAAGGGCGTTGATGGTATTGCGAATTGGCCGATGATGATGAGTCTTGGAGCTTTGGCGAGTAAGAGCCGGAGGGGTAATAACTTCTCCACTAGTCGGGCGTTTCCCTTGAGAAGAGTCGACCTCGTCAAAACCGATTGACTGCTCCAAAGTGTATTGCCGTTTCTGCTCAATGTGTTTCTGAACGACATTGTCGTAGTGAACCTCGCGGGCAAATTTAAAGATGCTTTCCACGACGAGTCCCAGAATGATAATTCCAATGACCGCATATGGCCAAATAAGACCACGACCGACGGAATTCGTGGGAGTGATGTCGCCATACCCTAATGTGAGGACGGTGACATCGGAGAAGTACAACGCATCGGCGAAAGAGATCCCGATCACTCGCTGGAAAATAGCCGCGCCAATCAATAGCCAAACCACCAAAGCAGTCATTTGTAGGATCAGGGTTCGTTGCTCGCCAGTCAGCGAGAAGTGTTGCGGATATTTGCCTAGGAAATACCCTAGCATGTTGATCATCAAGACGAAGCTTAAGATAAAGTAGAGGACTGCCGCAATGACGGCACTCCAATAACCCTGCGAGTAGACCCTATCAATGCCTACCGGGGGGGTTATAGATATCTGTGGCTATGGTAATTCCACATAGCTACAAGCAAGCGTTAGGTCTGGACATACAAAACCAGGGACGGAGAAATGTTACTCACGATTCCGGCGGATATGAACCACAAAATGATTGTCACAGGCAAGGCTATAATATAGCGTACGATCTGGGTAAAATTGAACAATAAAAACATATTGCCCACAATCCCGCAACAAAGCGAGATGGCATTTAGGGAAATGCTCCTATTCGTGGTGTTAGAGAAACCTGATTCAGGGTACCCTCTTGCTCTGTACTCACCAGCGAGGGTCTGGATATCCTTCTTGAATGAGGTTTCCAGCAGTGCTATCTTCATAGGAGAGAATTTGGCTTCGCCATGGCACAACCAATGCGGTGACTGACATGACATTGGCGAGTGGTCCCGTTGTAGCAGCAACTAGCGGGATGGCTGTGGATGCAATCCACCACGACTGTGGCTCATCATCTTCAGGTGGTCTCATGTGAAATTGATCCCGGATCCATCCCCATAGGGATAGCCTATCAGACTTTTCGTCTCTGGGCATCCCCTCTGTCGTAGATCCATGTTGCATTGTTTATCTAGCATGACCATATGCCCAGATATGGGGCAGTCGCAAAGCCCAATGAGTCTTGTAGGTTTAAGGCTAAGCCCTCAAATATCTTGAAGCACCAGGTCACTCTCCAGGAACTAGATTAAACTTGAGGGGAACTTCAAGGGTCATATCCGCAATGAGATTGCATCAAGACAGCGGGAAACAAGGAGTTCTGGTACTTCTTGATTGTTGTCTCCCAAACAGGTCTCCAAATAAGTCCGAGTCGAGTAATAATATCTCAAGTAACCCACTCAATGCGGGGATTCAGGCGCTAGATAACCTGCTATCTGATAGCAGGGATGTCGACGATCGCTGTGTTTGCGGTCCCGTGACTGCCCCACGTGCGTCATCATTATTCTCCAAAGTTCACAACAACACAACATTTGAACTTTAGAAATTATGAAATACGAGTTTGAACACGTTTGGCTGAATATCCCCCAATCAGCCGCTGAAATAGGTCTGACAGGGCAAATAAGGTTGTATGGCCACATGGACTTAAGAGTCCATGTCCAGGGCTAACCCCGGCAATAACGTAGGTAAGAATTATGGCACCCCCATAGGCTTATGCTTTTATGTCAAGTTCAAACTGTTATGAACTTCATCTCATGTCAGTTCCCAAGCGTGTCCATGGTATTAACATATGGCCGGCTCGTGCTCCAACCTCCGGGGCCAACGTCTCACAAGCTCGGTATGACTCCAAATCAAGAAAGAGATTCAAAAAGCAACCTGGAAGTCTGAGCCAGTATCCATATAAGCTAATTAATACCTTAGCCTAGAGCATCTATTTAAGCATGTACTCAACACAATCAAGAATATCACTTCCCCCGAGCCTTCAATCTATACTAAACCAAACACCCTGAACATGAACCATAACTATATCTAACCACCGTCACCATACTTTATAATAATGCCTCAAAACTAGGATCACCATGCAACCCAGAACAAAGCTAGAAAGTCATGCACGCAACCACACCCCTGTGCCTCACCTGTGATAGGATCGCCACACCCTCGGGAACCCCCAACGTGCATGCATTTGAATTTCGAAGCCAATAACAGCCACGATCACCTGCATGAGAAAACGCAAATTGATCCGACGCTGGGACCTATACTATATGAAATGTGACATCAGCCGTTATGGGAGTGATAGTACCTACATAACTTTTGGAGGGCGTACAGCCAGTGAACGATCAAATACAAAACTCCAACAGAGCGATTCTAGGCGCTTTCTATGGTTCTACAGGGCGGGGTAGTGATCCACATACTTGCATTGCGCAGGAAGCGCTGAGGGGTATCACATCACATCATTGCCTGTTTTGGGGGGATCTGGACTACGTGGAAATAATATTGACTTTACAGATGTATAGATGGTTTGGTCTCGGCATGTATAGGAGAAAGTATAGCATGAGAAAGTATTAACGAGTGTCAGGGTCTATCGGACGTATGGGTCGTCTTGGTTCTATGTACAACCCGATTCCTCCGACCCAACATCAAAAGCTTAAAGGACAGAAAAAAAAGTAGATAGCTGTGCGAAAGACAAAGGAAATAAAACGAAAAAAAAAGGACAAGCACGTATATAAGAAATCGCAAGATGGTATCATCGAAGCAGAGTGACACGGACTTCAACGGCAAGACAAAACGGACTTGACGGCCAGAAATGAAAAGATTAAACAAGGACGCCAGAAATGGAATAGAATAGATCAAGAGGGCGCCGTCCTATGACAGAAACGAGATCAAAAGCAAGGCGCCGGCACCGAAAAAGCAAAAACAATAACGATGATCTTTTGTGTCGAATCCTGGGCAACATCCATGGATCGAAAAAACAGACAGTAAATGCAACGAGCAAAGCCAGCCGAAGCCAAAACACGCTCCAAATGCGATTCAACAAGTTTCAAATGCTCCAAATGTAGATAAGAAAAGCAGTAGGAAAGTCTGTCTCTTTTGGGGGAATCGCTCCCTCGGTCGGTGTATAAAAAAAAGCGTATGAAGAAAACATCCTATGCAGCCGTCGGTCGGCGCAGAATGTCTTCGCAGTTGGCGTCGAATCGCATATTCCAAAGACGAATACTATTCATGAGCTTCTCGGTATTTTCAAGCTCACGGTCGCGACCGAAAATCGATTCGACAAATTCGCAACCTGCATTGCGGCCCATCGATACGGGCCCTTTGCCACCTTCTCGTTTGGCGGCCTTCCACATGTAAAGTTCGCAGCCCTTGAGGAGCTTCTTGAATCGGGACCAGAGGCGCTCGCCGCTTTCCAGGAAGTCTTCGACGACTTCCTGCGCCTCCACGCGTTGGATGCGAGTGAGACATTCGTCGGCCCTCTTTACTTTGCCCGCCAGCTTGATCAACAATAGCCACAAGTCGCCCGCGACGTCGGCCATGGGCGTCGATGCCCCATGATGAAAGACGGTCCAGTCGTAGATCCACTTTCCGAGAGAGTTCGCATCAAATACACTACCGAGCAAGATGATCGGCGCTTCGGTCGGGTCCCAGTTCTTGATTGAATAGCCTGCTGGGATCCCTGCGGCCACGGCGTCATCTTCGGTGGCGATGGGTGGCGGTTTGGCAGTAGCTGGTGGTGGTTTGGGTTTGCTGGGAGTGCGAGTTGATGTGGATTGGCGCCTTGCGCGGGAGCGTCTGGCCGCTTCGATATCCTCGTTGTTAGGAGCCTGAGTGAAGTAAAAGTGAGAATCAGCTGGATTTGATTTGCGGTAAGAGGTCGAGGTGGTGCGACGGTGTTGGCCAGGGCCATCTCGAGTGGGATTCGAGGCCGGGGGACGACCTGGGCGACCGGTACGGGGCTCGCGGGCGTTGGTGCGCGGGATATCGAATGCTTCGTCGACCACATCTACGAAGATGGGTCGAGTCTGCGATTGCGACGGGTAGTATCCGTTGCCGAGGCCATCCCCCGTAGGATGACCGGTCGAGGAGTATCGGTGGTGTTTGGGCTTTCCCGCAAAAGAAGCACTTACATGATCGTGCTTTCGCGATGGAATGCCATAGTCTGGGGTCGCTTCATAGTAGCCTTGTGTGTAGCCCGACGAATACCATGGTGTTTCTTTGGTGGCCGTGTAACTGGCCTTGCGGTTGTGTCGTCGCGAGGTGCCCCGGGGTGAAGTGTAGGAGTTGGCGAACTGAGAGGCGTAGTAGGCGTATTGAGGTGAGGTGGGAGGTGATTGAGTGTAGTCGTAGGTTGACCACCCGGGCGGTGGACTGGAGTAATGATACATTATCGCGCGAGCATATGGAGCACCAGTCGATCAGATAATGTAAAAAAAGAGGCGACAAGCCGGAAATGCAAACAATCCAAAGGCAGTTAAATGAAATCAGCAAAAAAAAAAAAAAGAACACCAAGTATATTATACAGGATATCGTGCACCGAAACAGAAATTGACGCCGACTTTAACACTGCAGGTCAGATAGGGTTTTTTTGGGTAGTAGGACCGTCACCGTGGTACGGTTTCCGATCGAAGAGAGGAGGGTTGAGACTGAATGTGCTGAGAGGGCATTTGAACGTTCTTCGGTCAATCCGAGGAAAAGAGAGAGAGTGTGCGTTTAGGGGATCCTAGGACCCAAGATCTCCTATTGATAAAAGGAGACTCTGAGGAAAAACAAAGAGCAGAGAGACCTCCGCTCCAAAAGATGTTAATGGCTTTGGTTTCAGTGGAGAGAGGTGGAGAGTAAAAAATTTCAACCCGATGAAAGGGAAAAGGGAAGATGGATCCTTAATGTCAGCGCCGGTGATATTGGCGCAGGGCCAATCAGTGCACCCGCTAGTGGCTGGCGCGTGTGAGTTGGCGTTGTGGGCTGTGGCGTTTGGATTCTTTCTTTTCTTACGGGTATTGAATTTCCATTTCAGCGTATTCTATTCATTTCTGAAAGTTATAATTTTATTTATGGTTTTCCTCCATCTGGAAGATAGTCCATCGCTCTTATAGCTTGCGCTCGAGCTCAGCTATTACATATTATGACTCAATTTTAGGTGGCAACCTTGGAAATACAATCGAGTCACTCTCGTAGAAACTAGTACTTTCTATCTCACTCGTCAGTCTGCTAGAACCAAAGTACCATCATGTCTCGATGTCGCTACCCCTCAAGCTAGTCCAGATGGAGACGCTTCCATTGGACGCAATATGCAAACCGCTTGGCTGATAGCCCCTCATTTGAATCGGGCAGCGGACAACTGCATTTTCCTCGGTGTCTTTGAGTTTGCCAGTCTCAAGGCAACTGCTTAGCAGATTTTTTGACCGTCTCTTGGTGGACTGACTCTGAGGGAAAGGCTAAAAACAGCCGTAATGTCGCCACTAAGACGGAGTGTCATCCCACAAAGGATCTTACTGGCTGCCTTACAGCTGTCTGGCAATGTAACTAGTTTAGATCACCCCTCTATCAGCTGGCGTGTCATGGTTGGGTTGGATGAGCGCAAAGCCATGTGCTCGACTTCCAGAACTAGGCTACATTTTCTATACCTCATACAGTTTATCTGCATGAACGCCATCATTAGTTGCAGCATTGCGCACAATACTGTATATAGCAAATGGTACTTTATATCGATCATATAAGACAACATCCTCTAGTAGTAACTACCGGTCCAAGTACTTATTTACGAGAGGCAGCGCTCGATGTATGCAGTGCGCAAAAAGCCGGTTCCATGGTTGGACCGACGGCATCCCAGATTCCACGACGGCCCATCCCGTCTCGTCCAGTGGTTCAGACATCAGACTCCACCAAAACCCCAGAGATTTCGGACATTATTACTTTCTGTAACATATACGAACACGTTGCCATGGCAAGAGAAACGACTAACGAGCCCCATCAGTATCTTTTTTTACACACACATCCACTTCGCACTGCCATCTTGGGCGACATCACGGGCCATGCATAGGCTTTACCGCTGCGTCGCTGGGCAGCAACCGCCATTTTGGGCAAAAATATAGAGAATTTCGCAGACCGCAACTTGCTGCTTGGGTCTGACCATCAATATCTTCTAGTGGGCAAAAAGTCTTCGGCCTAAGAGTAAAAATAGCTATTAACAAGTATGAGATCGAGAGATGCGCAGCGGCTGTGTACAACGCGTTAGGATCGAAGCCGCATAATGGGGGCAGTGAGTCCTCCAACCATAAGCAAAATGGAGTCACTTCTGAATCACTGAGCTGTTATCCATTTTTGATATTGGCTGTCCACGGTTCATTGTTTCAGCGTGGGGCGATGAACAATAGGCGACTCGCTATGGCTGCGATCGTATTCAGTTTCAAGCCCTAGTCTGCCTTTTCGGGACTGGTCTGATAGCAGCCAACGCTACTCGATGTACAGTGTGCGTCATGACCGGCAGTGGGAGATCCAACCTGAGACTACACGCTAATATTACAACATCTATAACTGCTCTCTATTCTATGAAACAGGGCACATGTTCGATGTAAAGAACAGGACCACCGCAGTTTCGCGCCACCACAAATACCACAAATACCGACATGGTTTTTACGCTCACGCACCGAATCAAGGAATGAAAGCCGGAATTTCCAGCACGTCCTTGCTGCCCACACAAAAGAATCCCAGGTCCACCCCTGATTCGAGGGTTTTGTTTTTTTTTCCTTGGGTGAGTCAACCCTTCGAGAATCCCCCCTTGTCTTAGCCAACCAGCCAAACAGAAGGCAAAAAACCCGTCCTGCACTGCCGATCATCTAGGGTTGCACATGGCTTATTTCTATTTATTTTTCAAGGAATTAATTAATTCACCCAACATATTTTTTTAATCGTGTCTGCAAGATGGATCTCACATGCAGGCAGCAGTTAAAAAAAAAAATATGTTGACATATCTATCTGCCCACCGAAGATAATCCAGCGTCTAACAGATCTTATTTGACAACGCCCCCTATTTCTGCCTCCTTCGCCACCCCCAACCAAGCTGAATTCAGCCAGGGACGGAACAAAAGAAAGCAAATAAGGTGATATATAAAATTTAATTTGTTGAGTGGGTAACGCCAGCTCGCCTAAAAGCCATGGAATTTCTGGAAGGTTTAAAGCCCAAAACCCACAAGTCCGCTAACAAGGCTGCAGGGAGGCCGGGCTGGAAGCCGGGACGCATCTTCCCTCGGCTGTAGGAACATAACCTTGAACTGGCGCACGGGGACACAATCTCTGTACACCGTCTCCCCTGAAATAATTGGCTTTAATTTATATGTGCTTCTCGTGCGACTCGGTAAGCCTAGTATAGCCGACAACTAGTGTATCATGCATATTCATATGCTCGAAGCGCGGTCTAACGGCTGAATATCCTTAGACAAAATCAGGTTTTGGATATAGGGGTTGGATGCCTAGATGCCGGGTGGGTACTCGATACTCCGAGATTACAGAACCCTGGTCGACTGCGGATTTCAATGCGGATTAATTGGTAAATTTGCTTTTTGATATCAAGCCCGCCAAGTCTGGAAGTACAGGGAGTGTGGTAATGATAACAGCCTTCACCTACACTTGCAAGCACCTACCTCACCCCCTCGCCGTCTAATTAAACATGGACTGATGCACGCATGCACGCTCTGGACAAGATCCATAAAACTATATCACATGAATAGTATGGTTTGTAACTGAATCCTATCTATCTGCTACCCCTTGCACGAGCGGGTGTCGGCTTTGCCGTGGGAGAATCAAAACAAAACCTTGGGCCCATTTTAGTGTTTGTTATTGGTATTCTAGGCCCGGTTGGAATACTAGCGGTCGGGGAGGTCCTCGAGGGTAATTAGTACGTGTATTATTGATATCGGGCTTGGGTATTGGGCTTTTGAGGTTTTCGTTGTGCGTGCTGATCATATAGGGTTTGCATATCTGCCCTTGCCCTGTGCCCTATAACATACTCCGTAAGCGCCTATAGGTCTTGGTTGGGGCTAGGTGTTGGTTGGTGCTTTTGTCGTTACGCCGTGGGATGTGTGATAGGCGAAGGGGGCTTTGGTTAGGTTGCATACCAACCAACTCCTGCGGATGACTCGGGTTGGCTCTCTCGTTATCTCCGAGTGGCTTGGGCCAGCCCCTATTTGGCTGCGCCTTTGGGCCTTGGTCATGTAGGACGTAGGTTTATATCCCCTACAACGTACTACTAAGTTGTTCAGCGGCGCAGATATTGGGAATTGCTTGTAATGGGCGAATGTGAACCCGTTGGCCACGGGTTTATTCCATGGGTAAGATTATGACATGATCTAGTTCTATTTAAAAGGGGTTTCAGGTATATATGTACAGACATGCATGAAGTGCTATTTGAGCGCCTGGCAAACCAGAAAAGGAAGAGTATATATAATGTAGATAGTATTGACTGGAGACAATATTGCTGCACATAGAATGAATCGTATCATGTTTGTCAAAAACACAACACGCGAGTCGCTGATCCCCGAACAAAGAAAAATCCAATGAGTCCGTCCCACCAGAATGCTGTAAAGCTGGAAACCGCAAGCATATAGCTCGGGCAATTAAGAAAGAGATATAAGATAAATAGTCTATGCAACCATGTACTCGCCGTCACCCCGCTTGGCCTGCATAACGCGGGACCAACGGAAGGCCTGCGAAGAAGCTGGTGCCCTGCCACCAGCCAGCGGAGGCGGGGGACCGAACCCGCTGGGATAAATCGGGAATGAAGATTCATCGGAATGCTCAGCCCAGATCTGTTCCAGAAGCTCTAGACAGGAAAGGTTGTTGATAAAGCCAGAGTCCTTGGAGATATCCTTGCAGCGATCGCGGATGACCGAACGGTGATCGTCCTGGACACACTCCGAGCCGACAATGAACAGTGGCCAGAGAAGATATACGTCTGATTGCACGGTAATGATGCAGTGCATGGCGAGCTGGACAAGATGCTGAATACGGCCATGAGACGATGGAAGGGTCGGCTCGGCTAGACGTTCGCAGTAGAGAAGGGCTGCGTGACGGAAGCACTCCGAGATCTGGTAGACGTCCTGGAGATTCTCGGGTGCCACTTGATATGCTGATGAGGAAGTCTGTGGCGTCACATAGGTAGTAGCGTTCCAGGTCATTGTAGATGCAGACAAGGGCGGAGAAGGGAAAGCAGCCTGAGAGGCCTGAGCAGGTGGGTCGAATCGCCAGGATTCGAGTCGCTGCCTGAGCGAATACCACTCTGTCCAGAATTCTGGAGAGGAAGGACGACGGGATGAGTCGCTACTTTGCGGTGGCGTGGGAAGAGAAAATCCGTATTCCGGTACGGAGCTCATCCCTGGATTGGGCACAACTGTTTCCCATCCCGGGAACAGCATGTTAGGAGGGAGGGATGCAGTGGGGACACTAGCATCCTTTGGGCGCGATAGGTTGGGCTCCTGTTCCTGACTCAGGAGATTCAAACGGCCCAGCTGAGAAATCAGCTTGAACAGACGACCATCACAGCCGGCCAGGTTCTCCAGACCCCATTCTCCATCAGTTTTGGAGCTGATCTCCAAACATGTTCCGCGTAGTTGGACGTCACGGTCATTTGTGGTAGCTGTTAATGTATCAAACCACGAGAACATGCGGATGAACCATTTGAGGCTATCCGGTATGACACGGGAATGGCGCATTCGGATCGCAAGTAGTCTTGTTACTCCAGCGAATTGAGCGCGGAATCCGGCAACGCCAGTATCACAGCCGTGGAACAGACAGAGCATTAACAATGTCGCCAGTACAGAGTCCGACAATCTGCGACGAGGGTCGGCCAAATCAGCATTTAAAGCCTTGACGGCCATCCCTCGATGGTGATTTTCTTCTCTCATATACCCTTCGACCATTGAGATGCCATATCGATCTTGGAAATCTTCATCAGTGAGGGCGCGGTGAGCCATTGATGACATCCGTGCTGGCAGAGTTCGTTCCGTGGAGAGGTGGTTGTGCTCTCGCCTCTGGCGCAAGTTGCTCGTAGCCAACGTTGCAATCGCCTCCTGCAAAGCCTCACTCTCCATCGCCAAGCGTATAACGTGAGTCCGGAACGGATTTGTCGGGTATCGAAGGCAACAATCATGGGGGTAATGACTTCGGCGTAGTAACTGATGAGATAACGAAGACGCGGGGTCCGACCCACAGATCGTGCCAAGAGGAGCTGAGAGAGTGAGGGAGAATGCGCGGCGTTCCAGAGCATATTATAATTAGGATCGTATTTGACCTCCTCCTCATCCGTGTCTTGTGACGCCGGGGGGAGTAGCAGCCTGGGACGAGGATGGAACTGCCGTCGGCCAAACCAGAGACCCAGAATTAGCCGTCGGGCTTTGAATGGGAGCATATAGCAATGGTGGCTCCGGGGTCATATCTTGGCTTGTGTTTGGAATCATCGGCCGACTGGGCAAAGGAAGCCCTGAAATAGCAGGCGGAGCAGCAAGCGTGCTCGACCACGTTTGTGGATCTGGCATGTCCATTGTCCAAGCCATGTTCGAAGACATGTCAAAGGCAGCAGGCATCATAGGTGGGCTACCTTCCTGTTTCACACCCGGCGTCCTTGTGCCAAACGATGCCATTTCAGGGCCGGTTGACGGAGGCATCGGGGCCGAAGAATCGGCAGGCACCCGCGAAGATGGGCCGCTGCTGCTTGAGGCCTCCGGTTGCGATTTCACAGCATTCCCCGATAATTGTTCTTCCGATTGCATCACCGGAAGCTTCTGGCCCCGGAGTTTCCCTCGACTTGCGACTCCAACACCCCATGTCAACGTCGTCTTGTATCCGGAACATTCGCGGCCGAGGTCGAGGCACTGGGAGCAATAAGGTCGGCGCCGGTCACACCGTGCTCCTCGCTTGGAGCAGGCAAAGCAGTCGTCGGGGGCTCCGCTGACCACAGTTCTCTTGCGGCGTTTCCGGATCGGAGCGTTCGGGTCGGTCTTGCGGGATTTTCCCTTAGGCGCGGGGTCTCGCGAGGGACGATCTGCATTATCGGAGGCCATCTTTGACGGGCGTGGGCAATGCCCGCACGGAGTCCATCCGTTTAGACCTTGAAAGACCTGTGCGATTGGAGTGTGGTAGGCGTTCACGGGGCGTAGGTTACTTCCAAGGTGTTGGGGTTGAAGATTTGTAATTGGGGCGGAAATATCGAATGCCACGAGATCGGCGAATTCAAACAGGGATCTGGGGGTGGAAGTCGTGTTTAAATAAAAACGATAAACTCTCTGAGTCCTGCAGAGTGGAAAAAGATGGAATAATATGACGGAGAAAGATTGGGGGGTGGATATGCGATCTTCCCCGGTGGAGGCTGATCCGCGTTTTAGTCGTTTAGGGAGAACTGTCCAAGTGGACTGGGGCGCCTTTTCGAAAAGGCAAATGGTTCCACGATGATCATGAAATTCATTGATATCATTGGAATATAATCCCTCAGTGTCTCACATGTGTTCTTCGATTTTGTTCCATAATCTGGCCTTGATGTTGGCCTTATAACGTACGCTAGTTAGCGGCTTCCATAGTATGAAATCGGTGGATTCCAGTGATCTCGTGTCTCATGTCCGAAATTGAAACCAATGGATCCAAAACTAATTATATTAATATAACAATAGTAACAATATATGTAGACAAAATGCTGGTTCACCCAAGCCGTGTACTCCGTGATGTAAAAAGTATTTGCCTACGCGGCAAAGACTTGCCAAGCCCAGATCTTCTTTCCGCCCTGGAACAATACCTACGCCAGAACAACATCAACCGGTCATCGCGCTCTCTCCATCGAGCAATAGTTATATGTGAGCCTTTTTACTTTGACTTGGTCAATAAAGATCGATCGGCGTGGCCGTGCGCCACTCCCTGAACCCCTGGATCAAAGCGCAGTTACCCGAACTATCTAGCAATAATGAGTGCTTTGCGACCTGGAAGAGTGAAGGCGCTCGTACTGGCGACGCTCGCTTTGATTCTAGTATGCACCGTCCACTTTTACCGGTCTCCGATCACCGCGTCCTCCACCGTCCCCCTAGTCCCAAACACAGCATTCGAGGTTCCACTCGCCGAACGCCAGAAAGACTTCTGGAAAGTCCTTCGACCCATAATTGAACGCCACAAACCGAGTTGTCCTTCCCCGGAAAAGCGAGGCGACGCCGAAGCTCAGCACTTTGATCCCACAAAAGACCTGCCCCGACCCGATCTGACCGGCCTGGGCGAGGGAGATGTGCACAAGATGGAAGAAGCCCATGCGGCTTTCATCGAGGATGTTAAGAACTCGGGCAAGGAGTTGAAGCCGATTCATACCCCAGGCAAGCGAGGACTGGTATCAACAGCTGGTTCTACGTACCTGCCCGTTTTTGTCTCATCACTACGCATGCTCCGCCGCGCGGGGTCAAAGCTGCCGGTTGAACTCTACATGAAGGATGCCACCGAGCACGAGAAACATCTTTGCAATGAGGTGCTTCCCAAACTCGATGCGCGGTGCTTGGTGCTGGCGGATGTTGTGGGTAAAGATATCATTGAACACTATCAGCTCAAGATCTTCGCTGTTCTTTTTTCGTCCTTCGAAGAGATTGTCTGGATGGATGCGGACTGCTTCCCTCTCGGTAAACCCGAGGAACTGCTAGACTCGGAGCCATTTAAGACCCACGGTCTTGTCACATGGCCAGACTTCTGGGCTTCCTCCGCATCACCGTTATACTACAGGATTTCACGCCAACAGGCACCATCCATGACTGCCAGACAATCGTCAGAAACCGGAGCCTTCTTGGTCTCTAAGAAGACCCACTCCCTAGCTCTCTTGCTGGCGGCATATTATAACTTTTACGGCCCCTCGCATTATTTCCGCTTGTTAAGTCAAGGTGGACCTGGCGAGGGAGACAAGGAGACCTTCATTCAAGCTGCCTCAGCTGTAGGCGCCCCTTTTTACACTGTCAGTGAGAGGGTGCAAGCCATCGGACACGCGAATGCGGATGGGCTGTCTGGATCAGCTATGGCACAATCAGATCCACGCGAGGACTTTGCCTTGATCCAACAGGATAAGTGGCGTGTAAAAGACGAGTCCGTTGCCCCCGCACCGCACATTTTCTTCATCCATGCAAAGCCATCCCAAGTTCAACCCCGGTGATAGGATTTTCGGCTTGGGATGGGAAACAACACCTACCTTGAAGGAGGACGGCTCAGATGGACGCGCCTGGACGGCACCCCCACAGACCATCCAGCGATTTGGATACGATGTTGAAAGAGCTTACTGGGAGGAAATCAAGTGGGTGAGCTGCCAGCTCGAAACGGCGTTCAAAACGTGGGAGAACAAAGTGGACCTGTGCAAGAGAGTCGAGGAATACTGGAGCCATGTCTTTGCTGAGCCGCATGACGATGATCCCAAGTTTACCCTGGATGGCTGATCTCAGGTCTCACCGGCACATTTTGTGCCTTGGGTCCCTCCTCGGCTTGCCCAGCCTCCCTGCACTCCACCCCGCCTGCCCAACAGGATTCCAGTGTTTGGCTTAAATCCAACTGCACTCCGGATATATGCTTCCCATTGCCTCGGTATCTGTGACGATGAGCACTGCCTTCCTTGGCAGTGGGGTCCTTCAACCACCCAGCCATTTTCTTCTGGCTAAATAAGCCAGCCACCCTTTGGAACGGTTGCAGGTATCTGATGCCTGTTACTCTGGCTTTGTATAGGCTGCCGATACTTCATCTTGTACTATATTTCGGCCCTTGAAATCTCGGGTTCTTGTACATATCGTATAATTGCGTTTAGAAAGCAATCTCATGACATATGCTCTATTTATTCCTACATTTTACAATAGCATGCCTAGGTTTGAACGGCATTTGCCCCTTCATGTAGACTGCTACTATATGGATTCCCGCTTCTGCGTGGGAAGTGCAATATGACGCCATTGTTTGTCGTTGGCAGGCGGAAGTGGCGTGAAATCTCACCCCTACTGAGAGTATTCTAAGCAATAGCGTTGAATTATGCCAATATTGAAGGCATCAAAAAGCGACAGGTCATGATTGCGAGCACCTAGGTACTTGATTTTCTCTGCCACGTCTTGGCTCAACTCGGGATACTCATTGCATTATGCCAATATTGGTAGAGATATAGAACCCCCTCAACAGTGGTATATTGGTTTAATCAAACAATCGCCTCATGGTTGATTCCCTTAGTACTAGCGCGTATGGACGTCCTATTATCCGACAATTTTGACAACCACGTACGTACCTAACTAACATGGTCTGCTGGTAAAATTGCGGCCGACATGAGTATCTCCAGTATGATCTTTGCGACTCTATGCCTCCAGCCAGAGCTCCTTCGGCGGTTTCGCGTTCATACTCTCTGCCATTTTCTTCCTGATAGCATCTACACCAAACTCGTGACCAGTCTGTACATTCACTTGCCAAACTGACCATTTGGAAACTTGACCTTGCAAGTTGGCGAAATAGGGCGAGTCCTTCACTCCCTTTTTCTGGAAGAAGCCCTGACGGTCAATTCGAACCCCACAATCCAAAAGTGCCTTCTCATCGTTCGCCTTCATTTTGTAGCCTCGATCCTTCAGAGTCTTGATGTCATGCGTATCAATGGACGCCACTGTGGCCACAGGCTTCTTGGGAATATAGACAATCTCCTTATCTTCCCATTGCGAGAGGATAAGCTCCATTGCTGGCCTCGCGAAGTTGATAGTCTTATCCACAGACGTGAGGTCATCCGCAGCGACTAAGGCAACAGGCTGCCACAATTGAATGCTGTTATGTTCAGGGCTACTAGGAAAGGTATCGGTTGAGATCGCGGCAATCTCAGTCCTGGGTCCTGCATCCTTGAGCCCTGTCCTACTCTGTGACTCGGCGATGTAAAAAACCTCAGAATTGTCCTGGCTACTCGAACATTGAATCAATCCGACTGACTAGACGTGCGCGGGATCAAATTTAAATCCTACGCAAAACACCATGGATCTGGAAATTCGAGAGACCGAAACTGTTTCCATATGCTACTATCATATGTGCAAGCAGGCTCGGCAAGGCACGATGATCGCCAGAAGCAGTATAGCAAAATTGGGAGAGTGACATGCAAACTTAGAATCGAAAGACAATATCATCGAGCCCAAAGTGAGTGGGCATATATGCTTAGTAGCGGAAAGAAGATGGAATTTCAATATGCAATCTGTAACAATGTCGTGCTATGACTCGAAGAGAGAGAGAGGAAGCAGAATTGCTGGCCATCTACATCTAACTACTGTGAGGGACTGCGTTACCTCATCAAAAGCCCTGGAATATACTCCCAAGCCGAGTAAACATCCGAAAAAAGAACCACGACGAGGTATCCGGTAAACTGAACACCAGTACGTACACCAATGAAAGTATCGATACCTTCAAGAACACCTCCCTCAACGATAACGCTGATTTCAACAAAGAAAGCTGTGTGAGATAGGCACAAAAATGGCCGAATCTGTCGGCCCTTACTCCGCACAAGAGCCGTTCTGCAGGGTGTAAAACTCATGTTTGAAACTTACAAAATGATGCAGGTGCAGGAGGGGAATGGAGAAGACTAGCGCCGATTCATGTCGTCAAAGGCTGTGATCGTCGATCTGGCCTGCTCGATATCCTCTAGCCGGATGCCACTGCGTTCACACATTCCGTGAAAGATCCCGCCTTCCTCGCAGTAGAGATTTGCAGGGGTATCTATCTGTGCTATTTGCCCAGCATCCACGACACAGATCCGATCGTAGCCTATGATGGTTCGGAGACGATGCGCAATGCAAAGCAAGGTCTTACCACGGAAGCCGGAGGCCATCGCGAGTTGGATCTTAACATCGGTCTCCATGTCCACGCTTGATGTGGCCTCGTCACAGATGACGATTCGGGAGTCACGCACTAGAGCTCTTGCGAGAGCCATCAGCTGGCGCTGGCCGAGAGAGAAGTTCAGCCCGTCTTCTTCGACGGTGCTGTCAAGATGGATGCGAGGGCCAGGACCGGTGTCATCTTTGCAGTCTTCGAATTTTGCGTCATCTCCATCTGCTCGTACCAAACCTGTCTTGCGTAGAGTAGACCAAAGTTCCAAATCCGTGTGCTCGTGGAAGGGGTCAAGGTTACTACGAATAGTGCCTTGGAACAACGTTGGATCCTGTGGGATGATAGTTAAACGTGATCGTAGGTCCATGAGCCCAATCTGAGAAATATTGACACCATCAATGGTAATGGACCCTGCAGATATTTCCACGAGTCTAAATAGTGCGCTCATGATCGATGACTTGCCCGCACCTGTACGACCGACAATGCCAATGCGCTCACCACCCTTGATGTGCATGGACAGGCCCTGCAACACAAGAGGGAGGTTTTTGCGATATCGCATAGCGACATCGCTGAACAAAATCTCGCCCTTGTCGGGCCAACTCTCACGGACATCAATAGTATGCATGGGGGCCTCTTCTTCGAGTTCTACGTCAAAGTATCGGAGGCGCTCAACTGAATTCATGCCTTTGTCCACTTCCGACAACTGCCGGATCGAGAATTGAAGCATTTGAACAACGGAGAGAATGTAGCTCAGCACCAGACCAGTAATCGATGGGTCTACACTAAATGGAGTAGCAACCACAAGGATACCAACAATGAAGACTAGCAAGTTGCCGATGGCATCAAGTCGAAGAGTGAGCCATCGTTGATTGGCAAAAGTCAAGTAATAGGCTGCATTCATCGCATCAATTGACGAACGAAGGTCGTTGACGAATCGCTCTTTAAGACCATAAGCCTGGATGGAAGCCACACCACTCAGTCCTTCACTGAATTTAGAGAACACAGCTGACCGTAAAACAGACTCATGACGCTTAATCTCACGCGCTGATGAACGGTAGTATGATGCAGCTCCAATGTAGAAGACATAGAACGGGACTATCGCAATGGCGAAATAGTAATAATAGGCGATGATGAGGATAAAGATGGCACTGGCCCCGCCTATAGTGAAAAGATACATTCTCATAGCATCTGATAGAATGTTGTCCATGACGTCGACATCCCTTGAGAAGCGATTGATGATACGACCAAGAGGTGTTGTATCAAAGAAAGACATTGGAGCGCGCAAGACTCGAGTCATCGCTCGCCGAAACATTACTTTGCTGGCATTCGTCCCCAAGACTGATAGCACAAGGGCAAAAGCGAACATCAGAAATGCCTGTAGAACGCCAAGGGCAACGTAGACACCAATATAGAGGCCAGTCGAGTATCCAAACTTGTCTGATATCCAGAAAGAGAGCCAAAGACTGGTAGAAATGTTGGACCCTTGAGCCAATATCAAGAGTAGAAAAGCAAGAGGCGCATTAAATATCGTTCCAGAAGCTCGCACATACGCCCCATAAACGGACCAAGGTACTGCAGCTTCGGCTCGGTCCTCTTGCTGCATCAGTGGTGCGGCCTTTTTGTCCTTCTCGGGTTTCTTATGATCCGCAGTGTCATCGGTAGGGGGAAGTTCTTTGATCTCAGTAACTTCGTCTTCCTCTGTCTGCTTCTCCTTTGGCATGACAGGAGCAGCTGTTTCTAGGACGGCTTGGAATCCTTCATGGTTGTTCCTCAAGTTTTCAAAAGTATCAATGACCTGGATCTTGCCATCTTCCATCCAGATAATTCGATCACATCGATCCAATACCCAGAGCTGATGCGTGGCTAAGATAAGGCATCTGTCTTTGAGCAAACCAAGAATAGCATTGTCAAAGATATGACGTCCAACATGCGCATCGACGGCGCTAAGAGGATCATCCATCAACACAATCTCAGCGTTAAAGTAAATAGCCCTTGCGATATTAAGGCGCTGCTTTTGACCACCAGAGATAGTAATTCCTCGCTCGCCAATCTCGGTTTGGTCACCATGGGGAAGCGAGTCCAAGTCAGCTTGAAGCGCGCACCTTTTTGGAGCCATTAGCCATCTGAAAAAAGCACGAAAATCTAGGTGGGATACGGACAAGGGGAGAAACGTACGCGTGAATGACCTTCTCATACCAAACCTGATCTAATTCCTTTCCGAAAGTAATGTTGTTTTGCAGCGAAGTATTCTGGATCCATGCAGACTGGGGACAAAAGGCTCGAGATGCGCCAAAGACCGCATCTCCATGGGTCTTGCGCATATGGCCGGCCAGGGCAGCCAGCAACGAACTCTTACCACTACCGACAGTGCCAATAACAGCAATCAACTCGTTGCGACCAGCCTTGAAATTCACATCCTGCAGTGTAAAGGGCCCGCGCTCCTCGATAGTGGTACTATCATCGGACGACCCCTTTGATTTGATAGTAGTTCCGGATTTTTCAAGGCCCGCTTTTGGTTTCGTATCCTTTACTTCGTCCTTATCTTGCTTATGCGTGTTCTCCCATGTGAAACTCGCGCTCCGCAGCTCGATCGCATGTTCTCCTTCAGGTTTCCAAATCATTCCTTGTTCCCTGTCTCTCCTGCAGCAGAAAATACTCGATCCGATTGACAGAGGACCATGCGTCAATGACCTGGCCAAGTGTGAGAGGCAGGAGGTTCAGAGGGATCCGCAGACTGTTGAAAAGAGCCAGCGAAGAGAAAACCCTGGCGGCTGACAATTGATGATTGGTGAGCGCGTAGGTGATGAACGAGAGCATCGATGCAAAGACTGGAAGAGACATGCTGATTGCATTCATCGCGTTTCGAATAGCAAGCAGAGTCTGAATGGCGGAGATTTCTTTTAAACGGAACTGCTCCAGGCGTTCGAGGAAGGCCGGTCCCCAACCGAAGTATTTGACGAAGCGTACTGATTGAAGAATCTCTTGCGTGAGCGAGACGCGTTGATCGGTAATCTTGTTGATAGCTCGTCTTCGATGAAGCAAGCTACGAATGGCTATCGTAAGAAGAGGCACGCCAATAAGCAGAAGCGCAAAGCCTGCAATAGCGCTGTATGTCAAGTTGATCAAAAGCAAAACCAGCGTAATGATACAAGCAAGTGGTGAAGCCCAAACCATGTGCACAAATGCGCAGCATAAATCGATACGGTTAGTATCCACACTCATGAGAGTCGAGATGCGTCCATTAGGCCATCCCATACCATTCTCGAGATCACCATTTTTCTTTGATCTTTTGATCTTCGAATTTGCGTTGGTGTCTGCATTCTTCTTTTCGTTGAATCCAGGGGCCCCAGCATGTGAGATTCCACCTGCTTTGGCACGGCTAGAGATTGTCATGGCCTTTTCATAGATCATACCAGTAAGCACACCGCGACTCTGACCACCAAGCATCATGCCCTGATAGAGGAAGTGGCTGGCAGCCACACTTTGAATGATCTGCATCGCGGTGACTCCAACAACGAGTCCAATGCCATGTGACATTGGTGGCGTGGCCTGGTGTGGTTTAGCTTCGTAAACATCCGTGGCGAACTGAATGAGATATCGGAGGACAAAAGGAGCCAGAATCTGAAGAGTAGAGTAGATCAAGGCGCAAAAGCCGCTGAACCAGAACTCGAATTTGAAAGTCTCATGCAAGGCACCAAGGAGAGGACTTTTCGTTCCGGCCGTCACTCGCTGTTGAAATGCAGCGTCGAACTTTTGGGTCAGAGGGCCAACCGCTCTGTTCGGATTCACTTTCCAAATGTCGCGTTCCTCAAGGAGACGTTTATAGCCAGTCTGGGCTGATGGTTAGCACCGATTCGTAGGCCTCTCTGAATAGGGTGCGGGGGTAGAACTTACGACCATCATTGGCGTGATCCAATCAAAGGTCAATAGGCTGAGAAATCCAACCTTAGACTTGGGTGATACAATAGGTTCGTCCGGTATGGGTGGGATGCCGCCCCATCGCAATGGATTTGGAGTTCTGTACCATGGCTTAACCGGTGGTTGAGTCACTCTTCCATTGATAGAAGAGGTTGCAGTAGACTCCTTGCTCTGGTTGGTCATTGCCGCAACTAAAAATTGGAACAAATGACTCCAATATAAATTACCAGAGCACGGACAGCATGAAAACCAAGGATGCGGTATACCGATACCGAAGAAAAAAAGGAAGTGAGACAGAGGGAAAGGGGCAGGGGAGCTGGTATCTTATACCTGCGAGATAGCAGTAACTACTACTACTACTATTACTAGTTGGGCCTTGTCACGCAACCACCCTCCAATCGCATGAAAGCCATGGCAGCTCACAAAGAGACCACATACAATCTACATAAAATTTACCCATATTGGGGAGAAGAACCCTCCCCCCCCCCCCCCCCCCCCTCCTTATACATCTTCTGTCCTCTATCCAGCAGAGTCAACCCACCGCTGACTGCTAAATAGTCAAATATTTAGACACTGCACCCAAAAGGATCCATGCTGTAACAATGGCGCTATTTGCATTCTAGGTACGCCCTACTCTTCCATTACCACACGAGTCTCGACCCGTATGTTCAAAATCCAGAGAACCCCAAATGCCGAGCTTAAGATCGGAACCAATATTTAACCCCAAAAAATGGAGGCAAATGGTATCTCACAAGAAACTCATCTTAATAAAGAAAGGGAGTCCCATCCATGTATTTATTTCGCCCATTGCAGGGCCCCAAGAGCGAGCATCACAAGAACTAAAGTGGAAGGCAGAAGCCTTTTCTTCATGTCAGCAATTGCTCGTTGTTTTAGCGCAAGGAGAAGATCGGGCTTACCAAATGGCGTAGCTATGGAAGAGAATCCTATCCATAGTTTTCTCGAAAGCGTTATTTACCTGACAGATCTGAGCAAGTTGGAGAGCGGTCGGAGCTCCGGAGAGCAAAAAGCATATAATGACGAAGATAGGGTCTTCAAGGATGACAAAATCGAGGTATTTAACCATCATCAACATGATGGGGGCCAGGACCACCGTAGGGATTACCATGCGGCTCACCAGAGAAGCAATGAGCAATCTGGTTCCTATTTTATCCTCTTCAGGGTCGAAATCTTCTTCCTCTTCAGGAGTTGCGTTACGACCCAAGTTGGCACCAAGGCCAATGAGCATCAGGGGGACAGCCACGTTCCCAATGGATTGAATGGCACTGGTAACGCTGTTCTTGATGAATTCTACTTCGAAAAGCGCTCTTTGCAGGCCAGGGAAAGAAGACACGAGAACAGCAATTAACATGGCCCACAGAGGAGGATTCATGACCTCCAAGAGGAAGTTTATTGTCTTGTCCCAGAAGGGTTTGGACCATCTCTCAGTGGCCTGGATGGGGCCAGGCAATTTTTGGTAGAGACGGACGAATACGCCGGCGACAGAAATTCTGGAACCCTTCAGTCTGCTCTTAATACTGTAATTGACGCGAGCCAACAAGCCTTTAACCTCCTCCTGTGACGCTGCTGCTAGGCCATCGTCACTGCTGGTTCGAGCGAGCAAGCCTCGCGAATCATCGTGTCCATTGAGCGTTGAATAGCTCAAAGGTCGATGACTAAAGGATTTCTTGTTGGGTAACTCTTCCACTCCAGCTGGAATGGACAATTGGGAATGTCCAGTAACAGGCGTACTACCCGCAGGCTCATGGCCCTGTGAATATGAACTGTGGCCCTCGTCGGTACCGCTATCGCTTCCGTAGACGTCGATGAGAGGTCCCGTCTCGTATTCGTTGTTTTCCGGTTCGTCTCGATAGTTTTGACCTTCCTCCGCATTCTGTTCCTGGTACTCGGGATACTTGTGCTTGGGTGCCAGTAAGACGTGATAGCCCCAGCTCCAGCGAAGCAGATTGCTGAGCTGCTGAAAGATTACAATGTAAAAGATACCCCGAGCAGCGACCTCGTCATCGTTATCCCCTGGGATCCGATCCCAGTGAAGGCCCTTGAGTGTCCGAGATAGCGACAGGACTAGTGGTGGAGGTAGCGAATTGGAGTTGGCGAACACGCTCATGGCAGTAATGAAATTGGACGCTCGATGGCCGAAACGAAAGGCCTTGGAAACACCGCGAGCGGCAAGCAACGATACCAGGAGCTGAACGATGAATATGACGGGGATAATAGCAAGATCAAGAACGTTGGCAGTGTTGAGCTGTGAGGCGAGCATCGTGAAAACTAACGTGGGGTATTAGCATTCTTCAATGTGCTAGAGATGGGGTAGACGCAATTCCAACATACTCAGACATGGCGTGAACAGCATGATATTCAAATTGGAGAGAAACTTTCGTTTCTCCGCGTCAAAGAGCCGAAGGCGTGCGAGAATATAGCCCGCCAGGGTTATCATGATGACCTCCGACACGGCCAGGATAACAAGAAGACATAACTGCCCTAGCGAAGAGTTTGACTCCTGTCCCCTCTCAAGCCCGCCAAATGGAGGATCATAGGCCTTTTGGGCAAGTTGAGTTAGCCGGAGAGACATTGGCCTCGTCAAGGAGCCTCTGGACCACATCATCAAAAGCAAAATGAGAATGTGATGATTACCCGCAGTCGCTGGTAGAGAGATGTAAGGCTCCAACTTCGACGTTTTTTATAAGACACTGTCTATGTATTTCTGAGGCCGACGCGTTTCGTTAATGGACACGTAGTGAGACAGCGGCTGATTGACAAAACAAAATGACCTCGGGATAGAAAAATGAAAAAGGACCCTGTGAGTTCATGTCAAAGTGGGTGAATTTTTTCAAGATAAGAGATGATGTGCGCACCTATAGAAGATAGGTCATGATACATTAAGATCTGTTGAAACTGATAATAGATCGTTCTAAAACTGTATTGGAAATGTAGATCAATTTGACGTTGCCCCCAATCGGGTAAATTACATGTACCATCATGGATGTACTGTGATACAGCTTGTGAGGCCCGGGGGCCAGGGCCTGCAAAAGCCACTCAGCCTCGTACTTTGTGAGTGGATTAGAACAGTGCCCCGAGATGTGAGATGTAAGCAGATCTGCACATCAGATCCATGTCTATCACAAGGCTCCAATTTAGGTTGCTAATCACGTATTTCCGGATATGAATCACGTTATAAGACTGAGGGGCTAAAGGATCATGATCCAGGTGTCTTCATTACCCCGCCCTTAACGCCTGTATTGAGGCTATACCACTTCACTTTTAGCTGTAATTAAAAGAGGGATCAAGATCCACATGGGCCGGGCCGCCGCTTCGATCCGAGGCGGGACTGTATTAAACTGTATTAAATTCCTAATCGCGTCTTTAGGGGTATCAATCACATCTTATGCGGCTAAGGGGGGAAGGATTAAAATTGCCTTACCCTACTCTCAAATATCTAATTTTGAGGCTGTATTACGCGTCGTATGTATATGTTAAGATGTTGAGGCCCCACTCTTATCTGTAATTAAAAAGCGTATTAGTTATGTATCTATATTTGACCAGTACAGATACCGGCGCACTGACCAATAAACAGACCCACCAGAACCACGCCTAAAATTAGGCTTACTGGCTAGGGAGATAAAGAGATATCTACCTACGTTAGAAGACCGAGTGGAGCTTTGAAATATGCAGGTGAGGGCTAGGTAGCATTGCAGGTTCTGAATTGCGTCTTAAAAGTTATTGATCACGTCTTATTAGATTAAAGAACGATCAGAGGAAAGCCAGCATGGATCTTCAAACTGAACTGTATAATTGATTATCCATGTTAATCTCGAGATACATTTCAAATACCGAGGTATGTAATGGTAATTTTATGCAAATTCTAAAGGCGAGGCTTTTTCCTATCCCTCTAAACAAACTTGCTTCTGTTTGATCTCCTCAGAAGCAACCTTACCTCAAAGCACAGTGTTCATCAATACAGAAGCAGTTGGTCCTCCGACTCATCAGCAGCTGTCACCATGATAAATGAAAAGCCGCCGATACTACCTGGCTACACAGTCCCAAAAAAGCCATCCGCTTCGCCGCTCCGACAGGCGATACGTCTGGTACTCGCGCTTATGGTCTGCTATACTGTCTATAAAGTTCCAACACTTCCAATGATAAAAGAAAGCCTGAGCCAGCCGCCCGCGATAGGGAAGGTACCGTTAGAGGTCCATATTATAGCCAAGTGTGGCAACGCAAAAGTTTGAGCTCCTTCAACAACCTTTTCTATAATTGAACTGATTGACGGATTCCTAACGCGAAATCGAATGTAGGTTGCTTTAACCGAGCTGGTCCTTCCTACCATTGAGCGTGTGCACGACAAAGTCGACTTCAAGCTGAGCTATATTGCAAAGTGAGCGCTATTTAACAATTCATAAACGATGCCTCAAGTTGCATTCTGACGCTGTTCCCTTCATCTTCTCCCAGGTCACTTGTCGACGGTGAAGTCGAATGCAAGCACGGCCCTGAGGAATGCGAAGCTAGTATATTCGAGCTTTGTGCGCAAGACTTGTACTCAGACCCTTGACCAGGGTCGGCTTTGTCGAGTGTTTAACTGCCGACTTCGAGCGAATTCCCGACCGCGCATTCTACGAAGATTGCGCTGCGAAGCATTCCATCAATCTTGACGAGGTCGATCGTTGTGTTGGCAGAGATGGGGGAGAATACGGCTATAGGCTACTTCGGGATAGCGTTCAACATTCTATCGATGTAAGTGAAAGAAAATTGCCCGATCTTATTTCTGACGACGAGTATCGGATCTATTGCTGTTTATTTATCACGTATGAACTGACATCCCTGGCTGAAAAGGTGGGGGCGCGAATCAGTGGCACCATTCGATTGAACGAGGAAATCTATTGCATCCGAGATAAGGGCTTTTGGAGAGACTGTCCAAACGGTGGTAATGTTGGCAATCTCGTCAACGCCATCGAACATTCGTATAATGTAGGAACCGAGCTGTGATAATTTGTTGGCGATATTGCACCTTGGTGAATCGTGATGAATGAATTGGCATAATCTGGGGTTTGATATAGAAGCATAGATATTCATGCTAGCACATAGCTATGCTATGAAATTTAAAGGAAGGGGTGTGTTTAGGACTGTCTACGCTACTACTGTTGCTGGTATACTGTCGGATCTCTACTTGGTCTTGTTCCCTGTTGCCGGTATACTCCGTACCCTGTCCACAGAAAAGAGTCTTTGATGAACATGCACATCAGAGAAAGGAAGATAGTCTCGATATGCAATCTAACAATATCTTAACATCTGAGTGGGATGCGGGGATAGAAGAGAGAAATAAGCAAGAAATTCTGGCCACTCACAAATGAAGAGTTACGTCACCTCATCAGTCTTTAGCCATGCCCGAGGGCCAAGAATTGTAATTCATCATAATGCATTTTTATCGTTCTAACTAAGAATGAATGACTTTGCTCTAACCAGGGTGAAATCAAGCCTTCTTCTTGACAAGCACACCTTGGATCCTAGGCAGCAAACTAAACGGTTCTTCAGGTTCTTCGATTTCATGTGGATTTTCCCACTCTCCAACATTGAGAATGTCCGCCAATACATTCCGGGTCAAATGACATCCGATAAACGTACTCCAGGTAGGGTTCCAGCAAGCTAAGGCAAGGTTTCTTTATGTTAGCCAGTTTAGACCACACATCGGTCCCTCCACCAGAGGTAAACATACCTTGCGCTATAGTTGTCAAATGGTCTCTACTCCATCCATGTTCCCAGAATATAAACTTGCCTCCAGGCTTGAGGAGCTTGAACACCTCCTTCATCACGTTCTTCGGATCCTTTACAGAACACAGGACCTGGATACATAATACAGAATCCAAACTCCCCTCCGTGACCCCCTCTTCTCTCAAAATATCGCTGTCTTCAATGCCACAAGCTATAAGCTTATACTTATCCCGCAGACCATGCTTATGTAAGTTGGCATCTATATCGTCTTTGAAGTAGCGATTGGGCTCGACACCATATATGTGTTCGACACGAGAGGTGTCATAACGATGAATCTGATTACCCGGCCCGGGGCCAAGTTCAAGAATAATGCCATCAGCAGCTTGCAAAAGTGAAGGAATAATGGTTGTGTCTTCATAGGCAATAAAATTGCTGGCTATATATACTTGTCAGTCTACTCTGGATATAAGTTTGGCAAGGGAGGATATATGTGGGTGAGAAGGGTTACGTTACATGTTATACTAAAAAGCCTTGCTGAAGCGGCATCTCGAATTTGCCGTGGGCGGCTAAGAGCTGCGAGACCATGTCGACGAACTGCCTGTGTCAAAGCTTCCCAGTGCACTACGGAGAAGAGATGGTCAGTAGAGGGTTGTGGAAATGAGTGGCAGGGGTGACACCATTTGAAGACTTACGGCAAATAGAGAACCATATCAGGCCCCATGGACGAAGAATGGAAGCAAGGCGGCCAGGTTTAGGGGGGCATGGTTATTTCCGTGAGAGCTTAAATGATGTCGAAACGTATTTGAAAAAAAAACCAAAAATGGGAGGGAGGGAGGAGGGGTGGGCAGGTCAAGACTTTTGTGGAAGTGATATGAAATATGTGTACGAAATATGTGTTGGGGAGAAACCAGAAGTGGAATGTTGATGGGTGAGTCCCGAGGTCGCTTGAGCGTCACAGTCAGCAGTCCATACTAGTTTAGCTCTAACTGGTTAGTTAGCCTCCAGTGCTAAAAAGCGGCCAAAAGTACCTATTCACAGTAGAGCGCGTCGGATAGAATGAGGGGCAAAGGAGGCTTGCTTGCGCCTCGATGATCTGCTAAGGAGGGCCTATGGCGCAATTCCAATTTCCACCTATTACAGTGTAACATGTATATAAACAGTGAAACGGTACTACTAGTATTCTAATGAATACTCGAACACGTGCCATGTTGAATTCATTTACCCCGATATCAAACTGGGATATCACCCTCCCTAGGCCCTAAACAGGAACCTTGGTTTTTGTTATGGTCTATGTTGTAGTGGAATAAAGCTGTATTTTATTCCAACGCTCGAGAAAAAGCGTATCTATTCTAGCGCACAACGCAGTGGGTCTACCCGCTGCCTATAGGCCAATTAGAAAGCAGACCCTAGAACCACAGTCTCTACAACATAGAACATCGAACTGGACTGAAGACAAGGGAGATTTACTTAAGACTATGTGCTCACGATAAGGAGGATACCACAACACTTGAAGCAGGTTTTCGGGATATGTTCAGAGGCAGCCATAGTATTTGCAGACATTAGAAAAACATTGACTGAACCGTTACCCAAGATGACCTTGATCTTATCGACATTGCGAGGACGAAAGTAGAGACCTGAATTTCTGGGAGCCATGGCCTGATGGGCAGGATCAGCACAGCCGGTGATATGATTGGCATCAGTTTCAGTGGTTGGAGAAATTTCAAACAGGGCAATAATCCGAGCTAACAGAATATACATCTCGCGATTTGCGAGAGTATAGCCGGCACACATCCGGTAACCTAGGCCGTAGCTGAAAATGGGCAACTCTGGGTGCTTAAGCCACCTTTCGGGACAGAAGGTTTCAGGATCTTCAAACACCTTGGGGTCTAAAGGAGAATGATTGATAAAAAGTTAGGATACACTTGATTCCCGTACGCAGGCGAGGAGAGATAGTAGTACTTACCCATATTGCACGCAAACGTATTTAACATGACTGTAGTACCCTCAGGGATGACTTTGCCTTCGTATTGAAATGGTTGCACTGTTAGCCGGGGAAGTGCTAATCTGGAAGGAGTGTAGTATCTGCGAATGGTTAACATAAGCACTTCACTTTCATAGCTGAATATCTGGGAAAAGGCAAGACAGACCTCAAAGATTCACGAACTAAAGCAGATATATAGGGAATATCTTCCTTATCCGCTAAACATGCTTCAAAGAGCTGTTCATCGTTTGCATAGACCTCCCTTATTGCCTTGTATGCGGTGTCCTGAATATCTGGCCGTTTTGCAAGAAGTGTCAAGCTCCAGTGTATTGTGCTGCTTGCCGTTGCTAATCCACCAGACAGGAAAGTCAACAGCACCGTGGAGAGCTCTTGAACTGGGAGTGGATGCGCGCTTGCCATATTCTTCGCGTAGAGACAATCTTCGTGAGTTCCAGCCTGAAGTTTGGCTTCGATCTCTTGATTCAGCTTAAGAACATATGCATCACGGCGCTTGCGTAGCTCTACCGCTTTACTGTAGTACGAATTCAATGGCCACACACGAAAGAAGGAAATATAGTCCTGGAGGTTGTCTGTCATGCTTCTGTACTTGAGAATTTCGTCTTCAACGTCGATAATGTCGTGGGTAAGAGGGTCGCCAAGGTATACTCGCCGACCATAACAGATCGAAAGTGAAAGGCTTAGTGTAAGCCTTTTGATAGGCTTCGAGACCAGCATCGGATTCTGGCCTTCGCTCCCGTAAATCAGAATTTCTTGGAGGAGATGCCGAGTTTCAAGGTCAATTTTGTCCAGGTTTGCCTTAACAGCGGGTTTGCTTAGCTCCGCTGCTGTGGTCTTTCGGCCTTTCTTGAGAGCATCTCCATACCCGGCGGTGCCAATGGTTGGACCTAGTGTACCAGCGATGATCTAATAATCCTAGTGATTAGACTTTAAAATAACACAATAGGTGGTATCCGAGATGGTTAGCCAACGTACATTGTGGAACGTGTGAAAAACAGGTCTAGATGAGAGTGCTGTAGCACTTCCTGCAAATATTTCCTTTGCTGCTGCTGCGGAATTGACCACAAGCGTCGTCAGGGAGCCAAATTGCACTTGAACAACGTCCCCGTGCACTTTTGCCCACTCGAAAATCTGCCTCTCGGCATGACAGTGGTATATGGAAGCGAGATTACCGATGATAGGCCAAGCAGGTGGACCCGGAAACTGGCGGACTGACTTGCGTCTAAGCAAAAAAGCACAAAGTATTGTTACCAAGCATGCCAATAGCTGTCGAAAATGGATGGTGGCAGAGTCTGAGATATTGATTCGTTGCAAGAAAGGTAAAGGTTGATCTGAAAACTCCATGATTGTTGGCAACTCTGGCCATGGATAAAGCTGAGAGATATGTGAGACTATGCTGGAGCCGCCCTGTACGTTTTTATATAGCCCATAATGGCCGTTAGTAATAGCAGGGTCATGAATTGTCTAGAAAATGGCATACACTGCCTAGTTCCGAAAAAGAAATCTCCATTACAGTAATGCGAAGGCCTGTGTTAGCGTATACCGACAACTGAAACTTTCCGAAAGCTAAACGCGGTATAGAGTACTCCGTGTACACATAACGTAACGTCCAAACCGGTTCCTACTTTGTCAGATAGCCTGCACCGGTTAGTCGGACGTGTTTCTTTAGCTAAAAGAATTTACTGTGGTATGGGCCATGTGTATTGCAAAGTCCCCAGCAAGGCAAGCTAGTATGGATGCTCGGCCGAGATGTTTAATACTTGAGGTCGTCTATGGTCAGTTGAGTGTTTAAACCATAATACGAATATACGTATCTACAATCTAACATAGTAAATGTATCTGGTTTGTTCTTTTTTGTTATTATCGATAAGCCAAGTTTTGTGGTGAAGAACCCGCCCTAAGGGATGACGTGTATTTCTTTAATTAGGTATAGGGGCCTGCTTTCAGCCTCGGTTACGGTAGGTCTCTTTTACTGGTCAGTGTGCTGGTATTTTTGCTAGTACAATATAATTAACTGATATGCTTTGAAATTTCAGCTAAAGCAGATTAGTATATCATGGGAACAGAGATTAAAGTCAAGGTAGATCCAGATCCTTCAGCCCCTTAGCCGCATAAGATGTGATCAATAACCCCAAAGACGTGATTAGGAACCTAACGGATCAAGGCTGCGGCCCGGCCCACGGGATCTTGATCCTTCTTTTAATTACAGCTGAAAGTGGAGTGAGTGATGTAGTATCAGAACAGACAAGAAGTCAATCACGTAGATACGTAAGCAACCTAAAGTGGAGGCTTAGGATAGAGATGGATCTTGATCCATGTATAGAGGGCACCTTAGCCTAATAAGAGGAATAAGTAGCCCCAAACGCGTGGTCGATAACTCGAGATATGGCCTAACAGACTATAGAGGGCCAAGGAGGCCATAGCGTGGCTAGATGAGACTATTTCTAAGACGGCCGCATATGCACTATAAAGCTTCTTGCGTGTTATATTACACTAGTGTGTACATGAGTATGTTGCCGTACTGTACTTGCAGGTGGGTATTGGTAATACGTGCTAAATTGACAGGTCACGGTAGCTTCCGTTGTAATAATCCTTCCCTATCATTCATCCAGCAACCACCAAACCAGCAGCTAGACCACTAGAATCTTAGCCACCGGGCACGTTAATCACCAATTGTTCCGCGCGTCCGACACGTCAGCCGTTTGTTTGATTCCGTCCCCCTCACTTGTACGCTTTGCATGAATTCCGAGCCCAGCGACAGCTTCGTAAACAGGTTGAATTCTTATCAATTGCTTTTTTTTATCCCTGCATAGAATTTCAGGATCCCTGCTACACCGATGGAGGGCATGCATCAGATCCAATGTATTACAGAAACAAAAGCTGGGATGGCACATGTTTGGCTGGCATTCAAAGGCAACCTAGCAGTAAACATTGGGCATCCAAACATAGAAAGTAGAGCCCAGTGGCTAGAGAGTCCTACTGCTATAGAATCATCGCTCGTCTCGATTCAGCGTTGAATGAAGGGTGTGCTGCCTCATAAGCGAGGCACACACCAACCCAGCAATCACCATCCCTAGCAGTGCAAGGAAGACTGCATGAAATGCGTCCATGAAAGATTTAATAACTCCCTCGTACCATCCGTCTGGCAGGTGTTTCAGCTCCATGATGTCGTTGCGGATGCGAGCAATCTCCTTCGCTGAGTCGGGGTAGTTTCCGAACCTATCCCACAACCTTTTGCTCAAGACATTTTGGTAGACCGCGGAGCTGATGGTGATTCCGAGAGCACTTCCAACGCTTCGGCCCATATCTGTGGTTTATGTCAGTGGGCAAACGTTACAGGAAAAGAGGATAAATAAAAAGAAATAGACAAAGGAAAAGAAAACCCACAAGTGGCAGAGGTGACAACAGCCTGGTGAGCATGCTCAACAGCAGCAATGCAAGCTAGTAGAGTAGTTGTCAGCAAGGACCCGTAACCACTTCCAACGAGGAAGAAGGCAATGGGTGTCAACAAGGAAGGTGTGTTTTTGTCGTGGAATGCAAAAGTGATGACACCAGAGGTCATGACAATCCCACTGACAACACCCAGTCTAGTGTATTTTCCTGTCTTGTTCATAATCATACCAGCCCCAATAGAGCCGCAGGAACCTCCCACAGGAGAAGAAGAAAGAATAAGAAGACCAGCGTTTGTTGCGCTATGTCCGCGAATCTGGAGATACAAGGGGATATAGAACAGCGCAGAAAGAATGACCATGGCGCAGAAAAAATTGGACAAGCAAGCAGCTAGCACGGTTCGTTTCGCCAGAAGCCTGACTGGGATAATAGGTTGGGCAGTCCTTGACTCCCACCAAAGGAATGCGAAAAAGGCAACAATGGACAGGGGGATGGTAGTGAGCGGTAGTGGGTGAGTCCAGGGAACATTGGTTCCCCCGGTAGTTAAGCCCACGAGAAGCAGAACAAGGAAAGAGACTATCAGGGAGACCCCGAGAAAATCTATACGCGCAATGTAGGCTTTGTGGGACTGTTTTGGCGGAATCCTTACAAAGAAATAAACACCAACAGCGGATAGAAGAGTGGGAGGAGCTTGAATGATGAAAGCAAGTCTCCAGCCAAGCTTGGTCTGGTCGTTGAGAAGACCACCAATCACGCCACCCAACATGGCTCCTGAACCAAAGCATACATTTAGGATTCCTTGAACGACACCTCTTTTTCTCAATGGAATCAAATCCGAGCTTAAGAATGTAGCGATGCTCATGAGTCCACCGCCACCAATTCCCGCAATGACTCTACCGAGGATGATCTGGGATTCGTTGGTAGCAAACCCACAAATAAGATTGCCTGCAGCAAAGAAGATATTACTGAATATCAAGCCAGGTCCACGACCAAAAATATCCGTCAGGCGACCAGATATTGGCTGACAGACAGCATTGGATATGAGATATGCTGTGGCCAGCCATGATAGCAAGCTGAGAGACTGGAACTCGCTGGAGATGGGCGCGCTGAGGGTGGCAATGATGGTAGAATCGACAGCCCCCAGAAATACACCCACCCAAGCTGTTGAAAAGATAATGGCAAGCTTATGAAAAGGCAGCTCTTTGGCTGTGACAGCTGTATCCTCTTCTTGCGGATCTGAGTCATTTGATTGGAGGTGATTCCCACTTTCGTTGGGCTTGAGAAGTGAAGTGCGTTCGTTTGCTGCGTCTCCCGGGATGTCTGGATTTGATGAAGATCCGTTTGGGAGGACGAGAGAAATCCTTGAATGTGCCATTTTCTTGGTCGAGGGAATAATCAAACAGAAAGAGAGAATGTGGTGTGCGGTCTTTGCTTAGCTCTTTGACCTTCCTTCCAGTGAAGTAAGTATGTGGACTCCGTTTTTAAAATGATAACCAGCAAATAACCAGCTCTACAAGATAGATTCCGACATGTGATTAGGAAAGTACCTCATCAATGGAGCAGGAGGAAACACCCACAGTAAACCTAGCATCAAGACCTTAATTACATTACATACACGCTGTTGTAGATAAACATAATGAAATGCTATCTTTGCGCGGGAACGCTGGAGGTTCAGGCATCCATCTGCAGCGCAGGGACCCGCCCTAGGGAAAGTAAGCACTAAGGCATGGTTCGCAATGTCGATCGTGGGCATGATTTTTGGTTTTCCGAGATATGCTAATTATGCAGTAAGAATTTAGTTGCTTCAAAGTTACCTCACATATATTTCCCGAGGTCGGGCATGTTCCGAGCTCCTTGACAAAAGGACCTGCTTTGATACTTATGTTGTAGTTGCTATGCACACTTACGCCAAGAATGTTAACTCAATTAAATTGGTATCTTTGGAAAACTCCTGGTAAAAGAAAATGTACTATGATACTGGCAGCGAGGCCGTAAGTATTACAAAAAGCCACTAGTAAAGAACCTTGGAAGGTTCAAATGTTACCTACCTAGGTAGTATCAATTGATAGGTCCCTAAGTTGTATTGTTATATTACCCACAGGAAAAAAGGCAGAACAGAAAAAAGAAAAGAATAACCGAAAAACAAAATAGCCTACCGTTAGAAATGAAAATATTTCAGAAAGCTCGAAGGCATTGACTCAGCTATTGGATATTTAATGATGAGGGCTCATATCAAGAACGCTCATTTACAAGTCTGTCCACTGTCCCTCGGGCCATACCAATGCTTTGACAATCCTGCCAGAATGAGTCCTTCGGTCTGTCGAGCCTATACTTTGACCCTGCCAACAAAGCTTTGTATTCGAAATCGTCGTGAAACGAATACGATTGCTACTGGAGCAGTTATTGGAATCCTCTCCTCTACTGGGTCTACTTACGCGCCCCCGCTTGCAGTCCCTCATATGAAAGCCCCGACAATTGAACACTCAACAACGACAAACCATGTCCATCAGATCCACAAGGAACTCCGGCAACATGGCTTACTGAAGGTCAGCCTGGGCTTTCCGGACCCAGGGAGCCAGTATCTTAAGCAACTAGTTCTCAGTCTCCATCGGCACTGCCGCCATCAACTTCCCATCTCACATAGTGCTTCGTGTGGATGGCTGTGGGACGTTCGCCCAGAAAGTGTTTCTTTCCAGACAGCCAATCACCGCGCAAGATCCGAAACAATGGATGAATTCCCCTGGCATACCGACTGCAGCTATGAAGAATTGCCTCCACGATACTTTGCCCTTCAAGTTATGCAGCACGATAGATTTGGTGGAGGTACACTGTCAGCCATGAACATCCAGGGGCTGAATCAGTCTCTATCCCCATCTACCCAGGCATCGTTGATGCGACTGGAGTACAGTATCGACACTCCCAGGGAGTTTTGCAAGGATCCAACGAAGCAACATATTATAGGAAATTTGATGGCCATTGATCCAGAAACCCAATCCTGTATGATGCGGTTTAGAAGAGACATCGTGAAACCGTTGACGGAAAGGGCTTCAAAGGCACTCAAAGAACTGGATGCATGCTTACAGACTACGGGAAGGACGGCGGAGTCAGAGTCACCGTCAACAGTACACCTCAACTCTGCTGATCTTCCCACGGGGACCATTATTATAATGGATAATCGGCGTTGGTTACATGCTCGTAATGATGTCAAGGATCCAAAGCGTCACCTACGTCGCCTGCGTTGGGATGCCATTCCGTTTCCTCGAGGAGTGGAGTAGAACGGAGAAATTAGTTACCTGTTGAATGTTATTGGAAATCACGAGTAGCGTTGATGATTGAAGTAATTCACTACCTCGTCGCCATATTTAAAGTGAAAATGATATCACACCAAGCACGTTTATTCTTGATAAGATACTAAAGCCATTTACCCTCAAGATTTTTTCCGATCGTACTCCAGGGCTCCTGGATCATGTGATGTAAGGATGACCTGAGCAGCTTAGAACTAAAACACTCGATTCTTTTATTACTGGAGTAATGAATATACTAAAAGATGAGTTGGGAAGACTTGTGCTTGTAAATATATGCGAATGGAAACATGCACTCAAGACGGGTTGCGGGCGATTCCGTGGTGAGTTACGTCAACTGGTTATTCAATGTTTTCTCTGTAATATCCTAGTTAGATGTGTATTTTATGTTGCTGACCCGATCGCTACCATCTGTCACTAGTTGCTTTTTATTAGCGGATTAGCACTACCTTATGCCCCCCCTATGCCCACGAATATATAATAAGTCACCGACTTCTCTTGCTGCGGAGCCAAAAAAAAGTGTCCCCATTCGACCATTATCCACTAGAGCCTGATTTTTATCTTGGTTCTCGTACAATGGACGAATCTAGCCCCCTTCTGCAGAACCAGTCACACTCCCTGTCGCAAAAACGTCTCTTGGTCGTATTTCCTGCTATTGCTCTCATACAATTCACCTCCTTCCTTGACCAAACATCCATAGCGACAAGTCTAGCCGCTATAGCATCTTCCCTCAATACGGGTGCCTCTATATCTTTAGTCGGCGCCTCTTTTTCTCATTACCAGCACTGGTATCCAGCTGATCAATGGAAGACTGTCCGACATATTTGGCCGAAAGTCCTCGCTAGTCGCGGCCCTTTCGGTCATGGGGCTAGGCAACCTTTTGTCTGGCCTTTCTGGGACGCCGATACAGTTATTCGCGGCGAGAGCATTCACCGGCTTTGGTGCGGGAGCTATTAATGCGCTTGTTCAGATTGCCATTGCAGATATCACGACATTAGAGCAGCGCGGGTATTATTTCGGCATGGTTGGGGTAGCAACTGCGTTTGGAAACGGGCTCGGTCCTGTTATCGGGGGAGCTCTCACACAGAGAGCTGGATGGCAGTGGGCGTTCTGGTTCGTATGTCCCTTAATAATGGTGGCTATCTGCTATCTCGTGATGGTGTGGCCGGAATCTTCTTCCTCCGCGTATACAACGGACCGAGTCTGGAACAAGTTGAAACTGGTGGACTGGGCTGGAGCTCTGGCGAGTCTATTCGGGATTGCGATATTTTTGGTGGGTTAATCCAAAGCGTTGCTGAATATTCTCGCGTTAATGTTTTGAGTCAGATACCGATATCGCAAGGCGGAGCAAGCATGCCCTGGCCCTGGACCTCACCGGTGACCATCGGCATGCTCATCACTGGCGTCACGCTATTTCTCGTCTTCTTGATGGTCGAATGGCGGTTTGCGAAATTCCCCCTACTGCCAGCCCGACTATTCAGCTACGGCCGTTCCACAAACATTTTGATATCTATCAATGTCCTCATAGGCTGGATATACTGGGGTAATTTGTTCATCCTCCCACTGTACCTGCAACACGTTCGAGGAGCAAGCCCATCTGAGGCTGGAGTATTGCTGCTCCCTCTGGTCATTGCCCACGGACTTACCTCGGCCCTGACTGGTATTCTCATATCCATATTCGGGCACTATAAACCAATTCTTGTGACCGGAGCTGTTTGCTGGACACTGGGCGGAGTCGCGAAGTTTTATTATGACCAAGAGACCGCCATCTGGAGGATTGTCGTCGTTGGAATCCTTGATGGTGTAGGCGTTGGGTGTTCCTTGCAGCCTGGTAAGTGCTTTGACTTCCTTGTACTACTTTTCCATGCTATCCTTTGGCTCATAAAACCTTTCCCTAGTTCTTGTCGGCCTTTTAGCAGGGTCCGATACCAGCGATCGAGCGGTTTTGACAGGATTACGGAATTTCTTGAGAGATATGGGAGGAGCAACCAGTATTACAGGTAGGTATCTGGTTGAATGATATAACGGCTGCTATCCCACTCGCTCTGATTCTAACTAACGATCGTGTACTAGTTTCCGGCACTATCTTGAGAAACGTATTATATGCTCGATTAGGATCCTGGTTCAATCAAGAAACCATTGAGAAACTGATCTCATCAGGTTCTACATTGGGGAATTGGCAGCTTACGAAGGAAGAAAGAAGGTTGGTGTCTCAGGGGTACAATGAAGGGCTTCATGCAGTGTTTGCCTCATTTTTTGTGCTAATTGCCATTCATCTCTGTGCGTGCGTCTGTATTCGGGACTATGGTTTAAAACGTGATGAAGTTCAAGGCAAGCGGCAACAGCAAACTTGCGCACCCTAGTTATATATCTTGTGGACACCGCGCACCTACACTTAGATCCCCCCCTATCTGGCCACAGTCCTCTCGACAAAATATCTAATCTAGCAGCCCTGTCCATCGTCCCTGCTCGCATACCAGAGAGAATCTATTACCGCTCTTCTAAAAGCCTACCATAGGCCGAATGATACGAAGACCCTGAAACATGTTTCCTTCTTCCCGTCTGTTCATCATAAACATAGCAACCTTTCCTGGCTACATGAGGAGGTGTATACACTAGAATCATTAATATTAGTATATAGAGTAGGTGAAAATTGTCTTGACCTTGAGGTGAGGCTTACAATGAAGAGATACAGCGTAGTCGCTGCCTTTATTAGACATTCGATGCAGACCAAGCTCATCAGCCATGTATGCGACATCATTCTCGTTGTAGGTATTCTCCGAGATTCTGTTCAGAGAAGCTTGACAACGCCCCTTTTGTGGAAACGAGTATCGTGTCTCTGTCAAGCTGCCCCTGAGGATTTTCATCAAACAATGGGCGTTACCGTGGTCATGAACTGGACTGCCCTTACCCGGAGACCATACAAGCACAAGCTATATTGATTGACGCACCCATTCGTCAGCAAACGCATTGAAATCAAGTAGCTAGACTAAGAATATAGAATACGGTGCACGTACCAAATTGCTCTTGCCATCTGCCTCATCTATTAGGTTCCTTGTATAAGCTCTATCACCATCGGCGAAGGCGTACTTTGCCCAGTTATAATCCTCACAGCTGTTGTAAAGCTTCATTAAAGTCATCAATGAAGGTACGTCAGCATCCTCCAGCGTTAGGCCCGACGATGGGCCCAGTGTCTTTCTTAAAGAGGTAACGAGCTTTTCAAATGGATTTTTTTTCCAGCGATGCATCCGTAAGATTGACATCGAGAGAAATTGTTGTAGACGAGATCTCCATGACGGTAAATGGTTCCCGATTTGCAGGATTCCCGTAAAAGCTAGTAGGTAAATGAATGAGATAGAATGTGGATTTTTATTTCTGCAGAAAGTTGCCTATGCCGGACCTTAAGAATTATCATTTCGTTGTTATACTGCTATAGTGTATGCCTATCATATGATAGTAGTACTCCGTACTCCTTCACTAGTTGAAATGAAACAGATTGAGAGTCATGGAATGTACTGATACATACACAATGGTCAAGATCCGCCTTCTCTGCTCTTAAGCTGTATTTTATGTTCTTAGGCTGAACCATCGCATCTTTGGGCCGTTAATCACGTCTTCAGGGTTACTGATGGCGTTTTGGGGCCGAAGTGCTGCTGTTGGATCCTTAATTCCCTGCTCCTAGACTGATAACTGTAAGGACAAAAGAACCCATAAGCGCTAGTAACATGGAAACTATGGTATTTATGATCCACTTCTTTGAATTCTTTTTTTCCTTTTTCCCTCTAATTCAAAATGTAACATTTCACTGATTTGGAAATAGAAGTTTTTTGGATTACTAGATTTACTTAGGAATACGACGCGCGTTTACACCCTCGCCCCTCCGTACTAGTGCTTATGGCCCATTCTAGGGTAGATCGGAAATTTCTAACTGGTACAGGTTGCCTCGGCTCGATAGAGTAGTAGTCTACGGAGTGTTGTAGGCTGGCAAGCGGACTGGTTTACATACAGCCCCCAGTTTCGTAGACAAATCGGAAAGGCATCTTAAGGGTTTGTCATGCATTAAGATAAAGGTACTTATTTAAACGTGACAAGCCTCCTCAACATCTTGCGGAAAACAACAAGCCGACCTCGAAATGACAGAGAACGCCCCCCGTTTGCCCAACGACCCAATTCTTGCCAGGCTGCTTGAAGCCGCCCGCCGTGTACCGAATTCGGAGGTCATAATCAAAGACTTTGTCGGTTTCGAGAAGACGTACCCTGAAATCCTGAGTGATGTCTTGATCACGCGCGATCAGTTAAAATCCTTGTTGTCAGCCTCTAATTTCGACGCAAGAGGTCTCCTTCGTGACGAATCGGTATATATCACAGCTCTCACTCGAACTGGCTATGAATACGTTGTAGCCTTCTTTGCCGTCAGAGCTTTGGGAGGAGCTTACGTGCCACTGGGTGGGTAATCTACACCCAAACAAGGATAAAAAGAGAGAAAGTCTAATCCGAGACCCAGATCCTAGAGCAGGCGTCGAGAGACAGGCTTCTGTTCTCTCCAGGGCAAAGTCAAACTGTGTTTTGTTTGACCGCGGCTGCACTGCTGAGCTCGAACAACTACGTATCAATGCGAACAAGACCGATGGGAAGTCCTTGCTTGTGCTTCCTGTCGTATGCAACTCGCCTATTCTGCCAGGAATTGAGAATATCAGTATTGATGAAGACCTCTATTTGGACCCCAATGGTCCTGGGTTTGTGTGCATGACATCAGGCACTACTGGCTACTCCAAGGGTGTTGTAATCCGAAGGACATGCCTCACGTCTCACCCAGTATGGCTCACGTCTGAATCATCTGAACCGCTTGAGAAGCAAAGTGGCGCCCAGATCAATTACAACGAGAGCCACTGGCTCGGTGGTGCCAAGAACGTAATTGAAAGCATAGCCCTCGGCAAGAAAGTATTCGCCCTCGAATGCCCGGCTAGCTCTAAGGACGTGCTTGAGATCTTCCGCAACAATCGGATCACTTACTTTATTTTCAATCCAGCGCTTCTTCGGGGTATGAAGGACATCCTGCTGGATGACGAAGAATTCACAAAGGAAAGACAAGAGAAATTTTCAGCCTATTTCAAGGGGCTAGATTTCTTCTTGTGTATTGGGGGTCTGGTCGACCAACCGACGGTAAACTTTTGGGAAGCAGTCATTGGGCTTCCGCTCCAGAATCGATACGGGGCTAGCGAACTGACGGGGCTAGTGACATTGGGTTTGACGCAAACTTATGTGAGTAAATACTTCGAAGGTCTTTGTTCTCTACATAGTACTTGCTAATGTCTATTACCCAAGGGCTCCGTCGGAAAGCTTTTGCCTGGTATTGAGATGAAATTGTCTGAGGGCACGCACGGAAGATTGTCCATTAGGACTCCCGACAGATTTCTAGGGTGAGAGCATTGAACCGCTGCATGTTATTTAATATGTTCCAAGTTTTGAATTAACCGTCATTCAGTTATCTCGGTAATGAAGAAGCAACTCGCGCGGTATTCGATGAGGAAGGATACTATCGAACCGGAGATATGGCTGAGCTTAGAGACGGCGAGATAATTTTGCTTGGCCGCGAGCGGGATGACTGTAAGTATCTTCAAGGTCCACTTTTGCAGCGTTCTTTTGGAAAGCTTACTCTTCTTGCTTCTTCCAGATATTACTTTTGGTCAATCTCGAACCTCAGCTCTTAAGGTCGAACGTCACTTGATGGGACTGCCTTACATTGCTGAAGCCTGTGCTGTGGCCATCCCTGTGGAGGAAAACAAGCAGCTATGTGGTGCTGTTGTCAGACTCAAAGATGGTTCCAAGACGACGTTGGCCCGAATCAGAGCAGATCTTCAGGCCGATCTGGACGTCCTAATGCTGCCTACTGTTTTGCGACATCTGCCGCCTCATGAAGAATTACCACGGACAGCCACAGGCAAACCCATCAAAAGACAAGTCATTGAAGATTTCTTTTATGATGGTGACTGTGGCAGGGACTTTTTTGCTGTGGCTAACCCGCCACCTGATGTCGAGTTTTGGGGCATACCTATAGAAGCGTAGCCTCTACTTCGAAGTAACTTGAGTTTTCAACGCTCGAAGGGAAATACAACTCTCTTATATTTCTGGTTCATGATTTTTAAAACCGTTTCCTTGTACTCCAGCTCTATCTCCATCGGACTCCATGTCTCCCTTCCAAAACCACCGCGTAAAAACTCCGTTTTGACTATCTACAAAGCATTAAACGGTCTCATTCAGTCTTTTGGCCAACATTCCATCTAGAGAGCCATATGGGTCGGTGGCCTGTGCTTTCTCCCCATCACTGGGAAGGACAGAGAGTGCCGCCGTCATGGGGACTCGCTCAGGAGCAGGTGCTGAGAGATAACGGACTGCTCGGATCTTATGGACAGCCCTGAAAGACTATTCAATACTTGGGGTAAGCTTTACTGTGCTGGATCTGTCATTTGCAATAAGATATTTATCCACTTACTCGTAGCTGCTTGACCATGCCCTCAAGTGCTTTCCCTATAGCAATATCGTCCTCAGACTTCTCCGAGAGTAGTTTCCGGAAAGAATATCTTCGGATAGTCGCAGAGAAATCTCTCATATTTCTCGAGATATGCATCTTCAGTTCTTCATCTGAATGGTAGCGATCGATTCCCAGAAAGGCATCAACTGCCAGGAATAGCAGAATCTGGCTTCCGGATAGGCCTCCGTACTCGACAGGGGGATCGTCCGTTTCGAGTGTCAGTCCCCAGCTGTGAATTCCCGAGATATGCCTCACCCATATTGCGCGTGATACGTGGGGGTCGTTCATCTTCACATATAGATTTTGCATCACCTTGCGGAGGTTGATCAAAGCTGTCTCAATATGAGCAAGGCATAACTTCTTGTCGCGCCGTTCGAAGGCTATAATAGCTTGGATCATGGCGAAATAGACTGGAATAGCCTTTCATGTGTTAATGGCAAGTAGGCTCAGCTCAAGTACATGTGGAGGGCGCTTCACATACCATGACCTCCGAATCGTAAAATATGCGACTCCAGGCAAGCTCTGTACTTTTCACCGTATCTGACATTCCTTCGTTTACTGGATATACAATCTTTCCATGAGAGTCCAGGTTATAAACAGCGTTTGCCATAATATTCCCACTTGGAGATGTGATGTCAAATCTGCGCTGTATATATGACCATGGTATTTCTAACTCCATAGGGAAACAAAGTCTTTTTTCTTCTTGTGCAACTTTCACAACTGGGTTCGTTGCCCATCTGCGAGCAGAACCAGGCGTCATGTTAGCAAATTTCGATGATAAGGGTACCATGGTGTTTTGTTTTATTGAAGGGCTTTCTCTTTCTGACTTACCGATAAGCGTGGCGTAAGCACGCAATGCAAGAGTAGAATCCATTGTAAGCGTCTCGAGGGAAGTCATCCCAATTGCCGGACTGAACGGTTTCCAGGGCACTTCGAACTGCCTTTATATCCACCTTCTCTGCGAGCAAAGCTTGCATGCGAGAGCGAAACTCTTGACAGCGGACTTTATTACACTCATCATCAAGTGATGGGTTGGCATTCGCAAGAAATGGTGCCATGGCAGCATAAATCTGCCCGTAGATGCGCAGAGCCGCGGGAAATGCATCATGAGTAGCCCTTGGGGGCCATGACCCAGCACCTTCATCATTGATCAGTGCCATGAATGCCGAGTGGACATCATGCCGTATGTTCAGGGCTTTCACATCTTCTAGCGTAGCCTCCGGTGAACGGTGTTTGGTATTATACTGAAGGCGATAGCGCACGATCGCTACCAGAGCCAGAACGATCACGACGGTAGATAATGCGACAATCATTTTTCAGCAGCAGGGGAACAATTGCGACTCAGCAAACGCAAGCCCTTGTAGGCAGTCAATCATAAAAAGAAATAGCTCTGGGTAGAGATATAATGGCAGACAGGATAAGTAATGTATGTATGTAGCCTATTAAAAGAATATTTCGCATACCAGGTACGGACTCTCGGGATTTGTTACTAGTGCAGCGTTGGTAGTGTGGGGGCCGCGAGTATTGTAAAAACCACTAAAGAAAAATACGCCCTGTATTGATTGATCCGTAAATACCACGGTTTGTTATGACAGGCAGGTTCGATACTTGGTTTGTCAGGCTCCAGGGCTTCACATGTTGTTAGCTAATTAGTAGTACATTAGCCAGTCTCTCGCAGATAGAGAATTCAACCTTCTTCTCTCTCTCCCTTCTGGCCTCTGCCAGATCACATTTTTCTTCTCATATTACAACTTGTCGGCTTTTTCTCGCTTTTCTCTTCTTTGTCTGCAACGCACAATACAACCCGACATTTTCTAGCTGCGCGGACAGCCACCGCTATGATTTCGCAAAGGCAACATAGCTTAGAACCAGCACATGACTCCTCGGTTCACTATGTGCCAGATGAGAGTCTGCCATTGGACACAGAGTCTGCTGAACGAGCGCAGCTTCTGCCGAGGTCAGATCGAGAACCGTGCAGCCAGGACGAATCTGACGATGAAGACTATTACTCTACACGGAACGGATTCGCGGTCACGATTGCCATCAGTGTGTTGCTTATGATGGCCGACATCTGCAATGATATAGTCATGGTTCCACGGATGGCGATTTTTGAGGATATAATTTGCCGCGACTATTACGCAGGCATCGCGGCTGGGGCTGACTGCAAGATTGAACCAGTTCAGAGTGAATTGGCCTGCATCAATGGCTGGAAGAGAGCTTTCACTATGATCCCGGGTAAGTCGGAATTTTTGGAAAAAAAAAGGAATTGAGCTTCCCCTAGACTTGCTAATGCATCCGGCATAGGTTTGGCACTCTCAATTCCATACGGCGCTTTAGGGGACCGCATCGGACGCAGCAAAGTGCTATGTCTGGCGCTATGTGGAGTTCTGCTAAACGAAACTTGGACCGCAATAGTTTGTGCAATGCCTGAAGTCTTCCCTCTCAAGGCAATATGGTTCTCTGGGGTATTTACAATCCTCGGTGGGGGTCCGTCGACAGTCGTCTCCATGTGCTACGCAATCATTGGTGATGCGTGCCGTCCAAGCCAGCGGTAGGTCACCTAGGTATATCTCATTAGACATGATAAAGCTGACCAAATTTTACTAACTTAGGACAGCTGCCTTTTCTATGATTTATGCAGGCTTCCTTATTTCCGAAATGGTTTCTATTCCGGTGGGTGCTATATTCATAGCATTGAACCCGTGGATCCCAGTCCTAAGCGCCATAGGAATACGGCTTGGGTTCACCCTTTGTGCCATTGCTGTCACGGTCAAGTATAACTATAATGCAGAAAGGCGTAAGGACTCGCCTACTGATCATCAATTGTCACGCATTACGTCCTCCCCTTTGCCACAAGGAAATATACGATATCAATTCAACCGATGCATCATAGCTCTAGCTGGAGCTACTGAGTGGATTACGAGGGATGTTCTAAAATTGCTTCTTTGCTTTTTCCTGACCCAAGTAAGCCGGGAATCATCGGATATACTCCTTCAGTACTCTTCTCTAAAATTTAACTGGGACTATGCAAAGGTGATTTGCGATTCACTGCACATCTTACACCATATAAACACTTTACTAAAATTCAATTTTAATGTATAGGCATCTTATCTCATTGCATTAAGAGCCGGAGCTAATATGCTTGTGCTTTTCGCTATCATTCCTAGCATCTCACGATATCTCAGGCGGAGAAGAGTGCACTCGGCACAGGTTGACAAGCGTATCACTGTAGTCAGTGGAGTTGTGGTTGTCTTGGGATCTCTCTTCATTTTCTTCTCCTCAACACCGACATTTCTTATCTGCGGCCAAATCGTGATCGCTTTGGGTTTTGCGTTTACAGTGACAGCACGTAGCTTCTTGACTACGTTGGCACCGACGCGATACATGGGGGTTTTATCCACGAGCGTGTCGGTTGCATCACATGCTGGCATCGTTGTGGGAGGGCCATTACTGGCTTGGGCCTTCCAGATGGGTTTGGATCTTGGAAATATTTGGATTGGAATGCCGTTCTTGGTCAATGCGGTTTTCTTTGGGTTGGGAACAATAGCGGTGTTTCGTGCCAGGCCTGGTAACGATTATGAGTAGGAAGTTAAGCTTTCAAATTATGCAATAGGTATAGAGGATAGTATCGTATTGGAAAGAAGTATATTATGAGGAGAAACAGCCTGCCCGGCAGTATTTACAACACGAATCTGCAATTATTACTCGTCAATTTTGCGTTCAAAAACAGCGAGCTCCTTTTGACATGAGAGTCTGTCTTATCTCGCTCATAATACCGCGTGTTGCTTATCGAGCTCTTGCAAATGGTCCTCTAACAAATGACTCGAATTGTTTATTTTTTCCGCCAATATATCTCTCCATCTCTGCTGCAGTTAACACCCACCAGTCTGTGAATATAAGGTGGGAAAAATGACTCACCTGAGCGTTCTTCCAATCTCCTGCCTGTAAGCTCTTGCTAAGTCCAGGCATAGCAGGCGGCGAGTTGTGCCAGGCAGACGGCGAGAAAAGGACATGGTGATGGTCATTGTGTCCATCCAACCCCGGTTCGTAGTAAAATTGTCGTATCAATGCTATGTAAATTTTGTTTACATCACTAATCGCAGGGTTTCGTCCGCATCTGGCCCAGAGCTTCCACCAGGTGCACCGAGACTTTTTCAAGGATCCGGCATAGCTGTCAAAGCGGATGGCAGCTCTAGATAATCGCTTGACTGCATCAGTCATAGGGGTTATATCAACCTTCGAAGACCACAGGTCGCGGTCTGGGAGCTCGCCTAGCCACCCATGGAACGCCACCGCGTAATCTGTGACGCTCATTTTCAGCGGTCCAGGCTCTAGGAGGTGTGCCGCCATGAGGGACCATATCTTCGCACTAGTGACATGGTATTTCCATCCTGGGTCGCCAAATCGGTCCATCCATTCAAAGCTATCGAAGCCAGTATGATATGGGAAGGGAGGCTCCCCTAAAGCAGGTGAAAATCCAAAATCAAGTGTCGAAATGCAAGGGATAGACATGAAACGATTTGCATCGCCGCTGCCGGCAGGGGTGATCTCGCCTCCCCACACATCTCGCACTGACTGGCCAGCTGAAGTTTGATTCGGCGACAATATACTATTTGTTGCGGAAAGTATCGCTGAATAGAGGAGTGGACTGGCTTTGGCATGGAAATGGGTTCCGGATGCCGCAACAACGACGTTCAGATATGCCACCGTTGAGGCTCGCAACCAATTGAGATTTTGAGTAATCCAGAGTAGAGAGCCAATTTGGGCGAACTCTTCCCCTTCAAAACTTGCGAAGACAATCGTACGCTCTGGGCGCCAGCCCTGCTGAAGGGCTGCACCAAAGCTGCGAACGACCTCGTTCAATGCAGCGGATCCACTGCCAGGGTCTCCAGCACCAGGACCCCAGGCGTCACGATGATTGCCAAGGATGATCATCTCGTCGGACGTTTTACCAGTAATTGTGCCGATCACATTGTGGACTTGGGTGTCTCGAATATTCGCAGTGTTGATCAGGTGTAGAGAGAGCCCAGGAGGCGATGGCCCGACATTATAGTCAACACCATAATATTCCAAGCCTCCCTCTTCCCACCGATCTCCCATCTCTTTTGCTTGAGGCCCATGGTCGTTCAAAACTCTCAAAAGGTGAATTGCATCGACAGTGGAGATGGGTATACTAGGGATTCTAGGTAGTTCGCCCCTGAGGTAATCCGCTAGATGATATTGGTGAGTTACACTTGATCAATACAGGTATGAGGAGAGGGATCATTTGCTTACCAATATTACCAAAGCCTCCTCTTTCAATTGCTTCTAGCGGTCGCGCTGGTCCAGCAGGAAAAGGCTTGTATCCGTTGCCTTCAGTCATACTACCATCATTTTGGGGATCAGTGTATAAAACCACACCAATCATCCCCGCTCTTTCTGCATTAGCGACAGAGAGGGAACGGAATATCGACAAGTGCTTCTGGCGTACGTATGGCGATGCATTGCCCAACTTGATAATGCCAATATTTCCTTTGAGGCTAACGTTACGTTGGGCGAGAGCTTCGAAGTCTTCGTTGCTGCCGAAGTTGCAAAAGACATAAGAGCCCGAGACGTTACCGTTAGCTGAAAAGCCAAAGTATGCGGGTACAAAGCCAGCAGACGTGTTATAGTCTACCAAAGGTGCCTCGTAGAGGATTTGGCCATTCCTTGAAAGAGCGACTCGCTGCTCGTTTGTCGGCAGTGGAAGCTGGGTATCGTGGGAAGAAATTGTAGTATTTCCGACACCAAATTCCTTCCACTTTTCTTGAGTCCATTGCGCTTGCCTCCAGCCTTGGCTGGCAAGGTGTGACTCTGACGTATAATACGCACTCCAGTTGCGTGTATGTTCAGATGAGGGAACGGAAAGCAATGTTTGGCGTAAATCAAAAGTAGGAGAGGCGAATATTCGCGGGGTCGTGCCCAAGTAGTAGTAGTAAGACAGGAGGGTGAGAACACCAATAAATGCAGGCCATCTTAGCTTACTTGGAAACTTCGGAAGTGGTGATATGGGGGAAAAGTTGTCGACCTTCATGTTGCCGACAGGGGACAGACAGACTGACTTGTATCAACCTGTACGGTCAAAGAAAATGCTCATCTGCGAGAAGAGCACAGCAGTAGCGAAAGTGATCACTGACACTGAGGATAAAGCATCGAAACGACCCCAGCGCACATACATGCAGTAGGATTCTATTTTGTGAGATAGGCTCAGGCTAGTCTTTTCCCCCCTTATATACAGGTAATAGGTATTGCAAAAACTCCTGTTATGTAAAAAGTTTAAAACCGTGTATTCTTCAATATGACTCCTATCGTAAATCCAGTGATTACATATATTATTACACCGGATGATCCGGACGATCAGCGGCCGAGCTGAGTGAGTTAACGTTGGCCCATGTAGATGATGTGCATCTTACTGCAGACGCGGTAACCTCGGTGAACTCCGCACGATATGGATGGGATGCACTCGTTCTACAAAAGTACACGATAAAGATAAACCTAGGTAGATCGCGCTGAGGTTGGGTAAGCCCCGGGCGTCACTGTCGTTACGCCAATCAGACCTAGTTACCTTTGAGCCCGTGAGATAAGCCCCACTTCCCTCGAGCGCCGTCCGCAACCTTGGAGGGATCAAGACCCACGTGGACCGGGCCGCAGCCTTGATCCGTGAAGTTCCTACCTAATCACGTCTTTGGGGTTATTGATCACATCTTATGCGGCTAAGAGGCTGAAGGATCTGGATCTTCCTTACCCCGCCCTGATGTCTGTTTTGAGGCTATACCACTCCACTTTTAGCTGTAATTAAAAGAAGGATCATGATCCATGTACGCCCGGCCGCAGCCTTAATCCGAGGCTGCACTGTACTAAGTTCCTAATCACGTCTTTAAGGGTATTGATCACATCTTATGCGGCTAAGGGGATGAAGGATTAAAATTCTACCTTACACCCGCCCCCTACTCTCTGCTTTGAGGTTATAAAACTCCTGGTATGTGTATTTTAAAGCTCCACTGCACTTTTCTCTGGAATTCAAAAAAAAAAGAAAAAAGAAAGAAAGAACGTATTATTTACCTGTATTTCATTAGTATCGCTGCCCAGCTGCCAGCATACACACTAATAAACTATAACATGTGCTAAATGCAGGCCGGGCTGGTCCAGACTCACGGCTACGTAGATTTTGACAACAGTGCGATACCTTGCGACCGCCACTAGTTTCTAGCTTCTATCACTTAATACAAGCCAAATACCAGCAGATAACCATGCATACCCCGGGGCCCTGGAACCGGCCAAGGTACTAGTATGTATGTCCTTACTACCTTGCTTGTGTTTTTGGTCATTACACTGGTAAACTGCTTACTAGTGAAATTCGCGATGTTAGTATAGGCGTAACAACATAAAATATCAATGATCGAAATATGAGCTACTTGGCCTATTTATATCGGTATCTACCACAAGCTTTATTTCCTAACAGCTCAGGACCCAAATTTGAAGGCCATAACTGGTGTTTTGCCCAACCTCACTCGTGCGTGATTCCAATGAAGGTGTGGCATGTGCTAATACTATTCCAAATAGTCATGAGATATTGAAAATCGCCACAATGTCACAGACCGTTGAAGCCTTTCCTGCAACTATCGCCTACCATCTGGACACTGATGAGCTAGCCAGTCAATACGAGGCGACAAGCGGCAAAGCCCAGTACCAGACAGGAATTGTTCTTTTACGTGAACTGTCCGTCAATCCAGGAGTCTGCGTTCTTGATATCGGATGCGGCACTGGGCTTCTGGCAGCTCATATCGCCTCTCTCGCTGTTCCTCATGGGCGGGTTGTTGGGATTGACCCGCTTACCAAGCGCATCGATCTTGCGCGCAAGAAAATCAGCCCCGACTTGGAGGATACTTTGTTTTTCGAATATGGTGTTGCTCAAGACCTTTCCAGATTCGGGAGTGAGAGTTTTGATGTCGTTGTTATGAACTCAGTCATGCCTTGGTTAACACAAGAACAACAACTTGAAACCCTTCGAGAAGTGTTTCGCGTACTGAAGCCCGGTGGTCGTCTAGGTGTCGCAGGCGGATCTGGAGATCACCCCAACTATTTCTACGAAATTAGGAGGCGAATACTATCCAAAGACCCCTATCGGATTTATTATCCTGACATCACTATCGGGGCTCCCAAAAGGATTGCTGCGGATGCCCTAACCATTTTGACTAGAGAGGCGGGGTTTTCGTCAAGCAGGGTATGGTTCGATTCTAGTGCGCTTGTGGTGCAAACCAAGGAGGAACTATTGCAAATGGCGACATCAAGCTCCTTCGGCAATTACGTGGGAAAGCTGCCCAGCGAAAGACAGCTGGCTGCGCAGGAAGAGATCATGCGTGAATTCGAGCAGTACCATAAGGGAGGACACTTCGAGATACCCATAACTACTCTCATCGCGGTGATATATAAATAGCTGGTGTGGAACATGTGACCCTGAGGGGTCTTGCTGAGTGAGAGGATGTATGCACTCTACATGACCTCCCAGCTTATATCATTAATTGACACTTTGCCAGTTCGCGAGTATCAATAATCTAGGCAGAATATTTATAGGTGAAATTGGTCAAGTACCTTGATGGGTGCAGTGATTAAATGTATAAACGAAAGCGGGTTATTTTTGAGAGCAGTGAGAGAACAGAATTTAGTTCTTTGGAATCAAGGGATAGAGATAGACCCTTCAGGGAGTTCAAAGGTGTATAACAAAAACACTCCACACTCCATTCATCTCGCTACCCCGGAACCCCACGATCAAGACCAAGAGCTTAGGAGAAGAGCACCCTGTTCCGCACACAACTGCGCATTTTTATCAAGTCGACCTGCAGAATCTTCATCAAATCCAAAAACTTACAGACCTTCGAGATTTTTACCCCACCGTGCGCAAACCCACGTACCGTCGAACCATCGTTACGGCTACCTTATTCTCCGTACAACAAGAACAGCCAGAGCCAGAGAGCCAGAGAGCCAGAGAGCCAGAGAGCCAGAGCCAGAGCCAGAGCCAGAGCCAGAGCCAGAGCCAGAGCCAGATGCCAGATGCCAGATGCCAGTGCTAGTTCAACAATAACACAATCCAATTCTCGAGACTCTAGATCAGTCTTTTTCCTTCGGTTTCAAACACAATTCTCTTTTCCGCGAACCGAAACGAATCGACGCCGGAACGCACCAGACTACTCGACCAACGAAAAGTATGCCAGTGCCAAGAGACCGAGCCCGTGCGATAATCGTGGAATTCCACCATCTCTACCTACATACGACTACAGGCCATTATGCATAACGGGGACTTAGGCGTGGTGTAAGAGACCTCACTAGCAAAGTGCAGCGTTTATAATCCCACCGTCGCTCAGTGGGCCTGAGCCTGAGCACCCTCATAAAAGCGGCAGCAGCTCAAATAGTAAAGCCCGGCCCACCAGGGAAAATCCGGCACGGATAGGTACCTAGGTACTGTATCCAAGCTACGCATTTTCAACCACCATCTGTTCTATCTTCAATGTAGGTATCCCATGGATTCATTCAGAGGCCTCGTTACTCATTCCGAGTACATTAGACCAGATATCATTATTATCGTACATCATGTTTCGGCACCAACCCCTCCATCCCTGGCTGACGAATATTCGATTCCAATCAGAAGACATGAAAGGGTATTTGTAACGTCAAAGACAGCATTAACAAATTTAGTGCTTGATACCCTTCTCCTGCAGACGCTGTTCATCATCAGCCTTGAGATCGGCATCAATCCTAGCACCCTTGGACGGAGCATTGCCGTGCTGCTCAGCCTGTATTGCAACCAATCGTTAGCAAATGTGACTTGGTCAAGGCTTTCATGGGAGACAAGGCTGTGTGCAACTTACAGGCTTGGTAGGATTCTGCTTGCTCATCTCGGCCTCGGCGTCATACTCGTTGTGGTGGTGGTGTGAGGAGTCGGGCTTGTTCTCCTGGGAGGCAAGCTTGTTGGCAATGGAGCGGCCGTCCTTGGAATCAAGGTTATTGTGGCTGGTGGGCATGCCCTCGGCGTAGCGGGCGCGCTCTTTGAGTTCGGACACGGGGACGTTGCGCTGATCGCCTGACTCGTACACGCTGCGGTTTCCGACGCTGGATTGACCTGAGCCTGACATGGCCATGTTCTGGCGGGTGCCCCTGCCGGGTTGACCTGCGCCTGATACGGACATTTTGTGTAGATGTAGAGTAGATTTGGGGTTTGTGAGATTGAGTGAAAATGGTTGTAAAGAGAAGTTTTTTTTTAATGGAAGAGGTTGATTGATTGATTTCTACCATTGGAAGAGCTCGGTCTTATACTTCGTTTGCTGGTTGTGATGTCATCCTGGAGTCACTGAGATCATAGTGGGGCGTAGCCCAGTTTGAGGGTAATGACAAAAGATCCTTGTTCATTACTTTGATCGTATACCTGGGTATACTCTGGGCCCTTCTTTGGGGTTCTGATTTGACTTGCTGACTTGCTGATCAAGGCAGAACTCGATGACACTGTTGATGCTTTAGAGTTCCTGTTAGTGCCCCACTTATATACTTGTTCACGTAGAACACGATTTCTTGTAGTTTGCTGTAGTATTATGTACGTATGCTGCGAAGGAGTTACCTTAATTATCAATTAATATGAGCTAGTATAGATATCTTTCTACTTCATCTCGAATGTTGTATTTGTGGACATGTGTGATCTATCTGTCTGCAAAATCGGCTTATATATATATTTGTGACGTAGGGATAATCGCTAATATAAGGTAGTATAAAAGTTATTTCATTATATTCCCCCTAAAATTGAGGATTCTACTTCTCTAGAAAGAAAAATTCGATGTTTCATACTAGAATATTATACAACATTGAAAATGCTTTGAACATGAAGCGACCCACTTCAGCCGTCGCGGCGCACTGCGATTGCTGGAGAGACCACAACTTTACGTTATATTGAACACTATAATTGTGCAAATGTACACCATGTTCTCTCGATTACCAATACGAGCTAGCAAGCTGCAGCTGACGCCCAAAACCATTTCAATTCTTCTACCATACCAACCGCCAAGAAAAATGAGTTCTTCCACCACAACAGCGGAAGTCCAGCCCCGCTACCGCCAACTCTTCACCGAGCTAGAGAACCGCTTCAAAACCACGAGTCTGGGCAACGATAAATGGTACATCCTAGCCATTTCCACACTAGCCGCCAGCCCGGACCCAGAACGAGGAGACCAGCTCTACCTCCACCTCACCCAGCAGGCAGACTATGCGACCTCAACAGCCCGGCAAGCCCTGATCCGCCGGCTGCGCGAGGCACTCGTCAAATCCGTGCCTATAGTCGGAGTATGCAAGCCCATTGAGGCAATTCTGGCCATTAGCGAGGTCGAACGCGACGAGGACAAGGATTTCACCTTCACCCGCGAGGGTTGGCAATGCGACGAGGCCAACCACGAGCGTGGCACTGGGTGGCTGCAGAAGCTGTACGCGCGTAACACGACCGGCACCCTGGATTTATTCAGTGCGCATAAGGACTTTTCTTGGCTTTCCAAGGAGATTACTTACGGGTTGTTTTTGTCGGATCGGCAGGTCTTGGATGATCTTGATACCCAGCTTGTTGTGCTGCCTGGTATCATGAGTCAGAATCTGCCCAAGGAGACCCATTGGCATATTCGTGGTACGAGGCGCATTGGTGTTCCTCGGGAGGAGGTTCAGGTTATTTGGGATTGTGTGCAGCTTGTCGCTCAGTTCTTTGATGTTAAGCTTCATAAAGTGCCGACTGTTGAAGCTGTTGAACATGATGTTTAGACCAAAAAGCAGTGGTTCTCGAGGCTTGATATTTTAGAATTACATAGTATATGAATCTATATCACTATGAAGCCTTCGGATGCTTTAATATTGGAGGTCTTTTGTGTTGTTTATTTGGTCCGTACATATCTGGTGCAAATATATCGACCAATACACTCTTGGACAGCATGCCAATGACAACCTATATATTAACAAGAGTTCTTCCACATCTTCTTAAGACACCAAAACAATATATACAGTTTATTATATAAATCGATGAACATCTGATCTGGATAGCAACCAACAATGACCTACGTCCGCCGATAACAACCGATAAGGGAAAAAAGTTCGAAAACGGCCGAGCGCGGGGCCAAGATCAACTTTTGAACTTCAATTCTACCCAATTCAAGACAAAACATACCCCAATTAGCACAATATGGTTAAGCGGAAAGACCTCGGTGATGTCACCATGGGCGGCACCCAGCCAGAGAACTCCGACTCGGACGAGGTTAGACTTGCAGCCCGGACTGGACTGTGTGCCGTCAGATTGCTAACAATAATGACGACCACAGGACATGGACCTGGTCAATGTCGACTTTGAATGGTTCGACCCTCAGCCTATCGATTTCCACGGTCTGAAGAACCTCTTGCGCCAGCTATTCGACAACGATGCCCAGATCTTCGACATGTCCGCGCTGGCTGATCTGATTCTCTCTCAGCCAACACTGGGATCGACAGTGAAGGTTGATGGACATGAATCCGATCCCTATGCGTTCTTGACAGTTCTCAACCTGCAGGAACACAAGGTTTGTCAATTCCCGGTCTTCGTCTCTTCATTGTACTAACAATCTGCTCCTAGGACAAACCCGTCGTACAGGACCTGATCAACTACCTCAAGACCAAAGCCGCCTCCAACCCGTCCCTCTCCGCTGCTTCTGAGCTCCTTTCCCAAACCCCAATCCCTCCCATTGGCCTTATACTGACTGAGCGGCTCATCAACATGCCCTCCGAGATCGTCCCTCCCATGTACAACATGCTCCAGGAAGAGATTGCCTGGGCTGTTGAGGACAAGGAGCCCTACACCTTCTCGCACTATCTGGTCCTTTCCAAGAACTACGAGGAAGTCGAGTCGAAGCTCGACCAGGAAGAGTCGCGGCCTCAGAAGAAAAAGAAGAAGGGTGGTGAGCAGGCCGAGCGCTTCTTCTTCCACCCCGAAGACGAGGTTGTGGAGCGCCATGCGCTCTGTGCTGGCTCTATTGATTACACCCATAAGTCCGACGAGGGGCACTCAGACTCGAAACGTGCGTTCCAGGAGCTGGGTATCCGGACGAAAGGTAGCTTGATTTTGATTGAGGCGGCTCAATTCGAGCCTATGGTTAAGGCTCTTACGCAATATATGTCGTAGTGAATGTTACGACTTTGTAGTCTGATGCAATTTGATGTCCAGTTACGACAAAATTTATTCAGTTCTAGTATATTCTGGGGACAGACTGGCGTCGGCCATCTAATTCACATAATCCTTATAACCTTATAATGCTGAGTTTCGATAAATTGATCATATCATAACCTTACCTATGTCAAGGTGTTCCTTATTCCCATTGCGTGCCCTTGAGTCTTTGCATGAGGTACTCGACCTCGACAATCTTGGTCAACGGGATGACACATTCCTATAAAGTAGCACAAGAGTCAGCAATTATGCACCCAAAAGCAAAACTCCACATTTTCTTTTTTTTTCGCACCTTGTACATAGCAACAACAGCATCAGTGTTAATCTTGGGACCATTCTCATCAGGGAAAGCAGGATCAGTGCCATAAGTCTTCGCCTTGAGACCCAAACGCTCAAGAACCTTCAGCTCAACCGCAGAATTGGTAATAGCAGCATCGATGCCGGCCCGATCCTCGGCCTTAATCAGGCGCACAAAAGTCTCAGGATCCTTCTGGAACTTCGACTCAGCAACGAACTTTCCAAAATGAATGCGGCGCGACAGCGCCTGCAAACAAGCAACATCGCAGGTCGCCGCGGAACCGTAGTTCTCCTGTGTCTCGCCACGATCCTCCCGTCCAAACCCGGGACATACTGCCGGCAGGACCTCGTTGATGTACCGTTCCTTGATCACGTCGTTGACGCAGACATCGTTCTCGTGCAGGATGCGCGGGTATTCCAGCGGCTGCAGGATCGGCTCTTCGAGCACGTCCGGGAAGAAGGGGTACTCGTCGGGGGATTGGTAACGGCGTACTCGGGACTGTATGCGCTCTTGTTCGCGGAGCAGGTAGTCCAACAGACTGAGCTCGCTGTTGGGGATCTTGACGCCGCCGGGGACGTAGACAGTCTTGTTCAGTGGGAATTGAACCCGCTCGATCAGATGGAAGGTAATCGTGTCTTCCAGTCGACTGAGAGCCTGGAATATCAGCTAGCAGCTCTCATTGTGTGGGGTTTGGGGTTTCAATAGAAGTGTAGTGTTTCGGGGTATAAGGCTATGGCGGGGGCGGGGGAAAGATTTGGGGAGTCTTTCAGCTGGAGGAAAGATGAGAGCTCACATCAACTGGAAACGAATGTTAGCAAGGTCCAAAGCCTTGGTGGCATCGGAGAGGTCAATGGCGCTATCCATGGTTTGATTTGTGGTGAAGTGTAGATGGAGAGAGACTGCGGGACTGCGAAGTTGGTTTCAGATACTTCAAATCCACTCCGCTTGTCTCCCCCATTTATACGTCGCAGAAGAGGGGGAAAATAGGAAATACGCTGTGTCAGAAAGCCCCATATCATTTCTCATATGCAGGATTCACCAATTGCGTATAGAAAGACCGGTGAACAAGTACTATAAGCGTTACGATGATCTTCGCATTTGGTACTTTGGACCATATGCGACCGAGGCACTTGCTGGAATACCACAATCTAAAACCCACACATGAACATCCTTGCACTTTGATCCGATATTGAAGTCAAATTCGGACAAGTCGAAAGCGAAACATTGAGCATCTGCTGGTTTCAGCCCGTAAAAGTACCATACGGCAGTACCCGGGGAACGCGGTAAACTCGCGTGGACACCAAGTCTCCTACTTCAACCTACCACAAGCTTCCAACTTTCCACTCCTCGTATCGCATGGGTTTTGGTTGAGCCTAGACATTCTCCGTCTCATGGAGAATCAGCGCCGCGACGACTCCCCGTCGGGTCTGTCAGACATCGTCGAGGGCGATGGCCTTCTGGGCACCGGCTTAACGGTAGGCTTTTTTCCACTCTCCGATGACGCCCCCCACCAAACTGCAGGCTGATTGGATTTCATCTGCGGTGATTTCAGACTCGTCATATCGAGGCATTCGGACGAAAAGTCACAACAACTGCAGGACACCTGATGGGACCGGGCGAACCTAATACCACCCACTTACACAATGCTATGAACGACATCCACCGCGAGCTGCGGCGACCGGCCACGCAGCGCAAGGTGTTCTCCTTAACACAAACAACACCGACCGACCTTGTCCGCTCAAAGCTTTCAACTACCGAGATCCAGTCCCGTGCCCTTTCCTCCCTTCCGGATGATCTTCTCGCCAACATCCCTGAAGACACCAGCTCCTACTCCCTTTTCGAAGGCTTCCAGGCCTCCATCCCTGAAGATGAACATGAGAAGAAGCGACACCGAAGGCGCACCTCCAAGGGGAAGCTTCTCAAGGATGTTGAGAGAGGTGGAACCTTGACTGCCGGCCCGGCTGGGTTAAAGGACCAGCGGAAATCGCTGAGTCGCAAGTTGGAGTTGATGGGAATCCGGAAGAACATGTGTAGCGCGGAGATCCACGAAATCGATAACAAGGTCGCCAACTTACACAAAATGCGCAAGATTGTTCTCGATCGATTGGCCGGCTTGGAAATGGACGAGGCGGGTTTGGAGCAACAACGTGGGTCATCACATCGAGACAGACAGGGTCATGGCGAAATAACTGACAAATATGGAACAGTGACGGATCTAGATAATAAATTGGAAGACTTCCCAGAAGAGGAATCACAAGAAACACCAGTTGCGACGCCGCGCTCAGACGGCCAGGATAGTTCTATTGCATCGTCGGGAGATCCAGCGATGGACGCTTCGTTCATGTCAGAATCGATCTACGAGAAAATCCCCCTCACCCTCACCAAAAAGTCTACGACATCGCTCTAATAGTATGGAATCCTCCGGTCTGGTACGCGAATCTCAACTGATAGCAAATTTAGGGAAACGGTCGATGCCAATTCTACATGAACACTTCGCCCCGGGATCTTTGATCAAGGAAATAGAAGCACACACCGACATGGTCACAGCTATTGACTTCGACTATCCATTCGGAACTATGGTCAGCGCTGCACTAGACGATACTGTGAGAGTTTGGGACATGAATGTCGGCCGATGCTCCGGTTTCTTGGAGGGACACAATGCCTCGGTTCGCTGCCTACAAGTGGAAGATAACATCGTGGCTACGGGGTCTATGGATGCCTCCGTCAAGCTGTGGGACCTGAGCCGTGCTCGGCCCGCGACCCGGGACGGGCGCCTCAACAGACACGAGCGTGACCAAGAGGAGGGAGGCTCAGAGCACAACTTCCCAGTACCGCCGTCCTCGAACCTCGAAGACTGTAATGTGTTCTCGCTAGAGGCACACGTCGACGAGGTTACAGCGCTCCATTTCAAGGGTGACACCCTAATCTCAGGATCTGCAGACAAGACGCTCAGACAATGGGATTTAGTCAAAGGACGCTGTGTCCAAACTTTGGACGTTTTGTGGGCGTCCGCCCAGGCATCGTCGTCCATGATGGGTGATTCTGACTGGCGACCATCGGGTCGCATGCCCGACGCTTCGGCTGACTTTATTGGCGCAGTGCAGTGCTTTGACGCTGCGCTGGCATGCGGTACAGCAGACGGCATGGTCCGTCTCTGGGATTTGCGCAGTGGTCATGTCCACCGGAGTCTTGTAGGACACACGGGGCCGGTCACGTGTCTCCAATTTGACGATGTGCATCTGGTCACGGGCAGTCTCGATCGCAGCATTCGGGTAAGCAGTCCAGTTTTCCTTTTTCGCCTAGCCATTGTTTCTAATTTGTCCATAGATTTGGGATCTACGTATGGGATCTATTTACGACGCTTATGCCTATGACAAGCCAATCACCGACATGATGTTCGATTCCAAACGTATCGTGGCCGCTGCCGGAGAGAATGTGGTCAAGGTCTACGACAAGGCCGATGGCAACCACTGGGACTGTGGTCCAGGTGTTGGGCTTGACGATGACGAGTCATCCCCTGCGACCGTTGAGCGGGTTCGTCTTAAGGATGGCTACCTTGTGGAGGGACGTAAAGATGGCACTATGGCTGCCTGGACGTGCTAGACATGTAACATCACTTGGATCACATCTTGCTTTCACCTCAGCCTTTTTGCGACCGTTGTATAGTATTCAATCTATGTCTTAGTAGCGACCGAATCAGGAGCAGGACCACGTTGGTAATTCTGTATACAAGAACAAAGTCCTTCAAACAAGGTAAGACTGAAACAAAAATAGCAAGACCGTAGCAGTCCGAGGCGCAATTGTTGACAAAGAGAGTAACAACAAAGACTATGGGAGTGAGGCTGTAGTCTTTAAAGAACAGCAGAAATATAAAGAACATGAAATTCCAGAGTCCAATCCAGTACAGAACAGCTCCAAAAAAGTTGAGAGTTGAGATTCTTCAGTGATCTTCACGCCTCCACCCTTTTTCCCCATCTACTTTTCCTCACTTCAACCTCCTGACTCCTCGCCCCGAATTCCTGGAAAACTAGGTCTAAATTGTTGCTCTTCTTAAAACAAAGCGAGAACAACTCCTCGGTCTCTCGGGCACGTCACCCTCGGAAACTGGTCGCTGGTAGCTGCAAGTCACGTTCCCGTCGCGTCTGCGCGTCTCTCCGGGGTCGCGATCTACAGGACATCTACACACGGCCTTTCGGAGTCTGCATTTTCAATCTGTTCCGTGGTAAGTCTGAAATTACTGTCGCTTTCTTTGTTTCTTACTCAATACTTGTGGCATTGGCCCTGGTCCGCCATACTTGCACTGTTCCATTCTCGTGGCACATTTCCAGTTCATGTCGCATTGTCTTGATACATATGTACATGAAGGTGTCGATGCTCAATTTCAATCATTGTTTGGTATTTCAAAAGGTTCAATTGATATATTGACTATATTGACCATATCCCATTGTCTGGGTTTGTTTTGCTTTATCATTCCAGTCCAAAGCTGATATCTCAACTAGACAACAAACAAGAACAAAGTATTATCTTTGAAATCAACTCTAGAGCCCAAAAGTACAGATGCCGCCCAAACGTGTTACACGCCGGGCTGGCGCGACTCCTCAACGGCCACATCAAGAACCAGAATTCGAGTCCATCCTCGACCGTGTGCAAGGGCCTGTTTTGCCCAGTGTTCCAGTCCAAGCATCCTTCAACTATGGCGCTGCTACTACCACAGGATTACCTCAGCGCATGTCGATGCGCCCCAACATTGGGATTGATCAGATGGCTGGAACAGTCAATGCCCATCTTGAGGTTGCTCGGAAGCGAACAGCCGCCACGAAGAAGAAACAAGGCCCCCAGGCACACCAGCCAAAGCGTGAGCCAACACCCGACCAGACCCAGCTTCAGCAGTCGCTGCATAACGCAGCAGATGAACACTCCGATAAAACTCCTTCGCCTCCTGTTCCACATTCGGTATCTACAGACTCTAGTCCTGACGCTCAACCTCCACTGCAACGCCACTTATCGAACTCTCCGCTTTATCCATCGCCCCTTCAACGGATGGGATCTCCTCGCGTTCATAGTCCTCTGGGTAGCAGCTCGCCATTCCGCCACAGCTCTGTTGATAATGCCTCTGTGGCGTCTTGGAATCTGGAACGTGATATTAACGAAGATGATCTACAAAGAACGCGACCAAGCAAACATGGACGCAATATCACAGCGCCCCCTCGACGAATTTCTGGCCTGGCTAATGTTCTCGAGGAGGACGAAGAGGATGTCAAGTTTGATCCGGCAATATATAACGATTTCGAGCCCGATGTCCCCAAGGAAAGCCTTTTACGTCGATGGCTAGGAGCAGTGCGGTCCCGACGCCAGGAGCCACAGAGTCGCCATGAAAATGAACCTCCCAGCGAGGTACGCCGAAAAAGCTGGATGCAGAAGTTTGAAGCAGCAATGGAGGGCCGCTACCAAAACTGGATTCGGGCCGTGTTCTATTTGCTTTTGTTCCTGAGCTTTATTTTCGTGCCCCTGATTGCCGCGAAGCTTCGCGATTATCTAGATCATGGTGCCCTGGATTGGGATTCCTCCTCGAACATGACCATAATTAAACCGGAAGTTCTCCATAGCATTCGGAGCCAGGTATCAAAAATGGACGCTCAGATGTCATCCTTGTCGAATGAGATCAGTTCTGCTCGATCAGAATCGTCACTTTCCATTCATGACTCGACGCCCACGGATGCGAGCCTCCATCGAAAACCGGTCCATAAGGTAAATTTCCTCTCGGTGGCATTGGGGGGCAATGATTGACCCGGCGAAAACTTCACCGACTTTGGGTCCCAAACAGCGTGCTTCCCTCCGAGCACTTCTTTGGGCGAGTTCATTTGTGTCCAGGCGGCCCATCCGGTCACAGCAATCTCCCATGTCTGCGCTTACCACGTGGGAAGAGGTGGGCGACTGCTGGTGCAGTGCCCCTCGAAATGGAACGACCCAACTGTCTGTACATCTCGGTCGCGACATCGTGGCCGAAGAATTGATAGTTGAGCACATTCCGGTGGGCGCTTCTCTCGAGCCAGAGGCGGCACCTCGAACAATCGAAGTGTGGGCGCGCTTCAAAGTCAACCCCCACAAAGCACCAGTCAAAGCCAAACCAACCCCCGAGGCTAGACCTGGCCGGCTTGGCTTCATGAAGCTCTTCGGGGATGCGACAGTAACACAAGAACCGCCGTCAACGCAGGCCCCTTCATCCCACGAAACTGGACTCGGAGGATTCCTAATCCCTGGAATCGGTTCGCTTCACGCGTTGGTGATGGATCTATTGCGACGGAGCAACCCCTTCGAGCCCCCAAACGCTTATTCAGACGACCCAATTCTCGGCCCCAACTTCTACCGCATCGGGAAAGTCGAGTACGACCTCCACAGCCCGGACTACGTGCAGGCGTTCAAGCTCAATACCATCGTCGACGTGTCAACCATCCGTGTGGATAAGGTTGTCTTCCGAGTGACTTCAAATTGGGGTGCTGACCACACATGCATCTACCGATTCAAGTTACACGGACACCTCTAAGCCCGGCTACGGATATTCGTTCCTGAGCTTCTTTGAGCTTTGATTCGTCTCTTACACTTCTCTCATGTATTTACCTCCCAAGGGATTAGGTTCTGGCTGGTCTGGAATTTGGATAAAATGTGCTTTGCGATGATACCTTGCATGGCTGCGGCGGCGTTACATGGTTTCCTTTTGGGTTAGTTCTTTTCTCTTTTGCCTCTCGATATTTATCTTTTAGAGCCATATCATATGATAGCCATGATTCCATTCGGGTTTGCTTCTCTCGTCCTCTATAGTTCCATATTTACTAGTCACGAGCAGCCTCTTTAACGACAGTTCGATACGTATACAGGTTGATTGGAAAGGCTCGCTGGACTCAACTGTTCAATGATTCTTGCATCAATATGTTGCAGGTTCCTTCGTGTTGCCCTTGCGTGGATGGCCATGTATATATGGCTTCGATTAATATGAGGCGAGAGAACAACGGATGGCTCTTGCCAACTCATCAGAGTCGCTCCTTCCCACATTCTCCATTCACATCCGCCCATTCCTTCAGCATCACAGTTTCTGTATCTTTTGTGATATACCTGTGACTACGTGGCGCAGGGTACACGACGATTCCTGAGTCTCCCGGTTCTCTAACCCTTCTGGTATAGGGCTGAGTGTGTTGTCCGCCAGGGTGCCACGGGGATATTCAGATAATTGGTACCTTGAGTCATGTCTTACTTCTGTTTTCTTGTAGGTCCTCGGTCTGAGCGCTTTCTGCTATCCGCCTATTTGTTGCGAAGTCATATCTCGCAGATTATTGTCCAACCAACACCGGGACCAGGAACTGAAACAGTTGGTTACAGACTGCTTACCGAGTGGATGCAAACCTGCCACGCAGATATAATAGAGGGTGTGATACAGTTACTACTATTAGATGTTAAGGCATGGGCTTTCTAACTGTGTCCTCCGAAGTGTATAAATACGGAGCTGGGTCCTCAGGAGATTCTTGACCACCAACCCAGATACTGATTTCTTCAAGACTTATTTCAACTACTACCACTATGCTTGCAGTGAGATCACGTCCTTTGCGTGGGAAACATAAGTCGGACACAGATTTGACGAACACTTCACCCGACTTGGCCAATCCCAGTGAACGGCTGATGACAAAAAAGGAGGCAATAGACCTTATCAGCCGATGGTATAAGTCCGGCAAGCCATTCTTCACCAAAGAGGCGCTCCAAGAGCTCGGGGAGCAGGTCAGGACCAAACGTGCCAAGGGGGATAAAATCACCGTGAGGGCACTCACCGGCGTTATCTTCGAAGGCACGGTGAATTTAGGACATCGCTTCCGTGACAAGATTCATCCCAAATGGGAATGCACCTACATCTAGTAAGTTGTTCACCTCGTGCTTTATTTACCTACTGGAGATCTATTGCAACGAGAGCTAATACCGTCTAGCAAGGACCTTGCCATAGAATACAATCATCCAGAAAAACTCAAGTTGGACGTGCAAAATAGTATCCATGACGACTACACTCGAGCTTCGGCCCTCACCCCGCTGCGAGTGACACACCAGGTATACCCAGTGGACCAGAAGGAAAGAATCCGGGGCTACGAGGTCGCGCGGGATATCTTCAAAAGAAAGTGTGTGTCCTGGGACGAAAGCCAGACCCGCACGAGTTTCGAGGAGATTCTGAAAGAAGCCGAAGGCCACAAGATCAACAACATCGTCGGGCTTGCCTGCGGTAGCCTGTCCCGACATCCCAGGTACAACTCTGCGGTTCAACACGCGTTGCTTGTTACCATAAGAAAGTGGCTGAAAACAAACGGGCTGGATGGGAAAGAGCTCTCCTGCTACGTGCAGGATCCGGAATACACCGACGTCGATAGGCGAATCCTTCACGATGTCGGGTTCCAAGTTGTTGATGATCCGGACGGCTTTCTCAAGGTCGATGAGCAGTCGGTTGTGCTATCCATAGCAGCTAACGTACCCGTGAAGCATATCATTGCGGATATTGCTAGACCTGCTATTGTCATCTGGTTGGCGGTTGAAGAAACGAATAATGCTCGTTTGTGAGTGCTGTGTTGGATTGGTTTAATGTCCCCAATGGGGCTTGGTTCCAGAGCTAACATGAATGCACGCTAGGCTTGACCCTGACTCGGAGCGCACAATGGAAATGATGGAGGGGTACGTCAAGCATGAATTTGAATCTGAGGGATCGCGGTTTAGGCAGGTTGTGGTCTATATCAGGAGGACGAAGGATGAGCCACCTTTTCAAGGGAACGCGTGAGTTAGGCTGTCCAGGTGCCTCTCTGGATATTTTCGACGTGTCTTTATATAGACAGTTGGGGGTATTGAAACATGTTTCGTTTCTTTAAGCGCTTTCTCTCCCCTCAGCGGCTACCTGTAATAGTATCTTAGAAATCACAAAAAAAGGCCCCGAGTAATACCTAGGTAGGTATTAGTTCAAGTGGACGCGCCCCGCATGTGATATGTAGGTGCAAGTGTGATGCGCTGGCTTAGGCGCCAGCCGCCATGGCTATATTACAAGTACTGCCTCAAAATAAAGTACTAACTTCTTTTCCAACTTCGAAAGTCCGAAAAGTCATCCAAAAGAGCTTAGATATAGCCACATCGTGAACATGGACGCCATAACCAATTCAGAGCCCTCGGCCGAAAGAGTCTCGCGGTTAGACCTTGACTACAGATACACGCGTTGTCGCTTGACTGAACCTGGGGAGGCCCCAACCCTGGAGGGGGCGATGGAAATCATCGACAGACTCTACGAATCCGGGGTGCCCTTTTTCACCAAGGCTTTAATCCAAGATATATGGGATCAAATCAAGCAAGACCCAGCCCCAGGTGACAAAATACTTACGAACGACATAACCGGCGCGGTTGTTGAATGCGAGGTTGAGAAGGGAAAGGTTAGGCAATGGCAGGTTGACGATACGGAAATGGAATATGTGTGGTGAGTACATTGCCGTGGATAGCTACATCTGTGCTATGGACAGGACTGATATCATTCAGCAAGGAACTGGCCCTCTCTTATCAGTGTCGAGCATCTCTCAGAAACGAGGTTAAACGGAGAGATTACCCCCTCGAGCATTGGGAGCCCTGCCCAATCAAGCTCATGCATCGAACACACGAATGGGATAGCAAGACTGAGACAATCATCCCACGGCGTGGCCCCCTGGACCTTGGAGTGGTCACAAAGACCTTCCAAGACAAGGCCCAAGAATGGAAAGACAGCCCAGCGTGTGAAAAGCTCAAGACAATTCTGTCCTCTTCTGCAAAGAATCATGAAATTGGCAAGGTGGTCGCGTTTTCTCTTGGCACGATGTCCGGGCAATATTTCAATGAGGATGGCAGTCTGTATACGAGGAGTCGGTGGCGATCCGCATCTCAGCATGCGGTTCTCGTTACCATCATGGAATGGGTAAAAGAGAAGAGACAATAAAGAGAAAGTCCTATGTTATTCACAGGAACCAGACTACAGCGAGGTAGACAAGAAGGTTCTGAACGAGGCCGGCATCGAGGTGGTGGAAGATCCGTGTGGCTGGCTCGAGGTGGACGAGAACTCGATCGTGCTCTCGATAGCATCGAATGTGCCTTCTAAGGAGATTATTGCAGACATTTCCCGTCCTGCCGTGATTATTTGGGGTCGAGTCGAGTTTTGCGATGGACTTGAGCAAGGGTTGTGAGTATCATGTCATCTTCTACCCTCTCCTGTTCAGTCTGCTAATATCCTCACCAGAACCGATCCTGACTCTTCGCGAGTCAGAGCAATGATGGAGGGTTATGAGCTGCATGAGTTTGGCCCTGATAAGGAGATGTTTTCGGATATTGTGCTCTATATCCGGAAGTCGGTGGCTGCCCCAACTCCCAGTTCAGATGGAAGATTTTCCCTAGACATGACATTATCATGTCTTTCCGGTGGTCTTTCCGGTGGTCTTTCCGGTGGTCTTTCCGGTGGTCTTTCCGGTGGTCTTTCTGGTGGTCTTTCTGGCGGTCTTTTTGAATGTCTTTCGGCTGTCCCCAGTTTCATAACAGAATTGGTATATTGGGTGCATTCTGAAGATGGTAGAAGGAGGCATACTATGCCATTTGCTGCCCTGGTGACGATAATGATATCAAATATGGAATGCCTCCCTGAAACCGGATCTGCTGTAAAACCTGGTGATGCATGACCTAAAGATACTCATGTAAGTAAGTCTAGTTAGCATATAGTTAATGGTCAATAACATACCTCACACCATTTCATGGTACCTTTTGGCACCGACTCGTCCTGCCAGGAATCCTTGTCGACCCGTTTCCCTTCAACAAGGTAAACCGGGGGATCCCCTATCAACGGGGCCCAAGCTCACCGCTTTCGTACATCCGAATCAGAGCTTCTACGTTCACACGCTGGACTTGACCAAACTCAGTTGGTAGATAATCTTTGAGTTGCTGGATTCTTTCCGCAGGTTGTATGACAAGGGGAATAGGGCAGACTGGGCTAAACACAGGTTGGGAATTTGAGCCGGCCATCTTGAAAAGTATGAGATGGAAAGATGGAAAGGTGAGGAGCAACGTACATATCGCGGGATATACCTGCTGCTCCGAAGGTGGTTAGCGTGTAGTGACGTGACCGAGTAGAGGCAGTATTATAATAGGCAGGCGGTATATAAGGCGGTATATCTTGGAGCTCCCACCATCGTTGGACAATCATCTGAATGTCCCCGTATAGTCCGCGTACTTGCCCCTCATTCGTATAAAATAATCGAATATTATAATCTGATATGGAATCGAAGAATAATACATGTAAATTATTATTATCCCATTTAATCTCCTTTAATCTCTGCATAAGTATTAACTTCAACCTCGTTGCGTAGGATCCCACCCCCACATATCGAAAGGCGGAAGATCCTCGACTCGGGACCTTCAACTCTGGTCACGCGGCTTTCGTGCAGCCCATCCTCGTACCTACGCCCCCCAATGGCCTCCGAGCGAGCGATCGATCGGGAAGAGCGACAGGGCCTTGTAAGTCTTGCCCCTTTTGCTTTTTCAAAGAGGGGAACCCCCTCTTTATATCTGACGTTGGACACTATGGGGATCGGACATTGTGAACGTGTTTCGGCATGGGTTCACCAGTCACCAGATCACCTGGCCATATCCAGATCTTGACTAACACGCAAACAGCGTGCCATTCGTGACTTCCTCAAGGCCCGAAACTCCTACGATGTCCTGCCGCTCAGCTTCCGACTCATCATCTTCGATACGTCGCTTTCCGTCAAGGAGAGTCTGAACATTCTGATTCAAAACGGTACGGGGTTTTCGCGATTTCTTACTTTTCAACAAAATTGCCAAACTCCAGCTGACTGTGAATCCGGGAATCGGGAGGTACAGGCATCGTTTCAGCTCCGTTGTGGGACTCCAAAGCGTCCAAATTCGCAGGTCTTCTGACCACCTCCGACTACATCAATGTCATCCAATACTATTTCCAGAACCCCGCGGCCCTGGACCAGATCGATCAATTCCGCCTGGACAGTTTGCGAGGTGCGTTGGGCCCCAGTGTCGCCCGCATTCCTGCAGGTACACCCCGCAGCTAACGGGAATATACAGAAGTTGAAAAGGCGCTAGGCGTGGCGCCGCCGGAGACCGTCTCCATCGACCCGGAGCGCCCTCTCTACGATGCCTGTCGGCGCATGCTGGAATCGCGCGCCCGCCGTATCCCCCTCGTCACCAGCGATAGCCAGACCGAGCGGCCCCACGTTCTCAGCGTCATTACGCAATACCGCATCTTGAAATTCGTCGCCGTCAATGTCCCCGATACGCAGCAGCTGCGTCGTCCGCTGGGTGAGCTCTTGCTTGGATCGTATGATAACGTTGCCACGGCTTCGATGGACACCCCGGTCATTGATGTCATCCATATTTTGGTCGAGCGCAGCATATCCAGTGTGCCGATTGTGAACTCGGAAGGCGTGGTGTATAACGTATTCGAGTCGGTTGATGTTATTACTTTGATCAAGGGTGGTTTCTACGATGACTTGAGTCTCACAGTCGGGGAAGCATTGAAGAAACGTTCTCCGGTATGTCTCTTCCGTTCCTGGTGATATTAGTTGATACTTACCTTCCCGCAGGGTTTCCCGGGTATCTACACATGTTCATTGAATGATGGACTAGATACGATCTTTGATACTATTCGCAAATCGCGAGTGCACCGTCTTGTCGTCGTGGATGAGCACTTCAAGCTCAAGGGCGTTCTGACTCTGAGTGATATCCTGCACTACATTCTTCTCGAGGGAGAGAACGAGGAAGCATGATCGGCCTCGAGTTGGAATACGTGATTTTTCCCATACATATTCAGTTTTGCATGGTTCCGGCGTTTTGATCTGTTCTGACTGAGGGGAACCTCAGAAGGTAACATGAATTGCCTGGGGAGCACATGGGCCCGGCGAGGCTATGACTCCATGTCCTGGGTTATTTTGATTTTGGACTTCATGAATGTACAGAGGTAATGACATTGTTTCCAAAACCGGTGTTCTCTTTTGTTTTTTTTTATTGCCGAGCAGTGCTGGCACGGAAATAGACCTGGAAGATTTGAATGTCAATTTGAAGCATTATCTTAACTATTGTTCTTCCAACATTGAAGGTTGGCTATAGAAGGTAAGGCGTAGCTTCCTCGTAGATCTCAGCTCCTTCCTCCAGGAGACCTTGTCCAAGTCACTTCCCGGGCCTCCATGCTAGTCCTTACTTCATCACCATCTCTTCCTCTCGTATACATTATCTAAACATAATCATGCGGCGTCTCAAAACTGTGTTCCGGTCCAGATCTGAGACACCTGACCCTGCCTCATCTCGTGCTGTCTGGCCACGACGGCGTCTAGCTTCAGAGGGAGATCCATTGAAGCCTCAGCCAGAATCCGCCTCGAATGAACTACAACGCGATGAGCCTACAACTGAAGCGGGATCCAGTTCCGTGAATAAACTACCTGGCTCTGCCACAGTAGCCCCCGTTCACAATGCGGAAACTGGGTCGGATGCCCAACACGCCCAAGACACTGGCCCACTTCCTCGGTCTAAGAATGGCACCAAGCGTCTGAAGAGAATGGTTGCTCGCTTGCGCGGCAGCCTATCCCAGGAAGATGAACCCATCACAGAGACACAACCTCAAGCTGCGCAGGAGGGTAGCCGCAAAGAGAGGCCGAAGTCCAAACCTTTGTCCTCCAACCCCTTTGAACCAGATACCGCTGCTGGTGAGCCATCTACAACCACAGGCAAGTCAGTCAGGTTCGATGAGCCGCAAGAGGGGCGAAAGGTCAGCACTCAGACGACTCATTTTCAGGAGTCCAGCCAGACTGAGGATACTGTGTGCCGAGACCCTGCCCGGCACATTGCGATGCCTATTCAGGAACCTATGGAGGATTGGGGATGGCCGGGACTTATGCTGTATTCCCCTGATAGTAGCCCTAATGCCAACACTCATACTCTCGAGGGTTCGGACCCGTTCTCGGATGAGAAGGCCACCGACGCCCGACAGGGAAAGTCGGGCTCCTCGAGACATAGTGCCGGCACGAGCCGAGAGGAATCATCCAGGGCTTCTGAAGGGACGCTGGAGCCTATCGCCGAGACTGATTTCGACACAATCGAACCAGTCGTCGAGCCCGAGCCTGAACGTCCGGGCTCTCGGAGGGCAAGTTCGGCCAACAGCCAAACAAGCTGGAGTAGCACGCTTGACTCAGCCAAGGCCATCTCAGCCTTCAACCAGATGGCAGCTCAGTTTAGTATCCCGCTTTCCATTCCAAGTGAAGATACTCCAAGTCCACGTACGTTTGTCCTTACTTGTGCATGGGTTGCCACTGACTAGATCCTAGCATCAGAGGGCAATCAGCCCACGGAGGAAGCGGGCACGAGTCGTCATGGATTTGGATTGTTGGGCAAAGTTCGCAAGGTGCGATCCAGTTTGGAGGCCGACACAACCCCCTTGGCGCCAGCTCCTAAGCTGCGACGGATGAAAACGTTCGCGAATATGCACCGTCCCAATCCGATGACTTCGTTGCATGGAAGATCAATCGAGAGTTTGTCCCGTCTTGGAGGACATGGCTATCTGATGCTGACGGACTTGGCTCCATGTCCCGTGCAGTTGCCCGCATACATTGTGGCAACGCTAATGTTTCTGCATAAATATGGTTGGTGGCGGCGTCTTCTACGTCATGACTTGACTGACCCGGGTTCCTGCAGGTCTTGACACTCCCGAGATCTTCATCCAGCCTGGCGATCTGAAAACCGCCATTCGCCTATATGACCACTTTGCTGGCCAGGTGATCGAGGCCGAGAAAGATGAGTCTAATATTTCCCTTACCATGCGTGTGGTAGCCATGCCCCAGCTCCGTGAGGACTCGGCGCCCGTGCTGAGTGTGGCCTGGGCCTTCAAGGCCGTGCTGGCGGGGCTTCCAGACGGGATCCTCGGGAGTGTCCGGCTCTACCGCGTTTTGAGGGACATGTACTATCATTCGGTTCCAGATCAATCGCATCTCCTCCGGGTGCCAGACTGTATTTCTGAGGCGAGCCCATCGACTGCTGCCCGAGTGCAGCTTATATGTCTTGCGCTCATTGCTCTTGCTCCTGAGATGCAGCGCGATCTGGTCTGTTCGGTATTTGGGCTACTTTCGATGATGGTGACTGCAAGGACCGATGCCCAAGATCCCGGGATGGAGCTCCGTGATCCAGTGGCGAGTCCGAAGTTCCAAGACTTGGTGCGGGTGTTTGGACCGCTCCTCCTTGGGCCCCGGGGGCAAAAGATTCGGGAGACCTTAACAGAGGTGGAAAAGGACATTCAAGATCAACGCGTGGCGGGGTTGTTGCTCAATAATTGGCACTTTATACATCGACAGTTGCAACACTGGACCCGAGGACGGTATGTGGTAGGCAGGGAATAGCCTTGTTTTCCCCTTGTTTTTCCCTTTATTGTTTTCCTGTTTCATATGAGCTGTCTCTGCTTGGCATTCTAGAAGAAGCTCTATACTTCCCTGGATATTCCCCACCAGCCCAACCCTGTTTTTCCCTTGACGGCATTGAATCCTGTTGGATACCCATTCTTTTTGTTTCTATCTGTTACCTTGATTGTTTTTTATTAAAAGGGTCTGGGTTTGGAGGGTTCTAGGTCTGAAGGGGTTTTTGCATAAAAATCCATCCTTTTTTTACTATTCTTTATTCTTCTTCTTTACTATTCCTATTTCCTTCTTCCATTAACTCTTCCTTAACTCTTTCCATGGTGACACTAAAAACATCCTTCAACCTGTGCCATTCGCCCGGATCTTCTGGACCGCAGGAAGTCTTGTCCGACCGTGGCTCCAACTAGGTCGACCGCACCTGGACTCATACGCTGCTTCAGGCACCGACCAAACCATCTTCTCCAGTGAATCAGCGAGTGAATCGGTGAATCAGCAGAGTGTGAGACTTTCCAAGGTTCTCAGTTGAATTTTGGTTAGGGTTATCTAGGGCAAGAGAGTCTGTCTTAGCTTCCCTTGCTCTTACTTTCTCTACTCTTCCATGTTTTAGAAGGAACAAAAGTTTCTCTAAAGCTTCCTTGACATGTCTACCAACCTCAAATCTGTGCCAGGCCTATCATCAGGGTTAGGCCTTGCAAATATCATCGATCCACCATTCACAAATTCCTTCTCTAGTGATCTCCTAGGTCTTCCTATTCCAGACGACGACCAACTCTGGGGTCTGAGCCCAGTTTCACCAATGGCCGGTTGGGACAAAGCCGACTCGGCAGCCTTTGCCAATTCCGCACTCGAGCGGGACCTCAAAAATGCTCAGGTCCGCAATGGTCAACCAACCCCGCCCCCATACGATGATCAAGGCCGAGATCTGTCCCTCGACATGATGGAAAGTGCGAGCAAACGCCGGCGCGTGCGCGAATACAAGACCGCCGCCGCAAGCCTCAGCCCAGATCTCGACGACGCCCCACACGAACGCGCCAAGCGCGCAAAGTTCCTCGAGCGCAACCGTCTCGCCGCAAGCAAGTGTCGCCAGAAAAAGAAAGAGCACACCCAGCACCTCGAGTTCAGCTTCAAGGAGCAGTCCGAAAAGAGGGAACAGTTGATTGCGGAGATTGCCCGACTGCGCTCGGAGATCCTGGGTCTGAAGAATGAGGTGCTGAAACATGCTCAGTGTGGGGATGAGCCGATTAAGCTCCATCTCGCACAGATGGTCAAGAAAATTACTGATAAAGATGGTGCCCCGTCCGCGGAGGCGCTGCCGGAATCGCCTGTCAGAATCCCAGATAACCCCTCTGTTTCTGTTTCCCCGCTCGAACCTACCCCGGCTCCAGTTACGGCTTCTGTCCCTGTGTCTACGTCTGCCCCTGCGCCGACGGCGATGTCGTTTGGCTTTGATGATCCTCTGCAGCTTGAGCCGGCGGCTGCGGCGGCGGCGGAGGCGTTTGAGCAGCAGATGCGGCGCGAGTCGGAGGCTTCGCTTGTCTCGGAGGGGTCTTATTCGTTCTCGGCGGAGGATGCATCCTTTGATGACTTGATCAACGTGTGAGTTGAACGGGAGTTGATGTTATGTGATAACGACCTTTTATGTGGAGGTAATCGGGGCAGCAGGTCTGTCTGGCGTTGAATGTGGGTTTCTGAAACCTTTGAATTGCGATCCAGTGTGGGAACTGGAGGGTGTCTGGCGTTTTGATTCCGGCTTGAGTATACGGAAGCTTCTTTGATATTACTGCGTTTGATTCTCAGTTCTAGCTGCCTTGAGGGCGATTGGCTAGGGGGTGGATTGTTGCTGTGGGCAATTGCCTTGAGATGTATCTTTTATTACATGGCAGATGGAAATGAATTGGTTTCTATCGATGTCTTTATGATAGACAAAATAGAGCTATCTAGCCTAAACTCAAGACCGTCCGGTCGACTCGACATGTGCAGTCCGATGCTTGGATACCGATTCGACATTATCGATCTGCGCATCCTGATACCTTTCAGCAGGTACCTGTGGTGCAGTAGCGTCATCCAAAGGATCTTTCCACCCATGCTCAGCATCCGGGCGAGCATCGAACATCCCGTTAATCTCCTCGAGAGACTTGCCAGCCGTCTCCTTCAGACAGAAGTAAGTAAAGCCCACAATCACCACATCCAGCAGTCCAAACAGCAAGAATGTACCCCATCCTAGGCTCTCCTGGATATACGGTGTTGAGAAACTCCAGACAAAATTGAACAGCCACTGCGATCCAACACCGAACGCAACACCGGGCTCCCGAATGCGCGTAGGGAAGATCTCACTCGCACACGGCCACGGTAACGGGCCCCAACTGAAGTTGTAAGCAATGATATCGAGGTATATCAGGGCAACCGTGGCAATCCCAGAAGAGGTAACCGTCCCATCACCAGGCTGGGGGTAAGTCTTCACGACCGCCGCAGTGGCAATCATACAAACCGCCATAAAGCCCGCACCACCCGCCAACAAAGGCCGTCTCCCAAAACGATCCGACAAAAACACCACAAAAACCAAACAAGCAACGACCTTGATGGCGCCAAAAATCCCCGTCAACAAAAGCGTCCGATCCCCATCCCCAACAAGCAACTCAAAAAACTGCGGCCCGAAATACGCCAACGCCGTCGACCCCGTCGACTGCTGCGCAAGAAACAGTCCACCCGCAATCCCCATCCTCTTCATATTCCCCGCCTCAACCAACTCCCAAACCCTAAATCCATCCCTCGCATCCCTCTCCTCCTCCAATCCCCTCCTCATATCCTCAAACTCCCCCCCGAACCACCTCCCCCCTCCCCACCCCGAATCCAAACAAGACACTCCCACGCCTCAGCCTCCCGCCCAACACCCAGTAACCACCGCACACTCTCCTTAACACCAAACATCCCAACCCCCATCAGAACACCAGGCACAAGCTGCAACCCAACAGGAATCTGCCACTGCCGCGCCCCAGCCTCGTCTCCCATCCCCTTAACCCCATAATCAACCCAGTACGAAACAAGGATCCCAACCGTGTACGTGAGCTGATAACAACTCCCCAACTGGCCACGGATTTCCTTTGGGCTCATCTCCGACATGTAGATCGGGATGACGGTCGCAGACCCGCCAATGCCGAGTCCGCAGATTACCCGTCCGACGTAGAATAGAGGGAGGGAATGCGAGTCGATCGTTTCGAGGATTACGCCCACGCTGAAGATTAGAGAACATAGGCCCATGGCGAGACGGCGTCCGTAGCGGTTTGTTATTGGCCAGATTAGGAAACAGCCGGCGAGGGCGCCGGCTTGTTGGATTCCGACAGCGATTGCGCTTGTGTGGGTTTTCTCCGAGGGGTGGATTGAGAAGGAGGTTTGGAAGGTTTGGAAGGTTAGGACACCGCCTGGGACTTGTTAGTATGATTTGTATGAATTGGGCTGGATAGCATTGGAATGCTGTGTCGGATAGGTGGGTAGATAGGTAGTTACTCACCAATTACCCCCGAGTCATATCCGAACAAAGCTCCGCCGCAGCAGAGTATGAGAGCGAACCAGTATATGCGCCAGTGAGGCCTTGGTGGTCGTGTTGTTCCCATTGTAGGAGCTGGGTCTGGAGGCTCTAATTGTGGTATTTGGGCGAGCTGCGAGTAGGGGATTGTGGATGTTGTGTTCCACCAAGTATTTAGAGTGTTGTACCAATTAGAGAATGGCGATATATGTATGGGGTTATATATATATGTACTGGAAGGGAGAGATGTGGAAGATATAGGCATTGCATTGGACATGTGTAGATGTAAACTATTGAATCAGACCTGTCATAGATCCAAAAGAGGGAAAACGGGTCGGGTAGAGAGCTGTTTCTGGGCGTGGAGAACCCCGGGGCCCGGATAGTGGATTATGTCATTGGGGATTGCGTGACATCCAGGGTGGTATTTTGTTATTTTCTTCGTTTACTTCCAGGACATTGCGTGATTCCCAATCTCATTGGCTTATTTTCTCTTTTCTGAGTCCTGGGCACTGTCGATCAAATGTGGAGATCAAATTCCCCGCATTTCGAGCCGATGGCCGATGGCCGATTGGCGATTTCCATATGACATGTACAGGGGTCTGAGATATAACCATGGGCGTGTCACTCACCCATCACCTCATCTTCTCTACTTTCCTTCAAAATGGCAGCTAAACGTCCCAATTTCCTCGTCATAGTCGCCGACGACCTAGGTTTCTCCGATGTAGGCTGTTTTGGTGGAGAAATCCGCACGCCCAACATCGACCAAATCGCCAAAGAGGGACTCCGATTTACTGACTTCCATGCAGCGGCAGCATGCTCGTAAGTTTCCCTGCTCAGACTACCATCTCTCAGTTAAACTCACAATACCCAGTCCCACACGCGCCATGATCATGACCGGCACAGACCACCACATTGCCGGTCTGGGTAATCTAATCGAATGGACCAACATCTCCGGCCAGAACGGACCTAAAGGATCATCCATGAGCACCGCGCCCCAGCGCGGAATGCCCGGGTACGAGGGCTACCTCAACGAGCGGGTCGTGGCACTCCCCGAGGTCCTACGCGACGGGGGATATCACACCATCATGTCGGGCAAGTGGCACCTGGGCCTAACTCCAGAGCGCTCCCCACACAAGCGAGGGTTTGAGCGCTCATTCGCGCACTTACCCGCCTGCTCAAACCACTATGCCTATGAGCCAGAGCTGAAAGACCAGGACCAGTGCCCGACCTTCATCGAGGCCAGCTACATCGCCCTGCACATGGAGGACGGCGAGTACGTGCGCCACCTCCCAGAGGGCTGGTACTCGTCCGACGGGTACGGCGACAAGATGGTAGATTACCTGAAAGAATGGAAAGCTACTGGCGGCAGCGAAGGCCCCGACGGTCAGGGCGACCGTCCATTCTTCGCGTACCTCCCCTTCACAGCGCCGCATTGGCCGCTGCAAGCTCCGCGCGAGTACATCGATCACTACCGCGGTGTGTACGACGAAGGGCCGGACGTGCTTCGCGCAAAGCGTCTGCAGCGTCTAAAGGAACTGGGGATGGTGCGCGACGACGTCGAGCCACACCCGGTGCAAGCGGAGGAAGTCAAGGAGTGGGAGGAGTACAGCGCGGAGGAGAAGAAGAAGTCCGCCGTGGCGATGGAGGTGTTTGCCGGGATGGTCGAGTGCATTGATTCAAATGTCGGGAAGGTAGTCGAGTACCTTCGGTCGATTGACGAGCTGGATAACACATTCGTGTGCTTCATGTCGGATAATGGTGCCGAAGGCGCCGCCTACGAGGCCTACCCCATGGTCCAGAACGGCGTCATGCCCCATCTGCAGAAATACTACGATAACAGCTTGGAGAACCTCGGGAACGGGAACTCGTTTATCTGGTACGGCCCGCGCTGGGCGCAGGCTGCTACTGCCCCGTCGCGTCTGTATAAGGCGTATACCACTGAGGGTGGCGTGCGTGTCCCATTTACCTGTCGCTTCCCTGCGAACTTCAATGTCAACCCTGTAGACGTTGCGGCCGGTAAGGGTGGGATCACGGATCAGTTCGCCACGGTTATGGACCTGGCCCCGTCTATCTTGGATATGGCCGGGATCAAGCACCCAGCGCCGACGTACCAGGGTCGTGAGATTGTTGAGATGCGCGGACGAAGTTTCCACCCCTGGGCAGTGGGCCAAGCGGAGCGGATCCACCCGGCTGAGTTTATTCAGGGCTGGGAGACGTGTGGACGGGCTGCGCTGCGTTGTGCGGACTGGAAGATCGTTTTCATTCCCAAGCCCAAGGGTCCGGAGAAGTGGCAGTTGTATAACCTCGTGCAAGATCCCGGGGAGATTCACGATCTGTCAGATTCCGAGCCGGAGAAGTTGAAGCAGTTGCTTAAGCTCTGGGATCAGTATGTGCTTGAGACGGGTGTTGTCCCGCTCTGTCCTGATCTTGGGGAATTTTTGGAGGCGACTGAGGCACAGATGCCTGAGAATGCATGGATGGAGTTTGATTATTGGAAAGACGGTGCTAGAGACCAGCCGGAGAAGTTTACGCGTCAACCGCCGAGGTTTCAGCGGACTGTGAGGCCTTTCTGAGGGGGGAGTTCCCTAGTTCGAATTATTCCAAACAGATCAAATAGAAAATGTCTTACAGTTGTCCTTTGTTTCAGAACATGCAACTTGCCGATACTCCTGAGTAACCGCGGGGCAAAGCAATTCACCATAGACCGTCTCTAATAGATATTCCCCCTGAACCCAGGACTCCCCATACCAGGAATAATCAAAAGGCCAATCATGAAAGGCAAACTAATGTTCTTCGACGAAGTAGCCTGGGACAAAAGCGACGCCCAACTCGCAACCTGGAAAACATCCCTCCTCAACCCAGAATCCCTTCAAAAGATAACCACATTAATCAAAACCCACCGCCAAGGCGTATCAGACCACCTCTTCCCACCGCAAAAAGGCTCCTTCAACATGGTAATCCGCCTACGATTCATCGACGGCGCCTCAGCCATAATCCGCTTCCCAATCCCAGGCTACTCAATCTTCCCAGACGAAAAGCTCCAGCACGAAGTATCGGTGATGCGCTTTCTCGAGCGACACACAGGCATCCGCATCCCACACGTCCTGTACCACGGCAGCAGCGACGAAAGTCCGAACCAACTAGGCCCGTTCATTATCATGGAGTATATCGACCACAACGCTGATCTGGTGGATGCACTGAACACGCCCGGAATACCGGACGAAGAGCGGCCGGTTCTCGATCCCAATATCGACGAGAATAGACTCCGCTCGGTGTATAACCAGATGGCGGGGTTGTTGCTGCAGGTGTCGAAACACTCGTTCCCTCGTATTGGGTGTATATCTAATGCGGCGGAAGATGAGTTCGATGACGAGTGGGTTGTTGAGCACAGGCCGTTGAGTATCAATATGAATGAGCTTGTGCAGGTTGGTGGTGTTGCCGCTGGGGATTTGCCGGGCGTGACGGAGACGTTTGGTACTGCGCGGGCGTATTTACTTGCTCTTGCCGAGTTGCATATGAGGCATCTTTCGTCGCAGCGGAATGATGCTGTTGACGATGCGCAGGACTGCCGGATGAAGTATATTGCGCGGTGTTTGTTTCGGAGGCTTGCGAGGGAGGGACGGCTTTGTTGGGCTGGTGAGGATGGGGGGGGTTTAGGTTGTTCTGTGATGATCTAAGGCCGGCGAATGTGCTTGCTAACTCGGACTTTGGGTATAAGATATCCGGGGCTATTGATTGGGAATTTGCTTATGCTGCTCCGTTGGAGTTTGTGTATAGTCCGCCGTGTTGGCTGTTGCTTGAGAGGCCGGAGTACTGCGAGGAGGGGATTGATGACTGGGAGAGGGTGTATGAGAGCCGGTTGGGGGTTTTCTTGCAGGAGCTGCGCGTGCGAGAGGATGTTGATATTCGGCGTGGGGTTATTGGTGAGGAGAATCGGCTTTCTGGACATATGCGGGAGAGCTGGGATAATGGGGGGTTCTGGGTTAGTTATGCGGCGAGGAGGAGTTGGGCTTTTGATATTATTTACTGGGCGAGGATTGATCAGAGGTTCTTTGGGGAGGGGAGTTTGGAGGATCGGATTGAATTGTTGACTGTTGAGGAGAGGGATGGGATGGAGGCATTTGTACAGAGGAAGTTATCTGAGAAGGAGGGGGGTGGTTTAGTGAGTTGATATTAATGGTATGTATGATATTAACGAGGTAATAATATTTATCTTTACAGGAAGTATATAAATCTTCAAGTAGTATATAAGAGCTGGAGTAGGGCTGTCCAGGAATACAGTAAGTTGTCTATCAACATGCCAGAACAAGCCTCAATTTGACGTCTTTGACCTTACTTTGAGCTGATCAGGTACTTTCTGCATGAATTAGGATAAAATCTTGGAAGTGTCTCGGATGTGTAAATGTGTGATAAGACAAATAAGACAAATCAGGCTCGGTGGGTTTCTTTTGATAGCAATGATGATACCCTATTGACCGGAAATACGATGCTAGCAGGCATGTCTCTGCCCGAATCCACTCGACTAAATAACATTAAAGACAAGCAGAGAAATTAGATAAGCGAAGATGGCCAACCTTGGAAACTCCGGAGTGCGTAGGGTTTATCATCAACAAAAATCATCATCTAGCGTACTGCCAGAGAATATTGAGATAAAGGTAATACCCTTTCATCGACTCTTTGCAGATTCCGGCAACTCGTGGAGAGTATTTTCTGTGTGGCTAGGTAGCTCTGCCACAGAACTTTTGCCGTCTAACTCGCTCGGTATGCCCGGGGACTGCAAAGACTCGTGCTGCAACATTGCTGCTCCGGTGATGGGTGTCTGCACTTGAGGTGGTTGCGTCCGTGAGCGACGACGCATGAAATACCAAAGCAAGGCGACAATGATTGCTAGCCCGGCAACACCACCAACCACACCACCTGCGATAGCGCCAGTATTTGGACTGGAGGAGCTACTCGATGCTGGGGAACTGCTAGATGTTGGGGAGTTGCTTGAAGTCGGGGAGCTGCTCGATATCGCGGAGCTGCTCGGTGTTGGGGTCGTGCCTAGTTATATCAGAACTGGGCGCATGTCGAGTTTAAGCAGGACTTGAATCTTACCAAGTGAAACCGGGCTTAGCGACGTCCTACTTTCAATGATAAGATCTCGTTCTGTCCCACACCCAACCCCGCCCTGAGACCTATTAAACCCGTATTGACCCTGCTCACAACAGAAATGCCCGCCATCATAGTTTCGATAAAGATCCCAGGTTTCGTTGGCGCAGTGTGCTGGGTTACTAACTTCCTGTCTGCAGTCTTGTTCATCCGGACAACACAACCCTGTGTTTGCGTCGCTACACGTTGCGCCGGTGGGGCAGCATCGCCAGAAATGTTGAGATGTTACAGGATCCTTCCCTGCGTCGGTGTCGCATTCTCCTATGTCTCTTAGGCAGGAGCCATTTCTGCGTATTGCGAATCCGAACGGGGGACCATTGGCAGTCATGATAGGAAAGAAAGAAACAAAATACCAAACATAAGTTGGTTAAGAAGAGTAGAAGAAGTGCGTGACATATAATTAAGCAAAGGCGAGGAACATGGGACAGAAGGAGGTAATGGCCTTCGAAAGAAGGTTGGATTTAAGTGCCAACCGAAGCGAGAAAAACAGACAGAAGGGGAAAGCTGGTGGAACTCAGTTCTTTAATAGAGGGACCCTGCGCTTCAAACAGCTGCAGGGCTATATTGGTGCCGCCTTGGCATTGATTATCAGTCTTGGCGAAGGTTTCCTAGACCATAACAGATAACCTCCTAGTCCAGCCGAAAGTAGTGTATTCTTTCCAGATGACCTTTGTTCTGGATCTTCTAAGCGCGGATGCCATGATAAACGCTTGAGCAAAGGGAGGTTCAACATAGACGGGATCAAAGCCACGGGGCTATGGGCCCACATGAGCACGGCCCTGGCAGGACAAGGCAAAGATCAACAATGTCAAGGGAAAAAAGGACATCCGGAAAATTATCGAATGGACTGAATAGGGAGAATCAGCTATAACCTTGGAAAAGAACAAGTATTATGTAATTTACTATGTAATGCCAAATGATTTCCATCATCATTGAAACTGGAGGTAACAGCAACTGTACGGAGTATTCTGCGGTTGAAAAGTACCAGGGGAGGACGACCGGGAAGACAGCTTAACAGCGCTAAACCTCAAAAGGGGAAGGCTAATTCAGAACGGCAATTCACAGGTGATGTTATATTCTGTTCCTATAAACATTATTCTGTTGTATACCCGTTTACAAGTAAATCAGTCGGAACCCTACTTTGATAACACTCTTTAACCGAAATTAGTAGTGGTAGCCGGAAATCGTGGAAATATGAATAACTAGTCTCTTTAGCTTTGGTACTAATGTATCCCACGGGTAATAATCTAGTACTTTCTGTTCAAATGTTCTTATTGATGCCATGTGAAACTTGGAAACGCCTGGCTTTGTATTATATAACATTGCCCATCCGACTTCCTGGACATGAAGTACTACCTACCTAGGTAGGTAACTAAATGCTAAAGCATACCCTAAGTATCACTGAGTATCACGCGACTAGTACTAGTACAATTAACTAGGGAAAAGACCTCGGGAAGTGATCACTGAGTAATCAGTGCTGTGAGATACTGAGCATGAACCTCTTATAAAGCGGGGGCACCCCGATCGGGAAATTCACATCGGCCTAAACTCCGCATACACATATATGTACGTATACGTAGGTATGTACTTTGTTTGTATCTAGTGCAATTTGGGTTCAAATATTTAAACTGGGGCTTAGTCCATCATGGAGGTAATTTGTATACTCCCCACCTTGTTCCTGACACTAACGTAAATCCTTCCCAGGTACCGAAAGCCCGGGGAGCTGGCAGGTCGGGCCCGCGTCGACGGACAGGATGCCTAACATGCAGGGCCCGTAAGGTCCGGTGCGACGAAGGGAAACCAAGTTGCTCCAATTGCGACCGACTGCGTCTACAATGTCTCTATAAACCCCCTGTCGCCCCTGGCGTGGGGTGGGGGTCATCACCAACTCGGCCTTCAAACAATATAACTGCATCGCCGAACAACACAGCGGATATAGGCAGCTCAGGCTCGCCCGCTGCAGCCGCTACAGCATCCCGCTCTCCCGATATGAACTTCTTTAGTACCGTGCTTCGTGCAGACGGCCACACAATATCAACGCCGACAACCACACTTGGGCAGCTCCCTACAGACCAGGAATCCTATCTTTCCGAGTTTGACATGCTTGGATTTATGGGCGGTGTCACCTCTGATCTCGAACAGAAACACCTGGACTTGACAACCGGGCTCTCGATGGCTTTCACGGCTAGTCCGGCGTTGCAGTCGCTACCCGCAACACTTATACCAGGCATGGATGAAGGGTACTTTTCAGCGGACCGCCGAGTCCCATTTACTCCAGATACCTCGCCTTCACTTGTTGATAGGACCTCGATTGACAGTGCTGCAGAAGTGCCAACTACGCGGGGCAGCTTGTCCGATGCAGGCGGCACTTCATATGAGGACCAGTTGCTACAGCACTTTCTGACTATTGACCCGCCGGCTGCTCTTTTTGCGCCGGTAAACATCGAGTGGAAGTATATGCGGCCAGCACTGCTGGCTCATGCACGAGATTCTAGTTCGCTTTTGAATGCTGTATACTGCTATGCAGATGTCCATAAAGCGATGATGGAAGGGAAAAATGGCACTGGGCGCCGACCTTTTATAGACTGTCCAGTTCGGAGATCCAAGCTTGTATTCATGGCGAGGTGACCGAGTCTACACTCATCAAAGTTTTTGGTGCTGTCTTTCTCTTAATGATATCCGAGGTATGTTCTGCTTGATCTCGAGATAGAGTGGACTTGGCTCATATTGTCCCAGATCCTCTCATCTCCCGAAATATGTACCGGAACTTCTTATATCCACTCCGGATACCTTATACTACAACGATTCCATAATCGTACCCGACATTGGACCGGCCTCGGTCATCTCCTAGTGTCATGGGTCTCGCTGCTAGATGTCAAGTCCCTGATCGCAGGCCGAGATGGCGACCCTCTCACTGAGCTCGGCAACATCCCAGAACATAGACTAGATACGCAAAATTCCCAAACACCTCACACGAAAGCGCCAACAGACAGCATCGAAGACCCATTCCTCAGCCCAAACTACCTCATCTACGAATCAATCGTAGGCCCAGCATTCCGATTCTTCGTACAAGCCCAACAAGTCGTCCGACGGATAGTCTGCATCGACCTCCACCACCGCAGCCGCGGAACCCTAACGGACGAGTTCGAAGTACTCCAACTCGCCCACAAAGTCGGCGCAGACCTCGAAACACTCTGGCACCGCCGTCCCTCAGTAATAGACGTCTACGGCCGACCAGAAGCCCTAACAGATATCCTGTGTGTGCCTGTGGCATCGGAAATCTGTCGCACATTCCGACAATACGTGGCCAACTTCTTAGCGAACTTTATCTACTTGCATCGCGTTGCGTTTGCAATCTACCCTCGCACAGACCGCGTCAACGGCGCCATCGATCAGATCATCCAACTGGCTACCGTTGACTCTACCGGGCGGGACCATCTGCCCGTTAGCTTCCTATGGCCGTTGTTCGTTGCTGGGCTTGAGGGTACGGATGATCAGCGCAAGTGGATTGTCCATGAGATTCAGCGTATGGCTGCTGCCCATGAAGCTAACTCGGCGCCTTCGGTTACTCGCCACCCGGCTGTTGATAGGGTTCTCGTGCTTGTGGAGGAGATGACTCGGCGGCAGGATGTGTCGAGCACATGGGCGGACTCGAAATGTGTGAGGCGGGAATTGTTTTCGGATTTTTTCGTGATGATTTGAACTTCATGTTGGGAGAGATGTATATAACACTTTTTAATGGTTTGGCGGTACGCTCATATGGGACGACTTTGCTTTTTAATATTTTTGTGACGATCTTGTTCATATACAGATTCTTAAATGAAATATGATACAAGAACTTACAACCACTTCAAACGTTCAAAACCGACCCAGACCCAATCGCTTGATATGACGCTTTGTCCCCGCCCATACACCGCGATCGATGCAGTAGATGACCTCGTTCCTTGCGCACATACGCCGCAAAACAAACAGCAGCGACCGCCACAGCCCCAAAACTGATCATCACCGGATACACGAACTGAGCCGGTAGCGGGAAAGCAATAGTCGAAGCAAAAGAAAGCATCTCGAAAACATTCTGCAGCGCCATTTCAGTCGCAGAGAAGCGGGCACGGGCACGTTCCTGGATATTCTACATAATGGCATTCATTTAGCACATGCAACCCACAAATCAATAATCTAGGAGAAACCACTTACCTCTTGAACAAGAAACTGAACCGACAAGTCAAATCCCCAAAGCCCAACCCGACTCAAAGCAACGCCCGCAATCAGCGTACCCGCCACGAACCGCGAGCTGGAGTCCCAAGCAACGAAAGGCACGGCAGCAGCAGCCACACAGACAAACTGCCAGTTCAGGAACCACAGCCCAGACCGAATGGGACCGATCCGGTTCGTGATCATCGGCGCTGTCCATGTGCCAGATAGCTCGGCGATCACGGAGCCGATGCGCATGTAGCTGACCTGTAACGAGGTAAAGCCCGTGCTTAACAGGTATGTGACCATTGTTGCGCCGAAGGATAGGACTGTTAGGTAAAGCAGGCTCAGGGCGAAGGATGCTAGGAAGACTGGGCTGGCTATGTACTCTTTCCAAGGTGCTAGTGACTCTGGCAACGAGTGGAGTATATTGCGAGACGCATTGTGGTGAGCATCGTCGCTCTCATTGTTTATATCATCTGTTTGTGTGGTAGGAGCTTGTGTCTTGGTCAAGGCTGGGACTGATTGGTAGACTTGGGCAATGGCCATGTATTCGACCAGCACAGATGCCGTATTCAGGGTGAATACTGTCCAAATTGCATATCGGGTTGATATGCCGTCGATCAAGGAGATGAATACTGGTGCTAGGAGCTTGCAGAAGAGATCAATTCGTCTCATGGAGGCGTTCAGGTCTGTGGTTCGATCAAATTAGATATTGTAGTGCGTCAAGTCGTTTCGGTTTTCTCACCTTGCCGAGGGACATTGATACTGTCCGAGATGACAATTGCCTAGTGCAAACTATCAGTGATGTCTTTTCCTAGCATATCAGAGGAGTTCGGATGCATGGAAGAAACCAGACAACCCGAATATGATTCCCCGTACTTACCCAGTCCCGTTCTACAGCCACGGTATTAGCCGTCGCAGCCAATTTCTCCATACAAGCCAGCAGGCCCTGCACAGCGAACAGGCCAATTGTAAGCGGCCAAGAGTCCGTAGACAGATTGGCTATAAAACACAAGCACGAGACCGCGACAGGGACTCTTTGCCACACTACTTTTTCGATTAGCCATTGGCCTGCATGATACGCCGTGCATATTGAAATATCACAAGGACTCAAACTTACCAATAGAATGCCTCACGGCTACGAGCCGGTCTGAGCGATCAACTTGCGCACCCAGCCAGGACGATAGTGCGACGGCTGAAAACGCCCGCACTAGAGCGTATATCGAAGCATACAGTAGCGTCCCCGGGAAGATCGAAGCTAGGAAGAGCACGGCGCCAAATTCGAACATGCGTGAGTTCCATGTTGAGAGAGTGTGTGAGATGTACAGGCGTGCTAGTACTGAGCGGGCTTCTGGTGCTGGGGTATCATTTTGTCGTGAGGCATTATCCGCCGAGGCCGGTAACAGAGCACTGGACGAATTGTTGGCGTTTTCTGATGAGCGCCGGCTAGGCGCTAGGGAACTCTCGAATTCCATCTGAAGACGTGCGATTTACAGCATATGTACAAGGGACTGGTGGGAATGGTATTTGTGGATTTGATGGAGATCAGTTGGGCGACGGATCAGTAATGTCGCGGGTGGGCTGAGGACCTTGTGGAAACTTAAAATGTTGACAATAGCAGACATCTTATATGTAGTAGTTATGTATAATAAATGCACTTATATAGAGTCCTATTAGAGTCAGTCCATCAGTTCAATACTACAGTGCTACTAGGGAAACCAAATCAATCAATAATCGCAAATTCACGAAAATGAATAGTATGTGGTATATGGGCCCAATTCCCACTAAATTCTAATACACCCGAACAATAAAAATTACAAGCTATAGACGGTATCCCTCTCTTTAATCCACCCACTTGAGTCCTTCGGGAGATGATGTTGTCGTCCGTCGGGCAATCACCTCGACGACCTTTCGGCGCACACCCTCGCGGTGGGCGTATTTCTGGAGGAAGTAGTCGACCACGGGTCTCCGCGATGAGTGGCCTTGGCGCACAACCTTCTCAATCTCCTTCTCAGAGGGAAGAGCAAAGTGGGCATGAGGGTAGTTTTTGTAATCTCCCTGGCTCAGAAGCGGTAGGCGGGAGTCGCCCTCGGGGATCTCGAAGAACTTGTCCACGGTTTTATCCGAGACCTCATCGAGCGTAGCGGGCTGCCACTCAGGCTTGCGGGCAGGCTTGGACATCAGGCGGGCCTTGACACCCTCGACGAAATCGGGGTGGCGCATGAAATTGGCAGCGATTTCGTGCTCGCGCTGGAAGGTCTCTGAGATAGTCCACTTCTTGCCAAGACGTAACTGGCGCAGGGTCACCTTCAGAGAAGTTGGAGAGCGGCCTGACAAAGTCTCCAATGTCTTCTGTGCCCACTCCTTGTGCTCAGTTTCATTTTCCAATGCCTGGATGATCTCCTCCATGGTGTTAAATCCGAAACAGCGGTCAATGGCAGTGCGCAGGCTACCGGCCATGAGCATAGGCTCCTCCTCAAGCGAGGGGAGACCAAGGGAAAACTCAGCCATGGTCTTGTTCACGATTTCCAAACGCTCGGGAAGCTCGACGTGGTCGGGGAAAGTCAGCTCAGAAAGACGCTGCGCCACATTGCTCAGAACACTGGAGTGCAAGTAGTGTGTGGCAATGCCTGCATACAGAGCCTGAACACCCTGCAGGCGCTCCGAGGTGAGAGCCAGGTATGTGCCGGTCTCGCCATCCAGGCGCGGGAGGAAGAACGAGCCGCCAACGTCGGGGAAGAAGCCAATAGTGGTCTCGGGCATAGCAAAAACGGTACGCTCAGTCGCAATTCGGAAGGGGGCGTGCATGCTGAGGCCCACACCACCGCCCATGGTGATTCCATCCATAAATGAGATAACAGGTTTCGAGTATGTAGCGATCAGGTGGTCGAGGCGGTATTCGAGGCCGAAGAAATCTGTCGATGCTTTTTGTCCTTCCACTCCACTCTCATTCTGCAACGCGAGGGCAGCAACATCACCTCCTGCGCAGAGAGCCTTGGTGCCGGCTCCGGAAATGAGGATCATGTTCGCAAGATGAGATTTCTCCCACTCCTATTCATCCAACGCTTAGTATTGTATGTTTCTGAGGTTCCAGGTATCCATTCTAACCTTCAGCCGAGGGAGAATCTTGCGAGCCATCGAGCCATTGAGGGAGTTGAGCTTCTTGGGTCGGTTGAGCTCAACGCTGCGGAGGCCGTAGATCGAGTTGAACAGAACATCATCGCGCTCATCGCCGGGGAGCTCTTTGGGGATATCAGGGGTAGTCGACATCTAACAATGGTAAGCACTGGATATCGGGTTTCTCTCCGAACAGGGTGTGTACCATAGCTGTTGCCCGAAAGGCAGGGTTGGTCACCTTGGCTCGTAGAGGCATTGCGGAAGGGACGCGCGAGATCCAGCTCGGCGAGGAGACGCGATTGAATTGTCGGAGTAACATTAGGAACTGGAATATGACGAGAACCAGGGAAGGGGCTTATGTGGTGACAATCAGGTGTTTTCTCCGCTTTCCTTGACCTCGGGAGTTTTTCGCTGGATTTTCTTTCCGCTCCGAGGACCAACTCTCCGCCCATAACCGACAAGCTCGGAGGAACATCTCGGAGACATCTCCTCAATTGATGTCATTTTTAGAATTATAAATGGATGTAAATAATACAAAAAGCCATTCAAGTACTGCATATGCTGTAGCCCCCAGCCTGACTGAAAAGCGATAATGTTCGAAGTATAGTTAGATGATCTATTTGTACACAGCTAGATAATGCCAAAAGAGAAAAAGGAAAAAGAAACAGAGAATGATACAATTAAACGTTCTCCCATGTAGCCCTCATCCGGCTAAATTTCAGGGGATACACCTTTTCCCCGTTTGCTGAAGGCGAAAAGAGAGTGTCCACCTTCGCCAAGTCCGTCGAATGCGAAAGCAGGATCTTGTGCAGTGCATTCTTCTCAATAACCAATCTTGCTGTCTCCAGGACATTCTTCACATCCAAATCCTCGACGCTGATAGTTCGTGCGTGGTTGCCAAACTTTTCCACCGCATCAGAGAACATCTCATTCGGCTCCAGTGTAACGAATGTAGACCGGCCCTTCTGATACCAGCCATGAGCTTTGACGAGATTTCTGATGAAGAATGGACTCGAAGCTTCATTGATATCAATGGTGTTGTCAACAACAATCAATTCACCGCGTGAAAGCCGGTGGCTGAGGGCAATGCGCCAGGCCTGATCGTAGATCTTTCGGGGCAGATCGGTCGAGAAATCACGAGGATGAGGTCCGAAAGCGACACCACCACCTCGTCGAACTGGCGACATCTTATCACCCGCACGCGCACGGCCGGAGCCCTTTTGCGCGTACAGCTTCTTGTGACTACCGTGCACATCGTCCCTCCACTTGGTGCTGGCTGAACCTTGTCGGGTGCTGTCACCCTCGTAGATGACTGCGCGGTGGAGAATATCGTGGCGAGTGGGCATCTGAAGTAGTCGCCGGGAGTAGTGGACCAGACGTTGGGGTTCCAAGTCAGGCCACCGGTAGGTCATGACTTGAACAGGGGTTTGGCCACCTGGTCGTTGTGCTTGTTCAACCTGGACGGCATCCTTGGTTGCTCCAGGGGGTTGCGTTGTGGCTTCGGTTGCCATTGAGCGTGTAAGGCATCGTTGCTGTATAATTCCATGCGCTGTCAGTAAATGCGTCCTAGGACTGGACCGAGCAGAATTCATGGAGCACTAACCGTCACCTGCTTCGGGCCTGACACGAGTCCGCCGGAGCTGCGCGACAGCAGCCTCAGCGACCGAATAACATCGTTTCCGGGCATTGTGAATGTCACGGCGTAATCGACGTATAAGTTGGTGATGTCCGGAGGCTTGAATGGAGCAAAAGTTGATCCCGGGCGGTGGGTGCCAGCAGAACTTTGGCGCTACAAAGTATAGATTCAACTACTAACCAGCCTTTAGTTTTTCTTTTGCCTAAGAAAAAAATGGGTTTAGATATCCTTTAAATGTAGAGGAAGGCGATAAAAATGCACAGACCGTGCAGAGGACCTTTCTATGTGAAGAGCTGCGCAATATTCTACATGGTATCCTCGGAGCACTAGGATGGTCACGTGATGGGATAGGTACCGAACAGAAAAAGTTCCCCGGAAGACAACAACATCGGATCCTCAGGCCAAGCCCATCATAACCCCCAATTTCTCGAATCATGGCCCACTGTGAGCTGGCTTCAAAGCCTCTGCTCCAATGCCTTCGCAACACCTACTCTAGAGGCGTGGCTGGAGTCCAGCTCCAAACGCGAGCCTTCCAGTCGACCGCCAGCGTTCGGGAGGCCGAAGCTGAAACCCCGAGCCAACCTTTCCACAAGGCACCCGATCCCTCTCTTGTGACGAGTCCCCGTCTTGAAAGACGGTTGCTGCGGCAGGGAACCACCCCCATTGGATCTCGTCGTCGCCGTGCCGCGCTCCAAAACTCAGACAACATTCCTTTCGAACAACTACCCTACCAATGTTTCCAAGAAGCCCGGAAGATTTTGCTTGCGGACCGCGAAGAGAAGTTGAAGGAGATTGAGACGATGAGGCAGCGTCTTGCCCGGCAGGAGGCTTTGTCCGTCGAGGAGGCTGGAGGAGCCAAGGCGAAGAAGTCCCGCGTTACTGCGATGCAATTACACCTGGAGCGCCTTAAGGTTCTGGCCGATATTAACGACCCCTTGGTCAAGCGGAAGTTCGAAGATAATGAAGGTAATCATCTCCACGTCAACTGGTCAAATTGGGCCGAGGCTAATGGTCTTTTTTCTATCATTTCAGGTGACATGTCCAAGCCCATCTACCGCTTTTTGGCCGACCGAAAATGGCGCGAATACCGCCGCAAGATTCTGGTCCAGCGTATCACCCAGATGAAGGTCATTCCCGATGTCCTGCCTCACTGCGACCCCGTCGTTGAAACAAAGTTGTACTTCGGCAAGCGACAAGTCCAAGCCGGTGAATTCGTTGAAGCGAAACTCAGCACAGACGCTCCTAAACTCGACGTGCAGATGTTTGAGGGTGGTGAGAAGCTGGTCACCATTGCAGTTGTCGACCCTGATGTCCCGAACGTTGAGAACGACAACTTCGATTATAAGACACACTTCCTGGCCGTCAACGTCCCCATCTCGGCCACCTCCACCAAGGTCGATCTCGCGCAGCTTTTGGAAGATTCCCAGGTGGTTCTCCCTTGGCTACCACCTGTTGCCCAGAAGGGAAGTCCCTACCACCGTCTCTCTCTCTTCGTCATGGAGCAGAAGGATTCCCAGCCTCTCGACTTTGCTGCCGTCAAGGCTAAGGAGGCTAACCGTGACACCACCCTCCTTCGCACTCTCCAGTCCCGTTACCGCCTCAAGGCCATTGGTGCTCACCTGTTCCGTACCCAATGGGACGACACCACCTTGGAGGTCATGAAGCAGATTGGATTCGACGGTGCCAATGTGGAGCTGCGCCGCAAGAGAGTCGAGCCTCTGCCATATAAGAGACGCAACCCCTCCTCGTTCCGCTGATCTTGTTTGTCTTCAAGCCTTTGTATTGTACAATTTGATATATGTATGAATATGCACACTGATTTAATAATCCCTTCCATCCGAACTCCATGCGTATGCTTAAACAAAATGGACCCGAGTGCCACGCATCGGCAAACTGCAATCCACCTGTCCGGTATAATGTACATTGTATAATCCTCAAATGTTCTGGGCATCCAGCTGCGCCGGTTTCAACGGATTCGTCACCCACTCCATCTTCGACAGAGGCCATACCCTGGCAATTATCTTCCCATTAATGAGGCCCATGGGCACTGGACCGTAATTCCTCGAGTCCCTAGACCAGGGAAGATTGTCGCCGGCGAGAAAGACATGACCTTTGGGGATCTGCACAGACACCACAAGTCAGCAATTAAATCCAATCGGAAACAAGACACATAACCCACCTGAATCATATTGCCCTCCTTGCCAATATCCGTACTAAGCGGCTTATCTTGACAGACAAAATCCCCAGGCATGCCCACTACCCGCTTGGCCACATGCACGCCTTGAAAGTTCGGATGGCCATATCGCACGATATCTCCGACCTCGATTCCTTTGCCATTGCGGTGCATGCGCGATATCAGGAGCCAGTCACCTCGTACATCGAAGGTAGGGTACATCGACGGGCCCTCGCTGAGCTGGATAGTTATCAGGTGCTCCCAGATCAGTGCGCAGGCGCAGAACGTGCTGGTGCCATTGAGCGCGACCCGGCCAATGGTACGCAGGTTGGCAGCCTTTATTACAGACCGGATTAAGTGCTCCATCTGTGGTGAATTGGAAGCATGGTATTTCTCAGATCGAGCTTCATCAACTATTCCGCGGTTAGACGGGAACGGTCATGTGATCATATGGAGCCTTTAAAAATACGTTTTTTCTTTTTGCTCCGCTTTTCCCTCTTCTCCCACCATCAGTCAATGTGTCCTGTGTCTTGAACCAGCGATGGATAGAATGTCGCTGTCGTATTGGATCTCGATATCCAGGATCCTTCCAGCTATATCAGCTGCCTATTAATGTTTGGGTGCTGGGCTGAGAAGGACCTGGATTCTCATCCATGTCTCAATTATTCTGAGCATCTCTACAGATTGGAGATGCTCTTGCATTCAATATCCTTTACATATACTATTCCCCTTACCCCTTACCCCTACCCCAATCCCTTTCGGGATATTCGCTTCTCCAAATGCTAGAGCTTGCCGTCGCCGAAATACATAACCAGGACGAGCACGTGTGGACAATGAAGCAAGATGAACACAACCAGCCTATCTGATAGGTTGTCCCCCAGTGTGCCTCACTTTGACCCCATTTCATTATGGGACTGGGTTCTTGAGGCATGCGTAGCGGGGAGACATCTCAATTAGACAATCTATTACCATTTTCGATTTCTCATGCTCTCTCAAGTTCTTTTGTAGCCTTTGGACACTATTGACGAGATTTACCCATGCGTCAATTAAGGTGACTTCTGAAACCACTGATCAGCATCTAACAAGCATGTCAGTCCAAGTCCAAGCAAAGCCAATCAACAAGCATAATACGTACCCGGATGCTTCTCAACGGGCTCAATGCCCTCCCTCTTCTTCGCCTTCTGCCGATGATCCACCCCGTACCTCTTATTCCGATCCTCAAGCAACGAATCCAGGCCCGCGGGATGTGCCAGCTTAACACTCTCATCCGATACAAAGCTGCCCATCAACTGCGGCGGACCTAGAGGCACAGCGTCACCACGATCAACCTGCCAGAAATGATACGTCTTGCCATAGATAGGCGCAACATCACGCATCTCCGCCGTCTCGGCAGCTTCCCATACAGCATCGGGAACACCAGTCGGTGCTGGCATGATCAGCATACCACTCTTGACCTCGAACTCGTGCGTGTGCCAGAGCTTACGCTCTTCGGTGGGAAGGGTCGCGAAAATGCGCGGCGAGACCATGTATTCCACGCCGATGAGGCGGGCGTTTGCCTTGGACGAGTCGTAGATCAGACATTGGCGCATATCTGGATGAGGTATTAGTATCCAGCACATGGGTCATTTGGTTGTTTTTGGCTGTAAATATGTTGTTACATACCCTCTGTTAAGTGAGTGCAATAATGATTGGCCTCGACGCATCGGGTTGGATCGCTGGCGTAGTTGTGGAATGCGTTGAGATGCGCGCAGATTTGCTTTACCGGCGTGAAGTCCTGGATTATCGAGGCTCCGCTTTCGAGGACTCGACTCTTCATTGTCCGTGGATCGCCTGGGAGTTCATTTCCATCGCTGCAACAGCTCTTTTCGAAGTTTGACATTTTGCCGTAAGTGCGTTGACTTCGAAGGTTGTATTTGCGATTTATTTATGAGTGTTTGCGAAGAGAGTCTTGAATTGACACAAACTGCAATTTACTACTTGGATCATATAAATCCATGAGGCAAGTTTCTTGAATTGTTTCCTTAGCATTGACGTCACGATGATTGCTGACTTCCTATTTGGGACTATTCGCTATTACAGCTACACTTACTCCATAGATATGGCTACTGGTATATAATTGGTGGAAATAAGAAAGCGATAGTACATTGTACTTCAAGCTGTCAACATATGTAAAGTCATGCAGGCTGTAGTCCAGTATAAACCGTTGTACGGAGCATATTATATGTTTCTACCGGATACCACCTCTTCTTCATACGGTGACACTACTTATTGGAACAGTTGCGTCAATTGGCTTCTCTTATATTGGACTTAATTTGCCTCGATAGCTCAAGCGATAGTCTCCTTTTGCTGCAACAAGTCATAAGTCGGAGCCTTCCTCATATCAAAATTGCCCTGACCATCAAAACGGTGCTGATCTTTCTTCCGTTGGCAGTAAGCTATTGCTACATTGCGCACTATGCTCCACTCAAGCATGCTCGTGCCTAAAGCCTTGTTATCGGCCTTGAGCGTTTCCAAAGCCTCCTGTACCCACGTGACACAATTCCACCCCGGCCGACCCTGTCGGACAGGCGTATTGCGCATAATCTCGGCTACATGATATCCATCCAATACCTTCCCAACCAATATACGAACAAGTAACATGCTAGTAGCCGCAAGCGAACACTCGAGCTCCTCGAAGTGCCACTCAGAGCCTCCGCCGAGCTTTGGGCTCTCGTTCGCGTGGTAACAGAATCCCGTGCTATTCTCCGTTTCAACTTTGGGCCCTACAATCAGGGACCAATGGTACCTAGTCAAGATATATATTAATCTTGCTGGTTGCAAGCTAAACAACATCATGAATGGTGATCTCACGTGTCTTCCTTGCCTGGCATGGTTGGTCTGCCTCCTCGTGCATGGAGAGCAACATATATACGGTCTTTGTTAGAGGGCATTGCAAGTGACGTTAGCCGAGATGGCTAGATATTTTGCTAATTGGTCGAGTATTGCTGAAGGGATGGTCGAAATGGGGTTCTTTCCTGAATGGGCTTTATGGATGTCTTTATACTTTCGTGGCCCAACGCTCGCTACAAGCTTTAACCAATGCTATAGCCGCTCCTGAATACGATGTGATGTGATTCGGGTTGCAGTAGATCTTCCGATACTCTTAAAATAGAACCGAATTTTGGGCACTTTGTTCGGATAGGTCGTACGTTGAACCCAAAGAAAAAGGGGCCAATTGCATTTACAGAAATTCCAACCGAAGAACAAACCCCTGCTAGTAGGATTGGGCACACAAAAATAGAAAATGGAAATAGACCGGAGCAGCCCTAGCTTGGTTTGATGACGTAGGGAACCTGTCAGCTGACCCCGCCATCATGTGCTTGAGACTCCGCACCAATGCTCCAAAGCAGACGTGTTTTATATCGAATTACCCATGGACCTGGTCAAGCTGGATTTCAACTGGCAAGCTCGACCAACTAATGGATCTATCTGTTTATCTGGATTTGGCTAAAAGATTAGGCATTGATTTGGCTGCTCACTTCGCCAAAATAGAGTATCTTTGGTTTCTCCTACATCTGAGCAGACGACAGACAACTGCGGAATATCAGAAGAAAATGTGGGTAGGTTGTCCCCCAATTGATGTTGACAGGCCCGTCGGCATCCATATCATACCTTGTTATGCGGGATGCCTTGGACACCTCATAGGTATGACCATACAAACCCGCCCTAGTTAGTACAGATCATGAACAGAAATTATAACTGGGATCCTTTGAATGTTATACCCTGTTCTTGTCACCTGATCAAACAAACAGTCTTCAGAGATACATCTACAGCTCTGGAATGTTTCTCATAATTTGTATCTTACCTCTCTATCCTCTCGTGACCAACGGCATCGTTTTGCCATTCCATGCCCGCATCCAGCATCATGGATGTATTCCATTCCGAAGGTCTGCAATACCGTAGTTTCAGCTCTCCTGAGGATGACGACTTCTTCCATTCCATGCAGAGTGACCCCGTTACCTTCACAAACTCCTGTGTATCACTCACACGACCTGTGGACCGCCGGTTCACCAAGAATATCAGAAAGCACCTTACCGAGAACTCGCTCTTGTTCGTGGTTATCTACAGAATACCCCGTTTCTCAGACAATTCAATCTATCTCCGCAATCGGGTGCAACCCGAGCCCGAGCGCATCGGCATAATGTTCTTGAAGTCTGCAAGTCCAGATATGGCTCACCACCGTTGTTCAGAATGCGGTATCGATATGAAGAAGCACTACCAAAGCCAATATGGTGATTTGGCAATCAAGTGGAGGCTTGACTGGGCATTCAGAAGTGCTAATCTGCACCGGGTGGAGTGCAAAGTTTTCGGTTGGAACACTGGCATACTGAAGATTTTTAAGAGTGTTGGCTTCTTTGAGGAGGGAAAGAGAAGGGAGTGCTTGTTCAAGGACGATAAATGGTGGGACGAAGTGCATTTGGGGATTCTCAAGGAGGAGTGGCAGCTAATCAGACATTGAGAGGTCAACTGGTGGAAATTTACTACTATTGTTTCTGCGAAGACAAAATCATCTACAGAGGTACCTATGGGCCTGACACCATATGTGCCTCAGGTCACCTATTAGCATTTTCGCTCGACGTAAGACTACATTAACTCAATACCGAAGCAACATCAAATATTCTTCAACGTTGTTCCATTGTAAGCAAGGCTTCGTGCCCAGATGTCAATATATTCCCTCCGCTGACCCTAGTCACAGGTTCACAGGTGCCAAAACAGTTCCCGCCGAGAACGAAATCTACCCATCCAAGTTCTTCAAGTACCGATAAACTTCGACAAAACTGGTGAGCCATTCTTTCTCCATCTCGTGGTGAGGGTCCCAGTAAAGGGCTTCTGGCCTCTGGTAACTTATGTTGCTACCATATTTGAACATTGTAAAATAAGGTCCCTCTAAAGAAACTCGTTCACTTGCACCACATGGTTCGGACCACGGAGTATTCGCTGTTCGAAGAAGATCGCCATCTTTGTTGACTGCATTCCTCCACACAAATTCAGCTTTTTGCGCTGCCGTCTCCGGAGGTGAGATATAAAATTTCGGCATTCCATCAATAACAATTTGGACAGAATTGATGATAGAAGATGGGTGCGAAGCGGCACCAGTTGAAGCAATTGTTTTGCTCGCCACAAGCTGATCACCTTCTGTGATACCATGCTTCTGCATCATATGCAACAGTTGGTGCAAGGCCGAGTCGAACGGGGTGATATTCAGAAAGTCATAACTGAAGTGTTCTGAACCGATGAACGCGGCCGGGGTCCGCATGATTGCATCAGCGGTATGCCGCAATCTCGACACGATGTGTGCGGTATTTGGCCGAAATTCCTGTGCCGGGTCCAGTGTGCGTTTTAGGATATCCGGATTTGCTTCCAGCATATCAGCAGTCCAGCGAAGCTCCGAAGCCCTCGACTGAAATAAATTGGCCTTTGCTTTCTGTATGTCATGCCAGCATTCCTTCAGCTGTTCGAAAGAATAGTCTCTCTTGAGATATCCAGATTGGTTGGAGTAATTAGGAGCACCGAACCGAGTCAGGTCTGTTTTGCACCAATGGATATTGAGCTCATCACGAATGCGTTCCTTCATATGGGACAGGATATATCCGTATTGACGAGGCCTGAGACAGTGGATATTCGCGCCAAGATCGTCTGCCGCAAGCCAGTCTTTTGGTACGAATGCCTTTCCCACTGCCATGAATAGATCTTTGTAGAAGTGGGCAGCGAATTTGCACTTGGCGAAGGTTTCTGGGTCGGCACCGAACATGTTGCGGCAGATTGGATGGGACATGATACAAGCGTCTACTCGATCATTATCGTAGCATAGCAGCTTGAGGATGTCGCATACTCGCAGGTCATCGATGATTTGGTGAGCGAGTTCAGTTGGTATAGCCGCTATATTGCGGACTATAGAACTGGTTGATGTTTTCGGATTGCCCATTTTCTCAGGTCTGTCGTTTTTGGGAATTTCAAGGGAAAGTTCAAGAATATAAGAAAAGGATATTGCGGAGCCGCATGTGATAAAGCTACTTCGTGGGGCCAAAAGCACGAAGGCACTGAGTCATTTCCGTTGACTCATCGTAAGCTTCTACCTACATATTTATCTATGTCCTTCTATTCTATTCGGTATTTTATCCTCAAAAAATTCAGGCAACAAGATGAAGGAAGAGTCCCCAGGATTGCCCCTGCCAGACGCAGAGACAATTGCACAGCGCCTGCGACAAGACCAACAAGCCTGCAGGGAGAGAAAAGTGCCTAGCAATCTAGCAATCCAACTATCTTCTGTTACAGACGATATATTTGATAAAATAGCCTGGCATCTCCACCCAAACAGCGAAGTGTCGAAAGCATTGCGGTCGACTAGGTGCAACAGCATTGTCAAAGGCATCAAGGCCTACCTAGGCCAATTGGAAGCGATGACCAAATCTGAGGAACATACGTCCATGGATAGTATGCATGTCCCTACATCACACGAGTTGGAAACGACCCTCAAAGTGCTGGACTATCTTCAAAAGCACAAAGTGGTTCCTCCAACAGACCCTTTATCTGAGGCTATTCTAGTCTTGCGGGGTCAACTCTCCATGGACGACAACACTCGATACAAACAACACGAACAATTTCGGAGAGACGACACACCAAGACCCTCAGACGTGAAGAAGAGATGCTACATCTGTCGGTACCGCTTCTCGCCCAATGATTCCCACGAACTATACCCGGCACTATGTCGCCAATGCGGCATGTTTAATATCGGCTGCTCGAACCTCTCCCTACCAGAAAATCTAAACCTCACTGGTAAAATTGCACTCGTCACTGGGGGGAGAATAAACCTGGGTTACTCCACTGCGTTGAGACTCCTCCGTTGTGGAGCCAAAGTCATCGTATCCTCACGGTATCCAGCCGATGCCGCAGTTCGATATTCCACCGAACCGGACTTCGCTCAATGGGAGGAACGACTGAAAGTAGTTGGCGCAGACTTCAGAACAGCAAATGATGCTTTCAGGCTGGTACATATTGTCAAGCAATTACTATGTGCTTGGGATGGCGAGACTCCATCTGATACACCACGATCCCTGGATATACTTATCAACAACGCCGCGCAAACCCTCACGGATCCAATCAAAGGAGAAATAAAAGCCATTCTCAGAGAGGACTATCTAAAAGACCATCCACAGGCCATGTCTCTACTCGCAGAATCCGAGAAAGACAGATACACACCCCGTGTAAGAGGAGGACAGCAAGCAACCTGGATCCCACGCATTACGGACGAAACCCAACTTGAAATTGAAGATGCAAGCAATACCCAATCTACAAACCAAATAGCTACAAAAGGCCTCCGAACGCCAACCGACAATGGAGATGAAGAGCCCTCAAAATCATCCTGGGTCCAATCCCTCCACGAAATCCCTTACTCAGATCTAATAAGCGCCCACTCCGTCAACGCCTTCGTGCCACTAATCCTCTGCCGTGAACTCCTCCCAGTTATGGGCTCTCCACGCTCCTCCTCCTCCTCACCATCCACACCAGCAGGATACATAATAAACGTCTCATCCCGCGAAGGAATACTGGAAGATACACCGCAATCACGGAGCAAAGCCGGACACCACGTACACACGAATATGTCCAAAGCAGGGATCAACATGATAACAGAGACAGAAGCACAAGCTGCGTGGAAGGGACGGCGTGTCGCTATGAATTCTGTTGATCCGGGGTATATGAGTGCTGCACCGGAGTGCCGGACTGTGGAAGGGTGTCCGATTGGTTTTGAGGATGGTGCTGCGAGGGTTCTGTGGCCTATTGCTGTTGGGGAGGTCGAGGAAAGAGTCGTTTGGGGGAGGTTTTTGAAGCATTTTCGGGTCGGGGTTGCCATTACACAGAGAGGGTAGATAATGGCTCTCAGGTTAGATGCTTTACATTCCTACTTCGTCATCTTCGGACCATGAAATGGGCTTTACCTCCAAGAATATGACGAACAAGACTACTACGGGCTTTATCTTCTATGGACAGTGGATGATGGTGGGATTGGATTCTGGCGACATCTCTTCCAGCTTCTATGTTAGAGAGAACTCGCAGGATGAAGGGTTTATTTCTTGCTGAATATGTCTGATGATACAACTGCTATTCCAGTGTCCTTGCTTTCCGTGGAGCCTTCTAACGATCCTGGATGACGAAGAGCCTGTGCTCTGCTATGAGTAGGCAGGAGAATTTCTCTAAGATTCCTGGTTGCATGGAGAGACGGGGATTGGTAGTTGTGATAATTTGGCCTTGGCCTAATGGAAAGTCGACATTGTCAAGTTAGGTCCATTTGTAGCTATCTGGAAAGAGATAGAAAATAACATTTCCTATTGTAAAGAAATCACAAGTTGTATCAAATTGGTTCTTTGTCTAAAATTTTCATCCACATTATGACAGAGTCTAATCAAGCATCCTCCAAGGTCGCAGCAAAGTCATTGAAAAGAACCTGTAGCCGTTGGCCCTCTTCATCCGCAACCTGACTATGGGTTTTGGCACTTCCGATTGGGTGGTAAGGGAATGGTCTAGGAGAAGTTAGAACTGAGCCCATAGAAGGGGAAATTGAGAGGACCAACCCATATTCTGGCACGAAAACAATTCTTGTGGTTGCTCCATCCTTGGCCCGCGAACGGATAACACTTTTCCAAATCCTCTCGAAACACTCTTTCTCTTCTTTGAAGACGGGGTTTGTAGGTTCGGGGCATTGTGAAGCTTGTGTCGTTCCGATTCTTGCGTGGATATGGTAAACCTAGCCCAGTATTAGAATCATATAACCTGAAACTGGGGTGTGTGTTCCTTACATGTGGTATAATTGCGTCCATCATGATTTTATCACCTTCGCTGACGTCCAGCACTCTTTCACATCCAACCATCCAGTGGGAGAAATCGGCCGTAATCCGAAGTCTAGGGTAATGTCAGCACTTTGTCCGGTCGTCCGAATGATGTAGGGTAAGGCTTTCATACTCGGGGACAGCCTCCAAAATGCGCCGTGTGGCATACGGCGTGAAGAGCGATCGGTTTCTGTGCGTCTCGTGGTAGACACGGCCAGATATTCCAAGCTCGCTGTCAATCTGGAGAGTCCCTTTATAGAATTTAATTGACTCCTCGACGTCCCAAAGGTCTCTTTAACTAAGTGTCAGATAGAATACTCAGCCATCAGGCCATACAGTTGTCACTTACTCGCCTGATTGGAAGTTTATAGTCGATGGCCTCAATTGCTGAACCGATTCGAGCAGGCGTCGATAATTTTGCAAGTGGTGGTCTGCTTTGGTGCCAGCCGGGCGAGGCCCGACATACATGAACCAAGACGAATGTATCCTTTGAGTCAAATCAGCAGGTTACTCTTTTCCTTTGCCATTTATCACCGACATTAACCCAATCTCTAAGCCAGTCTGGTTGCATAGCTCCCTGAGACGGGGAAAGTCTCTACTTGGCTCAAGCGGATGAATGTCCACTTCGACACCACCTACCAAGAAGTAACATTAGTCCAACACATCCCAAATATGTATTTAAACGTGGGGGAACTGTGCACATACTGTAACCTTGAGCTTTTAGTTCTGGAAACCATTGGGCCCAATGGTCCATGTTCGGACCAGGGGCAATTCCCCAGACAGATCGAAAACGGTCGATTTTCATAGTGTAGAGTAGATCGCGAATTGGGTGTATTGGAGAAGTTTCAATTGCATTCAATTGAACTGGAGAAACCAATTCATTTATGTTCTCATGCAAGCTCAATGTATATTTCCCCTCATTGAAAGTTCCCACTACACCTAATAGGTGAGGTTCCCCGTCATAGTTCCAAGGTGGGGCATTTGGACCAGCGCTGTTATTGGTTCCTTCTGTTAGAGTGTCCCCACTGCCAAGGCCTGATTGGCCCAAATTGGTGCCTCTGCGGGGAAAAATGCCATTTTAAGAACGAGATTCCCTCCCTCGGTAGGGTGATGTCACATAATGCGGGGGATTGTACTCATTGTGTTGATCTTAATTTGATCAACGCTAGATCGAAATAAAAGATCATGGCGTGGTGGGGTTTCGTTTTGAGAGTATCACCGTGTACTACGCGCATGTCTTGGACTATGATATAAGAAAGAGAGATTCCTTGGTGATCGAGTACACCAACACGATGGTAACTGCAAGACACAGTCCTTTCTGAGCAAAATGTTATCCCTGAGGTTACTTTTTTCTCCTTGTGATATGACTTCTTCCAGAAAGGAATTTTTGGCCCACACATCCACGACGCTGATCGCGATACAAATTCCGATCGATTGTTAGTACCAGCCAATTCTCCCACAGCATTGAATTCCGACCCCATAGACCTGCTTATAGCAAGGTGGGCGACTCCAGAAAGGGCAGCATTCCCCGTGTCAACTCAGTGCGGGGATCAAGGTAGCTCCCCCTCATATCACTGTTTATGGTGAAAGCATGAGTAGAGCTCCACGTTAAATTATTTCATATGCATTGGCCGAACCGTGAGCTACCAATTTCCTACAAATACTGCAATACCCCGCAGAGTGCCCCCCATCGACTCCTCGCAATTCAACCACTTCCGCAAAATCAGAATCACAATGGCAACGACAACTATGAAAGCGCTGAACTATCTCGGGCCTTACCAGGTTCGGGTTGAAGATGTCGAGAAGCCGAAGATGGAGCATCCTGATGACATTATTGTAAAGGTGACTACGGTGAGTGATGTGAAGACTCTGTTAACTTGATAATGAAAATCAAACTGATTGGGTATCAAGGCTGCCATTTGCGGTTCGGACTTGCAGTAAGATTTCCTCAAAAATGCCCGCGCTTCCTTCTAGGAGACTGACTGGGATGCAGTATGTACGAAAGGGAGAACAGCCGCTGAGCCCGGGATTACGTTTGGTACTGCTTCTCGACTGGAAGACCCCAAAACTGTCAAAAGCGCTAACCCAGGCACAGGTCACGAGAACATGGGAATCGTGGAAGAATTGGGTGAGGGAGTTACCTTGCTGAAAAAAGGAGATCGTGTCGTCATGCCCTTCAACGTCGCGGATGGTCGGTGTCGCAACTGTGAGGAAGGGAGAACTGCATTCTGCACCGGTGTCAATCCTGGCTTTGCTGGTGGTGCCTACGGTAAGAGCTAAGGAATCAGTTCCAATTATTTTGGGCTCACAATTCCTAGGATACGTCGCAATGGGTCCCTACCGCGGAGGTAAGGTTTCCAATAAAGGTTCATTGTCGATACAAGACCTCTAACACTTAATACAGGCCAGGCACAGTACATTCGCGTCCCATATGCCGACTTCAACGCTCTTAAGTTGCCCCCTGGTAAGGAACATGAAGCAGACTTCGTTCTTCTAGCCGGTGAGTTTGATGCTCGTCTCTTCACGATCCCTCGTACTAATGCAGACTTGTTAGATATCTTCCCAACCGGTACTATCAACCCTATTACCCCGAAGAGCGAACCGTATCCCGATTCTGACAATATCTATAGGCTGGCACGGTGTGGAAATTTCCGGATTCCAAGCAGGCGAAAGTATTGCAGTATTCGGCGCTGGTCCTGTCGGACTGATGGCCGCATACTCCGCTGCTCTACGAGGAGCGTCTAACATTTACGTTGTTGATCGCGTTCCCGAGCGTCTGGAAGCCGCTAAGAACATCGGCGCTATTCCCATAGACTTCACCAAGGGAGACGCCGTCGATCAGATAATCAGTCACAACGGGGATATGGTTGATCGCTCGGTAGATGCCGTTGGATATCAGGCTGTTGACTCCAATGGTTCTGCGGAAAAGGCGAATATCGTTCTTGAGAACATGATTCGGGTGACTCGGGCTTGTGGTGGGATGGGAATTCCTGGATTATACGTTCCTAGGTTTGTGAAGAAAGATCTTCTATTCTCGACAACTTACCTAACGATTCGATAGTGACCCTGGTGCAGCTGACGCTGCCACTGCGAATGGAATGATCAGTCTGAGCTTTGGAAAGTTGTTTGAAAAGGTATCGAAATGTCCTCTCTACTGTTTTACTAGAGCTAACCTTTGTAGGGTCTTTCCCTTGGTACTGGACAGTGCAATGTCAAGGCCTATAACCGATACCTTCGAGACATGATTATTGCCGGCAAAGCAAAGCCCAGCTTTGTAATTTCGCATGAGATTGCTCTCGCAGATGCTGAGACTGCTTATGAGAAATTCGACAAAAAGGGAGGATGGGTACACAAAAGTGATCATTCATCCAAATGGTGGGTTTTGATAAACTACCTGGAAGTCTGGAAGTAGTAGATCACTTTGAAAGGGGCGCTTGCATATTCACAAATAACTAGAACACGCGAAATTATCGACCAATGACACTAAGATTCCTATTTATCCGTGCCAGAGTACATCTGCTTCAATAAACCTTCTCTAGGAAGAAGATTTCGTGGAGTATCAAACTCAACTGAGACATCCAGCATCCAATACTGCAATTCGATCAAAATCTATGATTGTGTCAAGCTGCCAAACGGTTAGCTCGCTCTTAGACAGACGGAACTGGGAACATACTCTATGCGCGACGCTGAAAACAGTACAGTCATGGAAAGCATCTCTCATGACTTTCTGCACTTGCCGGTCTGTTTGGGCATCAAGACTGCTCGTGGCTTCATCCAGAATTAGCACCTGACACCCAGTATTACTGGTTTGTCTTTTAATAATGGCCCTCGCCAGACAGAAGAGTTGCTGCTCTCCTTGCGATAGTGGATGGTCCTCAAGCAGTGCGTCCAGCCCCCCCGCGACTTTCAATCGCTGCCCAAATGCCAATCTGCTTCAGCACAGATATAATCTCGCTGTCACTGGCGAGCCCCATGATGTCTGCATTATAGCGGATAGTTCCTAAAAGCGTGAACGAATCCTGCGGCACGGCTATCAACCTCTCTTGGATTGATGCGGGGACGATCTTGGAAATGTCAGTCTGATCAATTGTGATATTGCCATGCGAGAAGTCTACAAGGCGCAGCATGGCTAGCGTGAGGGAGCTTTTCCCACTGAAACACGGGACGGTCTGTCAGCAGCCTGGTTAAATAAAGGGAAGTCAGAAGCTGAGAAACAACGTACCTGCCAGTGCGGCCGCAGATACCGATCTTTTCGCCCGGACATATGTGCATAGAGATGTTATCCAGAGCCAGAGTTCCGTCGGGATAACGGAGAGAAAGGTCCTGTATGTTAATATCCCCCTTATCAGGCCACGATGTAGGCAGTTCTGCGGCTGTGCCCGGTCTGTTTTCAGATGGTGTCGTCTCAACAAATGATTTGACACGGGCTATCGCTCCAAGGGAGGTCTCGAGAGTAGTCCATGATGTGATGAAGTATGACAACAATTGGTTGAATCCAAGAATATTGTTCAGCGCGACGCCGAGGAGGCTCGAGTCCGTGTTGCTACGCAGCATGACGGCTAGTGTTACCACAACGGTTGCCAATGCCATCACCACAATGTCCAAGACCAGATTCAGCCACCTCTGTGCGCATAGTAACATGTAGTACGGCTTCTGAGACTCATCAAGGTGCCGAGTTAGAATCTCTGACGAGGCATCTTGCCAGCCAAATGCCCGGATTGTCGGCAGACCTTCGAGGACCTCGGCAAAGTGAGAGTACAACGGGCTTCTAGATTCCAGATCAAGGTATCGTAGTTGGCGACTTGTCTTGAGATAAACTTTTTGCAAGAAATAGAGTACGATCAGTGTGACCGGTATTGTTGTTGCCATAAAAGGGGACCCCATGGCGATCAGGCCGATGGTAGCAATGCACCCAAAAAAGGACTCAGCGGAAGACATCAACGCAATAGGAAGAGCCAAATCCACCAGGGTCATATCTTGACTAAACCGATTCAAAGTCACACCATTATCAGTGGCGGCGAAGAAGGACAATGGTGCCCGTATAGTCGTATCCAAAAGCAGCCAGTGCAATCGAATAGCCGATTTCGGCATCAGTTCAAGGAATACGACCCATATGCACCAAATGGTAAGGAGGGATGCTGCCAGTGTGAAGACCACGTAGACAGATAAATAGAGAGGAAGCTGTCCGCCTCCTGCCGTGGTCCATCTGCTCAACCACACTTGTGGAAAGCTCTCGGCAAATGCCAAGAGAACATGTCCAACAAGGAACACGACGCAAAGAACTGAACCCACTGTTCGCGCGTAGTAATAATATACTGATAGATCTCCAATTTGCCGAGTTCGATCCATATTTTCGATCTCACCGATAGGGTCGGAGTCCGAAACCATGGTGGTTGAATGGTCATTGGGTTTGTCATTGAGGTCGTCCTGGATTTGCGCATCTGAATATTGTCTAGCCTGCCAGAAATTTGTATTGAGAACAGCCTCACTGCCTGTTGTTTGAAGGTCAACTCGACCATCCGAGGTGAGCGAGACCACACTATCTGCGATTCCAAGGAGTCGAGCTATGATGGAGAACATCACGAGTCAGCACGCGCTAGTCACAAAAGTCGACAGGGCAGCATACAATTGTGAGTGGTCAAAACCACAGTTGTGCCCTGCTGACGAAATATCCCATCACGAGAGAGAAGTCGTTGAATGATCATTTCTTGCGTGTGCGCATCTAACGCACTCATGACATCGTCGAGCAACGCTATATCGTGGCGGCTGTACACCGAACGAGCCAGTGCCTCCAAAGAGGTGTTAGCGTTTGTCAGGCGATACACATCCTAATATTGTTGCATACCACTCGCTGTTTTTGACCTCCGGAAAGGGCAAGACCCTTACTTCCAATCTCACTTTGGTCACCGTCGGGCCAACGACGAATGTCCTCATCCAAGCAGCATGAATAGGTGACAGTTTTGTACCATTTCTCATCGACCTCATGGTCCGAGATACCGGTTATGCTTTTCTTGATTGTTGTATTGAGCAGCCATGGATTCTGGCTGCAATAGGATACTCTGCTCGATTTGATATACACGGCACCCGATAGACAACCAAGCTCACCTAGGATGGTCTTTAGCAACGTAGTTTTACCCGAGCCGACAGGGCCAATAACAATGACCAGACTGCCACTAGTGACTTTGAAGGACACGTCATTGAGGGCGGTACTTGTAGCCTTTTGCGACGGTAAGACAGTAACGCTATCTAAGGCGATGGCGACTTCAGGCTCGTTCTTGTCTGAAGTAAAAGACGAAACTCCATTCTTGCGCACTCGGCTATCTTTCATCGGCTCAGAGACTATGTATTCGTGAATCCGCTGGAAGCATCCCATGGCAGCCGCTAGCTGTGGTAAGACAGCGAGAAGTCTTTCTGCGGGCGTAGTGACGAGTGTAATAATACTAAGAGCAGTGAAGGCTTTAACAGTAGTAAGGGAGTCGTCCGCCCTAATTTGTGCTTGTACAGCGTACACAACGAAGGTAATGACGGGCGACCATATCCGAGGCAGACTTGCTGGTTGAGATCAGCAGAGCGACAACATAAAGAGACGAATTGACTAACCTAGGCCATTTAACCACATGATACCCTTGAAGAAAGCGCGAGATACAAAAAGTTCTCGTTCGCGATGCCCCTGGAGGGCTTCGAATAGTTTGCTAGAGAGTCCTGAAATCTTAGCAGCTTTGATAGAACCCAGGACAGATGATGTGTTCTGAATCCTCTTCTGAATTTCAAGGTTCCAATTTTGCTGGTTGTTTCCAATTGTCTTCGCCACCAGCTTTTGACCACCCAGGCATGCTGGCAAAAGATAAGTTCGCAAGCGACACACTTTTTGATGCAAGGCTTTCTTCTTACCTAGAGTCAGAATCAATGGAACCACGCAAGTTGCACCCACTTGTCTTTCAAGTAGCCATGTGCCAATTGCCACTTCAATCGTGCGTGCCCAGACGTCATTGAAATTCTCCAGATGCTCGATGACGCCGTCAATGTCTTTTTGGGGCAAATTAGCACTAGATTTTCCTTTCACATTCTCGGACAGGCGAAAGCGCACCTCTCACTTACCTGTACTCATCAAAGTTAGAGCTGCACTTTCTGCAAAGAGGTCGTCCTGAAGCGTCAAGGTCCTGTCGTGGATCAATGAGATCATTGTTCCACGGAACAATGTGCTGACTCTGGAGAAACGATGTCTGTAGTGAACATTAGACAACTAGGATTTTGATTAGCAGCGAAAGAAATACAAAAGGCAAAAGTCCGAAGGCACAGGTCATACCGCTAACCCAAGGTAAATCAAGAATGTGGCTCCAATGAGACCATATCCACGATTCCAGCTCTCTGTTGTGATCGGGTCCTCTATATAAACCAAAACTGCCGTGATCATGAATGGCTGGGCAAAATTGAACCCAATCATACACACTCTAGGAAAGGCAACGGTGAGGAATTCCCACCAGAAACAGCAGACAAAGGCCCACGGCAAGGGAAGATTGTTCCCTGCTTTACCTGGGGCGTGTCAGCGTATGATACACCCAGCTCCGGAGAAGATATCAAACCATGTTTCTCCCACGCTCTTTTCAGCTTTTCGCCTGCATTACCAGAGGTAAGGCCAGGCTCAAGAGCAAAAAGGTCCCGACTCCCAATGATCTTCCGACACCCAGTCAAAAAGAGCCGGTTCAGCCACCAAACGAAGCTCAGATTAACAATGCCACATGTTGCCTCGGGCGGATACTCTTTATATGGGGACTTCAGATAAGATGTTTTCTCTCGGGTCTCCAATATAAACATAGCCAGTTTCGTCCCAAGAATTGCACTTTGTATAGCTGCAATGGCGACTCGATGGGTAAGCCATAGTGTCCGAATCTGTGTCGCGTCAAACAGAATCGAGAGAAGCAGATAAACAGTCAACAGAGAAGAGGGACTTGTCGATTTTATATCTTCGACATAGGACAGCCCAATAATAATGGTAGAATTGGCGAGGCCCAGAGCAGCAGAGGGGATGCTAGTCGACGTCCGCGAAGCAACTGATACGCTCCATAGCACAAGGAGAGACAGCTGAAGGGCGAAATTTATTGAAGCAGCGACCTGTAAGCTGATCAGCGGCAGCCCAAGTTACGAAAAGTATCAGATGAAGAGAAATGTATCTGACCAACTTCAAAAAATAATCGTGTTCGGATCGCGTCTTTCGTTGACAGCGAGACAGATGCAGTAGGCGGGGTGGTCCAGCCAATAGTAGGATCGCAGAAGGAATGATCGACAGTATAGCCTGCTCGAAGGTGATAGTAAAGTCAAATGGCCTCAGGTGGCTAACGGGCCCGAACTCATTCTCGGAGGTGTCTCCTGCCCAAGGGGTAGCTGAACTAGAGGCCATTGCTGTTGGGCCTCAGATGAGAGCCGAGAGCGGTGCGATAGAGAGACATGTAACATAGGGACAAAGGCCTTCTCCGGGATATTCGGGCATAAAATATGTAGAGGCAAACATTTGAAGGATGACGAATGCGAAGTTGCCTATCTACCTAGGTAGGTACCTAGGTACCTACGTAGACAAAGGAATGGCGATAGATAGCGCCATCATCCAGCTCCCCCTGTTTTGCTTAGTGATCAACGGTTACCCCCGGCCCCGGGCCGTGGACTGCAGGAGCCCTGCAGGTGCACCCGTGCACCCGTGAACCTTGCCAGGTGAGCAGGTACCTGTACGTCAGGTGATGTTCTCTCGGTTACCAGACGTACTTTACTCTCATCCATGTCCAATCCCACCTCGCTCATTTCATGGATTACCCCCGGAGACCGTCGGGCACCTCGTCTTCGTCTTGAAGTACCCCGCCTCGCCCCCTTTCCTCCCCGTACGTAGAATACACCGCTTCTCCTTTCGCTTCCCTATCTGCATCCCCGATTAACTGCGGCTGATAGGAATTCCAGTATTCTTCATTCAGGAAAATTTATAGGTATTATCACTGGAGCGCGTTACATTTGATTCCGTCTGTTGAACAGAACATCTTCGCGTGTTCTATTGCACATATAATGCTACGACACTCAAGATATTTTTGCAGAAGGTAATGTACTGGGAGTTACAAAAGCAATGCCACATGGTGAAATTGCCTGCTACAAGTAGAAGATACGCGCAATGATCTGCGCAGAAACAATTTATTAACCAGGCAATATAACCTACTAACCTACTTTTCTAAATGAGTCTGCTTTCCATGAAAGTGGTGAATTTGTAGCAGCTATGGTTGCGGTTATATCACGCGAGGTTCATCCACTGGGACAGATCCATGGATGCATGCATAGATTATTCATCCGAAGTAATTCCAGGCTCGGTATCTGTTCCTAGCTTGTGTCTCGTAGGCAGCTCTGGGATTCCTCTCAATTAACTTTGAGGTATTAGCACATCTTGATTCCCATAGCCATTGACCGAGTAAGTCTTACATAGCTTCAAATCCACTGGAGAGGCTCAGCCTTCTGGTCCTCATCACGCTTGATCCACTGTAGAGGCTCGGCCTTCTGGTCCTCATCGCGCTTTATCCACTGAAGAGGCTCTGGGGCGCTGGAATAGTCGTCGCTCGATTGCTTACTTCGGGCAACTGGATAGATATTAGCTGGCACGTACTATAACTATAAAGTAGTATATTAGGTCCAATATACTCGAGTTGGTAGAGGCAGCTGGAGCTGCAATAGACAGGCTTGCAAGGAGACCAAGCATGTAGAGACCGTTGATAGACTTCATAGTTGCGGCGGTCGATTCGTACAGTATGCGTGAGGTTCAGTTCGATCTTGGAAAATCAGGGCGACTGGCAGTACGCAATGACTTGCTTTTATGGTTAGCGAAATGTCGCGGACACTTACCAAAGATGCATATTGACTTGCTATCTGGAGGGGGGGTGCGTTGTCCACTACCGATTTACTATTCACTTAGGTCTATCCCATCACGCACCACGTCCACCAAACCATTACCATGCGTCAAACACCGGGCCTAGATGATTGACCCAGCGGGGTTGTGCTTTCCTTCGTCCAGCATGTGACATAAATAGCTCAATTGCATTCACTAGCCCGCTCATAACGCAAATAAACCTACTCTTTTTAACAGCGTATTTTAGGAACCTAATCAAGACCAAAGCGCTTCCACACGCATGATGCTATATGATATGGATTGCATGACGCATTGTAATTCTGTCCTTGTGCGAATTCAAGTTGCCACGTAGATCTGAGTTGCATTAACGAGGCTGCGAACATGGGACGGCACGGCCCAGAACTCAAATTCCACTGTCCAAATGATCACATTCAGTTAGTTTGAGGGGTTCCATCATTCTCGCATTCTATGACACAAGCGATGTTACATTTCCATTGCATGAGGCTGCGCTACAGCACAGGCCGAGCGTTCTCTAGTATGCTAGAACAAGGTTGATATGTCACAATACGCTAAGACAGCCGGTGCCAGGGTTAGAGGAGTGTGATAAGAAATCAACAACCTTGGATCAACAATTCAATTGGACGGCTCTTACGTACACCTGGACAGGCAGCACGGAGTCTCCCCCGAGCCTTATTTGTATTCGAAGATCTAACATTTATTATGCTATCGTCCTGCAGATCATCCGCGCGGGTCCCAAATCTGACCAATAAGGTTATGCCTCATTTCAAGCTATCTAATGTGGAATGGTTGACTGTGTAGTCCCAAATGGCGTCGAAACTGCGACATTGGTGCGTCGTATTCCATCCAATGAAGATCAACTGGCCATTGAAGTCGGTTGGAACTTCCATAGTTGTGTCTCCATAGCATTGCAACGCATGCCGGACATAATTGAAGCAATGTTCACTGTGCCACAATCCATGGCCACGGGGTATAAAGTTCGGATCGGTAGTATCTCCGTCAAGTGCTTCGAAGGCCACCGGGTCGAGCTTACCCTCCATCAACTGCCAGAACGTATGGCGAATGGCACCCTTGGACGGACTAGTCAGCGTACTGCTACTTGATAGAGGTAGTAAATGTAATGGCCACAGGCACCACTCACCAAGCAATGAAGCTGATGAAACATGCTAATGCCGTACATCATCTCTCCGTGGACCACGCCTCCAGGGGTAGCTTTAAATCCTCCCAGTTGGGAACGTAAATGAAGCCTTGGTCATTAAGGGTTGCTGTACTCCTTTATTAGATGCGAACTAATCTCGTAGTATAGCAGAAACAGATCATCTTACGGCCGGCTAAAGCCTCCCATGCAGCATCGCTTCTGGGATTTGAACGTTCAGTGAATATTTCAGCTGGTCCGAACTTTCTCATTTCCAAGGGAACTTGAAGTAATTAGCATGGAAGCGTTGGAGAAGGAAAACTATGGCAGAGCGCCATACCTGGCGGAATGGGGTTCCCGTACGGCAAGTTGATACTGATAAGGCTTCGTCGCACAATAGTGTAGTGAGTCGTAAATGCCACTAGAAGGGAAGTCACGGCGAGCAAGAAGGAAAGAAACAAGATGCTGTTCAAAACCGAAATGTGTCGGCGAGAGGCTGAGCGAGGGCCTGAGATCGCCTTTTTGGACAAAAGCCCTATCTCATCCGCTTTTTCCTCCTCATTTCCCGAGTGGACTGCTGCGTACTGGTCGTGTCGGCTATAGGAAGGTAGAACCCATCTGAACATCTTGTAATAGCCAGCCATTACTGTTGAGTATGTATTGGTCTTGAAGGTATGAATGGCTGTGGAGGGCAAGTGGTTGTACTACTTCTTAGACTCACGTTTAGTTGAAGGAAGCCGGTCCAATCTACATAGTGGGACCACCAAATTCACTTCTAGACTAAATAAAAACAATTAATCCAAATCCAATGGTCAGGACGGATGTCCTGAGCCCGACTGTGGAGCGAATTTGCCATGCCTAGGGCGATATGGGGTTACATACATGTTGCGGCCCTAATGCTGCATCATGTCGGTCTCGATGTGAGTTCAACCTCGCGACCACAACGCATGCATCAACCCCGTTATCTCTGTTTCTTGGCTTATATTTGTCGAATTAAATCACAGAGCAGATATAAGCGAGCGTCCATGTGTTTGCCTAGCTAGGCTACATGACGCATTGCGCCATTTCTCAAATTTGCTGATATGAAAAATATGAAACTAACATACGAGTATCATTTTACTGAGACCCGGCCTTACCCACGGATTCTCTTCTCTGGGAAGAAGGAAATTCCTCTCCCATTTTACTAAAAAATCTCTACTCTACGCTCCCTTTTATTGCCATACAAACCTCCTATCCCTTCAACTTTGCTGCCGGGTGTTGAGATGGCCTTCAGAACAAACGAGCGAGGTCCAAGCAGTATCACTACAAATGACGGCGATGATGAACACTCATTCTATATTGAAAGACGCCGCTCCTTTTTCCGCCAGTATGCTGTTGCAGTACTTTGCTTTCTGTTCACCCTTGGTGGTCTCGTGATAACAACAGTAAACATCACCTCAACCTCACGTTCAGGGTCGAACGTGTTTCATTGGAAGCCATCTGCATCGTTATTGCCAACATCGCCATCGTCCCCATCCGCGCATGGCTCATCACCACATGTTTACGACCCGTCGGCTCACGCCATGACTGGGATAATGAAGTCTCCATGTGGCAATACCTCGGCGGAAGCCAAGACACGAGGCTGTCACTTTGACATCATCACATTTTGCTGGCTACCGCATCGCTGCTATGATGAAGAGTTATCGAATTCCTTTGAGCAACTCGTTGACTGGAAGTGGTATCTCGATCGGAACAAGACACAGCCTGTCCCCAAGACAGAAGCTCTTCAGGGGGAACTGGATGGACTGTATGTAAGCTGGGAGTACCATGTACAGCACTGTGTGTATATGTGGCAGAAGATGCACCGGGCTTTGTTGGGACAGGGAAAGGAAGCTATCGACACTTATATCAGTCCATACAGCCACACAGAGCACTGTGGGAAAATGCTGCTGACTAGGGGAGATGGCTATGCATTGAGCGATATCAACACGCGCATCCGGGTGAAGTTCCCAGATTGTGGGATTGAGTAGAAGCGGGGGTGAGAGGATCCATTTATACAGACTACTACACAGCTAGAAACACTTGAACGTTTCAACCTTGGAAGGTTCCAATGGATATATTTGTGATGTAGTCATCAAGCCTTTCCACCGGGTCTCTTATATTGGTCAATTGAGACAACCCAACGTGGGCAGACATGATGCTGTTGCTATTGATTATGGAGAGATGTCCCTGTCTAATAATAGTCTTTTCCTTTGGATAGAGCAGTCACCGAGTCTTTGGTTCCAAAAGCCGCACGCTTATACTGCTCAGAGCCCTCAATCTCCCCGAATCGTAACTTGGTCTCACCAACCTCCTTCTCCAGCCCGAAGGACCCCAAACAGTGTCCGTTGGCCAAATTGTCCAACTCGGGATTTCTTGTCGTCAGCAGCATGTTGGAAAAGGAGACGCTCTGGGAAACGCCATTCTCGTGTAAGGCAAAGAACCCGACGACAACACATGCAGCGGTAACACCCAGCGCAGTCATATAAACCGCCAGCAAGTTTCGACTGTCGTAGGTGTAGAAGTTCTTAGGTGAGGAGCTCGTCACGGGTGCACTGGTGTTCGCGGCATTGAGACTGAGAAGGCTATAGGTGAAGTTGTGCGAGAGGTCCTCTATTGCTTGGGCCAATGTTTTATTCCGACAAAGAGCAGTTTCACTTGCAATTCGCAGAGTTTGGTAATCGGTACTATTCCACAGCTCTGGGCATGAGAAAAGGCCGGTTTGCATTATCGACATCGTTGTGAATGGCAGGCCGGGGGGCAAGAAGCTGCTCAGTTCTAAGGAAGCGCTGATAACGAGCTTACGCTGTATCAGTCCAGAGAATAGCATGTGCATCACATAGTAGCCTCCATTAACTGTTGGCTCTTGGCGTTGAAATACAACCTTAGAGCCAGCATCTGAGCTCCAATTGGCAGGAGCCACGAGCTCCGTTGATACAGGTATCAGGGTCCGGATACCGTTGGTAAAGTTCTGGCCTACCACGTAGGAGGTATTCCAGAGCTGACAGACAAGCTCGGTCGGTTGTGTGGCGTTGCCGTTCCACAGGGGGTTCCCACCGGCGGCGTACACGAAAAGGGTATTGTTAAGGGCACTAGGAGCAGTCCCTGAGTACACCACTCGAGTGAGATTGGTTGGGTTTCCAATTTCCTGTTCCCATAGTTTCTGCAACGAACTGTACTGAGCCAGACCCACGCCATCACTAAAATTCATGCCTTGCATCTGCACGACAGCTTCACTCAATTTCTGGCACTTGTATGAAGGGCCCCAAAACTCCAGAGTGTAGGATGAGTTAGGGAAAGGTGCAGGAACTGAGAGCACTTCGGCAGATGAAGAAGTAGCTGTAAACAGGCGGGTGATGTCGGGCGAGGGTGATGCAATAAACCCAGCGCCTCCCCATGTTACCCAAGGACGCCAGAAGGATTCAGTGAAGTTAACAGTCGGAACATGCATCTGGGTGACATTGGTGGTTGTCAGGAGACGGATGGATAAGGTAGAAGGCGTAACAACAGCCGCTAATGGGATAAGCCTGGTTTGACAGTGAATAATCGTCCACCCAGAAGATGACTCTATACGCACCAAGAGATAATTGCGAGTAGTGTGAGGGTTTTCGCGTACATCCAGAGGTCGGGAATGAGAAAAGAATTTGGGTTGGTAAGGATGTCAAACATGCCATCAATCGCGCTCAGCTTCACAAACTTCCGGCGGAGAGTGGCCCATATCTGTTGCGACGCTGCGATTCCAACAGCGGATGTCAGAAAGGTCTTGTTTAGAAAGGCAAAGCCAGTTCCAATTCGAATTGCCCACGTTTGCTGGTCGACCGAGTTGACGAGGGTGTTGTCGAGGCTGCTGTAGTAGAAGTGATGGCCCACCGAGATCATCGCACCACAAACAACAGACACAACCATCAGGGTGGGGCACTGCCATCCGAACCCCCAGGCGGCCGGACTATTCCCATGTCTTTGAGGAGAGGCGTACGTTGTTTCGTTGGGTGCTTTCTGCTCGGGAGTATGATGGTCGGGACTCTGAAGAAGGCCAGCGCCATATTCGACTTTATCACCATTTGATGTAGGCATAGTGATAGAGTATTAACTGGCGTGAGCGATTCCGGCTGCTGGGAACCTTCTGCCAGTACTTATTATTGTCCATGCTGAACACAAGGCTGGAAAATGGCATCTCATTACTCTTCTGGGACCCGGGCTTATCCACTTCTGTTCCAGGCTAAAGCGTGGTCGTTCTTAGGTGCATCTTCGCAAAGTCGAATCCACCTATGAGTGATGACTTTGGGCTGAACGGCTGAACATATTAACGCTTTCATCTCCCGTTGATCCACTTTTACGAAGTGCAGGAGACTAAGTTGCTCAGCCTCAGCCACCAACGAGACACAAAATCAGCGTTTGGCAGGTGTCACGGCCCTGGAGAGACCTTGGGACGCTAGTCGGGCCTTAACTTTATTGTTGGCTCTATTCTTATCTCCACCATTTTGGTCTTCATGCATTGAGGATGAAGTATCACGATGATACTCGTCAGAAATGAGGACTCGGAAGGTCATATACTGATCTCTCCCGTAATTCTCGCGCACTTAAGTGCTTACATAAGAACAAATAACCGCTAGGCCAAAAAGATCGGAATTCGATTGACCCTGCGGCGGTTGATATGCTAGAGCAACAACACCTCGCACTCTCCCCAGAACTGCAAGTTTCTTCCCCTGTCTCCTTTCTATTTTCCGCAACTCCTCCGGCCAATAATGTCACGAAAGCAACCAATCTATGAAATAGGTCCATTTATATCAAGTGCCGACAACACGGACACGCAGTTGAATGTTCATGCCTGCGACAAACTCTTTAAAATCGATCTGTTTACTTCAAGCTTCGAAAACTCGCCTCTCCTCCTGGCCGAATATCTTTGCCATGTTCGACGCCAAGAGCCAGAATGGATCCTTGATGGGTCCGAGACTTGGGAGTTTGAAGACCCCCTTGAAGAAATGCATGATTGGATCTTACAACCATTTCTGCCAATCTTCCGGGAACTTGGTTCCCTAGACCCGAGCCGGAAGTACACTCTCGAGGATTGTCTGTTTGCAGAAGAATTGCACTACACTGTACAGGTGGTGGAAAACAAGGTGGTTCCCGTTTATCTCAGCAACACCAAGAACATGAAACATCATGTAATCGGGGCCCGTTTACCATCTTCTGTCGACTACTCAATGTTTCCTGTCTACCATCCTAGGGAAGTTCATGTTCCAATAAGTGCGGATTCAGCTGCACTGCCAGGAGTACCTCGCAAGGTATTTCTTCATGGGGAACCACAGCCTAGCTTCTTCAAGATAGTCTACGGGGTGACGCGCGTATTACCGCCAGGGAGATTCTCACTTATTCAAAAATTCGCATGGCTAAATTCGATTCCCCGATTCTCACATCACAACTGGAAGGGCTGGTCCAGGATGATGATGGGTATGTCATAGGATTGCTTCTATCATACATCGATTGTGGCGGGGCTAGACTCAACTGTATTGATGGACGTGATCCCAAATATTCCGGGCTCCGACATAAATGGGTCGATCAGGTTTCGCACACACTCAAACAGTTTCATTCACATAACATTATTTGGGGAGATGCGAAGGCAGCCAATGTTCTTGTTGACGTCAACAACGATGCATACCTAATTGATTTTGGGGGCGGTTATACTCAGGGTTGGGTTGAGAAGGAGAAGTCTAACTCAGTCGAGGGAGACCTCCAGGGGCTCGAAAATATCAAGCGGTTCCTTCAAATAAAAAGCTAGTACGGGGAAAGAAAAAAATAGAGGAATCCCGGTGCGATACTCCATACAGCACGATTATCTATGTGTGCAACGCGGTTGGCGTGTAGTTGGTTGGAGTTCCTATTGAATTCCAAGTCCTCACCAATTATCCGGGCAATGCAGCTCTGCATGCTACACCCATCTAAACATGGATATGGGAGATTTTACACATACATAGAGGAAGATGGGTCAACAATTTTAATTCCCTAATGAGAGACAGTATCCATGTATTTATCGGGCCGAGTAAGCGCTGCCACAGGGCAAAAAGGTGGGAGCCTTGGCAGCAACAAACTAGATGGCCTACGGGTGAGAGCGTTTTTAGTCGGATCTCGAGATATGAAGGCCCCTGGTCTTAGTATCCTCGTTCATTGAATATCGTTTTCTCTCCGCTGTACCGAATTCAGATACTGTAGGACGACCTCAAAACATTTCTGACATCACTCGATCTTTGGACTTTAGTATTAGCGAATCGCTTCCATTGACAGGCGCTTTTCGATGTCAGGCTACGAAGATATCCAGATTGCCTTGGCTGCTGGAACCTTAGGATAATGCATAACGGACAGCCCTTCTTCCGGTCTACCTGGACGCAGACAGCCTAACGCCCCCCATTAGTAGGGTGGGCGCTTTCCCGCATTTTCTGCCTCTCCCACGCGGGCAACGCCCACTTCGCCATATACTCAGACCCTAGGAGTTGGTCCGCTGTGGGTCGTTCTGCAGGTTCAAACGTCATCATGGCTCTGAGGAAGTCCTCCAACGCATGTAGTTCACCACCTGCAACGTCCCATTCGCACGTCTTCTCCGTCTCGCCGCGGCCCATGTCCCAGAGGCGCTGATGCAGACGCCGGAAGACGGGAGTGTTGATGCGGCTGAAGTCAGCGACCCATGACCCATCCTCCTCGAAGAATTCGGAGCGGTTAGTCCAAGAGTTCCACCATCTCACGAGCGGTTTGCCCAGCGTATTGATCATCCCGCCGACAATGTCATCTCGGTCCCAGGCGAATGTTTCGAATAGTGGACGCTCGCCCAAGACCTCATACAAGTTGACACCTAGGGTCCATATATCAGCTGCAGTGGGTTGAGTGATGGGTTCATCGAAAAAGTCTTCTGGTGGAGCATAGAGGGATGGGGTGTGGAGAGTCGGTGAAGGCACCTGTGACACAATAAAGTACGTCCCGTAGTCCGATATTATGATTTCGGGATTATCCAACTTGTTGGCGGGCATGCTCAAGGTCAGGGGAAAGATGGCATGCGGCGGTGCGTAAGGTTCACCAGTCTTTCCATCAACTCGCGGGATAGGAACCTCGCATGGTTTGCCGAAGCGCTTGTATAGCTCATCTGTGCTTAGGCCATCGAAATCTGGTATACGTAAGAGAAAGTTGTGCAAATGGAGATCTGCCTCCAGTTAGTATTCAGGGTCAGTAAACAGAGATGAACAGCCTAAATGTCCTCACCTCCATGGCATATGCCGTTCGCATGCAATAGGACAACCCTAACTGCAGCTGGGCGGCAGTAGATCTAAAGGCGTCCGCTGGGAACATAAAGTTTCCGCTGTCCTCCTTGGACTTAGCGATGCTAACGGCAGCAGGTGCTCCGACCAAGCACTGATGATGTCCGTTTGGACCATCAAACGAGAAATGATCCAGCAGCGGCGGAATGAATCGCTTCCCAGCATGGGTAAGGCCGCTCTTCATCAGGTATTGAAGGATTTTCACCTCATGGCTGACTGGCGATTCTCTCGCAGTCAATATCTTTAGCGATACGTAGCGCTGGTGTTGTTGATCCCGGGCGAGCCAAATTGTTGAATATCCACCAAACCCAAGCTTGTGAACGACGGTGTAGCGACCACTGCAAAAGGTGTCTCCGATGAGAGTTGGGTGGTATCCGCCGGGCACATAGTCCTCAAGATATTCAACATCTGGCTCAGGGTGGTATATCTCTTCCATTGGTGAATATTATGAGTCAGCCATGGCATGAACCTTAGGGATCGAAGTGGGCGTGGTGACGGAGAGACTCTGCGGTGGCGGGTGGTCTTTGGTGTGAAAAGAAAGCGGCACGGCAAGATATCTTGATTTCTTGGGCGAAGTACCGCGGGTTGGGAAAGTGAGCGAGGAAGTCTCCAGCTAGAGTTCATGTTCATGTTTATGTCTTTGCAGAGGTCATCGACTGACGACCTCGGGAGCTATTACTGAAAGGCGGTGGGGCCGTGGTCATGTTGCTGCCAAAATACAAGGTGGCCAAAGCTTTAAGGTACCTACCTACCTAGGTAGGTACCTGTATCTGAGGTACCTAGGTACTTGTTTTAGTGGGGAATTATACGGGCCATATCCCAGTCTCACAACTTCGCCTTGTTCTCTGAGTGGGCTTCCTTGTCGCCAACGCTACATTATCTGTCTGTAGCTAGCACTTTCAGCGAGTGATGGCTGCTAATTGTAGGTGACGGAAATCAGGTGTATGGCGAACGTATTGGTAAATTCACGATGGTAAAGTTCTCTAACTAACTAAAAACAACAATAGTCCGTTTTTGACAGTCTGGTCGGACACAATTAGTAAGCAATTTGCATAGTCTAAAATCACATGATTCCATGGTATTGGACTCGGTAATCCATGTACTCGGTCTGTATTCTGACACACCCCCCAGCTTTTGAAGCTATTCACAAATGCTTCAAGAGCTGTTAATTCCACCTTCCTAGGGTATAATCAGATATCTGATTTCTCTTATCCCAAGCAGATGTCTAAAAGCCTGCTACTTCTACCTCGGCAGTATCTTTATAAGGCTATCTGCCGGCATCTCTGCTATAGGAATCCAATACACGTTAGTGCGGCTAGCATTCACTTCCTATTTCATCTAAAGCCTATTAATGTCAACATGTCGAAGCTTTGTATGCATAGTGGCGCCTTCCTTTATTAGCAGATCAACAGTCTACTGATTGTCGTATACAATTGATAGCTTATAAGAGGGTTTAAACCCTAGGGACTCGAGGACTCGGCGCTACTATTAGACAGTTTTGCCTACTTCGGATAGAGCTAAAAGCTCTACTTCGGTAGTAGACGTAGTGACAGTCTTCTATTTTAAAGCCTTCCAGTCTATAGGACCACTATAGAGCTTATATATATAGCCCTCTAAGCTCTTCCGATCTCTATTATCTCTAAAAGATATATCGCTTACAAATTCAACAGATTTTGCTATAAGCTATAGGCTAGAATTCTTATCTTTTATCTAAACTCCGTACTCAATTGCATAGTAGCGGGTTTAGTAGAGATATTGGATGACTCTATCAATAGTATCTAGATACTTCGGTCTAGGGTTTAGAAGGAATTCAGCCAGTTTGCTAGTTGCTTTTACAGCGTCTAGTCTAGAGATCGTGGTAGCGTACTAAGCTGATCTAACTTTAGCCTAAAAACCATAGATCTAGCTCGCTATCGCAACGCTATCAAAGGGGAGTAATAGCTCTATACTTAGGGGCGTATTAACCCTCCGGTTAGTGATCAGACTATATCTCGCCGCTATACTCTCAATATAGCTGTTTTAGTATAGCTAGAGCTTCTTTTTAGTCCGATCTCTCATAATACATATATTTAGAAACCAACTAGCGTCAAATTTATAAAGCTCCTAGTACTTTTTCATCTAATCATCTAGATCAGTAGCCTATTTTATATAATCTAGGTAGTTCATAATGATAATATCATTAATATAGAAGAAAACGATAATCCCGTTTATAACAAAAATGTATAGATCCTCCGGTATAGGGGTAAGGCCTAGTTTCACTAGCACCCTAGTAGCTTTTTACTACTATAAACGTAGAGATATCTATAGTCCGTATAGCGTACGGTGTAGCATCTAGCATCGGCCTAATACTTTAAAACTGGGGGATAGCGAGTATAAATCTTATCTTATAAGATAGAGTTTAGAAATACATTTATAATATCTCGCTACTTCATATCTAGATTAAATATAGTAACTAATATAAAAACCGCTCTCGCTATCTTCACCGCGAGTGTAGTAGCTCTCTTTTCTTCCGGTATCATCCACTAAAGATCTCCCCGCACATAGATTCTAGCTTTAAACTTATTAAGTATACTATCGGTATTAAATTTGTATATAAACACCTATTTTAATAGTAGGATTTATATAGTTCGTGTGTTCGGGATCGGAACCTAGGAGAAGGTCTCCTTTCTATATAGCGTATCGATCTCGAATTCCGCTACTACCATAAAGTCTTTAGCGTAAAGATAGGATTTGACTTCATTCTAGTTCTATAGCTCCGGGAGAAGCTAATCTCTATAAGGCTTCCTAGGCTTTTGATCTATTTCGAATCTCTGGTTTATATAGGCTCCAAATATATAAACTAGCGCTAGTAGTTCGTCTTCTTCTATAGCGAGATATACTATATAGTCGGGGTCCTACCTAGGTTTCCGAGATCTAGATCCTAAGATGATATTTATAGTGTTAATACCATCTAATCTATCTCTTCCTATATATAAAACCGGGGTTTATAACAGCTCTTACTATAGCTACATCTCGCTCTCTAAGATCTTATCTTCGTATTCCACCCCCCTAGTCTTAATAGATAGTATAGTTGTCTATATAGTGGAGGTTAGGACTGGCTCTAGTAGTATATTATCTCTCACTTTAGGCTCACTATACGTTCCAACATCTCTCACTTTACTCTCACTATATGTTCCGGTATCTCTCACTTTATTATCACCGGTATACTTAGGATCTATATCTATAGCGTCCGTATATAGAGATCTCGGGGTTTATAAGGCTAATTCTAGGGTATCTAGTGCGGAAGATAATAAAAACGGGGTCCGTTCTAATAAAAAAGGCTGATTTTATATAATATAGGATGCTAGCAAAGTAGGTGACGGAGGTAAGGAGAGATTTACTAGGAAGGACCCAGGTATATAGCCTCTGTTTACTATTTGCTATGTTAGTCTGATCGACGCCGGGGTAATTGGCATATTATTAGATGGTTTTTATATAGCAATTGGGGTCTACTATCTTCCAATTCTCTCACTTTACATCTCTCTATCCTACATCTCTCTATCTATCAGATCTACATCCTACATCTCTACATCTTACATCTCTACATCTTATATCTCTATATCTTATATCTCTGCATCTTATATCTCTACATCTTACAAATCTATATCTATATACGGATCCTACCCTTACTGTATATGCTAAACGTCATTATGTAGGGCGATACGGGCTATAGATAACAGCATCTATATCTAGGTACTTAGTTTAGACTAAGCTTTATCCTATATTAGGAGCGTAGGCCAGTTCTCTCTCTCTTCTAGCGCATTTATTAGCGTACTAACTATATCTTCTAATTCCAGCTTCTTCGCCGTCGTATACCGCCGTATCTTATCGAAAACAGCATCTCTAACAATATCTACCCTTCTATACTATCCCCCTTTATACGGAAACCAGATCCTATATAGGTTTTTAGAGACATACCCTACTAGGAATCCGATCTCTACTCTCGGTGACATCTTATCTAACTATATACGCTTTAAATCTAGGATTCTCGAATACGCTAAGCAGCTATACACCCTAAGGTTTAAAAGGTTAATTCGCTAGTCCTTTATCCTATCTAATACAGCCAGTTTCATCAATTCCATCTAAGGTATAATCTATCTTCTATCTACTAGCTTTATTAGTATACGGTTTAGTATATATACTAATATATATACTACTTCCGGCTAGAGCGTCTTCGGCAGATCCGGGTTTTCATTAATCAATACCCTTACTATTTAGATAATTATACCTCCGGATCTCTCTACTAGTCCGTTTATCTCTAGTGTCTTAAGAGGTAAGTGCTCTATAACACAGCCTTCGGCTTTAATCATATTTTCAACCTTATTACTAGCACTACGCTTATTATCATAGTAGAAGACCTTAATTCTAACATTTAGCCAGTTTCGGATTAAAGCGATAAACTTCCTAATAGCCTATTAGCAGTCCTTCTTCTTCACGTAAGTAAATACAAAGTGGCATCTAATCCTATTAAGATAGAAATACGTTAACTAGACATATCTATTATATATAGGCTGATTTTATACGAGGTTAAAGTGCACTCTACCGAGTACCCTATAGGCTTAGCCTATCTTCCTCCGTGAGATCTGCCTAGGTGCATTTACTAACTAGTAAGCTTCGTATACCTATTTCTCCGAAGCCTCTTACTTCTTAGGGTTACAACTAGTTATCTTTATACCTTCCGTTATCTTAGTGAGTTTTTCAATCCTCTCTTTACTAACATAGCCTAGGCAACGATACTAGGTTTCAATAGAGGCTTTAGATACAGGTTCTCTAGCTAACTTCTTTATAGCTACATTCACTAACGGCTAGTTCGGCTATACTAACTAGGGAAGCTTTTAATCCCGGTATATAGTATATAGTGGGATTTCGTCTTATTCGATCCAGTTCTTTTTAAAGTTTAAAAACGCTCCTATTATCTTAAATATCTAACTATAGGCGATAATATTCGTATAGAAACCTAGCGAGTATTTAATATTAAATAAATCCATTCGTAGCGGTATTTCGTTCCTAGGGCTAATACCATAGATTAAGATAGTTCCGATTCCTTCCACTATCGTCTTCGTGTCTCCTACCCAAATCGAGCTCGTCGTCTTCTAAAATTCGACAAATAACCTCCGGTTATTATAAATATAGACTTATACACCGGTATCGATAAGCCATCTATCGTAGAGAGGATTATAACTAGTTTAGTAGAACATAGAATGATCGTGAATGGTCATAGAATGTTCATGATTAATCGCAGAATGATCGTGATCAATCGTAGAATGTTCGTGATCGATCGCAGAATGTTCGTGATCGATCTCAGAATGTTTCTGATCGATCTTTACAGGTTTCTGGATCTTAAATGCGTCGTTTACTAGCTAGTTCTTAGCTACGAAGAAGCCTAGTGCTCTAGGCTGGAAAACTAGGTTCGCCTATATATTTTTTCTCTTCTACTCGCTTCTTTTCAACAAAGGCTCTCCATTTAGGGTCTGCCTTTATAGCTCTATCCTATACCTTCTTTTTATCTAGGTATATATCTAGCATACCAGCCGGTTTATCCTCTAGGAATATAGCCTAGTATCTCTATAGTACATATCTTATCTTACTATATAGACAGAACCGCTTTTTAATAGGAAAATTAGATAGTTTCTTCCTAGCTAGTTTACTAGTAGATCTACTAGCTAAGCTGCTTATTATTGAATCTCCGGGCTGAGCTTCCTAGTAGCCCTACTATATTAAAAACATAGCTTTTAATAGGCCTCTTTATACTACCTATTTTCTATAGGCCATAAGCTAATAGGCTTTATACTAGGTAAGTAGGTTTGCGAAATCAGCCTATCTTTCTTCCTCGCTTCTCTTATTAGTAGAGGCTATCTCAGCTATAACGATCTAGGCTGTATAGAATTCTAGTGAAATCACTAATATAGCTTCTAGAAATTGGATTAAAGCCTCCCTAGCCTCTATAATCCCTGCTTTTATATAGCGTTTTTATAAGGTTTGCCAATTCAGCAGCCACTAATCAATGTCTGTTATTTTATCTAGACCTCTATCTAGATTCCTCTATACCGTGCGAAGGCTTACTCTATATATAGGGTTACACTCCGGTAAGACCCGCTATTATAGATTCCTAAGCAGTCCCTATAGTGTCTCCTAGTCTATAAAAACCTAGTATTTTTTATAGATACTCTAGCGGATTATATTTATAACTATCTTCCTACCCTAGAGCTTCTTTTTTATATACACTAAGCTTTCTCTTATATTACGTATTTAGTACGCTATATAGATAAAACCAGTCTATTAGATAATCTCTCTTTAGATCCTCCTAACTCGGTTCGATCGGTTCTTTCGGAAGTGCGGGTTCCGTATCTAATTCCGGATCATATAGATCCCAGACGTTGAACTGCTCCGCAATGGTTTTAATCATCGAGAGCCATAGCTCCTAGTTCGATATGTCCTTTTAAGGTAACGCGAGAGGACGAATTCGCAGAGAGAGTGTAATCCGACATTGTGACAGTTCGATTGACGTTCGCAAATGGATTTCCAATGTTATTATTAATGCTTCTTAGGGGTTATCTTAATTCAGGGGTTGTTATCTCCGTATAGCCAGGGGCCGGTCTAAAACTAGGCAAATATAGGCTCAATATATATGAGATTTAACAAAAGGATGGAAAAGAGATCAAAATTGAAGCGATTCCGGGCTCATAACTGACGGAAATCAGGTGTATGGCGAACGTATTGGTAAATTCACGATGGTAAAGTTCTCTAACTAACTAAAAACAACAATGGTCCGTTTTTGACAGTCTGGTCGGACACAATTAGTAAGCAATTTGCATAGTCTAAAATCACATGATTCCATGGTATTGGACTCGGTAATCCATGTACTCGGTCTGTATTCTGACAGTAGGCTATACCTACCCCTTGTCGCCGATCCTTGTTGACCTCGAAACTGTAAGCTCTAATGACCAGCTGGGGTACGGCGCAGTTAATGTATATCCCTGATCCATGAAACATTTGCCTGCCTTCAGCCTGGTCATGAATCGTATTCCTAGAATGCCTTGTCAATGCATTGCATATGGCGATAGGTCCTGTCCTCGCCTCAAGCGTCTATATGATGTGATAGGCTTGCCGAGCGGGAACGCGTCATGCTCATGGTTGGAATACCGCAACAGAGCGCAGGTGACGGATGTTGGAGAAGCTCAAGCCAAAGCAATATATTTGCAGCTAAAAAAAGCACTGCTGGAGTAGTCTGAAGGGCTTACAAAAGGAAGTTCCACTGCTCTTCACTCCATGCCATCCAATGCTTTCTTTGGGCTTACATGTTCTCCCTCCTCTCATATCTCTCTCGTATCTCTCTCTCTTGTCTTTCTCCTGTCTCTCTCATATGTCTCTCTCCTTACTCTCTCATATCAAATATTGGCCCTTGGCCACACACTTGCGATGGCTTCACGAACAATCGAATATGTCTGGAAGGTCGCACGGCCAAAGGATGAAGACGTTGCTCGGGCATTGATATATGCCGCTTATACGACGGCCATTCAGACGGACCCTCGCACAACGAGAGTCTTGATCCGGTAAAGTGAACCTCTTTTGATATCAGACAATGCGGCTGACGTACCGGGCTTTAGATCCTACACTCACCCCACAACTCGAATGGGTGGTGTTTACGCTAAGGACCAATCGCATATCACAATCTCGGTGAAGAATCAAAAGACGATCCAATCAGGGCAACACCAGTCAAGCCATGGTTACACGCGGCACATCAAACCTTTCGAGGTGATTAGGGTTTCACCGAGCGGCGTCCTTAAAAGCGACAGTGGTGACATGGCGTGGCCACCTTCAATGGGAATGAACCCGAGAGAATCTTTCACAGGACCACCTGCTCTACTGGGTCTGAAAAACGCCTTTATTACGTGGCCTTCCGAGGAAACGGGTGAATGAAGCTATGATTGAGAGGGATGGGCCTCCTCGGCTTAGAGGGGCTATGCTGAAGCATCACCTGGGCAGCATGGTGGATTGGTTTCGTTTCATAGCCAAGTAGCCGTCAAGCTTTTAACAGAATCCATCGATAAACCTGTCCTCCTACTTCGGACGCAACATGGCCCAGGTTAGACCCAAGAGATAGCCTATCAATCGCCTGTTCCACCAGAAAACCCCTGGGAGCTAGTTGGGATACATCCCTGTCACCCTTACAGAAATACAGACAGTCACTCCTGTGCACGTTTGGATCAGAAAATGCCTGCGTAGGTGCATATCGTACATCTCCTATTCAGTGTTTTCTCCGCTTTGTCCAGACCCCTTTCTGTCCTATGGTTCAGAGAAAGCCTGGGTTACTGTATAGTCGATGACTTGGGTTCTCCGGAAAATTCTTCAATAGGGTTCAGGTCCGGTGAGTATGGCGACAGATAATCCAGTTCTATACCTGCCTCCTCACTTATCTTCCAAATTCCCTTTAACGCAGGAGAGAATTGCCTCCGCCAGAACGTCTTCCTTGTACTGAATACTTGTCCAACTCTGCCACTTCAAGGACATTGATTGAGCAGTGAACCACCGTAAAGACTCTTGGTAACCGGCAATGCAGAGCGAGCAAAAAAGACATGTTTTGGAATTTCATTGGGTCGAGCCAAATTCAAGTGGAGATAATAATTCGGCTGTCTGTGCTCTCTGACTTCTGGTCCGTATTGAGGAAGGGGTTTGTCTTGATCTGTAGTTTCCTGGAGCAATCTCTTCCAGTTGCTGGTTGTTGACTTGCATGGATGAAATGCCCTGGCCTGGCAATGATGGAAACAACTAGCTCGGAAATAGGGCGTTGGTACTTGTGCCCGGCTGGACCGTGGTTCACTCCCTTAATAACGGGCCAGTACAATGGATCTGCAGCACAAAGTTCAAGTCTCAGCTGTTGAAACCATGAGTGGTAATTGCATTTCTCCAGCGACTTCCGGGGGTCGATCTCATCTTGGGGATGAGGCACTGTGCGGTTATGTCTGAGATGCCCAAGTGGACGGTAACGCTGAGTAATTCTAACTAGGTGGTTTTTCCCAGGTAGCTGCCTGATAGTACTGAGTGTCCAGTTGATAAAGAAAAGAGACTGAGACAAGAGGATATCGAATTCAGGACTTTCGAAATGACTATTAGTTAGATAGATCATCAATTTCAAGGCAAGCAACCATCAGTCTTCATACCGTATGACGTTTGTGACCACCGAGCGTCAGAAAAACAGCCTAGACGCTGAAGCATAATGCATACTCCACTGATATCCCTGAGGGGTCAATAATATATGGGATGATGAAGTAAGTAAGAAGAAGTAAGGTGATGAAGTGAAGTGAAACGATGAAGTGACCATCCTATGAGATAGGAGATTAATAGATTCACGTAGGTTAAAAATATTAGAACCCGACCCGGGCGTCCCCCGCAACCTTAAGATACCTCCGTTTGGCGGGTGGTAGAAGTCTTACGCGCTACCATTGCGCCAGCCGGGCTGGTTAGGATCAGATATCTATAGATGAAGAAATTACCTTGGGAAGTACTATAACATGAATTGCATACTACAGCGAGTAATAAAGTTGGAATTCTCTAACCTCTTCACACATGGAAGAATCCGAGTTCCATGTTGGTTCTTTTTCGTATTCCCCCAATATGACAGATCAGGATAGAAACGGCCAGAATCAACAAGAAGAATTAAAAATACCGAAAGCAGGCCCGGTTGAAACGTCGAGACGCCGATACATTGTGATAACAAGTTGTATACTGAGAACGACACGATCACGATCAAACTGTATCAGCGCTAGTCTTCCCTTGGCAGGAGTTAAAGCCCGGCTTCTGCATACCGAGTAAATGCTGCTGAGTAGAGACACTTAGGAGACGGAGCACGATATTGTTCGAAGCAGGGAGGAGAAGTAGAAGAGAACATGGACGAAGGAAAGAAGGCGAAGTCTTTCCACATACGTCTCTCACTCCAAACGGAATGTTAGTGGACATTACCTTGATAGCTTCTCAGAAGTATGACATGGCAGAGACATGCTAGAAAGACTGAGAGACAGGGTTAAGAGCCAGGGTTAGAAAAGAAGGAGAGGGACGGATATAAGAGAAGCTAATAAAATGCGAATTGGGCAACTAAAGGAGAAAGAGAGGAAGAACTTCTATTGTTTATGCCCGAAACAGGTCTGATGTTAGGACTGAGGCAAACAGGTATCGCAACAGAAAAGTGACCAAAACACAAAAAACTTGTCTCAACAAACATGCTACCTCAACATCTCCGCAAAATCCTGCAAGTAACATAGAGTGAGAGCTTCCGGATAGTCAAATGGCTCTCGATACAGCTCTTAAAACGTGTTTTGAGCCTTAAAACACAACCTGGCTGGCTCCTTATTGTTGGTTTTTTGCACGAGCCGCGAGCTGACAGCAATAGGGGACCCGGCTGGTCGACCTGGCTGGTTGTCTATCTTTAAACCGGCACAAGCCCTGGAGAGGAGTTGATATATGGCATGTATTAAGAGTCCATCCACGGGTGTGATGAAGCGCTGACTCTGGTCATATGATAGAAAGGGCTCGGGCGTGGTAAATAGACTACAACCATTCGCCTCGATCCCTTAACGAGATGTTACGAATAGCGCCCTTCCAACAGCTGGAAAGATGTTTGAAACGCTCGTTTCGGCGGCTATGGTATGTCCAGTCTATATATTGCCGGTCGGGTTTCCGTATGGCCATTGTGCAGAATAAACTACTGCTCGATAAACGGCACTGGTGTCAACAATGGAGTCTCTTCCACCTTCCCCAACTTCTAGCGGTGCAACTACGGAGCCAAACACACCAGAGCCCGTCCGGCCTGACGTTGGCCGATTCGCAATGTTGATGCCCATGAATCAAATGGCAAGGTTGGCTATTGATGCAGCAGTTGATTCGGGCTCTGAGCACCACAAGAAGTTTATAAAGGAAACAGTATTCGACAACAGGCCAACAAGATGCTTCGAACTGTCCCTGACTACGTTGCCTGAACGTGTTGATCTTGGATGGAGGATTGGCAGTGGCCGTCAAGACCTCAACAACGGCGGCGTGGACCTTCTCTTGTGTATAGAAGATGACAAGGAAAAGGGCTACCCCGGCTCAGATGAGGACCGGGTTGCCGGTATTCATGCTCGTTTCAGCTGGCTCAAGGGAGCCGGTGGGTTCTTTCTCATCGCTGACAACAAGAGGAGAAAGAAGGTGATGCTGAATGGGGAGATATTCAGGACTGACCAACGCCTAATCCTGCCTAGGAATACCATCATGATAGGGGAATGTGTTTTCTTTTTGCGATATGAAAACCTGTCTGCCGAAGAAGACGAACAATTCCAGGTTGAATTAACCAAGCATTTCCGTGAACATTACAAGACTCAGAGTCCCCTGGCATTGCCTATTCCAAAAGAGAATGATATGCGCTTTGGGAATTGGATAGTACAGCATCCGATTTCGAAAAACGCCTTCGGCATCGTCTACATGGTTATCAATATCCGGACAGGACAACCAGCGGCGGCGAGACAGATTCCCAAGTCGAGGAGAAACGCAGCTGCTGTGGAACAAGAGCTGGAAATGACTCGGCGTATCTCCGGGTTGAGTCACGTTAGTTCCCAATTTCCTACGGGTCATTTCTGTGCCTCTAACAATGAAAGCTAGCGACGACTCTCAACCACTCTCCAGTGGTATCACCAACTAGGCCAAACCAAGGCTCAAACGGTAAGTCAAATACACCTCTCCTCCAGCCATACTTAGCTCACACAACTAGGCCCGGATCGGATCTTGTTTCAATCAATGCTTGAAACCTACCTTGGACGTTATTCTGCATGAATACATCCTCATATCACCTCTGGTGAACACAACTTTCCGCTCATTGTATATGTCAAACGTACCAGCCGAAGACAGAGTCGCTTGTTTCGCCCAGCTTCTAGAGGCGATCGATTTTCTTCACCGACACGGCATCTGGCACAGGGACGTGAAGCCAGACAGCGTCTTAGTGAGAAGCTACGACCCCCCGGATGTAATGCTGACTGATTTCGGATGCGCATCTGACGCCACGGACATTCCCTACGATGGCGCAGGCACTGAACAGTATCGTGCACCCGAGCAGATCGAGGGAAAACCCCATGGTCGAGCCGTTGATTATTGGGGCTGTGGTATAATCGGGTTGGAGCTGATTCTAAAGAGACCGATTGAGTCGAGGATCGTGGCCGGCCGTAGCCTCACATATTATCAAAAGGTTCTTGAGGATTTACAAGACTCGCCGTTAGCCAGATGTTCCCGAAAGATGCTGAAGGAGGCCCCGGCTTCACGCATGACGGCTTTTGATGCTTTGCTAGACCTTAGGGGCCCCAAGACTGGTGGTGCCCGGATTGACCCCGAAGTCCGATGCCACCCTCCCGAGCGCATTTTTACCAATGATGTCGACTTGACCGAAGTTCATTCGGACAATGGGGCTGCCGATCTGATGGCGGATATCGTTGCAATTGACGAGAGCTCTATCGTCGACGGCGCGACCGGCGATTCCCCTACTCAAGTCGATAGCACAAATGGCTTCGCACGGAGCTCTTCCATCGACCTAGTGGAGACGCGGTCGGACAACGACAGCCATGCTCATGTCAACGAAAGCGTTGTCGGCATGACCGGGGATCGATATACCACAGAATCGAACAAGAGGAGAAAACTGATGCCATCCGAGACAGTCCAAAGAACCTCGGGATTGAATTTTGATTAGTTAGCCAATGTTGTCTCAAATATATATCTCCGTTGATCCTACTTCTTCTGTCGCACATTGATAATTTGAGAATTACGCCAAGGCGACTAACAATAAGATTCAGGAAATTAAACTCAGTCGCACGATCCCCTAAATGGGAAATTGTCCTACGTAGATAGCATCGGCCCAGGTATAGACAGACATATATCGATATTAACAGAACTGGTCTGGTTGTGTAAATCAAAATATCGTTGCCCAAACCTATGTACAGTGTAAGACTCAAATCTGAGGGGCAAAAAACCACAGCGCAGCACCGCAACACCGCAACACCGCAACACCGCAACACCGCAACACCGCAAGCCCGCACCAACAATTAGTGCGCAGCATTCATCCACACCAAGACTCTGTACTCCACTCCACCCGTGATCTACGAGCAAAATGTAAAGTTCCAGTCTACTGCAATGGCCGGTGCCCGAAATCAATAATGTGCTCATCACTCTTGGTCTCCTCTTGGTCACACACTATATTCCAAGGTTGTATCCACCACTTTGTCGCTGTTGGAGCGGGAAAGAAGCGGGAGAGGGACTCCGTTGGACCATATGGCCGATATGGCAATGATACTCGGTTTAGTGGGGACAACTTGGTAAACTGGGGCTTTTGGGGGTCTTGTTTCCACTGATAATATCGTATTGATTTTTTTCTCTTTAGGTTGGACGGGACCTTTTTTTGGGCGGTTTTTAGAGTGGGAATACGGGATTAACTATAGAGTTTGTATGGAGTATAATACACTACCACTTATTAAGTGTTGTATTAAGTGTTGGTGTGTAGGTGCATATGTAGGGGAGGTGGAATGGAAAGCTGAAGTAATGTGGACTCGGCGCATATTAATACATATTCTATGTTGTATATACATACGTTGTACGCTGAATATGCAGAGAGGGTGTGGAGAGGTATACACGGAAGCACTGTATATCACATCCGTGCCTCGGCATACAAAGTTGTGAAACGATAAAATTGCAAGTTTGTGCTCGTTGGAGAACGCGGTGAAGACAAGCGGATGTATATCTCCCCAGGCACCGAGTCGAATCGGAGGAGTGCATGTGTGATAGGCAAGATTCTGATGTCTCAAAGTCTTGACGCGAGCCCGGGCAATTACATTTCCTCATCTGGACTAGTTTATTAAAACTATGGAGAGATGACTCCAGGGCTTGAGCCCCTCTTATCTGGTACTCTGTAGAATGGAAAAAGGTACTCGTACGGAGTAGAATTGTCGAATTACAAGTGGGTATGCCCTGCTTACTCCGTACAGGAAATTGGTACTTGGTGTGGTCTAGGCAAATCTCTATCACCGACACATGATAACTGCCGAGTCAAGAGGATCAGGACTGTGACCCCCGATATAACAAGAAATGGTGTGCCATCTCACTGCAGCTGTTGCATATACCCCTGCTATCAGCTGCACCGGGCTTCTTCTAGACAACTAGATGTCTTTCAAGGTATAAGCTAGACATGTCGACTGTTGGACGATTATAAATATAGTAATACACAGCATATGGAATAGTTAATACAACATACGGAGTAGTCAGTAGTTATTGGGGCTACGTAGTATACGAGGGGCAGCCCCTCATCAGCCCCTGCATGTATACGGAGTACGGAGTAGGGAGTACAGTATGGATCCCCAACTGATCTCTTTGACCTTCCCTTGTTGGGAACGAGATCAACGTACTAAGGAGGTCAGCACCTGAGTTATGAAAAAGGGCCAAGAATGTGGAACGGGTTACCGAGGAGAAACGGAAAAACGTCGAAGGTTTTGGAGTAATTTCCATGGCGGAATGTGATTGGTCCAACCTCTTTGAGGAGAACCACGTTGGCTTGACCGCTAGGCGCCATTGTCTTTTGACTCACACCTTTGCTGCTTTTGACTTCAGAATGTCACTGCACTTGGACCTTGCGTGGGGAACATATCCGTGCATTTATGATAGTACACATTGACTTTCGAATCTGTACGGAGTAGAGTTAAAGAGTGACCAAAAAATAACCGTGAGGCTGCAGCCTTCATCGTGCATCGTGCATTAGACCTTACGTGTCTATGTCTGTATATCCCCAGCCTTGGAGGTGCTGTGTCACAGGACAAGGTCTAGACTGGGTTTAAAACAACTTTTGCAAATCGCCCAGTTCTGAAGCAGCTGATTCTAATATTGCAGCCTATCGGGAGGCGGCAGTGAGTTTCAACCTTTTGAAGGCATTTCATGTCGGAAGATAATCCCAACGATCGTCGAGTCCTGAGATGGGTCCCGCCAATAATGCTGACCAACATCTGATTTAGGGGATGCCTACGGAGGAGGTAGCGACCGAGCGACCGAGGCGATAAACAAGAAATTTTTTATTTTTTTGTTTGTTAGTCCTAGTCCTAGTCCGTCCACTACGTACGTATCCCTGTTGAATCCCATCACATTTCACATCTCAGCCCCAAAACAAGAACAAAGGAGAAACGCACGGGGACCAGGGTGAGCAGGACACTTGCATCCGATGCTACACCGTAAGGAGCTGATGACATGGCGCTAAAGCAAGCCAAATTGACCTGGCCCGCAGCTCCCGCTGCATTCTTTGGGGCTAAGTAGGGGAACCGGGCAATCATAAACGAGACCTGGAACGTCTGGAAGGATGAAGGAAGCTGAGATCGGCCCCCTCCTGTGCCCCAATAGTGGATCGGTGGATTCGTGAAAATGGAAAGGTTCATCAGTGCTCTCTGAGTGGATATCTAATACGCGCCCTTTCGGAAAGTTACTGAACGAAAACGAGGCTGATTTGTTGGAGATCGATTGTGCTCTCGGACGTGACCGCTGATTTTGCTTTACAGCGTATCTCTCCGTGTCTATTTATTGATTAGTACTAGTTTCACTCTAAGTAGATTATATTGAAAACTAAACATGGTACTGGGCCTCGGATCTTGCCCGGCATGCAGGGTGTTGGGAGTCTCGTATTTAATACTCCTCTGGGCGGAGTACTCCGTATATCGTACAACATGAGCTGAATCCTGCGGATATGTCTCTTGTGTTCAAGGGGTTAGATCAGGGCTTAAAGAAATCCCCAATGTTGTGCCGCTCTTACGGTGTGCTCAGTACATACCATGGAAGATCGGCATTTTTCAGGTTGTGTCAGCGGTTCCACTACGGAGGAGAACTCTGATCAAGACAAATCAGACACATCTGGCCTTCTGGAAAGTTGTCTCCAATTATTTCCTTTTCATTTTTCTTCCCTTTTTATGGTGCAGGAAGTGGGTCTTCAAATGCGTTGCGCTACGGGCTTGGATGCCGCGTGATGGGCTTGATGTGTCTTGCATCGAGATCGGCTCCTTGTAGGCTGGTGATCTCATATGTTGCACTTCAATAATGCTAATAATATGTGACCCTTGTTATTCTAAGAGATATATTGCAATTTAAATTGTAATTTCCAGAATCCTGCATTCTAGAGAGGGAAATTAGAAGTAACCGCCCCTGACCAAAGTGACCCAGGCGTCGGGTATTGGTCTGTTTTTGGCTTTGGCAGAGCCCTAAGCACGATCAGATCCACCTGGCCACGTTGTGAATGGCTCTACTCCTTTTTCTTACGGGTCTTTGATTATTTCTTTTCTTATGTGGCTCCATCCATTTTAGGTCCACATTAGTTCAAGACGCCAAGTTCTAGATATTGGCGCCAAATCTTACACTTGGAACTGTTCTACCTGCAACCTGCCTATATTTTTGTACGGGGTACATTGAAAGCTGCAGGTGATATGATGATATGAAGACTGATCATATTTCTATACATCTTCAAACGTCATTGGCAACTCCGTTGAATCCGAACTGAGAAGTCAAGCTCAACCGTGGGTTCAACCGGTTGGGATAGCCGAGCTTCCCGCTCAGAGCCCAAATTTTTTTAAACTAGGCTTTCCTGCTTTCTAGATTGCGTACCATGTTGTATTCCCATTTTGGTGGCGTCTGCGATGGATTCCTGTGCCACGCTGCCGATGAAACAGAAACAGGCCCACAAACGTTGAATCGATACGCTACGTATTAGCTATATTTTAGTTGGCGCCCACCCCTCTTTTTCCTTCTCAGGTGATACTAGAGAATGACCCTCCAAATGTTGATCCTGCAAAAATGCAGGTAGCCTAAACCTCGCATGGTCCAAGTTTCCTTTCGACTCAGCCAAGCCGACCTACGTGGTTGTGAACCTGTGAAAGTCGAGTCGAGTAGTCTATTTCTGGGCTCGGAACATTTAAATGAAAGTCAAAAAAAAAGTCAGAGCTAAAAGAATACATCAACAAAGATCATGGTGGCAATGATGCATCTCCTGCATCATGTACTCCGTAATTCGGGTGGTAAAGAAGTCATGCAAAGAGAATAGCAACCTCACATCCGGGTATGCACGGTACAAAGGGAGAGACAGTTCTTTAATCCAGAAATCCAGACTTCGGGAAGGGCGATGACGATAATTATCTTTAACTCCACTTGCACCCCTGTCGAAATCCAAAATGGGGAGATGTGGTCGATCTCTCGCCCATCACATTGTAACCCTTGCGTAACGAGCTCGGTGACGCTATTATTGGGGGGAAAGGACAATGGAAAGACAAGTTGTCCTGTATATATATATATTAATTTCCACCATATCTGGATTCTTACATTGGATCAGAAGAAAGAGAGAAACAGACTCAGCCTTGGAAGTATTGACCGCAGATCGGACTGGATCGGTCAAATAGGTACAGAGCATTCCCAGCGGCTAAAGGGTCAATGGAATTTTGGATTTCTGTAATTTGCTTTTGCCCAAAAGGGGTATAGAAAAAAGAAAAAGAAAAAAGAAAAGAAAACGGGAGCCCCAGTCTAGGCTGTGTGAGACCATCCATTGGACGATTTGGACTTTTAGCATAAGATACGATAGACTATACCCACTATACATACTATACACCTATATTAGACATATGTATTATACCTATTTAATCTTTTAATCTATTCTATTCTTCCCCATGTTCGCCTCAAAAAGCATGTTCCATGTTCCCACAGGTCCGATCCCACCCCCACTCTGCTATTTGCTGCACTCCGGAGTATTCCCTACAACATATGGGCCCTGGTCGAAACGGTGGAACTGCCCTGATTTTCATGAATTCGGTTCCAGCTGGTTTTTATTTTAATTTTTTTTCTCGTTTCGTTAGTGTCAACGTCGTGTCATCTCATGTGTGGCATCGTAGATCCGGGCTCCCTGGATTCCCTTATAAACCTGCCTTGCCTAGTAACGGGATCTTCACTGGAATTAAAATACTCTCACCCGTTCCTGAACGGGAGCATCGGCTCTTTTTTATTATTATCGCATCCACTCTTTATTCAACTACCACTCCACTACGTAAGCTAATTTTTGCTGTCTACCATTGACTATATACTGACTTGATTCCCCTTTAGTCAACTTCCTCTCTTCATCTTCTTTCCAGTTTCTTATATGGCCAATTATTCTTGGCAACATCAGCCCCCTTCAACAGGCTCTCAATGGCTTCAAGACAATGATTCCTATAGCCAGCCTACCATGCAAGATCTAACTCATGCTTTCCCTCGACCGAGGCACACTCGCGTCATGAAGCCTCGTAGTGCAGGCAACAGTCCTTCGTCAGCAACCAGGAGACGCCCAACAGTGAATCAAAATGTGATGCATGGAATGCCCACTCAATATCAGTCATCACTGGAAGAAGTCCTTCTCGCCTCAGCCGCCCGGAACCCACGTCCGATGAGCTGGCATCCTTCATCCGCAAGAGCGCGGGGTCTTTCCAACCCTTACATCTCAGATTTCCCTTCGGATAGCTATGCCGGTCTGGGAGCCGTGCCTGATCAATACCTCACCTCAGCCGTCTACGGCGGTGAAGGCATCATGTCATATCCTGTGACCGCCGACCCTTCATTCTCCCCGACTACTTCCCTATCTACCCAACCATGCAGGAGGACTTGCCACTACCACAGCACACGCCGGGGTTCATGACTGGCTCACAGGTCGACCCCATGGGATGGGATGTCGCCACTATGTCCACCGATATGTCAACGATGTCGCACCCGGCCTCCGACAACTGGAGCCTGGACATGCTATCAATGGGCACCAACATCCCCCCACCAGAGACAACATGTCCAAGCTACGTCAGCGTCCCCTCCCCAGGTGAACTGAGTGGCCCATCAACACCGGACTTTCTCCCCATTCAACAATTCGAGAATCCCTTCCAGCCCAGCGCAGAGACCAAGAAAACCGGAAAGGGCGAAGAAGAACTAGTCGGCATGGGCCTCTACAGCCAGCCCAACGGAACACTGGCACGAGCCCCGCAGAGCAAATCAGGCGAGGGCCTGAAGCTCGAAGAGACATTCACCCCATCCGACGAAGACAAGGCAGCGAGGAGGACGCAGAGGTCGAGATCATTGGGCAGCAGGAATTGCCCCAGCAACCAAACACCTACCATGAATCCGCGCCTACCATTCGCCAGTCGAACTTCACTTCCAAGCAGCAGCCCAGACAAGCTCTGAATCTGCTCCAGCGGTCTTTCTTCTTCGACCATGATGATGCGGATCAGCAGCCCATGACTGCTGCACAGCCTTTTGCTAGTTTCAATCAGCCCTGCATGAACTATGGGTATGGGTGGATCTGAGAAGATTGCCCCGCGGAGGATTCATTTTTCTACTTGTTTTTCTTTCGCATTTCTTACGGTAACAGCGGCATAGCGTGGAGTTTGTCTTTCATCATCTTTTTCTTTTTTTCGGAGTCGGATACACAAGGATACCCTGGGACGAGCGGTTCGCGACTCGCATCTAGCTACATTTACTTTAGGTGTACTCGAGCACAATCAGATACACAAATCTATCACAATATTTGCTACCTTTCATTATTCTCATCTTCAGTTGAGCCTAAGTTCACGGTGTTAAATCATTGTCGCATTATGTCAAAGACTCGAAGTATACAAACTCGCCCTCTGATTGGCTGCGGATAAAATAAGCCTCGGTAAAACTTACTCAAAGGAACAACAATCCCCCGGAAATATTTCGCAGGCTATCAACGAAAAGTCAAGCAAGCAAAAGGTTACCCATCCAGCGTCGAATTTAATTTTCTATTTCTCATTTCAAACTCAGCGCCGAGAATGGCAAAGGTCATTTTCACGGCTTGGAAAACCAAGTCTCAGTTGCTGGAAGTGCGGAACGAGTTTTATCCTCCGCCTACGTACGCTGGACCGGATTTGCGTTCCCACGGCTGTGCAGTGGTATGTTACATGTGCATGAGGGACAGAATGAGTGTGGTGCCCAGCTGTGGATGTGGATTGCTAACGATGTCGGAAAGGTCGAAGCTTGGAAGCTACGCGGCAATGTACCGCACCATGTTGAAGCTACAGCCTTGTTGACAGATGCTATTCTCCACGATGATGCGCAGAGGAATTCCATTTTCTCAATTCGTGCTACATATTCTGCAGCTTTCTGTCGGTGAGTATTAAACCGTACCTGATCCTGTTTTTACATTTATGGGAGAGAAAAGCCCGTGGGGATGATGTCTCGAATTCATACACCCCCCTCATTCACATAACATATTCCGTCTTCAAAAACTAACGCCCAGCCTTAGCTTCGTAACCGGTCTTGTGGACACCAAGATCCACGGCGTTCGCCGAACAATGTTCCAGCGCGCCACAGACCTAGGCCTGCCAGCCTCTTTCGTGGAACTCCGTCACGAAGCAACCCACCGCGAGCCGCCGTCGCTCGTCGTACTGCGCAAAGCTGCGCAGCGCTCGCTCGAGTGGTTGTGGGACAATTACTGGGCCGGTGTTGGTGACGACTCCGGTGCGCCTGCATTGACCCATGACGACGGTGCATCTGTCAGGGCCGCCCTGTGCGACGCTCTGCAGCCTCTATCCGGCGCATCGGCGGATTCCGTGCCCAAGAAGCGGAAGCGGGATCAGGCTGTTTCGGTCGCTATGCGGCTTGTCTCGGTTTGTAATGTTTCGGGGACTGCGGCGAGGCTTTTGTCTTCTGTTTTGCTCGAGCGGGGGTTCTTGGTGCCTAGTGGGCGGGAGTGAGTTTGCTTCCCCTTTTTTACGTTTTGCTTTTGTCTCGGCTGTGTTTTCAGGGGTCCATTCTTTGTCGGGGAGTACATGCTGACCGTGACATTCTAGCCTTGGAGATTCGATGAATGATACATTCAAGGAATGGAACCCGGTTTTGCAAAGGGTTGCAGAGAGTCATCCTGCGTTCTTGAGGCATTTGACCGAGGATCTGGTGAATGATCTAGCCTTTAAGAACACAACCGATATATCGGCAGATGCGCCTTCCGAGGCACTGTATCTGTGGATCGCGCATATCTTGACATCTCCTGCCTGGGAGTTCCACAGGCAATCATGCCCGCAGAGCTATGTTCTCCGAGCTTGCGATGAAAGTCCACACCATTGGACAAAGTTATTGGGAGACCAGTTAAGGAAGCACGCCAGCAAGCCCAAACCAGTTCTTGGTGCTCGTCCCGCTGCCAAGAACCGAATCACGAAACCGAAACATGTTAGAAATGACTCGCAATACGCTCCATCACAGCTCTCGGAAAAGCTGCTGGAACATGGATGGGGGTTCCTGGAGAAATGGGACAGTCGACCTTTGGGCGTGGTATCAAGTAATTAGATGGGGATGTCTCCAACTCACAAAATACATACGCTGCTGGCAGCGATAGAGACCAAAGCAATCTCATATACCATATAGACCGCTACGTAGTTACGAGCAACCAATCAAAAGCGGTGGCATTACTAAAAGCTGTCGAGCTAAAGTGGAAAATAGTTATTCCGGATGACGTTGGTAATCCCGGCAGCTCCACCCGTTTGGCGTGTGTACATCTTTCGAGCTCCCCTCACTGTTTTCATTCATCGTTGGTGATGAACTTTCTAAGGACACAATTATTCGGAAATAGCTCACCTCTATTCAGGCCACAAATCAGAGCCATGCATATCCAATCAATTCCTATGTGTATGTTGATGCTCCAGTCCCGTCGTATATATTACCAATCAACAGTGGCAATCTTGGGATATTGCAGGAATATTTGCTTATTCTAGGTCAATTCTACAGGGACGGGGAAGGGAAACAACTATGCCTACCTTGTGACAGACGAGCCGACCAAGCAGTCCGTTATTATTGATCCGGCCAACCCTCCGGAGTGAGTTGCATCTTTAGATCATATCAAACTACTGCATGGACTGAACTGATTACGTGGAATTGCAGGGTTGCACCGGAGCTCAAGTCTCAGATTGCTTCTGGCAAGATTGACCTGACGGCCATTGTTAACACTCACCAGTATGTGGAACTTCCATGGGCCGGTACAAGAGAACAATAATCCAAGCTTGCTAACATTTGCTGAAGCCACTGGGATCATGCTGGTGGTAATGGTGACATTGTATGTATAGATTCTCGAGCTATTAGGTGCTAACTCGAGCTAACATTTGCTCCAGTTGAAACAATTCAAGGGCCTTCAAGTCATTGGTGGCAAGGACTGCGCGTCTGTCACTAAGACTCCCGCGCATGGTGAGGAATTCAAAATCGGAGACCGTATCTCAGTGAAGGCATTGCATACTCCCTGTCATACGCAAGACAGCATCTGCTACTATATGCAAGATGGAGACCAGCGTGTTGTTTTCACAGGCGATACTCTCTTCATTGGTGGTATGTGTATCATCTTTGGATCCTCACATCTGTCAAGGGAGTACCATAGACTAATTTTAAATCCAGGATGTGGCCGATTCTTTGAAGGAAATGCCAAGGAGATGCACAAGGCCTTGAACGAGACCCTCGCGGCTTTGCCAGATGACACCAAGGTTTATGTAGGGTTGTCTTTTCTTGTTGACACGAGCCTCATACTGACTCTTTTTAGCCTGGCCATGAGTATACCAAGGCCAACGTCAAGTTCTGCATTGCGGTCTCGCAAACAGAGCCTATTAAGAAGCTCCAGGCATTTGCGGACCAGAACAAGCAGACACAAGGGAAATTCACTATCGGCGACGAGAAGGTAAGAGCTGGACCCAAGTGACACATCTGACTGAGACTGACGAACCTTTAGCTCCACAATGTGTTCATGCGCGTCAATGTAAGTTCCTTATCCTTTGTGCTTGTATCTGCCGTTGCTCATTGAGAACACACAGGACCCCGAGATCCAAAAGGTAACCGGCAAGACCGACCCTGTGGATGTGATGGCGGCATTGAGAGAGATGAAGAATTCGATGTAAAGTATGTGAGTCAAGCGTGAAAATCTACGAGATTTCCTCATACATAGCTGTTTTCCAACGTGGACCGACGTCATAATGCCAAGCCCACCGCTCCCAGTGCTCCCCATAGGAATTAAGTATCTTTTGTATGGGCAAGCCATACAAAGAATACTTTAGCACAGTATAGATATAGCATAGATTATCTTGTCCTGCGGGATAGCTAAGGAAGATATAGGAAGATGCATATAGCGTACAAGGTGTCTGTTTCATACTCTTACTCTTTAGCTAGTTCAAGGGTGGAGAAAAATTGAGATTATGTACAAGTACCTTTTATATGGGAAATCCATACAAAAGATACCTCAATACCCTGATTTTTTGTTTGCGGTGCAGGAAGCGCCGGTGGGCAGAGATAGCTCCCCACTTGCTTTGGTGCCGCCAACATCTCGGGCCCGGACAACCTCAACCATGACAAAGTGACCAAAAGGGAAATCCCAGTACTTTTGCGTGATGGATAAGGCAGCTACGGATGGAGTAAGTGTTAATAGATGCCAGGACTGGGGTATTGCAGTGACTGACCAATACCATCATAGAAAAATGGAGGGGCAAGCGACACAGAGGCTCAGCATCATCTAGAGGTAAAGCAGTTTGACTGACTCCCTTGATAGTCTTATACTAAGTATATGTCCTTACCCAGGTCGTACTTCTACCCGATTCCAACCACCGACGCAAATCCTCCCTTGTCACGATGGACAAGCCGAGGGTCCAACCTCACCTAACTCAGGATGATACGACGACTGCCTGCTACGTCCACAACCTTATTGCGAGCGAGTGGACCGCACCCCCACAACACCTGAAAGACACAGAAGACACAGAAGATGAGATACAGACATCGAACGAGGACGAGGCTCAACCCGTGACAAATACGGAAGGTCTCGAGCCAGAGCAACTGGTGGTCGACCGCGAGAACAAACCGATACCCACAATCATCGAATCCCGCCATCTTACGAAGAGACAGCTATCAGATATGGCCTGGAATGTGCGCAAACTATCCAAGAAGCTGGGCAGCATCAAGCTCAAGCTCACCGTGAAGACTGTCTTTGTGGTCAGCAAGGCGCAGGACGAGTCACTGGTAAGCCTGACTCGAAAGGTGACGAGGTGGCTACTCTCCAAAGACAGAGACTCACTGTACGTGGTTTATGTCGAGCGCCGACTCGAGACGCACCCGGACTTCGGTGCGTTGCAGCTGGTACAAGACGAGCCCTCCGCCGAGGGCCGACTCAAGTACTGGGATCCCAAGCTTGCGCAAGAACAACCGCATTTGTTTGATTTTGTGGTTACGCTCGGCGGAGACGGAACCGTTCTATACACGAGCTGGCTGTTCCAGCGCATCGTGCCGCCCGTACTTTCCTTTTCGCTGGGCTCATTGGGCTTCTTGACGAATTTCGACTTTGCGGATTACCAGAAGAGCCTCGATAGTGCTTTCCGGGATGGCGTTTTCGTCAGCCTACGGCTACGGTTCGAATGCACCATCATGCGCAGCAAAGCGAGAATAAGAGACCCGCACGCGCGCTCTCTATCAGGTCGCGACTTGGTTGAGGAATTGATCGGGGAGGAAGGGGAGGACACATTGACACACGCGCCGGACCGAGTATATGAGATTCTCAACGACGTAGTTCTCGACCGGGGGCCAAACCCAAGTATGTCTTCCAATTTCTGATTTCCGATTGCGAATTCTCCACTCGGTGTTACATGTTAGGTATCACGACAGAAACAGGCACCCAGCTAACCAATCTTCGCTAGCCATGTCTCAAATCGAACTCTTCGGGGACGACGAGCATTTCACCACCCTGCTCGCTGACGGAATCTGCATTGCTACCCCAACCGGATCGACTGCTTACAACCTCGCCGCTGGCGGCTCTCTTTCACATCCAGAAAACCCCGTCATCCTTGTTACAGCCATCTGCGCCCACACGCTGTCCTTCCGACCGATTATTCTGCCAGACACCATTGTCTTGCGCATGGGTGTGCCGTACGATGCGCGCACGAGCTCATGGGCTAGCTTTGATGGTCGAGAGAGGTGAGTTTGTCACATTTGTTATATAAAGCCATTGTTACCCCCTCGGCATTGGCTTGACGCTTGGGTCTGTTATCTGACTGAGAAACTTTAGGGTTGAGTTACATCCCGGTGACTATGTTACCGTGTCGGCATCAAGATATCCCTTTGCCAATGTCTTGCCTCCCGGTGGGCAGGGTGAGGGCTGGGTGCACAGCATTTCCAAAACTTTGAATTGGAATTCGCGACAAAAGCAGAAGAGCTTCAAGTAGCTGGAGGGAATCCTTCGGTATGACCTTTGACTCTTTCTTCCTCTTCCCTTTCCTCTTTCATGAGCATATTTGGTGTCTATTTGGTTTGCTTTGGTTTACAGCCACTGGGTGGTTCATTCATTTATGGGCGTATATGGTTTTATCAGAATCTAGGAAGACGATATGACCTGGGATGAGCTCTTAAGAAAATAAGAAGATGATCTTTTTTACTCCGTATTCTTTTAGCTAATAATTATCTCCAATTCCCATTTGTTCTTTTCTTATGTTTTCTTTTGCTTTCTCTTTTTTTCCAAGTGGACACTCTTTTTTTTTTCCCGCTAGGAGCTGCAGCTCCACTTGGCCCTATAAAAGCCCATCGCCCGGCCCGAAAATTCTTCTTCCTTTCCTCAACCAACTTGGGTTCAAAGTCTTAATGTTGCCTTTGAAATCCAATAGCCCGACAATCTCAGGAGTGTATGTGAACAGATTCACATACTCTCTTCTTCACTGACCTGGTAAGTCCACGACTATTTTTTCGGATTGCATTCCCTCCAGCCAACGGCCTTGCGCCGTTCGATGATGAAACTCTTCCTACATTCGCAGTTTCCACGCTAGCCGTCGCTTGAACCCAATCAAGGCGGCATTGAGCGGAATATCTTCCTTGGATGTCTGAGAAATATTTGGCTGTTCTATGAATTCTTTGCATTTCAACTTTTTGCAGTCGAGACGGTTGCTAATTGTCTCTCAGTAACAGGATTTGCTCGAAAACGCTCGATCGTCGATATCATACATATTATTATCGCTTCGCAGTTTCCAGTGCCTGGCTCTATAGCTAGTTGCACTGGCTGCAAGTGCTCGTTGCTGCTTAGCACTACTCGGCTTACAGGATATTCCAAGTGATGTACTGTGTCGGGAGTGTGAAGGTCCCCACAGTTAGAACATATAGTATATTCGTATCAAATGAATGACAGTTTTATCTGCAAATCTCTTTTAAATCAGGTCTTTTCATAGTATTTCAGAGCCCAGATCGTAGTTCTCTCATCATAAAAGAATAAAATCTCGCAGGATTGCACCCTAGGGAGTTGTGCTCCGCCGTACCGCATCCACTTGTTGACCCCAAACCTCCAAACCTCCCATAGATAACTTGACCAGATCCGCAAGCTCTCAAATTAATATTCGTCGACTCGGATCCAAATTGTAACGCCATTCCCATGGCGGCACCACCTCGACATGCCACGATGCAGTCCATCAGCAATGGCGGCATAGCCCCAGGGACCGACAGACCACAGACACAGCAAACACAAGCCCAGCTATCACAACAGTCCCCTGGGCTACGTGTACCTTCCAATCGCAAGACCATCTACGACCGCCACCTGAACCGGAGTCGTAATGCAGAACTTAGCCGGGCGAGCTTCGCCTTTCTATTTGGGGAGATGGTCACATATGCTCAACGAAGAGTAACAGGTATCCAAGATCTCGAGAAACGGTAAGACACAATCCCCCGATTCAGACCTGGAATGTTCTCCCAGCCCTCCCAAGCCAATTACCACCATATACCTGCCCGGCAGCATAACTAACGACCCCTCCATCTAGGTTAAACGAACAAGGCTACCCCCTCGGCCTCCGCCTCCTCGACCTCCTCTTCTACCGCTCAACCTCAACCTCTTCCTCCGCCCTCTCAAGCTCCTCCACCTCCTCTTCACCCCCAAACCGACCCCTCCGCATCATAACCCTGCTGCACCTCATCCACGGACCCCTCTGGCGCCTCCTCTTCGGCCGCGCCGCAGATGCTCTCGAGCACTCCGTGTCCCCGGACACTCCGAACGAATACATGATCACCGATAACGACCCGATGGTCAACACATATATCAGCGCGCCCCGTGATATGAGCATGCTCAACTGCGCTGCTTATGTTGCCGGTATTATCGAGGGTGTCTGTGATGGCTGTGGCTTTGAGACGAAGGTCTCGGCACATAACCAGCCCACGGAACTCTGGCCTGAGTCGGACGGTGTTCTTGGTTCGTTTTGGGGATCCGGTTATGGAGAGGGAGAAGGTGCTTGAGAGGGCGGGTGTTAAATAATTCATGAATTTGCATTTCGGGTTGCCGGGTGGCTGGCAGGTTGCAGGCTGATTGATGTGTGCTTGTTAGCGTGGTAGATATATGGCGTTTGGAATGCTATGGGGTGGTTATGCAGCCCTTAGTCTGCGGCTCTTTGGTGGCACCGGCATTCCCTTCACGAGTCATGCAAGTACAAGTCTGGACGGTGGATTTCTTAACTGTTCTTGCAATCTGCTGTGGATCATGTGCAGAAGTCTTTGATTGTCGGCCAGCAGATATCATACAATACAATTCCTCCAGGAGAGGATATGTTATATTACGTATATGTACATACACAGAAGAGTACTGGCACATTGGTTGCTCGAGATTCAGCTACCAGAAGTAGATCCCACCATGCACCTCGTGATAGACTGGCGCCGTAACTCCAACATCCAAGCAGGATATCAACACTGTCACCTTCACCACTGGATGATCACGAACTCTCCACACGCCGACGTTTCTCCCGATCATCATAGGGCGACGGACTCCGCTTCCGCCTCTCCCTGAGACCGACTGCGCTCGAACCGACCCGAGTCTCTATCGTCACGCCGGTCTCGCCGAGGCGACCTCGACCTCGACCTCGACCTATGCCGTGGTCTAACAACACTAGCATTGGCACCCGTCGGTCCGCGATCCCCATCATCACCACCACCACGACGATCAGGCATAAACCTCTCATCCGTAACACCTACAGGAGGCCCATCCCTCCTCCTCCTATTCTCCAACCCATCCCCAAACCGCCCCGTATCCTCGGACTTAAGATCCCTATAGCGCGTGCGACCCTTCTTCCCAAGCTTCGTCATATCACGCACCTGCATGTACTGCGGCAACGTATCACGATTGACATCATCCTCAAAGCGAGCCCCCATAAGCTCCCGACGATCCAACCCCTCCGCCTCAAGATCCCCACGGAAGAAAGCCCCCTTATGGAAATACCGCTGCATAAAGCCCGTCTGGCCGCGCGTAGCCTCACGCTCCTCCTTCTGCTTCGCGATGAACTCGCTATCTTCACGCTCGCGCTCCTCAGCCGTAAGGTTCCGCCGACGCTCGACCTCTTCGCGCTCTTTCTCGCTCGCTTCGATCGCTTCGCGCGCGCGCTGCACGCGCTTCAGCTCCCGCAGTGTCCAGGCCGCTTTCTCGGCTTCCGGGTCTAGCCCGTCTGTGTCATCGATGGCTTCTTCGTCTTCGGCTTCGACGAGCTCGTCGTCATCCCAGGCGCGGTTGGCGTTCGAGCGTGCTATCGCTTCTTTCTCCAGTTGGTCGCGGATTAGTTGGTCGGCTTTTTCTTGGCGCTGGGCGGCGCGCTGTGCTTCGGCTTCCGCTGCGCGTTCGGCGTCCGCTTGGGCTTTTGTCTGTCCGGCTGGTGTGGCTGTGTTGCGCTTGTCTTTTTTGATGAAGGTTGGTCGGATGAGCATGCGTCGCGGTGCTTCGTCTTCCGAACTACTCTCCTCTTCAGAGCTTTCTTCCTCTTCCTCCTCTTCTTCGTCTTCTTCTTCGTCCTTCTCCGGGGCGGATGTAGCCGCAGTAGGTTTTAAATCGTCGGTCGTAGGGTGCGGTACTGCTTTCGGTGCGGGTGCGGGTGTAGGCTTGTCATCTTCTTCTTCGGTGACGAACCCTTCCTCGTCATCGTCCTCCTCGGCTTTTTGGGCTGCTACTGCAGAGGCTGGGAATGAGCTCGCTTTGGGCGCTTTTGCTCGGCGCAGTGCCTCGGCTCGTCTGCGCCGCTCTTGTTCTCGTCGCGCCTCGCGTTCAGCTTCGTCATCCTCCTCTTCTTCCTCCTCTTCCTCGGATGAGGGCTCCTCTGCGACAGCTTTTCCAGGACGGTAGCGGGCAGGCCTAACGGGGTTCTTGGTCATTCCCCGGTGTGAGGAGGGGAGCGGAGGAGGCATTGTGGTCGGATGTGATGAGTGTGGAAGGAGGGTGTATGTCGGTTATGTAGAGATATGTAGAGCTCCGTTACCTGGTTTGCAGTTCAACGCCAGGAAATTGTGCCAGGGCTGCTCCGTAGTACGGTGTGGTGTGGACTCGTTGAATTGACGTATCCGGCTGAAGCTTTTACTGGAGATTGATATGCGATCACGTGATGATATCAAGAAGCTACAGAAAGGCAGAAGGGGAATTGACTGCGTCAGCTCAGAGACGGATTTATTATACCTGGGTAACTTTTCCTCTCTCGGAGTAACCCAGAGCCAAATTCCAAATTAAAGTCACGTCCACATAGTGTTGCCAGATATCCAGCTCAAAAACTGCACCTAGCCATTCCATACTATTTAATCACCACGTGACCACGCGTTTCCGCGCCTCGCGTCGATCAACCTGACTTATCCCCGCCGATTCGATTCTCCAGCATCAATCACAGACGAACACCACCCTAAACACATTCAAATCCCGAATTCCCAGCCCGAGTCAGGAAACTCCCAATACCCAAAAATGTCCCTCCAAACTCCCCGCATCCTCCCCTCCCACCTCCACGCCTTCCACCCCTCCAGCGCTAGCTCGAACACCGTTCGTATACTCGGTACCGTCACCGCGCTCCACGGGAGCACCGGCACACTCACCTGCGGCAACAATGGCGATGTTACGCTGATTCTGAAGTCCGATGCGCGCTTGCAAGTCGGGAAGCTGGTTGAGGTTGTGGGGAAGGTGGCTGATCTAGAGGGTGGACAGGTATGTTCAACACCAGTCCCGGAGAGATTCAGCCTTAATATGGGAATTCCGGCCTTCATAGCTATGTGGAGTGGAGGCTAATGCTTACGTCTAGGGATACGGACTCCGTGTACTTGGCTCAACGGAGTGGGGTGACCCAGCTGATTGCGGTATGTTGAATGCCTTTCCTCTGCGAGGTTAATTGACCTTGAGACTGACTTGTGTGTATGGCTATTATAGATTATAAGATCTATGAGAATGTCGTCAATGCTACGCATAAATTCAAGTCTATCTTCTACGAGTAATGGGTCGTGAGTTGCGGGATTTGAATATATGGTCGTTTTACTGAGGGGTTTGTCTTGAGTCTGGTATGAGTCTGGAATATACAGGCTCAAGAATGGTTGGACTCTGTCCGAGTCTCGGACGCTGAAATGCAAGACCATGAGGACAGCCTTGTCTAGTCGTTGTGACATTATCAGTACCCTCCCTTAGAGACTATGGAGCGGGTATCTGTTCAACCGGGCCTGGGAAGTCGATGCTGTTACTGTGATTCCCCGGCTTTTGCGTTTTACCTAGGTACATATGAGGTTATGATCTAAGCTTCTCCCAATTCAAGATTTTACATTGAGCTAAACTCAAGTACGTGGGTGGTGGGAATGTATTTGACTATCTAAGTGACTACTTCTCCGATGAAAGAGGATGTGATGAAACACCCCCATGTATTAGCCAGAATGTGTTTATAATGGGTTTTTTTTTTATTTGGTTTAGTATTTCGTACTATCATAAAAGCTACATAGGAAGGATATTTATCATATTATCCCTGCTAACTAGTATCACCGCTTCCGTTTCAGGGGAATACACCCACCAAAAGGCACAGCGAATGAAGTATCAGAGTCCTTTCAAGGATACTCCAGGTCATCAGTTTGAACAAATAAGGAAAGGCCATAAATCTCAAGGTCGAAGTCAGGATCCGTTACCTGTATGCAACGAGATCAACCCACAAACCGAACGCCGTCGCTAAAGAACAGCAAAAATAAAATAAAAAAAATCAAAGAAGCAAGCATGTTTGAGTTGACATGTAGTAAAGCTCCCGGTCTTAGACAAGGGAGGTGGCCTATTGGCCTTCGGGCTGGCTCTTGGATACATCGGTGGTGAGAGCATCCGAACTGAAGAAGCCGGAGTCGGGAATGACAACATCGTTGAAATTGAAAGGGAGAAGGTCGGGGTTGAAGCTGTCTTTCTCATTGGGGTTGTCCGAGAAGAGAGCGTTGAGCAACTCGTTGGCAGGAGTTTCGCAGGATCCAGCAGGGGAGACGTAGTCCGTTGGAAGCCACTCCGCCCAGTTGTCACCGGCGAATTTGTCGTTCTCCATGTCGAAGAAAGCATCAGTCTTGTCGGCGTCATCAAAGATATCGAGCATCATGCCATCAAGAGACTGGAAGGTTTCCGGAAGACTGTTGTTGGCAGGCTGTGGTGCCAAAGACTGTTGTTTAGCCGGGGACTTCTGTTGCCGCGATGATGACTGAGGACTTCCGTGGATTGATTGGATACGCTGCAGGCGCTCTGCGGAGAGTCGAGCTGGAGACATAACCGAGCCTAGGTCCTTGCGTTTGTTGAGGCTTGGAGAGTTCGCAGGGAAAGACAAACGCTTGTCAATCGCGTTGATCCGCGGGTTTCGTCGAGGGGGTAGGGCTTGCTGAATCAAATCCAATGGAAGGACTTTCGAACAGATCATCGAGGTCATCACCCGGGGTGGGTGCAAGGTTCTCCTTCAGCTGACCCGGCTTGTCATCCTTCGTGGAGGCAATGCGAGGGCTGCGGCGTGGAGAGCAGCTGTTCACCATAGAAGAATCAAGCTCCTTCAGAGGCCCATCATTCTGGGAATTTTGGAAAAGTGACCTTCTCAAAGGCTTGGGGGTGTGACTGTTGCCATCTGTCATCGGAGCAGAGCGGGATTTTGCACGGCTCGTGGGGCTAGACTTAGTGGCGCGTGCGATAACCTCCCTGGCGTCCTCCTTGGACCAACGGCGTCCTGGGGTATCGAACGTCCCTTCCGACTCGGCACTGGTGCCTCGAGGAGACTCGTTAGGCGAATAATCCGGTTCGCCATCATCGTCGTCATCCATTTGGGGAGTCTCCCCGTCAGGATGAACAGAAGACGCCTCAGTGGGTGCTGGAGAGGAAGCCGAAGGTTTCTTCGGTGCGGCCTTACTGCGAGTTCTGGCAGCAGGACAGGACTTGGTCTGGCCCTCCCCGCGGTTCCTCGAAGGACGTTTTTTGTTGTTCTTTTTGGCCGGCTTTGGGGCTCCTGGCTTGGTCCATTTGTCTTCCGGGCGCATTTGTTTGAATTTGTGGAGCCACAAACCACAAGGATTGCAGAAGGTCATCTGATCCCAATCATTATCGTCCTGCTCAAGAGCCTTTTTGTAGATCTTGAAACATTGCACTTCACCCTTGGCGTTTCGGTCCACCGCCTCCCAATAGAGCATGGGGGGAAGACTTCATCATATCTTCTGCAAGGCTCTCGCCGCCCTTGACCGTTTTGACCCAGGCTCTCCGCCAGCTGGCGGTTTCGATGGAGCCACAATTCTCGCAATACGGCGGGATTAAGCCGTTGAGAATAGCATTATCCAGACGTGCCTTGATGTTTTTGGGAACTGGCTTGGCTCCCTGCTTCGGCATTGACTTTGGCTTCGACGGTTGCTTTGACTGCTTAGTACTGGAAGTAGCTGTCTCACACGGCATGAAAGTAACATCCAAAGGCCCAGCAGAGCGAGGAGGAATAATGGGGTCGCTGGCAGGGATTGCGCGAAACAGTTGGGGAACTTCATTGTGGAAGATCTGTGGCGCCGGGGCGAGCGGTTTGGGTGCCAATCTTTGCGCGCCAGAGCTCGAAGAAGGTCTTGATGCGGTAGCTGTGGCGGGACGGGATGCGGGACGGGATTGCGCGGGGCGAGAAGGGGCAGCACGAGATATCGGTTGCGGCGCTTGCTTTGCAATTTGCTCCGTTGGATTATCATCGACGGGAAGAGGATCATTGTTGGTTCCCTGGGCAGCACTAACCATGCTCACTGGAGAGCTTGCCTGCACGGTAGCTCGAACAGAGCACTTGTCCCGGGTTATCCCACGAGACACTTCCATTCTGGGGTCATCTAGGGGAATAACGGTTTCATCGTCCATGATTTCATCCGGTCCTGCACTCATGAAGCCGGAGTCATTGTCCAGAGACATCGTAGGCAAGACAGGGCTTGACCTATTGGGCAACCGGCTATCGAAAACTGGAGGTGATGATGGCATGTTGAAGGATGGCTCAAAGAGACCCTGGTAGCGACTATCCTCAGGAGAGGGACCGCCAGCGTCTGTGGTAGGGATATCATCGCTCATACAGTACGGAGAAGTGTACTCAGCAGGACACGAGGCAATGCTCATGCTGGACGACTCCCGCAACAAACTGCCCGTGGGTCGGCTTCGACGGGGGAAATCAGATGGTCGAGATATGGGGGTGGGTGGACGGACGGGCTCTTCGTGGGAATGCTCGGCCGTGAGAGCAGGGTTCACCGGGGTTGGGCGGTGGATTCGTACAGAGGCCGCCGTGCTGGCTGCAACCCGAAGCGAACTCGGTTGTCTTTCGATGTTCATGCCTGACTTCCCGGGCCAGTTTGCTTGATACACCTTGGCCCTCTTCCTGGCTGGGGCCTCCGTTGATTCTTCATCACCACTTCCGTATCCTGACTGCATAGACCCTCTTCGAATGTTGCTTTGTGAGACGTGTGAAAGCTGAGTCTGGTTGTCGCAGTCCCGCATAGAGGCGCTTGAGGACGGGCGAATCATATCGCTATGGGGGATACTCTGCTTGGGGTAAGACTGATGGTGAGCTGGCGTTCGACATCCACCAGGTGTTGACACTCGACTGCCGGCGTATGAGTGTGAAGGCGATACCGAACGGACCGATCCATTGTGGTGGAATGTAGCGAACTCTCGTGGCGTGGAGCCTTCGCTCAAGAGCTGGTGGAATCTCTCAATCCCAGATTGATGTATCGGAGATCCGACGTTGTCGTTATGGCTTTGGCTTCTTGAGGATTCCAGGAGGGTGGGGTTTTGACGAACAAAACTTGCCCATGATTGTGTGTCAAAGTCGCCTGAATTGCCATTAGCCAACTCCCGATGCTTCTGCATCCTGGCAAAGTACTCACTCTGAGTGACGGTTGGGACAGGCACCAGCCGAAGTTTGACCTCCAACGTCTCTTGAGCACCTTTGGAGAAGAGACCACTGAGAGGGCTCTTGCAAACTCGACCAGTAATCATGGTCTTCGACTGTTGGTTGGGTGTCTCGGTTGTCGATGAGAAGGTGGCCAGCACCGCAGAAAGCATGCCTTGGCCGACAAGAGGGGTCTCGAATTCGGAATAGTCGTAGGCATAGACGGTATAATCCTTTCCTAATTGACCGACAAGCTCCGGGCTGAACAAGGAAATGCGTAAGTATGCTATTATGGCCATCCGGGGATAAGGAAGTCAAACCTAGCAGAGACAATTGCCTGGATGCATGTTTTCAACTCGATTACTCCAACCGGTGTGTTCTCGTCCAGAAAGGCTGTTTGGATGTCAAGCACGTGTGGCCACCGAGCCAGGCAATTGGTCTTATTTTCGTTGTCGAATGTGTAAAGGACTTTCACTGCAGGATAACCATGATTAGTTGCTACTCAACTGCCCTCATTAGAACAGTAGTGGGAAACATACGCCTCATAGGGCGGACATCGATACCGTCCTGAGATTCCATCTCATCAGACTTTGTTTGCCCACCATGCAAGATGGTGGATCAAATTCTGGGGTTGAAATTAAGGATAGAAGGCCAAGAATCCTTCAGTATGATCGAAGGTATGAGAAACGAGGTTCGAGAATGTTGACAGGTAGAAAGAGGGGGAGAGAGAGAGGATTAAAGACAGCCCTTTCACTCGAGATCGGGAATGAACCAGGAGGTATTAGCGAGCCAGCCGATCAGCAGTGCATATCTGGGATCTCGTCGACCGGGAGAATAGACGGGTTATGCAGGAGGAGGTAGTGGAGGGGTCTTTTTTTCTGCAGGGCTGGAATGTTAGCTATTGATTTGCATGTCCTAGAGGGAAAGCGTAGGCACCAGAAAAGGAAAAGCCAATTCTTACCAATTAAACAGGAATCACCAGCAATAGTCTCTCCACTAGCTCTGCGCGAGCAGACAAAAGTGGAAGAGAGAAAAGTGAGGAAGGGATGAAGTTAAGAAGCCTTGCATGCGCGGGTCAAAGCTATCTCGAAAGATCTCCAAACAAGCGTGACGCGACGTGACTGCAGCCAATCGCGACCTCGGGAAATGGCTGGGAATTGGTGCCTGATTTCTAATAAGTGCCTGAATCGTAAGGTGTTAATTTTTTTTTTCCTCAGGTGTTCGAGAGAATTTTGCACGTGACTTGAGCTCTCCGCCAACTTCAACTGTCAGCTGCATCGACGGCATCTCTTGACCTCAACGACCTTTTTATGCCCACCATGTCAGCCGTTCCCGAACCCCAGATTCAGTATGTTACTCTATCAATGACTCATAGCTCTGTCTATGACCAATCGGCTAACAAGCCAAACAGAGACCTTCTCAACAAGCCGAAGAGCGAGCTCACGTACGTCCACCCGTTACATTGAATTTGCCCCCCTTCCCATGCGCTCTTTCTCATTCTGAGTAATCCGTGGTCCCTTGACCTCGGAGTTTCTGCCTGATTCTCGGGCTTGCGGGGTTTGCCTACGACGCCCGCATCTCGGAAACTTTGCGACCGACATCTTCACATTCTTACGCAAGCTGCGCAAAGTACATACATCAGAAAAAAAAACTAATCTTGCATCTTGCATTTAACAGAGAATATGAGGTCGCTCTCGTCGAGGAGCACGAGCTCACCGCTGGTCCCCTGTCTCTCCTGCAGACCGCCACCCGCACTCACACCCAGGTCCTGATTTCCTGCCGAAACAACCGCAAGTTGTTGGCCCGTGTCAAGGCTTTTGACCGACACTGCAACATGGTTCTTGAGAATGTCAAGGAGATGTGGACCGAGAAGCCGAAGGGTGCCAAGGGCAAGGGTGTGAACAAGGACCGTTTCATCAGCAAGATGTACGTACACCACACCGTGAACGGATCTCTGTCACTCTGTTCTATCATTGAAGCAGCCTAACCTTATTGCCTCGTCTCTAGGTTCCTTCGCGGCGACTCTGTCATCCTCATCCTGCTCAGCTGAGCGACTCATCACATTTTCCTCTCGCACACTTCGATCCCCACGTTGACATGATCTTGATATCTTCGATCTGCGGGGTGGTCGATATCCTGCTATTTGCACAGCATCTCAGACCCGTGAACAATTTCCATGGGCGAGTCATCATGTAATCGATCTCGATACCCTTTTTTTCTTTTCCCCCTCACATCCCGCTTTTCCTCCCTTGCTTCTGGTCCCCGCCAGAACACAATTGACCGATGCTACCACTGTCTTGATTGGTATGGTTCCTTATCCCAAGGTAACCGGTGCATGCACGAGATTATTCTGAATTGATCTTGTCTTGTTTTTGATCTTCGGGGATATGGACTAAAAAAAACCTGTTGGCGTTCAGTTCTTTGCGCGGGCTGCTAGACCCGCTGTCTTTTTTGTAGAGGGAATCCTCGGGCGGCGTCAACCTGGAGCAGAGCTGGTTAGGAATGAATGTTATAGAAAGATTTCATCAAACCTCGGTAGATCGTAAGCTAGTAGGCTACCTAGGTACCTTCATAGATCTTGCCCATATTTCCCTCCGTTCTCTTCATCGTGAAATGTCTCACTCCTGCATGTTAGGGCTCATCTAACCCCAGCCCCAGAGGTAAATATTATAGCTTATTCTTCGCCACCTACTGAGCACTGAAAACAGCCAATGTATCAACCGAATAATAATATCATTATCATAAATGACCATATCAAGCTATATCAAGACACAACCATGAACAAGAAAAAAAGAAACAGGGTGGCCAGGCATGTCGCTATGAATACAAAAACCACACATCCATCACACCCAATCATCCCACGCCTAAAGACTCTCCGCAAGGCCGGTCAAAAACTCCGACAACCCAAAGGCCCCAGATCAGGAATCTTCCCAATCCACTCCCCCTCCCCACCAACATAAACGCTCCTCCCAAGACTCGCCTTCATAGCCTTCGTAGACTCGGTCCCCTGCTGCGCCGCCGCAGCAGCAACCCTAACATCCCCCGTCTCAAGCAACGAATCCACAAACGGCGCAAGCGCATCAATAAGCGTCCGATCACCGGGCTTGGCAGGCGTGTATTTCCCCAAAGCCGCGAAAGAAGACTTCAACGCCTTCGCCCACATCTCTGCCGTGATGGGCGTTGGCGAGGATGTGTCCTGTGCTTGTAAGCCGTGTGCGAGTGCGTTGAGGAAAATTGCGTAGATCGCGCCCGATGTCCCGTCCATGACGTTCTCGACGACGGTTACGATTTGTGCTACCGTGCCGACGATGTCGCTTGTTAGGGGTGGGTTTGCGTTGAGGAGGTTTTGGATGGCTTCGGCGCCGCGCTTTAGGCCGATGCCGCAGTCGCCGTCGCCGACGATTGTGTCGTAGCGGGTTACTTCGGGTTCGGCGTTGATTACGCGCTGAAGGCCGGCGCCCAGGACTTTCTTGAGGATGGTTGGGTCGACTGTTGTTGGTTAGTTTTGGATATTGGAGAAGATGGAGGGGGGTTGATGTGATGGGAAAAGAAACTTACGCTGTAGGTTGCTGTGGATGTCTTCAGCTAGATTGGAGTTCTTCAGCTCAACCGGGTCCGCGTTCAGGTTCTTTTCCCAGGTAGAGGTATTGATGGGCGCAGACCAGCCGACCGCCTCAGCCGGTGCATCGAGCAGCTCAAGCATAGTGGTTTTCACGCCGAGGCCCGGGTCAACCAGCTTCATCAGCGAGATACTGAATCCGAGGCCGTTCAGACTAGTCAGGAAAGTGCCCTGGATCACGCGGACCATGTTAACCTGGTAATCGCGCTTGAGCTGGCGATAGACTTCGTCCGTGATACCGGCCAACTCGAGCGGGCTGACACCGCCAAGATTGTTGATTAGCAGCACGAACTCGTCTTCCGGCTTGCGGGTCACGTAGCAGCGGTCTGGGTCGTTGTGGTCGAGTAGCTGGAGCAACATGCCCTGGACCAATTCGACGAGGTCGAATTTCACGCGGTGTGAGCCCGGCTCGTTGTGGATTCCCATGCCGACTTCGACCTCGCCGTGCGGGATCGTGTCTTCGGGAACACCGCGACCTGGCACGTGGACGTGTTCCAGCGATGATCCTAGTGAGACTAGGTTTGCGTTGGCTAGCTGGGCTAGAGCGTAGACGTCTTCCAGGGAACCGCTGCGGAAGATGTTAGTATTTATTTGACGGTAAAAGAAGTATAGCACGTAAAAACATGCGATCGTATCGAACTCACCCAGCCTCAGCCAAAGCACCAACCATCTTCAGAATCAATACACCACCGCCAATACCGCGACGACCGACCTTCCCACCCTTCGAACGACCGACACCGACATCATCATTGATAGCGAAGAATTCCGTCTTGATACCAGCAACACGGGATTTCTCCGTCGCCATACCGAAGTTCAGCACATCGCCGGTATAGTTCATGGGAAGGATCAGCACGCCGTTATCGGTGGGGACACGATCGATCACCGCTCTGCGGATCTGCTCGGCAGATGGCGAGGCAAAGATCGTACCAGCGACCGAGGCATCGCAGAGCCCTTGGCCGACAAAGCCGGCGAATGCGGGTTCATGGCCGGAACCGCCGCCGGTTACGATGGAGACTTTGTTTGCTCTGCGGGGCGCATCTGGACGGCGGAAGATGATCTTGTTCTGTCGGTCCAGGGCCAGAGATGGGTTTGTGAGGGTAAGCGAGTTAAGCGCAGTGAGAACCAAGTGGTTCGGGTCAGAGAAGAAATGTTTGGCTGGGAAACGGTCAGATTTGTGGGGAAGATCTGGAGAGGGTGGAGCGTACTCTGCATTGTTGATCAAAAAGTGGACAGTTTCGACTTTAGTGGATTATGTTGTATATGGGATTTTGGACTTTGGAATCCAGAAAAAAAAAGGAAGAGAAGATCACAGATTTTTGATCTGGGGATTTGGGGAGGGTATAAATGTTTCTCCAAATCCAAGTATCCAAGTACTTCCAAGTAATTCCAAGTAGAGGGGAACTCGCCAATGGGGAATATCGAGGCTCCCGAGATTCCAAGACTCTTAACCTAGTCGACGCCAGTGAGAAGCTCTCGGATTGGATTTGAGGGTCTTTGAGCGCGGGGAAAAAGTGGGTTAGTCTCTTGGGACAGGTTTTGTGTATATATAGCCTGTTATAGCCTGTTGTTGGGGACTCACGGGTACGGATATAGAAGTGTGGGAGTACAGAGTACGTGTTCATCGAGGATACTCTCTCCTTTAAGGAAGTACATCGTGTACATACAATGGAGTACGTATTCCTTTTCTTTTCCTTTCTTTTTTTACCCTTTTTTTTCAAGCTCACATGAACAATTCCAACTGGATCTGCGCTTCGGCTTACCCTCTAGGGATATCCCGCCAGGCACCACATACCAGAATGGCGCTTTCTATCGCCCGAATGGGCATTTTCACCGCCAAAAGAACATTCTTGGAATGCATTCGATGCATCCAGAGCCGGATAATGTACTCTGGTCCACTCTCGTCCGAGTGGACTTTTGTTGAAACCTCAACTTGGTAGGTATGCCGGCATTCCTGGTGCACCTACCACCTCTTACTTGTTAAGCTTGTATGAGTTGTAGACCTACCTAGGTATTCCGGGAGCTATTACAGTTTATAGGAGTTGGTCTCGGCTTTACAGAGATGTCCTTCATAATACCCAATACATATATACAATATAGCATCTCAATGCCACTGTCAATGTCAATTGTCACTCGGACGAATACTGGGATACCGCAATTCCCAAGTGGAGACATCATGAGACCTCGAAAAAAAAAAAGGGATCTACAACACGAAAGGGGCATCCGGACTCGGATCTGCTGTCAGATCCAGGGATGTGGGGTCAACATATGTAAAGGTCTAGGTCATGGGGTGTTCCTTTGGATATGCATCTTATATTGGGGTTCTAATTGTGGGTATCTGATGCATTCGGACGTTAATTGGAAATGATGTAATTCTTATTATCTTATTATCTTATTCCCTACCTAATATCATTATTGAAGAGCCTCGATGAGCACCTAGCTATATTCAATGGCACGGACTTCCTCTTTCGTCCCACTATGTGCTCGTATTTTGGTTTGACTTTGGCTTGGACCGCCGAGGTCAAGTTAAGTGGCCGGGAGGCTGGGGACCGGAGCTATTTGACTTCTCTAAGGTAGACGGAGTAATCAATTTCCGTACAGGACTACGTACCTAGGTACCTACATCGGTACCTAGGTGTTAATAAAAGATCCAAGGATCTTGGCAATGGCGTATCCTGTTGAAATATCCCATTATACTATCTGATGGAAACACTAACCAAATACAACTGTGCATTCAGGGAATAAAGTACCCTACTCTCAGCATGTAAAAATTATGCCTTATGACACGTAACTGTAATGATTGGTGCCTTCTTTCCGCTCGATGTATTCCTTCTCAATCAACCTAGAGGGGAAAACCAATGTTAGACAATAACCGGGGGCGGTAGTAATGAGGATACGTACTTCTCAATCTCTCCCTTAATCTCCGGAGGTTGAAGAACACCCCGGTTCTTAGTAGCATTGATAACCTCCGAAATCAGGTCGACGTGGCTGAGAGTTTTGCGGCTCTTCATAATGCGCACGATGGCAGCTTGCGTCTCGAAGTGGCGGTCGGCCGCAACCCGCTCGTGCGTCGTCTTCGTCTCCTCCTTAGTCTCCTTCAGCTGGATCTGGTTGATCTTGATGCGCAGTTGCTTGTCGCTGAAATTCGCGTTGTACGAGAATTGGTCGCTGGAGTTCACCTCCTTACCCTTGGGGTTCTTGGATAAGACTCGGTACTTGGCGCAGGCCAGAGACTGCAGCGTTCGCTTCAATTCCGGGTCCGCTGTGTGTCATATTAGGGATTGTTCGACTCTTTGGGTGCTGTAGATCCACTTACACAATCCGGTTGCTTCTTGGATCTGGGGGTACGGCATGCTCTCGCCATCAGGGATATCGTTAAACAGTAGCAATACAATCGCCTGGAACGAGCTGACCACCAAGTTCTTCTTGCCTTGAGGGAAGTTTGCAGTCAGCTGACAATGCGCCAGCTGATGTTTCCAGGTGAGCTTGCGCCCTGTGTGCTTGTTGTGGTAGAACGTCTCGAATCTGTTGATCGAGCGCGCAATCTTCGGTGGAATCCGTACGGGGACATCGGGATATGTCGGCCAGGAGGCGGCAGAGAGCACGTTGACTTCGAATTCGAACCGGCCCTTCCGCTCCTCCGGCTGTGACCGTTTGAAGGCCGCCATTTCATCGTTAGCAATGTCCATATCGTTAAACATGGACTCGAGATTATGAGTGAAACTCGACCCGCATTCTGACCGAACATTAGACAAAGCGCATAAAAGTAGGGCATTTGATGCGACAAACCGTTCTTCAAACGAGCTAACATGCTCTTTTCCGCGTCGTTGCTCGCGCTTCGTTTCATCAAGAGACGCCGGGCAAGGTCGTTCTTGTAAAAGGCTTCAAAGACAGCCTTTCCATGTACAAACCGGAAGAGATCGAGAACTTGATCAAGCTGTCGGTCAAGCTCTGCATCGTCAGACATCAGGCTTACTTCCTCTGGATTACGGCCCGGGGGCAGCTTGTAACCGCCCTTAAGCAGCCTATCCACGTATTTGGCGATCATTTCACCCGACTTGGGGTTGTCGGTGCCACCCGTAGAGTCCATCTTCTTCCCACGGTTCATAAAGGTACCGAAGGCTTCGCGGACCGCGTCGCCCAACTCCTCGTTCGACTCGAAAGCACTCGTCCAAATATCATCAACCTTTTGCTTAAATTGGAGCAAGTGAACGACCATATCGGTCTCCCTTTCTTGGTCAAACACGATGCCCTCACCCTCCTCGATGACATACTTCTTAAATGCAGGCTTCAATTCGAGAGTAAGATCTCGCCGGTCAAGCAAGCCGTATAGTTGTTTCAAGGCGGTCTTATTGCCAGCTCGCATCAAACCAAGCACTTCGTTTTCGCTGGTCAACATGTCCGTTCGCTGTGTAACTGAGAGTCTCATCCAGGAGCTCCGACAGCTTCAGCTTCGTGCTTCGATTGAAAGAGAACAGCCCGCACCGTTCTACTTCACGTTCGATCAACTGATGAGCGTGCTCAACGTATGCAGCCAGTGATCCTGCTGCTTGCTGTTGTGCCCACTCCTTCACAAACTCCTCGGTCTTGGCCATGAATAAAGGCTCAAAGTCGCTGCCATAGACATCAAGGTCGTGGAAGAGATCCATGGCATCACTTAGCAATTTTGAATCTGTCGATGCGTTTGTAAATCCTCCTCGATCCGCCTCAATCAAATCATATGCTCCTTTCAAAATCTTTGGCTTCAGACTGGCGTCGGAGAAGATGTATGACCGGAATTGAATCAATCCCATTTCACGGATCACCGGTTGTTCTTTGGAATGCAATAGGAATGACTGGTCGAGATAGTAGAAGATCCAGCGAATAGTAACCTGGGAGAGAGGAAAAGTTAGCTGTGGACTCCATTCGTGATATTCCCTTGCCACATACTAGCCTCGAGTGCCAGGCCGACCATTCATCAATCACTGCCCGCAATGTACCGACATCAGTGCTACCTCCTGCTCTGGTAGCAAGATTGGTGCGCATATTTCCACCGACAAACTCTCTGCACCGATCCTGAAGCTTCTTAGCCAACAAAGCTGACCGCTCCTGGCGGCACACATTCTCTCCACCCTTGTATAGCTCTTCCAGCGAGCTATCAGGTTTCCTGCCCTCAAAAATAGCCGTTAAAGCCGCATCCAACTGCGACCACACCTTATCGAAATATGATTCCTGGTTCAGCCGGGGTCCGGTACGGAGGTTCTTGACAACGAGCCTTTTCGCGCCGGTATGAGGAGAAAAGTTGTTTTGGCGGGCATTAGCGTTCAATCCTTGGGATCTGATGGGACCATTAGGCCCAGAGAATCCCCGACCAGGTGCGCCATTCCTAGGCGGGGAACCGGAAATCGGATGCATCTTATGCGGGATTTTGGTTGAGGGAAATCGTGAGGGAGACGACAGACGAGAACGCTTGTTGGTTTGCGGATCAAGGGTGTCGGGCGAATACCTCTGGGAGAGGAGCTCGGAGATGGTTTGTTGCGATCGCGACGGCTCTTCCTCGAGCTTCCTCTTGCCGCTCGATTGCTTACCGCTCTGCTCGGTGTCGCCTCTCGAGTTCTGTGGCATCTACCCGGTTCAGCCCGACTGGGTTTTTGAATCACTCTCAATAAGTTGGAGATGAAGAAGAAAAGTGGATTCGGAAGAGGGGAATTGACGTTGGACTTTGGCTCCGCACGGCGATAAGATACGGACCTTGGAGAGATGAACTGGACTTTTATAACTCTTATAACACTGAGCTTCTACTTGTTTTTATTCGGTGACTCTCTATGTCTAGTTAGATATATCCAACGTATACCAACCTTGCACTCCTTGCACATCTGCCTCACAGCTATGGAGTACATCCGCAGCGTTGCAAACAGTACACCAATATGTACACCGCTAACCCGTTACTCTATAGGAAAGCTGCATCCCTCGCACTCAATCACCTTTGTGAAATTAGTCTTTCACTTTCCCGAAGCAACATTATACCAATAACTCGTTTGTGCAGCAATTTGCCATGATTGGCCCCCAGGATAGATTCTGGTCTGAAGGCCAGAACTACTACAGCCCAAGGGAAAAGCCTTGTACAGGTAGGTGGAAGGCAGTATTTTTATTTGAATCAAGATATGCCCTGATTACTGGTGCCCGATTCTTCAGAAGTAGATAGTACAATACAACGCACATTGAAGGTTATTATGTAGGTCATGGTACGAAGTCAAGTAATGCAACGCTGGTAAGTACACGATCGTCAATGTAATGTCCACACGTTTTTGATGAAGCTTTGTCTTTTGAAAAAAGAGTCTGAAAGGCGTAAAGGGAACCATAAAAAAGACGTAAACTCGTAAGAATAACCAAGGAAAGACCAATCAATCAACGCGCGGAGGACTCCTCGATTTCTTTCCCATAGGACTGGCGCTTGTTCTGAGAATTTTCATTATTAGCTTCTTGCTTCTGTTTCGCCTACTGCACTATGCAGCTAAGTTGATCAAGGGTGACATACGATCGTCGGCGCTCGCCTTCTTTCCGGAATCCTTCGATGATCTTAGCCATCTCTTTGCGAGACGCATTGGCATCCACTTTCCTCCCTCCCGAGGCTCATACTCACCTTCTCATGTGCGCTCGCCATCAGCAACCGCTTCATGAGAAGATGCCGCATGTTCATACACACGTATACGCCGCAGTCGCTGCCGCCGTCTTGCTGGGGCGAGTCGTTTAGATGCAAGAACCTAATGGGCATGTTTAGAAGGTATCCGAATTTGCGGGTCACCGTGTCTGCCTCCCAGACGTTTCCTTGGTATAGCGAGTCGTAGTGGAACGCGATGCGGTCGACGACCGAGATCAACAGGAGGGACCAGTGCGTGCCTCCTTCTGCTTGGGAGACATTGCGGCAGTCGTTGATGGGGAGGAAGACATGGGTGGCTCGACTGAAGTCCGGGAGTGCTTCGCGGAGGGTGCGAGGATCGGGAGTTTGGAGGATCATGAATGACATGCTGGGGCGGAGAAGGATGATATTGGAGGTCTGGTATCGTGAAAGGAATTCATGTTCGAGATATCTAGAACAAGAAAGTCGGAGATCAGTGCCATGTTCGGTACTGCGAAGTATGTCGGACCGACTCTAGGGACTTACTCCTCCCAAAATGAGATGATCTATGACAAATTAGCTCATATGCCCCAAGCCAAAAGGATTATCTCGCCATTCAAACCCACATTATCTGTGAGCCAGTCGTTCTTAAGAGTTTGCATGTCCTCTCTTGTCACTGCATGCTCGTTAGCCACTCAGAACCTTTTCTCGCTTCGGGTTTGGTTTCCTACATCGCACATCGTAATCTATGAGCACCCAAATGTGACCTGTAAGTATACTGTCTCCAAGATAACTAAGGCGGCTCGTCTATCGTAGACACTTACAACTCAGAAAGGCGTCATCGGGGTTCAACTGCGCAAATCAGCACTCGCGCCGCTAATGCCCTATGGGGCCAAACTCACCTTATCACCAAACCGCCCGCGCACCCTGCGCAACATGATGGCAATGTGATACGCGCGTTGACGTTGATCACAAACCGGAGGCCAAACTACTAGAATATCAATATCGTGAAAGTCGTGGCAAACAAAGCTGTACACTGCGCCACAGTCGAGAACGCGCAATATGTGCCAGGCTCCTCAGATAGCCAAGCCAGACCCCACAATCGCGATAAACGGGGCAAATCTTTGTGCAGGATTTGAGTGTGCAGGGTTTTCCGCGCACAATAGAAAGGAGAGGCAACCTGCAACCTCGTTTATGCAGTGGCGAGCAAAGCTAGAGGCGAGAGAGACGTCGGCAATGTCCCGCGTAACAGACAGTGTGTACCCCGTTTCTGCACTGGAGTGGAAGTGGGACCGGTCGGAGCCTCGGGATTGGGCGGCGCTTCGGAGAGGGAGCCCGTCAGCCTTATGCTTATGGGTGGCGGAGAAGAGGGAGAGGTGGAGGATGGATTGAATGCTTGAATGCTAACGCTAGTTCAATTGCGCTTTATGGACAGTCGCTGGTCGAGGAGAATGTCAAGGAGTATGCCAAGGTTGGGAGTAAGTAGGTTAGGCAGTGGAGGGGAGGGTTAGGCCGAGGCTACGATTTCCCCTTGGAATGATGCAATTTCAGACGCAGGAACAGGAGGTAGCTATGAAAGCACAGGAGTGACAGATCCTCAAAGGGACTGGACTCAGGCACTCAAGGGTTGATCAGGCTGCGTCACATGCAGAGGTCACATGATGCTGCATTATCCTTCGAGTTCTTACAGATTTCATTCTGTCTGATCAACTGGATGCCTTCCTCTACTCGTATTATCAATTGGAAAGGACCGATGCGTACATTATGAGCCATTGCCGTATCTAAGTCAACAGTCCCAGTTCTTCCTATCATTGTATAGTCTACATGTTAATGTTGTCCGATATCCCTACATATATATTTATATGGGTTGGGAGTTTCACACTGGCAGAACTGACAGAATTTGAAAGACAGTACAGAGTATTTGGTGCAGCTTAGCCCATACCTGGGTCACTGTAGGAGCCACTACAGTTGCAGGTGAGAGAAAAATGTTACCAAATCGACATTGCTATGTATAGCGCGACTAGAGACACTGTACATATCTGGGCTCAGGATATGACTTCACACGATGGTGCGAAAAATCTCATTACATCGAAACTCTGATCAATACTTATACGGATCATTGGTGCAATAGTTTCGGACAACGCGGAATTAGTAGTATTGTGAGCTGTTTGTGAGCCCTTCGAATATATTCATCCACACATTGTGTAACTGTTCGATTCCTGACATCTCTGATGTTTAAGTCTGCTCCTTCGCTCAGAAGACAACGAATGACGTCGATTTTGCGAAAGAATACTGCCTTGTGGAGAGGGGTTTCTCCCATAAAAAAGGTTCATGTTCCAGGAAGGCTGATGATCTTGATACATGATGGCGTTGATTGGAGCGCCCCGAGAAATGAGGAGCTTCAGGACAAGGACAACCACTGTATCGGACTTCTTTCGATTCTTAGCTACTAATCTTTTGCTTTAGTGGTAGAAAAGCCAAAATATACTTGAGAAATTGAACGAAAAGCTTGGCACTCTTTTTATAGGTGTTAGCAAACATTATTTAACTGGTCCTTTACCTACCTATGTAATACGTATCGCTTATTTATCCCTATTACCATAGCTTCTACGAAGATTATAAGTCTAAGGGCTTAGGTCCCTAAGTCCCTAGAGTATAGAGGTATTGATTCGCAATATACAAGCTCGCCGAAGGACCGGCTATCCCGAAAACGGGAAAACTAAAATAGCGAATTCAAGGTCCTCCACGGCTCGCTTTACAATTCCTCTCTTGGCTATTTAAAGGCGCTTTTCGCCCCACAGCATCTGAACAAGGAGATATACGGGCAGTCAGTGGTGAAGCCTTAGTTATTATGATCCGCTACCGGGAGCCTTTGTGTATAGGCACTCGGGGGCAGTGAATCCACAAAATGCCGCACTTCCCTCGTATTTTCCCTTGTACCCTGATCTGCCGATGATTAGTCCATAACAAGGCGGAGTGGGGCATTCCTCGATAAGCGCGTGGGGCTACTGCGGATTAATCACAACAGTTCAGCTCAGCTCAATGACAGTCTATTCACACGCCGTCTTTGGGTTGAACCAGTGAATTATTGTCGTCACGAGCAACCCACCTCAGCAGTAACAGCAAGTCAGTGCTTTGAATTCTTTGAATTACTTACACAAGCACTCTTGCAAAGCTCCTAATTAACAGCTTGGAAAGATGGCAACACGCACTCCGCGATACTTGAGCCAAGAGCAGACATCCCAAAGGCCTGCTCCACGGAGGAGAAAGTGGGCTCCTAAGAGCAAGAGCGGGTGTGCAACTTGCCGGTGAAAATATGCGCTCCATGTGCCGGTAACCAGGAAGGCTAACATCGCCGCAGAATCAGAAGAGTCAAGTGTGACGAAGAGAAGCCACATTGTCGACGATGCGTCTCAACAGGTCGAAAATGTGATGGATTTGTAGAGCATCTTCGATATTCGCCACCTCAGTGTGAAGAGCATCAACATCTTGATCTCTTCGGATTGACACACGACAATATTCCTCCTACCGGTCTGCCGAGCCGTGACTATCACGCATGTTGGCGACCTTTGATTGAAAGCCTGCCTCCCAGGGCGGTCGCACGTCGATGTATGCACATTGGTGAGCGGGCCGAAGGATTTCCACTGCAGTATCCTTTGGCAGAATCGTGGAATGACCACTGCCTGCCTCTCGTCATGAATAAGTTCTTATTTGACATGGCTAAGAGTGTCTACAACGCCATCCCCTGTGTCATCTCAAAGGCACACGAAAGATCTGCACTTTACCTAGTCTGCAACGCCGTTGGGTTTGCTTATATGGCCAATGCACACCGGTCTCTCGACACTGCCATCAATCGATCAAGGGCGTATGGAGCCGCCCTTGCGGCCATACATTCGGCCGTACGGGGCCCTCAACAATGCAAGAGCGACGATACTCTATTAGGAGTCTGGCTATTGAGCCTGTATGAGGTAAGACATGGAAGTCAGAGATTGTCCGGATTGCGTTTCACTGACACGCATGCCATGAAGCTCCTATTGGGTGCGCGAGAAAGCGTCAACCCCGTGGCCAAATATTCAGGGTGGGATATCCATAGCCGCGGCCTGATCGAATTGATTCGGCTGGGCGGCACGGAGCGTTTTGCTAGGCGCGATGGGCGGAATGTGTTCTGGATTGTCTTTAATACTGTGGTGAGCCTAGTCATTGCAAGTTTCCCTTGATTCTCCTAATGACAGCTGTGTTAGCAAATCCAAGCACTTCTAACTGGCCAGGAGTGTCCCAAGGAGAGCTGCACATGGATCCGTGACGTCTACAGACATTGTGACCTATCAGAACATACAGTAGTTCGAGCCAGCATTTTCGCCTACCACTGCAGCCATATTTGCAGCCGTATTCGACGACTGGTCAGCATAGGCGATCTTGATAAATTGCTATCCAGTTCAACGTCAATCCTGCGAGATATTGACGGGGTGGAGAAAGCAACGTATCCATTATCCCATGAGAGACCTCTCACGGATTGTGTTATAGACCCGCCATTGACACCTTACACGGCCCCTGCTCGCATAGACCTACGTTATGTCGGTGTCTATACCTACCAAAGCAACTGCAGGATGCAACTCGCGTGTAATGCCAGGGAATTCCTGCTGCACGCATCCAGAGCAGCTGCTTGTACGCCTCAGCAGCGGATTATCTTCACCCAATATCAAAATCGCTGCGTTGAAGAATTTCGAGCCGTTGCGAACAAAGTCTTGTTCGTTATGACTATGGTGCTTGATATAGACTCTCTTACCATATTCGATCAACTAAAAGGACCAGGACGTGTCACAAATTTGTCTCGCATTGTCGACTGGCCGGACGCAATCCGTGTACTGTGGCCGGTGGTTCAGTGGCCGCTACGATTGATTGCCGCGTGCCATCTGTCTTTGGATTGGCAGAGAAGCGCGGCAAACGAGATATTGAACTCGATGAATGAGCAACTCGGGATCATGCGATCCCTAGGAACACTATATTTCTCGGGCATGCATGTTCCTTAACCGACGCATGGCCAAGGCCTCCTCTACGGGGATTTTGGGTTGGGAGGACAGTGCCCGTCTTAGGTTTCACCCAAGAGGTTATCGAGGCCGCACAAGCGTTTCACACGGTCGAGTAATCACTTTGTATCGAAATGATTTCTCGATGATTGATCGGACCATGAATAAGCCAACTTTGGTCATCCACCTAACCGATCGCGGATTTTTACATTTATTCGAAGAATTTGTAGTATTGGTTGATTTCCATTGTCAATTCATGATTTATCATTAGCCCTGGCACTTAATTGCGCCCCCTCTGTGAATGGTGCAATCGCGGCGTAAACCACAAAGAATCAGGATGCTAGTCAAGATGCTAACCGCAGCCTGGGCCTTTCTTGGAATTCTAGTCCAAATAGTCAAAGAATGGAAACATATGCCCTGGAACTCTCCATATAAGTATCGAGCCCAAGTTTTAATTGCCCAAGTTCCAATGCAAATACCATACAAGACTGAAAGCTTTCTTCTGCGGAGTCGACGGCACAGGGATTTGAGACCGCACAAGGTATTTTTTTTGGCAAGGCTCAATTGAGTTAATTGGTCCACTCGTTCAAGCTGACATTGAAGGGTTTTGGAAGGCTTCATGGGACTGATTGGCCTGCTCGTTTAAGTGGACCCTACATATGTACCTAGTACGTAGGTACCTCCGATGAGGCCTCTGCAATATCCTCCCCGAAAGAAAGACTATTACGGAGCATAGGATGGCCGCTGAATAACTGAACTCACCAGCCGATGCTAACTCTCAATTTCCAAGTCAGCCATGGCACTTTAGCTTGATCACGCTCACAACTCAAAAATGCACAACGCCGCACCTTTCCCAGTGACAAAGGCGAGATACTTTTCAGCAGGATCGTCAACCCCAGCTAGAACTCAAAACAAGGAGATGAAAGATCTTCAGGATTTCTGATGCAATTGCAGGGCTTCGATGGTAGACCTGGATCCGCTCGTCTGCCCCAGCATTGCCCACTCGCTGACAACGCTGCAGCCCTCAGGAGAACCTTGCCAATTTTGGCCAAAAGTCGAAGCCGCTGTGCTGATCACAATGACAGATATTCAGCTGCCATGACTTTATCGAGCATCAATGCTATTCTCGGTTGACATCTTAGGTGAGGTGTCACCGCAGATCTCAATTGCGCCGCCAGAGAAACGTGAAAGTGGCATTTTCCTGCCCAGGTGCTGTTATAGTTATGTAATTCGTCAGGCGTACCTAGGCACCTAGGTATACCTATAAAGGTGCCATCTTCCACCGTCCTTACCGACCATAACTAGCCAGCACTTTCAGTCCCAGCACTCCTTTACTACAGGCGCATTACGATCCCTCTTACACTCCGAGATCCACTGCACATAACCATGAGAATCGCAGCAGTGTTAGTTGCAGCTGGTCAGCTGGCTTATGTCTCAGGCGCGACTATTGTTCGCCGCGATGATATATTCGATAACCCTACCTGCGGCATTGGCGGCCGTGACATCTTCCTACATCACGGCGACCTAGAATCGACAGTGGAGAAATTTGCTAGATGGGTTGAGACAGGAGCAGGCGGTCTAGTGGCAGCTGATGGCAAATTCCATGATAAACTCTCGGTACGTGCCAGCAAGCTTTGACTATAGTCATCTTAACCCCGTCCTTGAAGCTATATCCAGACCAGCAGGAACTAATCTAATATCAGTATGACGGCGAGAGCGTCACTCTCTTTGCCTGTGATTACAAATCACATGGCGCAGGAGTGTTATTACCGGCAGCCTAGTGCGTGGAGCGCTGGGTGCGGGTGGCTTCCTTGACGAACAATGCAAGAACGACAATGCTGGGTATGAGAGCAGCAATGATCTCAATATTGGTCGCACCACCGTACGTTTAGCCGCTCGATGAACCTGCCCTTGTTCGTATGTCGATTCTTTGAAGCTAACATAGGCTTATCTGGCTCGCAGAAGGGCGATCACTTCTGCTAATCAGCTAGCTAGAAACCGTGGCAAAGTGTTCGGATTCTTGGTGTTTCGTATGGGAACAACTAGCGTTACTTCTTTTTCACATGAAGTAGGATGCGGAACACCATAGGTGTTCGGTCTGACATGGGTTTTCTGGGGCCGTGGGCACTACCTTAGCTGCGGTAAGGCCAGCCACGGAGTGACTGGCTTGTGAGGATTGGCTTGGATTCTCTGGTTCCTAAAGGCCAGAGTGCCTGAAGTTATTTGCGTTGTCCAGAAGGTGGACCTTTCATTCTTTTTCTCTCTCAGTATGTTACAGAGTTTGAGGAGATGGATGCACTTTCTCTCTTTTCTCTTTGGTAAATAACCTCTATTTTTGTGTTTTATATAGTGAAAATGGCACTCGTATTGAAAACTGACTGCCAAGAGTGACACTTCCCAATTAGGTTAGACAACTGTGACATTAGGGAAACGACCGTGACAATACCTACCTAGGTAGGTACATATAGGGTTCACCATCTCTCTTTTCCTACCGAACTTGCTTCATCTGTTCGCAGCACAGTTCCCCTCATGTCCCGCGCGAAGCTTGGGGCCAGATGTCCTTCTCACAGCGACGTCATCCTTCCAATGCAGGACCCCTACATGACTCAGATCGTCGATGGAAGAAAGAACTACGAGTTTCGGAAATATCGTCTCAGACCCAGTGTGAAAAGAATCTGGTTCTATCGGACTGCCCCACACTCCAGCATCACGCATGTCTGCGAAACATTGTCCGCCCGGACGCGGAATTCTGGCGATCCTCCACTCGAAGAAAACGGGCTGGGTAATGTCGAATTCAACACTAGACACAAAGACTGGGATGGCTATGATTTCGCTTACAAAATGGTCACGGTCTGTGAGCTCCGACAACCGATCACGTTGAAGGAGATGAAGGAGAAGCATGGGTTCAAGTTGGCGCCGAGGGGTCTTGTTTATTTACCCAAGTCGATTAGCGATAGTGTCGATTTGAATCAACAAAATCTAGTAGGAAAATCGAGGTTCGGCTTGCTGTTGAGCCTAGCTAATATATGTCCAGTTGCTCGACAGGAGAAATTGAATCCTGGGGATAGCTCAGGTCTTCCGGTAATTGTGATAGGAAGTTTTCTACTTGGGGTTGATGAGTGCGAGCTTGAGAAAAGGACGAGGCAAATGTTTAGGGTTCGTCCAAACAGCTAGCTATTGAAGTGCGAAGTAAGTCAATATGCGTTTTTTCACCACCTTCCCCATCCCCCTTATGATACAGACAGGGGTTCCCCACAGCAGCACTGCTTTATTACCAGTGAACGCATGAGACCAAGACTTACGAATAGGCCGGGCGGTGTACAGTGGGACAGCTGAGAAAAAAAAGCATATGAGAGGCTGAGAAGTCTTCAAGGGAAAGCGATCCCTGAGTATTTGGGAGAAGGCTTTTTCAATGGTCGCCCGGCGATTATACTTGCTGAAATTGCGGCTCTACATCTGCTTGCTCGGGAGACCGAGGTTGATGAAGAAGCGTTACAATCCCAGCTTATGGATGCTCTCAAGGATCTGCATGACAGGAAAGCCAAGTATTGGGATGAGAGACTAGAAAACCTTTTGTTCTGCGACAACGGAGAGTCCAACCAGAGTAAAGTGATGATTGTCGATCTCGAGGATGTTTTGTTCCCCGAGGAGTCGCCTTCTTGGGATGAATTCGATCAACCTTGGGAAGAAAGCCTCAACTATGCGACAGCGTGTTCCCTTATGACGGAATTTAGAAGATTGAGGCGTCTACGCTGCCAACCAAGAACAATGAGCTTAAGAGTGTCTGCCACAAACCCGATCAACGTGAATGATGGGGAGTCAGAGCACGTTCCCCTGCTATTCATTGGCCAGAATATGCCAACGCCCCAAGTCACGTCCTCATATAATCGGAGGCAAAGGCAGAAACAACTACGAGGATGGGGTCTTAAAGAATGACTGAAAGATACATTATAGGAAGCTATGCTAAAGTGCTCTTACGCTTCTATATCATATACGTAGAATTACTCTTAATTTTAGGTCGACTGAACTAGACTCAAATCATAACATAGCCTCTTTAGTTAGTTTGAAAATTGAGTTATGCTCAATAGGAAGAATTGCAACTGATGTAGGTATACAGAGTTCAATATGAGTTTCAGGTTTTATTAAAGAATTTTAATTTCGTAAGAAAAAGGGGTATCTAAACGTGCATCCCAGAGCTCCAGTAGAAGAAGAGGGTCAGACCATGCGCTGAGATGGGAAGGGGAGGACAAAATGAACAGAGATCAGGTAAAAAGCAACGGGAACAAGAGCAAAGCAACTGAGATGAACAGAAAAAAGAAAACCATAAATCATCAGGATCAGATGAATGAAGCCAAAGCAGATCAAACAAAGCAGCAACATTGCAACTGTAGTTGCATCTGTTTTGTCCTGGTCTTCAGGTATTTTTGAAATATGAAGACAAATCGGAAAGAAATCAAGAAAAAAAAACATGGAATATGATCCTGTAATATCCCGTTAGTATGAAACCTTTGTGTGTTTTGTGTTTTGTTTTCATCGTTTGCTTGCGGATTTCTTTTGAAAAGCACTTGGAGTACATCGAAAACCATGGCGTGGAATTGTTGATTCAGCTGCCGAGTCGGGCAAAATGTTTGTTCCAGATCCACCCAACTGTACCAGTGGCATCGTCCTGATTGCGCGCAAGCCAGAGCTCGCCCTTCTCGCCGATGACGTCGAAGATATCCCCGGAGGCGTAGGTCAGATAGGGATATCCGCCCTCAGTGCGCGCGTCGATGTTAAAGTCATAAACACTCGCTGCGCAGAACAACGGAGCAGGGCCCACGGGAGGGGCGCTGCGTTCAAAGTGCCCATCCACGACAGTATCACTTGGCACATCCGACATGGGCATGGCGGACGAGAAGAATCCAGAGTATCGATCAGTCGGGGAGGTTGGCGCATTGCTCGAGTGCGAGGAGCTGTTGATCACATCCTCAAGGAAAGGGGTGTCAAGGCTGAGCCTCGGCAGGCTTGGGAAAGGCTCGACGTCGCTCGTCCTCGCAGGGGCCGGAGAGCTGATGGCTTGCTGCAGCAATTGATTGGGGGTGTCTGGGACGACTCGGCCAGACATAATGGAATCAGCCCGGTAACGGCTGCTGCGGCTAGAGTGGCTTTCCATCTGGGGAGACTGGAATGATTGGCTGCCGACGCTGAAATCCCGAGAAACGTTTGGTGAATCACCGGTCATAGATCCAGGTCGCGCATTTGAGCTGTTCACCGTAGAGGGACGGCGAGGCGACATAGGGTTTTGCTGCTCGCTGGGTGAAAGGGGGACCAAATTGAGCGAATGGGCCATCAGCGCCCCGTTGCAAGAGCTTAGCTCCCCCATTCGCGCCTCCATCAAAGTGTGATCACTGTTGAAGTCGCTGATGAGCCTGTCGAGGTCATTGGGAAACAATTCCACATGAGCACCAATCTTTTTCTGTAGAACACTGTACCAAACAGTTTGAATTTGGACGAAATTCTTCAGACACGCCGTCATCAGTTTCGTAGTCAATGCATATAGTTTAGGCAATTCATCCTTCAAAGTATCATTCAAAGCCAGGAACTGCTCGCCCTGCTCGGTGGTTTTCTTGTCAGGTTTGTCGCCGCGGTCCTTGATGGCTTTGTAGCGTGCATATTCCGGGAGTCGCTTGTCGCGCTTCCGCATGACTCGTTGGGGTGCATTGTAAAGTCCCAGTAATTCAACCATCGGATCGATGACCGTTTTGCGGACGACAGCAACCTGCAATAATCATTAGGATTGTTCAAAATATAAAGATGACACAACTTACATGTTCTGGGAGAGCAGTCGTCACAAGTTCCTGAACCGTCATCTTGAACTGATGCCACTTGCTCTCCAATTGTGGATATGGAGAAGGCGACATGCCAACAACCTCTTCGATCGAATCGGCATACTCATTGAACTGGTTCACGTAGAGTTGCACATCCCGCGAGTAACTCTCAGCGTCACGCATGACAACCTGCAATTGGAAATAGCCGTCGCTAAGCTTCTGTGCTAGCGAATCATAGGTTTTGTCTTCAAACAGGTCGGAGAGGCCAACTTGCTGTCTGAACTTCTCCGTGCGGCGACCAAAGGCCTTAGATAGACCGGCACGCACATCGGACTGGTTGCGCTTTCGGCCGACAGCTTGACCAACAAGGTCTACTCGCTTCTTCAGCTCGTTGATACGATGAGAGACATTTGTGACCTCTTCGAGAGCATTGGCAATTGCCGCTCGGTCTGGATGGTCGTTGGGCGTAGAGTCCAATAGGTCGCGGAGAATAAGGGATACTTCAAGATTCTTTGCACAGGTTTTACGAGCAAAGAATCCAAATCCCAAGCGGTCGTGAGATCCATAGCGCCCTTCTGGCATTCGCTCAGCCAAAAGCCAACTTTTGGATTACGCTGCAAGACCTGGAGTTTCTTGTTTGCGGCATCATGGTTCTTCAGGTATTCGGTGTACACCTTTTCCATATCCGCCATGTAGCCCACAAAAACCTGACCGACAGAGGTCGCGCGATCCTTTTCGAGCTCCGACATTCCTGCAAGCTCGGCTACTTCATCGCCTGATGGGGTAGTGGACCCGGGAGCCTGATTGTTGCGCTTTCGCTTGCTGGTCCATCGTAGAGTCTTTGGCATGACGTAGATGCTTTGAGCTGCTTGCTTGAGCTCACGCAAGAACTTGTCGGAGAAGGCCGCGACTTGATCGGAATTGGCGAACAGAACCTTGACATCATCGGGATCCAATACGGTGAGCGAGGTGCTCTTGTAGATGTCCTCAATGATTATCATATCATGCCCAAAGGTGTGTTCGGTATCAACAAGTTCTTTGATTATGTGACGCCGCTTCTTGAGACGTCGTTGTTCTGGGGAAGGTGAATCCTTCCGCTCAACCCGAATAGTTTGTTCAGTGGACGGGACAAGTGAAGTAGCGGAGGAGTCAGGGGCCGCGGGAGATTGAATAGACTCCAAATTTTGGAAAGAAGAGTCCTGACTGCTGCCGGGGCTGTGTCCCGCAGGTCTAGGAGCAACCTGGATACTGCGATCGAATCCAATGTGGCCTGACGGCTTAAGCGGATTTTGAACTCCAGGAATTTCATTATCAGTTTGATGCGTTGATGAGGGCGGCAGGAATGCTGATGAAGAAAAGTCACGAGGCTCAGTCTGTTCGTTGGAGGCTTGGATATCAACGGAGACCCCAAGGCCATTGTTCGTGTTTGATGCGCCAGCGTCGTGGGTTGTCGAAGGCACTAGGCGGGGTGTGAGCACCCCTTCGGTGCGTCTGCCGTCGGTTTCGGTGTCAGGGGTCATAGCATCATCCTCAGCCGCGATCTGCATCCAGTCCATGATGGAGGGAGATGCATGTTCCCAATCATCACGCCCAACCAAACTAGCTGTATGTGAGTGCCTACCTGAGGCATGGAAATCCTTGTATCCTGGCACGACAACCGGATCGTCAGTCAGACTATCGGGTCGTCCATCTGTACGTGTATTTGAGGGATGAGATCGAGGCTCGGACGAGGGGTAAATTGCTGAGCCAAGGTGGTGGCCCTTGCCTCGTGTCAACTCCTCCAGATAAAGCTGAGTGACACGCTTCGAATCCCATCTGCCTAATCTAGCCAAGCTTGGTGGAGTAGAGAAGGCATTCGGTCGAAACTGCTCAGATGCCTGAAGTGTGTGTGGTCCCATTACGCCGTGATCCTGAATTGGAGGTGGTGATTCATCGTCCGTTATTGAGGCTGGCCTTGTCGAGACAGCTGAACAAGTTTCAGTTGGTGGTTCCGTTTCACAGCCTCGTAGTAGAGAATCATCTCCACTCTCGGAGCAATGCTCGTCACAGGTGGAATGTTGGTTTTGTCCAGAGGACCATGAACTCATGCTCCATCGGTTGTGAAGATGAGTCCCATTTTGAGCCGGGTGCGTTGATGCACGCTCAATCTCTTGAGTATTGGTGCTACTAGACGAATTGTAGTAGGTCGTATCTCCAAGCATAATCTGGATGGACTCTCTGTCGTCGTTCTCTGAAAGGCTGCAATCAGGTTCGTCGCATGAGTCGTCGCTCGGGCTGCATTCTCGGATTTGCATTATTTGATCCAGAATAGTTCGATGCGAGACGCTAGGGTTGCGCTGCAGCAGCCCGGACTGCGGCTCCGGATCAAAAGTAGTGACATGGGTATCGTCGGAGTCTGACGTGGCACCCGATTCTGTCGGGTCCCCATTGGTGGGCTGTCCTTCACCTGAAGTCGTTGGATTGACACCCTGTGGGAGGCCAAGAGTGGGAGAGTCCATTGTTGTATGGGGCGCTGCCATATCCGATGCCGGCAGGGCAGTGTTGAGGTGCAGCTTAGGAACGGCCTGGACGCTATTTTCCTTATAGTCAACCGAGCCGGTCGACTCTTTGACTATCGTGGCCATCTCATCAGAGGAGGGGGAGTTGGTCACAGGTAGGGTAGGGGTAATTGTAGGGTCATCCACTGATCTCTTGAAATCTTCATGCGTCTCCTGCTCTCGCACCAAAGCGTGTCGTCGAAGCTTTGCGGCAGTTGATTTGTCCGGTCCTCTGTCATTCTGATTCGCTTGAACGCCCGAGTTGATTGAGTGTCGGTTGATTGCCTGTTGAATGTGCCGGCGGCGAGCGTCAAAATCGACCTTGCCCAATTCAGGTAATTTGCGGTCAGGACGAGACCTCGAGTCGCTGTGGGTGGCTTGTTTTTGTAAATTCAAAACTCTATCTCCAATTTTGGAGCGTGGGGAGACCGCGGCACCATGTGACACGGGTTGTCGGGGTCGTGAACTGCGCAACGGAGGCGACTTTTTAGGCGGTGGTTCAGCTATGTAGGCCTGAAGTCTGCGACTGGATTCAGACAATTGATTTCGGGTTCGGCCGATTGTTAGATCCCGTCTACCACGCGAGTTTGTTGCGAACGAAGCGGGATCCGCTGCTGGCATGCGGGGAGGACTTTGTTTAGGAGACGGAATAGGGGAGGCGGCTAGTGCCCTTGGGCGGCGAGGTAATGGCAGCGGATCGGGTGCTGAAGGTTGGATTGGATGATGGTGATAAGCTTTCGGGACCGGAAGCAGCGACAAAACGGTGCGAGGGAGACAGGAATGCGAGATTTAATTCCGGAGTTTGGACTGCCCGGGGGCGATCCATGGCCGGGCTTGGCCTGCCGCAAGGGCGCAGGTACTGCCATTTCGGGATTCCACGGTTCTGCAAGGGGCTTCCTTATTTTATCCAAGTCACTTTGAGCTCGGCGATGTTTGCCGGTGCTATTTATCCCGGGGTTGACTGCTTCCAAAGAAGTTGTGTGTCCAAGGTACCATGCAGTAGGTGTCAGTGGGGATTTTGCAGGATATTGATCGCGATGCTCAAGAAAGGCTGGGTTTGGGCTTGGAATACTTCCATCCGACCCGCGGCGTTGTTGTAGACGCGATAGGGCTCCGTTGTTAACCTGTGTATTGATTGGCAACAGTTCACCAAACAATGGCCGACGAGGATGCGACTCTGTGATCCGTTGAAACAGGGGCGGCGGAACGGCACTCTTTGTGTCTCAGGGTGGACCGAATTTATCTGCCTCTGGCGACGATGGGGTCGAATCAACGGGCGCTCGAGGATTGCTGGCGATCGACTCAGGTAAAGAATCACGATACTGACGACGCCGTGGCAACGCCCGATTTCGCTCTCCGTCAGCACTTCCGCACGGGCTCGGTGCCCTTGAGGTTGGACGAGAAGCAGATGGCAAAGGGAGGATTTGATCGGAGGTCTTGTTGAACTTGTTGACAAGATCTTTGAACGATGGCTGTCGTGACCTTGCATTCGCATGTAACGGGGGTATGTTGGCCGAGGAGCTCCTAATGTTGGAGAATCGGAGGTTGAACGATATGGTTGACGTCTAGCGCGCGATGACTCCAACAAGTTTGTTGGCAGGGGTGACACTTTGTCACCGACTGCAGGATAGTCGGCCGCAGCCATGCCCGCTCTTACATCGCCGAACCCCTCTCTTACATTGGATGTCCCTGGCAGGGATCCACGCTGGCGATAATAATCAGCAGGGTCTGGAGACTCCCGCCCGCTACGATCTTCCAATTGATCGCCCGACGACAGGTGATTCGTGGAAGTGGAGGGATTATGGGGTCGAATGAAGCCCGACGGTAGCGGAGAATACGTGGTCGATGATTGTGCCTGAGGGGGAGAAAGAGACGGTCGGCGAGTCATCTAAAGAAGTGGTAGTGTGACCATTGGCAGATTGGCCAAATGCCGGGGCCGACGATTGTCGCCCAAACGGAGGGTCGCGATACCGGACATCAAAACCCTGCTCGTCACCGCCAGACATCTTGCATGCTTCAGGCCGACAGGTCGACGTGGACTGGTCGCGGCCTTTCGATTCTGGGCGGACTGAGCTGGTGCGTTGTTCCGGGATGGTCGCCCAACGGGAATGTCGCAGGTGAGTCGATTCAGGCTACAAAGCAATCCTCTCGGGTGGCGCACACCCATCCAGCATTCATATTTGAGACAACTCGCAAAACAAAAAAAAGAAATAAAAATAAACCGATGTCGAGGGGATATATCCCCCAACCTAAATCGAGACTGTTGAATGGAGTTTCGGATCGGGGGGGATCGGAGAAGGATGGAGTGGTGAGATCGAAGATCGGCTGCCGAAATTACTGAGAAGACAAATAGGAGGGTCGAGCTCAGGACTGACGTTCTGTCTACCAGCAGTGGATGCTGATAGGTGATGACCTGGTAGTTGAGGGGTTTGAAAGCGAATCCTGGCGGTGGGCCGGTTTGTTAGCTCTCCGGGCCAATCCGTTTTGACGGGCTGACCTACACTAGTGACAACGAGTGTAGTTACAGTGTCGGATCTATTTTGGAATATTTTGTGATAGATGGGAAGAGACAGGTTCGAGGAAGAGATTCGGAATGAAAGAAGAAGAAGAGAAGAAATAAATCGGGATTTACGGAGTAGTTGATATGTTTAAGGTGAAACCGAATTTTTGGAAGTGGATTTCATGGATTTCATGGATTTTGTGGATTTTTCTTTGTCTTCATTGTTATGTCTTCAAGGCTTTGCACAATATACAACTTATATACTTATACATATCTTTGTATACTTGTACTTCTATATAGATAGAAATACTCCCACCACATACATATCAACAATACACCAGATGTATATTCCCTAGGTACATGTATATATGTACCTGGTCTACCAGGAACGAGATGAATCCCCTGACCCAGTAGATGACGCAGTGGAGACGCAATGGCCTATCTAGACCGCCCCGTTCCATGGTTCACTTTGATGTTTAATTGGTAGCTTTGATTGGTTCCTGCCAGTTTCAGATACTTCCAAAGTTCCAAGGTTACTTAGGTACTTCCGATTATAGGGAAATCTCTTATATTGTTTTGTACAATATATACATCTACAACATACGGAGTACTATACTTCAGAGACATCCACTGATCATTCAGTAAAAACTACAACATCCCCGAGTTTGAAAACGCGAGTAATCCACGACTTCTTGCCTGCCGGCTTGACGCGTCGCGCCATTGGAAATCCATCGCCTAGACCTATTAACACGCAATGGAGTAAACCAACCCTGCAAGCTGCAGGGAATCCGAAAGAAAAAATCACGCATCTAATTGCCTAACATGGGTAAGAAGCGGAAAAGACCTATCAAGGACCGCGGGCCCACGTCCTCGTCTCACATGGGTATCACCACATCTCCCCGCCGTTTCAGAAACCCCCATGCGCCAATTTCCCTGGGAACAAAAACAAGCCATCCCGTTATCTCCCTGTACTACCGACAGGTCGTACCCTTGCGGGAGTACCTGCTCCAGCAACTTCCCGTGACCTCCAAGTCGCGTCGGCGCCGTATCCTGACACTGGACTCGCGTGAAGACCAAGAGACCAATGCACAATCCCAAACATTGGCGGAGCTGCTAGACTCCACCCTGGTGGGTGTACTCAAGGACTCTTCTCCGACTCTCAATTCGGAGCGACAAAAGCAATACTCCTCTTTTAATGAGTCTCAATCGCGGTCGATTCTCATCAGCACCGATACGGGGCCAACCTGTCCGCAGTCTGAGGTGCGTCTACGAGGGCCGGACCATTTCTATGCATCAGTTTGCTAACCCTTGTTGCAGGTGGTTGATTTTGTGATCTGGAAACTTTTCAATAATAACAATGGCTCAAAGCCCCAGCATCTGCTGACGCATGGCTTCCAACGCCCGTCTATGGTGCAGAATGTTCAACAAACCAATATTCCAGGCATTGTGTCTCAGTTTCCGAATCAGAATGTTCAGGTTCTCAAAGGCGGTGCATGGGCAGAGGTCCTTGACTTGCTTGGTAGCAATGGGGAGGAGATTATGATGCAGCTCCTTTTCGATTGTGGAGTTTTCGCCGCTATCAACGCTCGAAAGGGCATCTACTACCAACTCAGCGGTATGGCTTCGCCAAGCTGTGGAGAGAGAATTGACCCTGATATTTTTTTTTCTAGGTATACCGCTCTCGGACCTTGAGCCTTTAAGCGATGCGTCCTCAAGAGCCAATAAGTCTGCTGCCATAGCACAGGACCCGATGCCTACAAGTGACCCGAGACATACTAAAGAGAAAGCTGAGCGCAAACAGAACTCCGACAAGACACTCCGAAGTCCAAACAGCATTGTGTTTCTACGGCGGCGTATCCTCTATGGGCGTGTCGAGTCCAAAAAGAAAGTACCTTGTGGATTAGGACAGACACGTATGTGCTTCGCCGTTCCAATATGGAAGTCTAGGTTCATGCTAATTCCCACTCCAGATGTTCTTAGCCGCTTCTCATCGCTTGATTCAATGGCGCAAACGGTCCATGTAATGAAGTACATCTTTCCCCGGCAATTTGGCCTTCTGAATGTGTTTACGTCGGACTCGGATGGACGCAACACCATGGATGACTCCAAGCGATTCATATTTCGTGAGAGTGAGATATCTCGTCTGGAAGAAGCCAAAAGACTACAGCGGCCCCAGCCAGAGATTGAATTCGCAGATGCAGATCATGGCGTGAGAAGTTGCAAGGTACCTAAGAGGCTTCGTGGAATTACTATAGAGCTTGTCCGGAAGCTCCGGAACCGCAACGCACAATGCCCCTACGGAGAGTTGCTGCGGCACTATTGTCCAACCGAAGTGAGACACTTCCGTTTACAGTGGCTAGGGTTGTGTAGCTGACCTTCCGCAGCAAACCGGACCCAGCAGACTTGGCGCACTTGCGTCCACCCCAGATGCCAAAAAAAGCGAGCCTATCTCTTCTCTCCAGTCGGCTTTAGTAACACAAGTGCGAATTAACCAGCCATCGCCAAGTGGCAGTTCGGCGCAGACCTCATGTGAAGTCTTGAGATCAGAGCCGCACACGGCTGTCGACGCATCTTCTGGAATCAATTCTAAGGAACCGGCGAGTCGAAAAGCTCCAGTCAATCTAACTGATTATGCGACCCCGGCGTCTTCTGTCTCAGCATTTTGTCGAGCGGTGATCCAGAAATTGATCCCCCGACAGTTTTGGGGAGCTGGTCCGGATGGTATTTCGAACTTTAAGCTTGTTCTCAGACATGTTGACCGGTTTATCAAATTGCGCCGATTCGAAAGTCTAAGTCTGCATGAAGTCTGCAAAGGCGTCAAGGTTGGTCTTTTTTGCACAGGACTGATCGTCTGAGACATAACCGTACTGATCCAAAAGCTAGATAACAAGCATTCCTTGGCTGGGGCCACAGGTCCAGACGACTTCAACGTCTGAGACAAGATCGAAGATAGCCCTGTCTGACTTGCACAAACGCACCGAATTATTCCATGAATTCATCTTTTGGATTTTCGATTCAATTCTGATTCCTCTCATTCGTTCGCACTTCTATGTCACCGAGTCTCAAACGCACCGAAACCGACTTTTCTATTTTCGCCATGATCTGTGGCAGCAGTTGACCAAGCAACCCTTCGGGGACTTGAAGGCAACGATGTTCGAGGAGCTCGAACCAGATCAAGCCCAACGTGTGCTGACACGGCGGTCACTTGGTTTTGGTGCTCTCCGGTTGCTTCCCAAATCTACAGGCCTCCGGCCCATCCTGAATCTTCGCAAACGAGCCTGGAAGGAATCGTCATGGGGGAAATCGAAAACGTACCTTGCCGCCAGCATCAATTCAAGTATTACGCCTATCTATAACATGTTGACCTACGAGTGCCAGCAAGTTCCAGCCAAATTGGGCTCATCAATGCTCTCAATTGGAGACATGCACCGCCGCTTGAAGGCGTACAAAGAACAATTGTCCAAAGAACTGCCCTCGGGTCATAAACCTTGGCAGTCCAAGCTCCCACAGATGTACTTTGTCAAGCTTGACATCAAAGCTTGTTTTGATACCATACCCCAGGAAAAGTTGCTTAATCTTATCGCAGAGCTGGTCTCTGAAGAGAGCTATCACATCTCAAACCACGTCGAATTCCAACCCCCTCTTACTGCGAAACAAGGAAAGCCCACCCGAAGATTTATGAGCCGCGCTGCGCCTGCGATGAGACCGCATCACCTACCGGATTTCGTCAATAGTGGAGGTGCGGCGCGAAAGGCCAACACCGTTTTCGTTGACACTATGCGTCAAAAAGTCCAAGATGCGGATAGTCTCCTGGACCTCCTCAATGAGCATGTCCGGCACAACCTCGTGAAGATAGGCAAGAAATATTTCCGCCAACGCAACGGCATCCCTCAAGGCTCCGTACTATCCAGCGTCCTTTGCAATTTCTTCTACGCCGAACTAGAGCGAGAGGTACTGGGTTTTATCAACGAGGATTCTCTACTCCTGCGACTTGTGGATGACTTCCTCCTGATCACACCAGATGCAGTCGTGGCAATGCAGTTCCTGGAAGTAATGATCCGAGGCCAACCATCTTACGGCGTACAAGTCAATCCAGCCAAAAGTATGGCCAATTTCAGCGCAACGGTTGACGGGATCTTGCTCCCCAGACTAGAAGGGACCCAGTTATTCCCGTATTGTGGTAGTCTTATCGACACCCGTACCCTTGATATCCACCGCGATCGAGACCGCATCCTAGAAGGCGGAGAGTCAGCGGCTGCTACTCTTTCCAACACCTTAACCGTCGAGGCCTCCCGTTTCCCCGGCCGCACCTTTCACCGCAAAGTGCTCTCCTCATTCCGCCTGCAGCTACATCCTATGTACATCGATGACGGACACAACTCGCGCACAGTTGTACTAGCCAACATCTACTGCAGCTTCATCACTTCTGCCATGAAGATGTACCGCTATATGAAGTCACTCCGGGGCCGTGCGCACCCCGGCCCTGCCATCATAACACAGACGATCCGCGATTTGATTTTGCAGACGGCCGGCATGATCCAGGCCCGGCGTGCTGGTGATTCGGAGTCTTCATTTTCGTGTTTCGTCCAGCGGTACCATTTGCAGTATTTGGCTTCTGCGGCATTTCGATTTGTGTTGAAGCGCAAGCAAACCCGGTATGAGGTGGTGCTGCGCTGGCTGAGACTCGCAAACCAAAGATTCTCGACCCACATCAGATTCCGAGACTTTAAGGATGGCGCAGGTGGTGAAGAAGGGCAATGCGATGTTTGAGGAATGGCGATTCTAGAATAGTTATACAGTGCTGGGCTGTGGAATGCCGGCAAACGCAGATTTGGTGTAAATTGTATAATCAATTGCTCTCGACCTCCAGGGCTGTACAATTGTACTAATTAATTCATACTGTGCCACATCTTGTCAGACAGACAGTAAGTAGGCATTGGGCACCAATCCGACTAAATCCGGCTAGAAAAGATCATGGTTCAGGGGTTCAGATTAAGATATGTGCGATCAGATATTTTCAAGGCTGTGTAGGTTATCCCTTCCCATCTGGGCAGAGATCGGTTCTCATCCAGAATGTACTGAATACTTTATTGGTACTTTCCGATAACCCTTTTTGCACTAGTGTCGCGAAGTATCGCCGAGGTACCCCCCTGTTCTCGGCCAGACCGAGTGCGGCACTGCCTGAGGCTCTCCGCTTGCAGTCTTCAGTCTTGAGCATCACAGCTTCTTCTTTTCACTCTCTTTTGGATTTGGTCTTCGTCTTTCGTTTGGAATTCTTTTACTTCTTTTCTGTCCACTTTTACCCCCACGCTCATTTCTCCCCTTTTTTTGTTTACTTTAAAACCTCCTGATGGTCACCCCGTAATCTCCCCTGATCCCTCTTTACACGACTACACCTGATCTGGATTTCATCAGGCTGCGGCTGTGCCTGCAATTCGTTTCTACCTTAATCGCCTTCTATCGCGGTGTTATCGTTTCCTGTCTGAAGACCTCCTCGACCATTGTCATCCAAAACCCCCGAAACTCGCGTCTGTTGTCGACCCCTTCCGGACATCCCGTCGATTTACTCCCACTCTGTGTTTTATTATTTTTTTTTCCCAGGCAGATCAGAATTGCGGGGATCAATACGTCTGAATAATTGCATGAGATCATGACCACCGTGTGCCCAACACCCAATTCTCCCCCGAGCTCTCCGGGTCCAAATCCTCCAAATCCTCCTCGTTTCATTCCTCCTCCCACCCGGACGGCCCGGATAGTATCTTTACGGACATCTCGAATTTCGAAGATATTGGCTTGGAAGATGATGCCGATTTGTCATACACCGATCCACCAGTCTCCTACGGCCGCTCTGGGGCAATGGCACGGTCGCCCGCCGCCAGAATGTCAAGCAAAGTCCCTGCGGCCTCAACTCGCGAGTTGACCGCGACCCCGAAGCCTCGCAAGCGAAGCCCCCTGCCCCCGCTTCACAGTGGATCGGCCAATGCGCCGCTGGGATCCCTCGCGCCGAGAACTGGAAACCGGAGAGGTTCAAGCAACACACTGCAGTCGCCCGGTTTGACACCATCGCAAGCTCACCGTTCACGATCTGTCTCACCACTACGGCCGACCTCTAGTCGCTCCGCCTCGGCCACCAGCCTTGCTCTGTCTCCGCTATCCGCACGAGTACCCACCCAGAAACAAACTTGGCAACCGAGTCGCAAGTCGGTTAAAGACCTGGAAGAGGAATACCATGATTCGGACGATGAACTACCGGATGATGCAAGTCTGTGGAATATTCCTATTTCTCCGCGCCCAGTGCAAGATCGGACTCCGTCACGGCCTGCCAGTCCAAATGGCCGCAGCCCCGGGCGGCGACCACTGCCTATCCAGCACACCATAGCAGGAGGCAATAAGTCACCCGAAAACACGGCCAAGGCATCCCGCATGAAGCGTATACAGCGGTCGAGCTCCGCGGGACCGGAGCGTGGACAAATCTCGCCACGCAATCCTCGCACCTACTCGTATAACAGTTATCTATCTGACTTATCCGAGGAAGCCAAGATCATCACTGAAGCTCTGGAGCTGCATGCTGATGATAGAGTTCGTAAGCGGGAGGAGCATATTCAAACCGGTGCTGCGCGGAAGTCCAGCGAGGATTCGCATCGCGCATCCCGTGATGCTGTCGCTTTACCGCCTCTGCAGAAATCAAATATCATGATCGATCCGCTGCCGATTAGCAAGGAGAAAGAAAAGGTTTTGACACGGACGCGCCCAAGTTGGCTTCCGCCTAAGGACCAGAAGGAGGAGAGAAAACACCTGAAGCAGTATCAGCAAATGATGGCCCAGTCTCGAGAAAGCGGTATGTCCTAAGACAAGGTTCTTGAAGTATTATCGGCTCTAATTGGTACTTCAGAGAAACGCAAAGCTGCCAAGGAGGCAAACGCGCAGTGTGAAAAGGACAACACCCGAGTAACACTGCAGAACATCTGGGATGAATACGTGTATCCGAATTGGGACCGCGCTCTTCGCGAGCCCCGGATCCGCGAGTTGTGGTGGCGTGGAATCCCGCCTCGCAACCGGGGCAACATATGGAATCGAGCCATTGGCAACGAACTAGAATTAACCGAGGAAACCTATACCAAAGCGCTACTCCGAGCAAAGGATCTCCAAAGCAAGAAAGATGGAGAAAGCGAGAGCAACAAACGATTACTGGACTGCTTTGAGGCGATCGAAACAGACGTACCCAAGGCCTTCCCAGATCTGAACCTCTTCCAGGAAGGCGGTCCACTGCGGGAAACCCTGATTGACGTCCTGCAAGCATACTGCATGTACCGCAGCGACGTAGGTTACATCCACGGCCTGCACACTATCGCCGCCCTCCTCGTTTTGCAATTCCCCACCCCCGCTTCCGCCTTCGTCGCCATGGCCAACGCCCTCAACCGTCCTTTACCCGTCGCGTTCCTCACTTGGGACCGCGGCGCCATGGCCCGCTCCTACACACTAGCCTCGGACACCCTGCGCTACAAGTTCCCCCGTCTGCACACCCACCTGACCGAAACCCTCCACCTCTCCGAGCCAGAGATTTGGGAGCCGATCTTCCGCTCACTGCTGACAAACGGCCTGGACCTCGAACGCATCTCCCGCGTCTGGGACTGCTGGGTCTTTGAGGGCGACCGCATCATGATCCGCTCCGCCGTAGCCATTCTGGGCTGTCTCCAGGCGCAGTTGTTCTCTTTCCACCAGACTGATGACCAGTCCCGGCTTGCCGTGCGTGACGTGCTGGGCTGGGGACCCCGCAGTCATGGAGCAAACAACCAGAAACCTAAAGAGCGGCACAGCGCCCCTGCTGCAGCTGGCTTTGGTGGTGGGCAGATCCAGAACCCCGGCGTTGCTGATTATTGGGTTCTTACTGCCGCAGGCGATGAAGATGGGTTTATGAATGCCGTCCGAGAGGCTGGGAAGGTGCGCCAGCAAGCTCAATAGGCTTGTTGGATAGGACACGGGCTGTGTTTGATTGGGCCTTAAGAATCTCTATGCTCTGGCCTGTCAAGCGCTCACTTTTACCCCAGCCTTTTCTTTCCTCTTTTTCCTCGCCATACCCACACACTCACGATGCCTTATCAATCTTGATATCCACTCGCTATCCCAGAGAACGCATAGCATGACATCACAGCCTGGCCAACGTCTCTGTTGGCCTACAATTGTCTATCCCGTATACGCACATGTCACTCGCTGCACAGTCACTCGCTGCACAGCCTTTTGTCTATTCTCTGTATCTTGAACTGCATGAGAACCACTCGTTTCTCCCTTCTCACTATATTTCTTCTCTTTTTCCCATGCATGAATCCCAGTATTCTTAGCTCATTGACTGGTCTTTTTTTCACTTCCTGCTTTTCCCACTATTTCTCCATCTTGTATTTTTAGCCATCCTGACTTTCATGCCCTGATGCTATCGCTGTTCTTCATCGTTGGTACGTACTTGTTTAGTGGTATTACAAACAATTCAGGTCTTTTCAATCTTTCGATTGTTCTTGCTAGAGGAATAAGCTACCTCTGCATACTTGGGGAGGCAGTGTCGGTCCACGTGTATTAGATGGAGGCGACTGACTACATCTAGCTCCCTCAACGGACAAAGCCCCAAAGAGGGTAAAGCTATATCAAAAGATACATAGGGAAGGAATATGTCAAGTATCGCTTTCTTGATTCAAAGGTATGTATATTTATTATATCCAGGGGTAACAGCCTCTATTGGCATCTCTCTTTCCCTTCGTTCTTACCAAATCCATAGAATCATCGTGACAAGGAGCTATCAACATTGAAATATTGCATGTAATGACAAATGATCAAACAAAGCAACCCGATGCAGGGAGAACCCAAGTAAGTAACGAAGCAAGCCAATGTGCTCCATGATAAGTGTACGATGCGGCTAACCTCCTGGTTTAGTAAAATTGCACATATCTTTGAGGTTTCCTTTTCGGTGGGGGTGTCTTCATGAGCAACCATTTCCAAAGTGTCATTACCACGCAGCCCAGGCCACAGGTCCCTTGGGGAACATCCGGACCAAGACCTTACGCAGTTCATCCATACAGAGGACGCCCATTGCAAGACCAAGCGGGATACACCAAAACTCGATTGGGACCGAGGCCGTGCTGAAGAGGTTTTGTATGCCCGGCACCTCGGTGACGAAGATAGCGATGACCAGCGAAATAAGAATCGCCAAAGGCAGCCACGGATTGCGACGGGCTGGCCGAATCGGATCAGCCTGGAGGAGGGACATGCGCTTGCTGGCGGACAGACAAGACGTTACCCCACTGCATGATGACCAAGGTAACGAAATAGACAGACTGGCCCACGCTAACGAACTTGGTCAATTCGTCCGCGGTATATCCATGGAAGCCATCGGCATAGCCCTCAAACGCGAATATAAGGTCGGAGAAGGGGATACCGGCGTGACGCCACATGTACAGGAAGAACATAGCGTGGGCGCTGAATGTCTCCATCACACCGACGAACAGGTACGACTGGCCGTATATGCGGAGGTTGATGAGATGGTCTTTTGTTGGACGGCGTGGGGGAGACTGAGGAGGTCGAATTCTTCTTTCTCCATGATGAGCGAAAGAGACACGAATAGATCGGTGAAGACGCAGATGATGATCATGAGGAAGGTGCTGAGCGGCGCAGGACAGCCGAAGAACACGTTCATGAGGACGGGCCAGATCTCCGACCAACTACCTGCTGGGAGTAGGTAGGCGATTACCTTCTGCAGGTTCTGGAAGACCAACCGGCCAAGACGGATGGCCTCGATGATAGAGTCGAATTTGTCCAAGAGGACCAGATCGGCTGCCTCGATTGCTACGTCGCTGCCGGATCCGACTGCGATGCCCACGTCTGCTGCGCGCAGGGCTGGGGCGTCATTGACACCATCGCCTGTGACGGCAACTACGTAGCCACGAACTTGGAGTTCTGTTACGATTCGGAGCTTTTGCTCCGGGTTGTGCGAGCAAAAACAATCTCGTCGTAACCGCAGACGGTTTCCCAGTCCTCCGAATTCAACGAAGAGAGGTTAGGTCCTTCGAGAAGCAGGCTGTGTCGTGATTTGGGAACTTTGACTTCCATTGATGGGCCGAGGCCATCCCTCAGCTCTTCGATGGTATCTGGCTCAGCTTGTCCGTCATAGATGCCAATCTCGCGAGCGATGGCAGCCGCCGTCAATCCGAAGTCGCCGGTAACCATGAAGAAACGGATACCCGCCTTGCGGCAAGCTGCGACAGTTGAAGCGGTCTCCGGGCGTGGTGGATCAACAATGCCAAAGATACCGAGAACTGTGAGATCCTGCACACCATGGTCTATCATCTCGTTGCTGAAATTGTTAGAGCCGGGGGCAGAGCGTGGGATGTAGCGACGCTGACAGATGACAATCACCCGCTCTGCGCGGCGTGATAGTTTAGCCTGGAAGTTGGAGAATTTTTCCCGCGCCTCGCCATCTAGTGGACGGACTGCATTGTGAACAGCGGACCAGTAAGTGGCGCAGCGGTCCAGCAGCACATCTGGTGCTCCCTTGACGTAGAGAATGAATTCCTTGGAATATTTTGGATCGCGGTGCAGGGTGAGCATCCACTTGTTCTTTGAGTTGAACGGGATCTGATGCACACGTTCATACGGAGCCAGGATAGTCGGGGAGGTTAGTCCGACACTGTCCCCGAATCTCAAAACTGCTGCATCTGTCGCATTGCCATTGACGGCACGTTCATGGATGGGCAAATTCATTGTAGTCGGGTCGAATGTGGCGTCGTTGCACAAAATTGATGCTTGCAGCATATTTCGCAGGCCTTCGGGAAGATCAGCAGTTCCAAATTCGCCAGGAAGTAAATCCTCGAGGCTGTATTCCCAATCAACCATTCCGAGTGACTTGACAAACATGCGGTTTTGAGTGAGAGTGCCAGTCTTGTCGGAGCAGAGTACATTCACACAGCCCAGTGTCTCGACAGTTGATAGTCCCTTGGGCAAGATGTTTGTCTGTTTCATTCGCCTGGCAACCATCATAAGGGTCAATGCGACGGCGACAGGCACTCCTTCAGGGATGAAGGCAACAATACACCCCATGACATTGTTCAGCATGGCTACGACACTCATGTAAGAAGGGTGATCCCGGTGCAGCCATCCTAGCCAAGTGAAAAGGATCAGCAAAGCCAAGAAGACGGTAAGGATGACAATGATTGTAACGAAGCGATTGATCTCGCGTTGGATCAAGGTTGACTTTTGCTTGACACCAGCTGTCATTGACGCGATGCGTCCCATCACGGAGCGCGAGCCGGTCAAAACGACAATACCAACAGCATTGCCATTAGTGACGCCGGTTCCCATGAGGGCAATATTGCGAGTCTCCAAGAAGTTGGTCTCGGTGCAATCAATCGCGCCTTCAACCTCGTCCGACTCGCCTGTCAGAATAGCACGGTCAAAGCGAACATCGCCCGAGCTGGACAAAAGACGCATGTCGGCTGGGACCTTATTTCCCATTCCAATGTGAACAATGTCACCAGCGACCAGTTCTGTGGCAGGGAGACGAATGAGTTTCTCATCGCGCATCACCATGGCTTCTGCGGGGAGGAGATCCTAAGATCGAGTTCATGACGCGCTTTGTGGACCAATCTTGGAAAGCTGAGAAGCTTGCCTGCAAAGCAATGACGATCAGAATGAGGACGGCCATGGCGAGGTTTTGAGCTGAGGGTGGGTTGCTGAGTGGCTTCCAGCAGATGAAGAAGATGACGACTCCCACCCAAAGAACAGAGCAGAATCCACCGAATACGTAGAAGAAGATCTTCTTGAGATAGTTCTCCCGATGGTGGGCAATGACATTCTTGCCGTCCCGCTGCAAACGTGTGGCTGCAGAGGAAGAGCTTAGTCCAGTACGCTGATCGACATTGAATTCTCGACACAGGCCGTCGGTGGATATAATGTGGAAATCCAAGTTCTCGAAGTAGTCTTGATGGGGTGGCTTCTCCTTTGTGGAATCGATAATGGCCTCTTTGGGGGCATTCTGGGATTCCGAGATCTGGATGGAGATGGTTCGGAACTCAATTGGCAGTTCGGGCATTCCCTGAACGCTGCTTCTGGTGCTATGAATGGTATCACGGCTTATCGAGCGGGTCCGATTCAGCTGAGTCGGCTGATAGATAGACCGGACTCCATCTGCGGAGGTGGATCCCTCGAAGGTGATCTGCTTGGAACGTCCAGTGCGTTCATCATCTTTGAACTTATCACCTTCTGACTCGACATCGATGTCGTTCTTGGTGTTATCTGTGCTCATGGGTGCCGTGAGTTGAAACAGAGGTGCGGAGAGAACGGAGGGAATAGTATAGGAAGAGGAGTAAAGACGAAGAAGAATATAGTAAAAGCAGACACTAAATCAAACAGTATAAGAACGATGACAGCCCGGGAAAGCAGAGACTAAATGAGAACGGCGAAGAGTAGCTGAAAGGTCAAAGATAAAATAGTAGAGGTGCAACCCTCGGCCTTTTATGTAGCCACCAGGGTGTGGGAGGCTCCAGCATGTCTAGACCGAAGCTGGCTAAAGCTCATGTATGAATTGGGAAGGTTCTCCCAGATGCAGGAAATCTATCACGCACGCGAGTCCACGAGGGACCTGCTGATTGTGGGAAACTGAATGAGGGAATAAAGGGAAGACCAAATCCATACGGAATACATCCATAGGGGTCCACAGCTACATAAGTGTAGAGGTTTATATGACAAACAGATGGTTATATGTCTGTCTTGAAACGTTGCTATATTACATACATATACTGTATTATTACAGTGGTGTAAGCATTTTAACCAATCATTAATCGTAGACTGTAGACATGTGACAATACAGAACACAGCCCTAACTTTCTCTTCTGGTTCAGCTGCACCAAGTTAGCTAGATATTAAAAACAGAAGAGATTTCTTGCTTGTGGTAGTAAAATAGAAGAACAAATGCCGCAGATTTCCTAAAACAGGCAAAGTGAAAGGAAAAAGAGAAAGGACACAGCCACAAAAGTGTGGTGTTAGTTCCCGTGAGGGATTTTTCCTCTCCACAGATCGGTGCAGGCTCAATTCAGACCTCACCCAACTCCGTCACTTTCGCTAAGAGCGGCTTCGAAGGATTCGAAAAAATTTAATCGCTCTTTAGATGAGCAGTTTGTCCCGTCCAATCGTAAAATATCCCAGTTGACTCCAATCGAGTCCAATCTATCCATGGGAAAGTTATGATGCAGGGTAGCAGGCATTGGAGTTGAACATTCTCCCGTGCAACCCTTATTCATCTTCCAACCAGGCCCCGGGGATCGGTAAGGGGGACCTCGCTCATTCAAATTCCAGTCTATAAAAGGCATTGGCTCGATGCCTCGTTGAAAATATGATGTTTCTTTCTATTCAAAATTTTGGAGTTCTTCCCCGTTATAAACAACTCAGTGGCCATATACATACAGAAAGGGACGACGCCACACTTGTACACCATTTAAACTGTCATGCGTCCTCCAGCCCAGACCGTCGATCATAATCACACCTTGATACGAGGGAAACTCTCAGCTGAACACCACCTATCCAAGGGTACCGCTATCAAGAACAGCATTCTACCCCTGTTGAGATCGGTCCCAACAGACCAGCAGCCCTTGTTAAGACAAGACTCAGCGCCATCAATATATACTCAATCACAATCACAATCTCCATCCCCATCGCCCAATCTCTCCTTCATAGACAAATATGGCCGTTATCGCCAGATGGTACACTACGGCTCGAACAGCACAACCCGTCTCCACGAAAGCAAAACAAAGCAAGCAAGCGATAGTCAACTAGTCGCAATCAAAGTATATCGACGCTCCATCCTCAGAGGTCCCCCAAGCTCTTCCCACTCAACATCCCTCCATCCAAGCCACCCCAACATCCTCCCAATCCTAGACATCCTCCATAACGAACGCGCCGAGCTCTGCCTGGTAATGCCATACTGCGCCGGCGGCGACCTCCACACCCTCCTATCCCGCAAAGGAGCCCTCCCAACCCAAGAAGCGGACTGTATCATAACCCAGATTCTGCGCGCGCTTGCCTCCCTACACGATCACGACACGGCGCACCGCGATGTCCGTCTCGAGACAGTCCTGCTCACTGCCAACGGGGCTGTAAAGCTAGCCGGGTTTGGCGATGGACATATCCGGCGGATGTGGGAGGAGTCCGCTAAGGCTGGGCGAGGAGGAATACTTCCCCGCGACCACAGCCATCTACACATGGTGCATGGTCGTTCACGCTACCGTGGCCGCTGAATTCATTATGTCGTCAAATTTCTGGGTCTTCTGGCAATGGTGGTCAGGCTGTCATTGCAAACTCACCCACTGCTTCGTTTGTGGGTATGAGACTCCCGTATATTGCCCCCGAAGAATTCGACCTTCATTTTCAATCTCGTTGCCATGATGAACATGATAATCATGGTGATTGTGATTCTCGTCCTGCTGATGTGTGGGCCACTGCTGTGGTTTACATGGCCCTCGTCACTGATCGGATTTTGTGGCGTAGTGCGCGTCCTAATCAGGAGGATGCGCGGTATCTGGAGTATCTCCATTCTCGTAGCGGGGAGGACGGATACCCGCCTATTGAGGCTCTGGGGCAGGTATGTTATAGTGTAATTTTCAGGGCCTCCGGCGCCGAAGACAAATCGCTAATATCTGGTCTGTGTAGAGACGACGCAATGCTATCTATGCAATGTTGCACCCCTGTTCGTGGAAGCGTATCACAACTGCGAAGTTGTTGCAATCAGAATGGATAAATAGTGTGGTGGTTTGTGAAGCGGGTGCGAAGGGATATTGAACAAGGCTGGAACTTGTTATCCCCATGTAATGCGTGCTTGGCCTGAAGATGCTATATTACATCGTTATAATCATTCCTCGGGCGCAAATTACGATATGCTTCTTTTGATATGTTCTTGGCGATTACTCAGATACCCTCAAACAGATAATAAATTTGTTATGCACAACCCTTAAATCCACCTAATCAAACAGTCCCAGCAGCAAGAACATACCCCCCATCAACCACAACCGTCTGCCCATTCAAGTACTGGTTGCAAACCGCAAAAAGCACAGCACTAGCCATATCCTCATCCTTCCCAGGCCTACCAGCAGGAACCTTCTTCCGATACTTCTCCGCCGGGATGTAACTCTTCTGCATCCCATCACTCTCCCCGGCAGTCATCTCACTCAGGAAAAACCCCAGGCGAAATACTATTAACCCTAACAGTCAGCTTAGACGAGCTAACCTCCTGCGCAAGCATCTTGGTCAAATGAATCGCCGCCGCCTTGGAAGCATTATACGCAAAATGATGCTGCGCAACCTTCACAATCCCCGAGATAGAAGTCGTGTTGAGCACAGTGCTAGACCAACCATGCTCGACCTCCGAGCCGCGCTGCAGCAGCGGCAGGAAAGCCGTTGTCATGAAGAAGAGCTGCGAGACGTTCGTGCGGAACACCGAGTCCCATTCCTCGAATGTCGCGGCTGGGTCCTCGAAGAGGCTTTCACGGAGCTCGGAGGTATCTTCGCTCTCGGTTTCTTGCGTATGGCTGGATATTCCGGCGTTGTTCATTAAGATTGAGAGGTGGCCTTCCCGCGTGGAGATCTCGGAGGCTAGCTTGCGGATCTCGTCTTTTTTGGTTACGTCGCCTGGGAGCGCGATTATCTTGCCGCTTATTTCGTTCTCGGCGTTGTTGTAGAGATTGGCGACACGGTCGAGTTTCTGTCCTGTGCGTCCGGTTATGTAGACTTTGGCGCCGTTCACGGCTAATGCTTGCGCGGCCATTAGGCCTATCCCTGAACCGCCGCCTGTGACGAGGGCCACTGGTGTTGTCAGGATGGGGTTGTTGATTGGAGTTATTATTGTAGCTCACCTTTGTCCTTCACATTGAATAGGTTTTCTAGCTTGAAGCTTTGGTTGCTTTCATTGGCTGCCATTTTGATTTCGTCTGGAATGGGAGATCTTCTAGTAGGATTGACTCTGAATTGGCGAGAAGGTAAAAGAGGAGAGAGCTTTGGTATTCGGATTGGTGGAATTGATGTTAGAACCGTTGGGCTCTTGGTGAGGACTGGTGAATAGAATCGCGGCATGGCTGTTCGGGTGTATATATAGGCGAATAGAATGGGGATAGGTCATGACTTTCCGAAAGTACAATAAAGGACAAAAGCTTAAGACTTATTCTAATGATATTTTGTCATGAATCATTTGTAGGTCATATGCTCCAATCAACAATTCCTAATCTTTGAATATCAGAGACCAACGTGGTAAGGGCCCAATATATATCAGAATGACGTCACTTTCACTTGTACAGACAATAGAGTAAATAAAATAACCTGAAACTACCTAGGTAGATCTATCTTATTGTTTAATATAAGAATTATAAGAATTTGAAGTGACTTCGATCGCGCATATTTTCGAGATTGCCTAATGCTGGAGATATATTTACATATGTAGTACCCGAGATAAAAGACAAGTATAGCCTGCATCAAAACCATCCTCATTTGCGATGTAATTTGATGCTGATGCTAAAAGTCCCGTAGCCTAAAATGCGCGCTATCCAGAAATACGTTCACAGCTTGGCCTTTGCAACCAATGCCTCGCTGACCGGCGCTACCTCAACCATCATTTTACCAGTGTTAGCACCAGCGTAGAGGTCGACGAGACCCTGAGGCGCCGCCTCCAATCCACCAGGCACGATATGCTCTTTGCGCTTGAGCTTACCCTCAGCCAACCAAGAGCCGAGCTCCTTGAGTGCGGCTGGGAATTGCTTCGCATGATCGAAGACAATGAAACCCTTCATGGTGATCCGTTGCGACTGTCATCAATTAGCCCGAAGTCCAAAAATTCCCCCCAAACCCAGAGGACTCACAATCACACTCATAAAACTGGCCGGACCTTGCGGCTTAGCAGCATTATACTGGCTGATAGCGCCACAGATAGCAAAGCGCGAGTTAGTAGCCGCCCTCGCCAAACAAGCATCAAGGATATCACCCCCGGTATTATCAAAGAAGACATCAATATACTCAGGCGTAGCGAGCTTAAGCTGCTTCCTCCAATCCGCATCCTTATAGTTGACCGCAGAGTCGAAACCAAGCTCCCTAACCAAGAAATCACACTTCTCCTTAGTACCCGCCAACCCCACAACACGCTTAGCGCCCTTAATGCGCGCAATCTGGCCAGCCACCATGCCCGTCGCGCCCGCAGCGCCAGAAACAACAACCGTGTCTCCCTTCTTCACCTGCGCGATCTCAACCATGCCGAAGTACGCCGTCAGCCCGGTCATGCCGAGCACGGACATTGCGTCTGTGGGCCGTCCGCCAGCTGGCACGGTTATCTTTTCTGCTTCTTTCGCGCTGACCACTGCGTACTCCTGCCAGCCGGAGCTGGCGACGACCCAGTCGCCTTTGCTGTATTTGGAGCTCAGACTGCTGCCTACGGCGAGGACTTGGGCGATGCTCTGGCCGCGCATGATGGCGCCTTGCTCGACGGGGGCGATGTAGGAGCGTTTGGCGGTGAGCCATTGGCGCATGGCTGGGTCGAGGGAGAGGTAGTGTACGCGTACGAGGAGCTTGTCTGTGGGGACATCTTTGGGGATGGGGAGGGTATTTAGGCGGAATGTACCAGTGCTGAGAGAGGGGTCGATGGCCGGGGCCGGAGGGTGGTATAGATGATTTGTTTGTTCGACATTTTGGAGGATGTTTAATGGAATTATGAGTGAGGGGAGAAGCTATGTTGCACAGAGGGAAGAGGAGGAGGGAGAGATATAAGAATCTCTAGGTAGTATCGGAGATGCTCCATATTAGGAAAACTGCTCCTTGGGCCTCGGCTTACCCCCGGGCCAAGTAGAAGTGTTGAATAATCAATTTTCCTGGGGATGCAGGGATGCATTATTTGCTTTTTATTGGACATAAAATAATATCCTGGATATCCATGGATATGCATGAACCCTGGAAGATCTCAGTGATATACATTGAACAGTCCGATCTATACGTCCATGATCAATGGATCCAATCGGCTTTCATCGTGACGTCATTGTCCAGGAAGTCTAGACCGAAAGAACGGAGAACTACGTCCATGAGGACTGTCGTACTTCTCCTAATTAACACCCAGGACAACTAATCAAATATATACACAATCATGTCGCGAACCTACCAAAGCTACGAACACGCCGATCCAACCAAAACTTCCCGAGGCGCAGTGGGTGGTGGCTCTTCAACTGGCGCCCCAGGCCTCCCAACAGGTCTTCGCGACACACGATCCGAGTACGATTCATCCAAGGGCTACAATCCTGCCACAGGAGCCAGTTACTCAAAATCATCAGCAGGCGGACCAACCCAGACCCGGCAGCGACCGCTCTCACCGTCCCCGTCTCGCAGTGATGACCGGACGGCAAAGGAGGCGCCACTCCCGCACACGGCCAGTACGGCGCAGCGGGCGGAAATGGATGATCGTTCGGCTTCTGGGTCTTGGGCTGCACGGGCTGGTGGAGGGTTTGGGGACAAAGTGAAAGGCGCTGCGGCGTCGGTTCATGTAAGTTGGAATCCTTTTTGGGGGGGGAATGGGTTCTGATTGTGTTATAGGGAGCTGGAGAGTCATTGCGTGGGGCGTTGAATACGGCTGTTGATCGGACATTTGGGTCTAATGAGGGTGCTGAAAGGAATCGGGAGATTGCGAATAAGGGAGCGGAGGAGATTCGGTCTGGCCGGTTTACGGAGAACAGGTAATGGATAGATAATGTAATGTGATAGCTTAGAAATAGTAGGAAGATATTTCCAGAATCTACTACGAAACATGGAAGTCATTATCACATGAAAATGAACGATTCGAGGACGATCATCCATGTACGTATACCTATGTACTGTATGTACTACATGTACTATATGTACATATATGTAGACAGAAAGAGATAGATATGTACAACCTAACCTGTACATCCAGCCAAGCATCTAATCTTTGCTTAAAATTTCTTAAAAAGGTTCATTGAAGACGTCCACGAGACGTTTAACTTTTTATAGAACATCCGGCCGACCCGAAGGGCTGTGCTGGTGGAACCCACTGTTTTATGAGAACATTTGAAAAGAAAACAAACTCTTCTTCAAAAATATACATACCAGTATACAGATATACAGATATACAGACATCAGGAGCTTTCTACAATTACTCCACGTTTTGCGCCCCCACATTGGTTGCATCATCCAGTCAATGCCAAGTTTTGTGACAGTTGCAGCAGTTGCACACTCGTACGACCTCATGCTCTGAACCAGTTATAGAGCTTCCTCTTTTCTCGGCATAAATCGCCATGACCTCAATTCCCACCGACCAACCCCATTCCTCACGTCTGGCCCCGAAAAGCGCTGCGCCGTCGGCCGCGACACCCCCGCAGAAACAGACATTGTACTCCGAGACGTCTTCGAATCTGGCCGTCTCAGACTCTCCCTCTCATTATTCATCCTTCTCAAGCTCCGATAGTGACGAACCACTCCCGCACTCCACCGAGGTTACCGATGAAGATGTCGCCAGCGACGTGGTGGGGGTTAGCATCGGGCGCGAGCAGAGCCGCATGAAGGCCCGAGCGACCCCATTGGAAGAGAAGAATCGCGTGCTGGAACAACAGGGATCATATTTTACCACGATACCGGATAATATAGGCGAGGATGGTCTATTTGCGTCGGAAATCACGGCCGAGCCTGAGTCGGTGGAGCCCAAGGTCGAAAAAGCACCATCACCAGCACCGTCACCGCGCGAACGAAGGTCCGGACATAAGCCTAGGGCATCATACCCCTCCGCACAGTATAAACAACCCGAGCCGGGCCACTTTGCGCATGGTCCTCGCAGTGATCTGTTTGCCTCAATTCCTGAAAAAGCCGGGTCGAAAGATACAGCCGTGAGTCAGCGGTCTGGCTTTGTCGGGACTTTATTGAAAAACTCATTGCCTCGCCGACCGCGCGCCTGGTCTGGCGAGTTGAAGAGATTCCTGCCTGATCTGACCTCTTTGAGGAAACGGCCGTCTCTGTCGTTCCGTGTCCCCAATGGCCAAAACCGAATCCGCAGCCAGACGGTAGCCCCGCCAGCTAAAAACAACTCGGGATTGCCGAAAAGAACTTCATCGCTAGTCCTGCGTTCGCCGCCGTCACCTCTTGACCAAAGCGGCTCTAGCATTGAGGATGATGCAGAAGCCGCTCAGCCGATACCTGAGCTGCGCTCACCAGATGGAACCTCGGCCGCAAAACATTCCTTCATAAGGAGGCCTAGTTCAGCAATGCCCGGTCGACCGCCAAGCTTGCGGAGATCCTCGTCGGATCACTCACTGTATCTGCGTGCGTCGTCTACGGCATCATCGCTAGAGCAGCGACCATTATACGAGAATGTACATTCTCAGGTAAACAGTCGGTTCAAGGCAATCAAGGATAGTCTCCAAGACTCGAGTAGCAGGCTGCTCAGCATGCCTAATCTCCATCTGCAAGATATCCGCACTGATTGGGGATCTCGCCCGTTCTTGCTAGAGCTTGGAAATGGTTCATCAAGTAACAGCAACGGTGTGTGCGGTACTACCAAAGCGGAACAAGCACCGCAGCTTGCAAACCCGCCGATAACTCCACGGAACAATCAAAACATAACTCATCCAATCTTGGAAGAAGCAATGGCAGATCTTACGGGCGATGTCGTGATTCTAGGAGGCTACCGAGGATCAATCCTCCGGTCCGCTAAGCCACCCCATCGTCAACTTTGGGTGCCGATGAAGGTTGGCCTGAATCTGCGGAAAGTGGACTTGGAGGTCGGCCTGAACCCAGAGGATGAGGAGCGCATGGAGGAGACAATCATTCCATCTGGGGTTCTCTCCCACGTCGGCCCAGTTGACGTCTGTCGACGATTGATGAAACGGTTGCGCAAGAGCGAAAACGCCCTACGCGGCGACCTGCGCGTCCACGATTATGGCTACGACTGGCGTCTAAGCCCCGAGCTGCTCTCGCGCAGGCTCATCGCCTTTCTAGAGAGCCTGCAATGCAACCAGGAGCCTTCACCTGGCGAACCCCGCCGCGGCGCTACAGTCATCGCACACAGCCTGGGTGGTCTAATAACCCGACACGCCGTGAACGAGCGACCTGATCTCTTCGCCGGAGTCGTGTACGCAGGCGTACCACAGCACTGCGTGAACATCCTCGGGCCACTCCGCAGCGGCGACGACGTCCTCCTCAGCTCGCGCGTGCTAACAGCCCAAGTAAACTTCACCTTCCGCACGAGCTTCGCCCTCCTCCCAGAAGACGGACACTGCTTCATCGACAAGCAAAGCAAAAAAGAATTCCGCATCGACTTCTTCGATCCGAAAACCTGGGAAGAACACCGCCTCTCCCCGTGTCTCGGTCCAGCCCTCCCTGCGCCCCCAACCCCAACCACCCTGGGCTTCAAAGACATCCCCATAATCGGCAAGCGCTTCTCCATGGGTCTACGCGACGACTCCGATGAAATCCTCACCCAAGACCTACACAACCTCCCGCAAGAAGGACACCACATCGCAACAGACAAAGACATCCACGCCAGCAACACACCACACAACCCAGGCTCGTACGCCGCATACGCGGCGGAAAAGGCCGGAAACCCGGCCGACGGCTCAGTCGGACCAGGCGCACAACCGCGCAGCAGCGCCACGACCTCCAAAATCGCCACGACCACCACCATCCCGCGCGCCGAGGCGAGGAAATACCTGCAGCGCACGTTGGCGGAGACGAAGCGGTTCAAGGAGAACCTGGCGTTCCGGCCGTCGCACCATTCCGAGAACAGATACCCGCCTGCGGCGGTGTTGTACGGGAAGACGTTGCCGACTGTGTATGGGGCAAGAGTTGTGTCGCGTGAGAGTATTAAGCAGGTTGATGCGTATGATGATCTTGCGTTCGCGGCTGGGGATGGGGTTTGTCTTGCTTCGGCTGCTATGTTGCCGCCTGGGTATAGGATTATTAAGGATGGGTTGGTGAAGAGTGATCGGGGGCATGTTGGGTTGCTTGGAGATCTTGAGGGTGTTGGGCAGTGTCTTAAGGCTATTCAACGGGGGAGGAAGGAGGGGGTTGGATTGGGGGAGAAGGAAATATGAAGGTTTGGTATGGGCTTTTTCTTTTGGCTCCTGGTGTTGGTTTTTCTTGATCTTTTGATGTCTTTTGATGATACCATTGTCATATGTTGATGATTTTGATGGTTCTGTTGGCTTTTTGGCGATTTTTGGATATGGCACATTTAGATGTGACTATACCATACTAGCATTGAGGTATATTCTCGCTTCTATACCAGGGCAGAGACTATTTATATAGAAAAATAAAGATAGAGAAGAAAAGGTGGAGCAGAGCTCAGTATACGAAAATGAATAGATTCCCTTGCACACACGCTATGTAACCCCATGTCATTCTATGTATGTGCTTTTTGTCCTCAGTCCAATGCCCATTGGAATAGAGACAGTCTCTATGAAGACCAAACAGAAGAAAAGGAAACAGTATCCCGAAATTCCTCACAGTATATGAAGTATAAAAAAAAAGATCATGAAGAAGGATGCTATAAAAACCCAACAAAAAGAAAACAAAGTATCATCAAGTCTTTAATCCGTGCGCGAGTTGGCAATGTTCATAACCAAGATATCACTCGCGCCGACCTTAATCAGCTCATCCATTACGTTCGCAATGCTCTTCTTCTCCACCATCGAGCTGACAGCAACCCAGCCCTCCTCCTCGAGCGCGGTGATAGTAGGCGCGCGCTTGCCGGGGTAATCTTAGACGCAACAGGCAGCTGATCACGCGGGATGTTGTATTGGCACAAGACGAACTTCTGTGCGGTGATGACACCGCGCAGACGGGAGCTGAGGAGGGTGAGCATGTCGCTGTTGGACTTGCGGGACTTGACCAGCACGGCAGTGCTGGAGACAACTGTGTCAATCGCCTTCAGGCCAGCGGCCTTCATAGTCTCACCGGACTCTAAACAGAAGATTGAGTATTAGCAACGGGTTCCGACATGTTCCACAGGGTAGGGTTTTAGATGACACATACCAACAAGATCAACGATACCATCCGCGACGCCGAGAGCGCAAGCAGCCTCAACACTACCGCCGACATACTTGATCTTCGTGGAGAGCTTCTGGCCCGCCTCGACGCCCTCCAGCTTACGGAAGAAAGCATCAGTGAGCGCAGTGAAGCTGGTCACGACGTTGCGACCAACGAGGTCCTTGGCCTCCTTGAGATCGCCCTTCTCGGGGACCTGCACTTGCAGCTTGCAGGCGCCGAAGCCCAGGTCGAGGAGCTCCTCGACGTTGGAAGTCTCGCCGGCGGGCAGGGTGGCATCGTGCTCGGCGACTTGGTCGCGGCCAGTGATGCCCAGATCGACGCGGCCTTCGCCGACGAAGGTCGGGATGTCGGCAGCGGGCAGGAAGATCAGCGCGATGGGCAGGTTCTTGACCAGCGCGATGTCGAGGCGGGTTTCGCGGCGGAACTGGACGTCACAGCCGGCAAGAAGATCGAGGGTTGCTTGTTGCAGACGTCCTTCTGTATAGTGGGGTTTGCGTCGTCAGTCTTGGGTTCTTTATGTTTGTTTCTCGTTCATGTGGGTATCGCTGCTCGCAGAGGTCTATGAGTCACGATGTAGGAGGGCACTTGCTTTTAGGCACGGCGAAGAGAAGACGGCCTTCGAGGCTGTTTAGAATCGCTATGTTAGCAGGAATCCCAATGCGGGTTTCTAATTGAGGTTGACTCACTGGTTGACGAGATCCATGGCGATAGAGCGGTGCGGCGCGGGGCTTTCAAGGGGTTTTGGTTGGGGAATAAGCTGATCGGAGATCAATTGACAGAGAGGATAAGTCAATTGCGATTCAGAGACCGTGGGCGTATCTTGAAAACAAGATAGAACAATTGATATAGTCCGGAGGAGTCAGAGGGAGAGAATGACTCGAGCTTCTTCCGGCAGAAATTGGAGGGGCAGATTACTCCGGCGGACGAATGACGGGACCGGGGGAGCATGTACCGTGTTCGCTGGACAGTATGAGCCCACGTGATAGAATTCTGTGGTGTATGGCTATCTAAAAGATCTACAGGATACTTGGTACAGTCTTCAATGAGTCTTTTAATTGATTTCATAGAATAATTGGCCGTGGGAGCCGTAGTTGTCTAATGATGATGCTGAACGATATCGGAGTGCTGAGAAATATGTTCTGCCTGAATATGCCTTAATATGCCTGACCTCTCAGGTGTCAAAGTTTATCCGCTGACTCATCTGCTGCCTGACGGCTCAGGTGTCCAGCCCTGAGCCCTCGCGTAATTTGCACGAACCCACACAGGCCAAATTCCACTTCAACACTCTCTTACCTTCAGTCCAACCAACTCCAACCCTCGAGCTCAACGCCCTCTCCTTCCCTCCAAGATGGATTCCAGCAAGCAGCCCGTTAAGCTCGTCAAGGTGACCCGTGTCCTCGGCCGCACCGGTATGTGCCATCCCAACTTTTTGAAGCTCCAAAACCCACAATTCGATATTCGATATTCGCGGGGTGCACCCAATGCGCCCCGGATCGCCCGACACAAACCGATGAAAACCAGACACTCGGAGGAATAACAATGGCTAATTTGTGGTCAATCTATTTAGGATCCCGTGGTGGTGTCACCCAGGTCCGCGTCGAGTTCATGGACGACACCTCGCGCTCCATCATCCGCAACGTCAAGGGCCCAGGTATGCGATCTTGATTTCTTTGAATCCGGCGTCTTTGGGGATCACAAGAGGAGGAAAGAAAGTCCACATGGGTTCTACCTATTCATTCTACAATGAAATGAGGGCCCATGTTGGAAATATGAAACTTCGACGATCGACCCAAAAGCCGAAAACTTTACCCGAACAACATCGCTAACATATACTCCCTCCGCAACAGTCCGCGTTGACGACATCCTCTGCTTGCTCGAGTCTGAGCGCGAGGCCCGCCGTCTCCGTTAAAATCCACCAAAACGAAATTTCGCTCGCGTCGTCTATTTTGTCTCTCTTCTTCTCTCGCATATCCCTTGCGACCGGTTTTTCATGATTACTCTTCGGCCAAAATCGAGTCCCCCGCTTTTCTTTCTTGCCGTACATTCAACCTCCTATCTTCCTCAGCCCTAAACCGCCGCGCTGCCCAATCTTCCCTGTCTGCCGACTCTCGAGGGCCGTTTCTACGATTTCCGACGTTTCGACTGGAGGTGATGGTTTGGGTGGATTGACTTTTTGGTTTTTATAATGCCGAAAGTCCCGGAAGGTCGATTATGGAGAAACGATCGTGAGAGAGGGGAGCAGAGAGCGCAAAAAAGATAATAGAAGCCTTTTTTTATTGATACGAGAAAACGAATTCAGGTTCTTGCGCGAGGGCTGGTTTGTGGACTTGTGGCACGGTCTGGTCTGGTTTCGATCTTGGTGTTTTACTACATACACACGTCCATTTGGGCGTGCTTGCATGGGCTCAATGCGACAAACGAGGTTGTGATGTTGTTTCCTCTCTTTTCTTCCTCGTACCAGCTTCTCCCCATTACTGGTACTTAGAAAAGACAAACGCCGATTCGAACCGGACCCTGATCGACAAAACGAACAATGGAATCCAAAAAAAAAGTTTGAAAACTTCCAGTTCAGCCTTGTCGAGGTCGAGGGTTTGAAAGCGTTCGTAGAACATCTGGCCAGTGTAGTCTATGTGAGTTTCTAGATCAGGATATTCCGGGGCTTAACCGCTGTCTGGGGTTCCCAACGACATGTGTAGCAAGTCTGGGCGACAGTAACTATGCAATGTCCCTCAATAGATCGGAAGTCATCTGTATGTCTTAGTGTTTCTCGCTATAATGTGGGAAGGGCAAAGGACATCCAAAAAGACATGGTATCGTTTTATCTTAAATATAATAATGACAAAAGACAAGAGGCTGCGTAGCGGCTAACTTTCCTCGATATTGATTCAAGGTTGATATTCAAATGGATCTATCAAAGATCATGCTAAACTCATGCATAGATGTAACTGTACAACCGAAAATGCCCAATGCCCACATAAAAGTAAAACTACAGCTGCTCCGCACTGGCCATGAGCCTATCAAGAAGGCCATCAGCACCAGCAGACTCTCCCTCGAGGCTACCCTTATCATCAAGGACGCGACCAACCGCTCCAACAAGCCCAGCCAACCGTTTCCGCCGAATAGACTCCTCCAGCTCAGCACTCTTCTGACGGGCGATATCAATAACAGCGGGGGGCAAGTTCGCCAGGCGCGCAACGTTCAACCCATAACTGCGATGCGCAACACCCTCAGCAACCTCATAGAGGAACGTAATCTCCTCCTCCCCGTCCTTATCCTTGTTACCTGTCTCCGTGAACCGCATATGGACATTGCGGAGAGCTTTGTCCGGGAAGGAATGTACCATCCGCGAGAGATGCTGGTAATGCGTGATGAACAGGGTGAGGGATTGGATCGACCGAACCATATGGTCGAGCACCGCCTGGGCGATAGCGACACCATCATGCGTCGATGTACCGCGGCCCAGCTCGTCGAGGATAACCAAGGATCGAGGCGTTGCTTGCTTGAGGATATCTGCTGTTTCGGAGAGCTCGACCATGAAGGTTGATTCGCCTGCGAGCATGTTGTCGAAGGCGCCCATGCGCGTGAAGACCGCATCAAGCAGACCGAGTCGGGCGGAAGATGCTGGGACGTAGGATCCGATCTGGGCCATGATTGCGATCAGTGCTACCTGTCGCACGTAGCTAGATTTACCGCCCATGTTCGGGCCGGTGACGAGAAGCGCGCGAGTACCGTCGTGCTGGAGGTTTGTGTCGTTGGGTACGTATGTGTCTGTAAGGAGTTGCTCGACCATTGGGTGTCGGCCTTGCTCAATGTGGAGACCTGCTTCTTCTGTGTATTCTGGTTTGACATAGCCGGGTTGTTGGGCTATCTCTGCGAGGGATAATAGGCAGTCGAGTGTTGCGAGAGACTGGATGCAATCCCGGAAGGACTGGTACTGCGCTGCAATATCAGCTAGGAGGGTTTTGTATGCTTGATCGCAGGCTGCTGCTAGAGCTTCCTTGTACTGGTCACGCTCGCGGATGAGCTGAATGACTTCTGGCGTGTGGAAGCGGGAGACTCTTTTTGTGCCGCTGACTTTGACCCACGATGCTGGCACGCGCTTGAGTGCCGGGGAGTTGTTTTCGATCTCGATCAAGTACTCAATGCCGGAGACTGTCGAGTATTCGACTTTGCCTCTCCCAATCGTTGACGCCGCCTCCTTACGGTGTTCTGAGAATCCGTGTTCCGTGCTTCCAATTTGAAGCTTAAGTTCACCGATCTCCTCTGTCTCCTCCGCTTCGCGAAAGAAGGTATATTTGTCATTGGTTCGTGCAGCGTGCATGTTGATCTTATCCAAAAACCTGACGACTGACGCTCGGATCGTGGGCAGAGAGGCAATGGCCTCGCTCACTAGCGATGATTGAAAGCCTGTCTGGGTAGGTGATTTGATATCCGCAAATTCCATTGCAATCATCTGCATAGCTTGCAGAACAGTGAGAAGTTCGGGTCGCTCGCACTTGGATCAATATTAGTACTGTTGTGGTCATCATCGTAGAAGTATTACCTACCTTTCCGTAGTAAATGCGGATCAAACTCTTCTCAAGATCACTCTTGACTTTGCGTAGCAACCCTCGCACTCTCTCCACCGGAACCGCTCGTGCAGGATCAATAAGCTCTTCCACGGCATTCGTCCGCTCCTGGAGGCACACTTTGTCCAGCAAAGGTCTTCCCACCCATTGCCGTAACATGCGTTGTCCGAATCGCGTGTGCGTTCGATCTAAGGTCCAAAATAAACTACCTCTTGTCGAGAGATCAGTCTGGTTTTGGTAGATTTCTAGATTGACCAGCGTGTTTCCGTTCAGAAGCATATGCGAACGAGCCGAGAAGGGTTGGAAATATTTTGTGAGATCAAACACATGTTGCAGCCCATATTCGGTCATATGTTCAATCATAGCAGACAGACAGATAGTCACCTGCTCTGGGAGGCCAAGGACGTTTTGAAGCAGCTTCGCAGCTTGAGTATCCTCCTCGGTACTGGTAGCCTTCATCTTTCCTGCATAAAATCCCGACACATGGCTGTGTGCCTCGGCGGCGGAGGTTTTCTTCCTCTGAGCCCGTTCGAGACGCACGGCATCTCCAAAAACATTCATCTTGCTTCCAGATAAATGCTGCACGAGCTTCTCGCTAGCTCGAGACATCTCTCCAACAATCAAGATTTCGCAGGGAGCGATATGCAATAGTCGTGTCTCGATCTCGCTCCGCATGAAGCCATCCTCAAAGTCATCGTAGATAACGTCACCTGTAGCCGGCTGGACAGCGACAATCCCGACATGAACTCGCTCGTCATTCCCGGGGCCCTTGGCATTGGTCTCCGTCATACAGAGCATGTACCCGGTGGCAGGAGAGGCGCCTCCCGCTGCCGGCGCAGGACCCTGCAGACCTTCAGCGTCATCGATATAGGTTCCTTTCGTGTAGAGATTGGTCAATTTGCGAACAAACGGCGCATTCCGGTTATCACCCGCAGCCTTAAGCGCAGCCGTTTCAATCTGTCGCACCACACCGACCTTGTGGCCGGCTGTAACGAGTCGCTTCACATGTACGTGTAATCGGTGCACGGGGATACTAGCCGAAGCAAACCGGCCAATGTGTGCCTCGGATGGGTCTGCAGTAGGTCCCGGTATTAGTAGGTTTTCGGTACTCTGACACGCAGGAAATACTTACGTTCGTCGAATCTATACTTCCCGGGGATACACACGATGCCCAGCTCCTTAGCCGCAGTGCGCGCGTCCTCTCCAAAGAACCGGAACTTGTATCCCACTTCAATAACCAACACTGTATCCATATTCTGCCGCTTGATTTCAATGACCTGCTTCTCCATGGGCGTGAGCTTGCTCGCGCCCTTCTTCGCACCCTTGCCTTTAGTCGGTGGTGGTGCAGGCTCGTCATCTTCCTCGGCTTCTGCAGCTTCTGCCTCCGCGAGGGCTGCATCGTTCACTGCGAGTCTCCCAATGCCAACCTGACAGTCTGAGCCACCGAGCTTCCGGACAAATTGCTGGTGCAGTTTCTCCTTCTCCTTCTTCCGCCGTTCCTGCTCTGGGTCTTCCTCCTCTGTGGGGACTGGCGCAACGGCAGGGGAGCTCTGGAACTTGAAGATATCGGTGCGTTGGCTGCTGCTTGCCTGAGAGGTGTGATCGAAGGGCACGCTTGTCGCAACTCGGATTGGCTCCTCCGCCTCTGTGCCGGTCTTGGCTCGCTTTGGTGCTGGCGCCACGACATCCTCGTCATCTTCGTCATCTTCTTTATCATCTGCCGGGGTGATATCGTCTGGCTTCGGCTCGATCTTGTCGAGTGGCGACGCTTGCCTTTTCTGAGGTGGCTTGGCTGGGGTGGGTGCGGAGACTTTGGGCGTGGCCGAGGAAGCGGGTTTCTGCGTGAAGAAGCTGGAGATGCTTGCTTGCTTTCTTTTTAATGACGGAGAGGGTGCGGAGGATTGCGAAGAATGAGGCGCCATCTTGACGACGGTTCCAACAGCTCCCACCGCAAGTATGTGGAACGGCAGTGGGGTTAAACGTAGGGTTTATGGGTTGAGATAGAAACTGGGTGCAGTGGAATTCAATACAAGAGTATCTCATCTCAGCTTGATCTCAGACTAGGAATGCTTCAAATCAAGTCCCATGTGAGTTCTCCGCATTTTACCCGGAGCTCGACGCGTACAGAACGCGCTGGGGCGTTAATTGGTTGCTGACTCAGCATTTTCCCACCTGGGCAGGCCCGGCGAGGTCCCGAGAGCTTCATGCTTGATCTTCCAAGTTGTATATCGGACACAAATGTAGTAGGAACAAGACTATATCCCATGCTTTGAAGAATTTTCTCATAACGAAGAGAGTCTACGTCCATAGTCTATCTACAAGGAGTAGGCGTCGATATGGTGGAAGGTTTGCATGAGTGAACGTGTATTTGTTACATATTTGATGAGCATAGACATCTACAGCTCTAAGAGGGGAAAAGAGAGTGATGAAAATTGGGGAAAACGAACTGGCATGAAACCATCTGTCTAGCTTGATGTCAACAAGAAACAGACCACAAACTGCGCCAGCAAACAAACCATCAATATGCGAGTGCAACCGTCATTAAGTACACATCTATGGATGTATCCAGACAGGCAAGGGACAAGAGACACAATGCACAGTCCCAGAGGGGGCCATGAAGGAAGGGACCTTCAAGAAAAGAGAAAAAGCCCTGAGAACATTGTTCACAGGGCAACAGAGAGCTATCTCTGTGGAAAAGGGCCAAAAATTATGCCCAGCTCCTACAGGTCAATGGAGAGCCCAGGAAAGTACAGTCTGTATCCACAGAGGCCGAGGGAGGAATGTGGTCCAAGCCTCGACATGCTTCGTGCCATTAGATAGGAACCGTGGTGCCCTATCTGTTTCAGACTGACCTGGACCGCAGCAAAGATCCGAGCTGAACTTGGGAACCACGATGTGCAATGTGGACCCGGAGGGGGTTGGGGGAAGAAAGAAGAAGACAAAGAAATTGGGGGGGGGGGGGGAGTATTTATATTTTTCCAGTGGCTGACGGGAGGAAGGAACTAGGGTAGGGGACGAGTTTTGACTGAGAGGGAAGGCACCTGACTACATAGACTTCATATTGTGTATACCTGTGTATGTAGATAATGTTATCTATTCTTTCTATTCATCGCTTTCTATTCATCTCTTCCCTATTCATCGTTCAGGGCATCTACACACTGATATTCAGTCCAGTATCTGTGTGATCATAGAAAATACCACCCCCAGTCTATCAAGATCTCTCAGCCATCTCCCTACCCGAGATCCTCCAAGCTAGCACACTATTAGCAAGCACCCGATTAACTTGCCCAGGTGCTTCGGCTTCCTCGTAGTCTCTGAGAAACAACAAATAAGCCCATCACAAAGCGTAAGACGTAGTTACTAGCTGTGGCTGGTGTATATTTCCGAGTAAGCATGTCTATGTTGATCTATCACTCATGATGGACTATACTGTGAACATTTGTAGAGTTACATCGACCTAGGTTCAAAGTAAAAGAATATAAACCGGGTCATGGGATGGGATGAAGTGAGACTTAACAGCCAACATCAAAGCTTGCCGTGGGCCGGACGGTGCTAGCCACATATGTATACCGGAGACTATGCTGCTGCAGACTCGAGCTGGAAAGAATACCTCGTGTTAGTACTAGGAATTGGAAAACTAGCGGTGAAAGGCTGAGCCGGGGAATACCTCGTGTATCTTATTCCTGCCATAGGACTCGACAGAGTGTTCTTCCCCCAAACGAAAGCGGCCATATCGAGATATGTTGCGAGCTGAGCGGAAGACCCGTGGACACTCACTAGGCTTACAAGCCAGTAAGCATAAGCGTGTACCTAGAGCGAAATCTATTGGTAATAGGAGGAAATAATGAATGGCCAAGCAACTATGCCTAGTGGAAGTAGTCGAAATATATAAACAAGCATCGAAAGTGAAATCAAAAGAAACCCTTCATATCCCCAGAGGATACATGGCCATTTCGATCACTCCTTGGGATAGGAGATGTACCTCATGTCAGATTTTCGCAGTTGCACAGTTAGAAAGACATAAAAGATATCTATATTAGCTATGCTGATACAGAGTATTCAGGAACCAGAACTGTAATCTGGTAGCGCGGGATAACAAGGGAAAAGCAGCAAGATCATACCATAGCCTGCTTGCTCGTTGAAAGTTTCCAACTCGTCCAGCTCTTCGACGTGTCCAGAACCTAGATATTGAAGACTCGATTATATTGAAGTCAAGTACAAGCTGCGCCATCATTTCAAACGATATCAAGAGACGGTCACAGATGACGTTCATCGATGGCCAAATCTTGCGGGAGCGTTGAGGTGAAGTCAGAACAGAGACTCAGTGCTCTCCGGGCAAATTGGTTGCAGAACCAATGCTTGACTGAATATATCATGACAGGAAAGTGCTTGGGGCAATTCAGGTGCTTACCCGCTCAGGTCCGGCGCCTTACAATGGTTCTGGTTTCACACGCCGAAAGAACGGGGACTTGGCGAGTGTTCATCATAGATTGAGTGTATGCGGTTGTTGCTTGAGCGAGATGTGATGTCGCAAGAGATTTTCGTTTCCTTTTTGACTAGAATGAAAGCAGTAAGCAATTAATACTTGGCGCGGAAAACATTGAATACATGATATATGGCACGGAAAGCATTCATAATGAACATTTTCATATTGATACTGGCTAATCATAATATTGTACATCATATCAAACAGCCCAACAAGGTTGGGAAAAAATGGACCCCCATGAATAATCACAACTGTTGGAAGATAGCAGTTAGGCTGGGTGTCGACAACCTTGGAAGTCCGGGTCGTCGGGTGAGTGCAAACCAATGGTAAAGCTACCACTGTCACTGTCACTGTCAGTGTTTTGGTTGTTGTTGTTGTTTTTTTTTTGAGTTTTGTTTTTTTGGGTTTGTTTTTTGGGTTTTCGGTTTTCGGTTCTGGATATCCATAACATCGTCGGTCATTCCGGGAAACATCGCATAGCGTCACTGTCGCAGGGTTGACCAGCAGGTTAGCAGGTTAACCTGGGGTTAGTCGACATGGTCGTGGGATTTAGTTCGCATCGGTAGAAAAGTAGTATGTTTGAAAGATCTGGTCGTCTTCGGGGATGGTTTCTTCGGATGGAACTATCTGGTCCACTGGAAGCCAGCCATCCTGGGCTGCAGTATGCTCCTCTTCATACTGGCTCTCATAGAAAGGGTGCTTCGAGGGGGCTTGCAGAGGGTTGGAGCGATACCCAGCCTTGTCAAAGACGTCATATGTATCACCAAGATCAGGAAGGTATGAGGGGCCGAATCCAAAGTCATCGGAGTCAGGGCGTTTAGCGAATGGGGAGTTCCAACCGTGGGGGCCAATTCGGCCTTGGGGGTTCAGAATAGGCTCAATGTTCTCTTTGGCAAGGGATGCGTGCCCAATTCTCGGGGCATGAATACCAGTGTTGGTCTTTCCGTTCAAAACAAGGCGAGTGGGGGTCAATGTGTCAAACTGCGTTCTGAATCCCGGTTGCTGATAAGATGTTTTGCTGTGCTCTTCTTCCTTTCCCTCATCAACAAAAACGTCGAAGCCACCCCTCGGCCGTTTGCCAAAGGCGTTCACAGTAAGACCAATCTCTTCATCGTCACCAACATAAGAGTGAGCTGCTGCGCGGCGCGAGCGGCGGGAAGCCTTGTGCTCTTCGTTGGCCTCTTCCTCTGCCACGTCCTTGCGGTCTTTGTCGGTTTTCTGTCGCTTTCTGTCCGCGGCACGGGGCACGTTGGGATCAGCCTTGGACAGACGTGTGCTCCTGGTACGAGCGAGGCCTCGCTTGGGAATCGGAGTCTCCCCTTTCAGTGGGCTGTATTCCTCCACATTGCCCGTGATCTCACGCTCCGTCAACAGAGTTCCGCGAGGGGAATAGACCTGTTCTGTAGGCTCCACGAGCAAAGAAGTTTGTTCCATGGTCTTCAGTACACCACTGTCCTTCTTCTGGTTGCGACGACGACGCATCTGCACCGTGGCGGAATCAAAAATATCCATGCCTGGCCATAGAACGCCCTTGAGTCTTGCGATTTCTTCAGCCCGAGTCTTGTCCATCTCAGCATCACCCGATGCCTGGGTCTGATCACCAGAGTCGATAAAAGGATCAGGAGTGTCTTTGTTGGTAATCCATGTTCTCTCCAAAGGTTCCGGTTTGTGTCGGCGCTGTATCGGTGTCTTTAGGCAAAGCCAATGATTGGCTTTCATCGTAGAGTTCAGAAGCATTAACAGGCTGTAAAACATTTGACTTTGTGCCATTAGACGATCGCATCGAGCGGAGAATCGGACCAGTTCGAGATTTCGCACTGCTGTTCGCCATAGGCAACTGGTTTGGCGTGCTGGGTGCGAGGGTTGTACCCGCATGTTGCTGGTTGTCATTGTGAGAATCGGCCAGGCGAGGATCGAGGTAATCAGGGTTGGGGGTGGCTGGCATTGCAGGAGTGCTGGAGCCCTCAGGCTCCACGGGCTCCACGATGGATGCTCGGCTCCTTGTGCGTTTGGTGGCGTTAGTGGTGTTGGAAGTCGATGCTTCGTCCTTTCTTTTCTTCCGAATTTCTTTGCTGGTCATGCGAGCAGACAGCAGCTTCGCAAAGCCATTGTTATCAAACCACTGGTCGTATCGCTTGAGAAGCTCGACCGAGTTAGAATCGTCGGTGCGAAGCTTGAGCTTGAAGTGGTTGGCCAAATGAGCCTTGGAGCCGGCATGGGTCAACAGGTGGGAGACATCGCTGAACTGCGGCCGTCCAGGACAGATGATGCACTCGAGGGTAGTGCCCATGATGCGAGCCCGAAGGAAGCAACAAGTAACAGATAGAATGAGATGCAAATGGAAAGGGCAAAACAAGGCAAAACAACCAAAGTGTCAAAGCCAAGAAGGTGGGTGTGGAAGAAGCTGGTGAAGGAGCGATGGAAGAAGAAGATCAGGCGTTATAAACAAATCGACAAGGCGGACGGGTTATCGCTTCCCTGGTGTGAATCAGCTATTGAGCTCTGGGGAAGGTACGTCCTGTCGGTCACGGGAAAAGTCACGGGATTTGATTGAGTTCAAAGACCTTTGGAACTTCAATTCATCTGTTCAACATTATCCTTAGGTACACAATGGGTATGTGCCACGATGTCTTAACAGCTCTTTGGCCATTGTAGGGGGGGTATGAAGCGGAATAAGTCAACGTGGTCGTTATTCTCCTCCCGCATTGTATCCCACAGTCCATAGAATAGAACGCTGGGTTATTAGATTGCGGGAGGTTTCAATTGGATCAATTGATCGATCAATCAACTGATGAACTACCCCGCAAGGCATTTGGCAGTGATTGCCTTCGGCATACAACTGTTGATCTGAGTTAGCAACTTCACAATAGAAGACCATATGTATGCCAGTATCTCACTAAACAGCATCTATTTCTTCAAGGCCATTGAACTTCAATAAGCTCAGTCCTGCAAGGCTGAAGTGTGTGTGATATACATCAACCATATTTCCTGGTCGATCAGCAAAGCCACCTGCATCAGGGTCCTATATAAGGGTTAGCAATATATTCCACCACACAATTGACAATCAACTGACCTGGCATTGTAGAACAAATGCGGCGAGCTTCTCGCCATCGATCCAATGTAAACGGTCGATCATGGCAAGGCTTGATCCTACCCACCAGGTGTAGCACGCATCTGCAAGCTTCTCTGGTCGACCATTGAAACCACCGCTTTCGATCTGGCGCTCGCTGAGCCAAGCTCCTAGGCGATCCTTGTTCACCAGGTCCAAGCGACCAGCGATGGCCAATGCACCAATGCAAGTGAACACCTGACCAGCATGGGACTCGGCGCCGGGGCGAATACCATAAGCTCCATCCAAGTTCTCACAACTTTGAATGTGAGAAACTGCTTTGGGGACATCGACCATGTCCATTAGGCGCAATAGCGACAATGCATTGAGGGCACCATATAAGAATCGGGTATCTGTTTCGCCCCACTGGTCTCCCATGAAGGAGCCATCTGCATTTTGTAGGTTTGCAATAACTGTAATGAATTAGCAAACAACCATCCACATCGGTATGAGGGAATGTCATACAAGATCCAACTTTCTCCTTGCCGCCTCGGCCCTGCTTGTCGAGTTCATCAACAGCATCAATGGTTACGAGGATCTGAACTGCTGAAACGGTGTACAACATATGGGCATCATGACCCGGGGCAGCACCGAAGCCTCCATTGTCACTTTGGCACGAGAGAACGAAGTCGATGGTTTGATCTCGAGGTAACGTATCCGGACGACCTAGAATATGCAGGGCGGTGAGGCCCCAATAAACACCATTTAATCGTAGGTGCTCGGTCAGCCAATATTCCAGCTCATCTTTCCTCTATGTAGGTTAGTTAACATTCACCATCTTCTTTCGAGCACGCACAGTGTCCAGGTTCTTGATGTAAGCCACATGTTTTGAGGAGTGGAGTCTGGGGTCTGCGATACCCTCAGCCCTCCCAGGGCCAGATACTAGTGCCATGCCTTGTAATGAAGTTGACAGGGATGTGAAGGTTAGTAGATGAAGAGATGAAGACCAGACAGCTCCAGCATATGTGCACTAATCCGTTAGTAGAAGGCGGTGAGAGAACGAGCTATAGATAGCTTTATGCATGGCCAATATTGGATGAAAAGAACAAATACTAATACAATGTCCGAAGGCCGAAATTTTTATCCAGCTGATCACGTGTACATACACTGGATTTACATTTATCCGGTCATATAGGTTTATCCGACCGTATCACCTGGGCAGTTTATCCGTTTCTCCGGCCACCGGTCTCGGCCCGGACTGGGTTTACTGGCCAAGTCTATAGGTATGTATCTGGTTTGGGATTGTAACGCCCGGTCGCAGAATCTATAGAGGGATCTCTATAAGGCAGACAGAAAAACCCCGGAGCATAGAGACGAGCCGTGGCCGACTTAATTCCCTATCTCCCCTCCGGGTCATCATCCGGGCCTCCAAGGGGTCAACTCGACGTGAAATGGCACAACAACCCTCAGTCAGGGGTCGTTCTCTCCAGGACCAGTCAACTGGAAAGAGTATGTTGAAGGCCGAAGCCTAAGCGTGGACAGCAATGCACGAGCATCAGCACTGTATTACGATTAAGGATCTTTGCGGGATATGGGCCAATGGGGCTACTATCGTGGGAAAATGCCACGCCGAGAAGGTAACATCAGTCTACCGAGCCGATCGAACCGTGAAAGCTATGACCAGGGCGTATTTTCAGATATACTAGAGGGAGAGTTTTGGACTGACTACGCAGCACCCCCGCGGCAATTCATTCTTGGAGTAAGAGACGCGCAACCCTAAGATAGAACGTCTCTTGCGACGATGCCGCACCGGATGGAAGCTATTATTGAGAGCCAGAGTGGTATACTCCGTACATCATACTAGATTCCATACTATGATGTGAATTGATGGAGGTTCCATGGTTTTTGAGGGCAGATTATTGGTGTGGCCCCCCTAATGTGTAGAAACTTATGTCCAGTCACTGTACGGGATACAATATACAGAGTAAATAGGCGAAGGTTCTGTGACATTCGAAGCTAACCATAATGGAAATCCACTCAACAAAGGTGCACGTGCGCCAAAAGCACTCCAGGCGCTAGTTTGACATCTTCAGCCATGTTTCAGATTGGATGGAACCTCAAGTGGAAGGGATCCAAATGGGAGGGCGGTGTGGGAGTCAACGTTTGTATCTGGATATCAAGAGAGTATGACAGAAATGTGTAGAGATCGCCCATATACCTAGGTAGTAGAGATTGTTCGTATGTTCTATGGAGAGTACTATTAATATAAAACACAATCTAAAGTGTTATACAATATCCATATTTATCCTCTGTGCTGGTGCTAGTCCAGAGTATGGTCAATGTGGACTCCGAGCCTTCCCATGTTATACAAAGTGCACACCGTATCACAATTATAGGCAATGGAAACCTCTTTCAAAAATTGTCTCTAAAACAGGAGATCCCAGTGGAGGCAGTCATCCATGGATGGGTGTGAGGTCTTTATCGGTAAGCGGGAATACTCCGTATGAGTTCCAAGGTTTAAATTAATTTATAAAAAGTGGACGACACTTTGGACACGGACACGTTTGTGCATTTATTTCTTACCCCTGATATATAGATGGTTTGTGTTAAATAGATAAATTAATTCCTTATTATCTTACTATGTTGTATGTTGTTATAGATATGTGTATACCTAGGTAATAGTATGCATATGCGACCATAAACAATTCAAAAGCACCAAAGCACCAAAGCACAACCATGGATCTTCCGGTAAAGGAAATCAGGCACTGATTTATTGTACTGTAACTGGCTCTCCGATTAACCAATGACAGCCCGCATCCACTGCAACGTAAGGCAACACATTCCGTGGCTCTGACCTACAAAAGTGGACCTCGGGAGAGCTCTGATCATTCGTGTACAGCCCATACCAAGCACCTTTATTGTAGGTACCTTTGGACTCGACAAATAGAATCTAATCCCGTCAATCTCCATCTGAGTATCTTTTTCGGGAGGTGACGCAAATGTCAATTGAGTAAGCCTAAATGTTATTCAAATTGACAAAGACGGATATAGACGATGATGCTTATCCACCGTCAGACTCGGATCATCCAAGCGAAGGTGTTCCTTGGGTCAAAGTGACGTTTCGCCCTTCAGGGGGAAGATAGGAAATTTAAAAAAAGAAAGATTCCCTTTTTTGTGTATATTGTATATTGTACAAGAATTATTTTACCGAAGTAGGAAAAAGATAATGAGAATGTGGAACGGTTTCAAGTTTCTCCAAAGACCCAAAAAAAAAAAAACAATCTACGAATATCGAATAATTATGACTTCTATAATATACTAGCGTTACTTGATACTAGTAGTCTCTGCTTCGGACTAGTGTACCGCTAAGTCTATCACGAGAGACTTGGACTTGACTTTTTTTTTGGGTTCATAGTATTTCTTCAACAATTCTTCACCTTTTATAACTTTGACAACTTGGACTACCATAAGACATCATACCTCTTTCAGATTGAGTTGTTTCAATGTTCTTTTGACCTTGATCCACACAACTCCTATCTCGCCCCCCCTTCCGCCCTGCCGATCCCCGAACTTCGAAGCGCCCAAAAAGAGGGGGGAAAAGCGAACCTGCACTGAACAAGTCCTGGTCTCATAAAGGATCGGTGGAAACAATTGAATTCCATAATATGACCTCGGGAGGATATTGGTGAGTCAGCTGAAATCAGGCAACGTCCATTGTTTCTGCTGGTTTCTGGCCTCTATCAACAAAGAGTCGGTGGCTTCTTTTAACTCGGGGTTTGCCTGCATATGTCACCTGCGGTCTCACCTCTTGTCCTTTTTTGACACTTCTTCTTCCTTTCACATGTCTCTGATTTTTGCGCTGACCCTATAACTGGTGCTTCAGATCCGTCCTCGATACTTCATTTGATCCATATTACTTTCGTCATTACATTTGACGCACAGGTAGACATCACTCCGTCTCTCCTTGTACTACCCAGCTTCGAAAGTCGCTTCGTCCCCCCACCACACGGTCAGACCTCAAGAATTGATACCCGTACGAGCCTCTCAGCCGCATACGTGACTTGGGTTCCAACGCTGGCCAAATACACATCTAGCAGCCCAAGGATCAATCCATCTGAAGCTGTGACGGGGGCTACAACCCACAAATCCTTGACCTCCGAACTCCCATACATCCTGGACCGGGTCCAATTGCCGCCCGACATGTCAAACCGAACTTCAACAGTGCCCAACCTCGATTTGAGCTCGTGTAAGACCGAGTCGAAGAAAGACAAGATCTCATCGCCTGTGACGCCAGGTGACCACAGTTCAGACGGACCGAGCCCCTTAACACCACGTTCGCCCAAATCTGCATCAAGCTCTCCACTCTTTAAAGGTGCAACAATTCGCCCTGTCACGCAGGACTCCGACAGCAAGGCAACCAGTCCTATTCTCCCACTATCTCCTGGCACAGGCCCCGCAGAGCCTACGACACCCGGTATCACAGCCATTCCTCAACATTTCCCTTCTCCCAAAGACTCAAGGCATACGCGCGATGCCTCGAAATCATTTTTCGGTAACCTCAAAGCACCGAAATCATCGCACAAGCCACAACATTCAGACAGCTCGGAAAACTCCACCGAACATTCCAAGAGCAGAGGGAGCTCCAGAGACCGGAAGACAGCAATGACTTCGAAACAATACGAGTCAACGCCTGATCTTCCAGGGGCACTTGCCCGTGCGAATGGATCCGAAAAGAGCCAGTGAGTTTTCCCTTGCCACCTATGTGGAACATATCTAACGCAATGCTCTCCAGATGAACCCTCAGGCGACAATAATCCGCAGCAAACAGGCACCAAGAAAGCCGGTACAGATCTAGAGGGCGCCGCGCCGAAGAAGAACAAACAAAGATTTGCGAACCTTTTGACCCGATCTCGCTCCATTCGAGTTGAGGACTCCGGAACGAAAGCACCACGCCGACGCCCCTCTACAGGTCTGGCGAAACTTGAAGAGTTCAGTCAAGGCGCAACGACGACCGCGATTCCACCCCGTAGTGCGACTGCGCAACCCGAACGCGCTGCTCAGAAAGGCTTGCAGCCTCCTGAGCGCCCGGCCGACTCCACGTCTTTGCGAAAAGAGCGCAGTCACGGTAACATAGTTGCATCGGGTTCCCTGAGTCAAGTTTCCGGCGCCTCGGCTACCATTTTCAGCAATCTGAAATCTTCATCCAGTGGCACCGCAGATCGTATTGGCAAGGCCGGAAAAGGATTCTTTAGCAAGATCACTCGCAGCGGTAGCACCAACGAGAGAGAGATGATCACCGATGATTCGTACACGTGCTCAGTGATCAACCTCCCGCTCATTGAGCAGGCGAGAAAGACCCGCATTGCGAAGAAGCTTGAAGACTGCCGAGACAAGACCGAGTTCTGGATGCCTGCCTTACCATACCGCTCAATTGATTATCTGAACTTTAAGGGCTGCGAGGAAGAGGGCCTTTACCGTGTTCCTGGTAGTGGCAGGGAGGTCAAGCACTGGCAACGAAGATTTGACACAGAACTCGACGTCGATCTCTTCGAGGTCCCTGACCTTTACGACATTAACACGATTGGATCTCTCTTCAAGGCTTGGCTTCGTGAGCTTCCGGATGAGCTTTTCCCCAAGTCGACGCAAACGATGATTGCTATGAAGTGCGAAGGCGCCACGACCGCACCGCAGCTACTCAAAGATGAGCTCTCCAAGTTACCGCCATACCATTACTACCTCCTCTTCGCCATCACCTGCCATCTCAACCTCCTTCACTCATACGTGGACCAGAACAAAATGGACTACCGCAACTTGTGCATCTGCTTCCAGCCCTGTATGAAGATCGACGCATTCTGCTTCCAATTCTTGGTATGTGACTGGAAGAACTGCTGGCAGGGATGTTGGACCGAGAAAGAATACCTTGAGATTGAGAAAAAGATGGATGAGCGCGACCTGAGGGTCTCACAAGAGCAGGAGGCTGCCAAGGCAAAGGAACGAGCCTCTGCCAGCCATGAACGCGCTGTCTCGTCTTCGAGCAGCAGCGCTGGGGAAGAACCTCGTAAGCCTCCTCGTGAGTCAGCTCGCCCGGCGACCTCACACCTAGAAACCACACGCGCGGAAACCGCCCGCCCAGCAACCGCTCGCACCCGGAAGGCTCCGCCGAAGAATATCGAAACGGCACACAGCCGGAGCATCTCTCAGCTTCCCGAGCTTGGCCCGCCACTCTCTCCTATCAAAATCTAAATCTGAAAGACGTCTCCTGGCATAAAATTGCCTTGGATAAAAATAGCTTCACGTCGTTATCTACCTTTTATGACCTGCTTCCAATTTGGCTGGCCCGATGTTCGTTCTATCTGCTGGACCAGATAGGACTGGACAAGTTGTTTCAGAATGGCATTTACTTCCTCCATCACCTCCACTTTCTCCTCTCCCATACCTCTGATACGAGATCTCCATCGCCCGCTAGCCGTATGATCGATATCTCCATTGTCATTTGGTCTCATATTGGGATCAGATGGCCCATCAATACTCTTCGATGTGTACATCTTTTGCTCTCCTGGCATCTACTCTGAAATTGGCGAATGGCCGGCCGTTTCGTTTACAGTGATTTTGCTTGACTCGCATTGTTTCTCTCTCTTTTCGCTATCTTTTGTCTATTTGGAAGCGCAAATCTTATTCCATGCTTTGCTTGATATTGCAACATCTCCGGATTCCCCTCTGCGGTTGAAATTGATTTCCATCATCGCTATTTTCTTCATGTCTGGTTGCTCCGTTTTGCAATGGGGGTTTACATTTCTATTTTGCTCAGCTTTTTGTTTGAATCATGTATCTGGCGTTTCCTTTCGAGGACTGTACAATAAAGGTGGGAAAGGCACTTTTCGGTTCGAACAAGATCATTTCTGTTACAAAATCCCCATAGCCGCACACAGATATATCAAGGCTATCGAGCTATCGAGTAAAGGCCATCGCAAATATCGATAAATGCAATAAGAGTGCTTTTGGTGAATCACGGTATGTCCACAATACATGAAGAATCCCATTCGACTCCCAACCCCAACGCCAGAGATGTAAAAAGAATCAAGACAGGAAAAGCCAGAGGCTATAAGATAAACGTGAAAGAAAAGAAAAGAGAAGAGCACGAAAGAACCCGATATAATCCAGCTCAATCAACGACCGCCCCTCATTTCGCACGAGCAGGGTTCGACCTCTTCTCATTCGATCGTTGCTTACGCTCATTACGCTTGATGCGCTCCTTGCGTTCACTCCGCGACATACCCCGAATGTTGCTTCCCTCAGCATTAGCCTCAGCCTCCTTCTTCCACTTCTTCTCATCAACCTCAACAAGCCATTGGTTCTCGTCTTCCTTGTTCTTGCCCTTGTAACCCCAGCGCGGCACCCACTCGCCAGTAGCCTCGTCGTAGACGAGCTTCTTGCGGCGCTCCTTGTCCATGCCGGCGGCACCGGGCTTCTGGCTGAACTTGCCGATGCCCTTCTTGCGGGCGAACAGCTCCCATTTCGTGGGCGCCTTCGGGACGGGAAGCGGCTTGTGGCGCGGGAGGTGGATGTTAGGTGCTGGCAGGTTGAGAAGCACGCCGTCAGAGACGGAGGTCTTGATCTCGCAGGTTGTCAGGAGCTGGTTGAGCAGGACCTGGACGCCGTCGCGGGCTGTCGCTTTCAGCGAGTCATTCAGGGTTTGGTCCGCTGGGAGCTCGAGTGGGTTTGGGTCGTTGACGAGCAGGTGGCCCAGGTCGAATGTGTAGGGGGTAGGCTTTGAGACGGTGATGGGCCTGGACATGGACGTTAGTTACTGTATTTTTCTTCGTTTTCTTTCGACTTTTTGGTCGTGCATCCGGTTGGGGAAGAGGGGTTCTTACAGTCTCTCAGTCTTGGAACCTGCCGCAGCCGTAGGCACGGAGTTCGCCATCTCGGTATCAGACATGACGACTAGTAAATTGGTAAACTGTTGATGTTCAAAGGTTGGTAACAGCCCGAAGAAAAAAAAATGTTGGTTATCAGATACAGCCGCTTTTACTTTTCTGCCATGACTAAGACATCCCGACCGCCTTTCCTTCTCAGGGCGGGCGGATTTCGCATCAAATTATTGACCGAAGTGTTTAACTGTTGTTGTTCAACTCAATTCCCACCCACCTCTCCATCTCTGCACCGGTTGTCCCCTCACTGGCTGCGCCGGTGTTTCTGACAACAATGGCTTCCTCGTGGTGCTGGAATTGCCTCTCGAGGCTTCGCCCGACACCGCGAGCACTCCTCCCGCCGTCCGCAACGCCCCGGATTTCGAGCGCCCCCTTCCACTCCACCGCCGTGCACTATGCCCAGCCGGCCAAGAAGAAGGGAAACAGCTTGACTGTCATGAAGCACAGACAGTCAACCAGCTTGAGAAGGAAGAAGAAGAAGGTTGCTGATCGCGGCGGTCGTCCCCCAGCCGTGGGTGAGCGCAAGGCTTTGCGGAAACGCATTGTCTTGAGCAACCCCAACGCCCTTGAGGTTGAGGGCATGCTGGACCTGTCCCGGGGACTATGGTGGACTCCCGTCTCCGTGGTACCGTTCTTGGACTTCCTGTGCCGATGATCGATCAATTGAGAGCAGTGCAAGCCTTCAAGCCCAAGCAGGGCTGGTCGATATTCCGCCGGCCTGGAACGGTCCTCCGACGTGATACCATTGAGATGGGTCGTTTGTTTGAGCAGATCTCTGGGGAGGGCGATGGTGCCAAGAAGGGCAAGGTCGTCAAGAAAATTGTTACTGGTATGAAGGGATCTGGCAAGACCGTGCACCTGCTGCAGGCTATGGCTATGGGATTCTTGAAGAAGTGGGCTGTGATCACTATTCCCGATGGTAAGTGTGACTATCTGCTGGTGTATATTGCAACTTTACAGCTGCTGACCTGTCAATCATGTAGCCCGAGAGCTTGTGTCTGGTGAAACCGCCTACGCCGCCATCGAAGATAGCGACCCACTGCAGTATGTCCAGCCTACTGCGACCTCGGCTCTGTTGACTCGCACTGTCGATGCCAACCGGGAGCTCCTGGCTAGCCTGAAGGTCTCCCAGAAGCACCCAGCTCTGAAGACGTTGAAGCCTTCCTCGACCCTCGAAGACCTCGCCAAGCTTGGCTTCAGTGATCCTGCTGTCTCCTGGCGGGTCTTCCAGGCTCTCTGGACTGAGCTTACTGCCACTGCCCCCGCCGCAGGATTGGAGAAGGACTTCCAGCCCCGTCCTCCTATGCTTGTTGCCGTGGATGGTCTGGCCCACTGGATGACCGAGAGTGCCTACCCGCTCCGCTGAATTCAAGCCGATTCATGCCCACGACCTCGCCTTCGTCCACCACTTCCTCTCCTTGCTGAAGGAGGGCGATTCCTGAAGAACGGCGGTCTCCTTCTTTACGCCACCTCAGCCTCAAACAACCCCAACCCCAAGGCTCTGAACATTGCCCTGGACCGCCTGGCCGCCCGCCAGGCCGGTATCAGCGCTTCCTCGCCCGAATATCCGCAACCACCAGCCTACAGCGATGCTGATCCTCGCGTCCTGGACCTGCTCCAGCCCGCAGAGAAGGCTGTCAGCCCAGTCGAATTGCAGACGCTGGGCGGCCTCACTCGCGACGAGGCTCGTGGTTTCATGGAGTACTTCGCTCGCAGCGGCTTGCTGCGTGAGATGATCAATGACCAGTGGGTGAGCGAGAAGTGGAGCTTATCCGGCGGCGGTATCATCGGCGAGCTGGAAAAGTTCGGCCGTCGTGTTCGCGCCACTGCCTCCGCCTCGAAATAAGGGTTCTATCTTGCATTTCTTTCTCTTGTCTTATCTCCGGCTTTCAAATTTGTGTTTCACGTTTACAACTGTATATCGGATCCTGGGGTTTTCCTTGTGTGTTCTTTGCCCATGTATTTTACAAATCTCACTTGGTCCGCTTGTGTCTGTATGCATATAATGGATTTGTTTTTTTTGGAAAATTCTTATATCCTTTGATTTGGTATCATTCCACAATCTTGCCATTGGGTCGGTCTTTTCATTGCACGACTAATAAAATACTAATCTGAACGGGACCATTTGAAGCTGGGCGTTGAATCGACCCTCAACCCAACCAGACCCCTCAAGCATCCAACTTCTTCGGCCTAGGCGCACGCACCAAATCAGGATAATCAAACCTAGCCGCCACATTCAAGAAAGAAGAATTACCGGGATGCGCCTCCTGGACATCATCCCCCCTGAACAAAAAGTTCATCGGGAACCCAATATCAAACTCATAAGCCCCCTCAATCTCCTTCAAATCCTCATCCGACAAATCAACCCCAAGCCCCTCAATATTACCCAGCAAATGCTCAACCGTACGCCCACCCACAATCGGCACCACATACGGCGCCTTGCGCATCACATACGCCAACGCAACACTGGTAAGCGCAGTCCCATGCCGCTCCGCAACAACCTCCAACACCTTCGACACAGCGATGTCCCGCTCAGTCGCTGGAGTCTGTCGTCCCGGGTTCCCGCTCCGCGCGAGCTCTTCCCGCTGCGCGGTTGTTTTGAACGCGCCGCCGCCGAGAGAAGCCCACGGTGCGAGACCCATGCCTTCGGACGCGGCCATGGGGATTATGTCGCGCTCGAAATCGCGCGCGGCGGCGTTCCATTTTCCTTGGTAGACGGAGAAGGGACGGAGGCCGTGATCGCGTGCGTCTGTGGTTTTGGTTAATTGGGTACAGTTGGATAAATCAGATGGGCCGGTGCTGGGTATGACGGTCATAGCTAGCTAAAGTAACACTTACATTGGTTCGCCTTGCTCACGATCCACGCGGGTGTATCGCTGATACCCAAGTACAGAACCTTTCCAGACACGACTAGCTGGTTGAGCGAGGTCATGACTTCCTCGATGGAAGTGCTGAAATCCCACCAGTGGACATAGAGCTATATTGTGAAGTAGATAATATGTTAGCAAGAATATCCCGAGAATTAAGTCCAGACAAGCGGACAGCACGTACCAGATCGATATAATCCGTCCGCAATTTCTTCAGACTCGCTTCGACAGACAACTTCATGCTCTTGGCGTTATTACCGACGAAGTTCGCCTGGATCTCGGATTGGTTGTGTGTACGGTAGGGCGAGGTATACTTTGTTGCGAGGACGATTTGGTCGCGCACGCCGCGGGCTTCCATCCACTCACCGAGCCATTTCTCGGATTCTTCAGCTTGGTAGTTATTGGCTCTTTTTTAGTTGTGTTAGTGGTTGGATTCTTTATGGAACATGAGACTAATTGGTGCTATGCATACGTGTCGATGAAGTTGCCTCCGTTCTCGTAGTATGTATCCAAGATCTGGAAAGTGGTTTCTTTGTTACATTCGCCGAGACGTTCTTTCCTACGTTCTGTTAGTTTCTATTTGTATTTGGGGTGTGCATATGTAGTATGTATTTATAAGTAGGTATGCCAGTGGACTTACCAGCCATCACCGAAGTTCATTGCCCCCAGACATAGCGGGCTCACCTTAACACCCGCAGTGGGCGCCAACAGGCGGTAGCGGCCGAGGTAGGACTTTGGGGCGGCAGCTCGGGCTAACATTATGGGAATTGAGAGAATTCAAGTGGATGTATAGAAATGAAGATTGGGGGGGATTGGGGAATCGTAGGCTTTGCTTTATAGCCGGGGGGATATGCGGGGTTAAGTGTGTTAATAATCCATTGAGGATGCACTGATGTGTTGTAGTATGACTTTAATTCCTAAGTCCGGGTATCAACTTAAGGTTAAATCCGGTTTTATACTGCGTATTGTTCCAAGGTTGGGTCCACGGGCGGTTTAGTGTACCATTTTAGGTTTAGCGTCACCCTGCTCCTTAGCATCCCCGTGCGTGTTTCTATAAAGTCCCCTCCATCGCCCCTTCAACTACTTGCTGATTTTCGCCCTTCTGCTCTTTCTTTCTTATACACGCCCTGCTAGTGAGGCATTTTTGCTATTAATTTGGGTCACCGAGCTTCGCCACCCCCTTTATCGCCGGCGCGAACCGGCTAGTCTTTCACGGTCCTTCGAGCCCTCGAGCGCAATCTGAGTAGAGACTTGGCTGAGCTGGTCCATCTCAGCTTGTAGGTTAAACAAGGTGTGATCGATTGAGGAGAGGTATAAAGTCATGTATCTCGCATGCTGTCTTCATGAAAAGAGCAGTCAGGAGTCTCATTTTGTTTTCTATGTCAATATGGACTTTTCATAGTTCTGTCCGGGTGAGTTCAAACTCTGTCTCCGTCTTCTTGAATAGCTCCCCAGGTTCTGGCAGGCCAGATTGATGCTGCCACCAAAGGCAAGGGACGCTCGTTCCATTCGCATCAGATCCAAACTTAATAACGTAATACTCCATCGGGAAAATAGGCTCTCGGGCAAGCTTTGCAGACTCATCATGCGTCAAGGTCCAATAGAAACTGTCTTCTTGGTATGGAAGAAGTGCGAATGTATCGGCCTTTCGGCCCATATACGCAACCTGAAGACTGGTCTTGTCTCTGCTATATCCTATTTCAATAAAAAAATTTCCAGCTCCGTTGAAGTATTTTCCGACGTAATCTTCTAGTGGCCTGGAAGGAGTCTCAATAGTTCGGCCCGCAGCTAGACTCTTATTGATATCTTTTACCTGTTGTAACGCGATCTCAGCCGATTGTTTTGCCAGAATGGAATAGTCAGGCGCATTATGGGAGTTGTTCAGAAGGGCTTCGACAAGGAGCTCGCCAATCCACCGCACTCCACCGTTTAAAGACTGAGAATTGGTGAGCACAACAACTGCACTGCCAGTTTCAGGAAGCAAGACATTGTAAGTATTGAACCCAGGGATAACGCCCCCGTGATACAAGGCCAGCTGCGACGGTGCACCTGTTCCAACTATAGGATTGGGTGTGCTTGTATCGCTTCCCTGGGATATGACGGCAGGCAATTGAGCCCGGGCCCAGCCAAATCCGTACGAATGTTCCTGAGGGAATGAAAGGGCAGGGATTGATGCCCTTTCCATAGTTGATTAATACCTCGAATGGTGGACTTGGGCTGATCCGGTGAGCCCGTGTCTGGGTGGATAATCTCATGAAGAGCAGCACCCATGAAGGCTTTATAGAGGGTCAATAAATCATTGACAGAGCTTCGAACACCCCCGGCTGGCCCCATCAACACATTCTCCCCATGCAGTGGCGGTGCAATAGGGACAATAGACCCGTCCTCCAGCGCAGCATAGGGCTTCGCTTCATTTTCGCGGCTCTCACCTGTGTAGTATGTTCGATACAAGCCGAGCGGGCTCAGAAGGCGACGCCGCAGAACCTCCGCAAATGTCTCACCAGAAGCCTTTTCGATCACCTGGCCGAGGACCTCGTAGCCGAAATTGTTGTAAATGAACTGGGTTCGAAATGGCTGGATACACGGGGCGTAATTGAGGATTCGAACGGCCTCCGACCGTGCCAGATAAGGAACATTGTTAGAGGCGAGCCAGAGAGAGTCAAGAGATGCTAGGCCAGTACGGTGTGTAAGCAGATCGGCGAGGGCAATTTCGCCGTAGATGTCTTCACGATGAAATTCTGGCAGCAACGTCTTCAATGGAGCATCCCACGAGGGAATGGTACCGTCGTCATGAAGAGAGGCTACTAAAGCAGCTGTCATGCTTTTGCTGAGAGACCCCAGCACAAAAGTTGTGTCGCTGTCGCAAGGGGTTTTGCTCTCGATGTCGGCGTAACCCAGTGAAGCGGTGTACACGGTTTTGTTATTCTCCACGATGCCCAGCGACACGCCTGGGATACCCGAGATGCTGCAGATATCCCGAATGATCGGGAGAAGAGCGGACCACTTGCTGTCGAGACGCATCGTGCCCTGGCTGTGAGTATTTTGTTATTGGGGGGGTGGGAGTTTGATGTTGGCGCAGCGATCCTAGAACCTAAGTACTACCTAGGCTAAGATGCTCAGGCGTTATGGGGGGCTGGGGTGACGGGCGCTTCCGTAAATTATTTGGAATGGGATTTCAAAATTTACTATGTAGGCAGGCACTCTGTACAGCATTGATCAACTAAAGCTTGACTACAACTACTCCCCCAATCCGTGAACCCCGGAAACACCACGGTTTTACAACTAAAAGCCACGCACAATGAACTTTTCGCCGTCACCTCGACTTACTCCGTACAATATGCTACAATTTATCGGATAATGTCCCTTTCCATTTTAGTGCTCAGCCCTCGTCGCTTTTTGATCGAGCCTGACCTTCCAAGGTTCCAAGGTTGGAACCTTGGAAGTCTTACATAACCTCTCAGTTGAGGTCAGGTGCCCAGGTGCAAGTACTAATGCACGTGGCTATGTTGTAGTCCGCTGGTGCAGATCCCCAAGTGGATTCCAAGGTTGGCACACGTAATGCACCAGGACTGGAGGTTGTGGAGAAACTAACCTTCGAAATTAACTAACTATATTGTTGTTATAAGTAAATTAGCCCGTGTTCCACAGCGGTTGGGCCTTGCGACAAGCAGATTGCCAAGAGCGGCAGCCCGAGTCGATCATATCCATTAGGAGACCACTACGGAGTACGAAATACATAGTTATAGTGCTTATAGTGTATTGTCATAACATCTATCATGGCACCTTCATTTCCCTTCAACTGATAGAACACTTGAGTTCTATCGATGTTATGCCTTTGATTCGTCTCTTCGGTCACCGAAATGGTCACTCCATGTTGTTATGCATCTCATTACTAGCATTGCTGTGCTATAATGCTGTAGCGCTACTCCCTGATAACGATTTGTTATCTTTTAAGTCGGTTTGTGGAAAGCCCCGTCAACAAAATTGCCGATGGAGAAACTAATGGTCAATATCCAGCTTCCCGATGTACGAGCATTGAAATGGGAAGTAAACTACCATGACCGTGAGCGCCAGGCACCTGGATACTGGTTTGTCGCACCGTACGGACAGATCACGGGGGAACCATCCACCCAGAAATATCATCAGTACCAAGTCGGCCCTTATATATATGATGACAGTGGCGTATGTGATCTTTTGCTTGGCGCGGAGTTGAGTGATATGAAAGTTAATAAAAATTCTTCTATAGATGCTCATTTGGGCTGGGTCAAAACAGTTCGATGACCGCAATGTTTTCGACTTTCGCGCAAATACCAATATAGATGGCGAGACACACCTGTCATTTGTCGTGGCATGGGATCCAGAGAATGAGTTCCAGGACCGGGGTCGTGGTGTGGTCTTGAACAAGCACTATCAGGTGGAGAAAAATGTGTTTTCCCCTGCTGATTCCCACGACTTCAATATGCATGAATTCAATATACTGGACGGCGGTAAGACAGCTGTTGTTTGTATATATCGCCCTACATTAGTCAAATTGGGGGACTTTGGCCGTCCGGATGAGAGCTGGGTTGTGTCTGGCGGGATTGCGGAATACGACATTGCGACCAACAGTGTCCTCTTCAAATGGGACGGCGTCGATCACATCCCAGTTCATGAGTCAAACCTCTTTCATGCGTGGGATCAGCCCCAGGGTGCTCCAGGCTGGGACTATGTCCACGCCAATGCGGTCGATAAGAACGCCGCAGGTGACTACATCATATCCATGCGCTTCACCAACACGATCTATTACGTCAGCGGTAGTGATGGACGCATCCTATGGCGATTAGGTGGAGCAGAGAGTAATTTCGACCAGGACTTCACCTTCTCCAAACAGCACGATGTGAAATTTGTCTCATCGAATGGCACCGACCACGTCATCAGTTTGCTCAACAACGCATCCGACGAAGCATCTAATGATGAGAAAGTGTCTTCCGTTCTCTACATCAAGCTAGACACACTGGCTATGACTGCGCGGGCTATCAAGCGTATAAACCGACCAGACGGTCAATTAACGCGTCTTCGCGGAAACGCCCAAACACTCCCCAACGGCAACATCTTCGCTGGCTGGAGTAAATTCGGCTACCAAAGTGAACACGCGCCCAATGGCGACGTTTTAATGACTGCCCGATTTGTATCGGACCGCTACTCGACGTATCGAGCGTATAAGTCAGAGTTTGTCGGTCGTCCGCTCACCCCGCCTGACGTCGTGGCCTCCGTGTACGGCACCAGTAACACGTCGATCCACACGGTCATATACGTTAGCTGGAATGGTGCTACCGATATTGCCGGATGGAACTTCTATGCCCAAGCCCAGGAGCAGAGTGAATCGATTCTCATCGGACACGCCGAAAAACTGGACTTTGAAACTATGTATATCGTCGATGGATATATGGATTATATCACTGCCGAGGCTTTAGACCGCGATGGCCACCCAATGGCCAAATCTGCTGTTCATCGAAGCGAAATCCCACACCATTGGCAAGCTGTCGGGTTTGTGGGTTCGAAAATCCCGTCTCCGCACGATCCAAGCGTTGTTTTAGGAGCTTCCCGGAATGCGTCGGAGAGCAGCAGCAATGGTGAGATTGATCATCATGATACTTTGACCGACACGGTAGGTCTGTTTATCTTCTTTCTGGGAGGTTGTACGGTCATCGGTGGACTGGCTGCCGCCTATTTCATGTTTTACCCTCGAAAAGCTCGATCATATCATCATGTACCATCTGAAGAAGAGGGTCGGTTGGGAGAGACTCATCGCTTGGCTACAGCAGCCGAGTGAGAGTGATTATTCGCCCTCGAATAAAGCATCTCTGAGGCCGAATGTCGGGGCACTGTACTTGTTCCTTGTGGGATCTGGGGACGAGAGGATTGCGTGTGGCTTGCAATGTATATATTAGAATTGTTATGTCCATATGTCCATCAGTGTAGTTAGGGTTTATTCAAAATAGTCAAATTTACCAGGCGCACCTGCAGGCTTCGGAGTGCTAGTCTTTCTGGATTCTTTTACCATACTTGTTGCCAGGAAGCAACATGCCAGGATTATTGAAATACGCAAAGGGTAGGATTGTACAGCCATTGATATCAAAGATGCTAGGTATATGAGCATATAGTAGGTGCATAGGATAGTTATAGACATAGAGAACATGATCCATAAGAAAGGGGAATAAATGAAGGGAAAAAAGATCAAAAATTCAAAGAACGAGCTATTATTGCCCTCCCGAGTTGATATGCGCAAGTTCGTCCGGTAAAGCTATTAACCCGTTGTCGGCATCGAAATCATAATGAGTGCTATCCGACTCCGGTCGAACATCTTTAACGGGATGGAAAAGAATAGAGGGTAGACAATATCGACCGTGTTCTTCCTCGTACTGCAAAACGTTAGCTAGCCATCTTTGATGTCGCCAGAAGCGGTTCCATACCTGTGGTCCACCCTTGCCTTCCTTCTCCCAACCCAGGAAATTCCAGTACAGCCGTCCAGGCAGGTTGGCGCGGTAGTACCAAGATACGTCCTTGAACCGAGACTCTCGGCCCCAGGAAAATGGACTGTCCATAGTGCTCCCACTCCGACCGTTGACACCAGAGTTGAACCAGCGACTAACCCGGTCGCTCGGCATCAACCGATCTGAATAGACGGGATGCGGAACCGAGACGCCCTTATATCCGTGGAGAAAGGCAGTTGATACATGAAACATCTCAGCGCTCATATGGCGACCTGCATGGTTCTCACGGTCCATCGTCAACAATAGCCGTCTTGAAAGGCGGCCATGGGTAATCAAGGAAGCTCTTCGGGGGGTGTTAGCTGCGCGATACCCGAACACCTCGTTCCGGATGACCCATTCCGTGTTGATGGGATTGAAGATAGGCAAGAAGACCATCAGGTCTGCTTCCTCGCCCACACCCCATTCGTAGGGGTCTTGGTTGGCTACTGGGACGGGTGGTGTAGGCCCTTCGCGCTCAAACTCCTCGCCGGTATCTGTCCTCATAGGCATCGGTCCCCAGACACCCGGTCCGCTCTGGGCATCGACGAATGATCGGTATCGCTCGTCGTAGTTGCCATGGTAGCCTGGGATGTAGAATCGCTCATTGCGTTCCCAGATTCCTCGACGTGGCTGTCGCAGCCCGAAGTTCGCAACCGTGTCGGCAAATTCATAGTAGTGACCTGTGAAGCGGGTGTCGATTTCCCAGTTCCAGATATACTCGAATTGGGGGTTCCGGAGGGCGAACTGCTGTACGGAGAGCCATTGTGAATGATGGACACTATGCCCTAAGTTAATGAAAAGGAAGTAACATGAAGAGCGATAGGATATACTGACTCCATAAGTTCGGGGTCGAGTTGAGGATAATTTAATATCTCTTCATGCATATTCCAGAACTGAGTTATACCCCAGAACTCCCGAGGGATGTTCTGCTGTAAAAGCCTCTTCCGCACGAGGGGATCATCGAGCGGTATGCTGTCATCCTTGACGTGTGTCAACAATACAACCTCATACTCCCCTCCTGACTGAAGGGAAAGTTCAGAGATCATCGCTCGAATGTTAATGATATCGTTCTCCAAAAATTCCTTGCCAGTGTAAGAACGAATGAGAACGGCCGTACGTGCCTCAGGGGCGTTATTGTTCAGTCCCTGCAAATGCGCGTCGAATCGATTGGCGTTGTGCGTGGCGCATTGCTTCTGTAGCTTTCCCCAATCAACATCGTTCCAATTAACTTTGGCAGGTCGAACCCAGTTTTCGACATTTGTTTCATCTTCCGCAAAGCCGTAAGCACCGTAGCGAGTATAGCGATCGAATGACAGTGACCCATCGAGGCCGATTGCCTTGTGGGAACCAAAAATCGTAGTTGGGAAGCCTATGACCACATTCACATATTAGCTGGAGACTCTGCCGACCATGATTTACTGCATTGTATCATATCCGTGTGCGAGAGGTCAGCAAACGTCCATGGGCAGGACTTGGCTGCATATCTCTTTCGATGTATGAATTGGGAAAAACAAAATACCTTTCGGAACACCAACGTAGGCGCTTACTTGATCGTCCAAATTGTCCGTCACTTCTTTACCTCGGGGCCCAATGCACGGTTTGAAAGAGCCACGGTGACTCTTCTTCCACTCATTACTTTTATAATCTGGGTATGGGCGATATATCTTTGGCATAGGTTCATTCGCCCAGGAGCTCAGACGAGGGTCATCGATGAGATGAGGGTTGTAAGATCGTTGCGGTAGGATCCTCTCCAGCGTTGATTCAAACCCATCAAATTGTCTGCACTAGTATTAGACAGACTTTCCAAATGTCCCGATCGAGCCCTAAAATGGGCACTGCTTGTGTAACTGACCGTGTGGTAGATTGAATCTCATGTATGTATCGCTCTTGAGGGGAGAGAAGGAACTACAGCCGATTAACAATCTTCTCGGCTTACTATGGCAACTCAGTGTTTACCTGTTGTTGATGGTTCCCATCAGGGCTCCCATCATCGAATGACCTTTTCTCTAGCACACTTACCTTGAGATGGGCGCCGGTCACCGCGCAATATAAGAAGACAAAGGAGACAACCAGCACAGCATAGAAAATGCGCCTGTCTCTGCCCCTCATTATGCTTTTCAGCATCTGTAAATGTATATAAACAGACCAGAATATGTCCAATTCCCTTGTTGATGGTTATTGGGGGTAGAAAAGGTGTTAAGCCTCTGTTCAACTTGACAGGCTCAGAACATATATGAACCCAGCCAGCGGGGTCCATCCGGGCGAAACAGAATCCATTATAATGAATTGAAATGGCCGAGGGGGTACTCAGTGTATACCGCATGCACTTGTCTAATACGCGACCCCTAAGTACTCCGTGCTCCGTAAGTGATTCTTTGATGGCCGCCTCGAGGATGATTGGTTGGGGTTCTTTGTTTGGGCCTAGTGGCATTGCGTCGCCATTGACGATCTACAGGGAGAAACGTTTATGATACTAGTTAGAGGGAATCGAACACGCCAATCGACAGACGCAGCTCGTGACCTGAGGAGCTACAATATAGAAAGCTGAAAGATCCCGCTCGTGACGTAGATAGATAGCCCCTTCTGAGACACTTGTCTTGCATTATTCTATAAGTGAGGAAAGACTGTGGATCATAATGCTAATATCCACCATAATATACTCCGTACATCGGGGAAAATGGACAATTGCCTCTCCCGGGGGTCTTGCCATGTGCTATCAAACCCAGATATCCTTGGAAGCTTTTACTACCCGAGGTGATTGTTGAGAGTATGTAAATAAGACATCCCTCTCTATATTTAGACAATCCGTGTATAGACTAAATCTCCCACTACATTGGATGTTAAGTGGTTCGATGAGAAAGTAACGGGATCGACAGGGTCCTGATGGAACGGGCTCGGAGAAACACATGTTTCAGTACGCGCATAGAATGTGAACATGCTAGCCGCTTTTTTCACTTCATATAAAATCAGACACAAAGGGGAGACCCTATATTGTATACCGTCAGACCCACCAGTCCCGATTCAAATGTTTTATCCCGGGTGTTTCACCCCTTTACAGACCGAGATTGACGACTCCAAGTGACCCTCGTCGATCACGGCATCCCGCTCCCCGAACCCATGGAGCCCCACAATGCAAGGCGAGTACGAGTACTGAGCAAGCGCATAGATTGGTACATATAGGAATTGTTATAACATCGCCAATTGGAACGCCTTTGACGACACACGATACATGTGTGTAAGGAATGACTGCCTCCTACGGCAGACATGTTCTTGTCTACTCCGTACCAATATAGGTGAATACCAAATAAATGGAAACATTTATTCTCGTCCTATTCAAATCTCAGAATTCCGAGACTTCCACTGGCCACCTGTGTATCCGAGGTTATCCCGTCCCTGTTCCCATCCTCAGCCCCGTCATTATGCTCCTCTTCATCCTCGTAGGTTTCTGGGCCATCGAGATCGTAGAATTCATCATATATATCATCCACAATATCCCGATACTCTCTCAAATAGTCATCGAGCTCAGAATCCTCGTCTCCGAGAACACCACCCCATATTTCCTGCTTTGGCGGGATCGTCACAGGACCCGGGGTCCAGTCAACAGTCCCATCATCCTGAGCGGCATCGTTACCGGAAACGGAATTTCCTTCCCTATTATCGACAGGAGGAACAAGCGCTCTGCCTTGGCATCGAGGACACTGGCAGTTCTTTCCAAACAGCTGCACGGCGTGCATGTTGAGGTCAATGTCTTTGCCGACGGGATCAGCGATCCTATAGCGTTGATACGGAATTCTGATCTCCTCCCCGGCTTTGATATCCTTGTTCGCCCAGACCACTACGCGGTTGGGGACCTTGTCATCGTATCCCCACAGTGCGTTTTCAAAAGGACGACAGGAATGATTAAACATGCTTAATCCAGGGAAGAGGTAGAAGTTCCCAAATGACGGCTCCATTGCCGAGAGATCTTCGTTTCTGACTCGCATTCTACTTTGTAGTGTTGGGTGTAGCACCGGCTTGGGACCATCCCGGTCATTGAACGTTGGATTCGCACCTCGCCGTTCATGTTCCCAGGGAACAGCGTTGACCAGCAACTTCCGCAGCACATTCTGAATAACCCAAGTGTCGAATGAAAGGTCACTGAAGATGTCCACTCCAAGGTTGAAAAGTATATCAAAAGGTATCTGGATATTACCGGCCAGAGTGAACGGGAACCAACTGTCTTTCCATGGCTCGTTCGTGTCGGTCCCTGCCTCGAGGACGAGAAGTTCGTTGATTTCATGTGCAAGAAGATTAGGGTCCTCTTGGCGGCGGTGGAGCGTGAGTTCGAGCACGCTCTTCAAGAGTAGACTCAACACAGTCCCGTGGCGTTCATTGGTGTGGGTGAAATACTGCGATCCGCCCCAAGTCACTTTGTTAGGTCGCATGGCATCGTGCAACCAGCCCCAATCGAGGCCACAGAATTCTTCAAAATGATATGTTCCGCGCGCAATCGCCAAGCAATGGGGAGCCACGCCGTCTGATAGTGCGTCGTTGGAAGAACAGAATAGCAGACCGCCCCTCGTGGCTCTGAAATATCCTACATCCGCGCACTTACACATCATGTCAAGACATGCGCAATTAGTCGGGTGTCCCCATCCGGGAAGAGGCGTCGGACTATGAATGGCGTCCCAGTTGTCTTCGATATGCTGAACCTCTTCTGGGTCAATCACGGTTTGACAGTTGTCGCATCGCGCCGCATGGAGAGGACATTCACTTTCATCATCGAGCAGCCTGTTGGGGATGAGGTTTCCGCGAATAACAGGCTCCTCGTAGTGAATTGGGGTTCCTGTTTTTATATTTCTCATGGCAAAGACCCCCAAACCGTTGAAGGAATTGTCCTTTGTGAATGTTGGCTGCACACGGCAGGTCCGTTGGGGAGACTTCCCGGCACTGGCATTAGCCGTGAAAATATTTGCATTCAGTGCATTGATGAAGTATGGTGATTCGCGTCTCACATCCGCCTGGTCGTATGGATATTTATTGGCGCCTGAAATCCATCCTCGGCTCCATTCGTGTCCATAAAGGGATGGATGAAGCGCTGAGGGATTTTTTTCTCCTGTGCTCGATCTCCGCTTTCACAGGAGCGCTCGCTGTCATCCTTTTTTTTGGGAACTGACACATCGCGGTATGGCAGGGGTCTTTGGAGTTGACTCTGCATGTGGTCTTCGAAATCATCCCAACAATTCAGTGCTGCAAGGCTGAGACTGGTGATGCTGTGGAGGGCGTTCCTCAGAGTTGGAATGAAATAGTTGACACCATTTGCCTTCCTCATCTGCAGAACCTCCCTTGTCATTGGGACGCCTTTGACCTTCAATTCCATCATCAGGTGCTGCTGAATGGCATCCCAAACCCGGGTATACATCCCGGGACGCTTGTTCCTTTGCGTTGCTGTCGTCAACACTTCGCAGAGAAGTTCTCCGCGATAGGCGTCTCCGATGGCGAGGTCAAAATGGCCCAACAGATAATGGCAATACGCACGACTGTTCCAGTAAGTTGGATTGTACGGGCTCAGTTTAATTGCCGCGGTGTACATTTCAAGTGCGGACATATCTGTTCTCGTAGCAGGGCTCATTACTGGCCTTGGCTCGCGATGGATACCCCAATTACTCAGGTTGCTTTGTCTCGAGACCCCAAAGCGCTCATCACATTCGTATTCCCATAGCCGACGTTGTAGATCTGTTTTTCTCCCGTCTGTACTTAGGCCCCTCGATCTCAGTTCTTCTGTCAGTGCATCCTTCGTCCAAAGATCAGGGTCTCTGACGTTGAGGCCATGTATGAACACTTTTCCTTCCATTGCATCTAGCCCCTGCACACCGTTATAAGTCTCGTCCAGACCCTCTGCTGTGAATCTGGCTTGTGCATCCTCTCGCGAGATTGGCAGAAGTGGATTGCTCATCAAGTGCTCATAGACATTGTGAGCCAACGCATGCATTACCGATTCTTCTTCTTCGGTTGCTCGTGTATAAGGTCGATTTGCATGTGCTCTCCATGCACGTCCGAGAGATTCATCTGGCTGCTGCCAAAACCGACGGGCAAGAAATGCGTCATCTTCGGTCAAGGCCGGGGCTAGTGGCGCTCGGTTGAAGATATCTGGCCGCTTTGGAAACGGGGTGGGTGGACAATGTCTCCCCTGGGTAGACTTCGTATAATCGTTGCCTCGGATCCATATTGATATCTTTGTGTCTCAAATAATGTTTCGATTTCTTTAGATCGCATCAAACTGCCAGTCCAATACGGACCCATGGAGTTGCCATGAGAGTATAAATGTCAGATCAGTCTGATACTTGCCGCAGGTCACGGCTGAAAGGATCTCCATATCAAAGAGTCCTGGAGGACAAAGAAAAGATAATATCATGCTGGTTTATTTTTGGAAACGAACGTAGTCGACTTGGGTAATAGTTCAACAAAGAACCCAAAAATGGTCCTCTGGTTACCATGAACTTGCTCCGCAACAAAGAAAGCCCAACACCCGCGCAGGTCCCTTGGGTAGCTTCAATCAACACCAATGTGCAATGAGCAGAGAGATCGGGATGCTCGGAGGTTCTTGAAATCCAATCCACTTTTTAGTGGGAACCCGCCTTGCAGTACTCCATATAGAGGAACAGCAAAACAAAAGATGAAACGTCCTGGCCTATGGATTTTGTCGAAGGCTTGTAAACTTAAGCCTTGGATCAAGCCCTTGGATGCATATCCCCGTAGATGTAGAGGTCCAACGAGGAGTGCGTTGTTGGGTTGCACTGGAGTCTCGTGGGGGTGAACCGTGCTGACTCGTAGCCCCCAACACCTGAGCCTTGGAGGAATCCTTCGACACTTCTGAAAAGAACTGGACTTATAAAAGATTCCCATGTCTTTCTAAAGCTCTGAATTCACCTCACCATGCACGGACAGTCGAACCGTCCTGATCCTCCCTCGCAGCCAGAATGGCGACTTCCTACGCGTATCCCCTCGCAGCCGTCGCAGCCGGGGCCTCCTCCTCCCCCTCCTCCACGTCCCCCGGTTGCTCCATATTCACCAGCTGCTCCATACTCGCCGGCGACCTATGGACCGATTTCGAATCCACAGAGACTGCCGTCCCCGAGTGTGGGTGCGGATACAACCACGTGGGGAGTGCGGTTCAACCAAAGCTCCGGTCCCCCATTACCGGTAAGTTCCGACGTTGGAATGTCGAATGTAAATAACTAACAGTCGCGTAGCCTCGACCTTCAAGTACCAATGAGCCACGATATGCCTATGGGCAGTCCCCGTCGAATCTATCTGTCACAGCTCCATTTAACAGAATCCAACCCTCTCCGCCCCCACCTCCATATACACCAACACCTCCAGCTGCACCACCACCACCAACCGGCGTTCCACAACCGCCGCCAAAGATCCCACAAGGCACCCAACATGTACAAACCCTACAAAGCGATCAGACAGGGCGAGCTCCACTGCTCGCACAGGGCGCAGGACCGGCTGCGATGACTGGATCTTACGAATTCCGCCCTGCGCCTATTCTCAATACAAATACTACATCTATCGGCGCATCGGCCCTAGGCGTTGGAACACCATCGGATTGGGAGCGTCTTGGTCCAACCCCTGGGCACTTCGATGATGCAGCGTGGTTCCCACCTCGCAAGACACCCCCTCTGCATCAGGAAGAGTTTCAACCACAAGCAAAGCTTCCGGACGATAATTCCAACTTGTCTGTAGGAAGCGAGTCTGACATCGTCTCTCGCCCAAGAACAGATACATATGAAACGGTTTCGAGTACTATCTCTGGAGCGACACAGTCGGGACGGGGTAGCTCAAATTCGCCCGTCAGTCCATGCACAACCCATGGAATGTCAACACCGCCCCCACCGGCTCGCGTGGATACCACCGGCTCTGGAGTGTCTATGGGTGGACGCTCAGAAAGCATCGATAATGTAATAGATGCATGGGTCCGTCCATTATCCCCTGCACATGAACCAGTTCAATCGGAACATCAAGGCCGCACCGGCGCATTCTATCAGAATAGCCCAGTAGAGCGCTCACAGTCAGCGCAAACCAGATCATCGGTTCCGGACCATTTGCGATCGAGCTCGAATAGTTCTGCACGGATCGTCGAAGGACCTAGAAGGGCGGCTACGCCGAAAAACCAAGACCCCTTCGAAGATCTGGACCCCTGGTCCAAATCATCGTTGGAAAGATATGTCGCCATGCTACGTAAGGAGGCAGTGGCTGACTTGGATGAAGAACGATTTAAGATCTTCACGGCTTTTATGGCCAAAGAGACCAAGCTCCGGGAGATTCTCTATAACATTGAGCATGAGCCTGAAAGTAAACCGCTAACTCCGCGAGCTCCTGACCCTGCTCCTCCGCAGCCACTATCTATTTCCAACAAAAACGAACCGCCTGTTGAGTCAGGACTGATACCCGTTGAGTCAGAAGAAGTCTCGCCTCCCTCGGTCGCAACACCAACAGAGGATGAAGATCTCGATGATGTTCGCAGTGAGTACAGTTCAGGTGGTCGGCCTCTGTTCGCTAAGCAAGCGCAACGGGCCTCGCTGTTTGTTCCTAGTTTATCTACTGTGTCTTCGGGGGCAGAGTCGAGTCTTTCGAGACCCTTATCGGTCATCTCGGCAGATACGCAGAAGCAAGTCTTGGAGCCCCTGACTACGAACCCCCCCGCGACCCATATACACGCCATTCCAGTATACGGAGGGTCCTCAGCGAGGGTCAGACAACCTCACCTTCGCTCGCCCGGCCTATCAAGCCTATTCTGACCTGCGGCAAGCTGCTGTCAATGGGCGAGTCATGTCAAACGCACAGGCCCCTACATCTCGATCGAGGTCAAGCACTGCACTTGCTTCTCCAGCTCAGACCGATGATGAGACCTTTCTAGGTCTTATCCGACACAAGAGCGTCGCTTATTCCAAACCGGCTGAGCGAAGCTCTCCGCCACTTCCATTGTTGCCGGAAAACCTTCGCCAAGGCCGTCCGAGGGGCCTCGTGGAAGAATTACGCACCATAGTATGGACACCCTTAGACAAACAGTCCGAAAGCTCGTGGCACATCACGACTCGGGAAGAACTCGAGAATTTCCCTGATGATTTCTCATACATCCGACGGTCCGTTGATCAATGGGAAGAAACAGCGCGAGTCAGACGGCAAAAGCTGGAACAAGAGCGCACGGCTCGTCAGGAAGGATCAGAGCAGCACATTGATGATCTTTTCAATGGGAAAGAGATTGGGTATGCAGACATCAATACCTTGGAAGAAGACTTTCGGCAAACCGAAGCTCGGGTCCAATTAGAGGAGGAACGACGCGAAGTAGACGCGTTCATGACACATGTCTTCAACCCCGTAGATGAAGGCCTGAAAAATGAAATCTCAGCGCTTCGCAAGTCTTACGACTCTGCTCTCAGTCAAATCGACCGTGACAAACAGGCCAAAGGCTCACCAAGCGAGCGAGGCAGCCCTTCAGTGACGATGAAGATGGTCAACGACATTCATAACAAGCTTGAAATCCGATTCCAGAAACGTCTTGAGATGGCCCTTGACTGTGAGCGACGACGGAAGAGGGCTGAGCGGCGACCACTTGTGGTCATGGGTGATATAGCTGGTCTACAGAAACTGGACGGAGAATTTGACCAGATGGAACGGCGAAACTTCCTGGAAGCGTGCAAGGATCGTGATGACCGGGCCAACCCACTCATGGATTCCTTCGACGACGCAATCTTGCATGGGCTAGGCTTAAATCAGAGACTCCTGGACGAGGTTGCCTCGAAAGCAGCCCGGCTAGATACTGCCACCCTTCGAGCCTCCGGTCTACCCGGATGCCGAAATTGAGCAGATTCTCAAATCTGCGGCCACCTTTGCGGCATCCCTCCGAGCCGATTCGGAGGCCATCATCCGCAGCGCTGGGGTTGCAGATATGGCCTTAAACGACGCCGACTATGGCGTCTCCGTCGCTGAGGCACGATATGCCAGCTCAGACCCGGATATTTTCGATCGGCTGGGGGATGAGAAGAAAAAGGAGGATGAGAAAATTCAGGATGAACTGAATTCAAAGTTGCAGAGCATTCAGGAGGGGCCTGTGCAGATTGAAGCCACAATTCAACGCCTTCTCCTTGGCTTGCACAATGACCCACAAGCCGCTGCCCCCATGTCTCCAGTTCAAGGCTCTTCCCCAACTAACCCATCTGGTGAAGTGGCTCTACCTCCAAGTCTCCGCCCCTCGACTACTACTCCGGGTCCATCTCCCATCCCGGCGCCCGTGAGCCAAAGTACGGATGATGACTTGGAACATAAACAGAGGCTTCGCAGAGCGCTAGAGGCAGCCAAGCAGCGCAACGCCGCCAGGGACCAGCATTGACCGGGTTGGAAGCAGCCGAATCGAACATTCGTAACGCGACGAATTGCGACGAATTTTCTTGCGTTTCAATAATATACCCTTTTTTTTCCGTTCTCTTATCCTACAAATGTTCGTGTTTATGCTACGTATTTTCAAAGTTGATACCCACTTTATGCGATCTGCTAGTTCAATGAAGACTAGGGGTGAATTGCCTATTTTGATCATTTTGTCTCGCACACTTAGTTTACAGCCAATCCTTACTATTCCTGTCTGATTTATTCTCGTACTCTGTAGTCAAGTTTATGAAATATTCTAAACAGGATTATATAGACATCGGAGTACATACCTAGGTATGTATGTGCCTCCAGTGTTAGTTCGAGTCAACGGCACAAAATGTGACGGAGTCTTTTTCCCGATGTTACACGAAAGATTCTTTTGTCTCATTCTGCTCTTGCGATGGCTATAAACATTCAACACCATAGCATTCTCTCTTACCTCCAGACCTCCCAGAACGACTTTGATAATAGACCGAATGGTTGAAAATCATACCTCACTTTTTCCCCTCCCAGAAGTCCCATGAGACTCGGATGCACTTTGAGAGCATGCCGATTTTGCTTTCTCCTCCCTTCGCGCCACTGTGGCTGCGTCATGGACAGGGGCCAAATTCAGTCAAGTGATTCAACCTGCAGGAAGGGGAAAAAACAGCGCACAGACGATATCTTCGGACACTCAAGAATCAAGCCCAAGAAAGTTAGCCATTACCTACGCCTTATGTGAAACTGATTGCGGTGCGGACTAAAGCACAATTTTTAGGCGCCGAGGAATAGCGATTGGCAGGCGACAGCCAAGCCAGTGAGCTAAACGCCAATTGCTGCCGATCAACGGTGTTGCGCAGTCAAAAATGCCTGCCGCAGGTTAACAGGCCTTGTCTCGAGCTGCCCTGGTGCTTGGGCCACATCAACTTGCAGGGATAGAGGATTACCTCTGAGACCCAATACCTAATATGGCGGGTCTTGCTGTGCCGCACAGGGAGCTGTGCGGCGCGCCCGGATTCGCTGCGCCCTCGCACTATACGATGGATATCGATCAACCCCGGACAACTTGCGGCCGAAAGAACGCCGCATACAACATTAGTCTCCTGCGCAGGACTTTTGGTCCACTTGACATGTCTTGTTCGGTTATACTTCGGTGCCCCGATTTCCAATGATTTCTCTGTGCGATATGCGAGGCAGACCCTTGCTATCACCAACCCATCTTCGATGATCTTGGAGATGTGGTATGACGCCAGAGGAATAAAGACATTGCGGTGTATACAGCTTGCTTATCTCGGCTGCAATCGCCGTCCTTGGGGATTGGAGCATTCATCCGGGTTCTCCATGTTTGCCAAGGAGCCAGTCAGCATCCCTGTTTGGAATAGTCCGTCACATTCAACCACGTTGTTGAACAGGGTTTTTACTTCGCTTTCTTTGTTCGTTCTTTTGAGGCAGGGTTGTCGCGTGGACCGGCTGTGTGGCACCTGGACGAAAAAAGAGCCTCGGGGTCCCCGACCTATCCGAGAGCCATACCATCCTGGCAATTCTCCACCACGGAAAATACCAGGGTGCAATCATGGCCAAGGAAAAAGAATTTCTCAGAATGGCGCGAGTCATGTTCTGGTGCTTGGAAACAATTTCCAATTCGCATTCGGTTGCTTGGCCGGCGATCACAGCTTGTGCCTCCACGTTAGAAGGTACGGGCCAGGTTTTAATCTTGTACTGTACGGGAAGTGCAGTGTCTCTCCCGTTATCTCCCTAGCCTCCGCAGCGTTGTCCCTGTCCTTTTTTCCCTGCGTCAGGGTCAATATCGAATATCACCAACAGCGTCTACATATGCAAATACGAGATGCAAGCTTTGCATTGGCCCACCGTAGAATCAGCCACCTCTCAACTCTTGGGGATCAACATACAACATACCAAGATTTTAACTTTCTATCGATTCCAGTTACATTCTTTCCAGTTGCATGCGTTACTCTCAGACAGAAACAGTGCAGCATCTTTACGAGATACGGGCTTGTGTCCCCGGTTGACCGGTGTAGCCACGCCCGAGGCCACAATGTGTTCTCGGGTGCCAGCCACTAACCCCCAGATCTTTCCACAAGATCCCCCATTAGTGGGTGTCTGTGCGCTGCGCGACGATGCTGATCCTATGAGATGTTACAGGTATGATTAAACGGCGCAGCCTTGTTGAGACATCATCCCTTCCTCTCCTGCGGCATATCCCATTGAGCCTCCAAATTTCCCCCTCTTTACCACCTGAGCATTCATATTTCACTAAGCGCTGTTGGGAGGGAAAAAAAAACCTTGCAAAATCCACAAACCGATTCCCACACCCCATGAAAGGTTGGAGATACAATTATTTTGCGCAGTTTGAAATGACGACAAAAGCATGGGAAGCATAGTGTCTCTTCAATGGCCCCGAATTATTTAAAGCGGGCGCCAGAGAAGCCCGTTCCATGGTTCAGTGTACCCGCTTCCGTCCATGGGTCGCGAGAACTCTGTGAGTCTACGAAAGTCCACCGTGTGGGAAAATACGTCTGTTCTTCGCATTCAGTAGCCCCTCTTTGATTTCCTTAGGGGAAGCCTGTCTTCTTCCTTTTCTTTTCGCCATGTCCGCTCCAACTGGGCAATTTCACAGGTTGTCCATTGGTCAAAACATGCCAGAAACAACCCTGCCTGCTAGGGCGGCCCGCGCGGGGCGGTCTGACCCTTCCAGTGATCGTGGAGAGGACGATAGCTCTTCAGTGGAGAGCTCCAGTGGCGAAGAGGAGGAGGAGGAGGAGGATGAAGAAAGCAGCCATGACGAACAGTCCGAATCGAATAGCGCCTCCGTCCTCGCAACGTCCGGCATTACCTATGACCTCAGCCAACTAGATTCCGAGTCTGAAGCCCGGGCCTTTGTGGGCTTGACCGGCCGATTTGATGTTGTCAACTGTCGCTCTACTCCCGCCGGATATGACTTCCAGCTGTCGGATCGGCCACAGGTGCACATTGGCCCGGACTCGTCTACTTGCACTTGTGCGGCCTTTCAGGATCAACCGGACGGGGCGTGCCAGCATATCTTTGTGAGTATGCCTTTTTGGGGAATGAAGCTTAAATGCTGAAGGGCTTGAACTGCCAATACTAACCCCCGTCACCTGAACAGTGGCTCGTCGACCAACTGCACGGCTGCTTCCTCCCCGCGCCTCGGTCTACGGAGGTGACACTGACTCCAGACGGACGTCCGGACCGCCTCCCACGCATTGAGGACCTCCTGAAGGGTAATCTGCTGTCGGTTGCAACTCAGCTAAAGTGGCACTACCTACAGGGCGAAGAGGACGGGATGACGCGGGCAGAAAAGGTCCGGGATATCTTCTCTGCATTCAACCGAACTCTCCCAGAAGACACCCGCCGGGATTTGACAGAGACAACCGAGCAAGCACGAACGCCGGAGGAGTGCGTGGTCCAGGGAGATTTCGAAGCGACGATGTTCCGGCTTGCAATTCACGACGATGGAGTTTTCAACAGCCTCTGCAAGGCGATGCCCTCAGGCGCGTGTGCGGCCATCTACTTCGACAAAGTACAAGAGCAGTCACGCCGACTACTAAGCGACTTCGACCGATACTGCACAACCGGCGAGTTGCCTGCGAACCCCGTGAGCCCAGGCCTGGGCATAGAGGTCAACGATGTCGTAGCACAGCTGCAGCGTTCTGTATCCCGGATTGCGGTCAACATCGCAGCGCGCGCCCCGCACGGCTCGGAGCGCGCCGTCGAAGCCCTGGTGTCTCTCCTGGAGTTAGTCGTGGCTCGCAATAATGATCCCCTCGAAGGCAATCCCTTGGGTCGCCAGTCCTTCCACGGTGAAGACGAGGACCAGCGCAATCTATATCACTTGCTCATCGGGTCGGTCGAAACAGACTCCGAAACAGACGCGCGGCACTTTGTCCTTCACGCGCTTGATTCCCTGCCGCCGGTGGACCTCCACCAGTCCGTCAACCGCCTGCGCGACATCCTCCGCAAGATCGAAGTCAACCGTGCCCCGAAGCCATATCTTCTCCATCTAGGATCGTTGATCCGTGCCGCTGAATCTGCTGCTGCTATGGGATCTGGACAGAAGCGACCGGCGGCTGGGAATGGAAATTCCGGGGGATACTCAAAACGAACCCGTTGAATTCTCGACCTTTTTTTTTATACATACGTTTCTTATCTTGTTCTGGGAGGCCATCGTGTTCATTCATTGCAATACCCCGCTGCATCGTGTCTTTACGTTTCATCATCCACGAGTCGCTCCAGTTCTATTTTGCTTCTGGGTCATGTCATTCTTTTACATCTTTTGGTGTCTACTACATACGATCATAAGAGCTGTTAGCATTGCCATAGCCATTTTACACAATCACTATATCACAAAATGTGCAGACAAAGTTTCAAATCCACTGGAACGGTCCATGTCCATGACCCCCATGTAAAGCAAAATACAAGTCCCATGATGAACATGTCGTCATTCAAACCCAGCACTGCGGCCCTGGGTTCCCACATCCACGGTCCGCCCTCGTGAACCGGGTGTCACCGCTACCACGCACCTGGACAGAGATGAGCTAGCCCGATTTATGAGTGTGAACCATGGAACAAATTCTCGGCACAGTGTGGGCCGCCCACGCATTGAAAATGGCTCGTGGGTTTTGATGTTTTCTCTTTTTTTGGGCGCCCAACAAGCACACGAATCAGCAAGATCAAAATACGGATGCCCAGATCAAGATTGGGAGTCATCCATGGATACATAATTCCAAATGTAGATCTTTACATCCAAATCTGTACGATCGCACATCCGATGATATGTACTCCGTGCTCCGTATCTCCATTTCATATCCATAAATCCTGGGGCCACACCGCATCTCCGTTTCAAACCTGCCCCTCAATCCACCCCCCAATGCACAAGTTAGGTTCAATAATGCTCACCAATAACGCGCGTCGAAAATGCGGTGTCGGACATCCTCATCCTAACTATGCTGTACGATTAGACATGCATGCTACATACATATTAGAGTTTGAGAGTTTATTAGGCCATATGTTCCACGTGAGTACTCGAAGTGGATATTTCATTGCCACGTTTTCCACGTTTTCGGTAGGGATTGATGACCATGTGTGCGACTGGGATTATTCTTTCAAGCCGAGTTTAAGCCGTCAAAATCAATCTTGGACCGTGCACACGGTTGCATTTCTGGATCATTGGGGGGGCTAGTGTTCTTAGTGCTGTCTTTAGCTTATGGGGTGGGCTTGTCTTAGTATAGGTGGACCCGTGCTACAATACGGAGTACAGGCGTGTTGTATATTGACAATGGCATTGTATGTATGCAAGGATCTACATTCGTATTACTAATTAGTGTTGCAGGCAATAGGGAGGGCACAATTATGTCTCGGTATCAAATGGAACTATATATATTGTTTTCTTGGCCCTGGCTATATCTACCTTAAGGAGAGCGACGACAGAAACAGAGTTTGGATATATTAAATTCGTAGTAAAATCACCGAAGGGATGGTGATCTCCATATATCAAAGTTGAAGCAATCTTTACGCGATGAAGAAAATGGGTTCCCTTAAGGATTCAATAAGTGAGACTCCGGTCTAATAGCATCGACAACTTGCGAAATGAAGGCTGAACCTGGGAAGTCACTCTTCAGGAGGTAGGCCGTATGAAGCGGGCTCCCATCTTTGGTATGGATTCTCCTCATAATATCCTAACGATATTCACTGGAGGTCTGGAATGGGTCCGGTTCAAGTAGAAGCTCGGGAAATTTGCGGAAGTTTTGCTCTTCCAGTCCCTTGCATATATGAGGTCATTGAGATGCCTATTAGACGACCGATTGGGTTCCAACGAGTTTTCATCGAATCTCTTTCATGTCTGATTGTAGGATATCCTTGGTCTCGGCATTGGGAAGACCAGCTAGCTTCGCAAGTTCGATATCTAGCTTGGTTGTCTCTTTTAGCTCCTCATCCTGTGCGTCCTGGAAGACTGCCTTCCATGCGCGTCTATAAAGTTAGTTCGAGATTGCAGGCATCGTTATTAACTCAATGTTTACCCGCCGTAGACTGGTTGGAATAGTCCAACCCTTTGTTACGAAGGTCAGGATACGTGAGTAAATATTGCACAACTCGCTTTATGACTCTATTCAGACGGATACCCTCTGCGAGTACAAGGCCTTAAAGGCCACAGATCGAGTGGCATTCTGCAAATAAGCGTCCGGTCCCTGGATCATGGACTTAAAACAATGACTGTTAGTCACTGTGGTAATAAGGATCGCATTGCTGCCCATGGTATTGCAGCGGAAACCGGATCGAACTTCATTGCCATATCTTTTATGCCCTTCAGCTGATGCGCCCAGGTCATAATCTTTTCAACCTCTGACAAATGCTGAGGTCAGTAAGGTCAAATGTGGTCAACTTGATTGTTTCCCGAAGCGGTAGAGTTATTAAACTTCCAAGGTTGAATCTACGGATGACCCCCGACACCTATTTTGTCGATTGAGTCACAATTAGATCACCACCCCAGTAGACTCTGTTGGCTCTTCTAACATCCTCAGACTCATCCAAAAAGAAGCCAAATCATCGAAAAGACGATATTCAAGCAGAATATGAACATGCGACGAGATCTACAAGAACGCCCCGAGATGCTCACTCGGACGAACTGGAAATCATGGAAGAATGAGATCGAGAAACACGCCCGAAAAGAGGGAGTCTGGAAGTACTGCAACCCCGACGCCCCAAGTGAGTACTATCCAGAGCTCCACGAACCCGAGAAACCGCACGTTTCCACCGTCCGACCCGAAGCAAAATCCATCGTTGACCTTGGAGAGGATGACTTCATCGAACTATCCTCGATCGTGGACCAATACTGGAAGCAGATGCGCGCATACGAAAACATTCAAACAAAGCTACAGGTCATCTTTGAGCTGATAGAAAACAATGTCGATTACGAACACTTCTCTCTCATTAAGCATGCAGAAACACCGCTTGAGCAGATGGCGGTTCTAGCCGCTAAATCAAGAAATCTCGCCTGGAGGATCTGCAGCCAAGATGGGAAGGTATACAGGAACTGGCTAATAAGGCGGATGTGCAAGAGCTATTTAAATCATGGAATGCCCTTTTCACAGATTGCAATGGGTATCTTTTAGGTTCCGCTCGAAGGCAGGATGCCTTTTGGGATTGTGTCGAGACAGCGGGAGATCCCTTGGAGAACTGGCTACCTCTCACTTCCCAACACTGGATTGAGACACCCGACTATGTTGAGTCGAGGAGCTATGGGGATGGCTGCGCTCAACCTCGTTCACCGACGGAACAGGAGTCTGTCACTTCGCTAGACTGGATTGAAACCCCTGACGATCTCCAACCAAGGAACTATAAGGATGACTGCGCTCAGCTTCGTTCACGGGCTAGACGGGGATCTATCGCTTCTCGATACCGTAATGGCTACTACGATCCTGTGGTGTCAACTGGTCGTACGTCACTGAGCCCTCAATCCGGTTTTGCAGCTGGTCAGAGTGATCACATTGAAGAGATCTCTGGGGACGATTTGGAGATGGCGGGTCTTCCGCAACGATCGAGACTGTCCCGGGCGAAAGAAGGCGAAAACTAACTGCGGGAATTTGGGTGGAAGGTAGACAACACTAGCTATGATGTATGTTATGTGGATGGTTTTTGTGTTGAGAGGGAACGATGGTGTCTTTCTGTGAGTTGATACAGCTTTTTGCACGTAGCTTTTGCTACCATTGCTTGACGATACCATTAGATCATTAATGGTCTATGTTTTGAAGTAGAAAACAAAAAAAAAATTGATAACAAGTCTTCAATTAGTCAACTGTTCTTTTCCTGGAATCAACTTCTCTCTCCTGTGTGTCTTCAGTCACATTCTTCACTACTTAGTCCGAGATAGACCAGCACCATTCTCAACGGGGTTTTGCCCACGGCGCACCGGGACCGAGTTAGTCTCGAAATGTGGTAGGTTAAGGAAAACAAAAGGGACCTTTCACCGATCGATCAAGGGATTTTGTCCTACTTTTCAATATCTGCAGCTAATCATAAATATTGTTCAATCGTGAACAGCAATATCTTCGTACATTTCTCTTCCATACATCTACCGAATCCAATACTTTAGAACCTAGAAAGCATCCAAAGAGGAACAACCTCATCCTAGCTTATCCCATTCTACCCCAAATTATCCTCAATATGAACAACCTTCAATTCACTCGCATCAACATCCCGATTGCCCCTCCCAATCAACCCCGCAACCATATCCGGCGCGCCCTCCTCCACCGCCTCAGCCGGAACATAATTAAGCACATCATTATGATGCCCCGTAACCACATACCCGTCCGGATCGCCCTCAAGGTTAATGACATTGAAATCGCCAGCCGAGGAACCCGCGCGGACGGGGCCCCATTCTTTCAGAATGTCCGTTGCCTGCGTTGCGAGGTCGTCGGATGTCGGGTTCATGAGGATCACGCAGGTGCCGTGCTCGAAGAGGACCCAGCTCTTTTTGCTGCCGCCGATGAGGATGGAGCGCCAGGTGTCTGGGGTGGAGATTTGAGAGGACGGTTGAGGTTCGGCCATTGGGATTTTTGTTCTCAAATTGGCTTAGGATAATGTATTATAGTATGCAATGTAAGAACCAGGTGTTTCTCCTTGAGCTCCCTAGGTAGGATCTTGCATCCAGTGTAGATTCTAGACGTGGTCAATCCGTTGGACTTGGTTTTGGAAGTGATGCATGTTGACAAATGGAATGAGGCCAGAGATCTGCAGTCAGCTGATTTTATTGTATATTTCAACCATGTACGGAATACTCCGTATGTACCGAGGTCATTTAAAAGTAGTATCTCCTTTTCGTATTCTTCTTTAGTTGCTTTTTCTCATGTAACTTTCATCTATTCGATATTTTACTATAATATAATATAATATGCTATATCTATTTATACTCTAGTGGAAAATCACATATTTATAACTATAGATGGCTAAGGTAATAACTTTCGTCTTGATCTGATAAACTGGCCAATCATCTGATACCATTTTCTCTCTTTTTAAAGGCCGGTCGGGGGGTCGGCCCTAGCTGCTTGTACTAGTGTATATAGAATGTTACCGTCTTGTCATTGTTGTCCATGGTCTATGCTTATAATGCACATCTTGTCGCAAAGTACACAACAGCTGGCCGGCTGGCCCAATGGCAAGGCGCTTGACTACGAATCAAGAGATTGCAGGTTCGATCCCTGCGTCGGTCACTTTTTTTGGTGAATTTTTATAGTTCCTCCAACGGAGAATGTCTTTGCAGCTTGGTCGGATGGAAATTGTCCTCGATGTTTTTAGTGAGATATAATCCATTGAATTGGTGTGAAACGGCAAGAATACCAGATGTGGCAATTACCCGCATGAAATATATATCCATCCTATCCTACCCAAACATGTCTCTAACCACCTATTTTTACTAGAAGATGAACGGAAAGTCAATGCAAAAAGACCAAATTAGATTCAATACATCTCCAGCATTCATTCAGAAAGATCCAACACAACCCGACCCTGCAGCTTCCCCTCCTCAATCTCCTTGAACACATCAGTCAAAGCATCCATCTTCTCCATCCGATAATGAACCTTAATGACACCCCTGGCAGCAAACTCCATAGTCTCAATAGCCTCCCTCCGACTCCCAACTGCCGACCCCGTAATAGTCCACTGCTTGCCAATCATCGCAGACGGGAACGCCGTCGCAATAGCCTGGGGATCATTTTCCGGAAGGCCCACGCAGACCAGCGTACCATTGAAACGCAGCAACGGCAGCGCCTGCGCATACGCCGCATTCGCAGACGCACAGACAATAGCCGCGTGCGCGCCCAGCCCATCCGCCAGCGAATGAACATGCTTCGTCAGTGCGTCGCCCTTATCGTCCCTCGGGAACTGCGTGATATCCACGAAATGCTCTGCCCCAGATTCCTTGACTAACTCCTCTTTACTGCCGTGGTCGAGGCCGATTACCCGCAGGCCCATTCCCCGGCTTGCAAGCTGCACTGCGAGGTGGCCCAGCCCGCCGCCGGCACCGGAGATTACCACCCATTGTCCCGGCCGCGCGTTGCTGCGTTTTAGTGCGGAGTATACGGTTACGCCGGCGCAGAGGAGTGGTGCTGCTTCGGCGGAGTCGAGACCGTCTGGGATGGGGGTTACATAGTTTGCGGGTCCGAGTGTATATTGCTGGAATGTTCCTGGTGTGTAGTAGCCGGAGATTTTCTGGTTGAAGCATAGTCCGTCGGCGCTGGCTTGGCAGGGTTCTGGACAGGATGTGTTAATTCGAGGTGTCTGGGTTGTTGAGGCGGGGACATGGTATACGCACGGCAGTGTCCGCATGCGCTGGAAACCCATTTGACGCCGACTCGATCGCCGATCTTCAGGTTCGACGATTCGGTGCCTGCACCGAGCTTGACTACCTTACCGACACCTTCGTGGCCACCAACTTGGCCTGGCTGAGTTGGGTGTGGGAACATCTTCCACTGAGGGTGTTTGTTAGTGCCTGAGATATAGAGAGAATGGGATACGGCGTACGCTGTTGGCCATGATACTGAAGTCCGAGTGGCACACACCCGAGTGCGTTCTATCATTGTGAGTACTACCCTATGTAGTGTCGAAACCTCCATAAGACGTACAAATTAATCAGAACCTCGCCCGTACCAGGCTCTGGGACATCTAATTCCACAACCTTTGTCGAAACAGTCCCAGGCTGGTCGTAAATGACGGCCTTCTGCTTGGCGGGGATTTCAAGAGCGGCCATGATAACTGATTGCTGGTGATATATTGAAATGAGGTAAAATATTAAACTATAATCAATTCCAATTGGATTTTCAGCGTTGGAGAGATGTATGAGCAAATGCTTAGTCGAATTCTGAAATGGGTCTTAAGTAGATTAACCCATATTTGCGCCAAGTAGTAAAAGAGGAGAACTTGATCAATTGTGGAGAGGGTCTTGTGGTCGAATTGAGGGGTTTGGGACTTTCGGATCGACAGGTCGTTGGCACATTGGCTAATGCAGCTTTTGTACCCGGAGGCACACTGTGCATGCCTCGGAAGCTGGCCTATTCAGTCATAGTCATGCATTATAGTAACGTGTTCCTTCGTGGATGAATTGAGGGGTCAAATGCGGAGTCGTGGAAGGACCTCGGTTCCACTGGCCTGCATACGTCTATTTTTATCTTCATCGCTGGAATAAATAGCAGTAGAGTAGTATATCCAGAGAAAAAGCAGGAGATGGAAGATTGAGAAGGGTTATATACATTGAACCCCCAAGGTCCTCTGGATGATCACATACATTTAATAACATACATACTTCGCCTTTCCGATTTAGGACTCAAGCCTTGCCGCTTTATTAGGCTGGGGTGATATGAATTATATTTACATTGTCTCATTCACAGCTTAATACTTTGTTATCGCAACAGAGCTCAAGTGCCACAAAACTCACGCATACGATGCTCAGCCTTTTGGAACAGTCGTCTTCTATACTCACTATAGCCTATATATCTTCGACTAGGCCGATCTAAGCATACCACGCAAAAACGTAGCTGTCGGCATCAGTTCCTGTTTCATCTTGTAATCAATTTGCTATTTTGCAAATTGAGGATACAAAAACCATGCGGCTCAAATTCTATCAAGTCCTTGAAATCATCCATCATGATGGTGACATCACCTGTGAGCGATACGTTTCCGCTGGCCAATGTGACCCCTTGAGGAATGGGCCACATAGCGAGGTAAAGCGGAGGCAGTTGTTGAATATCCTCTGCATCGAAAGGGGCACAAGCTACATGTGTGTTCGCATTACTAGGCACTGAAACTTAATCGTGATAGAAGCAGGCTAGTGGCCTAAATTACTACTTGGCCATTCATCGCGAAAAAGGAGAGCGTGCGGGGTTATTAGTGCCATTTGTGTTAGGGGTGTGTATGGTATTTAAGCTAGTAGCATTGGTAGATGCTTTTATATATATGATCATAGTAATGCACCAGCCGGGCCGATAGAGGCTATCAACTATGCACAAGATCAGCGCTTGGTATACAGTTTGTTTCTATGCAAAATATATAAAACACATCAACTATATAAATCAACTCGCTTCGAGGCTATCGCTTCCTGCTACCCTAGAACATCGGAAGGGCGCTTCGATTGTAAATATAAATCGAGTCATGTTTCCATGTCTCCACGTTACTATAGCGAACAAGGGATTATGAGGCGGGGGAAGCAAGTCGATAAAAATGGTGAAGAAGGATTTTGTTATCAAATGTTATACTACTTTTTTTTTTGTCTATCTGTATGTCGAATCCAACTGCGGAGACCATATGTGGGCACCAGCTTCTTGATACCGACTACCAAAATAGGTTGAGTCTCCAACAGAGGATTGAGCAGCCATTTTTAAAGCTAAAGAAAGAACAACGTCCAAATTTCCAGCATAGTTAACTCAGAGTTAACAAATAAACAAATAGCCTAAAAAAAACATACAACAGTGAGGATTCGCTGGTGGTCACCCACCCAACTACTAACTCACCGGCGTGTGGCTTGAGTACGGCTGAGCGGACGGGAAGCCCTATTTTCCACACCCTATGGTCGTATGTACTTAGCTAGTCTATAATAGGCCATATATAGCATAAGCTATGCTACCGAGGGTAAAAAAGAATGCGCCATACTAATGGAGACGCGATACAGATGGAGAAAACACTGTGTGGATTGACTGTCTCGCACGGGGAGAGAAGGAAGAGAAGGAAAGGAGAGAGAGAGCGATCAAACTAGTGGGTTCCATCACATAGTGATGCCTCAGGCATCCAACACATACGGAGTAGATAGGGTGAGAAATGGGTGAGAATCACCCAAATCGCGCGACAACAACTTTAAACCACCTCAGTTAAACAACAAACTTTATTGGGAGATCAGTTGCATTGTCTTGTCGCGGAGTTGACAAGTTGCGCGAGCCTTAATACCACCACGGATGTGGACGCAGAACCACTATAGAAGATTATCAGTCGGCTATTCTTTTGGGCGAAGGTGATTATGCCGAAAGTCACTCCTTGGTCGCCATTTTGTGACATCGAGCCTTGGAGTCGGTAATGGTTGGGTATATGATATGGGAGGATGCAGAATATGCAATGCACGATGTATAATACAGTGCTTTATTTATGACTGGATAACTAATCATTACGACAACCTGATGCGTTCTTTAGCTCAACATGAAATCTGCCAGTAATCAGTTGTATTAAGATAGCTACAAATCATCAATACGCGCTATTTCTAGATAGTTGCAGAGTGGGTATAGTGTGCCGATGCCTCATCTCCTGCTTAACCAACTGCATCTAAAGCTATACTTCCCTCGATCGACTTAATGGAGTTGCCTTCTTTCGTCACCATGTATCATGCAAGTGTCTTTGTGTTTTAAAGACTACCTCTAAGGAGGAGAGAAAGCAAAGGAAGAATCATGATATATTCCATCCTAACAAACAAGCATCTATAGGGATGGTCCTACACTTTGATCCAAGAATTCGAGGAAATCAGGTTAAAATGATCTACCCGGATCTTATTGGTTACGGGTTTATTGTAAGCCACAGCTTTCAGCGATCTGGAGGATCAAAAGTAGATTAAGTTACATTTGGGTGTGCTCTGTCCCACGGGAGTTATGTACCTGGGTGCGGGTCTACCCGCTTTTCGTCGCCAAGGTTCGGAACCAGCCTCAAGAGTATCAACGTTACGAGAAATGGAAAAAGCATCGATGGATAACATTGAATCATACAGTTGGGCTACCCATCCAAGTTGAAATTGAGACACAATATATGAACCACCGCGTACATATATGACGGGAAGAGGTCTGTTTAATCCAATTGCCACCTCTTCTACTGAACGGTTAGACTAAAGAGCGAATGGACTAAGTACATTACGTCGAAGAAGCAGAGTCTGATATTAGTGACGATTGCAGATATAAACATTTTAGGTCGGAAGATACGTAGGTGTAAGATTGCGCAAGACAAGGTTGTATTAGAATTCCGATATATTTCCCTGCACCTTTGCCACTATCTCAACTGTAAAGCTTAAGGCTAAGTCTACGGAGTATCAAAAGACAGACCCTTTGCTATAATAGTCGGGTATAGTCATGATAAATGTGTGGTAAACTTACTGTAGAACATTACGCGTTGCGGGCCCACTTAAATCGGTCAGTCCACGCGTTACACTTGTGCCCAGGGGTCGTAACCATGAGATTTCGTGATATATATTACTGCAATGGTGAGATATACGTTATTATTAACGGAGGAAAAACTTGGTCTGTGTGAGCGAGGGCTAAAATAGCCAATATTGGGATCCCTAAGCGAGTTTCATATTGCTTCAGATTTACGGTCCATTCTGACTAGATTTCTCCCCCGGATTGAAAAGTTGGTTGAACACGCCGTGCTTGATTTTCTGTGGGTGAGACAATCCCGATCTCCTCTCATCCTCATTTGTCACGTTTCAGCCACCTTGCCATCACGTTAACGACACTAGTTATCGGGAATCGGTTTACGGAGTAAAAATCTAATATTCATTCAAAGTCTTTTCAATTACAACACCCCCACTGTTGAACTGCGACTTACCCGCTGTTAGCAGCCTCTCAAATTAGAAGTGCCCCTGATCCCTCGCCATAATTCTATCTGAATCTATTCAGCGCCCTGGGCGCCAGGCTTCGGCCATGTTCACTTCTCCAAACGCTAACGGGACAAATGGGAGCATCGGAAGCCCAGGCGCGTCCCGCGACCGCAACTGGTATCAAGTCTCAGTCGACCAAGCTACGGGTCTACCCGACATTGATCCGGTCGTGTTGCCCAAGCTCTCGCCTCGGCTCGAAGATGCAGAGGATTTCGATGATTGGTACGACGAAGTGGTGAACATCTTAACAGACCACAACCTGCACCTCTTGATCGACGCAAATTTGCCCCGCCCGTCGCGCGGTGATCCTGCTAGACAGCAATGGCACGAGCTTTCGTGCCAAGTCGCCAGGTGGCTCGAATTGAGCGTAAGCAACGAGTTCTATCTTGAGATTCGCGCCTACGGCAACGATGTGTATTTGGCGGACGCCTTTATGGCGAATACCAAAAAGCACTTCAGCGGTAAGCATCATAGGTCTCTGAAACCTGCCATGATGAGATTTCTCAATACCCGGCGAGCCGAGTTCGATAACACCAGTGACTTTATTGCTACATTAGAGGATAACTTCTCTGTCGCCAATGCTCGGGGGGCCATGTTTACGCCTTATCTTGCTCTCTGTATCATGCTTCGGGAATTATCCACTGTTTTGGCGCTTGAGGCTTTTATTGATCTTAAAGAAAAAGAGCTGTACGCCGTCAGTGATCCTCAGCTGAATATCACTGAAGCTCGCTTCCACGAAACTTGCAGTACTATCATCAATCATGTGAAGCGAGCAGGCATTGACTCGCTTTCTTAAAAGCTTCTATCATTATCTATGTTTAGCATAACGGTCATGTCCTTCGATGTCTTCCTCAGCAGCGTTCTGTCGGGATTTTAATGTTCATAATTTCTCATTTTGTGAAAACTCCGTGGATATCATGATTTTTTAGTTCAGGAGAATTCCATAACAGAAGATATTTCAGGACAAAAGCCAAAAATATTCATCCTCATCTCTGGTAAGAATTGTCAGCCCCTTCTCACCAGAAGACCTGCAATCCACGCCCTACCCTTGCGCGACATAAGTTGCGACGGTGAGAAGCTATAAAATCCCTATCGACTATATCGAAAACCAAGACAACAGCCATCTCGTTGCCATACTTGAAGATGATCAAGGTCTCCATCATTTGACTGTGCTTGACCTAGATCAGCACAGGCAGTGGGTAGATCAGACTCTAAACACTTCAAGGTTCTAAGGCAAATCAAGCTGACCGGTGTCCTTCCTAGTTTGTTTTGTCAGTCTAATAGCGACCACATTCCCATCTTTTATCATATTGTTCTGAGGCTGGAGATCAAAATGTGTAAACAAGATGCGGTGGGATTGTTGAAGCATTCCACTAGCGTTTGGAACATTATTATTTTGATGGACTTCGATGCGAGCCGTGTTAAAGTCCGACTTAGAATTGGATAGTCTTTGCGGTAACGATAAAAGAGTCCCCAGCTATGTGTAGTGTTTTACCACCAATAAAACGTATAAAGAAGTAGGTATCGCAAAGGCTTCCGGGATCGTCAATATCACGATTAATTGGACCATATGTATAGTATGCGAAAACTTAGGGCATCGGGAACCCATATATTATGCGCCACATGAATCATGCTTTTAGCCTTGATAATATTGATAAAAACACCAAAATTGACAGCGACTTCAGGTCCTATCTTTATAATGGTGACATCTTGGCAGAAAATCAAGTTGCTTTGGTTAGCAAAGTTGATCAACAGCGTCGGGATGCGGTAAGCAAACACTAGGTGCAGGGTAGTGCACATTTAACAGAGGCTCGGAAACCAGGAGCTGGGTATTGCTTGGCTTTGTAGGGGAAGCCATATCCTTGAATTTGAGAGAGTATTCTAAATACGGATGACAGAAATAGTATGATGATAACGATTAGATCTAGAACGGTAGGTATAAGTAGTACTAGGAATAAAGAGCTTCTTAAACTAACAAAGTCTGACTTTATTAGAAGTCTAGCCGTTAGGACTAACTTCGAGACGCTAATCCTCTGGGAGGCAGACAAATTATAATCCATTTTAATAAAGACCTACATTAAGAATTATATATAGAGGAAGTATCTATGTAGAAGATTAAGTACGAATTAATGGCATAGTACAACATTAGTTAATAAATTAATCTTGATCTGCGCTTATTGAGATTAAATTATCTCTCTTTCTCTTAAAAGGTTATATTACCTACAACATAGTGCTATATACGAAACCATCAGTATAGAGAGAGATATATACTTTATGTACATGTAAACCCCCAATCGCGCTAAATAAACGGCAACGACGGCATTTGTGATTTCTTCAGACATCTAAAGAGTTCTGAGTTCGGATTAGTCCTAATAAAAAATAACTGTGGAATTTAATCGAACAATAGCTGTATAATTATAATAATAATTAGAACAAATTAAAATATTTGTATATGAATAACGTATTCCACATATTCCACATGCGAGCGGCGCACACAAGCGAGCGGCGCAGTCCAAAGCACATAGTAAAAGCGATAAATTATAACATGCTATTTCAACAACAGCTATCTGTATGAACTTTTTCTTGTAGCCTAATGCTTTTTATATGATATCTAGCCACTTATTAGAGTTTAGGGGAATTTAATAAATTAGTGACTGAGATATATATATATTCTAGAGTTCAGCGATGTACTTTTCGATACCATAACATTGCAAGTTCTCGATTTATTCAAAATTGATATATGGTACTAAAAAGGCTTATCAATTGCTATCGGCAAGTAATGAAATCAAATAAAAGCGTTGGTTGTTGAAATAGCATGTTATAATTTATCGCTTTTACTATGTGCTTTGATGCGCCGCTCGCTTTTGTGCGCCGCTCGCATGTGGAATACGTTAGTTAACTAAGTGGTTTAGAAGCCTTGGTTTTCAGGTAGAAAGAACCTATAACGTATTTCACAAGCGAGCTGCGCATACAAGCGAGCTGCGCACCCCACCCAACCTACTAATTTCAAATGCATTTATCTCAACCAAAACGCCATTAAATTAAATTTAAAAAAAACATCATCTATCTGGACATGCATCTCTCCTATGACCCCGATTTTTACATAGCCCGCATGTTGGTAAAGCCCTAGTTCTTGGCTGTAAAGGTGGCGAAGGCCTTCTTCGTGGCGGGGGTATAGGTGCTTCTATTGCTTCCACCGGCTGCATAATTAATGTAGATGCTTCTTGAACTGAGAGGCCTTCTTCCGCCGGTATCTGCCTTCTAGATCTAGTACGCTTTTGCTTCTTCTTCTCATTTTCAGCGCGTAAATCGCTCACTTCTCTCTCTAGTAGTGCGGCGGATTGCATCGTGATCTGGCAGGCTTTCAAAACCTGGTTTATAGCGGAATTGAGCGGGCTCGGGGGGGCTTCTTGATCTTGTACGAAGCAATGCTTTGATTGACAAAGCTTGTTTTTGCAATTGCATATAGTTCGAGGGCGTTTTCGGATCCCAATCACTACCCCGGCTAGAAGGGGGGGGTAGGGGTAGCAAGCCGGATATTAAGCTTCGAAATCACTCTCTCCGGTGCAAAAGGGATTAAACCAGTAGATTGAAAGCTGTTTTTAACAGTCTCAGATTTAAAGGCTTCCATTCGTGCAGCAGGGTATGCTTCAAGAAAATCCAGTTTGTCAACATGATTCGATCCGCACCGCATTCGAAATTCAACCAGCCGGCTATAGGCTCGTTTTAACACCGCAAAACAGCCTACATCTAGAGGCTGTAAAAGGTGAGAGGAATGCGGAGGTATACAGATTGGTATAATCTTATTCTCTTCACAAATTTCATCAAATCTCGGGGTTAAATGACTTCTATGGCCGTCAAGTATCAAAAGCCGATACACCCCTTCGTACATAAAGAAGTAGTAGGAATAAAGAGCTTTTCAAGCCAACGAATCCCAATTTCATTAGTAGTCCAGCCGTTAGGACTAACTTCAAAACGCTAGTCAGAAGGAAGGCTATCGAACCAGGATTCAATAAAGACTTTGCCTTTAAAAATCACATATGGCGGAAGAGCCCAGCCAGCAGCATTCGTACACTCGATAACAGTCACCCATTCACGATTTCCAGGTTGTAAAAGTGCTCGCCGACCGTAATATTCACTTCTCATAATCACCCTTGTAGTCGCCGTTAATCCCATCGCAAAACCGGTCTCATCAAAGTTATAAACGTCGTCCGGGTCGATCCCGAATTGTAAGATGGTTTTTTGAACAAGATTAAACCACTCTGTAATAACCTTCGGGTCTTCGCATTTCGCACGCTCGTAGTTATACCGTTTCGAAAACCGAGAGGATAGAAGAGGATATCGTTTCACATAGTTCGTCACCCAATTTTCGCCGACCGAAAGAACCGGGGTAGTTCCGCGCTTTTCAAGAAGAAGATTCGCCATTTCTCGTACCATAGACGGCCGGGGAGCTGATCCTCGAGAATCCATAGAGAGAATCCATTTTTCAAGAGATTCCTCTTCAATTTCTGTCAGTTTATGTGAATTGGCGCGAGAATTCGCGCGAGAAGTGGTCCCATAAAGACGTGTCCGGAGGGTTGATTCGGGCACTTTGAAACGGCGCGCTGCTTCGCGAATAGCGCTGATTTCTTTATTCTTAAAAGCCTGGATAGCTAATAAGATCCTACCCTCTCTCTCTATTGAATCTTTAGAGGATTGAGAGCGAATTGGTGGCATAGTGGGTGGTTGAATTAACTAAGTGCTAATTTACGGACGCGTTTTGGGTGGGGTGCGCAGCTCGCTTGTGTGCGTAGCTCGCTTGTGAAATACGTTAGTTAACTAGTTAACTACGAAATTGCTTTTATCCGATGGGCCGGTGTGACCCGCCATACATGTGAGCTCCATAATTATGGCTGGCTGAGAACACCGAACTTGATAATGCGATATACACTTGTGAAACAAACCAATTCAAAATGCGTCTGCGAAACGTTATGTCTTAAGATGTGCGACGAAACTATACCGAAGAATCCAATTCCGATTCGAGATAATCTCCTCTGTAGGGGCGGGACAAATAGGGGACAAAGAGGGGACAAATAGGGAACAATGGTGAGACATCTTAGTCGCTTGTTAAGGCTTCAAAAATCAAGGAACTCAATGGGAAGCTAAGCGGGGCGCAGGATAGCGCCAAACCAAAAATGTTTCGTGGGCGGGATATTGATATTGCTGCATAGGAGTGGAATGGGAGGATACGTTCAATTGTACCCGAAGGATGGCATTTATCCCACGTGTCTAGGGCAACTGTCAATATTTAAAGTTGGTTTGAATGCACCGTTCTTCCGATTTGTACATTTATGTGTTTCAACTGCAGCGATCACCTCCATGTAGTTACACATAAGTGACTATCTGGACCCACATTGCATTATAGCACTGGAGGCCAAGCGGAAGTCCCCTTTTCAATGTCCCTATGGAGGTATTTGATAACTTTATTCCCTGTTTTCTGATATTTGAACCATTTCAAACGTGTGGGCAAAGCTATACCAGAACAAACATTTGGGTGATTTCAGGCGGACCAAGATTGATAACAATGATCTAATTGAACCATGGGTCAGGCCTGCACTAATGGATAACAAACCCATGGTACCCCCCCACAGATCGAGATTAACAGTAATTACCGAGGTTTCAAGGTTCCTTCGAAGGTTCGACCGAGCGTTAGAAGACAAATTTGGCCCCACAATATAGATGGAGGATTCAAATTTGGCCAGGCCAGACCAGATTGCCCCCCATGTTTATCTGGGTAATCTCCACTCATTTTTTGACTCCTTTATGTATCTCCTTCTCCTCTCTGTCTAGGTGAACCTCTCACTGCAATCATGCCGGCCAAGCCAGAGGAAACAATCTGCAGCATCTCGGCTCTTGCCACGCAATTAGGCAACCAGATCTCTGTGCACATGCTGAATTACATCAGCACCACCAATGACCTTCCCGACGGATTTCGCGAACTTTCCCATACCTTCCTCGACACCTGTCGCATGTTATGGGCCATTGAAGCTGGAGTGAACGAACTAGCCGGCGCCAATCGCGCCCTACCCATGTTATAATTGAAGAGGTGGAAAAGAAATTCGTCTCCACCTACCGGGACTTCCAACAACTTGACAAGATCATTTTGAAGCTTATTCAGTATGAACATCGCGGGACACTGGGAAAGCTTCAGCGAGGATGGAATCGGCCGGGCCATGAGCTCAGCCGCATTCATGAGTCGCTGAAGAAGACCACCGAAACTCTCCAAATCAGTGGTATGGCCTTTCACTGGTCGCTTGGAGACGCCCACCCGGAAGAGTCCGTGGGCATCGGATACGCTGGCCTAGCGGCCGCGCTCGATCGCGTATCCCAAGGCCGCTCTGTGATGGGAATAAACAAGGCCAACTATACCGAACCTGAGCGATCCTCATCGAGTAAGCATCAGTCGCCTGATTCGACGCCATCTGTGCCCCCGAAGGAATCATTTACTGCATCCCGACTCAACCAAGGCATTCGCCAAGAAGCCGAAATCCTGACGGATGACATGTCCTCGGTTCTGTCCTTGAACGGTTTCCTGAACCCCCAGTCTCGTGAGGCTGTGAAAACCCCGTATCTTGATCACCGGGAACTGCCGCACCGGCTGGCCCTACCAAACTCAGCAGCTTCTGCTGAGGAGATCAGCCTCGGCTATTCGAGTCAAGATGCCGCCAGCGCCAATCTAACGGAGACTCTGCTGGCGCACGGCGTCAATGTGAAAGAGGAGACGCGCGATGGTGCAACGTTACTCATCGAAGCCATTCACAAACGCGCACCGGTGCAAGCTATCGAAACCTTGCTCAATTCCGGTTCCGACCCCAATCGCAAAGATGACCACGGCAAGACCGCACTATGCGAAGCTGTACAAAGTGATCAGCCATCTATTGTGACACTCTTATTAAACAAAGACGCGAATCCAAACCTGCCAGGACCCGAGCATGTCCTCTGGTCCGCTGTTCACCGCCCAGGCTGCTTGCGCATCCTGCTCGCGCGGGGTGCCGATGTGAAAAAGACCCCTGGTCTTATGGAGCAAGCGACAGGTGTCAACAATATCGATGCCGTGCGCGTCCTGCTGCAGGCGGGCATGGACCCCAATTCCAAGAAAGACGGAATATACACACCACTCTGCTCCGCCATTCGCGATGACCGCTCCGATATCCTCACCTTGCTTCTCCATCACGGTGCTGATCCTAATGTGATGGCATCTGAATACCCAGCCTGGAAGTGTATCACCCATAAACGTCTTCATTTCCTCCCAGACTTGGTGGCAGCCGGTGCAGATCTCCGCAAACCACCAGGTATTGTCGAGTGCGCCGTCCAGGAAAACTATATGGAGGCTCTGCATTGGCTCGTGCGCCAAGGAAATGCCAATCCAAACGACCGTACTGAGCAGGGCCACACAGCCGTGACAACTGCCATCCGGAAGAACCGGCCAGAAATGCTAGAATGGTTATTGGCAAATGGTGCCGATCCCAACATACGCGGTAAGGACTGGCCAATATACATGGCGGCTCAATCGCCGAGCATGCTACGACTTATTTTGCCCGGTATAACCGATCTTTCCGCACACAAGGGTGTCATGGAGAAAGCAGTCCAGGCAAACCAACTAGAAAACGTCAAACTACTCATCGCAGCCGGCGCCAGTGTAGAGTGGAAAAACGGCGGCGTGTTCTCACCACTGACCACAGCCCTGCGCGAGTGCCACTGGGTTATTGTGCGCTATCTTCTGGACGAGGCTGGTGCCGACCCCAATGCCCCTGGTGAGCATTTGCCACTCGTCAAGGCGATCCGGAGATGTGACGATGGTAACTTTGCCATGATTGAGTTGCTCCTCGAAAGGGGCGCCGATCCCAATAAATGCTACCGTAACTGGAACGCGATCATGCAGGCCATCGAGGACCGCGATATTCGGTTGTTGCAGCTTTTGATTGAGAAGGGCGGTCAGGTTGATCTTACTCTGAAAGATGAGACTGGTACGACGGTTTTGGATATGGCGAACTCTTCTGGCTGGCAGGAAGGAACTAAGCTTCTTTTGAAGAATGCACGCCAGTGATAATTTGTTTTTATTTAATATCCCTCTTTTGTATAGCCTTAAGTAATTTTTCCCTATAATCCCAAGACTTTATCACCATTCATATTCGCGGTACATATGTAGTCAGATTGGTCCGTAATCAGCTGGTACCTTGGTGCTCGAAATTCTGAGTGAGAAGGATAATTTGAAGTTTAAGACCAGGAAACTATGTCTGTTTTATTTGAAATCTACTGTGAAACTTTCCTTTTGCTGTCTTTGGCCTACTGCAGTATTGCCTTCGCAGTTTCAACATAGCTCAGTGACAGGGTTGAGCTTATCAGCGTGGTCCGAATAACCGTAGCGTATGTCACGTATTTCAGCAAAACATGGGAGTGATCAAAGTATATACGGAATAAGAATGAGGTGTTTATCAACCTGTCACTATTTAACATCGCTTAACATCCAGGAAAAAGGCACATATTGTTCACTGCCAAAATAAAGAGCTAACTCATTGTAAAAAGAAACCCGAGACCAATAACAAACACTAGTCAGTATACTGACGATGAAGGAGTTAGAACCATTATCTGGTTGGTTCCACTCCAATTGTTTCTCCGTGATAAAAAATGTCATTTCGTTTCTTGATTGTTGATGACAACGCCGGGACACCTTTTGGCAAAATGGGTCCTACCAAGGCCTATTTATGTACACAAAATAGCCTAAAGGGGTAATTTATGCATTACTTTTGCATAATCTGTCAGTTCTCTTACCTAGGTGGGTAGCTATCTAAGGCGGGGTGCTTTGGAATATGTAACAATCCCTGAATGAAATGCTTATTTACATTGTCTCGCTTAATAGTTTGTTATCGCAACAGAGCTCACAAGTGCCACAAAACTCACGCATACGATGCCCAGCCTATTGAAGAGTTAGCAAAGCGGTCGATGATCAAACCGGAGGAAAGGAAAGAGAGAATACATACCGCAATACAACATAGCAAGGTTCTTCTCATCACTCGCCTGCTGAACCAATTCATTGACAGTAGCCGTGACACTGAGTGTTTTGCTCAGTTTCTTCGCCACCACAGTTAACGCCCGGTCAGCTTCACTAGGTTCATTCTCGTTCTCACTCTTCGAGACGAGAGCGTCAGCGGCTCCAGGAAGAGCTGGAGGCCCATCGCTGGCTTGATTGTCCTGCATCTGCATCTTCTTAACCCGAAGCGGGGAGACCGTCCAGCTGTACAACGGGTCGTAACGTAATACATCAAGGATGGTCATAATGCTGTACGATTCTTGGCGGAGTGCTTCAAGGGTGAATTCACAACAACGCCGGAAAACACCTTCAGTCTTGGTGATGCCGAATCCATCGACTAGATCGCGGGTCAACCGGAACGGCACTACCTCAGGAACAGGTAGCACACGACCTTGCTCGAACGCTACACCCAGATCAATGTGGACCACTTCCCCGGTCTTCTCATCTAGCAGGATATTGTGTCCGTGCCGATCGCCGAGGCCGAGCACATGACCGAGGATAGAGATTGCAGCGGTACTTCGTGTGTAGGCTAGCCGCTTGCTAAACCAGTCGTCTGGGTTGTTAAATTTCTCCATGAAGAAATACTTCATGACTGGGTGGAAATGCTCGGTCACCTGTCGGTACGTTCTGACGCGCTGTTCAAATGATTTGGTCTGCACATCGGCAATGTATTTCCGGCAAGAGTTGGGTTTCATGTCCTTCGGGAAGTATTTTTGATGTGCGGGCATCAGGTAGTCGTGCAGAGGAATCGTGTTTGGCACGAACTCAATGATTCCAGCGCTTGGTGTCAATGGGAGAACCTTGTATGTCCGGATGCCTAAGTTCCGCTGGCGTGTGGGCTGGTGATCTTTCAGAAGACTGCTGACTTGCTCAAATACTTGCTCCATGATGGCATCTTGCCGCAGGTCATCATTTCCTCCCTTGTACTGTTGTTTGTTTGGTTAGCTAAAAACGTCGACAGGGCTTCCAATCAAGAACAAGCTTACCAATTGCTTGTAGCGCTCGCCATTGGATGCAACGGCGGTCACAATCTTTGGCGCGCTAACGCCGGAAGCAATCGTGAAATCAGGCTGGAACTTTGCGATTGTAGGAACCTGACTGTAGTCACAATCCGCACGGAGGCTGATTTTCATCGTCGGTGGTGGTAGTTTGTAAGTGATGGCATCTTGTCCAAGGCGCTGGCCAGTAGCCAAATTCTTCAGTGGAACTTTAGCACCACATTTGTATTTGCTGTCTGGTTTGTCGACTGCAAATCGAACGTAGCTGATGTTCACATTGTGTACAGCAATCCAAGTCTGACCGATGTGATTATCGTTCTTCAGACGATCCACGAGCTGATTTGCAGCACGGAAACGAGAGTGAGACGACTGATCTTTCCCTCCCTTGGACTTGCTGCTGGCGAAAATTTGGTACATGCCATGGAAAGGGTGCTCGACGCATATTCTGAATACCAATTTAGTGAGTAATTTCTGGAAGTCATCGGAGACATCGAGTAGGCGGGATGATAGCTGGTTCATTAATGGTGCAAGTTTCCGGCTGGGAACCTCGTTCAGATACCGAGCGACGGCTGAATTTGCAGTCTCACTGTCTGATTTGTCAAGCCAGAGTGCACAGAAACGTAGAGAATCATTGTTGTAAGTGTCACTTTCCCTCAAACTTAGAAGGTAGTTTTCGAGGCACTGCTCTAGGAAAGCCTCCCTACTTCGCAGCAAACGTTGATATTCGCGGTCGTCAAGGTCGAACCATTGCTTTGATTTGGCCCTGTAGTTCTTCAAGTATTCCTCTCCTTGCCCGTGGCATTCTTCATCATGTCTTCCAAGCCAAGGACCTCTTTCTCCTTGCGGTCACGCAGTTGTTCCACTCGCTTGAAATCCTCGAGCCCGTCAGGGTTCAGAAGCTGTTGATCGCAAAAGGTTGCAAACCCATGATAGACCCGTCCAGCCTCTTCTCCATCTGAGCTTCCTTTCAATTCCTTGACCGCGGGGTATAGGTATTCTTGAAGAATCGAGTCAGGCTTTTCCAAGCGTGCTTCAGCAACGTGGTGACCCTAAACATGGCATTAGCATTTTAGACGGAAAAGTTTTTTTTTTTCGGCAAAGATTTTTCAGGAGTCTTTTAAGGACATCCAACTTACCAAAGTCACAAGAAGTTCGGCCCGACTGAGAGGGATGGCCTGCTTATGAAGGTCATTCTGGCCCTTCAGTTGCTGGAGCATGCGAATGGACGCGGTCATCTCTCCTTGATCCCACAGGACATTCGCAAGATCGAATTTCGCAGCTCCGTCAATGTTCATTCCCAACGCTGCACACGGTTCGGCAAGCTTCGAAAGGCTCATTGCAGATTTGAGCGATGCCTGGGAGATGCCATGCGTTCTTGTGACTTCCAATGATCGTCGAATGACTTTCGCTTCTAGAAGTCGCGAATCTGCGAGACTTAGTTTTGCCCGTGATTTGAGGATGTCATTTTTCCTGACTGATGAAAACAACGCCTCATGCCAAGACAAAATTTCTCCAACTTCATGATAGCTGCTTTGGTTAGTATCCTGTAGACAGGTTTGGAACGGCAAACACGCACCTTTCGGTCTTCAACCAATTGCTTCTCGCCATAATATTCAGCCATCCTTCCTCCATATCTTCAGAACATGCGGAGTGCAAAGTGTCGCTGATCTCAGTCATAATTCCCAACGCGCGCATTGAGCTTCGCAACTGAATAGCGGACCCACTGGTCTTGAGAAGAGAACCGAGTGTTGTCAACAGACCGCTTTCGATTGAGCCAGTGGCCTCGAGCAGAGAACCTGAGGTATTGAGGCTTTGGAATGTACGGAATACAGTGGCGGATGGGGAGGAATCCAAAGGTGATACTGGAATATCCCATTTTTGAAGGCTAGTTGCAGCTTGCAACATGCTGTTAAAGGCGACAGGGGCATCGTTTGCACTGTTGGAGGCAGAGAGCATTGTATTGGCAATACCTTGAAGGTTGGTAGCATTCAAAGCCTTCAACACACCGTATGATTCTGCATTGTCAGACATCTGGATTTCACTGTCGTATTTTGCGCTCTGGAATAGGAGGTTTTTGAATCCGGAGCCTTCATACTCTAGCCGTTCCATGACACTGGTCAAAGATGAGCTCTGCTGAATGCCGTAGAACAAGTCTGGGTCATCAATGTTTTTGAAAACATCATGTAGTAGAGCAGGCGGTGGCTCGAATCTAACAACAGATGATCGACGCGACGTCGTAACCACTCGGGATGTTTGTATTTCCAGGAAAAGGAGCGAAGTTTTGTGTAGACCGCAGCGATGTGCAGCCAAAGATGCCTCTCCGAAGTCAATATCAAGCCATTTATCGCGCTGGACGATCGTTGACTCATCTGGCACGGGTTGGTCCCGAAGGTAGAGGATGCAGTTGATCACAAGCCGAGCGTGAGGCAATGTTTCCTCGCCAATATCACATAATACCTGTTGGAAAGCAGCAGAGATATCTTCTCGGACCTCCCCCTTTTCACCTTTATCATCCCTTTCTGACAGCAAAACATCATGAACCACGTATGGCAACAGCTGCACTGCTAAGCCAGGAGTCACGTTGAGAACTTTGCGAAGAGAGCCAATGACAGGGTCTTCTAAAGCAGCGTTCGATAAGAACAGGGAAATACTGCGCGCCCAGTCAGATACTGAGAGCCCTGAGGCGCTAGTTTTTGCATTTTCGCATCTCTCCTGCTCCGAATTTGAAAGTAAAACGGCGGGACATGTGTATGGGTGCCAGATAAGGGCCTTCATCAGAGATTCGGGAATGGCCTCGCTGCAACCTTGGAAATCTGGATAATGTGCGATTTTACTGACGATCAGCTGCAAGGTACGCTCAACCAGACCAGCTTCGAAATGCTTTTGAACGTGTAGCATATCGCAAAGCACCCGAAGAATTCTGGCCTTAGAATGGCAGAAAATATCAGACGACAAAGAAGAGTCGGGAGATTGAAATAGTGAGAGATCCTGTTCTCGCAGGAGCAATTGATCGATTTTCCCTGTGGCAGCGAAGGACCTTCCGATGACCCGAGCGGCCCAAAGTCGATACTGAGGTCCTCCATTGGAATTTTGAAGTGTGTGCCATAGAGATACGACATGGGAAACGGGATCCACCTCTTCGTTTGAGACCCAATTCCCAGTGTCGGATGTCTGCTCAAATTCGGGACATAAGAGCGACAGAACAAGATCCGCCACAGGCTTGCTCAACAGCGGAGTCACAGCATCGCGGTCTTTGAGAACTTCAAAGACCAAATCCTTCCCAATCTGTCCGCCCGAAGAGTCTTCAGAGGCTGAGAATTTCTCAGCTAGTGAGACAAGCCGATCGAATGATATTTTCGTCTCTGTATCCGAATCAGATGAACGGAGCTCTCCAAGGAGCTCGACCAGCCATTGATAGAATTCCTTCGCGTTTGACTGCACTGATTTGAGCTGACTTTCCTGAGCTGTGTTCTCAGGTAGCGACGAAAATATTCTGCGGAGAGTGACCAGTGTTGAGACAGCAATACCTGCAGTGAATCCTGGTGCCACCTTGAGGTATGCTTTCCCTGCCTCGAGTAGATACCAGAAAACCCCAAGAGCATCCTCGGAACAGTGAATGTCGGCAAGGAAAGGCCGCAAAGAGCTAAGTGTCATCTCTAGAGGATAGTCTTGAAGCATGATGGGACCAGCCACACATGTTAGGATTCTTATTTTGCGGATCACAGAACAAGCATGAAGAGAACCAAGGGCGGGATGTATGGATTCAAGCAGCGAACGGCAGACAAATGACACCAGTGATGGCGTCCATATCGACTCAAATTCAAACCCAGTGCGTCCGCAAAGAAACTCAATCTCATCCAGGAGATAGCGTGCTCGAAAGGAGGGCTGTTGGTTTGCTGGCAGTGCATTTTGAGACGCGCTTTTGTTGATTATTTGCGTCTGAATGTCGAGCGCATAACCGAAGTTTTCACGCTTTGAGAATGCTCGTTCCATCTGCTCATAGTAGTCGAGGGATTTGAAAAACGTAGCAATAATTAGGGGAAACTGGCTCTCGATTTGTGTGATGAACTGGTCGGCCCCGAGAAGTTTGCGTAGACGGATCTCAACGCCCTTGGGCTGACTACCTTGCCCTGGAGGAGTACTGATATCTCGTGCAATGCTGTATGCCTCGGCCCTGTGAAAAGAGGCTGCCAAAAGCTCGAGATGTGGAATCTGGAGGTGTTTCGCAAGCTCAGTTGTCTCCTGTTCTTTGGCACGCATCATCATTTGCCCAACGATTTCATCTTTGACGTCCACCAGCATGTTTTCAAGGCTGGCATACCCGAATATACTAAATGGCATAGACATGATACTCTGTGTCTCGGTCCATGTGTAAAGTATTTGAGACGAGAAAAGTCGAAAAAGTTCTTTGGCGTCTTGCAGACCAAGGGTCTGAGAAACAGTGATCATACATCTCTCGGCATACCAAAGTGACAGTGGCACTTGAGCTGGGGTTTCAAATAGATGGTAGATGCTTCTTCGCAGCAAAGTGTGCCATCTGGAAGCCAACTGCGAGAGCACAAAAAGGCGGACTGCAATTCCCTCGATCCATTCCGGGTCTCGTGGTAAGCTTTCCAACACATCATCGAAGATGGCATCGTGGTCTTTAAGAAGGAACCGCTCAAATAAAGCAGGGATAAATTCTGCAACGCTGAATTTGACCTGAACATTCCCCTCTCGGAGGATTGTGAACAAACCTGTTCGTGGCGACGGAAGAGACTGCTCATTGCCGAATGAGGGGCATGTGCCAATCACCCCTTGGATGAGCTCGGCTAAGGCAATGTAGACCTTCGGAGAAGCTCTTCTGCGGGCCAAGAGAACTTCCATAAACCAATGATACAAGTCCATAGCCGACTCTTTCAAGGTATCGTCAGGCCCTTTTGTCCAGGACTCGACAAAGCTGGTCATCATGCGGATGCAAACGCAATGCGAAGCCTCACACCGCTCCATTTCATAAGACTGCAGACACTTTTCACCCAGATCTTCCAAGATGGAGAGCAGTTCCGAAGGCTCCGATTTCGAGCGGACCTGGAAAATTCCAGGTAAAATGGCTTGGGCTGCCAGGATATCGGCTTCATCTAAGCTTGTCAAGTAATCAACGACAGATGACGAGTCAGAATCTGCTTGGGTTCTGAGAAATACCGAGAGTTGGATGGTTATACAACGTTGATATGTGACAGGGTCAAGGAAGACAGACAGAGAATTTCGATTCAAGGTCAGAATAGTCTCATCAGTCGCTATTGGGGTTTCGGCCATGAATCGGTCGTCCAGATCCATAGGATCTTCGGCTGCAGATGAACCGTTTGAGCTCTGGCGAAAATGCTCGAGCGTTTCTGAGAGTGGAGTAACAAGCTCCTTGAGACTAGACTGAATGGCAGGCGGGGTGACAGAACTCGTTAATGGACCGAGGAGCGGGGACAGCAAGTTCAAGCAAGAATGCATGAAAGCAGATTCGTGAGTATGAGTTGCCAGGAAATCGCATATAGCATCCCACAGACTCCGACAGTTTTGATGCAGATCTTGTGATCGTGACTGAGATTGCAATGATCGAGGAAGACATGCCATGAAGAGGGAAGCCACAACACAAAAGGACGCTAGAATCTGCAAGTTATCCGGAGTGATATGTGATCTTTCTTCATTCATAGCGTGCCATGTGTGTAAAAACGACTCAGATCTCACTCGAAGCAGATCCAAGATCACTATATCATCAGGGTCTTGCCTAGAAAATCGCTCCAAGGACCATGTTTCCCGCAGACTCCAGGGGTTTGCTGCAGCAGGATTCGCATCAAAACCATAATCCAACAATTCCCGGGTCTCGTGGAGAAAGAACCAAGTGCGGCCTATATGCCCCGTTGGACCTGTTACTTGATAACGAGGAATGGCAAAGGATCGATTAGTGCATGACAAGAAAAGGTCCAGTAAGTCGAATGGACGGGCATAAGCAGCTACTCGAGCTGTCTGGATCCGATCGGTCACCGAACCTGCAAAATAACTGTCAGAGCCAGGAGCCACGAATGAAGGATTTTAGGGTCTCATACCAGCCCAAACTTCTCTTAGCCAGCTACATATCTGTATCGAGGTTTGTTGAGCCGACCCAGGATCGAGCTGTGTCCTCATTCGTGCAATTGAGGCCCATAGCCTTAAGGACGAGTCTGAGATAGCGGATGGCCCATTGGCAGAAGTCAAGAGTGACCGCGTTGTCTCCATAGCTACTGAGTAATCCAACAAGTCGGACTGCAAAATCATACTCACTAGGTTGCACGCAGCTCTCGATATCACCGGAGATGAGAATGCACGCGTAGTAAGTTCGACTACTCGTGGCCAGTGGGCCCTAATTCCAGGCAATTTGGCACTAGGCCCGTTCGCAATACTGTTGTTATGCTCAAGTTAGGGCATTTATTCTTGTAGTTTCCATGAGGTTCTTTCTGGGTGCATTTCCAGATAGTCCTTCTAGTAATGATTGATTTACTTACCTTGTCAGAGCAACCATTGTCCAGGATGACACAGCATCATTGCCATCAGAGACGTTCAGAAAAAGCTGCTTCAAGAAGGACTCCTTCGTCTCAATGTCAACCTCGGATTCAAGAAATGGGATCAGTTGTAATGCACATATCCTCCTTGTACCTGTGGCTGAGACCGAGTCTCGAAATACGTCCTGGATCTCGGAACTGAAGCGCTGCCTTTTGTTCGAGCCTTCGCGTACTGACTCAGACTCAGACTTGATTCGGGTATGGATACCATCCGAGAGCTTGAGCAGTTCTGCAATCAACCAGAGGACTGTCCAATTATGCTCCGATCTAGCAGTTCCGAGGCAAGGTCCATACACCGGCCTGCTCCGGCATGCTTCATTGTGATAAAGCGTTGTTTCGTCAATTTGCAGAATCTCCTTTTCTGCCCGTTTCACATATTCCGAATGAAGTGTACTGGCTAATGCTTCAATGTCATGTGCCAGAGATTCAGATGGATCTTTTCGAGCAGTGTCCACGAGGACGACCATCGACAGCATCAAGGTGGAAATTAGCTCTTCCTTGAGAAGCTGTAACTTAGTGGCCCATAGGCGTCGAATTACTGGAACCAGGCCCAAGAGAACCGAACGGACAAGCTCCGATTGATCAAACATGACTTTTGTAACGACTGCATTGATGCTATTAAACGCGAGCTGATGTGCATTTCCAGCCACAGATGACTCGACAAACTCCGAAAGTCCATGAAGTATGCTTTGGGCCGTGGTTTGAAGAGGAGGGTTGGGACTCGTTGTCAACAGTTGAATACAGGTTACAACTTCTTCAATGACATTTCTATTGCCACCGTGCCTTTCCCTGCTCACTGAGGCGGGGGCGATGGCAATCCTTGAGGGGTTGAACGGCTGTCGCTGGCATCTTGATCTTCGGGAACGGATCGATAACCGCTTCGAATACTCAATTGGCTTTCTTCATTCTCCTGGGGACTAATACTGGCAAGGCAAAAGCTTATGAGGTTTTCCCAGTCTTCTTCGTCAAGATGCTCAGTATGAGGACGGTAGCGTAGAAGCGACGCCAAACATTTGGTATAGTCCAGGCTCAAGGGTTCCCATAGACCTTCCCCAGGGGCCGGTATGGTCTCAGTAATGTGGTCAACGATGGCGCGGACCGTTTTGATTCTTAAGTTTCTCAGGAAGAGGTCAACAGCCATTCGGAGTACGGAAGCACATGTCGAGAGTCGCGATGCGGAAGGGGTTTTTGAGGACTTTTGGGCTCGATTATATATTGACCTTTCTGCTGCGACGAAACGAAATAGCGATTCAAAGATCTTGTGGCAAGCCTTGTCATTGAGTGTCTGTCTAGGTAGGTGGAAGATTGGTTAGTTTCGATGGCCTGCAGGGTTGTTTTGGGGGTAGTTGACTGCTTACAGCTTGGAGCTCTTCTTGTTCTGCTGGAATATGTGCTTCAAGTCTAGCAATTGAGTTAGCATCAGTCTTCCTGCAATGAGATAATATAGAAAAGCAACCTGCCAAACCATCCGAGCGGGCCTTCTGTTTGTCTGACGAGAGTAGGCTAATCGTCTTGTCGAGAAAGACCTCCCCCATTGCGTGTTATTGTTGGGAGTTTTTCTCCACGTAAACAATACCCCGAAACCTTGAGTCTCAACAAGTCTTCTTGCACCTGGCAGAAAAAGGCATCTCAGATCAAGTAGCCAGCGATTCAATAATTGAGTCGATAAGCGCGAGGTGATTGTGTTTAGTGGAAAGTGGAGCGGCAGTACTTGCGCAAGCTGTCTACCGCCCGATTTTTGTCGCGTTCCGCCTCTGGACTCTGGAACAAACAGAGCTCTCGAGCTTCACTTCCCAACTTCACCCCGCCGTCATGGCAGAGCTCCAAGATACCCGCAATGGCCTCCGTGGCCTGTATCAGGATCTCTCTGCCCTTTCGAACTCTCAACTTCCCAACGTCGATCGCTTGTGTCTCGAACTGGAGACCCATATTCAAGACTTCCGCAAACTCCTAGACAAGCCAGCAAAGAACAATGCCAGCCGTCAAGCTGTTCTCTCAGGTAAGTAGCCACTTCATATCTTGGTTATCCCGAACGCCCGCTGTTCGTCCGCTTCGATAAGCTACTAACGTCGAATGCGATACAGGGAAGATCACCGTTGCCGACGTTGAATACTCGGTGAACCAGGATTTCCAGCAAGGCGCACTGCAACTTGCGGATGCGCTCGACATCGATGAATTGGAAGCAGCAGTTATGTTTTTGGCCGCCCAGGAAAATTCGCAAACGCTGGACAGGCCTCCACTGATCGCTGCGATAATAAGCTTCCACGAGCGCCGCCTTTTTACCCTCGAGTGTCTACGTCTCATCTTCCGAGAATCGCGCGAAATTGAACATGAATTGACCCACCCTATCATGCACGAAACGCTGGCCCACGTTCTGGAAATTAAAAACAGCCCTCTGCGGAATGCCTCCCTCTTCGCGCGAAAAGCCTTGAGTTCCATGGCCGATATCCAAAAATGGCTGTCCCTTCTTGGAGATCAAGTTCAAAAAGCCTCAGTCGTCGGCCAGGAAAATGACCGCGATATCATGGAAGCCATTGAATTCCAACGTACGAGTCTGCAACAGCAGCATGAGTCACTCGGAGCGATCCTATTCTATATGTTCAAAGGGACATACACGAGCAGCGAAGACTTCCGCATACTTGTGAGTCAGTTGAAGAACGTTGATTGCTTCGACGGACTTTTGTTTCACTACATTCCGGTCACAATTGCGTCTTTTGTACAGCATGGTTCTCCCGAGGGCTCTGGATCCGAGAAGGAGGCACGAGACCTGCACAAATTAATTACCACAACCAAGGATGGCCAAGGGTGGAAGCTGTCAAATTTCCACGCCGCCCTTGTTGCTCTGTGGCTCTCAGTCTACAGTGGATGGTACTTTGATGGTCTTTCATCCCCATCAGTCGACGCAGAGAAGGAATCTGAAGAGCGTACAAAGATGTTCATGTCTTCTCTCGACGATGGTGCCCTTGATTTCATGCTTGCGATCTGCTCCAGCGTCAACACCGAGGAATGGGCAGACCCCGCGCGGAGCGAATTAGTCACATTACTGCTCAGGGAAAGTGTCGTATCATTGCCTGATCCCGAGCCATGCTCTGGCTTTATGAAGGAGCTTTTGATGGAAAACTTCGAGGTTTTTGTGGAATCGTGCGTTGCAAATATGCCTGACGCTGTCCGACGGTTGAAGTCGGAGGAGGACTCACAGCGACTGGACCAGATCACCGCACTCCGAGATGGCCTTACTTCTAACCTCCACCGTGGCTTGGTAGAGGTGCGGACTCACCTTGAGTCACTCCTTATGATCATCTCATTCGCATTTGAGCACCGACAGGAAGCCGCCCAAGAATTCTGGGCTGACCCTGATGGGAATCTTTATGGCTTCCTTCAGTGGGCATCCAAGCGACAGACTGTTCCTCGGGTCAGCGCTTTTTGCGAAATGCTGTGTTCGATATCTGAGGGCGAAGAAAATGCAGGTGCGGCGCATCGATTCCTGTCGGAGGAAGACAAGTTTATGTCTACCAAGTTCAAGCGATCCACAACAATGAATTGGTCACAAATGTTCGCTGAACTAAAGCTTTACGCATCTCGTGTCACTGAGAAGCCTTCCACTACTACAAGCCCCCAAGGAGCGCCAGGGATCTTTCGTCCACGGAAACCAGAGCCCGTGGAAATGAACGAGCCTGAGAGCCCAGTGATGCTGACATGCTACCTTCGCCTGATAGGCCACCTGTGCAAGCAGAGTCGACCTATCCGAGAGTGGATGCTGCAAAACGAATCCTTCAATGTCGTTAGCACACTGTTAGACCTGTGCAGTGGGCCGATTCCATCGCATCTTCGGGCAACTACCTTTTCAACTCTCTCAGCATTGATGACTGACAAATTCTCCGCCGTTGGAAAGGAAACATGGGCCCGTCTCGATGGGTGGTTATCGGGAGGAACTGGTGCGTCCGGCATTGGCAAAGTCCCTTTGGTTTCCAACCCTGCCGTCTGGCACCAGCAACAAGCCTTGCAGAAGATTGGAGAGAGCTTTGACCAGACAAATTCATTTGTTGTTCTTGTCAATGCACTTATTGCTCCCTCGCCCGACTCAATTGACGACCCGATGTCACTGCCTTTCCCGGAGACCCTAGGTGGAACTTATCGCATGTCCGGGATCGAACCTTACATCGATTTCATCTTGGGACATGCCTTTTCACGGAAGATTCAAGATCTTAACGAGTACCAGTCCCGCCTGTTGACCTTCAGCTGCCTGGACTTCGTTGTGGCAAGCTTGAAATCCTTCAATGAAGACCTAGTGTTACTTCTGAGCCAGCCGTCCGTGTCCGATTCCCCGACACAGACTTCATCGCTGCTCACTTACGTTCGCTCCCATCCTTTTGCCCGCGTGGTGGACTGGCTTTTCAACGAAGACGTACTCAAATCTTTGTTTGCAACCTCGAAACAAAACGTTTCTGACGTGGCTGCCGCGTCGCCTGACTCTGTTCTGGTTCTAACCTTGCACCGGAGTCTGGAGGTTATGAACTTGCTCGTGGACCTGCAGTCAACGTACTTTAACATAGTCAAACCTTTGGTACAATCACAGCCCGTACCATCCCGGACCATCGTGGCAAACTCCTCGCTCGCTTCGTTCGAGGACACTGTGCTGAACAATCTGACACTCATCCCCTCACTCTGTCTCTATTGTGGCACGGCGCATGAGCAACTCACTGTCATTTCCATGGCTTTACTGGAAAAGCTTACCAGTTCCAGAAAGCTCAACAAGATGACCTCGCCGGAGCTCGTCAAGTGGCAATCCTCGAACAAGATTGTGGAGGTGCTTGCATCTGAGGTCGACGTGGACAGCATATCCCGGCCTCTTGTGTTACAAATGGAACCTGATGTGAGAGAACTTGATTACGGCCCGAATGCTGCCGGCTATGTCATTCGGGAAAGCCTTCTTGCTCTTTTGAACAGTTGCCTGGGAACGATCACAGACCGCCCAACGGTTGCCCATCTACTGCTGGGATTCGACTGCGTGGGCAATATTCTCGATGTGTCAGCGGAAGGGCTATTCGCGAATCAAAGTTCCTTGCTGCATGCCATCGTGAATTTCCTGAAGGCTTATCCGGAGATCCTCGATGGTGGCATTATATCTTGGGTAGTGCACCTCAAACGTATGGCCTTTGAAGTGCTGAAGCATTTGTGGTCATCGAAGCTGGCAAGCTACTACACCCTCGGTGAAATGCGTGCTCAGGCATTCTTGCGCGAGATGTTTGCCTACCAACCGATTATTGGCCCAAGCACTACCTGGAATGGATTCCCTATTGATTCAGAGGAATTTTGGCTCACAGACGCTGCCACTGCATTGGCTGAATTCCTGCTTTACCGAAGTCACCTCTTCACATATGCTGCAACCGAGGTTCGCTCGACAGCAAAAGCTAGATCACCGGCTCTACATACCCAAATTCTTTCCGTGTTGCTCGGAAACACGGTTGCGGATGACGGTGAACCAATACCCAGTCCGTCCGTGTTTGACCTTTTCGATTTCGCAGATCTTGATGTTGGACGCCAGTTCAACATGCCCCAGCTCCACTTGCTCGGTGATGTTGCTCTTCAATTAGAAAGCAAGCGGGAGGAGGGCGTGTACAGCATGGAAGGGGTAGAGGAGATGATACAAATGCGGAAAGCAGAACTCACGGCCAATGGACCGCTCCGCCCGCACGATGAGGAGCAGCTGCTAGTTGAGGCGAATGACCTCAAGTTGTTCATTCTCGCAACAAAGCAGAACAACCTGATTCAAACAAATCGCTATCACGCCCTCCGTTCCTGGGTAGAGCTCGTTGCCACCATGATCACTTGCTCTGCTATGGATGAAGGAAGCAGGCCAGCTTTCATTCTACATTCAATCCAATTGATTCTCCCTAAGCTCACAACGGCTATCGAGGCGGATCTCCCCGAAGCGCTTGAACTGGCACGATTGGCCGAATTGTTGATCGGTAGACTTGCATCGGAGCCATCAGCAACAGATGTGTCTCGAAGCGGAGATGTAATTGACGAAAAGCTCCACCAGCTCTTCCAACTCTGCATCCGAGGCACCAACCTGGCAACAGGGAATGTGTTGTTGAGAGAGACACTTTACAGCATTTGTTCACACTACATTACACGCATCACATCGTCGAACAAAGGCCATGAAAACCTACGGCGTCTTAGCCAACATGTCATCAAAGCGGCCGGTTCTAGCCTGATTGAGACCATGTGCGATGACGCCTATACTGGCCAAGAGTCGTGCCGTGCATCTGCCCTTGTGCTATTGAACAGTTTAGCTGTTTTAGATCGCCAAACTGACTGTGTGTTGGCTGAGTTAATCTCGAGGTCCAATTATTTGAGCCTATTCCTGGATGCCTTGCGGTCTCTTCCCCTTGAACTTCACAATGCTCAGGGAAGCGGTCAGTCATTTCCCCTTTGAAACAACCGTGTTATTATAACTAATCAAAACTTCAGACACCCCGGCACTACTGGCATACTACGAGTCGCTTTTGTCATTACTTCAGCGGCTCTCTCAAACAAAGGCGGAGCAAATTGTGTGCTCAACTCTGGTCTCTTCCAAGCCGTGCACGAATCACGACTTTTCGCTGCTGATCCAGACATCGGCATTGGTCAGTCAATCATATCCCGGCTCGATTGTATCTTGCTAACGCCCTCAGACATTGAAAATCCCGATGCGCTTCAGAGATATTACGACCTTATCCTTTCAGTCCTTCAGGTCATCGTGTATGCAGTTTTCTCTCGAGGTATCCACAACGAACAGCTTAAGGAGCAGACCCGCGTATTCCTGGCTGAAAACCGGCCATGTATGGCGGGTGTCTTCAAACGATCTGCCAAGATTGGGAACACATCAAGTGCCCACCACGAGACTCTATGTGAACTAGTCAAGACATTCATGGCTCTTGTTACTGCCACGGATTTCATGGAGGTACGTTTTCTTTTTGCAGTTTATTGGGACGAATTGATTATCATGTGACTGACTGCGTGTAGTTCGAGGAGCAGGAAGTCCAACATATCGCCCGACCAGCGTTGTTCTCATGAGCCTTTACCTACTGATGCTCACTGGAAAATTGAGATGAAATGCATGTATCATTATGACCCGGTGGAGTGCAGGCGGTTCCCAGGTTGAGCGATTTTATTTTTGAATTCATTTGCATCATATCTAATTCGTTATGTGTAAGAAATCTGCCCACTTCAAGCTTTCAGTCCTTGTTATGGTTATCCCTAGGGAGAGTTGACAGACCACCATACTAGCCCCGTAGGCCCTATAAGTAATGGCCGAAGGGGACTGCAAAACGTTCAGATTCTCGTCCAAAAAGGAGCTAACCTTGGTGATAAAGTTCCGGACATCAGTCGATAGGTCTGTCTGTTCTCTTTAGAAACTCCTTGACCCTGACTGAAAACTTTTTGGCCTCGGAGCCGTCTAGTTCAAAGTAAAAAAGTTAGCAATCACATTCCTGGGTCGAGAGGCTATGTTTCCCTGATAGATTGCTTGCTACCTTCGAGGCATACCCAGAAAATGCACCAGGACTTCGCCATGAAGCTTTGAGCGCATCGTCGTCATGTAGGGTAGTCCTTTGAAAATGCAAATTTTGCCTAGGTATCTAGTCGTTGCAAACACGCCATGACCATATCTAATATCCTTGGTATAGCATTCGCCAAGTGTCTTTTCTGGCGTCCTTTCTGGCGTCTTTTTTGATACCTAGTTAAACGTCTTTTTTGATGTCTTTTTTTCATATTCTAACTAACACAGCAAAAATAACACAAGACAGCCTTAGAAGGAGGATCGTATTTTTCCGATTCGGTCCCATGCGTATAACCTAGCCCTAACTCCCACCAATTTGATAGACCCGAGTTAGCTGTACATGTATGGAAGCATGTCCACTGGGATCACTATACATACATAGACATGTAGTATGTAGTGCATGTATGTACATGTATGTAGTAGTGATATCATGCTCCTTCCGTATTTCCTTGCCCTAACTGGTTTCCATGGCCACCATCCACCTTCGTTCCTTCCTGAATAGCTTCATATTCTGTTTATCAAACCATCGCAACTTCCTGTTGCCATTGCCCGTTGCCATGGAATATCCCAGTGTTATTTAGTTCCCCCCAGTCCTCTTTTCCTTTTCTTCTTTCTCCTCTCCCCATGCCACTGGTCATTATCACTTGCACTGCTTTTGATTACTACCAAGCTATTTACAATGCTCTCTTCTACTTCCACTGCTTCTTCTTCTGCTTTCGGCAAAAGGACTCGTCCTTCTCGCCTCCTATCTAAACACCGCCCTCCTCCTTCGAAGTCATGCCTCGCCGCTTCAGTCTCTGGCCGGGATCCCACCCCACCTGGAGAGCCTTGCGTCCGGAAGACTGTACATTTCCCCGACGACAAGCTCTCCCTCGAGCGGGTCAGGATCATCCCGGCTCGGCCAGATCGGAACCAAAGGGCCTCCTTCAAGAAAGGCCAGGTCGCGGAGACGAAGTCGTTCATCATGTACACTTCCAATCCCTCAGGCTCCAACCAGCGGTTCCTCTCCAAGCTTCCCGGAAGCTCTGGACCTCGGTACAAAACCCATTCACAATGGATGAGCGTTGTACGTGCCCGTCAACTCGCCGCTGCCTATTCTTCTGAGCCCCGTTCTCCTCCGCGGTCCGCACCTTCCTCCGAAGGGTCAGCGCCCGAACCTGCCACCGATGGTTCGCCCCAAGAGTCTTCCTCCTTTGACATGTCCTCCCTGAAGGTTGCCCTGCCTGAGCCTGCCTCCAGCGGTTCACAGCATGGGTCTGACTTCGACATGTCTGCGATGACTCGTGATCTGCCTGACCCTGACAAGGCCCTCGACATGTCCTCTCTGGCCGATGCACTCCCGGACCCGACTGACACCTTCGATATGAGCTCGCTCATGCGTGCTCTTCCCGACCTCGATGCTGCCCCCGAAGTACCATCCCCTCCGCCTGTGCGCCAGGCCGTGGTTGCTTCCCCCCCCTTGCGAGCCACGCAATTCACCTCCAAAGGTTCGTCAACGTGTGGTCCAGACCCACGTCCAGGTTGGCCCGTTCTCGCCAGCTTCGTTCTTCAACCTTTGTGCGGTCTTCCTTGTGGTGGGGTCTTGCTTCCCATGCCTTGCACCAGCATTCTATGCTGTGCTTGTGCTGCTCCTCATCCATGGGATGTGCTTCTTTTGAAGCTGACGGTCTGCATTCGGTGTCCTCTGAGTCCTCCTCGGCTGATTGGCTTCGTCTTCCTTCCTCTGTTTTTCTTTCTTTTGTTTTTGGGTCTGCTTTTTTCCATGTTTTGTTTTGTTCTTCTGAGGCTTTTGCCGTTTGCTTTTGTGAAAACAAAAAACCTCCAAAAAAATTTGCTTTCTGTGTTGTTGTTCCTGGCGTTCCTGGCGTTCCCTTTGTTTTTCCCTTGGGGGATCTGGGGAGTATCTGGTGAGTATTTTGGAGACATGAGGGCAACGTCTCTGTCTGTGATCGCGCGGAAGGCAGCAGGGACGTGTGGAAGCTCAGGATGGCAACGAGGGTAAGTCATTACCAATCACCTGATGATTTCAAAAGCTAACATCGCGATCAATTCCAGGGGGCTGGTGGGTATTCCCGACGAATCGAACCGACCGAATCGAACGTCACTGTCTGTGAACGTGCGGAAGACAGCAGGACGTGTGGTGGCTTCATTTCTTTTTCCTTCAAGGTAAATATGATTACACTCCTTTCTTTTTGATCTTATACTAACCGCATATCTTCCCGGGGAGGGGAGGGGGAACGTCTCTGTCTGTGACCGCGCGGAAGGCAGCAGAGCGTGTGGTGGCTCAATTGGATGGCGACGGGGGTAAGTCCTTGTTAAGCATCTGACGGTTCCGAAAACTAACATGACGACCAATTTCAGGTGGCTGGTGGGTGTCGTCGCCGCAAATTGTACCAACTGAATGTCTCTGTCTGTGAGCACGCGGAGGGCAGCAGAGCATGTGGTGACTTGCTTCCCCCCACTCAAATCCTTTTGCAAGCAGCATGGTTGAACCGCAAGGTCTTCCTGCTTCGTGTGCTGACATCTTATAGATCGATCAAATGTCTCTGTCTGTGAACATGCGGAAGGCAGCAGGACGTGTGGTGGCTCGCCTTTTTGGCGAAGGGAGTACGTCCATGTCCTTGCCCATGGATTTCTGTGATTGTGCTAACCGACTCAGTACCGAGTATCCTCCTACATCTTTTCTTCTTCTTTTCCTCTCTTTTTTTTTTCATCATATGTTCTCGCAGTGCGAGGGGTATGGAGAAGAAAGGATGGAAGTTGAGTACATTCAAGTGGTCTGTGCGTGCACCAAGTGTATCAAGTATGATCGCTCTGAATCACAGTGGTCTTTTCCAACACAAACAGAGTCACGGATCTTGAGAGAAGTATTCATGGTCTCGGGAATTTGAGCATCATTTTTCATAAAAGAAGAATCTAACGTTACTATAAGGCAAGGCCCAGAAAAGCTCAATCCGACAAACCACATGCTTTCCGAGGTGAATACACAGATTGTAAGGCCTAAGCCCATTCAAGTGTCTGCAACCCCTCTCTCGAGTAGTGTGCCAACAAGCCTATGCACTGTATAGCAGTGATCAACCATATCCTGCAGCGCACCAAGAGGGCTGTGCAAGTTACCGATGACACTAGTGACACTGTCAATAATTGGCGACCACCCAAATACAAAAACAGCCTTGCCATTGCTCGTGCACGAGCGGTCGTTTAAACATGTTTATCTATGCACGAGGTATAAATTATCTGGTCTCAGCAATCTCTGTGGTCACTATCGGTGCTGGACAATCACTGAGATCCAGGCCTACATTACATCAAGGGATTCGGTGCCAGTCACAAACCACAAATGGAGCAGAAATTCTTTCGTCCATGGTATAATTAAAACATCTCTGGTTGCAGTTATGGTGTTCCGTATTCATTTATGATACATGCACTGGCTGTCCAGGCGATAGCGATGATCGTGCATGGTCGAAGTGAGATGAGCAGGACTCGATGATCCGCGTGGATGCCTGGCCTGCTATTTGTGGAGTACCAGCCTGGTCACTCTGTATGATTGACGTCGTGCTGCCAGGGCTGCCCCAACTATGCACAGGGCAGTGGTTGCTGGTTGTCAATTTTCCCGTTTCCTTCCAGGATGTGTCCAAGCACAGCCTGGAGCTATTGGAGACTTGAGCCCAAGACAAAATTGTAGAAAAATGACTGACTTAGCAGCAAGGCCTGTATGAATATGTAAGGGTAACTATAGTCAGATGTTTACTATCGGGCGTGATCGTCAAGAAGGAGACGGGGAATTTACTTTCTTTGTGTAGGGCATGATATCATTTTCCAATAATCTATAAATGATACGAGTAGAGGAGCCCCAAGGCACACTGGATATAGATTTATACGGTAAAGGCATCATGCATTAGATGTGTCCAGAATATATGATTCAGTTAGGGCTAATTGTCACAAAGCCGTCCGAGACCCGAAATCTGCCATATGGTGTTGGGTTTATGTTTTGCGATTGACAAGGGTCTACTACGTGCAGTTTCACACACTGTTGGCTTATTTCTATTTCGAGATGAAACTGATATCAATATCAATAATTGTTTCATGTTTCTTTCATAACATGTGGCTCTCGAAACTCGAAACTCGACGATCCATGTACTCGGACCGCTCCACGAACCCACGAGACTACATCTACAATAAAGAAAATAATGCAATGAATGAAAAGCATATTAGAAGGATATTCGAGACTACTCCTAAAACAGACAAGTTAATCTGTCAACAACTTCGTGATGCAAGAAAGCGCCAGCATAACACCGACCCATGAAAAAGATAAGAGAAAACAGCACAAACTCGCAAGACCAGTAACGAGATCAAGTAGATGTTTATGTATGTTGCAAGAAGGGGGAATAGTCATAAAGAGACAACCCGCGAAGCCCGGCCAGTTGAGAACCAAAACTCTATACAAGTCGTGACGTGTAAATGCGCTGAAACAGATCCAGAGAGGTGTAAAGGTTGTGTATGAGGTGACGGGGGAAGGGTATGAGACGTCACCAGAATGGATACAAGGTCGAAGTGCGAGATATGAGATAAGCAGACGCTCAACGGATCGAAGGATAGCAAAGGAGATGAAAAGATAGGGTGGATCATGGACTGGAGAAAATAATAAAATGCCATGTAGAATGACAAACTCAATCCGATGAATGGACTACGGTGGTGTCGGAGTCTGTCCGGGCTCTGCGTGGTCGCGAGGCTTATCGCGGGATCGCATGTACATGGCATCGGAGTGCGAGGGATCAATCGGGCGGGGAAGACTTCTGTGCTGTTGCTGTTGTTGGGACACAACCTCCCGTGCGTAGAATTCTACGAGCATTGTCCCATATGACTCTAGTTCTTCGACAGTGATGGCGAGTCGGAAGTCATTCAGAAGGAGGAATTGTAGTTCCAAATGGTTGAGCTCCACCAGTGGAAGTCCGCCAACCTGTGTATCCAATAACAATTAGCTGTGATCCGGGAGTCAGATATAAGAATGAACATACCTTTGCATAACGTGAATTGGTGTAGAAAACATCAGAGAAGAACTTGCTCGCACAGGTCACGGCAGCGATGACCAGTCGATGGATATTAAAGCTATCAACGACGAAGAAATGTGAAAGTGCCTCAGCATCCGACTGAGGTGAAAGGCTCGGCGAAATTGAAGTATTCGGCCCATGCGAATCCTGCGCAGTAAAGCCTGTTGAAGGGGGTGGTGTCGCCATCAGAGAATCCCGCATCTCGGAGTCCCCTCCAGACACAGTAGATGCGGATGCGGATGAGGATCCAGATCCCTCGGTAGAGTCCCAACGTTGGTGCAGGGTGTCGAGCTGATCACGGTTGACCAGCTCGGTCATGCGGTCGAAGTAGACCAGCAAGCTTAGAAAGACCTCATAGGTTGTAGGACAGTATTTGTGAATGCGAGTTAAATAACTCAAGATTGTGATGGTCGGGACATTCTTGCCGTGGAATGCGAGCACGCTGGTAGCCTGTGGGCTAAGGTTCGAGGTGCCCTCGGGTGGCGGGATATGGCGATGTACATGTTCGTGATGGACATCGTTTGTAGTCGTGATCTTGGTCAGAAGCCCAGCGACCATCTCGATGATCTCCGTGACCGGCATGGAGCTAATCTCATACTGTCGTTGGTGCGACCCAGTTCCGGGAGTGTGTGAGCTCCGCGACCCCACCAAGTCCTCATTGGCGAGACTCTGAATGTGGGATAAGCTTTGGACCCGGATGCGACTCGGTGAATTGGCTTCGGAGCCTGGTACAGACTGCATGGACTGGTGTGTAGGTTGGAGGCGCGGTGAATCCGGCGCCGACTGATTAGAAGAGTACGGGTTGCTCCCGCTCTGGGTTGGTGGGGTACGTGTTGAGGAGTAAGAGTCCGGAGGAAAGGCATGGCTAGGATGAGACGTCATCGAGGGCGGGCGTGGGTTGAAACTGGGAGTCTCGGAAGAAGAGCGGGAAGCTTGAGAAGGTGTGCGCGAGTTGATGTAAGCCGGTACATCATTCGCATGCACAGGAAGCCGAGCAGAGCCTACGGACGACGGTGGGGCAATAGAGGTGGGGGTGGAGGAGGCAGTCGAGTGAGTGTCCATTGGCTGGGCAAAAGAATAAACTGAATCCGAGTCGATTGCGCCTCCCAACATGTCGATATGATCCGACGGCACGTGGTTGACGACGATGGAGCCCATGTCAAGGCTATGATCTGTTTTTCTGCGGGAACACGGGTCAGCAAGGCGGTCGCAGCTTGGAGACTCGCCACTGTGAACCGGACATGGGAGATCGAATAGAATAGAGATGATATGCACGATACAAGGGAAAAGGGAGGGAAAAGAGAGGGATAATAGAGGGGCTTGCATACACTTTTGATTACCCCAAGGGCTAGACCACGAAATCAGGGAGAAAATCCCCGAGCTAAAAGAGAGAGAGTTCGAGGATCAACGACTGATCGAATCCATTGAAAAGAAAAAGAAGAGGAGAATAGAGACAGAAGAACAGGAGTAACAGGAGTAACAGGAGTAACAGGAGTAAAGAGTAACAGGGGAAACGCGTAAGTTATATGGAAGGGGAGTTCTGAAGTTGGAGGAGTTTGGGTCAAAGTGAGGTGTGAGGTCAGTGAGGTCAGTGCCGGGGAAATATGAAAACATGAAACAGGATTTAATTAGGCAACATGTCAACTTTTTCATATATAATTCTCGTTTGGACTAATTAAGATATAAAAGGGAAAAAAAGAAACATACTCTCTCGTACTGAGTATGTTGTATGTTCTAAGAGATCTGTCATTAAGGGCTGATATAAAAGGAACGGTGTATGTTGTAGAGGGTCTATAGGTTGGACTATATTGACGAATGATAGAACGATATGCATCCTCGTGGGAGTGATGATGCTCAGACATCTTAGGCTTAGCGCTATTTGTTATGAAAAATGGAGATTTGCTATTTAGTCCGGGGATGAATATATTGTATTGGAATTCCAATGTGGATATTTCCCAATAGAATAACCATTTCCCTTTGTCCAGGGCATAGACTGGGATAGACTGGCATAGATTGACATAGACTGGCATTAAATAATGGAGAGTATAGCACTTTGTCTGCTGCATGTGGGATGTGAGATGTTTACCTACATATCTCCCAAGTCTGGGCGGTACTAATGGAAAACTACAGATCTACATAGGAGCGATGTATGTTCTACAGAGTATTACAGTACTGAATCAAACTCAATCCATGAACAGAATAGACCAGGATATATAAATCCGTGTTCCTCCCGGTCTATTCAAGTATATCACTCACTCGGCAGTTATCACCCAATAGCCCGCTGGCCGAGCACTTCCGATCTAGTCCTTGACTTGCTCGGTCCTTTTTCTCCCTACATAGCCCGATGATAAAGGTGGGGGTATGGCAGCACTCGTGGACTAGTGTCAGACTTGTCATATTGGCACTCGGACATAGTATATCCCCGGTGGGGGGGGGGCATAGTAGAATGTGAAGTCCGGAGAACTGGGATCATGAAACCATTTCATTTGGTGATTGACGCAATATTAGAACGCTTATTAATTCGTCACTCCGGGCCCAGTGTAGCCGTTGTCAGGCAGGTAGAGATGTCTCACGGCACCGGCCTTGGTCAGGACCACAAGACGAATGACACCACCGGAGCTACCGTCCCACTTAATCGCCTCCTGCAAAGCACTCCGCACGAAATCGATGCCTTCTTCCTCCGTCATCTGTTCCCGCCAGTGGGCATCGGTATAACCGTAGATGTAGGTCGAGCCCGAACCGCCGATAGCGAACGGCTGCTTGTGAAGGGATCCTCCTAACGGTATCGAGAACACCTGACCTCCGTGTCGTGCATCCCATCCGGCAAGAATGATACCCGCACTGTTGTTCAGTTAGCACGGATTGAGCGATGATCCAAAGACCCGGATACAGACCTCAGCGCGTCCTTGTTCTCATAACACAATTCCTGGAAGAGTGATGCAGCAACCTGTGTGGTAGGGGCCTCGGCGTTCGTTACACCGTACATGTTGAGATGGTAGGAGACAATGTCGGCCACAGCCTGGGTGTCCGCGGCGGAACCCGATCGGCAGCACCAGATGGTGTCGTGCACCTGTGTCAATTTGTCGGTGACTCGGTTGGCAATGTAGGCACCGGTGGTTGTTCGACTGTCTGCACCCAGGATGACTCCGTCTTTGAAGTTGATAGCCATGCTGTTGGAACGTTAGTGGGGATGGTTGCAGATGGTAAGGTTCGAGAGCTCCAGCTCAACTTACATCGAGGTTCCCAAGCTGAATGGAGAACGATACGTTAGTATATGTTGCATAACTCCCATGGTAAATAAAATCATAAGCTTAGCTTACTTGACCTCGCCAGACTTCAGGTGGTTCATGTCGACATGAATGCCATCTGGAGATGTTAGCTGGTTGCTGTCGGCGGATGACGATAGCTCTGCTCACCTTCACCGAGCATTCCTGATGTTCCATGGGGGGCGACCATTTTGTGCTGTGTTCGAGAGAAAAATAGAAAAAGGGGAAAGATGACTTCAATAAATCAAATAAAACGGCAAGGAGAAGAGGGAGGTAAGGGAAGAAGTAGAGGTGATGCTATGATGAACACAGGCAGAAGCTCACAACGCGGCACCTCGGGCGGTGAGGCCCCAGCCCCTACGACTTATCATCTTCTCCCCGCGAGACTCCTGAAGCTCAATTGCCCTTTTCTTCTGTGGTGGTTCATATTAACTTACTGTATTCATCTCTGGTCGCATTGACCATATCTGCTAGTCGATAAATTTGCAATACCAGAATCTCCCAGGCTTCGTTTTGTCGCGTGCTCTATCAGGTCCCCACTCTTAAGCCAACTCAGCGCCATGTCCGAATCCCCTCCGCCTCCGTCTTGGAGCATCAGCAACATGGCCAACAGTGCTGCGCAGTTCATGCGACTGCCGGTTCTTGCCTCATCTGGTCTGGCTGTTGTTGCGAGTGGGCTCCTCTACTTCAAGCAAAAGTACGCTATTGGCAACTAGGCCATTTGTTTACGAAACTAACCACTTTCCCCAGTGAATTAATCTATCCCCGCAATGTCCCCGTTGATGCGCGCACAAATGTCCCTAGTCCTCGCCAATTTGGCATCAGCGACTTTGAAGACCTCCAGATCCCAACACCCGACGGAGAGTCCTTGCACGCCCTTTTTCTCCGGCAACGACAAACCCGCTTCTCTCGCAATCTGACAGTCCTAATGTTCCACGGAAATGCAGGCAACATTGGCCACCGCGTCCCGATTGCGAAAGCTCTACAGGATACACTTCAGTGCAATGTCCTCCTGCTGGAATACCGCGGATACGGGATGTCTACAGGTACACCGGATGAAGCCGGCCTTAAGATCGATGCTCAAACCGGCCTTGATTACCTACGACAGCGCCCAGAGACAAGGGATACCGACATTATTGTCTACGGACAAAGTTTAGGAGGTGCGGTGGCTATCAATCTAGTTGCCAGCAACGAGGAGCAAGGTGATATCGGAGGACTGATCTTGGAGAACACTTTCCTGAGCATACGCAAGTTGATCCCAAAGTATGTTTTCGAATTATCAGAAGATTTCCGGGCGAGCAATGCTAACCTAAACAGTGTCTTCCCCCCAGCACGGTATTTGGCGCGTTTCTGCCACCAATATTGGACTAGTGAAGATATGCTGCCTAAGATCACCAAAACTCCAGTTCTTTTCTTGAGTGGACTAAAGGACGAGCTTGTTCCGTAAGTGTTTCTACTCCCAACATGGCGTTTTTATGGCTAATTTCCCTTAGTCCGTCTAATATGACCCAATTATTTGCCGTTTGCCAGTCCGAATGCAAGATCTGGCGCACACTCCCGAACGGCGGTCACAATGACTCTGTTGCTGAGCCAGGCTACTTCGAGCACATTCTTTCCTTCGTTACGGAAGAAGTGCTACCTAATAAATAGTGCTTAAGCTGACCTGGATTTTGCTTGGGTTTTTCGAATTCCCACTAGCGAACCCTTTACCCAAGGCCTCTCTCATGTTTTCTTTCCCGCCAAGAAGTACAAACACTTCAAGCTTTGCTCCAATGCTTGGCTGTCAAATCCCTTTTCGACAGCCAATCTAGACGTCTGGTTTTGGTCCCTACAACACAAGAATCAATTGACAAGAACTGTTGATTATGACCATGATACCCCCGCCACGCAACCAAGACACGAATTTCACTCTGCATCCGTTCAAATGATCACGGCCTGCCTCTTATGGCCCATACATGGCCCTGATGACTTCCTTTATTGACCCTCAAACCCTCAGGGAAGGGCCATACCTCCCATTTGATTGAGAATGGCTCTTTTCTTCTTTCTATCTATTCTTGTCCGATTTGCGTTCGATTCTTGTTTACTCCTTGTTTACTCATTGCTGACTATTATCATACTCGCGGTGTTTTTGCAATATTGGCTCAACATCGGGCGCCGGGCGTGTTTCTTTTCTCTGCTTATTCTTCTGCGGGCCTTTCTTTCGCCTTGCTTATTGGCTCCGGCAAATTCCCTTCTGTGCAAATACTAAAGGAGAACCCTTTTGAAATCGGTACGAATGTAATAATTTGATTCATGAAACTTTCGCTGTGCAATTCTAGGATACCTACCAACAACGAGTTCTACGATGATATTCCACGAAACTCTTAGGCTCCTGAGGGAGAGGGCATTGGAAAAACCAGTGATCTAAAGAATGAGCGAACCAAACAAGAAAGTCCATCATCCCCCTGGGTGACTGCAGACACAGCGAGTCAGCACAACGGCACGGGTCATTCCAACACATTCTCATGACCCTATATTTTCCTTGCATTGCACGGCGGTAGGAAGGAACCTGTCCTCGGCCTCGATGCGTACATTAAAAGTAGACACTCACCTTCTGACGGGTCTGAGCAGGCTTCTTCTTGATCAAATCCTTGATGTGGAAGTCTCTCGCCGTGGGGAACTACCAATTGCTCGTCCGCGTTGCTTCGGTGCGTGAATTGTCAAAAGAAGGCCATAGTAAACAGCAGGCACCTTGCAACTTATATGCTAATCTCAAGAAAATCATCACTAGCTCGACTCTTTCTGGTTGATCTACAAAGTTTTTCTGCTACTCGTAACACCATCCCTAGTACAAGATGGACACTACAAATAATTCAAATAACCAACCAAGCATCATGACCATGGCATGTAATACAGTTGAATGGTATCGACCAACATCAGAACAGCTCCATGCACCAACCGCGGAAATATTCCTACAATGCACATGCCTGGAAACTGAAGACGAAGCCAAAGAGCACATACAAGATCCGCGACGAAGCGTGGAAGATGTAAGCAAAACACCCTTCCAAGTTGGAAAATCCCAGAATGAGTCATGGTTTCTAACAAACACAAGGCTAAAGTCCAAGTTCTTATAGCCATGCATACCCCTGCATCGGACTATCCCGCTTCTTGAACTTCAGCATACGCCTATCCCCAGTCTACACGCAGGTACCAGACCGCATACGCGAGGGACGGACCCTACTAGACCTAGGCTGCTGTTTCGGCCAAGACCCACAAAGGTAGCATTCGATGCGGGACTATCTTCAGCCACGAACCTGATCTGGGCGGACATGGGTGATTTCATTCAACTGGGGTATGAACTGTTCCGAGATGAGCATTCAGTTGGGGCGCGATTTGTGACTAGGAGCATTTTCGATGAAGACTTCCTGGCTGATAGACGTGGACCTGTTGATATGATTTACTTGGGGAACTTTTTGCATCTGTTTGGCTACGAGGAGCAGCGGTATTGTTGCTCGGATTGGGAAGCTTCTTACTCCTAGGGCTGGTTCTATGGTTTTCGGGCGCAATGTTAGTGCGGAGAAGGGAGGCGCTTTCTTTATGAAGAGTCTTGGATGGAATATGTACCGGCATAGAGATCAGACAATCAAGGATCTTTGGAGAACTGCGGATGTTGGGTTGTTGGAGGTATAAAACTTGCGGCGACTTTCGGTTATCTGGGGATTGGGAGGACCATGATACTAAGCAGATGTCATTCTGGGTTTTAGAGCTGATGGTTGAATGTATTAGAAGAGAGATGGTTGCCAGTGAGTACATTTTTAGGATCTGAGGCAAGTTGAAGTAGATTAAGTTTCGACGTGCTGCAGCATGATATATATCACTGGCTATATCTACTGATTCGACTTTGTTTGAGCGGATCCATAAGTAATGGCTAATTCGTAAATAAAAAGACCGCAAGCACGTTCGTCTCATGTATATATCAGAAGACACATATTAGGAAACAGTCCACGGGTTTCTTCTTTCATTGTTTTACATCCGTTCCATGATCAACGGCCAATTCTTGGGATGCACCCATGTCTATTATTGAAACCACGAGAGTCCAAGTCCCAAAGATCTATATAAAACCGCAAGAAAAAGGGGAATGGGGAGATACATATAATACAAGTCACAAGGTATAGTCCAACAGAAGCAAACTACTGAAGTCTCTCAGCCTCGTCCACCAGTTCCTCAACCTTGAAGTTCTCAACATCACCCCGGGTGAACATGCGAACAAGCTCACTCTTCCGACCAGCAGCCTGGCCCTCAAAGTCATAGAAGCGCTGCACACAGCTAACAAGCCAAGTGGCCTCCATGGCCGAAACACCGCCGTCGGGAATAATCTGGCCATGCATAAGGACCATACCCTTGTCATCCGCCAGATCGAGGTGGTGAGTAATAGTGGTGTGAGGCTGGGCATACGCGCCGTGCATTTTATACACACCCAGATTCGTGAAGATCACAGTAGAGGTGTGGTTATTAGAAGGCGACAGAGTCGACCCCTCAGCAGGCGGGTGGAAAGCCCATTGAAGGAAGTGAATGTCGGCAACGGTGCCAGCTCCCTCGGGTGCTTGCTGCGCCTCTTCGGCGGTCTGCGGGCGCGGGAGGGGCAGGATGAACTGCGGGTTCTCGCGTGCGGCCTGCATAATGCGCTTGTACGTGTCCAACGGGATCGCCGCAGTAATAGCGTGCGGGTTCTCCGCAAAGCGGAGGCGCCAGAGCGCTTCGATCTCCTTGGGTGGGAGCTCGCGGATCTTCTCGACGTCCAGGTAGGTGCTGAGGGGCTTGACGGGGCTGGACTCGCTGGAGACGGCGCGTGCGGCTTTAGCGGTGCGCGACTCCTGTGGGGAGGAGGTGCTTTGAATGCTGGGGGTGTGCCTGGGACGGCGGTGGTGGATGCGGGTGTTCCGGGCTCTGGGGTAGCTGCGGTGGCTGCTTTGCGGCGGAGATCTTGGATCTTTTCGGAGTAGGCTTCCTTCAAAGACTCAACTGACTCGTGTCCCTCTCTAAATAAACCAGTCAGTACTGAAGTAGGAATAATTGTTCAGGAAGGTTCGCTCACTCCTTGGCCTTCTTGTCCAGTTTGGCCCGATACTTGTCCAGACATAGTTTGGATCGTGGTGCGAGGCGAGGAAGCGGACATCGTGGACCTGCGCCCACCGACGCTGCTGATGACGCAGCAGGTTGGAATTGCCACGGATCACCGATTGGAATCCCTGCAGTCGGAATGATGGCATTTTGGGTCTGAAGAGTAAATAGAATGAATCGCCGAATCTCCAGATAAGAGAAACGGCGGCCGGCTATCGGATGACATAATTACTGACATAAGCAGTTTTAATTGCCCAGGTGGTGCCATATAACCAAGGCAGAAATTCAGCATGACCAGGCACCAATATTCCCTAATTAGGATATGTGGGTCTTTATATTTCACTGAAGGATAGACCTCACGTGAATCCTTCACTGGGTAGACCAGCCGTTAGTCGCTATGCTTTCTGCGAGCTTAGGGCGGGGTGAGCAGAATTGCGATATTGCCGTATCGGAATGACCGTACGTTGTATGTTCAATGCAGCGTCGTGGGGATTCTTTTTTTATTTTTCTTTACATGTAGACTTCAGAGTAGGTACCTGCCACATAAGACCGAAGGCGAAAGTGCTATATAATAAGAAAATTTGGAAAAAGACAGTCCTAACTTTCTACTACATATATAATCAATATGTTACATCCACGTCGAGGTTAAAGCTGCACATTGATCCTTTGATTCCCAGTAGTACAAAAAACCATCAACAGCATATCAGAGTACATCCATACCTCGATTAGCTCCAATATGCCACCTCTATTTCTCCACGGTATGGCCCGGCTGGTGCATCCATGTATGACTTTTGCAAAAGCTAGTTACTTCAAATTTAATAGACAACCTAAATACCAGCTCATTGGTTTGCAAATAGTCTTGTCTAATATGTTGCATCTTTATGCTACATCCATATATCATAATGGACCCACCTATGTCCATTAGTCATCATTTCAATGCCCAACCATGGTTACCCATGTGGGATTGCGCCCTGAACTATATAACCTTAAAGGCACCGTCCTCATAAATCCAGCTCCTCAAGAACAACCTCCTCATCTCCCAATATTCCCCATCTTCCCACACCCCCATCTCCCCTATCCCAGAAAAAGGAAAGAGAAAGCCTACAGAAATGGCAATCCATGAAAAAGAGTTCTCCACCCCACCGCCCCATCCACCAGTGGGTACACCCCAGAACTCCCCATCCGCATTGCCATGGTACTCCATCGCGCCGGGGGTATGGGAATTCTTGCTAAACGGCGCCGGAGAGCACAAAGCTGTGCTGCAGTGGTGGGAGCCAAATACTACATCTGCGCAGACAGAGCCAATAACACATCCCTACATCGAGGAGGTCTGCACCCTGCGCGGTGGACTGGAAGATCTTTCGCTCGGAGAGTCGTGGGGTATGGGTGCCTACGCCTACCGGGAACCTGGGATGGAGCATGGACCGTATCGGGCGACGAAGGATGGATGCCTGCAGTTTGTTAAGGTCGTGCCGGTGAAGAAGCAGGGATTGTGATTTAGCTTCGAGTGTGTAGTTGGGATCTGGGAAATTAATGGCTACGTCTTTGGTTGTTCGGGACTACGTATTGATAATTTGGTTTCTTTTGGGAGTTGGTTGGTTCTCGAGTTTTTTTTTTTTCCTAGCTAGTTCATTTTTCCTTCTTTTTCGCTTACAAGTGTATGCCAAAAAATGATGCATGCGTGCGATGCTTTCGACATGCGATATCCTATCGTGTATGAGCAAACTCCGAACTCCAAAATTAATGCAAGCGACTTCGCAAAGAATGAGACATGTCCAACGCTTTTGAAACATTTTTAATTTTGTTTCTCATGTCATCAATCATCAAATCCTGCCCAAAACTTTAGATCAGCACATCATCTGTAGCAGATGCTTCAGGCTGAGTTGCCTCAGCCTGAGTGGGGCGATCTTCCACAGGAGATTCGATCTCGGGAGCAGGTTCAGGCTTTCCCTCAGGGTCCTCAAGGACAACTATTTGCTGGTCCTTGTCCTGTTCCCCGGAATCCTCTTCTCCCCCTCCCCCTTTGCTTCCTCTTTCTCCTCTTTCTCCTCAGCCTCTTCCCAATCATCAACAACCTCAGGTGCAGGGGTCTTCGCACGCAAAGACTTGCCCGCTCCAACACCAGATCTCAGAACCAAGCGCTCCTTCTTCGCGCCATCACCATCAAGAGCAGCATAGATAGACTTGCTCACCCACGGGTTCTGAACAGGAGTTCCAGTCCTCGAACCAGCCGCGCTACCACCCCTACTCTTCGAAGCAACCTGGGCCCATCCACCGTCTCCAGCACTAGCCTGTGCCTTAGCGGCTTCACGGGTCGCCTTAGCCTCGAGAGCGGCGACACGACGCGCTTCTTGTTCTTTGCTGCGCTCGCGCTCGCGAAGCTTGACGCACTCGCGTACGCTCATGCCGCCGATGCCGATGGTCGAACCGCTACCCATGCCGAAGACGGGAGGCGTCCAAGCAACCGGCTTTAAGACGAAGACGTGGCGGTGGGGTTCTGGGTCGTGGCTTTCTGTCACGAAGCCCCAGTCTGCAGCAAGGGAGTGCGCAAATGCACGGAGAGTGGATTTTGCCGGCTGGAAGCGGAATGAGCGGGTTGGTTTCTCTGCCGCTGCCAGGGAGTGAAGATTGGATTCGTAGGTTTGGAGAGTTGATAGAGGTACTGAGCTTGCGAGCTGGACGTATTGGTTCAGCGTCTCTTCCGAGTAGGGGAGGTTCTCGGCTGTGATGGTTTGAAGCGTTGTTGTCTGGTTGATGTCGATGCCAAGAGCACCCGCCAGAGAGCGGTTCCGCTCCAGACGCGTGCATTCGTCGTCGCATGTCAATGGGGTCAGCTCTGGCTGGCGTTGGGGCGACTGAACCTGGCCCTTGGAGGTCACTGCCTTGGCGGCGTTGCACCGTCTTTCTTGCCGAAGTCGTCCACAGCCACATGTCACTGCGATCTTGGACGAACATGGTGTCTTCTCGGGACAAGCGTACGGCGCGTGGCATTGCTCCGTGCAAGGATGGCCGCACATAGTCTTGTTCTTTCCACAGGGTTGGCTGCAAGGTTTGGTTGCGTCTTCACAATCCTCCGGGCGATGGCAGTCCTTCCGGCAGAAATGAGAGCCGCACTTGAGCAGCTGCCCACATACTTGACCGCAGCGCGCATCAGTCAGCCAGCAGGGCACGTTTTTCAGCACCCGCTTTCCACACAGACACGCCTTCTCGGTCAAGAACGGACACTTTGGACAGTTCTCCTCGTCTGTGTGGCAGGTATGCGAGGCTTGAGGGTGACCGCATCGCTTTGGACGCTCACAGGGGAAGTTACAAGCTGGTGGCTTTGCGCCACACGGCTGCGGAGGATATAGAACAGATCTTCCGCAATTACACGAAATCTCTTCAAACACTGCCTCCCTGCAGGTATTGCAAGCACCCTTGTGGCAAAGCTCCGGGCATGTGTGCCTTCCGCATTTCAGCATCCGGCCACATACACGAGTGCAAATATGCTCTGCCTCGATGTCCTCATCAGCAGGGCGGAGATGGGGTCTGAGTTTACGACGTGCAGCCTGGCGCTCATTGGCCCTTTGCTCTCCTGGACAACACCTTTCAGTGCATGTGTGTCGACCACAGTGTAGAGTCGCCTTGCACATGCGTGGGCACTGGGGAGGCTCATTCTGGCCTTGATGACAGATTGTCAGATTATCAGTACGACCACAGTTGCACTTGATGTGCACATTGCGCAAGCAAGCGCCACATGATCCAACATGGCACAGCTTTTCGCAAGGATGACCACATGGAAGTGTCTTCCCACAAGGCTTTTGGCAGTTCAAAATAGGGTCTTCGCAGGAGGTACGAGGTGTGTATCCTGGGATCTCAGATAACGGCGTTTTGCCACAGGCGCAGTTGACAATGACATCTGGTGACTGAGGACAGTGCGCAGGATGAGGATCTTGCGGGTGGCAGTTCTTCTGGCATGAATGTTTACCACAATCAAATGGACGGTTACAAGTTTCTCCACAGCTAAAGCAGCCGGTCCACTCATCTTCCGAGCCGTCATCGCGGATGATTCGGCTGTCCTCCTCATCATCTTTTGACTTACACAGCATCTCCGTCTGCAGTTTCCCGCAATAGCAACGGGCGTCAATGCTAACCTCACAGCCACCACACAATCCCTCATGACAGGGAAGCGGACATGTATGTTCCCCACATGGCAGCAACTCACCACAGATTTCGCCACAGCTCCATCCATTCTCATAATCGGTATCCTGGCAACGCTTCTGCGACGAGTTAAGGCCACAGAAACAATCTTGGGTCGGACCCATAGCAGTACAAGGCGCACACGGACCAGCATGGCACGTTGCATCACAAGGATGGGGACAACCCTTGCGAGGCCGCGAGCAAGTCTGACCACACGAATGCGGAGGCAAACCGGGAAGAGGTCTAGGATCGACCTCTTTCTCGCACCAACAAGAGTAGCTCATGGGGAAGTTTTGTTGAGAAAGGTTACAACCCGGACAACGCCAAGCGCGAGGAGTGAGGTCTTCCTGCCCGTTCTCTTGAGCGGAAGCTCTCTGTGCAGCTGCACCCTCATTCGTGGACCATTTCTTGACACAGCTCAGATGGAAAACAGTCCAGCATAGCTCACAAGACCAGACCCGGGACCTGCGACCCAGCTCGCTGCAGCAAATAGGGCATTCGTATAGGTTGTGCGAGATGTCTTCGTGGATGCGGGTAGCCAGGTCGTCGGCTGTGGATTTCGTCGTGACTTTGGGTTGCGGCGGCGGTGCCTTAGGCTGCCTGGCTTTCCCTTTCCCTTTCGAAGATGGCGCTGACTCGGATGGTTGTCCTTTTTGGGAAGGCGGCTTGCCCGGTACAAACTCCGGCACATCGGCTCTTAGTGTGTGGTCATGTAAATGCCCCGCACCATCCAATGGAGCGCCACTTTCGGCCTGGTCTGGTCTTGTTAACTGAGCTTCGAAACCACGCGCTCGCATCCCACGGGTTCGTGTCTCTGGTCGCGTCTCCTGGCTTTCAGGTCCTCCATTCTGACGAGGTCCATTGTTTCTTTGTCTCCGGCCTCTTCCTTCTCTGTTTCCCCCTCTCCGCGAGCTGGACGGTCCATCCTGTTGACTGGGCTGTGATGTTGTATTCGATTGTGGTCGAGATTGTGTAGGTTGTGCTTGCGGCGCAGCTTGGTTTTGGGGCTCATTCGCGGGTGCTTGTTGCTGACCTTCACGCTTCGCAGAACCCCGCCCTCTGCGTCTAGATGGCCTGGAAGAACGTGGGGGTCGTGGCCCGGCTGGTAATGAAGCCTCTGGCTGTGGTGTTGCCATGGCTGAAGATGCTGCGGAGATCTGACTGGAGACTCCTGGCGTACTCATGTGCTTCCGGTGATTATTCTCACTTGCGCTTGACTTGAATAGAGTAATTGTTGGTCGACTGAGCGTGTTGCTCTAATGTAGGCTGAAAAGGCAGGATAAAGCAAAATGAGCGGAAGCTAGACAGTAAGTAAAGCAGCGAGGAATAAAATCAAAGGCAAAAGCCCGCTTATAGAATGCAAAGAGAAAATTGTGGCGCAACGAATTATCTAGAAGGCGATAAAAGCTCTTTATGGCAGAATCGGGCGGCGAATAAGGCGGTGACATAGTGGCAAGCAGCTCCAGGGCTCTGGGCAGCTGTGAGTCAGCCCCGGAGGAATTACATAACATGACTCATTATGCCTGGGCAGGGGTAATGTGGGTCTGCAATCAATGAATTCGAGTCATGCTTCGTATCACAAAGAAAGAGAATGAAGCAATGCAATTCATTGGATTTGGTTATCATGCGATAGGTCCATAGTGTTTGACTCCACTACGTGCCAAGACATTGAAGAAAGAATTAGTGCAGGAGGCTTATATCCAGAACACCATCTGCAGCATGTTAACGCACAATCGGACTTCGGGAATATGCTCGATCTTAGATGAAACGAGGTAATTCCTTCGATTCCAGCCCGCTACAAAGGGACGTCAGGGAAGACAGTCAAAGCTCATCATAATTGCAATTTAGTCCCGATCCCGAATTAAACATAGACAAAAATGCAATATCAAAGCCGGCGCATCAAAAGAAACATGGCGCTATGCAAGAAAACCAGCCCGTTCACCTCGTAACAAAGAACCATCCATCCTCTGGTTGAAATCATACACACCGAGTCCAGGCTTTAAATGAACACAACGATCTCACCACGATCATTCCGTCTCAGCCTCAACGCGCGGAAAAGATCCTTCTCATCATCAACCCTGCGCTCCCGGTCTGCCCGACTACGTCCACTATCACGACCGCGATCAGCATCATACTCATCCGAGAGATCACGGTGGAAGCGCTTAAGCGCCTTGTTAATGGAGCAGCCACGCTCGCTATCCTTCGAGACCAGCGAGAGGAAGTGATAAGCCAGCTCGCGCTGCAGATCCTCGCCCGTGCGCGCCGGCGGTCGCGACTGCTTGTAGACAGTAACCTGGTGGCCGTGGGAGGATTCAACGGAGCCGCGGCGCTCATCAATTTGCTTAAGACGACGGGAGGGTCTGTCGCCGTCGGTGGGGTTTGAGCTCTTGCGCTTGGACTTGCGGGAGTCGTCGTTGTCGTCTGCGCGCGAACGGTGCGACTTCTTGCTCTTGCGGACTTCGAGCTGTCCGTCGCCGCTGGAGGAGCTGCCGCGGCGGGCGTGGACCAGGGCCTTGGAACCGGGTTCCGTGCTGGAGACGGCTGAGCCACCGAACATAGAGGAGACGAGGCGGCCGGCGCGGTTCTTCATTGAGATGCCGAGGCCTTGATCGCCGTTGCCGTTGGCTTCTTTGCCATTGCGGCGGCTGCGCTTGATCGGGGACGAGGTGTCTTGGTAGGCGCGGCGGCTGGTCTCCGGGCTGTCGTCGCCGTCGGGGGACGCGGAGCGCATCATCCGGTTCAGGCCGCCGGTCAGGCCGGAGTGGTTCAGCATGGGTGTGCCGGCGTTGTTGATGATGCTGGAGGGGGCATCCATCATTGGGGTATCGACTGCTTCGCCCGGAGTGCTGAGCACCTCCGCTTGGCCACGCTTGCGCTTCTTCTCGCTGACGGTGCCTGGGGCCTTCTCCTCGCGACGGCGGTCCTTCTTCTTCTTAGGTGCCGGCGTAACGAACTCTGTTGTGGACGCGTTCCGAGGCGAGGAGGAGTGCGGGATGTCGCCGGCGCCATATGAATAGCCATTCTCCTCGTATGCGATATCGTAATTTTTACCCTCATCATCCATGTTGGGGTTGGTGTCGATACGAGCGAGGGTCTTGCTCGGCTCGAAGATTGATCTGGCATTGGGGTCCATTGTCATCTCTGGCTTGGGCTCGGCAACAGAGACCTTGGAGGTGTTCGGGGTCTCCTCCGCGACCAGGTAGTCGAATACATTGACAGGCTTGTCATTGTTGGCCGGGGCAGGAGGGGCCCTCACCTCACCGGCAGGCGGGGGCGTGGGAGCAGGGGGAGGAGGAGCGTTCTTCAGGGCCTCGCCATCTGAACCATCCTCCACACGGGGTTGCTGGTGGCGACCGTTGGGGGTTTGGTTCGCATTCTGCTTGTTGTTTTGTCCCTTCTTTCCTTTCTGGGGCTTCTCTTTATACAGAGCACCCTGATACTTTTGCGCCTCGCTCATGCATGACTGTAGTGGCCGGTGTCGTTAGCGGATGTCTCCCTTGTTGATTTAATTAGGACTCTAGCAGAGTCGCCGCATGACCATTAATGACCATTACGCGAAAATGCGACGCGGATCCGACGTACCGTATGAGCTCGATATTCTGTTCCGTAGAAGTGCACCATGCAATCGATACAGGTGAAGGAAGCGCCGCGACATTGGCCACGATGAGGATCGAGCTTTTTCTTGGTGAGAACATCACCACATGCCTACCATACTGATTGTTAGCAGCGGCTCAAGCGCAAGGCATACAGACACCAGATAGGACTTACCTCGCAAGAGAAGGAGACCATTGTTGACACTCAAGATCACCTTATCAGGTGCGCAAACAAGAGGGAAGAGGGTTTCGGGAGGGGTGTATCCCTTGGGAGAGTGTAGAAAGCGCCTAAGCGGGGAATTCGCCTTGATACGAAATTCAATATCTCGGCTTTTTCCTTTTCTTTTTTTTGCTTTTTCTTTTTTCGCGTCGAAGTTTGGCGCGCAGGTCCACACTAGTCTCGATGGGGAGCCGCACTAGGCTCTTTTGGGTAATATCGATGGGCTGGGCGCGTCGGGAGGGACCAAAGTGTACTCCGTAACTCTTCCAAGGGTTCCGAGTACTTTGGGAACATTTATCGTATAAAAAGAACATTCGAAAAGAAAGCGAGAAACTGATTTATTATCTACTCAACTCGGTACATGTTTCAGGGTAACTGAAAAAGCGCAGATCCCACGCGGACATGGGTGGTAGGTCTGTCAGGAGACCACATGCTTTCATTTGTCACTTCCCAGTTGAAGGGGCAGACGCGGGGAGGATCTGAGCATTCAGATTGGTCGACTGGCCCCTCGAAACATACCATATTGACGCCTCTACTGTTATTTTTGGCCCAAACTCAAACACTATTCCCGACTATCCCTTCATCTATACTGCGATCAGTGATATACCGCTCTTCGAGAGTTCCGTCATGCTACATGAAACTAGTTGATCTGGAGGGTTGGTATCACGAGGGTGCAACTGACGACATCATCGCTGTTGGTCATATTGAAGACCAAGAGAAAGTTTAATCGGTGCTTTCTGCTAATATAAGCCTGGTATGACGCTTTAGTCTGCTTAGCTGTTCAGGGATATACTGGCTAGGTTTCTTTGGTCATGCGCGCCATCTTCCACACTTGATCACCAGGCAGGATGATCTTTGCGCATAGGATTTGGGTCATGTACTTTGTACAGATCGGCAATCGAGACGATGCGGGAATTGTATACCGTTATCATTCACATTTTATAGGACTAGAGCGCACCTTTGACGTACATGTGGAGATGTTATGGATTGAGCAAACCCCCAAAGATATGCCTGGGAAAGAGAGCCAGAAATCAAGATGCGTTAAATAGTATCTACTGTATCGGTACATTGGTATAATACATCAGGCGGGGACCTCTCTTATCCCAAAAGCCACATGCAGAACACAACAAGGGTATATTGATTGATATTGACATAGTCAACTGACGATTTATTATTGTACAAGGGAGACCAGCTCCATAAGTGTGAGCAGAAAGGTGCATAGCAAGCATCCAAGCGCTGGGTATAAACCAAACAGGATGAGCCCCATGGGGTCGAAAGGATAGTCGAAGGTTCATCCCATCAACCACGGGTTGTCCTAAAGCGTGTATTAGCAACCAAGCAGTCATGATAGATGCCACAACGGGGAAGTCACTAACTCTTCCTTCGAGATCTCCACAGCAGGGCCATCATGGTGCTCCGAGCTCCCCTTCCCAGCATCGGACCGAGAAGCAGCACCCTCCTTGCCCTCACCCGCCTCCTCGTCCCCACCACAGCCGCAATCATAGAATTCCCCCAGATTGGCGCAGTCAAACTCAGGCTTACCAAGCATGGCATTGACCTCATTGTGAACGAAGCAAGCCCATCCGGAGGCAGCATTGCGCGACGAAACTTGAGGGGGATATTTGCTCAAATGCTGCATGAAGTGCTCAGCGCATTCTCCACTGATGTCATCAACCGTTAGTCTCCGATCTGACATAGAGTACGTAGGGAAGGAATCTCATTACCAAGGATATAACCGAGCAAACAGGTAGATATAAGAGCGCAGAGCCTCCTTCTGGTCTTCCGTGGGTTTCTCGGGGAACCGCGCCATAACAGTATGGAAGTACTTCCAAGTCGCACGACCTAATTCAGCTCTGGAACAGCCACCAATTCCGTAATCAGCATTTGTCCCACCACTCGTGTATTTCCCATGTGTCACTCTGGGGGTGCCTTACTTGACCGTCTCATTGCCTAGCTTCGGCATCACCACGTCGCCTTTCAGTGTGCTATCTTCGATGCTTATCCCCGGCGCGGATGCCGATGCCGAGTGGTCGATGTGGCCTGGGGCACGGACGGCGGGGCTCGGTGGCCCCTGCGGTCGAATGAAGAGGAAGAACATGAGGCATAGTGCGATCGCTGCGCTGGTGATAATGCGCCGTGTGATTTGTCGGTTCGCCATGTTCGGGGGTGGTGATGGTTGGGGAAAAGAGATGTCGCCAAGCGTCCGTTCGCGGGAGCACCTGGGACTTGTGAGCAGGGAATATTCCCGCTGGAATACGAGATAGAATAATTCAGCTGAGGATTTGAGAAATGATTGCTAAAGGGAGCTTTTTACGAAGGGGAGTTTGGTACTTCCAAGGGCCGGGGCTCCATACAGCTTAGTCATGATTCGCCGCGCCCGGACAGCGGGGCCGTGGATACACGAGTTGCCCTAGAAGAGTCCTATCATACGATTGATCAGCTTGAGACAACATGATTTGGAGAATGTATCCCTGCCACGTTAGCATTGATTTTTGCTGACCATCCAATGGCTCTCCGAATAATAGATCCAGCCCATCTAAACCCACATTGGATACATTGAAGATTTGACACCGCCACAAAGCTTTCTTAGTTATTGGGATTGAGGTCCCGACTAGTAAATATTGTCTTCAAGATCAAGCTCATCTACATCCCGTCGTGGTGTCCAAATGCAGCAACCGAGTCGCTCAAACTCGGAGGCAGGTCCTCCTTGCGTGTACCCCAGTCGCTCTCTTTGTCCCCAAGTGTCAACTCCAGCGTCATACCTCGAGTAAAGAACTCATGTCCAATCCAGCTCTTGGTGTAGGGCTTTCCATTGAGCCTGGCACTCTGGATATAGATCTTCTTGTATGTTTTGTCGAAGTTGACATTCCGAATGGTAGCAGTTTTCTTTGTTTCAGGGTGAGTGATTGCGACGGCCTTAAAGAACGGAGGAATAATTAAGTACACATTCTGCCCCGGATTCGGGAACAGGCCCATCAAGCTCCAAGTCAGGAATGATCCCATGGCTCCCGAGTCATCGTTGCCAGGTAGACCACTATGCGTGGCGTTGAAAGAAGACGGGATGTAAGCGTGGGCTCGGCTGGCGGACAGACCAGGGCGTCCGGCATAGTGATAATCGTATACAGTCAAGAATACCGGCTCGTTGCCCATATCTGCCAAGCCAGAGGTGTGAAAATAGTCTAACCGAGACACGAAAGAGTCCGGGCCGCCGACCATCTTGACCAGCTTTGCCATGTCATGAGGAACGAAGCTATATAGTATCAGCATCTGAGGGTTGTTGGGGCTCGGAAATGATATACGCACAATAGGTACTCCCAGATGCTAGACTCGAATGTCTCTGAAGGGTTCGAGGTGAGAGAGCACCACGATGTCAAAGCGCTGCAGGCAATGGGATCCTGATAGCCCCAGGTTCCGTTGATGTACTTTGGCTGAAAGAACCCAGTAAAGCCAGTGTCTGTCCCATTCCCCAGCAGCGACTTCTGGTCTTCTTTGTACAAGTTCTGCCAGTTTCCAGACCGAGACAAGTAAGTGGCGTAATCCTTTTTGCCAAGGCCCTTTGCTACAACTGATAGGGCGTAGTCATTGTATGCGTATTCCAGCGTTCGCGAGATACTCCGTGAATTGGTTCCGAAGCCAATATAGTCGAAGTCCAGATATGGAATATAGTTGAGGTGTTTCCAGCTCTGCAGACCTCCTCGCCCTTCATATGACCATTCGAGAGGCTCGTTCTCTGCATCGTTGACCATAGCTTTGTAGGCAAGTTCCCAGTCAATACCCGTGAGGTTCTTTACGTAGGCGTCTGCAAGAACAATATCGGCGTTGGAACCTCCCTGCGTCCAGCCTTTGCAGAGACTCATGCGGCAATCGGGCAGCCATCCTTCGTGCTTGAATGTGTCCAGCAAGCTACGAACCATCTTTGACTGTGCTTTTGGGTCGATGATTGTGAGGAACGGATGCTGCGCCCGGAAAGCGTCCCAGAGGCAGTAGAAAGAGTCAAAATATGGCTCATCACTTTTCCATAGTGGATTTTCGCCGGTCAGATCTTGAGGTGATAACATAGTTCGGTAGATACCACTCCAGAAACCGCTGATCATGTCTTTGCTGGCACCACCCGGGATAACCTTGATAGGACTGAGTTTCTCCTTCCACGCAGCCTCTGCACTTTTCCGGAGATCATCAAATGCGTCTTCCGGCTCGGGCACTTCCGCCTCAGCATTTTTGCAGGCTTGGTCTGAGCTGACAAAGCTGACACCCACCCTCACAGTCACAATTCCATTGTCTGGTCGATCGAAGGCCATATAGCCACCGGCTTGAAGGTAGAAGTTGTTGAAGCCGCGAGTGACAAACAACTCCTGCACTGATCCAGCTCGGTCATTGACCCAGATTCCGCTGTCATCGACATCAGCATCGCCGAAATCAGCACAGAAATATGACTTGTACGAGCCAGCTCCAAAGCTCGGCAAAAAAGTACCGTTGCCTCTGATTCGACCTTTGTCTGCGTCGAGGCTAATGGAAGCATTCTGTCGACTATCCCACAGATCAGTCAGATCCACCGAGATCAACGGATTGAGATCATATCCCTCCGCCGTATATCCCTTTGGAAAAGTAAACCGGTACAATGCTGTGCGCCGCGCCGCAGTCATCTCCGCCTTAATGCCGTTCTCAAGCGTCAAGGAAAAGTAGCCAGGCCGCGCAACCACAGAGTCATTCTTGTAGTGGACCGCGCGAGCAGCCTTGGGGAACTTGCAATTATCCACGATATTGTCTTGGCAGTACTGTGGGAAACAGAGGAAAATTTCCCATAGACGGGTTCCCGCCTGTGCCACTGTCATGCATATGCGAGAAGCCGGTGACATTGCTCCCATCAGTCGAGAAACCTCCAGTATTCTGGCCATCGACGTCGGCGACAGGTTTTGCCATGCCATAGGGAAGGCTCGCGCCTGCGAAGACATTGCCGCCATTGGTTGACCCGATCAGGGGATTGACGTAACGGAGGTCATTCTGGGTTGCTACTGTGTTCAGCGCGCATTGGAGAAGTAGGAGGCTGTATAGAGTGTTTTTCCGCAAAATCGCCATGGCGTTCCGGAATGTGAGGATCAAATCACGCGCAATGACGCGTTGAGTTTGTAGATCTGGGGTGTGAGGAGTACGATAGACGCAGGAGGCGGGGAGAAGGAGCGAGCGCCTTCTGCAAGGAGGTGTTTCTCATATCGCCATGTTGTAACGTCGCATTGCTCGTGCGATCGACGGCCTAAATAGTGTTAGTGTTGAATGCCAGGGAGACCACTAAGTGCGGGGTTAATGTATCCTCAAGTCAATTCATCTTGTTGAAGCGTGTGTTGAAGTTCCGCATTGCCACATGAAAATGTAATATTGTCCTCGCAAATCATTTTAAGGCATTTTAGTGAACTCGAATTGTATATGCTGGTACTTCTTCTATAAGCACAGCCTCCTATTTCAGTCTTCACCATATTAAATGACTGGTCAAAACACGAATGTAAAGAAGTAATAGGTACCTACCAAACTACCTACCTAGGTAGGTACCAATATCACATGGATTATGTGGTCCACTCTCTATCAAAACCTTAAATGTAGTAGCGTCTACTTGACATTATCATCACTTCGTCACAATATTTGTCTTCTCACTACTTTTCTTTGTCAATATGTCGGACATTGTATCCCCTAAAACGGAAAAGAGCCTACAATTTATCTCCTTCTGTTTCCTACCCGGGAATCTACTGAACCCAGTGTGCACCAGACTACAATATCCGATTTGAATCGAGTGGAGCACCGCCCACCGCTAGCTCAGCTTGACACTTCAAGATGAACTATCAAAAGCCAATAACCCTGCCCGATCTTCCTCTCGAGCTATTGCTCATGATATCTGACCACTCGTCGTTCGCTGATGTTGCTTGTCTCGCCCTATGCAACCGCCGATTGTTGTCTTCCTTGGGATCTGCATGCCGCAACCTACCAAAGGGCCGCACTGGGGGCCCTGAGGATGGGCCGCGGATCGATTTCTTGACACGCTTTCTCGTGATTTACCACAGTACCATCTCTGCCACGCCTGCCTACGACTACATCTTTGGCGAAAAGTGGCTCTACCAGGTCCCAAATTCAAAGTTCTAGCCTGTGTAGAGTCCCTTGGTGGAAGTACACATCGCCTCGAAAAGCCTCTCTACATTATCCATTACCCAAGCCACGCCTATTACAAGTTCTATTTCGTTCATCTTCAACTTGCTATGCGAAGATTTTACCACGGAGCTCAATTTGGAATACCAGTTCAGTCATTGCTCTATACAGAGGTTGGAACCAATCCTATCACATATAAAGCGCTGAAACCTACCAAGCCGCACAACAAGGAGGAATTTCAACCTAGTCATATGACGACTCTTCTATCTGTTGACGCACGAATCTGTTCGAATCCCCCAGGTCTTTACTTACGAACCCAAGAGCTTGCGGTAGTGAGGCAAGACAACCTATCACTTTTATTAGCGCATCCTAAAAATGAGTCTATGCACAGCTGTATGCATCTTGGCCGGATCTCCAACTTGAAGGCTGTCGTTCACGAGCTTATTGACAAATATCGCTCTGATATGACAACGAGACCCCGAGATCATGGGCGCTGTGATAAATGCAATACCTCATGGCAAATTGAGATACGGAAAACGGGACAGAACGATGTGTGTTTTGTATTCACCCGGTGGCTTGACTTAGGACCAGGACTAAGCCCGGACGATGACCGGTGGAGATGTCATAATAACTACGAATTCGAAATCAAATTGGGAGACGATGGAAAGGCTGATTCCCGACAGCGGTTTGAAACCGATTCCATACAGGCCAATTGCTCGGATGCGCTCTCAGAAGAGGAAATGTATCATCGAAACATGAGATTTATCCAAGGCCAGGCATATCGAACGCTGATGACTCGGTTTGGGGTATGCAGCTGGTGCTTACAAGGAGAAAAAGTGCTAGATCAGCCTTCTCGCTGTGCTGTCAGTTGAGAGAACACAATGAATGCAAAGTTGATCGTGCCTGCCGTCTGTGACTTGACTGCCTCATCGGGAAGGCTCCCCCTCCTCCGCATAGGAATAGCTCCGCATTTCCATTCCCATTTTTCCTGTCTTCTCCACTGTCACCACTTCGTTGGTTGAGACTACGCGTGCAACTTCACAAGCAAAAATACAGTCAACATCAATTTGGCATGAGCCACATTGAGTTGCTGACTATGATTGGAACCTGCCCAGGTGGACACAAATTGGCTTTTGACTGTATATTTGCTTGTTTGATTGCACGGGGACTCCCAACAAACGGAGTGGTGACCCCACTGAACAAAGCACTGGCCATTAAGATATTTGGGAGATATAGTCGCCTCATCGTTCCTTGAAACTCAACCTGCAAATACCTACGCTCGCGGAAACTACTGAAGTAGCACCAAACTATAACTACTATGTACAAGTCGCCTATGTTGTAGTGTGGAGGGTGTGCGCCTTCCGCTCCACTTAGGTCAATCGAGCATTGCCCCGCTAAGACTACCACTCCAACAATAGTACAAATGAGAACACCAATGAGTAGGAAAAAAGGCAAGAAGGGATAAGGTGCAATAGTACCATAGTAAAAATAAAGCATCTCTGTCGCCGGGCCTCCTCTATGGATGTGGGTATCCATTTGTGACTTACCTAGCGCTGATTCAATTCAGGCCAATTCTATACTAGATAGCGTAGAGGGAAGTAGAGCGGTTGATGTGTATCAAGCACTACAACATACACTCCAAAAGCACTGCTATCCAGGACATGGCGTGATGTCATTGTGCTTGGGTGTTTAGTGGAGTTGCTGACACCCCCACCTATAGAATGTTTCCGAGGTCGGAGTTAAGCATTCACCCGTTACTGCTGACCATTGCTGGGTGAAGATCGTGCCTCGATTGTTTTTCTCCATTGATATACCCATTTCAGTTACATTTCACACAAGACAGAGTGAAAATAGCCCTTGGAACTTAATCCGAGCCAGCGGAGTTAAGACTTGGAAGGAGGACAAGTACGACCCACCTTGTGATCAAGAAGGCTTAACCCCGAACACTAGATTTGTGATATAAATCCAAACTCACTGCCACATCTTGTCATTTGTAAAGCAACAGAAGCGAAGTAGCCCCGATTAAAATATTCAACTCAGTCAACATGGTCAAGACACTTCCCTTCGGCGACATCCAGATCCCAACACCGGGATTCGGTGCCATGGGGTTGAGCCATGGCTTGGGTAGCAATCTGAGCCTCGAGGAAGCCGAACCAGTTTTGCTGAAGGCAATTGAACTGGGATGCACATTCTGGGACACTGCTGTTGTGTACCAAGCCGGTGTGAACGAAAAGCTTTTAGGAGACTTCATCAGGAAACACAACGTCCGCGATAAGGTTTTCAGTAAGACTTCCCGACATCACGAGATATTTACCTGAAACTGACCGTTGCCGCTGGCAGTTGCCTCGAAGTGTGGTTTCAATGTCATTGGAGGGGACGGCTCAATCACCAACTCCGCCTCGCATATCAAGGAGTACATCGAGGGAACCATTGAGAGACTTGGCTTTACTCCTGATTTGTACTATCTGCACCGCATTGACCCCAGTAAGTAGAATCGTTATCGTCTAATTTGCATTTACTGATATAAATAGATACGCCTCTCACCGAGTCCATTCCGGCTCTTGATGAAATTCGCAAGGCGGGGAAGACCAAGTACATTGGACTTTCGGAATGTTCAGCTGCCACACTGCGGAAGGCAAACTCAAGTACGTTCCCATCCAGCCAGATTGCGAATATATTACTGACTGTCAATAGTCGCCAAGATTGACGCTGTCCAAGCCGAATATTCAGCCTTTGAGACGCTCCATGAGACAGATGGCTTGATCGACACAGCGAAGGAGCTGGGGGTCGCCTATGTCGCGTATAGTCCACTGGGGCACGGCTGGCTCGTCGATAACTTCGATTACAACTCCCCGGATGACTTTTCCCCGAATGACTTCCGCCGAACAGGTATCTACCCATTCACAAGCATTCTAACGCTTGGCTTGTCAGAATCGCTAACACAATGCCTCTCGGTAGTTCCCAAATTCCAAGGCGAGAATTTCTATAAGAACCGAGCCATCGTCGAAGAAATAAAGAAGCTCGCTGCCCGCAAGGGTTGCAAGACTAGCCAAATCGCCCTTGCCTGGGTCGCCTCCCAAGGACTGATCCCCATCCCCGGAACAACCAAGGCAGCACGTCTGGAGGAAAACTGGACATCTCGGGATATTGAATTGACTGAGGAGGAAAAGCAAGCAATGCGAAAGATTATCGATGCTGCTAAGCCACATGGCAACAGATATGGTCCCGCGCATCAGGCTATGGTTGGACATTAAGCAGAGCGGATTTAATTGGAAACAAGTCATGCCGGCTCGTATCATCAACTTCGGCATAGCTACCGATCAACTCGGATATTTCCGTGGATGTAGAGGGACAGCCTACAATTGAATTTGTTGCACATACCCTTCGCCGCATCTAATGACGGAGTGTAGATTATTGCAAAAATTAGCAGACTAGTTCTTACAGATTGTACATTTTCATAGAAGGAGGATCAAACGGAATTTCCGACAGGATCATGGGAGCAGTAGACTCCACATGGTGGCAAGGGATGTCAACATCATCCGCAATGGAGGGGGCATCATCGATTGGTGTATTTCGGGAAATTAGTGGATAAGAAGATCAGATTAGATGAAATCTGGTGATTGATTTGATTAACCTAAATTCCAACAGACCGAAAGAATTCTTGGTTCATCTCAGAGTCTTCTCGGTTACAGCCTATATAAAGTTGTTGTTCTGATTCCGCGAGTGCGGTCGCACGGGGTTGCATGCGATCGTTGGAGGGTGTCAACAGGTGAGTGAGTGGGCTGTTAGAACCCCACAGAGAAGAAACTTTAGTATATCCTGCGAAGCGCCTCGAGCGCTTGGACAAAATACGATTCAGCCCCCACTGGGAGTTGGACCACTCAGTTGCTAGTGCGGGCGTTCCGCACAGACACTGCCTAGAGAGGATTGACTTTGGGGAACATCAAGGAGACACATGGGAAGCTTGGGTTAGTAGCGTCACAGATCCTGGTTGCACGTATCTGATTGAAATCAGATAAATCAGAAATCAGATAAGAGGCGCAAAAGTCAAATTGCACCATGGACCGGGGAAGCCGAAGGGGATCTTGTTCAACTATGCTCAATTAGTTGAGACGGTGACTTCGGAGGACCTGAGACAAGATGGTTCATACAATCTGTATGAGGTCAATAATGTGTCTTTGAGTGCTACTTGGGGGTTGGAAAATATCTGTATCTTTTAAGCTTCTCACATACGAACCTTACACTGTACATCGCGTGTACACGCAAGGGGCGAACGGATAGCTTTTTCCGCTGAGGGGTAGTAAGGGGATAGTGAGACAGATGATGGCATGACTTGAATACAGTCTTGGTGATGTCCGCCCAGCCCTTTAAGTGGTATGAGAGGTTGACGCAAACGGGGTGGCCGCATCGAGAAGGTAAGTAAAATGACTTTGGCGGCAGAGACACGCTAGTCCAAAATAGGACGGAACTTCAGTTCCGACCAATCAAAGATGCGGCCCCCACACTGTCCAGGGCGAATGGGCGATGATCGTCCGCCACCGTAACCCCTGATTGGGCTAATTATCAGATTGACCCGACCCACTCACTCCGACATTATCTGATCTTCGTAGCATCGGAGCCTCCGTTCGAGAGTACGGGAAAGAAAAAAAAATTGGAGACCGGACCGAGTCGGATTTCTGGTCTGGAAGCTCCCGGGCCTCTGTCCTTCCAGATTATAGAAAAAAGAGTCCCTCCAGCGTTGCAGATCTCTTCCTTCCTTTTCATCCTCCCATCGCGCCCAATACTCAATTTTTGTCTATCCCCACACAGCCTCCCAGGAAGCAACTGAGGATCTGGCATCCGGTTTGAACTTCCTGTGTTCGGAAAGGGAGACATACAGTAATGGGTCTCCCCGGGACCGCTCAAGGTCGCGATGACGGCAAAATAATCGACCGGACTATATTCGGGGAGGAATCACACAGCACGCAAAATGAGAAATCGGAGGTACGCGGCGCCAACGGCGACAAGTCACCATATGATGCCGAATCAACGCCCAGCGCCGACGGCTTTCATGGGGACATGTTCGACGACGAGAAAGAATTGGCACAGCACCCCGACAGTGTAACGGAGGGTGCGGAATTGGGTCTGCAGAAGGCGGAAGCAGCAGCACTCGTATGGAGCTGGCCAGCCTTGGTTGGAATATATGCTTGGTAAGTGGATTGCGGCTCACTCGTTCCTGCGCACTTGTGATGAAACCCATTCCTGACGATAATTGAACATGCAGGATCTGGATCTGCACATTTATGTTGGCGTTTCACTCGAATATAAGCGGCTTCCTGATCAACTACATTCAGGGAGGGTTCAAGACCGCACCGCAGGTCTCAACGTCCTATATCCTCGCAAATGTTGTGGGCGGTGTTCTCAAGCTGCCGCTTGGTAAGACCTTGAACTTGTGGGGTCGTGCGGAGGGCCTAGTCTTCTCGACCGGCATTTACCTTCTCGGCATGATCATTCTCGCCTCATGTAATGGTCCAGATGGATATGCGGCAGGATATGTGCTGTACTGGATCGGTTACTACTGCTTATACCTGATCTTGAATGTTTTCGTCGCCGATACCTCGGGTCTAAGGAACCGAGCGTTCGCCTTTGGATTTATGCAGACCCCGTTCATCTGTACTGCGTTCACGGGCAGTCTTGCAGCAAACTCGATATACGCTAAATACGGGTGGCGCTGGGGCTATGGTATCTTCTGTATCGTGACGCCTTTTGTGTTCTTGCCCCTCGCCATGGTTTTCAAGTACTTCGAGAAGAAGGCAGAGAAAAACGGAATCTTCCGACGACAACCCAGTGGTCGCACCGTTGGACAGTCCATTATCCACTATATCCATGAATTCGATGGTAAGAGTACCCAAAACAAAGCTCGTGGTATGGACACTAACGTTATATTACTAGTTATTGGTGCTTTCTTGCTCATGGGTGGTTGGGTTATGTTCCTCCTTCCGTTCAGTTTGGCGCAATATGGCCGATCTACGTATTCAAGCGCCAAGTTTATTGCTCTCATAATCGTTGGAGTCTTCATGTTGGGTATCTTTGCAGCATGGGAGAAATGGGGTGCACGAACCCACTTTATCCGCTGGGAGTTAATCAAGCGGCCGACAATTCTAGGCGCATGCACACTCGCAGCCGTGCTATTTTTCAGCTTCGAACTCTGGGACCAGTACTTCTACAACTACATCCTGATCTCCTACGATATTTCGCCAGTCCATGCAAATTACATGCTCCAGATCTACAACGTCGGCTCGTGCTTCTTTTCTCCCGTTATCGGAGCCGTCATCTGGGCCACTTCCCGCTTCAAATACATCTGTCATTCTTCGGAGCCCCGCTCATGATCCTCGGCTCCGGGCTGATGATCTACTTCCGTGGTGCAGACCACGGCATTGGCTACGTTGTCATGTGTCAGATCTTCATCGCCTTCGCCGGCGGTACGCTCGTTATTGGCGAGGACATGGCCGTTATGGCAGCAGGTGGCCGCGAGGGCACTCCGATGATGCTGGCCCTCATCGGATTGTTCTCCAATATCGGCGGTGCGATTGGCCTGGCTGTTGGCGCTGCTATCTACAACAATGTCTTTGTCAACACCCTCACGACACAATTGCCGGACGACTTGAAGGCCAATGCCACCCAGATCTACCTTGGTGGTATCACTGTGCAGTCCACTTACCCATGGGGAACGCCTCTTCGCGAAGCTGTCGCCTACACGTGGGGCTACGCCCAGCGCTTGAACTGCATTGCTTCTACTGCCATCTTGGCTTTGGCTATTCCTTGCATTCTGGTCTGGAAGAACTATGATGTAAACCTGAAGCAGAACAAGGGTAGAATGATTTTCTAAAGGCTTTCTGTTGCACAGTATACTCGGTTATGACGCGCGGGTTGGAAAGCTTTGTTCATATTTTGCGTCGTTTTGGATGTTCATTCTCTGCCGTGCAGAGAAACGGCGTGATTTCCAATGTACATCTATTAATTATCTCGTTGAGCGTGGATGATATAAATATTATATTGCATTGTGCTACCACCGAGGTGGCTACTATTATTGCAATTATTACGACCAAATAGCCTATATTTACTCATTTACTATGTCTCAGTGGCTGAACTAGAGTAGTCTAGCCCTGAAGCCAAAACCCAAACACCCATGGATATCTTCATACATATCTCCAGGGGAATCAATTACGAAACGAGGCGATGGCAAGACCTCAGGGGAAGGCCGTGGTGGGTCTTGATACGAGGCTCATACATCCAAAGGTCGACTTTTATTTCGTCTTCTCTTCCTTCTAGCCATTGCCCTCACTTTCAACGTCATCAAGTTGTCTTTGCCATGCCTTCACTGCGGTAATGAAACTACGCAACTCCTTCGGCGATTGGAAGATCCCCGATATTTCGGGCAAAATCATGACATTTGTCTTGAGTCGCAAACTCAACGTGAGGAACAAGTCCCAAAGGAGGATCACGCACTAATACCATGGTAGATAAAATACCAGATGTTTGGGCCAATCACTACTACGCATTCTATGTATGCTGTACAGATGCATAGTTAGTCTAATTCGGCCTAGTTTTATTTTTGTTTAACTTAATAATGACGGATAGGGACATAGTACATGCCACTTATACAAGAAATTAATCAGAGGTGACTTAATACATGAAGAAGGGCAAGAAAGGACCTATTATTAGGGCCTGATTGCTCACGCCCGATTCGTTAGGTTAGATTATTGCCTGTTTAGTGGGATAAATGCTTCGCCTTCCCCTCTTTTTACTCTCTCCAGTTCTTTGTTAGCGTGTAATATGACAGATCGATTGGCTTCTTATTGCCTGCTTCCCGCCGCTCCAGGGCTGATACATCTGCTTTCGATACTCTTCTCCTCCTCACTTCAATTCTCAGTCAAGAGCCCATCTCTTCCAACAAATTTACCTTCTTTTACAACCCATCCGCAATGAGTGGACAATCCAACAAGGAACTCGAGACGGGCTGTATCGCATGCGGCTGGACACTCGACAAATAAAAAAAGTGTCACTATACTAGCCGCCTCAAATTGTTCTACGGCGCATCCAAACGGGGCGTCTGGTCTATCGGTTCAGATGTGATTTTGAAAGATCGGCCGGACGAGGGCCCAAAAGCAAGAATCGAAGTTAAAACGCTGAACCACCTGGCGACCTATACCGACATTCCGGTGCCAAAGGTTATACGCGACTGGGTCGACCGCGATGGACGCTATTTCGTTTTGAACGAACGTATTCATGGCCAAACGCTCGAGGAGGCCTGGCCTTCTTTGTCAGAACCCCAAAAAATAGATATCGCGGACCAAGTCGTCCAAGTGCGCAAGCAGCTTCGATCCGTGACCTCAACCTCCATCCAATGCATCGATCAGGGCCCATGCTACCCGGGTTTACTGTTTTTCGATCTTGAACCCCACGGACCGTTTCACTCTGACCAAGAGCTCTGGGATGCCTTGGCTCTTAAACTTCACTACCTCCCCCAGCAGGTTTTGGAGAACTTGAAGAGCCGCCTGCCAAAATGCGAGCCGTATGTGCTTAGCCATTGCGATCTTAATTTGGGAAATGTCATGGTCCAAGACGGGAAGGTTGTTGGTATACTCGACTGGGAGTACGCTGCCTTTTTCCCTATCTGGTACGAATATGTTTCGGCCTCTTTTGGATTCACGGCCCTGGATGTAGAATGGGAGAAGTTGCTCCAGGGGCGCTTAGGCGTATATGACGCGGCACATGACGATGCGAAGGCATTTTGGACGGATATGTGTAGTCTACGGCAGTACCCGAATTTGGATGAGAAAGGCCAAGAAACGTTGAAGAGACTGTCTTAGGCTTTGTAGGCTAGTGAAACCCAATCTTTCTCCACAGCAATTTTACTTATATCTGCTGCCCTATGCGGTAATTAGATCCGCTTATTCCTCAGGGAAGAGTTAGCACATTCCTCCTGCTCTCAGAGCTTTCCGGCTCTCATTCATTCAACTCTCGGGTGGCCCTATATATTGAGCAGTGGTGAAAACAAGTCAGATCGATGTGCTTGGGAATTTAGCTCATCCTTGCTCTTTGGATTATGGATAAAGGCTTGCCTGACATGATTGCCAGCGGTGTGCTGGATGGGTATCCTGACGGCCACGATGCATCTTTAGGGATGTGATATTAATTAATACCAGCGAGGGATTTTCATGTTCTTCGTCGGCTTCTATTACAGGATATGAGGTGAGATCTCTGCAGCAAGACTGTATTGTCTTCTCTCATCACTCCCTAGACATAGTTAGCTAAAGATAAAAACACTGGAATGCCCGACTCGGCTCGCTTCCGCCCAATACAGCAGAGTCGCTTTATGCGTTAGCCTTGAAGGGTATAAAGAATCGGCAGCCACTCTGTATTGTTGGCATGTATGAGCATTTCAAATGCCCGGAGCAACTACGAAGATGCTTATAATGCCAAGGAATGGTCGGGAAAGATAAGTAATTAATTTACCACTGAGTATTCAGATAGTTGGAATATGCACTAGATTACCTATTTCTCTTAATAAAAACAGGCCGAGCTATAATCGCATTGATTTGAAGACTAATACCTACTTTATTTAGCCCGACTAGGGTCATTTTAGCCAGTGTTTCCCCCACATATCTCATGTCGGGCTCTTCGATAACAGTGTGTATTCACAATACACCATCGGGATTAATATACCGTGGACCAACCTTGGAAACGAAGCGAGCCGAGCCGGGCATCCGACTCTCTACAGAATATATCTAGTTTGTAAGTACTCGAGTACCAGAATAATAAGGCAAAAGCCGATTATCTCCATACCGAAACCGAGAAATAAATCCAATAATGTCCAGGTGACCGGACTAACGTAAGATTTTAGGCGCATTTACATTGCAGGGCCAAGAAACCCACGAAGCTTTCCGTTCCGGTGCACAACTTTTATGTCCTCGACCATTCCACATGTGCAGCCTTAGAAGTGGACTCCAGTGGAACTTTCCTTTTTGCGGGGATAAAGCTTGGAAGAACTCTCTACCTCTCTGCACTAAATTGGCATTCGAAACGGGGTGATGATCCAAATAATTCCCCGAATCCTTGATCCATCGGCCCTATGACATTGTGCGTCTAAGCACCCGTGTTTTGTAAAATTCATAAGCAACGCACGATGTGACTTTTACTCGGCCCAATTCACTGTCCGACCATTAGTGATCAGTTATCGTCGGCTATGTTAATGGGTTTACCCGGGCATTAGCGGCCTGCAAGATGCACTAATGCAAGATGTGGAATTTATGCCCGCGGGGGTTCGACGGAAATTCCGCTGGTGCTTGTTTATAACAGGAAGCTTCCCGTTGGCTTCTGGGTGTTCGTATTCTTGCGCTTTCTTCTCCCCTCTCTCCTTGATTCTCCTTATTTTATTGCCCACAAGACCATTCCTACCCCTCATGTAATCTCCCGAGGTCGACTACAGCCCGTATTGACAAACGAGACCAAACAGAACCACCAAAAACACGACGCGCGGCTGACATTTGGTATTATATGTATATTGGTGGCAGCGATACATCTCCAAAATGAAGGACGACGAGGGTAAGGATTTCTCTATCTCCATTATTTGCTTATCTGGAAGCAATCACCATCTAGCATCAGTGAATAGAGCAATATCTGAAGAATTCATGCAGAAACACCTTCCGTCGATGGATCGACAAGCGCGAGTAACCGGGAAAAACTGGGAACAGATCTCGAGGTCGGTCCTGTCGACCTGGGTGACGGAGCAAAAGAGGAAAAAGTAAAAGACCCGAATATCGTTGATTGGGATGGGCCAGATGATCCCGAAAACCCTCTCAATTGGACCTCAAAAAGGAAAATCACAGCGACTTGCTCTATTGCGCTGATCACATTTCTGACGTATGAACTGCCCCTCCCTATGTGATTCAGTTGATCAAGCTGACCTCTGAAAAACAACAGCCCTCTGGGATCGTCTATGTTTGCCCCCGGTGTAGGTCAACTAGTCAAGGATTTCAACGTCACCAGCACTGAACTGTCATCATTCGTGGTATCGGTATACCTGCTGGGATACTGTTTCGGTCCCCTGATCATCGCACCTCTATCGGAGTTGTACGGGCGACAGTACGTCTACCATGTATGCAATGTCCTCTACGTGATATGGACCATTGCCTGTGCGTTTGCACCCGAGATTGGCAGTCTTGTCGTCTTCCGATTCTTCGCTGGCTTTGCCGGTAGCTGTCCGCTCACTATTGGCGCCGGGTCGATTGCGGATATGTTTGTACAAGAGCAGAGAGGCGGTGCGATGGCAGCTTGGGCTCTTGGTCCTTTGATTGGGCCTGTCGTTGGTCCGGTCGGTACGTTCATTAGCCTCCTTCTGTAGTTGATAGCCCGATCACTAACTTCGTATAGCTGGTGCGTATCTGGCACAGGCAAAAGGTTGGCGATGGAGTTTCTATGTGCTGGCTATGGCTGTAAGCAGGGACTGTGACACCCGGCGTGGAATAAATACTAATATACTCTCCAGGCCGGCGCAATCACCATAAGCTCAATTTTGAGCATTCGTGAATCCTACGCCCCGACTCTCCTGGCTCGGAAGACCAAGAAGCTCCAGAAAGAAACTGGGAACATGAACCTGCGCTCTGCACTCGACACGGGCCGTACACCAAAGGAACTGTTCCTCTACTCCATCGTGCGACCGACGAAGATGCTCTTCCGCTCCCCGATCGTATTCCTCCTTTCACTTTACGTCGGCGTAATCTACGGATACCTATATCTCTTGTTTACAACCATAACCTCCGTATTCCAACAGCAGTACAATTTCTCCCAAGGAGCAGTGGGACTCACCTATCTCGGTCTGGGAGTTGGCTCTTTGATCGGTCTGTTCCTTATAGGAGCAACATCCGACAGACTGCTCAACTACCTGGCTGCCAAGAACGGCGAGAAAAAGCCCGAGTACCGTCTTCCGCCTATGGTCCCCGGAGCCATTTTCGTTCCTATATCGCTGTTCATGTATGGGTGGACTGCATATTACCAGACCCACTGGATTGTGCCTATTATCGGGACCTCATTCCTTGGTACTGGAATGATGATCACTTTCGTAAGCTATCTTCCTTCTGCCCCGTGACTCTGTCTTGCTGTGTGTTTACTGACTGACACTTGGACTTGATGCTTAGATGTGTGTGAGTACGTATTTGGTAGATGCATTCACGGATTACGCGGCTTCCGTCATGGCGGCTAACACGGTGTTCCGCTCACTGGCCGGTGCACTGCTTCCACTTGCCGGCCCGAAGATGTATGCTGTTCTAGGGCTTGGTTGGGGTAACTCGCTGCTTGGGTTCATTGCTCTGGCCTTTTGCGCATTGCCAGTCGTATTTTGGATCTATGGCGAGCGCATTCGGACTAGTCCAAAGTTCCAGGTGACTTTCTGATAGGGGGTCGTACTTGCTTCGGACGCTGTTGGGCTGTTGCGTCTATTTTTGCTTTTGCACATTATAGTCCGGACTTAGACGCAGGAGAAGTTAAAGATAGATATGAGTTGATGGTGCGGGTTAGTGCCATGGATTAATAGACGTGGGAGACGTTGAAGACGGATATCATTGGAGGTGGGCTGGTGCGATGGAGGTTAAAACAATACAAAAACTGTGCATCCTATAACTTCATACCTCGAATCTGTAGACTGAAGCCACGGTGCTCTTTTTAACCAGGCGTGGCAACAGTTGAGCGCTCTCCAGAATATTCCTCTCTCCAGGTCTGCGACGGAACATACCTCCCTCGCGGGCTGTCTTATTCACGAAGCGCCAAAGCGAGCACCCACCAGTGGACCTCAGGACCCAGCTGGAAATTATGTCAGCAACAGCTATCGGCAGGCTACGCAGCGAAGATGTCTAATGGATAAAGATAGTGTTTTATTCCAAGCAAAGCCCACTGAGAGAAGGGAAGGAGAGCTGGCTATGTAGTTATCTAGCGCTGTCTAGGTTGGCGGCCTGACAAGTTCTCATTATGAAGAGTTTTTATTTGTGCGGCGACTCGGCTAACTATAGCAAACTAGTGTGGTCCCGAGCGGTTGCTAGGGCCTAGTATGTATACCACTGCAGCTACAATCGGACGTTCCGATCTATGATCTTTTGGTCGAGTGGTAAAATGCATCTTATGTAATCACTTAGGATTACCTAGGTACCACCTAGGTAGGTAGGTAGTGGCCTAAGTTAGCGCGAGAATTACACTAGCCCGATGTATAGATCAGGTGATTTGTGAATAGCTTCATATTTGTGGATGCAGATCAGGCGAAAAAGGGGGGATGAGGTTGTTCGGGGGCTGTGTATCTTTTTTTACTGAGGCGATACCATAGAAAATGACACTCGTATTGAAAACTGACTGCCAAAAGTGACTTTCCCTAAAAGGGCACTAGTGTGGCGCCATTAGTGAAATCGGGTGCCCAACAGGGATTACCTACATGCAATGGCTGATCTGGGGAGGGTGCTGTGCGTCCGCCACGCCACCGCGGTGAGAACATCTTAGATCCAACTTGTCTACAACTAACTATAATTTAGTGGCGTTCGAACTAGGTACAATATGCGAGCCTGACCATCTTGGACGACCCTCGAGCATTTAAATAAGTAGCCTGTTCTCCCAGTTTGAGAATGAATTTACTCAAGCATAAGACCTTTGAGCTTCTTCCAGCATCTCGGTTTTATTCCTCCCTGCTTTTACCGTGTTATTACATTCGCGATGGCACGGTCTTCGCGCACTGACCAAATGGAGTATTTAAGCCTACCCCGACAGTATCAGCCCGGCAATGGAGATTCTACCTTCTGCAATGGCGCATCTGCTACTAATACACCTATTGTTACGGCCGCTCAGCCATTCTCCACCGAGTATAGCTTTTGCGATCCTCGTATACAGCATGATGCAGCACTATTTCACGCCAACTTTACCTGGCCGTCTACCATTGATCCTGTCAATCTGGAGGACATGGACAACAACACCATGCAGGGCTTCTTTGCCCAGTTGAATAGTACTGCGGAAGGCCCAGGTACAGACTATCACTGTCTAGTCGGGAACAATGTTGCGGTCCCGTGTTTGGGTTCTACCTCCTCTGCGCAACAGCCAACTCCACCCAAGGATAGCGGTATTCCGACTGCTCGGGGGCACCGTAACCGTAGTCGCCGAACCAACAAGCAAGAGTAAGATACCTATCATCACATTGAAAACCAGCGTTGACAGAATTTTTTATCAGGGATCCATACGGCTCTTTTGAATGCCGCTGGATAGACTGCAAGCACCCCGGGCCATTCTGCCACGGAAGTGTCTTGATGCGTCATATAAAAACCCAACATGTTAATCCGCGTTCCATCGACTGTCCTCGTTGCAAGAAGACCTTCAACCGAAAAGATAACATGAAGGAGCATCTGGGAAGGGTTCACCGGGAATACATCTGAGCTCGAGCCCGAGGCGTTGGGACCTGGATTGCCCGTCTTGGACATGTGTCTTTTGGGATTTTCTTTTGGAATTGGGGGAATCGCAGGGAATGGAAGGATTTGGGCGTTACGCAGGATATTTATCTAGAGTCTGAATGTTAGCGGAATGTTGCCTCATATGAGGGTTGCCTAGTACCGAGCTCATGAGTATAGTTTGAGGAAGTACCACGCTTCTGGTCGGCTCCAAGTTTAGATAGCTGGTACCCAACATACATCTTTTCAAGATGAGGCATCTGCTTCAGGTAAAAGTGGAGATACCTTGATGTCGGGATTGTGCGTTGCTAGCTTTAAAACACGAACATCGATATGGTTTGTTCTGCCAGGACACATTGGAAGATAAAGTGGAAAGGCAACCGAATCCTCAAGGGGAATCGAAACCCAGACTACACAACAACCTTCTAGACGTTGTTGAACTGGGTCTGGCAGTCGCAGGTAGACGAGAGGTTCTATGAGTACCTAAACATGCAGCTGACAGACATGGTTACTAAATACCTAACTAATCTCACATGACTATGCACTGTCTCTTCATGTATGGATCAGTGCTTTCGTTTGTTGAAGCCATGCTTTCAAAGACTGGAAGGAGAGTTAGCCAAAGGACACGACAGTATTAAATGTGACAAGACTTCAACAGTAACAGAGCTCAGGTCAACTCACATTCCCTTTTAGCTTGTCTACTCTCAGCCGTATCGTGCCACAGCCTCAACAGCCACGTAGCGACCAGTGCATCCCTCAACTCCTGCGACATACTACTCGTAACGGATAATCTATATCTGTCATCCTCTTTTTCTTCAACGGCCACCTGTCCGCCATTGGAGTCATTCCATCTATAGCAGTTGCGACCGACTTTCCAATTTGGCTGGATATCAAATAGTAAGAGTTGTTGTTGGCCTTCGTCGAATAAGGGCTTATCCGAGGCGGTTTTGTTCGCGCTCAACAAAGCCTTGAAGGATGTCTTGTGGAACCGTGCATCAGATGTCTCGAGACGAATATTGCCCACCGTCTCGGGCACTGCAGAAGTGATGTAGTACTTAGCAGGTATGTCGGTCCGGTATTGTGCATTCATAGGGTGTGCGAGGTAGAAAAGATGTTGCTTTCGCGACGTGTCAGCAGTGCCCTGGTCTGTCTCGATCGCGAGCCCAGGTACATCGTGCTCGACTCTTTCGAATGTCACGGACGAGTCCTTGTTCGAGATTGACCTGATGTCACTGTTTAATTGGTAAAGTGGGGCTGAAGTTGCAGACCCAGCGAGGACAGATTGGCCTGACAAGTAGAGAACTGTGGGCTCAAGAACGTCCTTCGAGAGTTTTCCGCCTATTTTCTCGAACGAATCGGAGTCTGAATCCATTGTTTTGGGCATCGAGTTTGTTCCGGACCTCTGAATATTGCTAGGAATCAAGGATGTAACTCTCGATGGTGAATGCGCAAATTATCTGGATAGTAGATATAGAGAGCAGAAAGTATGATTTTGCTTTGAGTTGTAGGCTGTACCTAGGTAGTAGAGTGCACCAGGGCACAAGTAAACTTTCCCGGAGACCTCACCTGGGTTGTCCACGTGGGGCAATAACGTTAGTTACATAAGCAGGGGTTTTTGACCGGGACCTCCCGAGGTCGGGACCGGGCCCGCTGCGCCCCACAGGTACCTCTCCCTCACGTGGTGCCAGGCTCACCTGCCTTAACAGTCAACGGATATCGAAGGTCTGCAGTTGCATGAGGCATTTTCATGGATCCCCTGCGACTATCGTAACAAATGGATGCGCCAAGGTTGGGGGCCAGCGCGTGCAGAGTCGAGTAAGACACCAAGAGCCAAGTTTCAAGTTTGGTGCAAGCCGCGAAAAGCCATGAAAAGCCACAATAAGCCACGGAAGTCTAATATTGGCAAGGATCATCCTTAATAGCTAATATAAAGTGATGAGCCCGAGGATCTGCATAAGCGCTAAGTTCGTATATATTGACATTTTAGGCATGGTCTGTCTATAAACTATATTAGTATGTCGGCTTTGAGTGGAGCTGCCGAGGTGTTCAACGGGTGTGGCCGTGGGGCCCGTGGGGCCGGGGACCTCGCCAGATCAAGGTTCGCCCCCGGGGCTATCCTTCGACAGACCCTTCAAGGGAGAACTTGGATTGTTAAATTGCAGGAATTAAAACCCTTTACGGATGACAAATCATTGTAAACTTCCAAGGTTGGGAGAGCCCCGGATCTGTGGCAGCCAGCTTCAATATTTTCCTTGCTGTGCGCGTCAAAATACACAGTCATGCGGTCTGCTTTGAATGGGATACTCACCGTAGCCCAGGTCATTGCCACCTGTTTCATGGGTTGGAAGGCCCTTTCGCTTTGGACTGGTACACCGTACCCGGTGATGATAGTCACTACTGAGTCTATGGTTCCCGCATTCTTTCCGGGAGACATACTATTCATCTCCAACCACCATCGAAACGTCGAAGTAGGCGATCTGCCAGTCTGCTGGCTACCTCATAGCGCATTCCCTATGATTCATAGGGTGCTTCGGGTATTGTACGATGAGAAAAGCAATCCGGATTGGACGTAAGCACTGTACGAGTCCTTGTCTTCTTGCAGTGCGCTAACTGTGAAGATACTATAGTCAGCTCATTTTGACGAAGGGTGACAATAACCTCATTGATGACACGTTAATGTATCCCGAGGGCCAGGATTACTTGCCCCGCAGCCAGATTCTCGGGTTTGTCAGGGGTTACATACCCTTTATTGGATGGTGTGTGATTGGTCTACAAGATTTCAGATGGCTTCGGGAACTTGTTGCTATGTTATGTCGAGGTATTGGCTTGACTCATTGACCTAAAGAAAGTGCGCGATTGAATATATACAAAATTGCAACCTCATTCCTGGACTTATCGAGCTGGATTCAATAGAACATGGTAGACTTTAGGGTAGATCCACATTGGAGATATGCAGAAAAAGAACACAAAAACCCATGCCATGCCGGCAACCGTTCGCAGTGCCCCTGGCAGCCGTGAAAGGATCCTCCTCGAGACTTTCATCTTCGATATCGCAGTCTCCGCCGCGGCAGCAAGGAAACACATCTGGAAGAATAGAACGTCTCGGGATAGTGCCGCATCTCCCAATGCCCATCCAACCAATGCGTGCGAGAGACCAGATATTGTGAAAATGAGCAACGCAGTAATTGTCTTATCCAAGCTTGAACCAGGCTGTACTCCTATTAATTGCCGAGAAACAAGCCGAGAATAATAGACATATGTAGGGATCGTCAATTGGTGCCAGAATTGAGCCCAAAAGCCTCGCACACTGTACGCTTCCATTGGGTTTCCGAAGAGAGCTGGCCAATCTCCGGGATGATCGAACCGAAAGATGGCCACGAACACAATGGCCAAAAGAGAATGATAGAATTCCAGAAAGAAATAAGCACGCCAAATCCATTGGACTGACATAATAGCGCGAACTTGGAATTGATGGGATGATAGCGGGAATGCCATTTCCATTTCGGGTGAGAAGTCGGCTACAACTACTCGCCCAAGCGCACGGATAAAGACTTTCTGAAAGACAAAGTGCTCAAATGCCCACAAAGCCGCTGCCTTCATTGACTGATTGAAGGAGAAACGTGTTCGAGACATAGAATCGCTTGGCCCCTCTTTTTCGTGAGGGGAAAGCCGCAGTGGTAGCTTTCGAGGATTGTTCCATATCCTGTAGCAGTCGACAAAGTTCCAGTTGTGTGTGCTAATCTCTGGATTGACAGCATGCTGATCAAAAGCGAGCAGTTTTGTCGAGTAGAGTAGATAGAAGACAAGTACGCTTGCGAAGGTGCTATCAGCCCCAATCATCCAGGACAGCCTATGGGATGAGGCCAATGACAACAGAGACAATAGCCAGACTGGAGCCAGCAACAGAAGACGGGTCTGCCGGCGTCTTTTGAGACCAGTAATGTTGAGTACGCTCGCTATGAAGTAATAAAACAAGGGTGAAATTGACAAGAGATCCATGGCCTGCAAAATTTTTGAAGTTTGATTGTAAAGAACAAATGTGGAAATGGCAGGTATCAAGATCAAAATGATTATGGTAGATACAACGTTTCTTACAGAGTACTCTCTTGGCCCTTGGGAAACCTCCAAAACCCTCCCCGAGACGCTGTGGATTCTTCGTTCTCCACTATTGTTGGAGGAACCCACATCGCTCACCCTGAACTAGGAGGAGATTGTCTCCCCGTCTTCTTCGACTAGGACAATATCAAACAAGGTATGCCCTAATCCGCCTCTCAGAGTACTCGGACCGCGCGCTCTTTATTACTGTTTTGTATATGAGGATAGCAATGATGAAGGTTATCTATCATTCTATAAATCCATCAATATTTTAATGGTCCTATCTTCCTCATCAAGGTTATGAGACAATAATTTTCGAATCCCCCAGGGTCTGCGCTAATGTTGGGGGCCAAACCCACAGTCATCTTGATAAAACCGGTCTCTACACATGCATCATAGTATTGCTATGGATCAATTGTTGGTCATGCAGTTTCCAGAATCCATTTTCCTGCATAGAACCCCTTCTGACCCGCTTTTGTTCGCGAGGGTGTGGGTCGGTAATCAGTATGTGTTTCGGCCCCTACACGATGATTATATGCCCGTTAGAGCATCTTGAAGAGGAGGTGTGCTTGAATCATGCTGCCAGTCTGCGTTGACAAGTCGAATTTGGTTACATCAGGCAGACTACAGACCCACGCTAACAACGTACGAGCGAGAAACCGCCCCATTCTGCTGTCTAGATCTTCTGGTAATTGCCCAATGTAATATCCCTCAAGCCATTGTTGGCTTCGAGTAAGCACTACTTCGAACTACAGCGATGATTTTTTTCAGGTCATGCGCCAGCCGCCATTTATCCATGAGTACTAACTTTGACGCTATCTACTTTGCAGTCTAGTCAGGTTGTGAGCATTCACTTATCATGGAAGGTGGTCCGAATATCAATTTCGTTCTACATCTTCGAATGGGTATAAAACACCCATCTCTTTTCTCCTCTGCCTCATCTTTCTTCTCCTCATCACAACAAAGACTCTGAACAAATTCCCAAACGGAAACCTCAAACTCTTCCAATCAAGATGATCTCTCCCATCTCTCTCAAGGCCGTCGGTGGTGCCGCTGCTGTTTACTTGTTGGGCCAGCAAGTTCAGTGCCCCTTCATTGCCATTCCTCTCATCGGTGATGCCATTGCCATGACCGTCGCCCAGGTTGGCTCTGCTGCTGCTAGCTTCGGTGGTGCCATTGCCGCCGGCCACTTCGCCGGCAAGAGAGATCTCGAGGGTCGTGACACCTTCGTCACCGCTCCCGCTGGTGTCCCTCAGTACAACTTCGACATGTGCGCCGAGAGCCTGTCCAACCCAGCCGTCACTGTTACCGTTACCGGTCCCGTCCAGAACAATGGTGAGCAGATAACAATAACACTCGACTTTGAATCTTACGCTAACTCCTTCCAGGTATCCAAATTGATGGCCTGCCTTCTAACTGCATGGTCCTCTCCAACGTTTTCGACGGCAATGCTGCCGGTGGCCCCGTTCCGACTCCTTGTGGCTCTGCTTGCCTTCTCTACAACAACCTGAACCAGGATCAATACGGTCAGATGCAGGCCATCTTCGAGCGTATGAAGAGCCTGTAGAGATCTGAGGTACTTTCTGTCACGGTATTCTTGTTCAACTAGGTTAGGGTGTTTTTCTTGATGTTGAGTTGTTGATAATTCTACTGGAGGATGTTGAGGCCTTGGAAGCCGAGTAAATATTACTTCTGGTGGTACATAGAACACTTCACTAAATCATTCGTCCACTTGGCACACTCGCTCAATACAGCCGTTGTATTTTCATTATTCCCTAAGGTCATATATTAGTTTGCTTTTGACAACTGATTTTTCCAAACAGGCCTAGATAGAGTTGATATCGTCATTCTGGTTGTCATGCTAAGAAGAAAGAGTTTCTAAGAAGGAGGGCATACGGAAATCTATCTAAAAAGAATGTACAAAAAGGACATCGGGATGATATCTTACATGACGTCTTTAACATCGTCTTAAGCCAGATGCATCAGATCTTCAAGGGGGCAGACAGAGGCCGTATATGCAACTACTATTGTGCGAGCAGAAAGAAAGAGGATTGTGGATACGTATGATGACTAGAATATTTATATTCAGATAGGTTGTCTTGGAATTGAACTATTGATGCAAGGTGGTATATATATATCCGGGTAACAGGGTATAAAATTGATTCACCGTGGAATGCTAACTAGGCACACGAATGAGAAAATCTATATATTGTTTTTGGATGCCTTCTCCCTCTATTCTTCGATATATAACATGTATTGACGTTGTAATGTGGTATAAAGTAACGGGACTGGTCTGACAGCTAGCTGAGGCGATGGAAATGACAAGAGCGCAGGGGCAAACACTACATATAAGATTTGGGATGATTTTCCTCAAGTCTTCTTTCCCATATCAACAACAAACTTGCTCGTTTTCCCCTTAACATGCAGTGTATAGAGCCTGACTGCAGTAACGACAATCATAAGAGTCCAGCGCTCTCCCAATGCGCTCGACTGGCCGTCCACCACCTCAAGCGTGAACGCATGAGTCAGACTGGGCCAGGCCCATCCAAGAAAGGCAACAGTCTCACCGTCTTTGCCTGCTGATGGGGGCGAGGACGAAGACGCATTTTGGACGCTGCTACTGCCGCTCGGCTGAGGTGGTTGCTGGGTAGACGAGAGCCGAACCAACTTGAACCCATTTCTCTTGGCTTGGTCTTCACCCTTCTTGACTTTCCTCCATGCGAACTCCTGCCGCAGGTTCTTCTCGCCTACCTCGATGGAGAAGTGGAAGGCAATACCTTTGTTTGGACCAGGTTCGGCGCGCAGGAGTTCTGTATCCATGCGGTCGGACTTTGGGTCCGGATCAAGTGGCGGCAAGAAGACGATGCCGTCGGGATTGAATGCATGGAGGCCACGCGCCTCATCGCCGGCGGCAGCAAGGAGTGAATCCTTGCTGCTCATGCCGTTGCGCAGGAGAATTCCAGTTCTCATCCCCAGCGGAGGTTTGCCGCTGTAGCCAGTTTGCATCTCGATCAAACATAGACGGTTCTTGGCATCCTCACCCGCACAGAGATTCATTGATTTCAATTTCGTCCACTGACCATGGAGACTCACTGTTGACGGAAGCGAACCATAGCGAGATGATGTTGTGGGGCAGCTCTGCAATGCCTCTTCATAGTTGGGCGGGGCTTCAGTTTCCTGGTATTCGGGCGCCTTTTGAGTGCTTCTTTCGTCTTGGGCGCCCATGTTGATATGGATTTAGAAAAAGATGGGAAGAGAAATCGTGGGCGCTGGGCGATATTGGTGACTCTTGCCCATCGGCATTGATTTTACGGGCCTTACATAGTATAGTCCGTATAATATCCATAGTTACTCCGCCACTCCCCCGCTGCAGAATATTAATGTCTCAGTGGGTCTAACGTCAAGTTGGATTATTGATTGGTCTTGATTGGTCTTGTGTCTTGTCGAACTCAGGAAGATAAGAAGATTCTGTTCCTTTGAGCTAAATCCACTACCATTCTCTTGGCACAATAGTTCAATTTACCTGAAATTAAATCAATACCTTCCCCAAAAATTTCCCAAAAAGGCAACTTACCCTCAGCATCCTGTCCAAGACATAAGCCAGTTAGTAACAACTCTGATATAGCTCTTGGCCCTCTTTTAGCCCCCAAACCCACTCATAAATATTCATCAAACAGTAGAATTTACGGAGTGCTAACCAAAGTTTCGACTTAACGAGATTCAGTATGAAGACAACGATACTCGGCCGTTTATGCGGCCCCTTTCCTTAGCGATGCAAGACTAATGGCCTGAGCTATCATTTGGCTTAGTGCGATATTAAGGACGTTTTATTTGAGACAACACTCAGAGGTCCTATTCTGGTGCCCTGTGTATATTATTCCTTCCATTCTTAGTATTTTGGCTATTATTTAGAAGAAACGCTGATTAATATGTTGACGAGCATAAAAAAGGACATGCGAATTGCCGTATGTACGAATGTAGTTTCCTAGTCATACCTTAGCCATGTGCCTCAGCGCTGACGATAGTGGTGAAAAGTGTTGGGTAGTACGACGAACTCTCGAAGCAATATTTCAAATAAGGTCAGCGTGGCGGATTTTGCATTCGTCGTTCTGTATTTTCCTATTCGCGACTCCGTACTAAGAAACCACTTTCCATTTTATTGCCTTTTTTCGCTTTATAATTACCCTTCGAAGCCTTGGAAAGGTAACAATGCCAAGCAAGGCCGTCGGTGGAATAATCTGACGAAACTCCCCACTGATCTGGTCGTATAGATAGAACTTGCCATCAGCCTCGAACATGATTTCGCCGGCTCCAGGATCCGTGCAGGACATTATAGGGGTACATTTCCCGAGCTCCGTAGCCATCCTCCGCAACCCAGTCATTCCCGTAGTAGTGTTCTTTCGGATCCATTGTCCATCCCGTATGGGGGGAGAACTTAGCGCTTTATTAGTATCAGTTGTTGTATACAGTCGATCGCGGGACTGCTCGAGGCCACTGGGATTTTTATAGATGATGTAATATCCACATGTTCCAAGGTCAGGATCAGGTAGGTTGTAAGCTTACTGGACATTGGGCGCTCGCCATGACTAACTCTATAACAGAAACTTGGGACTGGCTCAGGGGTTTGATGCACGGAATGTCTTCAAGGTGGATAGGATACAGCTCTGAATCTGAATTTGAACCGGCTGCGAATAGCGATTAATTGGTGACTTACATATGTGGTATCAATCTAATGATTGGATAGTTGAAATCATCACGATTTTCGATCAGCTCTAGTTCAGATAGGTGTCCAAGAAAGACATTTCTTCGAAGTCGCAGATAACCTTCCTCGACAGCTAACTAAGCAGTTCTTGGTTTCACTCAATGTCTACCAAAGATGAGGAGTACATCATCATACAGAAGGCCTTTGACTCACACGTGGACATGGATATATTCAACAAGAGAACTTAATTTAGCACAGCGAACTCTCCGAATCAGAACATAGCACTTCAAATGGGATAGGATGCAGCGTCCAATTATTCTTTTTGAGGAATGGTTGTTACCCATGGTCCTTGTCACAGCACCAACTAGAACCCGCCTCAAGGTGAGAGTTCCACCTTAAAGGTACTTGTCGATCTTCCACCTCCACAATGAGATTAGACGCATGAGTGAAAATCCCCCAGACATCAGGCAGACGCGCATTAGATCGACACAACCGTGCAGCAATACCAAGTGGGGAAGAGACGAGCCGAAATTTGAGTTTGGAATTGCCCACCCATAGTATCATTGGGCATTTTAATACATGTGATATCGAGAAAGCGCGGATTTATTATCCTATGTAGGTTGTGATGCAGATCATTAGTACGCCAAGTCGGCTTCTTAAAATACAGCCCATGCTGACGTGATTAAGCCATCCATGGATGTCTGCTACCTAGGTACCTTGCTAGTTCACACTATCTCATGATTAACCGAGTGCCCGAATATCAATTTCTCCAAACTGGCCCGATTTTAAAGCGAGCTCAGATTGAAATTCTTTTGGTTTGATATAGTACCTAGGTACCTTTTAGACCACTCAATGTCTGAGTAACAATTCTAGACGGGTCCACGGGTCCACCCACGTAATGATTATATAAGCTATAACGAGAACCTCACCGATGCAGCTCAGCCAATCACACACGTCATGTGCAGATCCCCCAGAAAGTACCGAGGTCGGATGTGCGGATTAAATTAATCCGAGATATGAATTTGGACTGAAGTTTGTTGCTTTTTTGTTGGGGACTTTCTCTGCTACTACCGGATCACCCTGACTCGGTTCCTGAATGGCAGTCATCAATGCCATTGCGTCGTAGTCACACAAAGTCCAGGAGGGGATGCTTGGAGTGTAAAAGGAGACATGTCAAGGTCAGTACCAACAAGTTGACTCCCCTGAACCCAATCAGGGGTGTTGGATGTGGCTCAGGACTGTACCTGGATCATGGCTCAGGTGGCCTTTACACACGGCAGTAAACCAGTTGAGACCCATATTCTGACGCAATGCTCAGTGTGACGAGGGCACCCCAAGATGTACTCTGTGCAAGAAGCGAAAATTAGAGTGCAGATATCCCCCGCCAAGTGAAGACGAGGACAGCCCTTTGGCGTCATCCAGCACCCAGGATGAAACAGAAAGTGGGGCTGTGACCCCATCAAGGGATTTTTCACAGGCGACGCGCTTGCTTGAGACACGATTATTCCACCAGTACATGACTTCAACGTACCACACTTTGTCGCAAGACGGACTATCAGCATACCATCTCTCTATGACTATTCCTCGCATGGCCGCATCTTGTCCTTATCTGCTTGACAGCATCCACGCATTTTCAGCTTTACACTTGGCTGCGGTGGAAACTGATAATCGGGCTTCATGGCTGGATCATGCCGCGCGATATCAAAGCCAGGCATGCGCTGGACTGAGCAAGATCCTTCCGGAAATGTCGCCAAAAGATTATGAACCAGCATTTGTCTCATCCATCATCATAATGCTTTTCGCCATTGGATCTCGAGTATTGTCACTTGAAAATCAACCACTGGACCCGCTTTTGGTTGTTCTCGAGGCTCGCACGTTGATATCTGGCCCCGCCATGCTTTTTACCCGAATAAATGAAGGCGGAATTGACGCACAGCTGGACGGATGGCTGTGTGCTCCTGACACACAAGAAAGCCTCGAAAGTGAGGAACATGATGAGTACGGAACTCTTTCTCTCTGACTCATTAGTGGAGGCTGAATGATAACACGAAACAGAGGCAGCAACCCGGTCGAAAACACACGTGTATTATTCAGCCTACACAAGTATGTTCCAGTGACGAACGGAGTTACGGTGTAGGGCTTGCGAAACTGATAATCTAAGCAGAGACATAATGACGTCGCTGGCTCGGCTTCATTCGATAATTGACACAAGGGAAGGATCGGATCAACCGATCTACTCTGCCACATGGCAGCGGTTGCAGCAGGCCATCGAGCCGTGGCCAAAAATCGGACCACATGGCGGTCCCCTTGCATGGCCCTTATTTCTCTCCGACGAATTTTCCTCACTCCTGCAACATGGCGACTGGACTGCCCGAGTTCTTTTCCTGCATTATGGCATAGCTATGCGTCTCCTATGCCATCGATGGTACGTGCGCGACTGGGGCCGTCGGCTAGTATCGGCCACACTGGAACAACTGCACGAGATCCCTCCGGAGTGGGACGAGACTATCTCTTGGATAAGACGAGCCGTTGCGAGGGAGGATTAGTCACAGAAATGATAACCATGTGGGGCATTCGGGGTATGGAGTACAGGGTTCTTATAGATTGAGGTATTATGAAATTCATAACAAACCTTAGAAAACGCCAAGTAATGACGGAATCATACCCAAGGGAGATAAGAGGTTATGTTTGGACGGTATAGAATTTGATCTACTGACTCCAAAAATCCCTCGGAATTTGACAATTCCCCCGAAAAGCCATCTGGCAGCTTATCAGCGGGGTCGAAACTAGGGTTTTACACTTAAAAACACATTCACAGAGTCGATTTCACGGTCTTGGAAGATGTGGACCTTCGAAATATCCGAGCCTTGATTTCCATCCCTCAATTACCATCTCCCGATGCCGGTTGAATTTTCCGACCACCACCACCGCTGATCCTATACAGAAGCGTCCGGGGCGAACCTGAGAGGGGCTCCAATCGTGGCACGCAAAATCCCTGTCAACTGAGCCGAGATGTGGGGAAATAGATAAAGCCTATCTCTCCAAAATTTCCCCTCTCGGGGAATACTCCATGCGCCGATTGGGAGTATTAATATGGGAAGGTGCCATAGCTTGAGTTGGCCGCCCCAGGATCTTCTTCCCCTGGGACACTGGCGCAACATTCCATATCGCTGGGAAATCGTAGACAGATTCTTGTCAACATGTTGAAACCGATGAGGCTCGGAGTCTTGGTGGTTTTGTCGCTGCTCTTGATCGCAACCCATCTGCCCAGCGCAAACACCTCCCCCTTGGAGTTCTCCGAGCGAGACACGGATGAAATTGGGCCTGGGAAGCTGGGCGCTGTTGCTAGCGAAAGCTCAATCTGCTCCCGCCATGGATCTGATATTCTGAAGAAGGGCGGAAACGCTGCTGACGCTGTGAGTGTACCTATCCAGGTGGGCTCGGGGTGAATCTCTGTACTAAAAATGACATAGTTGGTTGCAACGGAATTTTGCATTGGTGTCGTGGGTGAGACTAAATTCATTCGTTCAGTGACTGTATCTGAGCATAGCTAACGGACACAGGAATGTATCACAGTGGAATCGGCGGAGGTGGCTTTATGCTGGTGAGATCGGCAAAAGGTGAATACGAGTTCATTGATTTCCGAGAGACGGCTCCAGCTGCGGCATTCGAGGATATGTACAAAAACAACGAGGATGCTTCCATCTACGGTGGACTGGCAAGGTAAGAGAAACATGCGGAGCGGATAGGAGCTAAGTTAACAGCTATACCAGTGGAGTTCCGGGCGAAGTACGAGGTCTCGAGTATCTCCACAAGAAATACGGCTCCCTTCCATGGTCGACTGTTATGCAGCCCGCTATCCGCACAGCCCGTGACGGTTTCCCTGTTACAGAAGATCTTGTCAAATACATGAAATCTTCCGTTGGCACTGGAGAGGATTTCTTGTCCAAGAACCCCACGTGGGCAATTGACTTCGCTCCGAACGGAACCAGGCTTGGGCTGGGCGATACCATTACCCGACGTCGGTTGGCGGATACCCTCGAAGCTATTGCACAGCGTGGCGCAGATGCATTCTACTCGGGCCCCATCGCGGAGGCTATGATCAACGCGGTGCAGAGCGAAAACGGCACAATGACGCTCGAGGATCTGAAAAACTACACTGTGGCTATTCGGGATATCTCTCAGATTGACTACCGTGGCTACAAGATCACGAGTACGACGGCCCCCTCAAGTGGTAGTATCGCCATGAGCATTTTGAAGATCCTCGGGACATACAAAGATTTCTTCTCGAGTGAACAGGCCGTGAATCTGAGTACCCATCGCATGGACGAGGCGATGCGATTCGGATATGGCGAGGTATGAATGACCAACTTTGTTTCACCCGTGGGCTCTGGCCGATGATCGCTTACATGAAACACAGAGATCTAAATTCGGTGACCCTCTGTTTGTTGACGGGATGGCCAAGTATGAGAAGGACATCCTGAAGCAGTCTACGATCGATGACATTCGATCTAAGATCTCGGATGCTCGAACTCAGAACGTATCTGTTTATGACCCAGCCGGGCTGGAAAGCCTGGAGACGTAGGTCCTACTTGGTGCATTATTCTCTGACATTAAGCTGACACCGTATTAGCCCTGGAACTTCCCACATTGCAGCAGCCGATCATACTGGCCTTGCAATCTCGGTAATTACTACAATCAACCTGCTCTTCGGTAGCCATGTCATGGTCCCAGAAACCGGTATCATCATGAACAACGAGATGAACGGTATGTCGAGAAAGCCAGCGCTAGGCCCTACGGTTAACTAAGATGCTCACAGATTTCTCCATTCCTGGATCATCCAACTCGTTTGGATACATTCCCTCTGTATCCAACTACGTTCGCCCTGGAAAACGCCCCCTTTCCTCCATCACGCCCGCGATAGTTGAGCGACCCAACGGCAAGCTATTTTTGATTGCAGGATCCGCAGGAGGCAGCCGTATTATCACTGCCACCGTCCAGAACATTATCAATTCCATTGATCGGGGACTCTCCGCCGCCAAAGCGTTGGCCAAACCCCGTCTGCATGATCAGTTGATGCCAAACCAGGTCAGCTTTGAATACACCTATGACAATGCAACGGTTGCCTCCATGAAAGCGCGCGGTCATAATGTAACTTGGGTTGCTCCGGGACAGAGTACTGCCCAGCTGATTCGGGTCTTGCCCAATGGAACATTTGATGCTGCTGGTGAGCCGAGACAGCTCAACTCGGGTGGGTTTTCTGTATAGAATTGGATATGGCAGGATGCCAAAGTACATACATTATCAAGTGCGCGTCAAGGTACAAAAGCATTAGATAAATCTAGCAAAAGTTCAACCCTTTCGCGATGCATCCCTTTGTTGCAGATTCTTGGCAGCTGATAGCGTTTCTTTATCGGATGGCCTGTGCTTTGCGATAGTCCCTTTTTTTGATGTAAAGAACTCCAACTCACTTGGCCTTTGTTCTCCTTTTAAGGTCCACTCTGATGTCAAGAGTTGATCTGAACTTCTCTACTTCTTAATTTTCATTTGCTGGCTTCATTGACACGACATCGCGTCACCTTGTCAAATTTACACGTGAATCTACCTCCCCGCGTTAAAGGGAGCTAGATAGCTTCCCTCGCGATTTCCCCGAGAATACGCATTTGACTGGCATAGCAGAACTTGCAGGTGAATTTTTTCCTCTTGCTTTTTGGTTGTCTTTTGGCTTGTGTTAACCAGGCATCTCTCCATCCAAGCAGTTCACATCCAACAGAACAGCTACCACGATATGTCTACAAACCCTTCCAACTTCCCCAACTTCCTACCCTAGACAACTTGCCATCAACTGTGGCACCAGGAATAAAATGACTCGACTCAGTAACATCGCCGTTGTTGTTCCTCTTCCCTCCGTCGACATAGACCCCCTCAAGGCCTTTGATGAAAACTTCTTTGACCGTGCTGTTGACAACATCCTGTCCGAGGAAGCGAGCATTGAAGAATCCCGGGACGACATGATGGACAACAATGTTGGCACCTCAAGTCCCTTTGGGTATGATGGCACATCTGACTCCTCGAAGCTCGGCGTTCGTCGTAGTGGAAGGACCGAAGCCAAGTCGCCGCATTTTTCCACACCCTCGATCTCCTCACCTACAACCACCACGGGAAAGAAACCGAAGTCAAGAACATCTTCCAGAATACGCAAGCCTTTGGCAATGGAGGATGTCAGGGGTAATGATGAGGCTCCTATGGGCATCCAAAACACCATGCAACCTCAGCATGGGGACGAAGTCATGGAAGTTGAACCTTATCCCATCCACGAAGCTGGTGATCACCCTTCTGCACTTCCAGAAGCCACCGGATCCACCAACATATCGACCGCTGAGAATGAAATGACGGCGGAAGAGAAGATCTTTGTTTCCGTGGACCCTGAAAAGCAAATGGAGGTGCTGAAGTTCGTTGTATCACACCCTTTCATGATGGAACAAGTTCAACCTGTTCGACGTTCGGCCAGAAGAGAATTCACTGGCCAAGTGCGCGGGGTCGCTGCAGAGGCTGGACTGAACGACACAGCTATCGATGCTTTGATTGACCATATTCGAAAGACCTACCTTGAGGACCGTGGAATTGTGGAAACAGAAGATGCCGGCTCTGCGTTTGGGGATGAAGTTGATGGCGATGCAGAAGCCCGCAAGAACCTGCATCGAAAGCGGCGTAAGAGCAGCTCGGCTAACGCCGAGGACAAAGAGCACAAGAAAAGCAAGAGACGTCACTCGGATAAGGCAAGGCGGCACAACCACGATGCTACGCAGTATGATGAGCGAACCAATGTTATGGAAGCTCATGTCCCGGCAAGTGTTCCTACTGGCAGCCAGGACAATCGCTGCATTGAGCCGGATGAACCGAAACTTGAAGACAATACGCCGGATCTACCCACGATGCCCACGAACATCATTCGGGGCAGTCCTGGTAGACCCATCGACCTGACTGACTCTCCTCCCTATGACGAGTTCATCCCTGAGGCTGATGCCGTTCCACCAAACGAAGGCGTTGGTGCTATCGGGGGGTTCAAGGATGTCAACGAGAGGATTAAAGAAGTTCTTTCACGTTCACCCAACGACCGGAGATATGCTATTCCCGAGAGCCCATCGCCTGAAAAAGCGGTCGAAGAAAAGCCATCGAAACGTCGTGAGTCAAGCCAAGCGTCGAAAACAGAGCGAAACAAGCGCAAGCGCGAACGGAAGAAGGCGAGCAAAAAACATCGGAGATTGGGTGAACAGAAACAGCCTCAAGACGACTCCATTGATGGAGCAGAGAAGCAGCCTCAAGCCCACTTCGTCGATGAAACAGAACAAGATCAAATTCCGCCTTCTACTCCGCGACGACCCTCTTTCGAGAGCCCCAATGGAAGCACACAGAGCTCCGGTCAGCTCCCGCTACCCGCCGACCCTTCTCTGTGGGACACGGATTTTTGAGTACCAGTGATTTGCCAGGTGTGACTCCAAGTGATGAGGTCCAGTCTAAGTATTTCTTAGGAGCCGGCAACCCTAGAGTTGGCTCAAAAAGCAAGCGGGAAAAGGCTTCCTCGCTGTACGATTTTTCTATTCCCCCCAAAACCCGACAGCTGTTGAAAGATTTGAATCTGCCCCCAGATTTCTTGTCATCGGACTCTCCCTTGAGTGATGCGCCGAGTGATTTTGATTCCGATTGGAATGATCTAGAAGATCCTCCGTCGCATATCCATATCAAGTTATCACCTCCGGAAAGCCCCTGCCTTGTCCCCCCAGTGTACAAATCCCGATCCTGAAACTCCGGTGAAATGCACCTCTTTCGTTAACCCAGAACCCCTTAAAACCCCTCAAGCCAAAGCCCTGAAGCATTCTCCTTATTTCCCACGTGTGCTTGCTGATCCTGAATCTTGCCTCCCATTTCCCCCTATCGATGCGTCTTCTTTCGGACTCATCCAGGAGCAGCTTGCACATGACCCCTTTCGTTTACTCATTGCAACCATTTTTCTCAATCGGACCCGCGGTGGCGTTGCCCTGCCAGTCTTGTTCAAGGTTTTTGAACGATACCCTACAATTGAGGCGATGGCAGAAGCAGATCTATCGGAATTTGTATCGATGATAAACTGCTTGGGCTTTCAAAACCAACGTGCAAGGAAATGTATCACATTGGCACAAACATGGCTATCAGACCCCCCGCACAAAAGCAAAAGATATCGGAAGCTCCACTACCCACGAAAACTGGACGGTCGAAATGTTGGCCGCAAAGAATGCATTGACGAAGAAGATCTACGAGTCGCATGGGAGATTGCGCACCTACCCGGAGTTGGAGCATATTCCCTTGATAGCTGGAGGATCTTCTGTCGCGATGAGTTGCGGGGGAAAGCCTCTGACTGGAAAGGGACGGATGCGACAGAGATCGGGTTCGTGCCTGAATGGAAGTGTGTCCTACCACACGACAAGGAGCTACGTGCCTATCTTACATGGATGTGGCTGAAGGAAGGGTGGGTTTGGGATTACAACACGGGTGATTTGACACTTGCCAGTGACAAGATGATGAGAGCTGCGCAGAACGGAGGGGTCGCTCGTGAAGAAGAAGGGAATTGGATACTAGAGACATCGCTTGTCAAGGCTGTGAATGGATTGCATGAATCGGATTGATTTTAAGAGCATCCATCTCTTGATGTACATGATACATAGAATACCAAGTGTTTCAATTCCACATATTGTATAAGTAGTTGCCTCAGGCAGTAGAACCTGTGTTCCCCCAGAAATTCAGCTGAGGTCTTTATATATCTCCGAATCGGATTTCAGGCTTCCATGCAGCAAAACCACGTCAGTTAAAAGAGCGGGGCCGAGATCGTTCACCGCATAATCACCATAGTGCGTTCTTTCCACTTCCAACAATTTCATGCGTCGTACCTGAATGAGATTATTCTTTTTTTTTCCTTTTCCCAAACCCGTGATCCTTCATTCCAGACCCCAGACACATACGGAATGCCGGATTGGTTCCCGCACACTGCGACGTTAACCAGTCACAACGGCAGCCCGAACTAAGCGCCAGGACATTTGGAGACAAAAATAGGATCACATTCCCCTCAGTGGCGGTGCGAGTCTAGACAGGTAACAGACGACTGACCCTTTTCGCGCGGTCCACAACTCGATTATACGGATTTCGCCATGTTTCCTGTTAGACTAAACCGCGACGATAGGAAGTCGAAGACCGTCAAGGCTACGAAGACCAAAGCAAACAAAACAAACAGAAAGACCTCAACCAAGGATCCAGAGGATCCTTCCACGGCTCGCTCATCAACTTCTAAACGCAGGTCCTCCATGCCTGGACTTGAGAGATCGGAGGCAGCCTCGTTCCTTGGATCGAGAACTAGTCTGCCGTATCCTAGTTTCTCGAAAGCTCATAGCAAGGAAGGCGTCCGAGCGAATATTCCTACACCCGACCCGACCGATTTGACACATGACGACGGCAAAGACGGTCACCGCGAGAATCACCATGCGCCTCCTAGTCCGCCCCTGACCGGCCTCGACCAAGAGTCGAGGAAGGGCAGTATCGTCAACGAGGATGAGAAGGAGGCAGACAAACCTAAAAAGAAAACGAACATTAAAATCAGAGCCTCCGAAGTCAACAGATCCTCCTCGAGTCTCCGGTCGAAACGGGATGATAGCACCAAGTCCAAGTCCAGCAATACATCACGAGCAGAGACCCCTACAAAATCGAGAACACCCAAGGATGAGAGTGAAGCTTCGCCTCGGTCATCGAGCCACAAGTCCAAGACGAAGGTTTCCGATGACAGGAAGCTGCCCAAACGGTCGAGTCGTTCAACGATGTCTGCCTCACGGTCGAACGTCACGCTTCGTGATATCGGCGTGGAGTCAGTCAACGGCTCTGACGCGACGTCTATTGCGCCTAACCAGCAGCATTCTGTGCCACGAAAACCAATGACCCCGCCTACGAAGCCTCCCTCGCGCACCCAGAACCGATCAGCCATGTCCCATCGTCACACTGCTAGTGACGAATCGATCGATTTCGTGAAACCAATGAATCCGAACTCATTTGGTGCACCCCCGCCGCCCCCACCTCCGCCCGAAATGCCTGCCACTATCCCTCGAGTCGATTACCTGCTGAAGAATGGTGGTCTGGAAAACAAGGTGTCGAGAGCACTGTTGGCTAGCCTCGGGCAGAAGGATCCATTATCGCAAGGACAACCACAGTCTCGGGCTATCGCTGGCAAAATCTTCGATCCCTATAACCGTTTACTAGATGACTACCAAAAGGTCATGAATAAGAATGGCTCTCTTGCTGTCGCAACAGGCTATCGATCTGTGGCCCGACGTTTATTGGATCGCCTCGAAGCCGTGTTCGCGCGCGACATCTCGTCCGAGCCATGTACCTGCCAGATATGCGACCAAGCGGAGCCAGACGATCGGCCGGATGGGGTGAGCTGGGGTGAGGTTTTGGAGCTCGTGTCTGGCCGCAGGGAACTTCCTATGTGGCCTCCCTTCACAATGGCACCGAGCGCCGTGGATACCGGTGCGCCCGGCGACGAGCACATTCCAATGCAGAAGCTTGACGTTGACGTTCCTGAAGAGTACCGGGAACACTTCATTCGGCAATCTCGAAAGACGAAGGTCGCTGTCGACAAATGGCTTTATGAGCAGAATGATCCAGGCACCAGCGCTCCTAACGAGGTCGACGACGAGACGTTGACCTTCGCCATGCTTACGCATCTCGAACCCTACCAGCGCTCGTTGTTCTGCTCTTTGCTCGGCATCAACTCTTCTACTCCTGTCCCACGATCCGACGACGAAAAGCCCCGACCGAAACCTTCAGCGCTTGTCTCATCGGCCTCGGCCATCCAGCGTCTTTACCGACTCTCCTCACTCCCTCGCGACCCAGAAACTGCCATGTACATGTTGAATAACCCTACTATCCACCATGTCCTCGCCACGCTTTCCGCCATCAGCGATGACGAGTGGGAAATCCTCATCTCCGGCCGCTTCGACGGATTCCTCCGCAGTGGCGCAGAAGATACAGGCCCGACCGCGAATGTCGCCGGGTCTCGCTGGGGCGGTAGTCGCTCCAATACACCCTTAGGCGGCGGTGTCTCCCGAGGACCGACACCCAACTACATGGACAGCAGCTTCCGACCCTCAAGCCAAGTCAACGGCGGACCCTCATCCCCCGCCTCGTTCGGCGGCCCGATCGCTCTAGACGAGGAAACCGAAATCGCCGCGTTAGCGGAAGTCGAACGCGACATTTTCCTCGGAATGGAAGCCCTCGAAGACGCTTTCGAAGCCCTCCACTGCAAAGCCGAAACCGTGCGGCGCGCACTGCGCGAACGCGGCGCCGGCCTCTCCGTAGCAAACCAAAGCCGCCGGGGCTCGTTCGTCGAAGCGCGGATGGGCACGCCCTTCTCGGGCGTTGGCGGATGGGAAAGCGGCGGTGAAGACGACTTCCTCGACGACGATCGTTCTCTTGCGCCCGATGACTCGGCGAGTAACATCAGCTCGAACCGGCGCCGTCGGCCCAAGAGACGCACGGAGCGACGCACGCCCGCGCCTGTCGAGGAGGAAGACGAGGAAGATGACGGTCTTGCTCGTCGGGATACGCGCAACTCTAGGCGGAGATAGTTTTGAAACAGGGATCGGAATGGAACTAATTCTTTTCGACCTTATAGCGTTGAAATTATTCGGGGCGGTTTGCTGGATAGCATGGGATATGGATATTGCTGTTGCTGCTGCAATGGGCTTGACGAACTCATGATACCCCTCCTGCTTTCTTGTCCTAGCTTTTTCTTTCTTTGTTTCTCACTTGTTCTTTTGCATCGTTTCTGCGCTTGGCCTAATGCCTCCCCCTTTTTATATTTTGCTCTTTTGATGATTTATGAATGCCATGAGCTTCCCTTCCCCCTAACGCCTGTTCGTGCGCTTAGGATATGATACAAGTTTGATTTAGCATCTCTCAGCGATGGAATTGTTAGTACTGTGCAATATAAGAGATCTGGACCTAGGTATTGCAGTGATACCTGGGAGACTACAGACAATTCCGAACAAGGATAAAACCAAGCAAGACATAGAGCAGGGGATTGGGTCCAAGTTCTTCGGGCTGTAGACGTACATTCAGCTTGTCCACAGCTCTACCTTGGCTTCCAGGTCCATTGATGGACATGGTGGTTGAGTGGCTGTGATGGAACTCTCGGTCACGCGACCATGGCTAAACCTTTAGGACGGGGGAGGTACTACTTGTAGATGGACTATGACACCACTATTCTACTATATAATACGTGAATGGCAGTACTATGGTGGGCACGTATCCTCCACCTATAGAGCTGGTGAGCGTAAAAGTGGATGCACCAACAGATATGTATCAAGGTGATATATATTCCTCAGAAGTGCGCCGTGCTGTGGTGACTTTTATATAATCTGTACTACTCAGCTCAATATTAAACATGAGAAAGGCTCAATGACAGTTGTTCTGGTTGGGATTGGCCAAATGGGCTACAGCTATGCTTGCCTACCACAGCAACCCAGCCCTGGAGGCTTTCATATCATCGGCCTGGTCGGTGTCCATCAAAGCAGCTCCCAGTTACGAAAACTACGTGTGGCCGCAATGGAAACGGGAGCACATTTTCGTTGAGTCTGACAGCAACAGCAGTCGAGGCGCACCGTGTCGCGGAAACAGCATTCCGTAGTAATCGCAAGCTCGTCCTGAGGTCACTGGCTATATCTTACGACATCATCCCAGCTGGGTGGAATTCATTCGCCAGACTCGACAGCTCGGCCCTCCGTCCGTGATGATGAGCCCGAACGTTCGCGGCAACGGCTAGTATACCCACAAACGCATACTACAGGACGTAAAGATGCGCAATATACACTACAATACCAGCATATCCATCAAATATGTGATGGGCCACGTGGTTCGGCGTCAACTGTGATAGATGCCAATAAGAAGACCACTGCTGATGGCGGTCGTCCGGCCAATATTGATAGTCACACGGAAACATCACATCCAGCTTTGGCAAGAGCACTAGGACTGATCGACGTGCGCATGATAGGATGATCATGATCTCCAGGGAGGGCGAGCCGAGCCACTAGGAGCTTTGTGCTCGTGGACAGCAGTTCCTACTACCTGCTATTGGGGAGGATCGAGCTCACACCATATGACGGATGCTGTGCGATAGCTTGCCATTGTTCTTGTGGTGGGTCGGTATAAGGGAGAAACGTGTGATTGACGTCGTGTGATGACTATCCACATGTCGAAAAATGATAGCAAGCACCGTTGTTGAATTTTGATACTATATGTGGGAATTTTCCAGAACTTGCAATTGCATACATGTACGGAGTACTCCATATTCAATCACACCTGTTTCCAATTTTGATAGTTGGAAGTGGAGGCAGCAGTGAGTGATCAGCCGCTATTTACGACTGAAAAGTAGCAGAATGGCGAAGAGCAGTCAGTCTTCATAATGTGAAGCAGTAAAACTAACCACAAAAGGCAATTGACAAGGTCGCGTTTATGCACAGTGTGTACGCCGTGCTCCGTACTCTATCTTGTGAAGACTCTGATGTGAAGCCTTTTTTGGGTTTGGCCCACAGTGGACTATGTAGGTTAGAAATCCTTCTTCACCCCTGAGGCCCATCGGGACCTCGGCATGTTTTCATATCTCGGTCTATCCCTTACCGACGGGCAATTTGCATAACGGAGTTCCACTACGATCCACTGCGGTATATACTTCACCGGTAGTACTTATGAAAGTGATATGCCGGAGTTAACCTGCCTAGGAGCATTCATATATTGCTACTGGGGTTGGTGGAGACTGCCTTGCTATTAAGGGAAGGAGACTGGGTGTGCGTCGGGAGGTATTCAGGGGATTTCCCCTTTGCATGACCTCGGGAGCATCTGTATGTTGTACAGCCGATCTTTTAATGTTATTTCAGCTTAATGAGCAGACACTATAAACATTAGTAATAATATCTTATAACATTGGAAAGATCCATGGATGACTTTATGGTAATCACATGGTACGCCCGCCTCGTATTGCTCGAGGATCTACGCAATAGTTCCTCCCGAGCACCTACCGCCACGATGGAAAACCTCCGTATATACGGGGTACAGAGCATGTTCATGCAGATCATTAGGGTCGCGGGTCGCAGAGTTTGGAGATCCTAGACGTGATCAGACGCTATTGATTACCGAAGTATCAGGGTGTCATTCGAGTGATCTTACTTTCTAGGCAAAAGGAACTCCCCCGTATTCTGCGCGCTAAAGATCGATAGGCTCAGGCTATAAGGTTATTTTCTTGGGTTCTGGGCCAAAATAGGAAATTTCACCCCGTCAGGCGCATCTCCAGATTGGACGGGCTGTGTGTATGTTTGGACGCGGCTCAGGGAAAGCGCTAGAGGCGAGTATAGACTTTTCAAATGAGTGGAATGGGACTATTGATATTTCATGACTTGTGGCAATGTTGTGGACACGGTGAACTTTGATATGGTGGGTTGCACGTGCCACTATGTGAGTGAATAGGAAGGACTCCGTACAACATACAACATGGGAAAGTGATCAACAGAATGTAATGATGATGATGATCTACCTACGGAGTACATACTGCAATGAGGCTATAACCGTGCTAGGACTCCTACCCGGTCCTGTGGGCTGCACCGGATAGCGAATCTTCAGTGGATAAGAAATTAGAGGATCATGTATCTTTTGTATGGCAACCCCATACAAAGGATACTTGATCTTTAAATTTGCTTTCCGGTCCCACCACGACCGGCTAGGTGTTGGTGGGGCCTGGCGCGACTAATAAAGAGCTTCATAACAAAGGCCAGAAAGGGGCAAAGAAAGACCCGACAAACTGCATGTACAACATAGGTAACCAAATCCTCATTCCAACAGGATATCCTATTTTCAATCTGAATGAGCTTCGAGTTGAGATAATGAGATCAATCTAGAGATATCTTACAAGCTGCTCACATATGAGCGGGGCTGCCCGCCTTAAGGAATGGGGGAGAGTGGAACTGGGCTACGTACTGAAGTCCGGCAAGTTGGATTCCGAGGAGAAGGTTAAATGGTAAATAAAAAAGAAGGTTGAGGGTAAGTTTTGATGTCGGACATTACCCCAAATTCCGTCAGAAGGCAATCGAACAAGAATCTAGTAGGGTTTTGGGGTCAAGCTTCCATCTCATTCTTCTCCGCAGGCCCCAAGACCTTGGCCTTGCCCTTGGCCTACAACAGACACACAATTTGGCACACAATTTGGCAGGGGCTTGTTAGAATTTGGATCGGCAATTGAGCGGGGCGGAGAGGAAGAAGATGTGGCAAGAACTCTGGTTGGAATGAGACATGGCGTTAAGGATGATTTTAACACACCGGCTTCCGAAATATCTGTGGAAATACACTCCGTATACTCCGTCTATGCTGCACACACGTTCAAGAACATCAACGTTGGTATTGTCTTATATTCGGGTACCTGACAGCCTCAACTGTCGGGATGTCCGGACCCCATGCAATATAAATTCGGATGCTTCCGGGTTACCCCTGACGCATACGTCTAAGACACTTCTGTTGCGTATTACGTTGTGCCAACTCGGGGCCAAGATTCCTTTGCAACGGGCCAAGCCAACTCCACGATCGCTGCGGCTCTAAACCAGACGGTGTGTAATCATCCTTTTGCTGATTTCAAGGTTTTATGTCGATCTTATCCACTAGGGGGGTAAATCTCCACTAGCCCCGTGCCGGAATCATACCGGAAATAGGCAGCTACCTTTATCCAGTTTATCCAGTTTTTCAGCAGACGTTGCAGAGTGATTGAATTGAATTGAATGAATTGAACTACGAAGTAATAAGGGGCTAAACAACCCACGTGACATCGACCACAATTCTTTTCGTGAGTACTCCGCGTATGTTGTAATCCATATGTACTCCATACAATAATGTATGACAGAGAAAATCTGTTTCGTCCCGTCTTCTCCATTAAAAACCGGAGGAGTTTCACTTATGGTTGGACGGTTAGCAGCGGATCGAAGCTTAACCTGGCCCAATGGCATGGCCAAGATGTCGAGAGTCCACAAATGTCCGCGAATGTCCAATGCCCACTATTGTTAAATAATCCTTTTGTTTGACTTTAGAACTTTCTGCTACAACAAATACGGAGTAAGACTGTTTTGTGCGGGGATTCCACTTGAAATTCTATTAGGGTCACCTGGTCACCCTACTCACATTGTGCTTTATATATTCTTTTTTTTTTAACTCGATAGTATTTGTTATTTCGCTGACCTTATATTGTAAACACCTCTACGTTTAGGAATGGCTTTTATAGAATACGATACGGTGATACTTCCAATACTTCTAACATGGAGTCCGTACTCCGTACTAAGAATACACTTGCCCCAATTCAACTTCAATCCCGCTAGTGTTCCAGAAGCCTCGCCCCTGCAGCGAACATACGGTACTAGCGATCTGAGCCCCCCTGTTAATGGGCTAATATGTACGGAGTACGCCTTGACCTTGAAACGGAGACAGAACTCGTGGGATCGGGATGGTTTTTGCGACTTCTTAGTGGTTCTGAAATTTGGGGCCTTTTTCCTATGCCCGTTTCTCAACGGTGAATGGCCTTCTTGGGTATGCTCGATGTACTTTTTTATGCAGCTAGGTAGTTCGGCTTGTCCATCGCACGGGCTAGTACCGAGTAGACCAAACTAAGCTAACCTGTACGGCTATTTTATTCGACATCTCGCCACAAACTCGTCTCCTCTTTACCCACCTGAGGGGCACATATGGCCTAAAGGTGAGCTAAATAGGGTAAGTGGAGATACAATGTGCGTTGTATACAGGGATTCGCAGCTCTAGACCTTGAATTGTTATGGAGACCGCACTTCCTCTCCCAGTCCATATTTCTCCCAGATAAATCCACATTTCACTCGAACCTGTGAATAACCCAGTTATTGGCGGAAACCCTGAACCCGTTTTAAAGTTCCATTTCCATTCTTCTGTCTATCACATTTTGAGTTCAGTCAGTCCCAGTAGTTTGGGAGCTGTTGATTTTCTTGCATGTGGCTGCCAGTTTTCATGCCTCTTCTGTGGCCTCTTCCCCTCCCCGTATTCTTTATCTTCCACTGCGGGCTCATGGCGTAGGGATTGCGTTGATTATCTTCTGCTTCTTATTCATTGGCACTCGTGTCCACCTTATATATCGACTTTTGTTGGCCTCGATCGGGTTTCTGGACAGTCACCCCCAAGAACGACGTCTTGCCTTGAATACCACCCTTTCAACCAGGGAATGATAGCAGACCCCTCAAAGTGAAAACCAACAAGACACTCCACCATGTCAGCACTCGTTCTCATGGGCTTGATGCCCAGAAACAACGAGCACTCATTGGCGCCTCGATTGATCAGCTCCGCTGAACTTGATGTCGACCCTCTCCCGGAAGCGCATCGACGAGGCCTCATAGCAATCACAATCATGGCCTTCCTGTCGCTCATTGCAACATCAATACTCCTCGGATTCATTACCTATCGACTTATTTTCTGGCGCGGCAGCTATACACGATACATCGGTTACAACCAGTATATCATTCTCATTTACAACCTTGTTCTGGCCGATTTCCAACAGTCACTTGCGTTTATTATTTGTTTACGATGGATCTTGCTAGACAAAATCAAGTCCGGCTCTGCCGCATGCTTTCTTCAAGGGCTGTGGCTGCAAATTGGAGATCCCGGCAGTGGTCTTTTCGTGCTTGCCATCGCCTTCCACACATTCCTTTTGGTCGTCTGGGGACGTAAAATGTCCTACAAGGTCTTTGTCAGTTTCGTCGTCGGCGTCTGGGGCTTCGTGGTTTTGATAGTAATCATCCCAATCGCAATGCACGGTGCCAACGTCTTCGTGCCTTCCGGGGCCTGGTGTTGGATCAGCAGTGAATACGAGACCACCCGTTTATGGACTCACTACATGTGGATTTTCATCTCCGAGTTCGGGACAGTCCTTCTCTACGCCGTGATGTACTTCCAGCTGCGTCGGCAGATCGCCGCCTCCGCCATCCTCGGCAACAGCCAGCTCGAGAGCCTCAGACGCCTGCGCCGCGTCGTAGGCTACATGACCATCTACCCAATTGTCTACATCGTCCTGTCGCTACCACTCGCCGCAGGCCGCATGGACACGGCAGCTGGCGATACACCCAGCGTTGTATTCTTCTGCATTTCTGGCGCCATCATCACCAGCTCCGGACTGGTCGATGTCATTCTGTACACCCTCACCCGCCGCAACCTGATCATCGACTCGGAACCCAGCGAGGACCGCTCCTACAACAAATTCAGCAGCAAGGGCAAGCGAGGCGAGACCAACCTCACCACCATCACGGCCGACCCCAAGCGTAAAATGGGCGGCACTTTCAACGATGACCTTGACCGCGACGGCTCAACGGATAACATCGTTTCTCCCGCACACGGCCACCACTCCACCGATCATGAAATGGCCCCGATCGGAAAGGTGTACCAAGAAACCACCATTGAGATCACGCATGAACCTGCGTATCCAGACGCAGCTAGTGAGCGCTCGAGCAAGGAGGACTTCCCCGATCGGCCACCTGCTGGATGGCGGAGATGAACTTTTCTCATGAACCTTTCCTTACACTTCTAATATTCCTGAGTCATCTGAACTGTTACCACTTGCATTTTTCCGTGGTATGATGCCCTCGATACCCCTTTTTTTGTCACTATAGTATATGTATTCCCTCCCTCACGATCTTGTCACTTCATGTCTCCTATTCACTTCTTCTTCCCCCTTTTCTTCCTCTTTTCTATATCTCTATACTTTCACCCTCAATCCTCTTCCACGGCGGAGTCTTATATGTATATACTTACAAAAAGGACGGACACGTTCCTCATGTGAACCATGCGCGGTTAGCATGTGATACTTAATGTTTTCAAATTAGAAGACCCATGACTTGGGTTCGATTGAATGAATTTCCACGTAACTTGACGCATTTGACAAAGACCCCCTCCTAATATGCTACTTGGGATGCTACTGTGCTTCAGCAGTTTTATTACCAAAGGTTCTTTTAGAAAGTACACTATATTTCAAGCATGTCATTGGGCAATCCATGTGAGACGGGTTATTCAAGGACGCTCTCCTACGTCAGTCAGACCTACGCCCACCTTCAAGCGACAAGTATATATTCAATCCTTCCGTTGGGACAATCCAAATTTCAAAATAAATCCAATTTTACATAAGCTCAGATTAACTTCAATTTGACACGTATACTTCAAGAACCAGAATACCAAAGTACCACATCTGACAATCACGCAGGAGGAAGCGCAAGCTTCCCAGAAGACCAACGCCCCTGAGTCCACACATACTCCGTAATGGCCGAGATTTCATGACCAGCCTGGAAGTAAACGCGTACATCTGGACGCGCACCATTCATCCAGCTAACGCAAGCAATCTGCGTTCCGGGGATACAGTCCGCGTGGAATTGACCTTCGGTCCAAGACTTGCCATCGTATATCATCTCGCGCATCATATTCGATGTATTGTAGAAGACGCGCATCCCGACGACTTCCGAGCTAGTCATGTAACTAGTACAGGCTATGGAGGTCCGGGGTTGGACCCTTGGGAACTTGGCGGCTCCGTCGTACCAGCCGCGTTTGCTGTCGTAGCACTTCTCTATTATGCCATGTTCCATGTGCTGGTAGTAGACACTATCAATAGATTTAGTTTATATCCTGTGAAACGATGTCTGATGGCAGTAATTACCGGATCTTCGGTTCAGATGTCTTGAACACAGTGCATGCTATGTCCGTGCCGGGCATTGCGGAACCCAGAGTTGACATTTTCTCCCAGTTTCCATTATCTATCTCCTGTGAGTAATGATAAAACACCTGTTAGCTGGTGACTTACCTTTAACTCCATACTCCTGAATCGTGTTGTCTGCCATCTGACAATAGACTCTGAGTGTCATGTCGGGTCCCTTGAGTTGGCAAGCGGCCAGCTTGGAATACGGCGCCGTCATAAAGCGCTTCTTACCAAGGGTACCCTCGTACCAACCTTTGGATTTGTCATAGGCCATATCCTTCATAGTGTTGTCGGTGGAGAGGTAGTAGACTCGGATCTAGCCGGGTCCTGTTAATCATCCTTTTGGTAGCTTTTTCTTGACAGAGCTTACGTTCTCAAGGTCACTCGAGGTGCAGGCTACAGGAGAGTACAGCTTGGCTGAAGCAATGACATTTTTCTCTGTTCCATTGCTCCATTTGTCCTCGTACCTCGACTCGCGGATCTTTCCCATGACATCTTGCATGTAAACCCGGAGGTGGCTGCTTGCATTGCAGGCTGCGATGGAAGTCCCTGGAAAATATGATATCAGTCTTGATGGACAGGAAGAGTAGTCAGGGATATTTTACATACGAAAGACTATATCGTGAGCTCCGTTGCTGGGCATGGTGGAGAATGATTTCGATACGTTAATTGGTGTTTGTTGCGTCGATAAAGATTATTTTGGATTGAGGTCGGAGGATCTGAACGGGGTTATAACGGCAAGGAGCCTTCTGTTTTGCACATCACGAGGTCACGTATCCAGTCTGGACTGGTCATAAATTCTGGAGCATTGGAAGAGCTGTGATTGTAGGAATAGGCGATGCTTTACACACGAGTAGCCAGGCATGGTGGTACATCATGCAAACAAGGACCGAGGAAGCTCGCGGATTGTCAACGCACAAGGGAACCCACAAAGTGACAAACAATTAATTTTACCGGATGGACTTACCGACATGTCCGATGGGGGACAAGTGGCCTAGGCCCTTGAGGCTCCGGGAAACGTTGAAAGTATGCATAGGCTGTGACAGGCCGTAGATTGTACTACGCTCTATATCCAATCCTCGAGTAAGGATTGCTCCGTCCAGATCAAAGCCAACGGGAATGGATTTGGAAAGTACGCAGTGCAATATTCTAGTGAGCGATAGACGTGTAGTTAGTTTTCTTGCGATTTTGATCGGACCAAGTCATTACTCCCACTGACGCGTTCATCAGACTGGCCTTAGGCCAGGACAACTTCTAGCCCCAGTGTGATATCACTCGACATTTGCAGTCAGCTCCTGCCTCGAGGAAAAACACTCGTTCAAATAAGAAGGCTTGACGTCGGCGTTCCAGCCGGATGCTTTTTGTTTCTCGTTGTCATTCCAAGTCTTGATGCGTTAGTGAATGTCCCAACGATTTCTCAATGCATATTCAATTACGCCGGTTGAAATCGCGGCAAGGGGAGAAACAAAAGGAACTTATTCTTTTTCCAGTTGACGGTTAGTACAGGGCTTGGATCTCATCGGCTCTCGCCCAACATGGAACTTTGGCGACGACGAGCCCCAACGGATCGGTCCAAGCCCCGACGCTGACACAACGGCACTGGTACCACTCTGCGCTCAATGCATAGTCGACAGAAGAGAAAACGCAACGAGAGAATTCTGCACTAGGGTCTTGATATCCGCTGTTTGTACGTCGCTGGAACCGACGGATTCCGTCATCGCGGCATGGTGGCACGAGGCACGACCATGGACCACAGAATGAGGGAAAAAAGGAGTGTAGAGCGAGCTGGCCTTTACTCCCCATAAAACAATATGCCCCCATATCACGTTCGCGGGAGGCTCCTTGTACCGGACTTCGCACCTTGGAAGTGTCCTGAACCAAGAACTTGCAGTGGAACGCACATGTCGGAATCTCGGGTCCATGATCGCCTCCTGGAGCTCGCTATAGATTCCCTACAAATCCATGAAGTGCAACCATTGAGTTTCATGATTTCAGTAAACAAAGTCAAGTCCTAAATGGTCTTGCAGACAAGACCTGCATCCAGTCTCTTGCACGTGGGCGACGACATGAATCATCGCAGACTCCACGTTCGAGACATTATTGCCGATCAACTTATGCATCCTGAGTGCTGTCCGATGGGACGCTCGTGCGTGCGTGGGTCGGAGCATCGGTTCCGGACCAGTGGTTTGGTGACCAGCACGTGCAGAAGGTCTGTCTTGAGCCAGCGATCTTCTCTAGCCCTGGCTCATGGTGCCTTCTTAACGTGCTCAGCCCACTGGCCGGGAGGGCATTCGTCGGTACCGGTGGTTGGCACGCAAAAACCGTCCAGCAAGGTCGTAAGGACGCTGTACTTCAAATCCATAATATCCATGTACTCTGCAGTCTGGTCTAAAACCGTGTAAGCAAAAGAGTAAAGACTGTGCACGTAAAGAGATTTACCTGCGCAGCACTCGCATTGCCAGGAATTCCTTGATCGACATTTTTGATGCTGAAGGCAGCGCGTCCAATGTGCTGAGAGTCTTGCTCAAGACTCCTTCCCTTTCAACTGCCTCTTTTCAGTCCGACACGTTCCTCGGCAAGGTATGTGCGATTTCTTTCGCCATATCGATCATCAGATCTAATCTGAGAGAGATGGACCACTGTAAGGATGTGATTGGTTACCCACGGGACCTTGATCTCGCCCACCACAATTAGCCGTCCACCTTCAGTCACGATGGTAAGGTGGCTGATAGGAGGCGAGCTAGGACTTACGGTCTTATCTCCACGGGCTCGCCGCGCAGCAGCGAGGTGTGGTAAAGGCGCTAAGAGCACTTTTCCGATGTCTTCTGGTATTTTCTCTCCGCGGAAGATTGCGATTTAAAGCTTGAGTGTAATTCCAGAACCGCCTCCCGCGCGCTCAATCATACTTCAAGTCGGCAAACCCGAAAGGGGGCGGTTTGTGGTGGGCGACGCGGGTAAGAATCTCTCCGACTCTCTCTTTATAGCGTCCTTGGATTCCGTGTTCGTCGCCGATAGATACGTGCTATAGGGTCTTGGGGCGTGCGTGATTGTCTGATCAGGCCATTGGCATCGAAATCAAGTGGAAATCGTTGTAGAAGCTGCTTGTTGGAGGGGTTCTTGGCCGCGACGTACACCAACTCGTTAGATGGTCGCACCCCCGGATAGGACAACCCAGGCGCCGTTCTCGTCCTCATACGACTTCTGTCCCTAGCGGGGCGCACGAGCGGGTGATCGCACTCATAGGGTCGACTCTGGGGTCGGGGTCTTCATCGCCGAGGTGTCATGTGGGCCTCTCGGACATATCGTACCGTCTCGTAGCCTTTCCTTCGAGTATAAGTATGACGAGCACATATGTTTCTCGATTGTGGGGTAGTAGTGGCATGTTTGAAAGCAAAGAGGGGAGTGGCTTCCTCCTCCTGTAGTGACTTGTGATGGAGTGAATACGCTTGTCAGTCGCTCCTGAAATATCACTGCCCTGTGGAGGGGCCTGGGTGACACCCTTGGTCGTGGCCGTGGATGGCTTTGCACGCTTGGCTGAATGTGATTGTTGAGTGCGCTTCCACTTGCCGTTTATACATAAGCGAAGCTACGTTCCTCCAACGTCGACGAAGATGGTGCGATGGATCGCAGAGCTTGGAGTCGTATATAGTTGGTCGTATATAGTTGAATCTGCCTGTAAAGATGCCACTCATCACAATCTCACATTGCCCCGAATAAGTGTCTGGCGGACGGGATTTGCGTTGTCGAATGTCCTTCAGGTCGACTAGCCGGTCGTCTCTGGTGTTTTATGGGAATGCCATGTCGCGTGACGTTCGAAAGTGAGAGGATGTGTTTCACTTAAGACGGGTGAAGCTCGAATCTCCAAGGGGAGGCGAGAAGTGTTGCCATGGTGCTGGTGGCTCGTCCGTTGCGCGTCAGGTGTAGTTGTAGAACGAAGGAATGTTGTCAGAGCTAGAGTGTGCCTGGCGGAAAGTTTTGTCCGTAGATAATTTCGGAGGACGGGGAGAAGGCAAGCTTTTGCAAATGAAAGAGGGTCTGGGTAACATGTCATGGGGGGGATAGAGGCGGCAAGAAGAAGGGAGAGGTAACAGAACATCCTTAGGTTAAGCTGTAGTGATGATGCTTAAGAAACATTTTATACCTACGCACATAATTTGCAATCTAGATGGACCTCATGAAAATGCAAAATTATTTGCTTCTTATTTAAAATCAATGGTCTTCTCCTTTGACATGTCTCTCACTTCATAGTCACATTCCTTTGACTTCTTTGTTTCCGCGAGAAAAACATCGTCTTATTGAGAGAAAATGGGCAACTGATAGGTGAAATCAAGTAGGCACTTAGAATGAAACGATGGAAGAAGAACTGCTTCTTCTCTTCATCCCTGTCTCAATGTATTTGTCCAGGATTTCGTTAAATTCGGCGTCTCCTTGGTCCCCAGAAGCATCCGGGGAGTAGCCGTGCGGGATTGATCCTCATCCTCTCCCATTTCTTCGCGGGTCTCCGTGTAGTATTCACCCTCGGAATTGGATTCCCCAAGAAGTGAGAGAAGATCCGCATCGTTTGGAGGTGAGTATTGATAGGGTGATCAAGGACTGCATCGTCAAAGGTGGAATTTGGAGCACGTGGTTCGTTTGGAGGGTCCCCGGGAGAGAAGGTGTAGACGGTCACGCCACGGCAGTGGTCTCCATCCGACGAGGTCCCTTTTTCCCTGTTTGTGGCAACGAAGGAATATGAATAGATAATTTATATGTTGAGGCGTAGCTGCCTGAGGCCTTGCATCCTATAAGAGACAGGAACATTCGGTGTCCATGCCTGCATGGTACCCAGGTGGTCAATTTTCCCGCGGGGTTTGTTCCTTCTTGTAGGGCCGAAATGTTGTCTGATGAAAACCTAAGACACATAGGCAGTTGCTCAACAACAGTTGTCCGAAAGGCGATCAAAACTGGTATCTGGTTTGCTGCAGAACAAAGTACCATGCGGTAAGTGGCTGGTCACATGTATCGGACAATGGAAGTGGGCTTAGCCCTGGGGGGTGGCACTACCTACATATGTAGGTAATTGCGATCGGATAGCTCTCCGGGTGAGCTTGATCAGCCATCCCATGGGACGGTGATGGCAGAATAGTTCTTATTGGCTGCACCATAGGTTGACGGGGCATAGAATCCACATATTTAGAATCACATTTAATTGAGCTGAGTGCAGTTTTTGAGAAAATGAGATCTAGATGAGCTTTAGGTGTCACCGCGGCTGCAATATCCAACTACTTGAGGGCTATTTATAGAAGGATAAGTCATTAAGAGTCGTTCAGCTTTTAGGCAGGATTGTACTTCATGAAATTCTCATGTTATTGTGGCCGGACCCAAGTTTATCGCGTTATCAATGGCACTAAAGCAGCTTCCAAGGTTGATGACACTGGCCCCACTATAAGCTTCCCAAGACTATGAGGGAACGGTCTCAATTTGTGCGGAATTGGTCTTCAATGGCGCTCACTTCTGGAAAGGAAACGCCACGTTGGTACTGATGTCATCAAACGGTCAGATGAATATAAAGACTTGAGTTTCGCAAGCGCAATTTTGAGCTGCTAGTTGACTCGAACCCGGACTTTTATTCCTGTTTGTCTGCTATTTCTGACAGGATTTTCCAATACCAACGCTTATCATGGCGGATCTTCGGACTCCTGCCCCTGAGCCAGCTACCGAGTTGGGACGTTACCGCGTTCTCTCTTCTACGGCTGGGATTCGCGTGTCACCTCTCCAGCTCGGAGCCATGTCTATTGGCGATGCATGGACACAAGCAATGGGTTCGATGAGCAAGGAGGAGTCCTTCAAACTTCTCGACGCATTCCATGCAGCCGGCGGGAATTTCATCGATACGGCAAATGATTACCAGAACGAGCAGTCGGAGACTTGGATCGGGGAATGGATGGCCGAACGCAAGAACCGCGATCAATTGGTGATTGCCACCAAATTCAGCACGGACTTTGGGTCGTACAAGCTAGGCAAGGGAAAGGCCCCAAACCATTGCGGCAACCATAAGCGAAGCCTCCATATGAGTATCCGGGATTCATTGAAGAAGCTGCAAACCGACTGGATTGACCTCCTGTACGTCCACTGGTGGGATCAAACCACGTCAATTGAAGAGGTCATGGACAGTCTTCAAGTCCTCGTGGAACAGGGCAAGGTGCTATATTTGGGTATTTCGGATACGCCGGCATGGGTTGCGGCAGCGGCAAATTCGTATGCCCGAGCCCATGGAAGGACACCCTTCAGCATCTACCAGGGCAGATGGAATGTCCTGCTCCGTGATTTTGAACGGGATATCATCCCTATGGCCCGCCATTTTGGAATGGCAATTGCCCCCTGGGATGCAATGGGCGGTGGCAAATTCAAAACGAAGGAAGAAATTGAAAGTCGGAAGGCTCAGGGACAGCCTCTCCGTAGCCTATTTAGCGGAGATCAAACCGAAGAAGAATCCGCAATGAGTGAAGCACTTGGAAAGGTGGCGAAAGAGCATGGAGGTAAACCCATAACTGCGATTGCCCTGGCATATGTGATAGCGAAAGCCCCAAATGTATTCCCGCTTATTGGCGGCCGCAAAGTTAAGCACCTCGAAGAGAACATCCAGGCTCTCAATATACGGTTGACAACGGAGCAAATCGAATACCTTGAGAGCCAAAAACAGTTTGACGTTGGCTTCCCAGGCAACTTTATCGGCCCAGATCCCAAAGTGACCGGGAAACCGTCCCCTCTATTGGCTTCAAACGCCCCGTATGCGTTTGTGCGATCAGCCAGGTCTATTGCCAGCCCAGAATAGAATTGGTAATGTTGGCCAACAGACCAGTCGTTTGTTCATTATGCACTACTCCGTAGTTAGCAATACCAAAGATAAGGGAAAAATAAAATTACCTGGTCGATTGATTTCCCTTGCAGTAAATTCCAGCTGAGTTGTACCGAATGGGAACGGGCTTAATGAGCATAGCAACCGGACTCTTCTACCTTCTCCAAAACTCCGCCCACCAGCAGTGGATCCCATTCCAACGTCCAGGGCCTTGGTGTGGGAATGACCCTCTCCATGCCCTATGTTGCGACCCAAACAGTCCTCAAGCCTGGCGATATCCCTGTCGGTACCTCATTTCAATGCTTCCAGTTCTTCGGGGCTTCCGTGAACCTCGCCATCGCGGAGGCTATCTCTGAGAATAAGCCTGTCTCGCGACTGGACAGATGGGGGTTTGAGAGACACGAGATAGAGAGCATTCTAAGCGCAGGCTCTGCCTAAGCAAGGAGGGTGGTTTCTACGGAATATCTTCCAGGCGTGTTAGATTCATACAACTACGCCATTACCAGGACGTTCTACGTCGCAACAAGCGTTGCTGCTGTTGCATTCCTGCTTTCACTCGGCATCCGTTGAGAAGCGTCAAGCCCAAACGGCAGGCTGCTGTCTCTGCTGAGGAGACTAGGTTGTGAAGTCAGTAGGGTCAATTCGCCAAAGCAAAATATGGAAGGCGGAGGCTAGAATATGAGCCCTGACGGCATCGCAAATAATCACGTCTTGAAGATAAAATTACTATTTATAGAGTCTAGAATGATGATGCATAGCTAGCGGAATTTATAGAATATATGAAAGCGATATCCATTCTTCTTTTGAGCTTGTACATAACCGGACATTGCTGTTCTTCGTGGGGATTGTAGGTATCCGCACCCTTGATCATGATCGGTTATAATATGGTTCTTCGCTTCTTTCCTAAACCTTCTCACCTCAGAAGCTGCCAGAGGTCCCATCGTTCTACCGGTATAGCGATATGGGAATATATGGCAGTCAGCGATTATTTGCCCATCAAGCTTTGTGTTGATCCATTGGTGGTTATACTGGCCACGCTTATAAGGATGGATATTAGTATATGACCATAAATATTCATTATAGGACACATACCCTTCGTTTAACGTTATAATTACGCGCTTCTCTGGATGGAGTGTATGTTGTGATTGCCCTAGTCTGTCTCTGCTGCATCCATTCGCTTGAAACTGCGTTGGCTGAAGAATGACCCTCGCATGAAACATGTCCGAGATGAAATGGCTAGGTATTGGTGACAGGATGACTCTGGTCAGACTTTTGAGTAGCCCCTCAGCTACCGCCGTTGATGAAAATCACATAATTAATATAGGGGCAAGCCGTGAAAGATTTTTCGTCCAACGCGACGAGCCTTGTTGGGACCAGATAGCAGGAAGCGCTTGCACGCCTGCAGGGATGTTGTGGAACTTGACTTTGGCGAAGATAAGGTTCATCCGATCGACAAAAAAAGATCGATGCCCCGGGTCTGTACTATCTGCCGCCGCAATGAAGCAGACCCACACAAGGGCATGTGAGCCCATCTGATTGGGTTCGATCTGAGAAACTAACTCCTTCAGACTTTCCAAGAGCTGCCACTGGTCGTCATTAGACGCCACTCGGCCGAGATAGATCTGAGAAGCCTTGATAAAAGCCATCCTTGAGAGACGGAGCATATGGTTGTGTTCAGAGTCCGGAGGGAGATCATAACACGTCCAGTCTAGGTAGTGCTCAAGCGGGAGGCTTAATACATCCACGCCTTGAGGTTCGCCGAGTAAGGGTTGGCCGAGAAATTCAAACCTGTGATGGAAAGTCAGACATGTTCAACAACAGGTCGAAGAAGAGTACTATGGGGTACACACATGTGAGTTTGTTGGCTAAGAAACTGGCGCGCAGAAGAGGGTGCAATTTGATCAGCATTTTGTACCAGATACGTCAGGGTCCGCAGAAGGTGCGCATATTCCGAGCTGCCTGTGATGGTCTCTCCAACTAGTAGAACAATCAGAGTCGCCCACGTAGACGTGGTGAACACGCGATCCGGAGACGTTGAGTCTCGGCACAACCGAGATATCAATGTAGCCCGGCCTTGATCGGCAAAGGATTGATAGGATGGGCTATGTAAGGCCAAGTGCTGTGCTGCAACCACGCCCACAGCGCGTTGCACGAGCTCATCTTCGCACGCTAGGGGCAGTAGAATATTGCGATACCCGTTGGAAATATGATCCAAAAGAACCATCACAGGAGCGACCTGCTCCGAGACTACTATTTGTTAGTAGGTATCCTCTCTGGCTAAGAAAGAGCTTACAATGTGACATCAACATGCGGGTTTGAGAATTCAAAGGGGCAAGCCATTGGTGGATTGACCCGGTCACAGAAATAGGGGCCTTATGAGAAAGGCGATCAACATCTTCATCAATGTCATCGGGGTCATATTGTCGCAGATCGACTGTTTCAGCACATGGTATCGTGTCCCCATTGCTCGGGATAGAGATATTTGTTGCTTGACGCGTGCATGGACCAGCTCCTGCGCGTTTCACATTTTTCCTCGTGGTACGTGCCGGCTGGTCGTTTTTCCATCTGATTTCACGTGGCACCGGCGTAGCCTGTATATCGCTTTCGAGGGTCGGCTCGGGCGATGGATCCACCACTGGAATGGTGAATCCTTTTAATCGACCACGTTGGGCCACACCAGTGGAAAAGCGAATCCGACCAGGGCCAGAGCATTCAATTCCCTTCTTCTGACACTTCTTGCACGTGGGTTCTGTATTGTCGCAGATTATACGGCGCTTGGAGCATTGAAAACAGCCTATAGGTGACGTGGAATGTGGTTAGAATGTTTTCCGGGAGCTGGGAGATAAGACTCACCCCTGATTTTGCTCCCAGGAGACATCTGAGATACCACGGGAAGATCACATACGGGGTGATGATATTGTTGGAGATTTTTGGAGAAGAGAAGTGAGAATTGAGATGGGAACCTTGCTGAGTAAATGCGGGGAAGGGTTACCGACGAAGATGGGATTGGTGGAACGTCGCACGTTAGGCGATTGACTGGGCAAAAGCTTAATTGGCCCCTTAAACAGAAATGGATACAAATGGATACAGCTCTTCAATTGGACAATGTTTGAATTAAGCGAGTAATAACTATATCTCTCCATCGTTTAACTGCAGCCGGGGCCCATTGTACTTTCCTCGAGCATAGATTCCCCAGTTTATTCCAGCAAATATGGCCATCACCCCTAGTACAGCCGATGTGTAGTCTGCGTTCATCTGTGTCAGCTATATACCCCTAAGTAGGGGCTACAAAGGATGTAACTTACTCATGTTGCTTCCTGTCACCGGGAGAACAGTCGGAAAGTCGTAGAAAATCAGGACAAGAATTGCGAATGCAATCGTGATGGCATTTACACTCCATCCCGCCACTGACGGTAGTCGAAAGCTGCGATCTCGAGGCAACCACATCTCGGAGCGCTTGCGATACATGAGAAGGGCAGCTGGAATCGCATAGGAGATGTGCTGGAGTACCAGACCACTGCCAATAAACGCATTGAAGGCAGATGAGGAACCCAAGTAAATACACCCAATGATGAACATGATGACGAAGTTGAAGAAGAGGCTCCATATGGGTACTTCGAACATCGTATGTATTTCGCTAAGCCATTTGCTGCCGATAATGGCACGGTCTCTAGCCAGCGACCATGTTAAGCGAGAAGCAGTTTGTTGAGCACCAATGAGGGCGAATACGGCGGCGCAGCAAAGTAAAACGACGAATACTGTAGCGGCCACATCCGACCGCGTAGCCTGGTACCACATCTCGAAAATAGGTACCCTGGATGATAGTTAGCATCTGGGAAGTGCAATATAGCCCGAAGAACGGGGATCGAGATGTACCCGGTAGCAGATGACACCACAGCATCCAAATCACTGGTGCAATATAGCATGGCAACCATGAATGTGAACGATGAGACGAATCCAATAAGCAATGTACTCATCAAAGCTCGAGGAACCACCGTGTTCGCATTTTTGCATTCCTCAGCCAAGTGCAATGCGCCGTCGATGCCGGCGTACATATAGTTAGGAGTGACAAGACTGGTCAAGAAGGCAACGCCCCCAGAACTCCAACCACTATCATTGACGAAGGTCCCCCAAACACTGACGGAGGGCTGGTAATTCGAAGATGACCGAGCGACGCATGTAATAGTAATGACAAAGAAGCTGGCGAGGGTCGCAAAGACTGCAATCATCAAAATCTGCTCGTTAGATATGGAGGTGAGTACTCACATGCAACATCATGGATCCAAAGTGACCGTTTCAGCAATGTTATGTTGTATAATAACACAAGCCCGTTTATGGCTTGATAGATCAGGAAATAATGCCATGCCTGCGGGGCGTAAGTCGGGTTGTAGAACAAGGCGATTCCAACTATGAGCTGAGCGGGGATAATGGCAATTCCGGTGCAAATTGCTATCCACGAGAAGGCATTTGTCATGCCACAGAAGTAACTCTATCTGGTCAGCAAAAAGGAAGTGGATATTCGTTTCCCTCCACAATGACTCACCAAAGACCGATTCATGGACTTGGGAGCCAAGATAGAAGTCCAGTGATATTGCCCGCCCGCAGTAGGATAAACGCTAGCAAGCTCAGCAAGGGTAAGAGCACAACAACCAACCAAAATGAGGATAAGAATGGGTCCATAGACCAAAGTGACCGGGCCACCTTGGGCAATTGCGAGAGATATTGTGCCCGCTATTCCGGCCCAGCTGTCGCATATAACCCAACTTGCTGATATAGTCTCCAGGTTTGTCATTTGTCTTCCCACATCCCCTTGGAGATTCAGGCCTTTGAGCTGTATTTGCTCGACAACGCCCTCTCCATGAGTGAATTCTACTATACCATGAGCGAAATTCGTTGTGGGGGTGCAGGTTAGATGAATGCAACTCACGCCGTTCGACATCCTGGGAGGCTGTAAGCGATAGCTAGTTGTCAGAAAAAGGGATAGATAGAGTACATATGGATGGAGAGATTACAACACATACTATTTTTGCCTTTAAGCTCTTCGATACCCATATTGATTATTTGTGTCCCTGGTTAATAAAATCAAGTAGAGAATTGATGAATGAAGACTGTAGAGACAGCCTCCACGGCAACTTCTAGTTCTTAAGAATGATTGACTCCTCACATGTTGATCGTAACAAAACCCATGAAAGAGAAGATAAGGTTCCTGATAGATTGGCATATAGCGATAAGAGGCGTTGTGCGGGGAAGGTGGCATATTGCCGAAAGGGGAAAGAAATGAGAGAAAATGCTTGATGTTGGTGGCAAAGCCGCACGAGGATAACTCTGGAAAATAACGAACCCAATTGAAGTACGAGGATGGTTCCTATGTGTCCCGACGAGTTTTCCCAGACAGGGTATCTATATACCAATAGAAACTTCGCAGGCCTTTGAGTATATTAAATACGAGTTTGATCTGAAGGAGACAGGCGTGTTAGAAGTTGGATTAATTGAAAATGTCTGCCTGACAAGATTACCTGAAAAGATCAGGATACTAACGCCGCATAAGCGGCCGACTATACTGTTATACATTTTTATTTAAAGCGCAGTACGGAGGGAACAATATAAAATATAGGATATAACTGTGGAATACATTCATGGATGGCTGCTATAGATAAGAACGCAGGGCAGGAGCAGGTTGAAGGTCCTCCTTCACTGTCATAGCCGCCCGTGTACCCTCTTCGATGGCACCATCAATGAAGCCACGCCAGCCAACAGCCCAATCAGAGTTTGCAAAGACAACATTTCCATGTCGAGCCCGCATGGCATCCAAAGACGTGGACAACAGCCCAGGGGGCGAGAAGAACCAGGCGCCCTTGGCAAACTCATCTTTGCTCCAGTTGTGAAAGACCAATCGCTGAATATCCATGTTCCCAGGAGCCATGCTCTCGACAGCATTCTTGGTTTTGTTGATATCTTCCTCGGGATGAATATCGTTGTTAGAACCACCGAAACAAACGATATGAGTATTCCCAGTGGGCATAGTTCCATCACCAACGCCATATAGGAGCTTGTTGGAGGGATAGGATATTCCAGTCCACGAACGCATATCCTTACTGGAAACCTCGGCGTGCACCTTGACACATTGGTTGACATGACCAATATTTGTGGCTGCTTCACGCCGTGTATCCAGAGGAGGGTCAAAGGATATGGAGTTGAGGACGTTGAGGGGAATAGTAGAAACCAGACGGGCACCAGTGTACTGGCGACCACCACGAGTGGTAAGGGTGACTTTATCACCCCGATCACTGATCGAGCCCACGGGACTGTTGAATGCATACGAGAGCCTTCCAGTGGCGAGCGCCTCTTTGAAGAACTTGATCGCGAAAGTCGACTGACCTCCCCTGAACTTGTACGAGATCAAGGCTTCCATGCAGCCACGATAGGAGTAGCCGCATAGGGCCCACCAATGAAGAAATTCAAAGAAGCTGGTTGTTTTCAATGTTGCGCAGCTGGAAAGAAGGATAAAGCTCTCAAGAGACGCACGTTCATTCGGACTAAGAGACAAAGCAATGGCTTCTATCCGGTCCTGGGCGGAGATTTCATCGTAACGGCGAGCCTCAGGGACGTGGAATGCGTCGTGGGGGAAAGGAATAACCTTTCTGCCCATATCACCATCAACATTGACAAATTTGTCGATGGCAGCGGAAAGGAGAGCGTCCTGACATACAAAGTCAATGATGGTTTGCCATGCAGCTGGTATTTAGAGTACGAACCTCTTCTTCGTGGCTCATTATTGCGGAACCCTGAGCTGTGCGCAACTGGAAGTGGTTCACACCACGGGAGAAATCAATAGATTTCTCCAGCTCGGTTCGCATGTTGTATCGCGAGATCTCGCGCCAAACATGAGGCTGACTCCAGTGCACCCAAGTTCCACCCATCTCAAACGGATAGTCGCCAATGTTGGAGGACCAAGAACGTCCACCAATACGATCACGAGCTTCAATTAAGAGGACGCGTAGACCTGTCATATTTAGCAAAACCGTCTAGAAATCAAATCGGGATGCTGGTATAACACACCAGCAAGGGTCAAGTCACGAGCGGCAGTAAGACCAGAATATCCGGCCCCGGCAACGATAACATCGTACTTTGCCGAAGATGACGAGATGTTTGTAGGGGGAGAAATGACACCAATTGAAGGGACACCTTGCGAAAGGCCAGTTTCAGGCGTCCATTGGAAACCGTCCCGGGACGTCATTGTGGTGAGAGCCGGTTAATGACTTGTAGGATAAATATACAAAGTATGAAGAAACAGGTGAGAACTTATCCCTTTTAAAAAGTTATCAAGTTTCGAGAAACATCCGATCTGTTGATGGTTACAACATTTATCGTAGTCCTTGGGATCTCGGAATCAGTCTAAGATCACGATAAGAACGGACTAGAAGAAATACCGGAAAGAGCAAAAAAAAAGAGATTTTTATCCTGCATAAGAGTCTAGCGTGGACAAATATTCCAAGATAGTTCCGAGGATGGTTGCAAGCCAACTTGTGTATGCGATGGTCAGTAGGTCAACCGACGCCACTGTTATGCGATATGCAAAATTACCCGATTAGGATAGTAAAGGGAGAAACCCCGGGCCAACGAACCCCCCCCCCGGGATACCAATTCAATTGGCTTAAAAGAAATTTTTATGTACTTTAATGTCCAATGTATCTTATATTCGAATTCTCGGGAACTACCTAATTATATTCATTCTAGCAATGATTTACTACCCCGATGTCTTGTGCGTGCTGAGTAAAATGCGACACCGCCATTTTCTTTTCTGATGTCTTTTCTGGTCTTTTCTGGTTCTCATTTGTTATCTTTTTTAGTGTTCTTTTTGGTGTATCTTTTAGTGTCTCCATTGCTATCTTAGTGCTGTGGTATTTCGTATACACATATACACATATACGATAACATATACTAACGAACTCCAGTCGCATTTCGGCGTTCCGAAAGGGGTGGCGGCCGATTCTCAGCGTGGACAGACTAGTAGGTCAACCAAAGTTACTAGGTGATATACAAAATTGCCCGATTAGGATAGTAAAGAGAGAAAGCAAACGAACACGCCCGAATACCAATTCACTTGGCCTGAAAGAAACTTTATGAACTTGCCTGTCTGATATTACTTTTTATCCAAAAATTACGAGAAAACTATGTCGCGACAGTTTAATCCCGCGATGTGTCGTGTGTACGTTCAAAGGCCCTTCGGTAACAAGGAAAATCCGGGGAGAAGCTGCGGGAAAACTGCCTCGGGTTTACAGCTTCCCCGCAGCCACAGCTCCAGCTCCGGGTTTCAATCATCTTTGAACTTTTTCTGTCCACATTAGTCTTGATCCTATGGAATTTATTCCGTCATGGATATGACCCTCGACTCCCTTCATGCAGGGAGTATCAAACGCATTCGACAAGCATGTGCCAACTGCAGGTACGGCTAATGACATCTGGAATCTGCGCTTTGTCCTTTTCACTAATGCTGTAACACCCTAAATTATAGGCGTAAGAAGACCAAATGCACTGGCGAACGGCCTATCTGCTTGCACTGCCGTCGTAATCGTCTGGCTTGTATCTACGAGCCGTATGCCACCACTATAGGCGATTCGAATCATATGCCACCTGTTGTACCGACTGGAAACAATCCGAATGCGAATAGCGTCTGTCGCATCTCAGCCTAGCGAAATGTGGATTTAAGGACTGACCTAAGAACAGACAGAACTTTTGCAGCGGATTAGCTCCATAGAGTCTCGCCTAGCCGAACTCAGTGGACGCGGGCCGGCACAGAGCAGGTTCGTTCTTGCATGAGATGGAATTTGTGCAAATTGGCTGACCCTGGGCCATAGCAATAACCTCCAAAATTTTGCCTCGCCCGCAAATCAAATTCGACCCCCGCCAGGAGATAACGAGGTTCCCCTGTTTACGTCGTTGTCACCTCCAACAAGCGACCATTCGTATGTCCTGGTTTCGGTTCACCACGGTGTCTCTTCATCCACTTCTAACATAACACTCCGCACCATAGGCCCTTTCCTCCAACACACGTGTTAAGATCTGTCGTCGACACATATTTCGAACATGTTCACAACCAACCATACTCACACGTTCAAGAGGCCTCGTTTCGGCAGAAACTCCAAACCAACGCGCTGCCACGATGTTTGATCCTAGCCGTACTGTCTTCCGCGGTTAGATTCTCGAGCAACGATTACTTTATTGGAAAGACACAAGATGCGTCAGAGAAATTTGCAAGAGAATCATGGTTATCGGTGCTCACAGAGCATCTGACAGTTGAGGATAACATCAGTGTACATGTAGTACAAACTGTCAATTTGCTTGCAGTTGTCGATTACACCGGTGCGCCTTTCATGCTTTTAACTGCGATCAAGAAGACTAACTATACCGTGATATAGCCGGTCGTGTCAGTTCAGGGTGGCTCAAAGTTGGACTTGCCGCCCGAATATCTCAGGACCTTCATTTGATGGTCGAACCCGACGAATGGCTACCAAATGTGGAACAGGAAGAGAGAAGACGAGCATTTTGGTCAGCATATCTTATCGACAAGCTGATTTCTTGTGGCAGATCACGGCCACTTGTCATTTTGGACGAGGACTGCAACGTTCAATTACCGTGCGATGAACAAACGTTCAGAAATGGAGGCTGGAAGAAGACGAACACGATTGGCCAACTTCTTAACTGGAACTCTGAGGTTACTGAAAGCCCAAGTCCGTTCGCGCTAGTCATGTTAATGGCCTCGATATTGGGCCGATGCACAAGATACGTGCATCAGAACCGCAGAGCCGATGAAATTCCACCCTGGGACCCGAAGTCTGAATTCTCTGCCATCAACTCCTCCCTACTTCTGCTTGAGTCCTATTCAAAGGTCGGAAATCGACCGATGTCTGAAATCCTGCAAAACGAGAGCCAAGCAAACAATACTTTTGACATACAAGAAGTTGGGCATCTCATATTTGCCCATACAATTTTCCACCTTTGCCACTGCCTTCTGAATCACCCGTTTCTGGTGCGCTTAAGACTGAAGGTATTTGGGTCTAAAGCACCGGCTAGCTTCTCTGCACGCTCTCTGCGAATAGGGTGTGATCATGCGAGAAAACTCGTGGATGTTCTGCGAAACGCTTCCGAGAATGGTCATCATGTTGAATCATCATTCTATGCTTATTGTATTGCCGTCGCCGGAGGTGTGAACTCTCTCGCATCACATTTTGAGCATCAGCAGGCAGAGTGCTCACAGTCCGATATTTCATACTACTTCAATGAGTGCCTGGGTGCCCTCAATCGACTAGGAAAGCTCTGGGTTCATGCAGGAAATATGGTACGTTTGTCTACGTAAAGAAATGCTTTCCTTCTGACACTCGTGTGCCAAGGCTGTTCGTCTGCAAGAGTTCCATAACATGTCCCATCAATTCGCCAGTCTTCTGGATCCGACGTGCTTGATGGAAGACCTTGATCCCGTGTCTCAAGAGGTTCTTTGGTCGATGATAGACTATGGTACTCTAGGTGCCGATCCACAAAAAAGGCCACTGACATCAAGGACTGGAATATCCAACCTTCCTTCCCCAACATCGTGGCCTATCGGCTCAAACATCCATGCACCTTCGCGGTTTGAGGGCGGCAACGTGGATATATTCGGTGGACTGACTCCTGCCATGCGACTGAATGAAGTCGAATATCTTTTAGACTGTAGTCCTGGAGCGAATGGGATGATCTGAGCCTAGAAGGAATTATGCGTGGCTCTTGTCCGCGCGTCAATATCCTCGGTCCGTTCGGTCCGATTCTCATCCCATCCATTTCCCCGAACAGGAACTGAAGGTATGAATAACCGTGATGAACTAGTATTCGGCAACTAACCCCGTTAATTCAGCAACCTATTGCACGCTATGGATGGAAAACAGCTTTCACCTTGGAACGGTGTAGTTTCGGGGACCACTGCTGCTATTCTGGCCAACACTCTTGTATACCCTCTTGATATGTATTAAAACTACCTGGTCATTGTGTCACTGGCTTTGTCTAACAACTATTACAGCGTGAAGACACGGTTACAAGTGCAAATCCAGAAAAGAGAATTGAAAGCCAAGGGCAGAGACACCATCGAACATGCCGAGTACCATAATGCAGTAGACACAACTCTACATATCCTTCGAGAAGATGGAATTTACGGCCTTTACAGTGGACTCAACAGCTCCATCTGTGGAACGGCCTCCATGAACTTTGCATACTTCTACTGGTCCGCAGTCGCACGGGGCGTACTTCAATCAGTCCCTCGTTTGCGTGATCTTTCAGAAGCAAATAAAATCGTGAAGGAACTGGGACTTGGGGCTGTTGGCGGGGCCATGGCCCAATTGTGCACCAACCCAATCGCAGTGATTTCTACGCGACAGCAAACCCGCAAAGCTGGCGAGAAAGGAATCTCCATGTGGACGACTATGATGGAGATTGTGCAAAGTGAGGATGGATGGACTGGTCTTTGGAGAGGCTTGAAAGTCAACCTCATTCTTGTTGTGAATCCGATGATCACGTATGGTGTCTACCAATCCCTACGAGGCCGGTTGGTGTCGCTCAAGAAAGAGCTCAGCTCTCTGGATGCCTTCTGTGGGTGCGCATTCTTGGTGAAGGTCTGGACAGTTACTGACTCGCCCGGGTTGATCTGTAGTACTCGGCGCCCTTTCGAAAGTACTCGCGACCATCGCCACCCATCCACTCATAGTGGCCAAGACCATGTTGCAATCCAAACCGCCCGAGTGTCGGAATGGCAAGCCTTTCAAGGGATTTACCGAAGCTCTTGCCTACGTCATAAGCAATGAGGGGTTCTTTCGACTGTACAAAGGGCTTGCCCCACAGATCATCAAAGGGTTTTTGGTTCAGGGGCTAATGATGATGTTGAAGGAGAGGTATAGTTCAGATACGTTCCTGCTTTCCTCGTGGAAAACTAACTTGACGGATAGGACTGAGGTTCTACTTATTATGGCAATCTCCTTGCACAGGAGACGGGTGCAGCGTCTATCATGAAAGAGGCCATCAATTTTTTGATATAATTGATAATATCTCATGTGTATGATTCTAGTTGTTATTGGATTAAGAAATAACTAAATATCGAAATCCTATGAGAAATTTGTCTGGTTCAAGGTCCGTTAGAGAACAGAGCGCTCTGGAGTTCCCGATCCTGAGTATTATCAGATGTGGCTTCAACCCACGATCAAGGCATATATTGAATTTTCCATTACAGACCAGTTCATTAAGAAAGTTTCAATCATCACTTCAGAGATGCCCAGCAGAAATCAACCTTACACGAGGGAAAACTGCGTCGAGTCCATTCTTCGGTCCTGGCGGTCCGAGCCGCGCTCCCTGGCCGCAGCTCCGGTCCGACTGCGGAGATCGGTCCCAAACTAGGGCATAGAGCCTGGAATTCGGAATCAATATACTGATCCAAAGAGACAGAATAATTGGAAAGTATCAGAACGATTGACGTTGGACTTTCAAATCTCAAAAGAGGGATTTCAACAGCAATCATGTCTGTTTCCAACGTGCCGTTCGCGGACCCTTTATGGCTTAACCGGAAGCACAGCCCGTACTACAAAGATTCGCATCGCAAACTGCAAAAAGAAGTTCGCCAGTATGTGGATGAACATATCTCACCATTTTGTGAGGAATGGGAAAAGCAAGGATTCGTTCCGCCCGAGGTAAGCAGCAATGTACTCTATGAGCATTTATCCACAGTCAATATTGAAATAATCACGTTTCAGGCTCAAAGGCGCCACGCAGAGCTGGGATATACCGCCGTCGCTTCTTTCCCACTGGCAATAGACTACCTAGACGGCCAACGACTTCCCGGCGATATCAATCCCTACGAGTGGGATGGGTTCCACGATATCGTCGTGATTGACGAGCTCGCTCGCTGTGGATACCTTGGTATTGTGTGGGCACTTGGGTGCGGAAACTCGATTGGCGGTCCGCCTATTATCAACTTTGGAAATGAAGAGCAGAAGCGCCGCTTTCTTCCGGATATGCTGAAGGGGAATATTCGATTTTGCCTTGGTGTGACTGAGCCTGATGGTGAGATTTGTCATCATTGTAATATTTATACCACTTGTTGACTGACGATTCATGGGCTGTAGCTGGATCTGATGTTGCTGGAATCACAACCGTTGCCGAACGGAAAGGGGAGGTTTATATTGTCAATGGGGCGAAGAAATGGATCACGAACGGCATCTTCGCTGACTTCTGCACTGCAGCTGTGAGGACTGGAGGAGAAGGGACTCACGGTGTCTCAGCTATGGTAATTCCGATGAAAGCTCGCGGAGTAACCTGCAGGAAGATCGAGAACTCGGGCGTTCATGCTAGTGGTACGTCAAGTTATTCTGGCAGATTATCAAGACAAGTCATCGTAGTAGTGCTGGCTGACCGATCTATAGGATCAACCTACATTGAGTTTGATCAAGTTGAAGTCCCCGTCGCCAACCTGCTGGGAGAGGAAAATAAAGGGTTCCACGTCATCATGAACAGTGAGTCTGCCGATCTTCCTTTCATTTTCCGTGACAGGTCTGGGGGGAAATTGGAGGAAATCTAACAGAAGCCAGATTTCAACCATGAGCGCCTGTGGTTGGCCTGTACATCCCTCCGAATGGCCCGTGTCTGTGCCGAGGATGCCTACCAGCACGCCATAACCCGCGAAACGTTCGGCAAAAAGCTCATCGAAAACCAAATTATTCGCTCGAAGTTTAGCGCAATGGCACGCGGTCTTGACTCGACTTACGCGTGGATGGAGCAGCTTGTGTATATCGCAGAGACAGCCAAGAAGGAGGGCACGGACGCTGGAATGGGAGGGCTGTTTGCGAATTTGAAAGTGCTGGCAGGTCAAACTCTGGAGAAGGTCAACCGAGAGGCTCAGCAGGTTATGGGTGGACTCGGGTACTCCAAGAATGGTCGTGGCTCCAGAATTGAGCAGGTCAGTCGTGACGTTAGGGTAATGGTTGTTGGAGGCGGAAGTGAAGAGATTCTGTCGGAGTTGGCTGTTAATCAGGAGATTAGGACGATGAAGAAGCAGAGCAAACTCTAGACACTAGCTGTAAAATCAATACCATCAATGCACATGTGAAATCGTGTATTTTTGAGTCATATGCTTCAACTTTCGACGTTCCTTCGGTGCATATATATACAGACTACTTACTGATAAAGACCTACCTTCTGTGAAATCCGAGAAGGTAATTGCTAACGTACCACTTCTTTCGATTCTTGTTGCTAAGTATATTAGGAATTGTGCTTGATTGAATTATACTATTGTGATAGAGGGTCTTATTTCATACAACAGAGCAAAGAGTCCTCCCTTCCTCCACCGCATCTCCTTGCTTCCAATTCGTCTCGAACTTCCCGGACGCAGAAACAGCAATGCTTACCTCCATCTTCATGCTTTCAATGACCATTACCGGTTCACCAGATTGGACCTCATCTCCATTGTTTTTCAATATCGATAGAACCTTGCACGGCATTGGCGCCTCAATACTCCTTTGCTCAGCCCCGCCCTTGGCCTTTGCCACAGACCGGATACTTTCTGCAAATGACAACAATGTATCGCGTTTGAACTCAACATACGTCCCAAGGGCAGGTAAATGGCAGAAGACCTGCTGGCCTCGATCAATCTCTCCCACCAGCGCGCGCGGTTTGGCTGAAGGGAGAGCCACATGTGCTAGAAACTTGGTTCCGTCGATGGAGAGCTGAATGGTCGATACCAGCCACGATTCAACCATAGCGGGATTTCCTTGTGACGGATGCCATGAATCGATGCTGACTCGATAGGGACTAGAAGACATGGCCATTCCACTGCGTAGTGCCTGGCTGATGTTGTTATATTGGGCGGAGACCTGAGTGGCAGCCCCGGCTGACTCGTCTGGAGACTGGCCAACCTTTTCAACAGGGATGAGATATGCCTCTGCCTCGCTGCTTGAAGTCTGCTTGACTTGAGGCTTCCATATACACATAGTAGTTGCGAGATCAATATCTTCTTGCTTCTTACCAGGCCAGTCCACAGCCGTCACAATGTCACAGTGAACACTGACTGGGTCGAACCGTTGATTGCGGAACTGTGCCCGAACATCCCCGAATGGCTTCTTCCGCATGCCGACTGGTATGGAGCTCGGAAGTTTCCGAACAACCAAGCCCGGTAGAACAGAAAGCACCTTCTCCACATCTAGTAAGTTCCAGTTAAAGGATGGTTGCAGCAATTCATCGATGTGTGTAGGGATGAACGATGTTTCGTATGCAGGGTCATGGAATGCTTTGTTCAATAAACAAGCCTGCAGGAAGAGTTGATTGGTTTTAACACCAACACAAGCAGTATGAGCGAGCACCTTGGCCATCTTCTCCACGGCCAGAGGCCTAGTCGGCGCCCAAATGACAATCTTGGCGATCATAGAATCGAAATAAATTGAGACAGTGGATCCAGTCTCAATCGCCGTTTCGTAGCGGACATCCCGACCTGGCCCGAGGACACCTGACGCTGGAAGCCATAGAAGGACCTTGCCATGTTCTGGGAAGAAATTTTTTTGCGGATCCTCAGCGCACAAGCGGCATTCGATTGCGTGTCCTTGTTGAGTCACATTCTGAACGGCAGGCAGACTTTGCAATTTCCCACCAGCAGCGACAAATAGTTGTAGTGCAACCAAATCCACTTGTGTGACCTCCTCAGTTATCGGATGCTCGACTTGCAATCTAGCGTTGACTTCAAGGAAATAGAAGTGACCGGTCTTAATATCGACGACGAACTCAACCGTGCCGGCGTTCTCATATCCGATCAACTTGGCAATTCGAACGGCAGTGTTGCTCATATGCTGGCGCGTTTCATCAGTGAGGAAAGGGCAAGGAGTTTCCTCGATGACCTTTTGATGTCTTCGCTGAACGGAGCAGTCGCGATCGAAAAATGAGACCACTTCGCCGTGCGAGTCACCCAGAATCTGAATCTCAACGTGTTTGCTGCTTTCGATGTATTTTTCCAAGATACAATCACTTGAGCCGAATGATCGCTGGGCCTCTGATTGTGCCCGCGCAAGCTCCTGTTTCAATTCTCCTGCTTCTCGCACAATTCGCATGCCCTTCCCACCACCTCCTGCGGATGCCTTAAGCATCACTGGGAAACCAATCTCATGTGCAACTTTCCTCAAAGTTTCATCATCCTGGCTAGATCCCGAAAAACCGGGAATAAGAGGAACATCGGGTGCGTGCTTTCGCAAATATTCTTTCGATGACCGCTTGTCACCTAGAGTCGACATGGCACTGGCACTTGGCCCAATGAAGATAAGCCCTGCTGTCCGGATACTGGTTGCAAAATCTGAATTCTCGCTCAAATATCCATAACCTGGGTGGATTGCTTGAGCTCCAACAGTGACTGCAGTACGAACGAGCAAGTCCATGTCAAGGAACGGGTTTGTTTGATTCCTGTCAATGCTGCCAATATTGATGGCTTCATCGGCATCTCGAACATGACGTGAACAAGAGTCCCTTGTATAGTTAGTATATGACCACCATGAGTTGTTACATTGAGCACCTACTCATCAACATAAACTGCGACGGATAGAATGTTCAATATCCGACAGGTCTGGATAATGCGACACGCAATTTCACCCCGATTGGCAATCAGCACCTTTCGGATTATCTGTCGGCCATCACTGCCTAGCGGAGGCTGCGCGACAAATAATGGCTTGCGAAGAGGTGAAGCATTGCTTGTGTCTTCATGCTTATTGATATTTACCCTGGTCATCTTGCTTCAGATTTCAGTCAAGAATCGGACTAAAATTAGGCCGGAAATCTGTGTGATTAAAGATCAATTCCCATAATCAGAGTAGCTATTCATTCTATTCACATTTGTCTTCCACATTCTCACATTCTCCGGAAGGCTCCCTCTCCGAGCCAGACCCGCTCGGTCCGGCGTCCGCCGTATGGCTGTGGGGTCGGTCCGGTGCGCATCACCAACCCCCGCAGTCTTGGACTCTACGGGGACGATCTCGGGAGTAATCCGGAGACGAGGAGGAACGGTGCTGCGGATCTAGTGGAAAGCTTTGGTATGATTCTGGCGACTATTCCATAGTGTGCTGGATACTTGAAGGGTTGAATATATTTCCATAGCAACATTGCCTAGATATGTGACTTTATATTTAGATAGTGTATAGATGCTGTGCCAAAATGTATAGATAGAGCATGACTAAATTCTTGCCAGCAGATTATGCGACTCTGCCCCCTTAACTCCCTGCAACGTAACAACCTCCAAACACATACCCAATACATCGCGCGTATCCCGAGGTTCAATAATTCCATCATCAATCAACATAGCGCTAGTCGAGTAGCACTCCGCATCCCGCTGAACCCTGTCCCTAAATTCCTGCACCTGCTTCTTCAGTTTTTCAGGCGATAGAGTGACCCCCTTCGACTTAGCACTCGCTTGTTGTACATTCTCCATAACACCCGACAGCTGATCGGGTCCCATAACGCTGCAGCGACCAGTCGGCCATGTAAAGAGGAAACGGGGCTTGTATGACCGTCCGCACATAGCGTAGTTCCCAGCTCCGTATGAAGCACCGAGAATGATGGAGATGTGGGGTACCGTCGAACAGCTGACGGCCGAGACGAGCTGAGCTCCCATTTTTATGATTCCGGCGTGTTCTGCCTTAGCGCCGACCATAAATCCGGTGACATTGTGCAGGAAGATAATTGGGGTGTTTCTATAGAAGTTAGTTTGCTCTTCGGAGGAAGAGAATTGAAGACCTTACTGCTGGTTGCACATTCGAATGAATTGCGCAGCCTTTCCTGCCTCGTTTGGGTTAATGACCGATAGTTGATTGGCTACGATACCAACAGGGAAGCCTGTAAAATATTAGCTTGGAACTACTCAATATTAGACCGGGGCTTTTTTTTCTTACCCATAACATGAGCCCAGGCCGTGATGATATTGGGTCCGTACTTCGGCTTGAAGACAGATAGACGGGAATCATCAACAATTCGCAGCAAAACCTCGCTCATATCAAAAGGCTTGCGAATATCAGGATTGACTATCGATAAGAGGTCATCAATTGGATACCGAGGGGGAACGGGCTCAATCATTCTCGGCTTGGTGGTTCGTACGTGCAACGAGGCCACCCACTCTCGGGCCTTTGAGATGGCATCGAACCTGATAATTCCTCCACGTTAGTATCGTATGTAATAAGTGGAAGTGAAAGAGGGTACCATACTCATCAGAAGAAATCTGATCCGCAAGTCCAGTCGTGACAGCATGGACTTTGGCACCGCCAAGCTCTTCAGCCCCAATGACCTCGCCAGTAGCCATTTTCACCAGAGGCGGACCACCAAGGTAAGCTTGGGCTTGATTTTCGACAAAGATTGTGTAATCCGACAAAGCAGGATGATACGCTCCACCTGCGGTCGAAGCCCCGAATACGATTGCACACGATGGCTTTCCGTGCTGCGTGCGCACCGCAAGATCGTGGAAGAGCTGTCCTCCCTTGTGGAAGACTCGAAATTGTTGAGGTAGAAAGACACCGGCCTGTTGTGTCAGTATAAGGCTGTCCCATAGTAGCTCACTGTACTGACCGATTGAACCAAGGAGATAAGTGGTAGGTCGTTCTCAAACGCGATCTCCATCATCCGATTCACTTTCAGCACTATAGCATTTGTTAGATAAATAATTATCTAATTAAAAATGATGAGCTCACCTGTCATCTCATTCCAAGCACCTCCACTCTGTGTTGGGATATGTGACATGAGAAGACATGGCATTCCACTATGTTTGTTAGAGCAGACTGAACCTCAGGCAAGTTACTTCGCCTACCAAACATTGCCAATTCCGGAAATCAAGTTCGCACATGGCGTAGAGTCTTTGTTTCCAAATCCAGCAAAAGCACCGAGTTCCAGAAAAGGCGAGTCTTGATCTAGTAACAATGCGATCCGATCTCTGGCTGTTCCCATTTCCAGTGTTAGATACGGCATAAACTGGGCAAAAGCTCACTTACGCAGGAGCTGGCCGCGGCTCTGGTGTCTTCTCATGGAATCCTCATTCCCCTCGGCAGACACCTTGCTCAAGCAATCTTCGAATCTTTCCAGGACAGGCTCCCAGCTCTTCTTGTTTGCTTGGAACGACTCTGCCCGAAGGTCCAGGTTCGCAGAGTGAACTGGGAATGATGACTCGGTCGCCATACTGAAGCTGACAAGTAACAAAAACGATCAATAGTTCTAGGATGAAAATTACACTGTCAGCAGTTCTCGATCGACGTGTGAGTTAAGAAACCCCCGCAGAGAGACTAAGGCACGCTCGGTCCGAAGCCCGGGGCTCACCCGAGCGCGGGGAGCAGACCCAGGTACTACAGATCTAATGCGGACAGACCATACGTGTATTTAACAATTGGATAGCCTTATACTACATACCCCGCTAATATTGAAGTGTGTTGCATCATCTATTCCAAGGCTCTCCCTATCTCCAATCTAACTCATTTTGGAAATCGACCACAATCAATCTTGACCTCCATTCAAACACAATGGACCCCAAACCCGCTCTCGTTCAAGGCCCCACAGAGCCAGCCTTGTGGTTTGAAACACTGGGAAACTTCATCGACAAACAAGCTGCTCAGTATGAGGATCGAGTAGCTGCTATTTTCCTTGGCAATCTGTACGACTCTCATACCGTCAATTGGCAGACCGGAGCAAGATTATTGCAAAGGCAATGCTAGAGATGGGACTACGCAAGGGGGATTGTGTTGGAATCATGGCAGGGAACTGTTATCAGTATATTGAGGTCTTCCTCGGTGGTGGGCGCATTGGATGCCCTGTTGTTGTTCTGAACAATACCTATATTCCAGGGGAATTAATGAGCGCTGTGCAAAAGAGCTGTAAGTTCTGCATAGTTCAATTGGTTAATACTACAAGTTCTGATCTCTCGTCTCATATATTTAGCTTGCAAATTGGTTTTTGTTGCCTCTGATATTGGTTCGCGAAGTCTCTCAGCCCATATCACAGCGCTTCGTGGTGATGGATCGACAAACCCTGCTCTGCCAGAACTTCGCCGGGTTGTCAACCTTGAGAATAAGGACCCAAGTAACACTGGAGTCGAAATGCAGTCGTACACCGAGTTCACCTCTGGCGCTCAATCTGTCTTCATGAAAGACTCAATGCTCCTCCGCGCAGAGAAGTCCGTGAAGCCGGATGATGTCCTCAACCTACAGTTCACCTCCGGTAGTATCCTTTAATCACCTTCAAAACGTTCTGCGGTCTAATATCCAAAATAGGAACCACTGGCTCTCCCAAAGCTGCCATGCTAAGCCACATGTGAGTACAATATCCCCAATATCCAAAGATAATCCACTAACAAGAGCAGTAACCTCCTCAACAACGCCCGCTTCGTCGGCAACGCAATGCGTCTCACCCCAGCAGACATAATCTGCTGCCCCCCACCTCTATTCCATTGCTTTGGTTTAGTCTTAGGCTTCCTCTCTTCCTTCGTACACGGCAGCTCAATAATATTCCCATCGGACTCCTTCGACGTCCACAAAGTCGTTTCAGCAATCCTCTCCGAAAACGCAACCGTCCTTCTCGGCGTTCCGACGATGTACGTTTCGGAGCTAGAGGCCCTTTCAAAAAGCGGACAGCGTCCCCAGCATCTGAGGACGGGTCTTGCATCGGGCTCGGTTGTTTCGCAAGGTCTTATGAATCAGCTTAGAGAGGAGATGGGCGTACAGAAGATGTTGATCGCGTATGGCATGACCGAAACCAGTCCAGTTACATTCATTACCTCTATTGAGGATGGGGATGAGAAGGGGACAACGACCGTGGGTAGAGTCCTGCCGCATACGGGTGCCAAGGTTATTGGGAAGGGGGGCGAGGTTCTTCGGAGAGGGCAGAGGGGAGAGTTGTGTACTAGTGGATTCGCGTTGCAGAAGGGGTATTGGAGGAATGAGGAGAAGACAAGGGAAGTTATGAGGGTGGATGGGGATGGAGCTTTGTGGATGCACACTGGGGATGAGGCTTTTATTGATAATGATGGGTATGCCCATATTACGGGGAGGATCAAGGATTTCATTATTCGGGGTGAGTTCTCGCATAACCTAGTTGTATCTGGGTTTGCTAACAATTAACGGGTTTAGGCGGAGAAAATATCTTTCCGAGAGAGATCGAAGAACGACTCATGTTGCATCCTTTTATCAGCGAAGCTAGTGTGGTTGGAATCAAGGATGAAAGATACGGCGAGGTTGTTGGGTGCTTTTTGAAAATGGCTGAAGGGTGTTCCAAGATCCCTGATACAGAGGTGAAACAGTGGGTAGGTGAGAAGCTTGGTCGACACAAGACGCCACAGTATACATTCTGGATTGGAGATCAAAATGTGGGAAGCGATTTCCCAAAGACTGGGAGCGGGAAACATCAGAAGCACATCCTGCGGGACCTTGGAAATCGGCTAGTGCAGAGGGATACAGCGAGAGCAAAGCTATAGAAACATTTAAATTCCAATTCCAATCGATTCCCTCATTTCCTTCATTTCCTTCATTCATTGTTCAGTGTGGGAATCTAGAAAGGTCCGATCTATAATAAAAAGTAGGTTAGTAGCCCTCCAAGACCCAGACCTTACTACCTAATTTCGTGCATCAGCTTCCAATCTTTCAGGAGGCACTTCCGATAGATTATTTTCTACAGACAATTCCCATCCAAAGAACGTCCAAGATCCGATCCCAGCGCGGACCGACCGGAGATAAGCTTTGACATTCCAAGTGGAGCTTTTTGCGGACTCGGTCCGGGTGGGACCAGGTTACATCCAGGTGGATATACCGAGAGTATGATAACATCACTCGAGAGGTAATTCCGATGTCAGACTAAAGGTCAAGTTTCCCAACTACTATCACTGTGCATATTCACCACGCCGTGTGGCACCATGACCGTGAAAAGCGTTCCAGCCGTCCGAATCGTGGAAGTAGGTCCTCGAGATGGATTACAGAATATTCGAGATTCGATCCCGACGTCGACGAAACTGGAATTAATCAAGAGGTTGGAAAAGACGGGGCTGGGTACTATTGAGTTGACATCTGTTGTGTCGCCGAGAAGAATTCCGCAGTTGGCGGATTGCCGGGATGTCCTTGGCGATGAGGGAGTTAAGAAGATGAGCGGGAAGGATTTGAGACTTCCTGTCTTGGTGCCAACTGTTAAAGGGTTGGATATTGCAATTGAATATGGGGTTAAAGAGATCGCTGTTTTTATCAGTGCTACTGAGGGGTTCAGTAAGGCCAATATCAACTGCTCTGTTGAGCAGGGCATAGAGAGGGCGAGGGATGTGGTCTCTCTAGCGCTGAAATCAAATATTGCTGTTCGAGGGTGAGTGATCTTGCTTCACGTTTGCTGGGCTTGTCGTCCTGACTGTCGCAGCTATGTATCGTGCATATTCGCGGATCCATACGACGGACCAACGCAACCGGCGTCAGTTCTCCGCTGCGTGAAAGAACTCCTCGATGCAGGCTGTTATGAAGTCAGTCTAGGCGACACGCTAGGCATCGGCTCCCCATCCGATGTGCGCAGCCTCATGACCTTCCTTCTCGACAACGACATTCCCCGCGAGAAACTCGCAGGCCACTTCCATGACACATACGGTCAAGCCGTGGCAAATGTCTGGGAAGCATACAACTGCGGGCTACGAGTGTTTGACTCGAGTGTAGCGGGACTCGGTGGCTGTCCTTTTGCGCCTGGAGCCAAAGGCAATGTAGCCACAGAGGACCTGGTGTATATGTTCCACAATGCGGGTATCAGCACTGGTGTTGATCTATCGAAGCTCGTTGAAATCGGGGTTTGGATTTCAGATCAGCTCAAAAAGCCAAATGGCAGTCGAGCCGGGGCAGCACTTGCGATAAAAAGCAAGTCCATTTCAAGTGTGAGGAGCAAGTCATCAAAATATCCTTCCCTTCAATGGAACCTCACAAAGGAGGCAAAGGGACTGCAGCTTTATCAGTCAGGAGTCAATCTCAAGATCGTCTTGAACCGTCCAAAAAATGGCAATGCATTGACAGCACCCATGATCTCAGCTCTGACATCCGTGGTGACAAGGGCGAGTAAAGATCCGCAGATCTCGCGCATTATTATCACCGGGAATGGTAGGTTGTTCTGCACAGGGATGGACCTCGGAAAAAGGAGCACGCCAGTTGCACAAGGCGGTTCAGCCAGCGATGCCCAGTTTCACCGCTTGAGTGGCTTATTTGAGGCCATTGATCAATCCCCCAAAGTGACTATCGCCTGTTTGAATGGGCCAGCATTCGGAGGCGGTGTCGGCCTAGCATTTTCCTGCGATATAAGACTCGCTACACGGGATGCATCCGTGACGCTAAGCGAAGTGAAGCTTGGGCTCTGTCCTGCCACTATATCGAAATATGTTGTTCGGGAATGGGGCGTTCCGTTTGCTCGTGAAGCCATGTTGTCTGCACGTCCGGTTTCAGTTGAGGAACTTCGAGCGCGGGGTCTTGTCTTTGATGTGGCTGATGGCGCAGAGGAGCTCAGTGCGAGGTTGGATATACTTTTGTCACGGTTGAAGGTTGCGTCTCCTGATGCTTCTCGGATGTCGAAGGAGCTTGTCAGACTTGGATGGGCCCATGCTGGGAGGGATGAACAGGTGACTGGAATAAAGGAGTTGTTTGAAGAAATGATGCGTGTTGATGCTGATGGTGCGCATGGTGTGAAGGAATTTCAGGCGGGACGGAAGGTGGACTGGGATGCTTTTACTCAGGGAACGTCAAAGTCCAAGCTGTAGGCTTTTAAGTGGGAAATGAGCTAAATCGTACATACCGTAATACGCCTTGCATTTCATAACTTGAATAATCCTAATTTCTGCTTCTTCTCTGTCTCTTCTTAATTGGTAGCAGCAGCCATCAAGAAAGGCCGGTGATAACTTGGCGACAACGACACTCGTCGACAATACCTGGACAGTGCCATCGATCCCTAGATAGCCGCCAGGCTGATTGGAACGATCGAACCGGGCTCCTAAAATAAAACCTCCACAATCCTATCCTCGAACCTGTTCAATGCCAGGGACTAGGAATGGCGGCTAAATTTCCTATTTGGGAATTTCCCGTCCTGCCTATGGAGATGCAACGAAGCTTATCTAGCCCAAGGGCTGCAAGTAGTACTGCTTCCGACGTCCACAAGTCTGAATTAATACCAATCGTTAATACGCCGCATCTATATGATGGATCTCACCGGTCAATCACCTACGCCCCAGAATTGGAATTTCCCCGCGGGGCCTTGCTCAATGCTACTCCACATCTATTGCCACTCTACCGGCAGCCTACTGTACTGGGATCAACCGCTGCTGCGGAGTACTGCCAAATTTGGCCATCAGTTGTTGGCGGCAGACGAGTTGTACACCGAACGCGTTGAAGGAAAAGGTATATAAGTTCAAAATCGAGGCGAGATGTTAACATTTCAAAGTTGTGTGAATTTCTCATTTCTCAAACAACACAATGAACAGACTGGTTTCGCCGCAGTGTGTCTCAAGTGCCCTACCTTTCAGGCGCGAAAGTGCGCAGGGAAAATAGGCAAGCGGCTTGTTGCAACCGACGCACCTATCACTCGCAAGGACAAACAAGAAGGCGATATTTCCTCTGTGTTCTCAACATTCTCTGGCAGGAAGAGCGCACCACTGCCCGATCGTTTCCGTGATTTGAAGCGAAACTTGACAGTTGGGTTTGAAGAGGAGATTCAAAAATCCTGGGATGACCTGGTCGAGACGCTCAAAGTCCGCACTGAAGAAGTCGCCACCAAGCGAGAGGCTGTATGTTGATCGCATCTTTTAATGAGAGCATACTAATAAGACTAGATTATTCCCCAACTGAACTTCTCCGATATTCAAGCAGGCAATGTGTCGCCGGCAAACATTGAGGCCATTCGTCGCACCGGTGTTGCCGTGATCAGAGGAGTTGTACCGAAGGGTCTCACTGAAGATCTCCTTGCTGATGTTCGTCAATACTTCGACGGGCACTCTTTCAAGGGCTTCCCGTCTGATGCGGAAAAGAAGGTAGTAGCTCTTGTCCAATCCTCGTTGAACTTATAATGACTTGGTTAAGGTTATCTACGAATCATACTGGAGTCCTTCTCAAGTGAAAGCGAGATCGCATCCCAACATGCTCGCCACACAATCATGGATGAATCAACTTTATCGTGCCGATGCAGACCAGAAGAGTAAGACATACCGCAATCCAAGAGCCGCCATAATGAACTGACGCAACCTAGTTGATCTCTCGGTGCCACTCACCTACTGTGACCGTGTGCAAATCCGCCCACCTGGTGATAAACACTTCGGCCTCCCGCCTCACGTCGATGGTGGAGGTGTGGAGAGATGGGAAGATCCTTCTTATAACCATGTCTACCGCAAGATCTTCCAAGGAAAAGTATGTATATTCCATATTATTTTACCAGCAGAGAGTTAATATCATACAGTGGCGGGAGTATAATCCATGGGATCTCACTGGCCGCCTTGATGCCAACATGAACATGTACGAGGCACCAGGAGGTTGCTCTGTCTTCCGGGCCTTCCAGAGCTGGCTCGGACTCTCTCGCCATGGGCCCCAAGAAGGTAAGTTGTTTATTATATAACGCTAGTCCTACGCTAATTCCGTGCTACTCCAGGGACACTTGTCGTTCATCCCATCCTGCAGCCCACCACTGCCTACTGGATGCTTCGGCCCTTCTTCAAGCCCACTCGCAAGGGTTCCTTGGATGGATGGAAATTCTCCCTCGACGATGAAGAAGGCGAGGTTTATCTGAATGGTGCCAACCCGGGAACTGCCCAGGAACATACCCCTGACCACCATCCCCATCTTAACCTGGGTGAAACCATGATTCCCTATCCTACTGTTGAGCCAGGCGACACCGGTATGGCTATTGTTGATCGAATAAAGCGACCTGTGCTAATGTTTATGTTATAGTCTTCTGGAGCGCTGATACAATCCACGGTACGGAGACTGTGAACGCAGGAAAGAACGATGCTTGTGTGTTCTATATTCCATCAGTCCCATTAACTCCTAACAACGCGGTAAGATCCTCTTTCAACCGATGCATATTCGGAAGTTATACTAACATCAAATAGCAATACGTCGCTCAGCAACGCGATGCCTTCTTGAGGGGCGTACCCCGCCAGACTTCCCCGGTGGTCTTGGCGAGTCTCAGTACTCTGACAGAGCACAAGTTGGAGACATCCAGTCTGAGGCTGGCAGGGTTGCTATGGGTCTGGATCCTGTCAAATCCAATGGTAAGAACGACAAGCTTGTGCAAGAGATCAACAAGATTCTGGGCCACTAAACGCGTATAAATTGGTGTTGTGTCTGTATGTGGCATAAATGTCTTTCATTCAATCTTTTCATATGTTTCATGAAGTTTGATCTGTTCAGTGGATCTCAATTAGGATGCTGCGGCCACGAGTACCTTTCAAGTGCCGTAATAAAATCAATATTTGCTATCTTGTTTCTAGTTATGCTTCCCTGCAGCGTGACGAGGCTGTTAGGTATCATTGACGTTCCATTTGGCAATAATCATCCCTAAAAAGTCAGATAGGCTGACCACGATCTAATAATTTGCCCGGCATAGAATCTTGGAAGGCACCCCAAATATACCTCCACATTGTAGTTTGGACCACAAGTACATGAAACGACCTCCTTCGGATGATGCGTAGTGCTGTGCTTGTTGGGAAGCGCATAGATATTATCAACGTTATCGGTGTCTTCCCTCATTATGGTAGAAGCCTAAAAAAAAGAGGGCGCCATAATCTTCTGAAGCAATTGAAGGGTCGTTCTGATCAGGTGCTAGTATCGTATCGTAATGCTAGAGCTCTTCTGTCCAATTTTGCCCCGATTTACTATAAAAAACTGGTGAAGGTTAAATTTCTGCAAGGCCCACTTACCGCTAATGTGTTAGGGGATCTCAACTCCATGTTTCTCTCACCATTTTCCTGGGCATCTATAGGGTGATCGTATTCGTGTCTCGTTTAACCCGTTTAAGGAATGTGGACAGAGCGGGCGGGATACCTAAATAGGTATAGTACCGACGATCTATGCTCAGCACGTAACCTTATAAAAGTTCACTCAGTCAATTCCACGTCCGAGCACCCTAGCGTATTCGTATTGTCTCTGCGACACAATATCCATCAATTCTTTTCACAAGATTCCCCTACTGTTCCGATATAGTGGATTTTTACCGACTTGATTTGAAGCTGAGTCTATCATTCGGGGATTTGAGGGCAGCGGGTCCCAAGCGACTACAAAGTTGTCCTCTGTTTTATTGAGGACGGTATTGTAAGGAGCGAATACGACTCCTTGGTGTTCCTGCAAGTTGGGCCAAAATGCATCCAACAACCCCAAAACCGGTCCGGGCGAGACGAACACATTGCAAGTCACGCCTGGGCTGCGCCAGCTGTAAGCGACGTCGTATCAAAGTAAGTCGTCCTTCCCTGCCGCCCCCCACATTTTGACACTTTTGACACACGGTCTTGAAGTCTCTGGGTTGTCTCAATACCTGTGTATTCATGCCTATGGTTCCAAGGTTCCCTTCGCTGGGGAAGCAACCTGGTGTCTGGTCCCGGGCATGACAGCGCTAATAGTTTATAGTGCGATGAGAGACGGCCTATATGTTCCAATTGTGTCCACCACAAGATCGATTGTACGTTTGCCACCGAAGTTGTTGCAGAACCTACTTCGCTTTCGGAAAGAGCCACTGAGCAGCGACGAGCACGCCGATCCCGAACTCACCAAAACTCGACCTACAAGTGGAAGCATACCTTCGTCTCGCCCAATAATAGCGATGAGACACGATCATCAACGGATTCGACTGGCACGAAATACGACGCTTCAACAGTTCCTCCTACAACAATCTCGTTGGCCGACCTGCAACTGTTCCATTACTTCATCACAACAACTTATCAGGCCATGGCCGTCGAAGGCGGGCAGGATCTTTGGCAAGTGGACCTTGTTCAATGGGGCTTTGAGTTCCCATCGATTTTGCATCTGGTGCTAGCCCTGGCAGCTCTTCATGCTGCCTACGAAAAGCCAGAGTTACGAGATCAATTCGTGCAGCAAGCAAATGATCACTTTACCTTCGGCATCCGATCCGTGACAGGGATTCTGTCCCAGCTGAATGACGAAAACTGCCAGAAAATATATATGTCAGCCTCACTAATTTGCTTGATATATTTTGGCCGTGGGCCATGTCCCGGGGAATATCTCATTTTTAGCACAAGCGGTCCGTCCGAGTGGCTTATTCTCATGCGCGGAGTCAAATTTATCATGGCAAACTACCGCGACAAAGTCTTTACTGGAACACTTGAACCAAAAGGCGGGTCCGACGAACCGGATTTTGCGATGACGCCTGAGATGTGCTCCGAATCATCTGAGCATACAATGTATACAGAAGCCGTCCAACGGCTTGTCGAACAGGAGGAGAAGGACGAGTCTGACCGCGCCATGTATATATCTGCCATCAAGGACCTCCTTGGGATTATACGTGAGGTCTATCGAAAGGTTTCGGCCGGGAAGACAGGACTTCATTTGATGCACTTGTTGATCGGGTGGCTATATCGGCAACCTGAGGAGTTTGTAAGCATTATGGAGCAACAGGAACCGCACGCACTTATCATTGTCGCGTCTTGGGGCGTTCTTTTGAAATACATGGAGTCCTCATGGCTCATGAAAGGCTGGTCTAAACATGTCGTATTGGGGGGTTTCTGCAACTCTTCGTCCAGATCTTCAGCCGTGGATTGAATTCCCCCTTCGGAAAGTGCAGCATGTTGGATAAAAAATTGTACTCTATGTATGAAGAATTAAATATATCTGTGTACATATATGGATATGTATTTCATCATTGATCCTCTGAGAAAGACAACATTAGGTCAAGTGATGGATCCTAAGATATATTGCCAAAACCTACTGTACTCGACCCATACATTTAGTCATGTTCAATTCAGGGAAGAAAGGATTTGCAGTGGGCTCGGGAGTTCAGTCATTCCATAAAGGTGACTACCACATGCAGATTTGATGACCGTAACCTAGCGCCTTTGTTCCAAGATGAGCAGGGAATTCTTCTAGGCAACCATACGGCTGGCTATCCGTAAACGGAAAACCTACCGCCAGACTTATGAGAATACCTCAAACGCCAACCTTGCATTTCAATTTGGAAGTCGAAGACCCATGCCTATATTATAGGATTCGAAGACTACGTCATCTGTATGGAGTATGTTGTGCGTCTCGAAGAAGTTAATTTTAGACACTGGAACGAGGCTACCTAATTAAAATTGTGTTGTAAGCCTTCGAATATCGCATTGATATACGGAGTAGTGGTTCCTTGTTAATCTCGCCGATTGATGTAATGTGGAGCAGATGTAGTCGCCCAACCAGGGAAATTGGAAACACGAATACGATCAGGGAATCTTATGGGTATTTAAAGGATCCTCCGATGCCAGTTTATGGTTTCGTCTACTTCGACAAGGACCGAAAATTCCAATCTATTTAAACACATATTCAGGATGCGATTTTTATCCGTTTTGCCCGTCTCGCTACTGGTATATAGTGTGGCGGCGGCCGGTTCGCAATGCAAATGTGTAAGGCGCTCGCCTTCGAACTGAAATTAAACACCACTGATGCAATCTTAGGCTCCTTCAGATCCCTGTTGGCCCTCAGACGCTGACTGGTCAGCCTTGAACGAGACCGTCTCCGGTCGTCTGATTAAGACGATTCCTCCCGGATCCGTCTGCTATCAATCAGGGCCGAATTATAATCCATCTGCCTGTGAATACCTGCTCAAAAATTGGTCTAACTTCGAGTATCACTCATCCAATCCGGTGACGGTCTCAGATCCCCTATGGTCGAATAACACCTGCACTCCAATCTACCCCAATGGTACCAGTGTCTCGGGGGATCCAAGTGCGGGTGCTAAGGGATGCTCTCTGGGATATTTGTCTCCCTATGTTGTGAATGCAACCACGGCACAGCAGGTCCAGGCTACTTTGAAGTTTGCGAAGGAGCACAACGTGAGACTCAATATCAAGAACACTGGACATAATCCGGAGAAGAGGTGAGATTACTAGACATTTGTTATGAGTGAGAAGATTATCTGGCTAATAACCTCCCAGTTCTGCCGCTGGAAGTTTGTCGTATGTGGTACTACCCTGCACAGATGAGAGAATGCATAGCTCACAAAAATTAGCATTTGGACACACCACATGAAACAGTTCAAAATCCATCAGGCCTTCAAACCTTCAAACTGCAGCTCCGCCAACAGTCACATGGCAGCGACTGTCGGCGCTGGGATTCAAGATGGTGAACTCCTTGGCCTGCTAGCCAAGCGCAATTTGACGGCTGTTGCAGGAACAAGCATGGTAAGAGCATGCGCAATTCTCTTTCAAAGTTCCACGTGCACTAACAGTGCACCAGGATGTTGGCGTTGCTGGATGGGCAACCGGAGGTGGTCACGGTGTCCTGACTGGAGTCTACGGCATGGGCGCCGATAATATCATTCAGGCCACCGTCGTCACACCCAATGGTGACCTTGTGACAGCCAACGAATGCCAAAACAAAGACCTCTTCTGGGCGATCCGGGGTGGTGGTGGCGGGACATTTGGTGTTATTCTGAGCCTTACAGTCAACACCTATCCGATGCCATCGCTTTCGACCGCTACGGTGTCCATGACCGCTCGTAATGGAACGTCCGCCCAGACATGGTGGAGGGCTATTGCAGGCATCCACAAGGAAATGGTCAAGCTTCAGAATGCAGGTGTGATGGGCTATTACACTGCTGGTGGATCGCCTTACAGCTTCCAGTACACGATGTTCCAGCTCAATACGACTAACACTACCTCAATTGACCGCCTAATCAGCCCGCTCATGATCCACGTCCAAAAACACAATGACAGCGTTGATTCTTCATCATTCTCTTCGTGGTTGCCAGTTTGGTATGCCATCGAGAAGATTATGCCGTCAGGTGGGGATGCTGGTCTCAACTATGGGGCCCGTGCAACCCGGCTGATTCCTCGCAAGGCCATTGAGGATACAGACTCCCTTGCGGAGACCCTCGAAATTATTGGAGAAAGGAATGAAGCCTTCGCGGTAAGTTTAAGTTCCACCTTATTACTACCCGTGAAGTAGATGCTAAAACGGCTTTCGGCTTAATAGGATGGAGTCTCCAATCCCTCCCTTTCTGGCACTATGACGATTAGTCACAGGCCAGTCGACAGCTCGTTGAACCCAGCTTGGCGGGATGCCGCTGTTCATTTGATTAGCAGTGTACAATGGAATGACCTCCTGCCTGCTTCTGCTGCTGAAAAGGCTATTGCGGAGGTGACGAATACTACAGGATACGCCATGCGACAGCTCGCCCCAGACTCTGGGGTGTACTACAATGAGGTACGACCCTTCCCTCCATATGGTTGCAACTTATACACGTATTGACAGTTAACTGAAGGCCAACCCTTGGGAACCCAACTGGCAGTGGGCATTCTGGGGACCAAACTATCCCCGGATTCTTTCGATCAAGCAAAAGTATGACCCGGATAACCTCTTGTGGTGCCACCACTGTGTGGGAAGTGAGTCGTTTGTGCAGCAGAACAATGGCTCTCTATGTGCTGTCTTTTGAATTGCCGCGGCATAGGCGCAGGCCATGGCGGATCCCAGAGGCATGATAAGAGACTGGAAACCATTCCCGGATGGTAAGATGCTCTACCTTCATCGACGTGCCTGAATAGCTCACAAAGCTACAGGATCTACCGAGAGAATGGGCCTGGAGTAGCTGTTTAAGCCTTGTAAGCTTAGCGAACCACTTGTTCCACAGAAGATATATCTTTTAGTGGACACAGAGAGGGAGAGGAAGGGCGAGGAAGAAATAATCGTGTTGAGATAAATGTTATGGCTGCCTGGGATTCTCCGAGCGACTTACCCAGGTAGTTCACGATGATTTGGTGATTGTCAGTCTTGGAACCTTAGGTTGACTGGCCTTCTTTTCCTACACAATAAACTCTCCTTCCCCGGTCCTCCTAGTAGACCCTGCAATCTCATCAGATTTTCCTCAGCCCCGGGCCACGGATACCATACTATGCAGACAATAGTAGGGGCTGCGTCTTTATCTCTCACTTGGAATTCAACCTTCGTACATATCGCACCGTTCCTCCACCTTCGAGCTGACTGGCTCATATCGGCCTGTGCAACTCTCTCTCATCGTCGTCACCGAACCACAGATTCCTGCCTCAACGTTCCCATCCAGATAAACCCAATTCCTACGATTCACTATGTGCGTTGTTGCCTCGTGGTTGACTTTTCATCTGACTATTTCGGACCATGGTTCCATGTCCTCAGCTCGTCGATCTTGAGAGATCTCATCACTGGCATAATGCAGATCAGTTTTCGATTTCGCCCTCTGGTGCTCATGTGTATTCAATTGGCGTTTGATAATTGGTGCATTATCTAGTGAGAGAGACATCTCTCTATTGAGTTTCGCAAAGGAGCAAGAAAAAGGGATGCCGAGTTACTTGGTTACCCACTCTGTTTTACAATGTGTGTGTCTATGTTCTCATTGTGCATGGGACATGCGGTTATCAAATGCTGGATGATGTGACTATAGTTAAGCTGACATTTCGAAACTACACATTATAATGTAGGTTGTTGTTCGCTCGTGGTACGTGTCTCAACACGTTGGCGAACAGTGCCAACCCAACTAGGAGATATCAGCATCAAGGGCAAAAGAGGAGTTCCACATCTTCTATTTTCCTTATGACCAATTATTTTGAAAGAATGGAACTGATCGTGGGAAGATTCAATTCCCCCTTTCGCAGACAGTTGGCTGCAGGCCCATGAAAATATGCCAAGATACCTATCGCCCATGGGGATGACAGCCTTGGAATGGAGCTGCAGCTGACGTCAGTACAACAATAGTCCGATTTAAATGTTATGCAGCTCTGACAATCCGTGTCTCATATAGCTGCCCTCGAGGTGGATTGTGCGCAGTCGCAAATGAACCAACCTGTTGAACCTAATGCAGCCCCAGATGCACATTGCATTGCAGACACATCCAAGCAAGCTCGGTCGGGTCGACTGAATAAACCCCAATTGATTCGACTACGATTGATTATCGCATCAATGGTACAATGGAAATCCAATAACAAACATCGCTCAATCCAGACCGACCTACTCTCTTGGAACGGCCCTTCAGTGGGCTCCTTTGTACGATAGCGCGCCCGATCGAGACGGAGAAATGAACTCATAGTGGGCCCGAGAGAGCGATGAAGTGTTCACAATGACACAATGGATATAGAACTATCCATTTTTGGTTGGTTAACGAACAAATTGGACGACAAAAAAAGAGCGGAGATCACAGTGCAAGGGATGGGCGCTAATAGCACCGCGTATACAGCGCCAGTCTGATGAACAAACACCCCCCCTTGAGTGAGTGGCATGGGAAGGTTGACAAATTGACTGAGATCGGACCTATCTTGCTGCAAGGCTGGTTCCTTAGATCACCGTCTACCTGCATATGGAGTACATATTCGCGCTTTCGAACGAGCAGTCTCACAACGAGGCGATCATTGCAGATCAGGGGTCTAGCGATCCGCGATAGTGGGCCCGGTTGATCGCCAATCAAGGCACTCAGCCGCAAGAATGTCCAACAAATATTTGTTTAGGATATGCTATGATGTGTCCAGGAGTCGGGTCTGAATATGGGAGCTGTCTTATTTAAAGCGGAGATGTCCTCAATTCGTAATTGTACCTTTGCATGAGTAGTGTCGCCTTTCCATTGGCATCTCTCGACCATGTTGTTCTCTCACCACAGTGTTCTGGTTCCGTCCGTCATCTCGCTGCTTCTGACAGGAAGCGTACTGGCGGATGACGCAAGAACAAGAGCACGCGATGCTCTCAATACCCTCCAGGGCTGGTATAACCCCCAAAGTGGCATTTGGGATACCTGTGGCTGGTGGGATGGTGCGAGCTGCATGAATACAATAGCAGATTTAGCTGCCCTTGATCCATCAGTGATGGATACAGCGAGATATGTCTTCAATAACACATTCAACGTGGGGCCGGTGTCCAATCCGCATCCCGGGCCTGAGCAAAAGACCGTTTATACTCGTGACAACCAGGCATCGACTCCTGTCAATGCCAGCTTGTGGCTTGATCAAGCTTATGACGATGATGCCTGGTGGGCCCTCGCATGGATTGGCGCATACGATGTCACCAAGGAGGGGACGTACTTAGAATTAGCTGAGGGAATTTTTGAGAGCTTGGTATGTATAGGTCATGTCTATGTGGATTTGAACGTTTGCTAATCCTTTCTAGGTGAACGCGTGGGGCACGAACTGTGGTGGAGGTGGCCTTCCTTGGAATCCGACGAGCAGATACGTCAATTCGATTACGAACGAGCTGTTTCTTTCAGTCGCAGCACACCTCGCAAACCGAGTCCCCGAGAGAAAACAATACTATGTCAGCTGGGCTCAGAAGGAGTGGGACTGGTTCGCGGCCCAAGCCTTCATAGGTGAAAATGGTACCATCAACGATGGCCTTTTAGACAACTGCCAGAACAATGGGGCTACTGTGTGAGCATTTCCTTCTCCGAGTACCTCTTCTTGACTAACCTTGACCAGGTGGTCTTACAATCAAGGAGTTGTCCTCGGTGGACTGGTCGAATTGAACAAAGCGGCACCCAATGACGCATACCTGCCCGCGGCCAACAAGATTGCAAAAGCAGCCATTGCGACATTGGCTGACTCGAACAAGGTTATCCATGAATTCTGCGAGCCGCAATGCCTTCCAGATGGCACACAATTCAAAGGCATTTTCATTCGCAATCTACGAATGCTGCACAAAGCATCTCCGCATGATCTTTACCGGAATGTGATAAACAGCTGCGCGAACAGCATCTGGAATAATGATCGCAATGAAAAGGGACAGTTCGGTGTCAACTGGGCTGGTCCTATCATGGCAGTGGTTGATGCATCGACGCATAGCTCGGCCTTTGATGCGCTGGTCGCAGCAGTTGCTGTATCGGGTAGCTAACTGTGGCCCAGGGCCATTTCATATTTTCTTTCGGCCTTTAATGTTCACTGGGTTTCAGCAGATTTCATGTATATATATTATTTGTTCTGCATATATATCAAATGTCAGCCCAGCATTCACGGTTCAGTGACATTCGTCTCTTATTCAGTATGACTCTGCTCGCTTCGTCCAGACAGGCTGTCGGGCGGCCTGAGGCCTGTTGTAGCCAGACCGAATAAGGGATGGGAATTAATTCCAAGCTTCCCAGTGTTGCGCCCTGCTTGTCCTGCGCCCACAACGTCAACACTATACAACTGTCCCCTTCGTCGTTCACAATACCCTCTGGAACAGGCAAAGCTCTTTGGGAGCCAAGGTTGTTGACTAAATTAGAAAAATTAGAGTGGGTGGATTCTGGGTTGGAGCCATGGAACTGTGCCCAATGAACCAAACGGATACATACTATATTTTCCGAATTGATACCCATTGATGAATAGCTGACATCGGTAATTGTTGCCTCAACTATTTTCCTTGGTACTATTGTGGAGTGAGTTGTTGAAAACAACGCTCGAACATCCCATCCGGGGATGTTCAGCCGGAAGGATGCAGCATAAAATCCGACACCTGCGTGCGATAAGCCATCTGTGACCGGGTTCGACAATTCCCATGTCGAGGTCGGCGGGCTGCGATAATGGTATCCTTGTCTCTCGGCATACATGGCACTTCATTGAGAGGACCACGGGCAAGATCCTGATACTGCTCTCCTCCAACGCTACCGGTCAACTTATATCGGATTGTGTGTGGCCCAAAATATGTAATTCAAAATACCTCGAAGGAATTTGGTTGCATCAGTGCCAGGAGCCTCCTCATCTTGGCCCATGTGATCAATCAGGACTGAGATAGCATAGAGGCTTCCTTGCGACAGGAAAAATGACAGCGACATGTTGTGGACAACTGTGGAGTTGGCACTCCACCCATGCCGACCCAAGGAATGTGTCGTTCAACCAGACAGAATGTCCGAATCCCGCGCCACCAGATACATTCAACCAGACATTGGATTCGCGGCGATTCGCGTTACAATGACTACGGTATAGTAAAGACCCTGCGTGGTATCCGTAGTCCATGGAGTACAGACTACTCGGAGTATCCAGCTGCCGAGGACTGTGTGTTGAGTTCAGTTACGCAGGGTGTCCAAGCTGAGTCGTCGTACGACGCCTGGATCCCGGGGAGAGAATCAATGAACTTCCGTTCGAGGTTGGACAAATCGGGAATGTCCAACTTGGGAGGGTTGTATCTGACAGTCCCTCGCAGGTTCCCATTGGACGCTGTTGAAGTGTGTAGCACTTCTCCATTAAAGTTGATACCTTCGGCCTCGTAGCTGAAGTGGAGATAACCTCGATTTCCGTCGTGGCATTCACCTGTCAGTCGTAGCTGATTGTTTATCAGATCGGCTGTGCGGATAAGATATCCGGCCTTTACAATTACCACGTCCTTCGATGCTGACGAGTAGTTTCCAATCGGACCTAATACCGGCAACTCCGCCACCCAGTAGTTGTATACGTCATTCCGCCAGAACAGGTAGACCTGGAGATCTTCTACCCGAACGATTCGTCGGGCTGGTGTAACATGCCACTTCACAATCCAGGCAGATGCGTGTTGTTTTATTTCGATGTCGTCTCCTTCGATGATAGTTGGCTTTCCAAGATGACTAGGCATACCAAACTCGTGTGTTTCCCCGGCGCCTCCGTAGAGAATTAATACACGGGTGGATCCTGGTTGGCGCGCCCATGTGAATATCTCTGCGGAGTAGATCAAATTGATGCCGCCGACATCATAACCTGTGACGTGGAATTTGAAATCACGTCCATTCAACGTCAGATGGCCTCCCAGCTGAGGGATCTTGATGGCCCCCATGCTTGTTGGTAATATGAGCGTGTACTGAGTGTTGTCGATGGACGTGAAGTCCGCATGTCTTGATAAGATAGAATTTTGTCGATGTCCCATTCCCAAGGAGAGCAGTCACAGCTATCGAGGGTGCGCCGTAGGTGCCATTCGCTTCGAGATGAGGAGTTGCTGTCAGATAGGCAGGAGAAGCTTAGAGGAAGTTAGCCTGAGGTTTCTGTTCACTATATTTTCCCCGCCATATCGCCCTTTCTTCTGTTATCGCTGCACCATAGTCGTATGATGTGTGCCCGCCCATATACCCAAGGTTACCACAGTTGGTGCCTCCGAAAGTCTGGGCAGAATTCGAAAATAAGTGTTGCAGTATGCAAGGAAGAAGCTTTATGGACTCACCATGTAAATGTTGAAGATCTTGACGCCAAAGCTGTAGTTGTTCTTGTACACAACTGTGACAGCTTCTTCGTTTACTAACTGGTCGCACATGTCCTGAACCCCCTCCCCTAGGATAATTTTGGTTCCTTCTTTGTTTACTAATGGGACCATCCCCCGGCAGACCCCCCTGGAACTCAGCAATAGCGAAGGGAGTCGTTGGACTTTGCAGTTCGTTCGTCCTTGCCAATCATATGGGAAGCTATAAGTAGGCCGAACACTAGGATTTGCGCCTAAGGGGGCGAATGAGTTCCAGCTTGGCGCGCTGCATCGAAGAATTCATCCAACCTCCATATTCCGTCCGTGATAACATGCCCGGGGTTGCCTTCAGCAAGGCTCCAGTCCACGTAGAATGATACGCCGGTAAATCCCATGCCCTTGATCTTTTGGAATACGTCGAGCCGAAGACCTGGGACTGGAAGGCGGAATGGGTGGAATTCTCCTGAAAAGATCATCAACCGCTCTCCGCGTACTATGATGGAATGCTGGTCCCATGTCAACTAGGTACCCGTAGTGCGTTAGCAAAATGATACTGCGAGGGGGTGATGCACTCACTAGATCCTGTAGCCCGTTGTTTTCGGGTTTATTATGAGTTTTGCTAGAGGCTAACACCAAATTTGCAACTGCGGAAAGCAGGGTAAATAATCTTGAGGTCTTGACCAACATCTTTCAGAGGTGGTGGTTGGAGCCACTATATGAACTATGGGCGAAATTATTACTGATGCTCACCGCGCGAGGCAATCGAGGGTAACAACAACACAAATGCAAATTCAGAAATGCAGCATTTTCTCTACTTTAATTCATTTCCCGCATGGACAAAACCGACTCTGCAAACCCCTAGCAACAAGCCGGTCGCTACCTTTGATCCCATTGAAGGAAGATCTCGTGAATTAACCGGCGCACCGGAAAACTACGACCTGTCGATCATTTCAGCAGCGATAAACGAGACAAAACGAAGTACAAAACGTCTTCCGCTTTATATTACTGACACCACCGGAAAATCAGGTTAAATCACCTCGGTTGCTTACCCCAGATTTTGCTGCAAATTACATCATGGCGACCTCATTCCGCCGTCGTCATCGCCATCCTATATCTTCTTTCGAGCCACTCGAGATGGAGTTCCTCTTCGACACTCTCCGGCAAATACCAATTCACAATTTCAAAATCAAACAATGGGAACACATATCAAGCCGATCGTCCTGCACGCCGCCCACGCCACGGGCCCGAACCCAGTCAAGATCGCCATGGCGCTCGAGGCGCTCCACGTCCCATTCGAAGTGAGGCAGTGGGAGTTTGGCAAAGATCCCCAGAAGGGTGTGAAGGGGGCAGAGTTCGCCAAGATCAACGAGAACGGCCGCGTCCCTGCCATCGAGGATCCCAACACTGGTGTCGTCGCGTGGGAATCCGGGGCATGCATGAATTACGTTCGTCGTGTGTACGACACAGCTAACATAATCGGTCCGACGGGTGAATCGGCGCAAGATCTGGTTGATTTTGAAAAGTGGGAGTATTTCTTGTTATCGTCGCTTGGTCCCATGACTGGACAGACAAATTGGTTTAGGTTGGTTGTGTAAATTTGGAAGAAATTCACAGATGATGCTTACTATTTATTTCTAGACACTTCGTCCCGCAGAAGAATGAGAATGCGCTCCAGCGATTCACGGAGCAGACTTATCGCTGCTATGATGTTCTCGAGGGACAATTGAAAAAGACTGGTGGTGAGAGTATCCTGCCCGGTCGTGTCAGTGCCGTTGACTATCATTTCGAGCCTTGGTTGCGTTTGTACTCTTTCGCTGGACTTTCGCTCGAGAAATATCCTTTGATCAAGAAGTGGCTTGATCTTATGTCGACACGGGAGGAAATCCAGCAGGCGTACATCAAGGTTCAAGGTCAAAGTTGAACAGTGTGAATTGAGATTGAATTGTGGGTTGGCTTAAACCGTGACTGGGATCAGTTAGCCGTTTGGGAATATATAACGAACCAGAGGAAGAATGAAACAGCATATATAAAGTAAATATCATGATGTATATCATTTGTTTCGCTTGCTACATATCCCGTCACAAATCCAAAATATCAAAATTCGATTTACCAATAGCTCTCTATCTTTACTTCCCAGTCACCAAAGCCTTCGGGACATTGATGAGATACAGCAGATATGCCTTTCCATCGTGCGATTTTCTTGGCATCCTGCCTCCACGCACATTGACCTGCATAGCCTGGTGAACAAGCTTAGGCTCGGGCATCTCCTTGTCCCGCTGCGTCCTCCACTTCACAAAGTCCTCCTCTGTCGAGTCATTCTTGATGTGCTTGTTTTTGTTACCCTGCTCTTCAACCGTAACATACGGCAATGGGCATCGCGCCGTGTACTCATTGGAAGGAGGATAATCATGTCCTGTGTATAATCTTGTTTCCGGTGGGAAAGTAAGGAGACGTTTCATCGAGCGGAAAAGGGCCCGCGCGTCGCCACCTGGGAAGTCACATCGACCACTGCCAACATCTGGATTGAACATACTGTCTCCCGTGAATACGTTGTTCCCTAGTTTGTAGCCTCCATGGTCCGGTGTATGTCCTGGAAGATGGAGGGCGATGCTGGTCACGTCACCAATGTTGAATACCTCATCAGGCTGGAAGAGATGGTCGAAGGCGTTGTCGATTTCCTGTCTAGGGATTGAATATTTGTTGGCGAAGTGACTTTGGACGACCCTGACGTTCTCGCCAATGCAGATCGGTGCATGAGGCTCCCCGCGGGACCAGAGGGCTTGTTGGATATAGTAGGCCGCTGAGAGGTGGTCTCCGTGTGCATGTGTCTCCAGCAGAAAGGTGACTCTATATCCATTCTTTAGGACACATTCGATGAGTTCGTCCGCAGATTCGGTGGTGATGAGGAAGTTCGCGGCATCATAATTCAAGACTGGGTCGATGATGGCCGCCTCTTTTCTCTCAGGACAGGCGACAACATACTGCCAAGAACAAGTCTTGGGCTCGAAGAATGGGTGGACTTTCGGTTCCATTCCGTTGGCCAAGCCGAGGATCACTTGAAGGAATCGCTGTCAAGTCTGAAGGAAATTAAGTTGTGTTTCGTAGGGTGTATTGAGCTTGGCTGGTTGGAATTACGTATATATACAATCATCAGTGCCACCCAAGGTAGCTCGCATACAGCTGGTTACTCTAGTTTGAATATAGTCTTCGACTGTAGATTATTCAGTGACTACCTACTTAGGTAAGTGACTAACTACATAATTGAAGAGGATGTGACTCAACACCCCCCCATGTATTAGGTGGGACCTGTCAAGTGGCTATACAGAGCCCAAAGGCTCAGCCACGACTTTGTCAAAGAACTTCCACGAGAAAGACCGGTTTGTTTTGGGTGTAGACCTATAAGGACCTCAACAACCTGGTAATGTTGACGTCTTTATGTATAGGTGATGCACGGCCCTTCGCCTACACGATCTCATGGGCTACGGAGAGACCGTGGTCGAGAGGGATGGAGAGAGGAAGAAGGAAGAAGAGAAGAGGAGGAAAGACGAGAGGAGTCCTTTTATACCCTCAAACACACGTACTTTCCTAAATTGAGCACCTTCCTTGCACCTTCCTCGCACTTCCTCGCACCTTCCCTGGGCAACAGACCGGACATCACCTGGGCACAACCTTGAAAACTTCGAGGCGACTTACCTAGGTACCCTTGGTACCTTTATATGGAGCTAGAAAGGAATTACGCGATGACTAAATTGCATAGGTTAACGGTAAGGACAGTCAAATATGAATTCGTTGTTCTAATCTAACTACCACATGAAATTACCTTCTGAAAATAGACCAGCGAACATGAATGGTCGTGGTCACCAAGGAATCGAATCTTCGTGTGGCAGATGACTGTCCTCAACTTTCTTTCTAGCACATTGAAATCAAATGTCTTTCGTAAATCTGTCGGTTTATTGCTAGCCATCAACCCATTGTTTTGTCAAGCAACCGACCTTGCAGTCGCGGACTTTTCAAACATACAAAGACATCCCAAATAAGAGAGGTTGTCCGTAGGTATGGTTGCAGATTGTTTCTTTGCGGGGCCCCGGGGATTGTGATCGATTAGAACCCGAACTCAATCGGCGAGTGTTCCCCGATAGAAGCGTCGCTGACAGACCATTGATCGATTTGGCTCTGGTCACTTGGAACGTCCCAGCGAGCAGTCTGAAGATCAAGGGTGTGAGCAGCTTGGTTGAATCGGCACTGCCAGCTCTTCACAGCCTTGCATCCGGGCTTCTGGCATAGGTGGCCCATGTAGCATTTGATAGATCGGCATGCCCCAGCCCGAGTGCACGGGTGTTGGAGAAGCATGTATCGCAGAACGTCGATGATCACGTTAGAGACATCGCTGTGATCGTAGGTGCAGCTCATGTCACCGCATTCTCCCGACAGATGGTAGCTATTGCAGACTTTGTGTTCCTTGGCTCGAGCGTGGTACTCGTCGAAGGCTTCTGGTGACGGGTGAGGATAGTATGGGTCGATACGGTCCCCATCTTTATTGACTGGGATGAATTCTTCCGTTTTGATGCTTGGCGACGGGAGCATTGATCTAAGGAAATCCTCTGAGCGACCGACAACGGTAGGGGAAGACCACAATTGTTTAGGTGAATCACTTGCGCTTGAGTGTTTAGATGACGGGTGATGATTCAAGGACTGGTTCGGCATAACATGTTGTTTATTGCAACCATTGCCGAACTTGCAGATACCCTAAGTCGATGTCAGTCAACAGCTTACTCACCGTAGAATTGTGTGACCGGGAATCAATACCTTTTGGAAGTGCTTGCAGATTGGCTTGGTAGTATTTCCACCATTTGTACCGTTTGAGCCATTGGTAACGTGGTGTGCACCGTTTCCACCGTTGAATTTGGCCACAGTCGGAGACGCGGCCGGGCCCGTGGGCGGCTTGCTGTTAAGTAAAGGAGTAGACATGAACACCGAAGGCAATTCTCTGATAGGGAGATCCAGTGCCTCGAATTCACGATGGAAACCAGCAGCTTTGATGAGGGTGATACGGTCACTTCTGCCTCTATAGGGCGTCAGCAGGGAGCCGTATCCAGTGTCGTGGCAGCCGGCAAAATAGATATGTCGGCATTGGTTGAGATCCACGAAGAGACGGAACATTTCTTGATTTCGCAGCACATATCAGTACAATAACAAGTCTATTCATGCCAAATTGCTCATTACCTCTGATCTTGAAATCACTGCCTTCCTTCTTCTCTGCAGCGTCGACATAATCAAATAGCTCTTGGGCACGGGTAAATGACGAAGTAAATGGCGACATAGATCGAGCCTCGTGGCCCATAAGTCCAGCTCGTGCTAGCGCCTTGGACAAACCGAGAACATTTGCATAGACACGAACCATGATCCGGCACTGTTCTGCCTGCATTCCCATCGTCGAATGCATAAGCTCTTTGATAGAGTCGCTCAGCTCGCGGGCTGCATTAATGCCACCTTCGCTGCCATGCTTCAGGAAATGCTCTTTGAACTAAAGAGGTATGTTAGGCGATCGATTGGATGTCAAGGAAGGCAAGACAGTCTCACCAGATATCCGTCTCCGTCCACAAGGACAAGGACGAAGGGATTACGATCCTGGTTGATTGTAAGTTTTCTCACTCTCGTAGTTTCTGTAAGCCAGTCGACTCGTACCTGGCCTCTAGCCTGTCTTTTGTATTTCTCTCTACCTTCTTTAACCTCTTCATAGTCACTTTTGAGCGAGCTGTAGTCGTCCAACAGACTCTTGAACTGGGTGAGCAGGTCCTGAAGATTGTCATGTTGCTTTTGTTGCTCTCGCGATAAGGACATTAGATGCCCATTCAAGGAATCTATATCAGAATCCCGCAGCATCTTGTCGGAGGTACCGGGACGGCATGTGCCAGTCCCATAAGCCAAGTTGATTCAACGCAAGCTGCCAGCATTCGATTGAGATTTGGAAGAAGAAATCAAATTTCCAATCTGTGAGGGAGTGATGGAGAGCTATGGTGGGGAAATTTGTTTGTCTGTTTGGCTTGGGCGGTCAATGGCCGTTAGGCATCAGGTGATCCATAATTAGCGGATGATACGACGCGCTGTTGTATCACGTGTTGGGCTCCATAAAAACTACAAAAGAGGATTAGCGTTAACGCGACCCATTCGTTCTTCTGGTCTCGCTTTCATCGCGCACATCTACAGCACTCACCATTGCCAATCACTATTTTAAGGGGTTCAAGGGTTGAGACCTTGGTAGAGTTTCAAATACAGACCAAGACACTGTCCTGTGACCCAAAACGTTGTATATGCTTTCATATATAACAAATACAACGAATAAAAGCTGAAGAGCGACTCCACTTAGTTACGTGTGGACTAGATGTGCCGACTATTTCCCATCATATCACGGTGATTCGTCGTCTGTCTTAAGGGACCCTAGACTCCTAACGTTGAGAGTCCTTAGCGGTTGATCACCCGTCTAAACTAGCGCTGGCGAGTATGGCTATGGCCAATAGTGTCCCAAAGGATGTTTCATAGGGTCGTGTTCCGAAACAGGAGTCACGACCAGGTTCCCTTGTGGCAGCCCAAATTTTCTGAAGCAGAATGCTTCCAAGATCTCCATAGATTGTGTTACATGTGCCGCTGTACATGGGGTCGCTCCTGTACGTCAAACCAAACACTTGAGCATAGGTACCTGTCATGTGACCCCTGGTGACCTCTTGGAGACCAACCTAGACAAACCCCGGGGTCTTAGGCTTACATCTCATTAGTTTGCTCTCTCTCCTTTGCTCTTTCTACTTCATTCTCTTTTTCTTTCCTTTCCATTTTTGAATGAGGTCCAAAGCCATTCCCGAGTTCTCTGATCATGACGGTTCCATGCCATATCCGGGACTCAGCTTCCCAGCTCTTCTATCAGGACCATCAATCTCCCCCATACCAAGCCCTCCTAACTATCACTGAGCTCCCGCATCCAGCCCGTTCCATTATAGGAGCGTTCCTCATAGATGCGCAGGATCCCCAGGAAGCAGCCCGCTACTTTTTGCGGGAGACCGCAATTGGTGGGACCTCCCAATCCGCCCCAACAAAAACGATTACGGAATTCCTCTCGGACTGGAAATATTTGATCAACCTGTAAGTGCAACATAAAACTACCCACAGCGAGTCTCCCTTACTTTTTTCTAACTTGCGAGCCCGTAGTTCGGCCTATTGTGGCAACAAACCTGTCCGCTGAGACCAAGCGGCTGGTATATGAAAGAGACGGCGGGCGCTGTTGCCTCACACAAAAACATTTCAAGTCTCTAGAGGATTCTGATCTGCGATTTGTACACATCGTCCCACCTCGGGTGCTGATGAATCCAGATCTAGTCGAAGGAATAGGTATGTTCTTTCCATGTCATATGGTCTTTGCTGACACCAGCGCGCAAGGGTCGACTGTATGAAATGTTTTGCGCCTTTTTGTCCAAGGACTCTATAGGATCTATCCAGTCGGTCCTCTCCTTGACCTCGCGGCCGATGGAGAGACCTGATAATCTCTGGCTGACATCGGTCTCCGCATGCGAGCTTGTAGAGGCCGGCGATGTTTACCTTGAAATTCGGCGCCGGGACGATCAGAATTCAGCTCACAGAGGGAGTGTAGGTCGCAATCCAGCCACTTTTACAAGTACACGCTGACTGAGGTGCAAGTATTACATCAACACCAACCTGTACAGATACCGAACCCGGGGTGAAATGCTCATTGATTTATCAGACAGGATTATGCTGCTTGAAGATAAGACTACTGCTCACACCCCAATTACTCACAAAGATCTCTTTGCGCTTCATGCCCCGTTTCCAAATCACTGGCATGGATGGAGTCCCGGAGGCAGATGATAGAACAGCGGGATCGTCCTGGTAATGTTGAACCTCCTTTTCCTGAATCATCTCTAATACCTCCAAGGTGCACAAAGCATTCGGTTGCCGTTGTTACCCATGCTATTATTTCGCACTATTGGACAAGTGTGGACCACTTTGCCATATTTTGTTCGATCCAAAGCCTATGAAAAGCTCCGGTCGCTTGGTTTCTACATTTATGGACCGACTCTTTCCCCAAGTGTCCAACGGCTGCCTTTTGGGCTGTATTTACGGAAGGGACAGCCGCATGAGGCAGGTCGATATCGAGCGGAGGCACATACCCTTGACATGGTGGAGGAATTCACTGAAATACCCGCGCCGCGGGCCCTCGATGTCTTGAAAACCTCTGATGCTTCGTACCTGCTCATGACCCAAGTTCCAGGTCGTCCAATCGGCCACTTTCTCAATATTATGACGGATCAGCAAATGGAAAACGCCGTAACCGACCTTAAACGCTATATCTCCCAACTGCGAGCGATCCCCAACCAAGTCAGCAAGTTTCAAATCTGTAACTCACAAGGTGGCGGGATACTGGACTGGCGCATCCCCGACAACCAGAGAGAGGAACTACTCTTCGAAACAGAGGCCGACTTTCACAGCTATCTGACTAGAGTGACGACGGATGATACTCGAAGACTCGCGGCCAAGTCTCATGCCGTTCCCCACGCGATCGTCTTTACGCATGGTGATCTAAATCCTAGGAACATCCTCGCTGAGAATGGAAAGATCACTGGCATTGTCGATTGGGAGAATGCGGGCTTTTTCCCTGAGTACTGGGAGTATTGTAAGATGCATTACACGGTTCGCAGCTTGATTCGGTGGCTGGCTGATGTGGTGGATCAAGTATTCGAGGGCTACCGGGACGAGCTGCATGTGGAGAACATGCTATCCGATTTAACAGGGCCTTTCTAAGTGCTTAAACACATGCCCTAAGCTCACACTGATGCAAGTAACTACGACACGGGAGCAGACTGAAGGGAGCTTGCCCAGTAGACCTGCTGTCTATTCCTATGCGAAGGATCGCCGTGGGGTCACCCGTTGAATTTCAAGCTGGCATATGCCTCCCATCTCTTAAAGCGGAGACAGAAATGCAGACACATGGAGGTGTTCCATTGGTAGCTTAGTCTAGACATGTATGTGTTTCAGTCTCCAGTGCGTTTTTACATAGTAACCGTACCTATACCTTGACTTGTGTCTGCTAAATTTAGAATTTAGTTGTATTGACTTTGATACTATCTTTGAAACATCCATTGTATTCTGCTAAATAGACCAAGTGCATGGCCAAGATTAAGGCGGAGCGGGAAGCATCCGCAGACCCACAAAATCCTCCACAACGCGCAAAATGAGCCCATAGCACAAACTCCTATAGATGGCTGATGCATGCACAGAATCCGCACCATATGGCTACTGGGTTGAAACAAGCGTTGTAGTTAACGGGCGCAGAACCCTGAATGTAGGTCAATCCAGGGATTGCAGGTCAAGTAGTAGGTTGCAGACTCAAATATCGCTGGCCTTGAAGTTATGTCCAGCCAGGGATTGGTGGGCAAGCAGCAGGCTGATCTCTATAGCGCTTACCCGCATGATCTCATGCCTCTTGTGTTGCCTGAGATACGTAAACTCCCGAGGTCGTCGCTCATGACGCTGTGCCCAAATTTGCATCATAGGTGAAGTAATCATGGGATGTCGGTACGCTACGTATGCCGATAACAATGTCCATGAAATTTAGCCGATGCATATACTGAGTACACGTCCAGGTGCGAGACCCAGCTGGTCAAGATCTTTCCTGACCAGTCTGTTGAATGGATTTTGTTGGTCATCGGATAGTTCGATCGTGAGATGGGAGACTTCTGTACTGCATATGGTTCTTAATCAACTTTCGTTGACTTTCAATCTCTTGCTTTCCTCGGGATTCCATTTGAGATCTTCCATTTCATGAAGACAAACTTGAATCGGAGGAATAAGTATCCATATCACAGACTTCCACAGATGGCAGAGCATTTCCGTGACGCTTAGCCGCAACGTCCCATGCCTGTTGTGCTTTCTTCGATACGTAGAACTGTGAGGTGACCGCCCATGTTACTTTTCCCAGGGTTGCAACGTATATGAAATAATAATGGGCAGTCGGCACGCTGCTTAAACTGAGATCTATCTCCATGGACTGTAGTCGAGGCATATGTTGAGCAGCACGTCCAGCAGCGAGACTCAACTCATCGAGATCTTTGCTCTTGAGTGCAGTTCGTAGGTCTTCGTCCGTTAGATCGGCAGTGTGATCCCGTGAGGCGGAATTCCTCGAGTACATTATGGTAAGTTTGATAAGGTTTGGCCAGAATGGGGTGATATTGGCATCTACCGGCCAGAACAAATCAGGGCCGATCGTGGTTTCCGATAAGTCAACAACTTCCAGCTGCTGAGTCATTTGGCATAAAGCAAGGGAGCGAGAGTTTGGGCCTGGGGTTGAGTGCGGTGAATAGTCTTCGCCATATGGTTGTCTTGGCTCGTATCTCAGTCGTAAGTGTCGCAGGGAAGAAGGCCAACGAGCAGCAACTCTAGGGAAATCTATTCGCGGTGTTAGAACGTTATTTTGGACTAATGAAAGTGCATGGGAGACGTTTCTATGACTTACCACCAAGACTATCACCCATTTCGGTACCATTCCTGACTTTGTCGCGAAGTGTGGCGGTGACGGTTTGCAGTCGTGGAAGATGGATAACCATCTCAGATACAGCTCCAGGTGCGATGTTGCGGAAGTTCTCACAGCCCATCACGTCTAATGAAGTAATGCACTTGACGTCAGGAAGAGCAATCTTTCCCATCAGCTGTAGATAGGAATCCTGATACCGGCGCTGTAACAGCTCCTCCTCTGGGAAAGCACGACCTCGTTCAAATCTGGTACGCCGTATAGTCCAGTCCGGCTCGGCTTGCCAATCACTTGGGGACCTGACGTAGATCTGCAGTAACATGTAGCGGTCGTATTCGGGCCATGAGCTCAGAATTTCAAAGAGAGATGTAATGGCTCGCGTGAAAGCGTTGTTATTGCTGTCACGGTCATCTTGGTTTTCATACTGGCCGCGGGCGGCAATACTATATTTCGGAATAACGACCTTGAAATGTAGACTTCGGAGGTGGAAACGTCGACCGGTGGAGTTGGATACAGGAAACATCTGGCGGAAGTCTTCGAGGTCCGCCGAACTGATATGCAGATCGGCGAAGGTGAATCTCTCAGCGGCCACCTGCCATTGCCGGCAGACACAAGCGCATGAGGCTAGGTGGCCTGTCTGGTAGGAAAATATCTCCTGAAGAGTTTCCAGCGGTAATGAATCAGCCATGGCGAATGAAGTGAAAGTTGATTGGAGCCGGTGCCTGAGCCGTGAGGCGATTGGGGAAGATGTGGAGAACGCTAAACCCATTTTGGTATGCAGTATGCTGTGACAACCCCACTGCCTAGGTCCTAGGTTACCAAGGTAGGTATCGAACTCCATTCGTATGTGCGCATGTGAACGAAAGGATCATCAACCTTGGAAAGATCGTCAAGGAAGTGGTTGCACAACCTTCAATTCGTGACACCTCGGTCTCACACCCATGGGACTTGGCACAGATCGGCCATGTTTTATAAGTCCGGCTACTCCTCCCTGTTTCCCCAGATTTGAATCGGTTCCGCGCTAACTATTACACCATTTTCACGATGAGATATGTACTATTTTCTTTGAGCGCATTGGTGTTCTACGCCATATTCTACTTTTCCTACATCAACGGCCTCGATGCCCTGGGCCGCAAATCCATTGAGTCCGGCAAGCTCCCGAGCATCGACGCGCCTTTGCGGACAGTCTACACGGGAATCGAGGAAGTGGATCACGTACTGACTCTTTTGACCACATTTTTCTACCCGGCACTCGATGGCACCAACCCTGGTCTCCTGCTTCACGGAGTTGGATTTAGTGGTACATTCGGCGCAACCTGGACTCTGATTGTCTTGGAATCTTGGAGAAACGGCAATGCGGGGACAATAGCCGCTTAGTACGCCATGCCCACTGACAACCTTGGAAGCATATTGAGTAATAAACAAAAACTAACTAATCATATAGCCCGACTTTATTTGGCCTCGCCGCTCAAGTATTAACTTTCGCCTTTGGGATTCCATTGACATGTGCTCTTCAGCTGGGCTCCTCGATCACTGCGCGCCGTCCTCACGCAGACAATATCCGCATCCCGCGAGCAGTCCTCGCAGTTCTGCCGTTGGTCTTTGTCGTCGGATACATGGTGCCGACCGTGGCGATGACGTTGCCCGCTCCCTCTGTGATTCCCGTGGACCTAAAGCAGATCGCCATTACCATCTGGCACCCCTGGCCCGCGTATGTGTCAATCTTGACCACGGTCGCCTACTTTACTCTGTCTCCTTTCCTCTCCAACAACCACCGGGCATCCATGTCTAGCTTGCGCTGGGTCTACGCATTTGCGTTTGCCAATGCGTCTCTGTCGCACATTGTCACATTGGTCGTCTCTTTGGCAACCGTTGTAGTCCCGGTTCTGTTTGAAGACCGTTTTCTGGACTCCCTTCACCCGGCCAATGTTTTCTCAGTTCCTCTGCCTTGGTCTGGGCTGACGGTTGATAATGTCGGTGACGGGGTCCATGTCTTCCTCCGATGGGACTATATGATTGGTTCTGCGGGTGTCTTGATTTGGGCGATCTCGCTGTACACCGTTGCTCACAAACAGCTGCTCAATACTGTATCTTGGCTCAGTCTCTTAGTTAAGATTGCTCTGTTGACGGTTCTTGTCGGCCCCGCAGGTACCGCGGTAGAGTTAATTTGGGAGAGAGATGAGCTCGTCTTTACTGAGACCGGTGGTAATAAGGAGGTTTCAAAGGCCAAGAAGTCCACTTGATGGGAATTGGTTGGGCAATGATGAAAATACGATTTCGGACTATCATGAAGAAATATTTGTCAATGTATAAACTGAAGTTGGGTATATCTAGACGGGTTCGGTCTTCGTTTAATACACATATGGAGTCATGTCCGTTGGCATTCAATTTGTGCAAGCAAAATCATACATTCATACATCACAGGGACACAGACGGCTTCTTGTCTGCCATAATTTCATAAATCGCGCTGACGTACGCCTTGACGTTTTCATTTCCCAAGACCCCAGCCCCCATTTTGTTCATGGCATAACCAATAGTCATTCGGCGATCCAGATCCATGATCAGCATAGATCCACCCCAACCTCCCCAGAAACAGATATTTCCATTGGGGATGAAGGTGATAGACTCCGGGACTGGCAGGGCGACACCAAGCGCGAATCTGAAGTTCATGAACAACACCAGATCAAGACCACTAACCCGTTCCTGGATCATTTGATCGATAGTCTTGAGCCCAAGATACTGCTTCCCATCAACAGTCCCCTTTAGGGACACCATTGACCCAATCCGAGACAGAGAACGCGCATTCGCGAACCCATTGATAGCCCCAATCTCAGCGCCTCTGTATTCAGGAGTCTGGGCATCCTCCGCCTTCAGCGTAATATTGCCAAATGCCCTACCCACAATGCTTTTCGGGTCCATCTCCGGCATAGACGCAGGCGGAGCAGGAATGATATCCGCCGTACGCGGCCAGTCCTTCTCAGCCACACCAAGACTAAAGTCCGCTCCCAACGGACCGGCAATCTCATCGACAATGAACTGCTTCAATGACTTCCCGCTAATGCGTCGCACGATCTCACCGATCAAATGCCCATGGTCTACCAGCTGGTAAGCGGATGCTTCACCAGCCTTGAACCACGGAGCCTGCGCAGCGAGCAGGTCCGTCGAGGCTTTGGTGTCGTAAATGGTTTCCATGGGGATGCGCTCGTCCCAGTTGGGCAGCCCAGAGGCGTGGCTGAGGATGTGCCACACTTTCGTGTCTTCTTTTCCGTTGGCTGCGAACTCCGGCCAGTACTTTGATACTTTCTCTTCGACGTCTAGCAGGCCGCGGTCGACGAGGATTAGTGCGGCTAGGGCTGTGACGACCTTGGTAGATGAGAAGACGACGACTAGTGTGTCTTTTTCCCATGAGCGTGTCTTGGCAGCGTCGGCATGGCCGCCCCAGATATCGAGGACGTTCTCTCCGTTGATGTTGACGCAGAGTGAGGCGCCAACTTCTTCGCCTGAGGTTAGTCTTTCTTGGAGAAGATCGCGCACGCGGTTGAATGCGGGGTCGCAGTGACCTTGTAGGGTGGCCATGGCGAAAACTGCTTGGTTCTTAGTTTTAGGTGGATGGTGATATTTGAAGCTTTCGGTAGGTTTCGACTGTACAATTGATTTAGCAGTGAGTGTTCCACCGAATTTCGATGGGACCCTTGCGTTTTTATAAGCGGATTTTCGTGACCTTCTAGCCCTAGAACATGTTAGTGCTTACTGTGGGGACATCCCCGTATTGACTTGGATTGACTCAGGTTGACCTTGGAATGAATCCAATGCCCTACTCCCGTGTCCACGATCGGAGTCCATCCTCACAATCTCCGTGCCGAGGTACACCCTGTAAGGTTAAACCCCGCAACAAGGACGTGTGCACACTTCATCAAATATATATTACCACTTTCGGCTATATATATTTGCACCACCAAAGGCTTAGATATAAATATAACTAGTACCAGTGGATACAGAATAAGCTAACTAAGAAGAATTGATCAACACCTAAGATAATAGCTTTTCCCTTGCCCTGACATCATGATAATGAAATGGACACGAAGCAGTCGGGTGACGGTTTATACCTAGTCTCGCCGAGCACTTAGATGCTAGCGCTAGCCTCTAAACGGATCATGGAGGAATGATGGCGCAGCCATTTATGGATTTCTGCAGAGGTACGTGTTTACGTATCTAGTGGAGATCACGCATAACCTTGACGATGCTTGAAGTTGATAGGTATTGTCGTCGTTGACTCCTATTAAGACTGACACAGATATTAGCATGTTAGCAGAGGCGGTACTGTGTCCAAGGCAACTACATACACGCAAGACTTCGTGGTATTAAAACAATGTTCATTCCGTGGCATGTACAACACCTCCGAACGACAGGTGTGAATAGTGAGTCAATAAATACATAAAAAGAGTATACAAAATGAACACATTCGCTATAATGCCATGCAAAACAAATCACAACCGCAATTACCATTTTCCATCCTCCATATCTACGCCGACTTCATCGGCGCAGCGGTAGGCTCATGACCTTTCTGAATAGGGACCCGTTCCTCCGACGCAGAAGAGAAAGAAACAGCCTCACCAGAAGCAACCCGCTGCTCCGCATACTCCTCATCATCTTTCCAGAAATCCTTCTTTCCATGAGCAGCACGGTTAACCCAGGGAGGAAGGAACCCGCCCTTAACCTTCCAAGACCAAGGATCAGACTCATCCTTGTTAGGCGGGACAATGCGACCACCGGTGATCTTCTCAAGACACCACGCAAAGCCGTTGAGGGTGATATAGCTGGTGATACCAGCGATCAGACCGTAGGCAATACTGTATGTGAACGGCATGATAGCGATGGTGAGGAACGCGGGGATCGCATCACCGTAGTACCGCCAGTTGATATCGGCGGCAGCCTTGGCCATCATCGCACCGACAATCACGAGCGTGCAACCCGTGGCCCAGGGTGGAATCGAAGCGAAGATAGGGGCGAAGAACACGGCGATGAAGAACGCAATGCCGGTGACGCAGGATGTCAGACCGGTTTTACCGCCTTCGGAAATGCCAGCGCCGGACTCGACGAATGCTGTGACCGGGGGACTGCCCAGGAGGGATCCGATTGAGATGGAAATCGCGTCAACCATGTAGGCCATGGCGCTGCCCTCGAAATCCTGGGTCTCCTCGTTGATTGCGCCGGCAAATCGGGCCATGGAGTACATTGTACCTGTGGTATCCAGGATATCGACATACTATCGAAATGTTAGTTGTGAACTTCTGCCTGTATAGAACGTTGGCGACGTACCAAAAATGTAATGAAAGCCAGTCCAAATTCACCGCCCTTGCCAGCCAAGTTCCAATCCTGAGCGAGTAGAGTATGCTTGATAGGATGGAAGGTGACAACTTGCTTGAAGAAATCAAACTTGCTGGTTCCGAGCTCCGTGTAGGGGAAGTAAGTGACGGGCGTAGTGCGAGGCCAGGAGATGATAGAAACCAACAAAATGCCGAGAATGACAGCACCCTTGATACGGTACATCATCAGCAAAGCCGTCATAATACCGCCGCAGAAGATACCAATCCACATAGTCGGACTGCGCATCTTGGCGCTGCTCATGCACAGACCCGTCTCCTTGTCGAAATCCTGCTCCAGACATCCAGCCAACTCGATGGGAGTGTCAGTGGCACCCTGAACCAATCCAATACCAGCACTGTAGGTCAAACCGATCAATGCGAGGTAAAGACCGATGCCGACACCAGTTGCGAGTTTGATAGACTTTGGCAGCGCACGCGCTAGCCACTGCCGCATACCGATCAACGTCAAGCCCAAGAATACCCATCCTTCCACGAAGACGGCCGTGAGGGCAGTCGAGTACGGGACCATGCCGCTCCCACGGACTCCAACAACGGTGTAGGCAAAGTATGCATTCAGGCCCATTCCAGGTGCGAGCGCGATAGGCAGGTTGGCGAAGAAACCCATGCAGAACGTTGAGAGGGCGGCGATGGCGGCGGTGGCGGTGACGATATCCCGGTTAATTTCTTGCGTGCACATAGCATACTCGACGTTATTTGCGCAGTGGTCTTGCATGTCTTCTGCGGGGCAGACACAGGTTCCACCGGTCAGAGAGGTGATATTGCTGTTGACGGAGATGATGTATGCCATGGCGAAAAAGGTGGCGAGGCCGGCGCGGATTTCAGTGAAGAAGTAGCTGCCCTTCCTCTCTTTAGGCTGAGACTATGGTTTAGTCTCATATTCGGTATTGGCCGTGCGATCACACGTATACAGTGTAGTATGACTTACATGGCCGGAGCCCTCCAGACGAAACCATTTCCCCACGGGACTGCGGGCAACCCGCAGGTTGGTGTCGTGGACCCAAGTACCGAAACCCATTGCGAGAGAGGAGCACGGTCGTGTGTGGATACAGCGAAATCCGAAGACGCTGTCGTCCTTGAGACGCAGTATTTAAAAGCTGTTCCTGCAGTGGGAGTTGTGGAATATAGGTTTGAAGGAAGAAATAGGCAAACCTCAAGGTCTCTCGGCCAACCACATCTTGCTGATAAGAAAAAAAAAAAAAGTTCGCCTCCAATTACAGCTATCTTCGGCCGGTTTGGCACTTGGCGGCTCGGGCGGGTCTCGTTTCACCCGTGAGATGTCGCGTAGATAATCTCATTGGCTGTCAGTTTGCCGACAGGATTTTATCGAGGGTCGTTCAATGGGTCAAGAGTCGGGAAACCGACGGAAAACAAAGAGACAGATATTATGCCGACTCCAGAGTCACTTCAAATGAAAAATTCAAAACGGCATGTTCAAGAACAAGACCCTTATTCCTTCAGAATTGCACAAATCCCTGCAATGCCAAGATCCCGGTGCGCTCAGTCCTCGTGAGCTCGATCTTATCAATTGTGTGTCGTGTGTCGCATGTCTCGCATGTGGACCCTTGGAAATGTGGGCGATAACGGAGTAAGCCGATGATATAAGGAGAAATCGCTTGCACCGGGGCATATTCAATTATCTCCAGTCTCATTACTCTGGGATATCTGGGGCGGCCATATCCGATCGTGGGCCGTGAACAAATCTCACCCGCAGATATCGGATTAGTGCGGTCTGACAGCCTTGCTTCGTCCAGGTGCTTACATGCTCCTCCCGGAAAAAGAAACAGCCGGCCTAAACCATTGAGGCAGTGGATGAGAGACGAGAATTATGAAGACATGAAGAACAACTACGCGGCACCAGAAAGTCCATTCGTCTAATCATCTTGTATTGATTTCTTCGATGTATCTTGGAGTATACCTACGTATGCATACGTAGGTAGGGGATCTTCTCTACCACTTCTTAGCCTTCCCCTTCCGTTTTAGTGCTCAGACCTTACCGCTTTTGGGGTTGCGAAAGGAGAGTACAATCAATAACGATGGAGGTGGCGCCGTGGCTTCGCCGTGGCTTCGCCGTGAGATTCACAAATCCAATAAGGAAATCGAGGATGAAGGCTATGAGATGAGGACCAGCACAACGACTAGCTCAGACTCGTCGCAGCTCGAATTCCAATCTCCTACTTATACCCAGCAGGTCCCTGAAACGATCCCATATGTCGATGTACCGGGTTGGTCGGCTTGAACACGTCTTGTCAATTCAGGTTGGTTCGGGTAGACATGGTACAAGGATGAACAGCTTGAAGTAGTGCAGCCTTCAAATGGGCTTGGGATTCAACGGGCCGGTGGGGTCTTCGGTCTTCTCGGGGTTGGAAGTAGCCCTCCCGTAGACGGAATGCTTGAACATCAAATGAGATCTCAGTTGCATTCAAGCAAAGGGCCTACATCAAATTAATACTGGCAAGCCTGAGCTGTAGCCATGTGAACGCGCAGTGCAACATTTAGGTTGGTGTGCTTGCGTGTAGGTAGTCAGTAGACGGTCACTGGGCCAGACTTTTTAGTTGTCTTGATCCAAAAAATGCCACACCAAGCGAGAATCTTCAATAGCACGACGAGCATCTTCTTCCGGTTGACCAACACCTTCTGCCTGCGCTGCAGACCTGATCTGTTTACCTTCTGCTTCAAGCTGGTCCAGGGTAATCTCGATATCGGCTTTGACCTTGTCAATTCGGTTGATCTTTTCTTTACTACGAGCCAACTGCTCTTCCAACATCATGATGAGCGATGCGCGAGCCTGGTGCGGTCGGTAGAGGTTGAGAAGGTGGTGGGCGTTGATAAACAGGTTTCGCATGTCGTCCACTTTTGACTCGAATTGTTCCGGCGATACTGACAGGATACCGACAAACTCTAGGAAGTTGAGGAGAAGGGATTTGCTGATCTTCAAAAGGTAGTAAGCGTGGTTGAGGGGCGGGGAGGGCTTTGAAGGGTCTTGTTCGGGTTCCGTGACTGGATCTGGGTAGAGCTGCTCAATACCTTGTTCTTTCAACGAGGGTAGTTTAGTAGAGAGCTGTAGACGACAAAGTCAGCCAAGCTAGAGCAGATGTTCAGCGTAGCTCCAACTCACCGTTTGCTGCTCGCCAAACAGGGAGTACTCCCCTGTCGGGGTCCTGGGTGGCACTAACAAGCGTAGCTCTGGAGGCAGATCTAGGGCACGTAGTTCTGACGGTGTCAATTCCTTTGTGTGATTGGGGTGACCGTTCACGTCTTTTGAAGCCTCGGTCTTAATCTGCTCCAGCCGGTCGAGATTCTCGCGCGTGAAGTGCTTCCACAAAGGCGGGGGCGGCGCAAAGGCCGCAGTCACGGCTCTCTGCTGGTTCGTATCCGCCATGATCAAGGCTCTCTGTGGAGAAACCTCGGGAGGTCTCTGACATTGATGCCTGGTTGGCGAGATGCGGAGGAAGTGAAGAAGGTTATCAGAGCGCAGAACGCGGGTGGGTCCAGAACACGGAGGAGCAAGTGGGTCTGTGCATTCTCGCTCTGCGACAGTGTGTCCGCTTTACTTCACTTTCTTATCCACCAGAGCACTCGACATGCTCCAGTGTGAAGACCCTCAGAGCATTCGGTTCCTTGTACAGGACATCTAATGGCAGCCCAGGCCCGGGGTCAGCCCATACATTGCACTGTGTTGGTCTCACGGGAGCACTTGCTCGCTTCTCCCAGCGCTCTTATGCGGCCGACTATATTGCACTGGGGTTTCTAGCATTGGGCTGGGTGATGGTTAGTGGACCTATCCTGTACTACAGGATTTTCAGTTGCTAATGTCATTGCGAGCAGATTCAATTCATGAAACTCGCCCACCGCATGCTTTCCCTTGACGACAAAGCCATCATGTACCCATTCGCGGTCCATGAGCGAGTCCCTGTCCGTACGGCTCCCTCGGAACATCCTCCGTTTTAGGATACTCATATTGTGACTAGTATGGTCCGTGATCTACGCTGGCGTGATCCCACTCCTTATCATCATGGCCTGGTCTGCCATGATGCGCCCGGGGGTGCAAAAGACTCTAGTGACAGTGCTGGGGCTATTGGTTGCATTGATGTTGACTTCATTTCTGACTTACGTGGTTGACAATGCAGTGGGACGTCCACGTCCTGATCGGCCTTCGCGTTGCATGCCCTCTCGCGGTACCAAAGACGACGTCCTGGTCGCATGGACTGTCTGCACCCAGTCCAACCAACACATTCTGCAGGAGGGATGGCGCAGCTTCCCTAGTGGACACAGTAGCTTCCCATTTGCTGGCCTCGGGTACCTTTCTCTGTGAGAATCACTCTGCGAAATGCACTCGAGTTATCTACTAACCAACAGCAGCTTCTTCCGTGGCCAGATGCATGTTTTGCGCCCTCGGGCAGATCTCGGGCAATGTCTGCTAACTTTCTGTCCGCTGCTCTCTACACTACTTATTGCTATCTCGCGCCTCGACGATTACCGGAACGATGTATGGGATGTCACTTGCTCCTAGGTCTCCTCGTGAGCTGGTTCTCCTACCGTCGCTACTACCCACCGCTGCTGTCAGTTCGATGTGACACGCCGTACGACAAGGCAGAAGCTGCCAGGTTGAAAGGCTTCTGCAGGTTGGATGATGAAGAACGGGCTTTGTCACGACCGTTGGTCCACGCGACGACTATAGCTGGAAGAGACAGAGACCTCCCGCGGTCCATAGCTTTGTGCGTGGTAGGTACCCAGTATATAGTCCATCGCATACAAGCAAGGACCAGTGCTGGGTTCAGGCCCAAGTCATACCTAATAGTGGGGGCTCACTAAATGACCCTAAGTCCGGCCAGAAATCTACTAAATGACCCTGACTCTGAGCGTCCCCACAAAAGCGGCGCTCAGATGGGAGAGCCCCACCCGGCAGAGGTAATCCCCTACATAGAGGTACGTACGTAGAGAATGCACATCATAGACAGATTTACGGTGTGTTGTATTCACGTGTTGATTCACCGCTCTTTGATGTAGTATAGTGTACATGTCGGAAGAGCAAACATGACAGCTAGGATCAATTTAACTAGTTCCCTCTTATCTCGACATATCGCAGGATTCTTCCCATCTATCGACTATGCGCCGCTTTGAGAGAATCCACGACGTTGTTGAGCCCGTCGAGGAATACCGCGCGGGAGGCTATCATCCAGTGCATCTGGGCGACATCTTCCTTGAGCGGTATCAGGTCATTGGGAAATGGGGCTACGGCACATTTTCAACAGTATGGCTCGCAAGAGACCTGAAGGTTTGTTCGGAGCTATTTCTTTGGGAAGTCAACGTGGCCTTGTGGTCTTACATAGTGCCCCCCTAGGCTACAAAAGGACGTCACGTTGAAAATCATCAAAGCAGACGCCTCGAAGACTAGCACAGAGCTCTCTATACTGCTTCAACTATCAAAGACAGAAACGCCTCATCCGGGGGAGAGATCATATCATAGAGCTCTTGGATCATTTCGAACACACGGGGCCCAATGGTCTGCATCTTGTGCTCGTCTTCCCTGCTATGCTATCCGACGGTGAAAGAATATGTGAACGGGGAAAACCGCGCTCCGCTGGCTACATACGGTCTATCTCTCTGCGAATCATTATTGCTTTGGAGTTTCTCCACATGCAAGGCTTTGTTCATACTGGTAAGGTGTCCAGAGCAAATCACTCACTGTAAATTTGCTAATATCATCTACATATTTGCAACCGGCCAATATATTACTCTCTATGGAGTGTAGCTCGATTAGTGATATGCTGTTGCCTCCCGAATACAACCCTGTCCGTTGGCTCCCTGGAGTTACGACCGACCAGAGTGCTCCTGAGTATCTGATGGTGACTCAACGACCTCGTGGTCTACTGGATGATGTCGACATTTCAACACTGGTTGTCAAGATTGGTGATTTAGGTGCAGGTAAGGAATTCCATGTCAGACGTGAAAGCAGCAATGCTGAGACAGACCCTCGATAGTCGTCCACAATGGCGACAATTCTTCTGTTCCCGTCACGCCCTTGGCTTTGAGGGCCCCTGAGCTGCTCGAGAATCTTCCTTGGGATTTCAAAATCGATGCCTGGTCCCTAGGCTGCTTGGTACATCATCTACTTACCCTCTGCTGTCTGGTTCATTGTTCTTGACTGACGTATATGAAGTTATTCCAACTTGCCACAAATGAACCACTATTTGTCCTGACGGAGTTTGGGTGCACATCTGACGAGTCCAAGGGAAGTTTGAAATCCCTCATACTGAACTTCGTTAGGGCTGGGAGGAATCAGTTCGCTGTTTATTTGCGCGAGAGACTGCCGCCTGTCTTTGTCGCAGACAATGCGGACAAATTGTCGAATTTCCTCTGGTCAATGCTACAGCAGAATCCGCAAGATCGCAGCTCTATGTCCGACCTTCTATTTCATGCTTTCTTGAGTGAATGAGGAACATAGCAAGTCCAACGGTTGAAAGTTACAATGTTCAGATGTCCATGGATTTCATTATCAGTACCAGGCGAATTATGTTGAATACAAAAACACGATCTGTATAGCATGTATGTTGAGACAAAAATAATACTATGAAAAGTACTATGAATATGAAAAATTCCAATTGTATACTATAGAAAGTAAATGAATGATTTGTCTATCTTCTTCATACATGGAAAGGAGCATCTATTTATGCTCCTTTTTCGTATACCCCCATTATGGTAGAATAGAAAAGACTCGGTGGGAAACAGGACTCGGTGAACAACAACAACAAGAAGAAGCAAAAACTGACTGAAAGCAGGCTCAATTGGAATACCGAAGCGCTGATGCAGTGAGATAACGACCTGTATACTGAGGACAGCAATGTCATGATCAAACTGCATATAGCCAAGGGAGCCAGGCTTCTTCTGGCAGGAGCCTGAGTGCAGATCCTTCGTGTATGGGATCTGCATTGTTGATGCCGAATTAGGGTTAGCGTTGCATCATGAAAAAGGCCAGTATTAATGAGAATTAACTGGGATTTTCAACAAATTATATGTATGGAATACAAAACACAAACGTCACGCCTAAACAGACCCATCCCCCTTCTCCGACTTTCCTGCAGGAGAAGGGTCTAAGATTGGCGCAAACTTAGACCTCTTACGCAACGCAGGTCCCCATTTGATAAATGCCAAGGGAATCGGGATCATGATGAGTGCGAGACACCCGAGAAGTGTGCCAGCCCACTGTACACCCAAATTGACGAACATCTGCTTCGAGAACAGGGGGAATGCAGCTCCCACCGCTGAACGAATAATGGTATTCGCAGCAAACACAGATGCGGCACTGGTTTCAAAGTCAATATGACGTTCCATGGAAAAGTGCAAATCAAACGGCTTACAATGTCAAATACGAGTCAATCAAATAGTTGAAGCATTGCAGGAAGATAACATAGATCCCAAATCCAGTCACGACTCCGCTGGCGGTCGGGGCCATCCAATGGATCGACTTTGTCCATCCAGTCCACCCATACCAGAAGAGCCCAACACAGAAGCAAACACCTCCAAGGATGGCAGGAGGGAGCCTCCATTCGGCGACCGGGATGTTATTGTTAGCTGTTAGCTTTTTGATATATGCCCTTTGGCCCAAAAGGACATAGGCGCCAGCTAGGAACTCGCCAATAATCAATCCGATGAAAGGCAGACCTCCAACACCAAGGTTCATTCCGTGGATTCCTTGGAAGACAACGGGGTAGGCACCGAGAAGTGCATACATCAGGCCATATACAAAACTCATCCAGAGAGAGATCTGAAGGAACGTTAGCATGACTCAGTACGAGATATTTGCGCACGACTTACCAGGAAAACAATTGGCTCGGTGAAGAGCATACGAAATGGTCTACTGAAATTATTCGTGATCAGCTCGCCCCAATCGACCTCGATCTCTTCTTGTCTCGCGCGGATTCCCCAATTGCGTGTCTGTCGTCGCAGGATACCCGCCTTTTCCACCAGGACAGAGGGCGCATATGTCTCTTTCAGGAAAATAAGACAAAGGCCAGTGGCCAGCCACCCCATAATGGACGAGATGTACATGGTCCACCTCCATCCCAGATAAGACATTGTGATGAAGCCGCCAGTGAACGGAGACGCGAAAGGCCCCACGAATACAGCCATGGCGAACATAGCGACAGCCACGCCCCGCGTCTGGTTATTCCAAATATCTGCAAACACGGCCGGAACAATGGCGATCGGACTAGCAGAGAAAAAGCCGGAAAAGAATCGCGTCAACATCAAGGTCTGAATGTCCTTGCTGGTCGCTGATGCAACGGCGAAAATGGAGTACCCGAACATGCCAATGCAGATTGGCCATCTTCTCCCAATGAGCTCACTTGCCGGTGCCCATACTGTCGGCCCCGAAGCGAATCCCAGAACATACAGGGTTACGCCGAGGATAGCGACTTCCGTGCTGATGTCAAAATTAACACTGATTTCTCCCACGGCGGAGGAGTATATGGCACTGGCGAAAGACGAAACGAAAGTTGTATATGCTAGGGTCGCTGATATACAGATTTTGCGTCTGAGGGACCAATTCTGTGGGTGCAGAGGATCGTCCGCATCGTTGAACTCGACGATATATTCTTCCGGATCTGGGAGAGGTGGGGGATGAGGCTTGCCAGCTCCCAGGGGGAGCCACTGCTCGCGCGGTGTGATTCCTATGCCGGAGCCGACAGTTGAGCGATGTTGGAGTCGATAGGTGTTGATTCGTTCTAGCTCGACGTCGTTCAGGTTGCTTTGGCGGCGATTGATGCTCTCTGAGCGCATGGGCCCAATTTCCGATAGACGACGATCGGTCCCCGTCGTGATGGGACTGAGATCATCGCTTTCACTAGTGCTAGTATCGTCTGGACTGTGCGACATGCTGAGCTGTCCAATGTACTGGGTATCTAGGAATATGGATAATAGATACAGCAATTGATAAAGCTAAGGGTTCGGAACATCCTGTTTCTATGGATCAGACGACTATTTTCATCACTTTGATGGTACCTAGGTAACCCACTGCGTCATCGATAGCTTTGCCCGGTCATAGAACCAGTGACGTCCCAACAAGGTAATACGTCCCGGTCGCAAACCATGGTTTGGTCTGTGGGGACATGTTAAGTCTATTCGACAGTTATGAACTACCTAGACTTTATATCCAAAAAAATATGCATTTTAAACTACATAATTACCGGGAATTGGCGGATAGAATAAAAGAGTCATCTTGACAAAGTATGTAGACTATCGGTGTTCAAGGCAGGTACAAGGGTGGTTGGTGATGGGAGTTCCTAAATTGCATAGGCATTCTCTGCAACATGAGACTGGACTGTGTCCGATGGAAATGATCATTCTCAAGAGGGCTGGAATAGGTACATAGGTAGCCCAGGCGTCCGTTTCAATCCCCTAGTCAGTTTCACCCGACACTTTGAACTGCACGTGAAATGTTATTCGTCAAACTTGAGTGCCAATATCAGCCAGCATAAAGATTTAGTTGTAGATAAAGATTTCCTGCTCCGTACGGAGTAGAGGAATGGAGTGAGATCAGCATTTCGATTTACTCTCAATTTCTCCCATGTTTAGCCCCCTGCAAGATACCTGAAACGGGTGATCTTCTCCTCGCCAAGGCCCGGGCAACCACAGTGTGTGACAAAGGCTGAATGAATGAACGTGTTGGGGCAAGCGGAGCCCCGGTTTAAGGGGGCTGGTTATAAGGCTCATACCCAATCAGCTGCAAATAAGCGCAGGAACAGCATCAGTAAATGGCAATGATGGGCAAATGGGATATTTAGCCTCGCCCGACCAGGAGAGGATTGCCCGGGGCCCAATTGCGAACCATCCAATGCTTTGCCTCGATTCCACCCACGAAGGTCCAGATCCTTAGCGCCCGCTTTATAAATTAACGCTTATTTATCCTGCATAAAGACGGGCTGTGTACTCAGTCCGGAGTAGCTGCAGTTTAAACTAAGAAGGCCCCCGGCATGTCGCTGTTGCGGAAACTGAGGATTAAGAAAACCCACGAGATGAGACAATCAAAGCACATCCCCTATGGCGCTGTACCAGTGGAGGAAAGTCACTCGAATCCAAGGCCATCATCAGAATTCCAATATTATACAACAATCCAGCTTCCCGAGGTCGACGAGCAGAAGCTCCAACCGCAGCCCCTCAAGCTCTCTCAAGTGGATAGAATTTTTCGTCTGATATGGGACTTGATTCTTGCCATTGTAGCCTCACTCTTCACCGTGTTCGGGATATGGGTTCGTTGTATCGATGGACAACCAGCGGGCCCAGACTCCATGGGGGGCTAAACTATTCGAGGTCTCTCAATATGTTAGCTGCCCCGATCCTACTTTCATCCTCATTCTTGTCAAACCTAGCTGACACCACATTTCCTCTCAAAGGCGCCCACTGTATTCCCAGTCCTTTTCGCTGCCATTGCTGGTAGCAGCATCAAAAGTATTGCATCATGGCGCATCCAGACTACTCGAGGAGCAACGATCGGGCTAGTAGAGCAATGTCTCGGCAGCCAGACTATCACAGGAGCCATTCTGACTCACATTAGACTCCGTGCTGTGAACCTCGTCGCGATATTTACCGTCTTGCTGTGGTGCCTGTCTCCGTTGGGTAGTCAGGCATCTCTCCGAATAATTTCCATCGTCCCGAGTTACCCAGGTAACCCGGTCGAGTTGACTACTTTGGATACCTTCACCCAGTACCAGTACGGCTACGGGCAAGGAATATCGGAAGCCGTAACATCAGTCGCCAATCCTATGACTGCTTCTCTGTCCGCAGCCTCCCTACTTGCAAACCGTAACCAAGATCTTTGGGGCAACATCCGGTTTCCTGTGATTGAGAATCTTGAGAAAAACAGTACAGGGTGGATGGATGTACCCCAAAATGATGACTTGACGTACGCGTCTCTTGTCGGTGTGCCGGTGATTGGATTGCCCAGCTCCGGCAACACATCATTTACCCTCCCAGGCTCGTATCTATCCATCTCCTGTCCTGTCTTCGACACATTACACAATATGAACCTCACCAATTTCACCGGCCCAGACGCTCCGTCCCCGGGTAATGGGGACGATTGCAGCTGGACGAGCGCATGGGGTGGATTCCAGTTCCAGATCGCCATCTCGGAGCCGTGTTCGAACTCACTCAATGCATCACTGACGAGGACTCGGAATGCCCGCAAGCTGATATGGGAATCGTTCGATCGTGGTTATGCAGGCTCTGACGAGCATCGATCCCCCATAACACGGGCCATATGCGATATCAGCACGACCTATGTCGAATCCAACGTGACATGCGAGAGCTTAGGCGGGAGTCAGTCTACAAACACTTGCAACTTGTCCTCCGCTCGGCGGTCGGTGGATAAATCACATTTCCACAAAAACTGGACTACCTTCGATGTCAATTTGGGCGCAGATCCCAAGCTACCCATACGATATAATGAAGGGTTCTTGTATATCCTCACTACCCTGTTTCCCCACACCGAGCAGAACGGTGGTCTACAGCCCTTAATTGGATATTTTATCGACCCTTTTCATGCTGTTGGAAACTTCTTTGGCGAGAATCTCATGTCGCCTGAGACCACGACACCGAAAGTCTTCGGCACTCGTCTATCGCAGCTCTTCAATTCTGTGCTCTACCTCGGTATCAGCCCCTCGGCATTCACGGGCTCTGTCAACATGACGGATATCACACGGAAAACAAGCCCACTCAAGGATACACCCATCAAATTCGCAGCCAACAATACCCATTTTCAAAACATTGTCAGGTGTAATTGTGCATGGCTCGCCGTCCTCATTATTTCCTCGGTGGTGATCTTCAGCTTTGCACTAGTGGGCGCATATCTCCATATTATAACGATCGCTCCCGATCTTCTAGGATCGATCTCCGTTGCCCTGTTGCAAAACAAGACTGAAGGAATTGTCGGATCCTCTACGTGGTCTTCGGAGGAGTGGTCGAAGAATATGAGAGACACGAAACTATGGCTTGGAGATGTTCAGCCTGAAGCTGACGTTGGGTGCCTTGCTTTGACCACCGTAGCACAAGATGTTCCTCCTGGTTCGGTCAAGGGAAGACTGTATTATTGAATAATAGATATATATGATGTAGCGCTGTGGATGAGCGAGAAGCATTCTCAGGGATTTTTGATGTGTGCCGAGCTTGGCTTGGGTATGATATATTGTTGGAATGACTTCATGAGGTTTTTCCCTTCGCATAGACAAGACCAACAATGAATTATGTTTTACGTACCTCATGTAAATGAGACTGCGGACACCTTTCCTTTGTCATATTCTTCTAGCCATAATACTAATAAGGGATAAAGTATCTAAACTAAAGACATCTATAAGGACAGTTGAAGAAATATTTGAAAAGATAGTTAAAAGAGTATCTAAGAAAGAGCCGTGGACATCACAAGGCCGTATAAGAGGCCGACTAATGTGCGTGGCTTCGACCTAACAACAAAATCACGGGGCCTCCTGCCTCCGACTGGTATCTCCAGTCATCGAGCCTTCTCCTTCTCCTTCTCCTTCTCCCCAGCAATCTCTCACCAGCCCACGGGCGGTTTTTCAACAACCACCCCAAGGCCAGTGTGAACATCAACATCAACAAATCAATGACTCGATGTCTGGTTACATGTTCCACACCAAGAGCAAGTTCAGATTCTCTGTCCAATACACCCAGAAAGGCTGATACAGGGCAAGTTCACTCATTTTAATTACCTTCCTGGGCGGGATCCCACTGCAGAGATCGGAAATCAATTCGGCCATTATTTGACAGCGAGAATCCTCCGGGACGCGAAGAGGTTCAGAAAAATTGCTAAAATTCTGTCAATCCTTAACTGGCATCAGTTCCTTGACCAAATTGAAGCCCACCCTATCCACAAACCTGGAAATCCTATCTTTGTCGGACCCTTTTCGAATATGCGACATCGGCAATCCCTCCTACAACGATAACGGACAATCATCTTTCCATCACTTGCCAGCCGACAGGACAGACACCCTACACCGGTAATTGTCACGTGCCAACCTATAGGGCGCGTTCTAAAGGTCAACCCGCTGCGCCATCAGCAAAAGACTAGAATTCTAGGACGAATCTTAGAACCGCGCTCGCTATATAAGGACATGGTCCGTCACAGTAATCACATCATTGTGCTCAGTGTCTTCAATCGACCCGTCTCTAAACCTCCCTTATAATCTTTTTATTGTCTTTTACCTTCACTTCCATCTTACTCTTTAATTTCTCTCTCCATTCTTCTTTCACAACATATTCAACCCATCTCTCCATGGTAAGCGAAAGCTTATTAAAGGATAGCAGAGGGATCACAAGAGAGGGCTGCTAACCACAAATTATAGCTTGAGATTACCCAGATCGTTACTATTTCATGGCAAGGCCCGATCGAGGAGCACCGGGAAGACCGCTTCGTATATATTAATATTATTGCACTACGTAACAAGTGCATCCAATGCATCTTGGGTATTAAACAAGATCACGTCATCATTAATATGCCCAGGTGTACTCACATATATGTCTACAGATTAATGAGGCAATGTTTCTTTCCTTGCAATGCTGTGCCCCGTCTGCCTCCCGAATGAAGATCTTTGTTGCACCTCAAAGTGAAACCCTTGAGTGATATATGATCTCAAGAGCTTGCTGGCTCTTCCCAAAGTTCAAGCACGTTATACAAGCATCAGATCGATTGCAGATGGGGGACCGGTCGATCCTAAATGGAACTGCTATGCAATAATCGAGGTCAAAGCGCTTACTTTGACCGACTTCCTTAAAAGCAGTTGTCATGGAACAGGGCCTTGAAATGCTAGCATGGAATGCTGTCTCTTTGGATGTATGGACATACGACAAGCGGATGCAAGAATAAGCCGATGACGGTGAGCAAAACTGCCATATGTTACAACAAGCATCACTGATGGATGTCCGCAGCTGGGTCATGCTGTCACAATATGCCACATATGTGCATATTATTATCGCGGAGGTAGAACCCTTATCAAGCAGAAGCCGGAAGCCGATGAGGTCCGAAAGGCCGGCTTAAGTGAGTACCTCGCTCAAGAGCCCGCCTAGTGGGCCAAGGCTGCAAAGGATAAGCTTGACTCAGACGATTGGGGCTCCGTTGGGCCTGATATGGAGCTTTCAAAGAGGGTTTGCCGAGCAGTCTTAAGGAAGATCAAGTACCAGGAGAGCTCTTGATCAAAAGAAGATGATCTGGATACAACTTACGTCCCGAACACGGGACAAGATAAAGAAGAAGACACCAACTCTGGGGCTAATAATAATGAGGAACTCGGAGACTCCGAGGATAAGCCATTCGACACAATCGACTTAGGCCGCTCGTTGGAGAAGACTCTGAAATGAAGGTCCAGCAGAGGCCATCCGCAAGTGGCGCTACAACACATCCGAAAGACCGACCTGGCGGCCAGGCCACGACGACATAGCTTCCTCTCTCCTTCTTCTCCTCTCCAGAGTCCAATTTAGCTACAGTCTCTGTATCATCTACATTCCTTCATTCCTGCGTAGCCTTCTGTTTAACTGACACAAAGCCCTAGAGTCGGGGTCTCGCTGTTGAGAGCCTCAGTACTTTATGAGTCCTCACCTCTCCCCTGTGTTCACTTCATCAAATCAAGAGCTATTGGACTAGTTGACGAAAGCCAAAGAATTGAGACTGTCCCCATTCGGTGGATGAGTATCCGAGAAACTCATCTACCGGGTTGATTTACGTTTTATTATCGAACAATCAGATAAATACCTGACTGGGTAGCTTGTGATATCCTTCATGAAGGTATTGTATATGTCATGGAATGAACAGATTGACCATACCGGACATTCTCATATAGCTATTTTCGTATTTATAGATAATACATACATCGACTAATATCAGTCATTCCAAACACAGGGCTGGTATATCGACATCAAGTCGCAAGAAAAAGACCCCCAAAACTCGCTCGCTACAAAAAGAACTAGACCAAGCACACCTCGACACAGGCAAACAACTTCAGCTAACAGAAATTAAAATATCAACATAAGACACTTTAGAACCGATTAAAACCCCGCTTGACACTGCTCCCATCCATCTCACTGATTGGGCTGCTGCCCAACTCAGCACTCCCTTCATCACCAACCAACTCAACAACGCGAGATCCAGGGGGAGGTCTGAATGGGCGCGGAGCATTGTCTGATACTTTCTCCGTAACCGCCGTGGTACCACTGATTGATGATCCAGTAGCATCCGCCTCATGGGGCCCGTATCCACCGTGCTGGTTGGCAGCAGCGAGAATCTTCTTGTTCCTCTTTCGCATGAAGATGACAACCAATGCGACAATAATGGCGACACCAGCTACGACACCAATCACGACACCGGCGATAGCACCGCCAGATAGTGCTGTGCTAGAGGAGCCACTGTTGGCACTGTCTGCAGAGGCTGCGGCGGACTCGGTGGGGGTTGCGGTTGCGGATGCGGATGTCGGAGACGCAGATGAAGACGTGGATGTGGATGTGGCGGATGTAGACGATGTTGAAAGGACCGTCGTGGATTGGTCTTCGCTGATAATTTCCCGCTCAAGCTTCACGTCAAAGGCCGAAAAGTCATCGCTGGCGTTCTTCCTCCATGCTCCGCATGAGTATCCCGCCCTTGAATCACACTTGATGTCGCGGTATATTGAGACACAGAGACTACTTCCCTCAGGATCCCAGGAAAACTCCTTGTCTTTACCTAAGGGGGAATTTGTGCAGTCCTGTCCCTTTTGGCCGCGGGCGATTTCAGTATCGTCGGTTGCGTTGGTGTAGCTGAAGGTCCATGCGTGCGCCAGGGGAAGTACCCAGAGTGCGTATAGTGGTAACAGCATGGCTGACGTTGTTTTGAAGGATGAATCCAAGCAAAAAAGAGTGAGAAAATCGATGCGATGGGATTGGAGCTTTTTCAGCTGTTAGATATGCGGGAGGGGGAAGATGTCAGTATTATACAGGGTGCAGAGACTCTGATTGCTGATTGAATTTGAAGAATAAACCTCGTATTAAAACGAGCCTCGTCCTTGGTGGGGTCTCTTCTTGCCTATGTCTGGAGCCAGTTAAATCTCCCAGTTCTGGACCCTAAAATGACTGCAACGGTCGATCAATACTCAGTGGGGGAACATACGGGTGAAGACCAAGGAGCTAATTTAGAATGCAGATGAACACGGTCTCGAGCGCATCTCCTGGGTCGTACTGCGCAGATCGCTCCGGTATGGATTAGTCGCGTGGGTCGCAGGAGAATCGAACTTCTTCACGCGGCCATCCCACAGAACAGTCACCACTTAAAACCAATTCTGAATAGGGTCGAGAGATATTTGCGACCTACATGCACGGCTGTAGGCCGTGAAGACACCGTGCAACTCCACATGTATCTAACACCCGGTGGCTGACCATGTCCGAGAATACGGGGTGCTGCAGTCCTGAGCTCATACTTCGTAACATCCCTGTCAGAATCATAGTCTAAATCCAGATACTTAGGCTATTTCTGTACACATGTTGCGAAAACTGCAAATTGGAATCTGGGGTGGCACCCATCTTGTCTGTGGAGAATGGTGATTGGTGCCCTATGGGCCGAATACGAGGTGATGAGCATGCGAAAAATTCAAAACCGTCAACCATTGTATTATGAGTATTGTCGAGAAAGTCAAAGATGAACGGTAATATCTGCAAGGCCACACATAAGGAGTTTGTTGTTCTCTTTGGTCTTTCATGTCTTTCATAGACCCAGCCTTCAGCAGAGGGGAAAAAACACAGAGCGCCAAGAATTGCGGACCAAGAATGCTTGGTGGCATCGAGTCGAATTGCTTGACAGGGGGTAATTTCCAATGTTCCCCTTACCTAAGTACATTAGTTTTGCCTTGGAGTTCTCCACGGCCATTATTATAATAATAAATCGCATCTGTTTTAGTTGCAGCGAGGGACGATCAATACTCCGTAGGGCCCCATTATTAGGGTCTATCGGGGTACGGAGTACGGAGTACCATTTTAGAACATGAATCTCGATGAATCCAAGGATACGACGTTGCAGAGGTCCATGATAGCAGGTAATCAAATCGAATTCGTTCCAACCACGATCTGCGGTGGCGAGATCGTTCTGTTTACTCTTTAGGAAGGCTAATGTGTGGATGCCTCAGGCAAGATTTTTATAAATATAGATCGTTGTGTCCTCGGGTGTGAACATCCAAATCAACTGGTATGTAGTCTTCCCGTAATTACTTCAACGATGAAGTCAAAGAGAATAGAGCCCTTTCGGACTTCTCAATAAATCGATCGCAGACTTGACTGTTGTTGCTACTAGATATGACGTCAAAACACAGTTTCAGAGGTATGATGCGCACAAAGTCATTGCTAGAAACAATATAGTTGGTTACTTCGATTAGTAGGGACTAGCATTACTCAAATCTACTACAAGGCCAAAGACTTACCCCTGTCTATGATATAAATTTTGGCCACCATCTAAAGAAAAAAGCCCCTGTGACTCTGAATCGAGTCGACTCCATGCACCCGACGAGCCGAGTGTAGAGCATGATTGATAGGTGACGCAGCGGTACCGGTACGGCCCTAGGGTTGTCCAAACTTTCTCGTTTGTGAGAAATGTTTTGTTCGGCCACATCCAGGTATTTCAACGCTTTTGAACACCTGAGCTTAATTCTTGCATGCGCAAGTTGTAAATATCGGTTGGTCAAATTGGCCAAAGTAGATCGACCTTGCAGCTCAGCATGGGCCCGTACATGTGGGAAGGGCTCGCGGAGCTCTGCGGATCTTCCCTTCTGGCATCTGTTGTTTGCCAACTGCTATAGCCATGGTAGAGAAGCGCCGGGAATCCAATCAAATCGGGACCCTGTCTCAACTTGGAGGTCAATCAGGCACGATGCAAGGTACCAGGGCAGTCGGCATCATTGATTGGCAATGCTCCTTGTCCGTCGCGTGCCGGAGTTCCCACGATGAAAAATAAGCCACCCTGACGAGCCTGATTACTCGTGTCAATATTCCCTCGACAAGACCACCGCCGTCTGCTGAAGTACTTGTTGAGCTTTCCGTCGCAATTTGCAAGTTTGAATCACATTGTCGTCCCAATTCGTTTCATTGGTGTAACAGTAGGTGTCTTTCCCAGCGCCATCGATATATTCCTTTCTGTCATTGCTTTGGCTGAGGATCTCCTTGGTCATTACGTTGGAAGTAGTCCTGGTACAACGAGGTATGAGCGGTTGCTGAATGTCAAACAACGCGCGATGAGTCCATTGCCTGACCGGCGACTGACCCGTGAGACAGAAATTCACTTTCGACCTACCACCGCCCCAGCAGCATGGCAGCGATCAGAATAGTCCACCACACGAAGTCCGCACCCCTGTCTCTCCATTCAATTGTAGAAAGATCAGGCCATAAGGGCAACTGGGCGAACAGGAACCGCGGGGTGGTGCTTGTCTTCGTAATCGTTTTCATCGTCGTGCTTGGAATCATAGCACTCTTCGCATACCGACGATGGTTGAAACGGAAAGCCGACAAGGAGTCCTACGAGACGACACGTGATTAGTTCATCTTGTTCTCTGCTCTTGCCACCAAAGTTCATTGGGACTCGGTGGCGGATGGCATTGCTGTGATCTGGGGCTGTGTCTTGGATTTGGGCTTGTGCGTTGGACTGTTCGGAGTCAGCGGTGTTGTGCTTTGTGGTTGTCTCTGCGTGTTTAGGTTTGGCGACGTGAGTTCGGCCTTCGGTGATGGATTCCTATTGTCAGTCCAATTCTGAGACTATGGCATGTCTGATGTCCAGATGCGAAGACATGACCTACTGAATGTTAGAGATCAATAGTAATCCATAATACGAGCCTTGGTGCCGCCTGCGACGATATCTGATGCCTTTTTTTGCCGACGTGTTTCATAAAGGTGTTGCTGAAGAAATCCAATGAATCCAACGTCCCTCCCCTTTTGTGCCTTCCAAATCAAGTTGAAAAAACTTCCAACTCAGAGGTCAATTGCAAGCCATCAAGCTTCTCTCGGAACGTACCGAGTCCAATTCTTCCAATTAGCACAATTCATTGATTGTTCAGATTGGGATATTGGGAGCTCAACACTAGTGGCCTAAGTGCGGCTGAAACTGTGTCTCGAAGTCAGAGAACAAGGCATCTGCTTTCACTAGCAGAGTGATGTCGATTTCTCTACTTACGTGAATCCAGGGGGACAGGTCATGGAGATGTGAGGAAACACCAAACTGGCCGTAAAGAGAAGACTGCCAAAAATAGCCAAACAAGGCCCTCGGCAAAGGAGGCAAAGAGAGCCCACGGGCCTGAGAAAGCCTGAGCAAGCAGTAAGCGCTTCAGTGCAACATCTAATCATTGGGTGGACGTACCCTGGTCTGGTCTGCGGCCTCCATTTTACATCGTGGTCTATCAAAGCGGGCTAAACGGCTGGAACGGATGGCATCTCACTTCCCATCGAAACTCCAGGTTCTACAGATCCAGACTTGCCCCGTGCAACGAGAAAGAGCAGAAACATAGGGCTAGAGTTCCTGCAGACACACCCTTTTGACTCGACAGTGATATATTCTATATCCTGATTGATTGCAACAGATGAAAGAATTGAAAGGAACAGGGGAAATGAAATAATCCACGTAACTAACATATTCATGCGAGATTACATGAGAAAACCATGCCAAGTTCTCCCAACCATTCGTCCGGTTCCTTGTGTGCACCTGCCCCTTGTACAGAACCACACTTAGCCTCTCATACTGTCGGTCAATTCTTTCTCTTACCCTCCCAGGGCCATTCCCTATTTTGCTCAGAGCACTTTCCTTTCTCTAGGTATCTTCTAGAGACAACCATCATATATTTGTCTCATCATTTCGGATTCCTAAAGTGAAGTATGAGTTCGGAAGCAGGCCCATCTGCTGTCTATCCAACCGATGGCAAAGGCAAGAGAAAACGGGCCCAGTCACCCTCTCACAACTTGAGGTCTAAGAAGGTTTATTTTCCCAAGTACCTTGTTATTGAGACCATGCCTCTTACACACAGCCCCATAGTCCAGGGATATGAGAGTGCCCCAGAGGGAGTCAGCCGGAATCGATTCACTCAAGGTGAGATGAATTGCTGCTGTTCTCTGTTTTCCCATCAGAAGATGAAGGTCCATGGGGACCTATGGATATTGCCAAACTCTCCGTATTTGACAACGGCTAATTTCGGAGAGGAAAGGCACCAGAGCCCATTGAGACAAGTGCACAGAACCATACTGACCACACATTCGATGACCTCGGCAACTTCAGGAATTTCCTACGCGACTCCCGTGACGAGGCAGAGCTCGCCGTGTATCTCGGACTTCGGCACAAACACGACCTCAGACATTTCGCTTTGTCCTGGCCTATCATCAAGACCTGGCTCACGGCGCCACATAAGCAGACTACCTCGCTGAAAGTTGAAATCAATCATCTCATCCAGGATGGCAAAGAATTATCCTGTATCGAAGACCCCTACCAAGTTTGGCCGGAACGTCCCTGGGAGTCTGAGGAGAACGCTTCTGTGAGAATTACACACATCATGGCATGGCATCTAGTCCAGATGTCCAAGGACATAGAGGAGTACACCATGTCCAGTGATCTGCATAATTTCCACCGCACAAGAAGATACCGCGGTGAACTGAGCGCGATATTGGAGCTCGAAATCCCGCTGGACAATATTTTCCATCCTCGTCCCCAGCTTATATCTTGGAGGAACGAGCTAAGCGACAGATTCGATCGCTGCTGGACAATCTTGGGCTATGTTTCATGGATCCCCTACATGAAATCCTGGGAAAAGGCTCTTGAATTCTTTGTCTCCTCAAAGAACAAGGCTATCATATACGACAGCGGGATGCCGACAGGGACGAGACCAAGACCCAACGACCTTAGGCTGGCTCAGCAATGCTCTTCCTCGCGCCTCGCGGAAGGTCCTAAAGGCCCTGTCCCAATTCAAGTAAAGGTCATCTGGGACAGAAACCAAAACACAAACGTGAATATGGACCTATGCCGCGTTCTCGCAGGTATAGCTCATGAAGGGAAAGTGCTCCCTCCGACGGACCAGATGATGACACAGGACCCTAGAGCATGCCGGACAGGCGCTTCATTCCGGGATATCATTCGACACATGATGTCTTGTGGTGGGTATGGATTGAACTTGTGTGATATGACGTTGTCGTATCATGCCGAGGCAGATAATTTCTACTATCAGATTGACGCTTTCCGATCCCAGTGGAAGGTACTGCAGGGGGTATTCTCAGACCCGGCTAACTCGAACTTTGTGATCCGGGTGCTTTTGGATGTCCATGATTTCCGGAATGGGGAGGTCTATGAAACGACTGAACTGCCGCCGGTGTACTGAATACCACCTTTTGATGCCAACTACACCTCAACGTGTTAGGACTGGCCTTTATTGGGAGACCTTCCTTCAACAGGAGTGCTCGGTTTGGTGTTTGCCTTTACCTGTGATATCCGCTTTGGTTGTTTTTCTCGTTTTCATCGTTGGCTTATGTTCTTCTCTGACTCCACGAGTTGTTCCAGATCATACAAGCCGCATGCGGACTCCTAATATATATAATCAGAGGCCACATAGCTGATCGTCTTGTCGTTGCTACCAAAATCGGATATATACTCTTTTAGCCTATTTGCTCCAATAATAGTGATATTAAGACACGACACACAAAGCTTTCAAACGATTGTTCTATCGTTAATGTCTTGATGGCAGTCTTCAATTACTGAGCCCTCAGTATGTGTTATTTGCTGGTGTCAGATGGCAATTCATAGAATTCTGGAATAAGCGTTGACACATTTTAACAATTTACGACGGTTCATTCAGACATGAGCTAATACATAGCATATGGAACATGGCAACATCAGTCTCATACCCCAGATATTATACTCACTATAAGATCTTGTGGGGAATCAACGGAAAGACAGGGGTATAATTCTTCCACCAATCACCAATCTCCGGGCACTCCCCTCGCCCTCCCGGCTCCACTAAAAGCCATCCCGCCCATGTCAACACCAATCGTCTTTCCCCGTGAGCAAGATATCGAGCTCTATACCCTGAGCCGAGACTATCTCTGAATGGACGGAGAAACTTGTCCCGGCAATATTTCCATCCAACGTTCCCCCGTATCCCCCGCCATCAATTCCCCCAATTCGTTCCCCAGTCTCCACACCGGGGGCCCCGGACTGTCTAGCTCGGCAGCCCTGAAGGGCTACCAACAAGGCGAGATGCCATGGCAGCCACTTGATTGCTTATTATGCTTATGTTGTATATTGCCGCTTCCCGTTAGACCGATTGAGCGCTAGGTCATGTATAAAGCCCGATGCCACCCGAGCTCAATGGCTCTTTTGCTTTCTTTCTTTTTTTTCTATTTCTTTGTGTTACGAAGTCTTCTCCTGGGGTTCATCTTGATTCTGTTGATAAATTGACTGGGGAGATTATCCAGTCTTCTTCAAGATGGGCTTCGTCAATTTCAAGAACTACCGGGTTTACATCCTGACCTCGGTGGCCTATCTGGGCTCCCTACTCTTCGGTTAGTGGATTTGGCTACTCCGGCTACAGAATCCTGCTAACATATGCTCTTTCTAGGTTATGACACGGGTGTTATGGGCTCAGTCCTGGCTCTTTCGAGTTTCAAAAAGGACTTCGGCCTACCCTTAGAGTCATCTGGATTCAGCGACGAGAAGAACGCCCAAATCTCCTCCAATGTGGTCTCGCTACTCACAGCAGGATGTTTCTTCGGATCTATCTTCGCTGCTTACATGAACGACAGACTGGGCCGTCGATACTCGCTGATGATCTTTGCCCTGATCTTCCTGGTCGGAGCAGCAGTCCAAGTTGCAGCTCACCATGAAATTGGCATGATCTATGGCGGACGCGTCATCGCCGGTTTTGGTATCGGTGGTATGTCCAGTATCACCCCAGTCTTTGTCAGTGAGAACTGCCCCCCTGCAACCCGAGGCCGTGTTGCCGGCCTCTTCCAGGAGTTCCTGGTTATCGGTAGTACGTTCGCCTACTGGTTGAACTACGGCGTTTCGCTCCATGTTCCCGAGGGTACGAGCCAATGGCGTATTCCAGTTGGCATCCAGCTTGTCCCCGGTGGTCTGATGCTCATCGGACTGTTCTTCCTCAAGGAATCTCCTCGTTGGTTGATGACGAAGGGCCGTCGTGACGAGGCACTCCAGTCCCTTGTTTACATTCGCAACGAGCCTGAAACCAGTGAGGCTATTCAAGTCGAGTTCGCTGAAATCTCGGCTGCTATCCACGAAGAAATGCAGGCTACTGAGGGTCTGACGTGGAAGGAATGTCTGAAGCCGAGCAACCGATACCGCTTTTTCCTCGCCTTCGTCCTCATGTTCTGGCAGCAGTTTTCAGGAACAAACAGCATTGGATACTATGCTCCTCAGATCTTTGCAAGCGTGAGTACACCACAGTTTCTCTATGCCATAGCATCTTGGCGCCTTTCTGAACTAGCGAAGCTAACGTTTTTCATCATCGCAGGTCGGATTGAGCAAAACAGACTCCTCGTTGTTCGCCACTGGTATCTACGGAACAGTCAAGGTGGTTGCGACTGCTATCTTCCTGGTCGTTGGTATCGATCGCTGGGGCCGAAAGAAGAGTTTGATTGGTGGTGCTGCCTGGATGGCTAGCATGATGTTCATCATTGGAGCAGTCCTGGCCACCAATCCCCCCTGATCCGGAAGCGACATCCGTCTCATCGGCGTCCACTGCTATGGTTGCGATGATTTATCTCTATGTCATCGGATACTCAGCATCCTGGGGGCCAGTCCCCTGGGTGTATCTTGGCGAGGTGGGTTATTCATTCTAATGTGTATATCCTTACCCATTGGAGTTTACTAACATTATTTGTTCCGATAGATCTTCCCAACTCGTCTTCGCGCCTACGGTGTTGGTTTTGGTGCCGCCACGCAATGGCTATTTAACTTTGTCATCACTGAGGTTACCCCTCGCGCTATAAACAAGATTGGCTGGAAGACTTTCCTCATGTTTGGAATCTTCTGCTTTGCCATGGGAACCTTCGTCATTGTATTCTTCAAAGAAACTAAGGGCCGGACCCTGGAGGAGATGGATCTCATTTTCGGCGCTGTTGATGAACAGCAGAGACGCGCTGATGTGGAACACACATTGCAAAAAACTCAAGTCATGCATGAAGAGCATGTTGAGACCATGGGGACTGCAAAGAATACAGAGACTTCGGAGACTAGAGAGCACAAAGAGTGAATTGGGTGATAGAGTCATACATCTCCTGTGTTGAAATATATAGATGGATCTAAGTATTTTACATTATATATACATAGATGAACATGAACATTTTATATGAACATTCGACAGGGGTTTGGACATTGGGATACAATATCAGCCCGTATACCTCAGCGCAGAGAGCCCCACAATAAATTCCGCGGGGAACTTCGAGATTTGCCCCTCACGCGACAATTTCTCTTTCCCGCACGCGTTGACGCCAACAATCTCAATGGGATCTCTCGACGAAACTTGCGCTTCTTTGCGCGCCCAGATCACTGCGACAGAAGCACAACTCGCCGGGCTGAAACGCGACCTTGCAAACGCCGAACAAGCGGCGCAAGCGGGGACCGCAACGACCGCGGAACTCCGACCTGAAGACCTGAATGGCGAAGGAAGACGATGGCCCTTGCTTCAGGAAGAATATAAGCGATATGGACGGCAGATGATTGTTTCCCAAGTTGGTCTGAAAGGTAAGCCACGGCTTCATTTTGGCGGGATTTTTGAAATTCCTGAGCAGAGTGACTGATCGCGACTTCAATGATTCAACAGGTCAACTGAAACTCCGATCGGCCAAGGTTCTGCTTGTTGGAGCTGGAGGACTCGGATGTCCAGCTGCGCAGTATCTCGCCGGTGCGGGCGTTGGTACTATTGGCCTCATCGATGGGGATACGGTTGAGGTGTCGAATCTCCATCGCCAAGTGCTACACCGAACGAAGAATGTGGGGAAGTACAAAGTGGACAGTGCGATTGAGTCCTTGCGAGAGTGAGTGGATGAGGGTAGGTCTATGGAGCTAGGCGCTGACGATTTCTCGTGACATTCACCAGACTAAATCCGCATCCCACGTATATTGCCCATCGAACACACCTCACGCCCGAGGCAGCACCTGCGGTCTTCCAGGACTATGATCTTATTCTCGATTGTACCGATAACCCGGCGACGCGCTATCTGATCTCGGACACTGCAGTTCTTCTTGGGAAACCATTGGTCTCTGCGTCCGCCCTGCGGACTGAGGGCCAGCTGATGGTGTTAAACAACCCGCCCCGCGCGCCGGGCGACAAGACTGGAGGACCGTGCTATCGGTGTGTGTTCCCGAAGCCACCGCCGGCTGATAGTGTGGTCAGTTGTGCGGATGGGGGTATTTTAGGTCCGGTTGTTGGGACCATGGGCGTCTTGCAAGCCCTGGAGGCCGTCAAGGTCATTACTGCACCTGAGATTGATGCAGCTTCAGATGTGACCACAGCTCGTCCACGGGATCCTCCGTCTCTGCATATCTTCTCTGCCTACTCATCCCCCCTGGTCCGCACAATTCGTCTTCGCTCGCGCCGGGCCAATTGTGCTGTTTGTTCTGCTGAGGCAACTGTTACGCTGGATACAATCAAATCAGGGTCGACTGACTATGTGTTCTTTTGTGGATCCGCAAGCTTGCCTTCGCTACTTGGTCCCGAGGAACGTATCTCTGCTCGAGAATACAACGAAAGACACTCAGCTCTCACCTCTGATTCGTCACGCCTTCACACGATAATTGATGTCCGAGATGAAGCTCAATTTGGGATCTGCAGTCTGGAGAATAGCATAAATATTCCTATATCGAAGATCCTTTCCTCGGGTCATTCTGCTGGGTCACAGGGGGCCGATAATGAGCAACGAACTGCACAAGTGCCTTCTTGGCTGCCATCAGAGGTTGCCTCGTTGGAATCTACGAACCCAATCTACGTCGTCTGCCGTCTAGGAAACGACTCGCAGATTGTCGTCAAGAAAATGAAAGAGCTAGGACTAGATCAGCATGGGAAGAGATTCATTGGTGACATTCGCGGAGGACTACGATCATGGAAAGAACAAGTGGATTCCTCGTTTCCTGAATACTAAATGAATCAGACCGCTAGATTCTCACATGAAACGACTGTCCAAAATATATCCCTTCTTTCTCCTGTTTTTACCCACCTGCGAGCCTCCAGAGCCCACCTTACACTTAAACTTGGAATGGCCTGGTGAGGATTACCAAAACCATGGCTCTAAGGTCTATATCCACCACCAATCAGTGTGAACACGGCCCTCATCGAGGTTGCCGAGTGCCTCGAAAACACCACGGGTGACATCAATGTCAAACTCTCCACATCCCTCACAACGATCCACGAGAGTGACATCTATACCCCTGTCGCCCCGTTGGATGTGGATTGGCCGACCACAAAGTGGATTGTGGTTGGGGTTGCCGTCTACATTTGCGCGGTCATAGACAATATGAGACACGGCGCAGACGTGGTCTCCCCCGTTATTAAACCAGCCACACGCTCCAAGCCCTGTCTCATACCAGGTTAGGTCACCACCAAATGCCTGGGTTGCGGTGGGACTGTGTGTATTGTTCCACTGGCTAGAACTGGGAGCAGAGTCAGCATGGGCCTTGATGGATAGTGGATGTGGAAACAGGAAGAAGAATGAAAGGATGGCAAGTTCGTGTCTGATTACTTACTTGCCAAGGCCATGAGAAGTGATGGTTTCTTGAGGATCCATGGGGACCCCCATAGCCAATCCCATCAAGAGGAATCCCATCATGGTGATGGCCTTGCCCTTGCACTCAAAGATTGCGTTGGAAGTCATTGTGGGCCGTCTGCTTCTTCTTGCTTTCCAACAAAGAGGCGGTTTTGGCAGTCAATTTCAGGTTGGAGTTGGGGATAAGTTCACATCGCCACGAATTCGTTCGGTCTTTATATCATGTTTCCAGGAAGGTTTCCTGTGCTTAAGTGGTATGTATTTACGCTCTTCAAAATGCCGCGGAGTATCAGAAAGGAACTGCAAAGAAATACATCCGGAGTATCTGAAATGGCCGGAGTGGATGGAGTGCTTTTGAGAGAATTTTGGTCTGTGGCTGTCTGTATATTAGAAAAGATATAGAAACAGAGTAGCCCTCATCTTGGCATTGTGGTTCTATTCAGTTATGTCCATATTTTGGCGCAATCTTACGTTGGAATCAGTTGAGAAGTCTGTGGTGCTGACCGCAGGACATGTCTTACAATGTACGAAGAGTCGGAAGATCGGAGGAAGCAATATATCCCTAAAAGGAAGGATACACTCGGCGATTCATTCGGCATAGAATACACTCCATGTCGGCATACAGGATAACTTTAGAGCCTATCTTCAACTAATCATAGCTCTTCTACCTCTCCATTCTCAATAAGTTGTCCCGGTCTTCTACTGCGTACTTATCTAAAATCATCACCTTCGACCTGCATTGATATACTCTTTCGCTAAATAATGTCCACTTGGTACCACTTCCGATTCTGCGGAAGAAAACCCAGCGACAGTCACAAATATCTTGAGGCGTGCAACAGATGGCCAGCTTTTTCTGCTTGAACCCAAGTCTATCGTATGGGACAATATCACTATCCTTATAATCTGGTCAATGGGTTTAAGCCGTGGTTCCTCAGCCCTTAGTGAGAGCAATAATTAGATCTTCATATAGATGGTAGGTTATTATTTCAAGATAAAAACAAACGTATGCCTCCCCCATTACCTTCATAGTCCTGTTTGTGGAAATTCAAGAGCAGTGTCGAGCTACCATGTAGAGTAGTGAGGGCAGACTGCCCCCCAGGGGTTGTCGCCATTATGCCCTTTGGGATTTCCTTTGGGATTTCAGAGCTTGCTATATATATACAAGTTTAGTATCCGACAAAACGTAGGCTAGAGAAGGATTCTGAGGATCTAAGTACTCACCACTAACCAATCCATGCCCCCAGAAATACCTACGCCATCAGTAGCGGAGCAAGGAGCAATATTCCATATTCGATCCCCTAGTTCTCTCAAATGTAACGCCTCTGCTATCTCCACCGGGCTCTTTGCTCCCTTTAAATCCTGTTTGTTGGCGAACACAAGAAGAGGAGCATCGCTAAGCTGACGCATACATTCCAAATTAAGCAAGTTCGTGAGTTCATTGGCAGCGTCATCTAGTCTAATATCCGTGGAGTCGACGACAAATATGATCGCGTTGGTCTGGGCGATATAGACGCCCCACTCCGGACGCAACGTGTGCCTTCCTCCTATATCCTATACATCAGACAGATCAGTGACAGTTCTTTACATATGTGTAGTTAATTTGGGAACCTGTTCGAAAGTCATACCCAACAAACGAAGTTCATGCCTCCATGTGTCAATGACTCGACATTAAATGCTACTGTGGGCACCGTTTCAATAGGACCGTAGTTCTAAAGACACTCGTATTTAGCATTCAACCACGAAAACTGACCATCTTCGAATTACTTTCAGCTGTGAGAACAGAATTGTAGTCTTTCCGGAATAAAACTGGCCGAATAGAGCGTGGAGGTTAGCACACCTGCAAATATCCTAGACTTGGATGCGAGAGAACGTATAGCATACCGGTCCAGCAATAAGTATTCGATATTCCTTCTTCTGCCAAAGCGAAGATATTGGCAACGATACCATAGAGCCCATGTTTATGTTCTTGGAAACCGAGGAGAGAGTAAATCACCAGATATACGTATGACAGCAGGCAGAAGGATGTTGATTACGGGCACTGTTTTGACTTACACCCTTCCGCTAAACTACTTCGGGTATGTCCAATGGCCGATCTCAACCAAGCCACATTAACGGCGCCGTTCATAAGCTGGTATTTATATCCTCGCGCACATCGATACTGTCAAAATGCAGCTGGTAGGGCCTAAGTTCAGTCACCGAAGACCGGTATAGAAATAATCAGGATAGGTCCAAATTAGCTAAGTTTAGTAATGATACATCAGTACTAACATGTTTCAGCTAAAGCTAGACTAACTGGTAATCGAGATACAAGCATAATGGCTAGTATTCCCAGCCTGTAGTATCACCATCCCAGTCACGACGTGTCCACCGATTATTTGGGGTTCTAACCAGGTCAAATGTAGGCAGACAACCCCTTATCCCAGATCCTGTTCTTTTTCCGAATAATCCAACGGAATCCAACCCAGAATCTGCAAACGACAGTTTAGATTATCTATGATCACCAATCATACGGGAATTTCCGCTAGGATAAACTTACAAAGTCTCCGTAGTGGGATTCCACACTAGCCGGTGAGGAGACGTAGGCAAGGGCCAGATACCAACTGTAGAGGAGATTTCCCTAAATTTATCGACAAATCAATAAGTATCCACGGTCCACTAAGATGGCCCAACTTACTTGAAGGTCCTTTCAAAGTGTTCGCGTATTTTCGCACGCTCATACCGTGGCAAAGCCCAATATCCAGTCGCATTTCCAGTGAGATCGCCGATAGGAAGTCCCTGAACCCTTTCCCATACAACGACGATATAAAACCCACCAGGAACGAAGCCTGAGGGCCCCTGCTTCGACACCTTAGATCCCAGCAGTTTCGGTGTGAATTTCGAAACCGTTGTATGGTCGCTTAGAATGGTATATGCCTCGAGCTCCTCAGGCTGAAAGGTGTCATCGGCTTGCGCGGCGCGAGTATCAGAATCTTCGAACTCAGACCCTATATAGGGAATCTGTAGATATACCCGTAATATTGCTTCGGTTGTGCTTCTCTCGCTTGGGTTGGCGTTAGCCTTTATACAGCTCATTTTTAGGGTCGCATGGCTGGGTGAGATGCGTGACTGCGCCACTCTCTGGATGTCGTCTTGCTTGAGGCGTTCGAGGATTTCCCACCGGGTTCCGTCGTCGGTGGTGATAATGCGACCGCGCTCATAGTGCCCGCGTGGAGGTCCCTGGTCGAACCAGGTTCTCGGGGATGTCATTGTTGATGATTGTGAAGAAGAATAAAGGGGACCATTTGTTTGCATCATAGTTAGCCATTTCATTTTGGGGCACCTACGGAGGCCGATAGGCAACCTATTTTCTAAGGCATAAAGTCTACCAGAGAAGAATATGAGGATTTATGCTAGCCATTGAATTTGACTAGCTCTGAGTGCGCTTGCTAGACCGGCCCAGAGCTATGAGGAAACCTACGGTGACGATAAAACGGATCATACATTGGCAACACTATCTACGAGATGATATTCCGATTTTATTCAACCACCTTCGCAGGTAGGAAGTCTTAGTATTCCTAGGAGATTTTCAATTTGTGATTGACCTGCCCAGGACACAATTAGGCCACAGCAGGCCTTGTCGAGCTCTGGGTCCGTATTTGAAGATGGATTCACACCAGTTTTGATCATCCGCTTATCCATTGACAACAACTCCCCCGTTAGGATGCAAACTCTGGCCAGAGATAAAACTACTATCCTGGCTTGCAAGGAAAACGAAACATGTCGCAACCTCACTGGGCTGTCCCGGGCGACCCATCGGCGTGCCGCTGAACTGTTCCTGCGCCGAGGTAGTCATGGTTGCCGGAATTAGAGGAGTCCAGACTATATGATAATTAGTGCTGATGAAATTGTTTCGGTGAATCTTTCGACTTACTTGGCCCGGGACACACGCAGTTTACCCGAATCCCATTCTTGACTTGCTGGTTGGACAAGCCCCTGGTGAATGCAACGATTGCACCCTTTGTTGAAGTATAGTCGAGCAGATCAGGGCGACCGATATAGTGGTTAACGGAAGCGCAGTTGATTATCGTCGAGCCATTCTTCAGGTGAGGAAGCGTGTACTTTGACAGATAGAAGATGGGATGGATATTAGTGTCGAATGTGCTTTCCCACTGAGACCTGTAATTGGACAATGTAAGATACTCTTATCAGTGGATAGAATGGAAGGCACATACTCTTCCAAATCTTTGATATCGTCAATCATCGTTTGAGTCCCAGCGTTGTTGACTAGGATGTCAATACCACCCAAACTCTTGAGGGCTGCATTAACCACGTTCTGGCAGTTCTCTTTATACCGAATATCGGTCGGGAAGCAGTGACAGCTTTGCCCGATTTCTTCCACTCGTCGCTTTGTCTCCTGTGCATCCTTTTCCTCTTCGGGCAGATACGTGATAAGGCTAGACGCCCCCTCCATGGCAAATAAAATTGCAACTGCGCGACCGATTCCGGAGTCCCCACCAGTTATGATGGCCTTCTTTCCTGTGAGTTTTCCCGCCGCTTTGTAGGTTTGATACCCATTATCCTCAGTTGGGAGTTTGCTCGAGGTGGGCTTCGGGTCTTCCATCTCACGCTGTGAGCCGGGCTTTTCGTGATGCTCAACAGGGATTTCATGGCCTGCGGTCTGTGTGAAAGAGAGCCAAATTAAATTAAATAATACATCAGCTTACCTTGTTGAAACTGAGATTGAGGTCCCCGAGAGGGCTTTTCCACTTCCTGTTGCATGTCGATGATTTTGTTCAAGGTATTGCAGTAATGCGAATGAATAAGTGTTAGTGAGAGATGATTGATCAAGTTGAAAATGAGAAGTTGATAAAGGTCCGTCTTTGCTGCCTTGTAGATTATCAGATCTATATATTTTTGATAAGTATCGTCGAGCTCGTCAGTATGACGTCAATCCATGCCAGCAATCTGGGAATTGTCACTGAACCTGCCCGGTTCACCTTCAACCTGCCCTGCTTTACTAGCTAAGGTGTGCGAAATGTTAAGAAGTCGGCGGCTGGCTAGCCTCAATACGAAATCTGGATTGTCTCGGCTATTCGGTCATGTCAAATCTAAGAGATCATGGTACGTGCTCGTGCATGAAAAGAGGGTTGCATCATATATATATATCCTGAGCGTATTCATCTATGCTGTCTAAAGCTGCGGATATCTAACTTTATATCGAGCACCTGGTTAGTCGTATAAATGCGTTGATAGGCTTAGAAGTTACCTCTAGGAGGGGAAGTCCACTCGGTGTCCCTTAGTCAGTAAATCAGTGCTATAAAACTCCCGAGATCGGGAAAGCGACCTATATTTTATGTAGATAGTGATGTGAAACGCAATAAAGGTGAGTCGAAATGACTCATCTCCCGGTCGGAGAGATCGATGATCAATTAGTCTCCGTCGATTGTGCCTGGCAATGTTGCGTCCGGGTAAGATCGCTCCGATTGGCCAAACGGGACCCACTTAGCATCGGGCTACTCTATAAATCGGATGAACGAGGGCGTGATATTATCAATATGCTTGTGAAATATGTCCGAAAATAAGCATTTAAATAGGGTCCTTAATCCATGTTTAGTATACATTAACTCAGTTTCATTCTTCTTATCTGTCCTCCCATTTTTTTTGCTCTCTCCTCCAAAGGACTACATAATCTTCTACAACGCAATGTCTTCCTTGAACGACCTGCTTAAAATCGCAAACCCAGTTCGCGCGTTTGCCTTGAAAAACTTCAGCGTTACTGCTCATCCTGATGAGGTTCTCCAGATCCCCTCACGAGAAGAAGGGCGTTTTATTCGAATTCATGCCTACAATACACTCCATAGGAGTCCCCCGGCCCCGGTTCTCGTCAACTTCCATGGCAGTGGCTTCGTGAACCCTTTGCATGGAAGTGACGACGAGTTTTGCAAATTCATTGTCGAAAAAACTGGATTCACTGTCCTGGACTGCTCCTACAGACTCGCACCGGAGAATAAATTCCCTGCTGCAGTCCACGACGCCGAAGATTCCGTGCGATGGGTTCTTTCGCACCCGGAGAAGTTCGATGCTTCCCAGCTATCGATTTCAGGCTTTAGTGCTGGAGGAATTCTGTCTCTAGTCCTCAGCTCGGTGGTCTTTCCACACGGAACATTCAAGAATGTCTTCGCCGCATATCCTCCAACAGATATGGTCCAAAGTTCGGCGGACAAGATTGCCCCTGATACCTCGAGGGATGGTGCACCTGTCGAGCTGCTGGATACATTCGTGAAATGCTATTATTCAACCCCTGAAGAAGTGCACAGCATCCTTGCCTCACCGGCCTTCATACCGGCCGAAATGTTCTCTGATAGAATTTTTCTCGCTACTGCGGCGTGCGACTGCCTCTGTCTCGAAGGAGAGGCGCTTGGAAATAAGATCAAAGCTGCGACGACCAAACGTGTTCAGATGCACCGGTATGATGGTTGTGAACACGCTTTTGACAAAGCGTATGAAAAAGGCTCTGTCCAGGAAAGAGCGAAAGATGACCTCTACGAAAGGATGGCCTCGTTCCTAAAAGAGTGATCGGTTTGTGTTGCGATTACACCCCAGCGCTAGCATGTTTTTTCCTTTCTGTAACAATGTGCATTAGAAGATATAATATCTTTCAATTTTTGGTCCATCCTTCATTGAAATGTATTGCCTCAATGGCAAATCGTAAGTACTTTCCCATCCCATAGACATTGGTGACCGGTCGAATCGGATGGCAGAATGATCGAACTGATAGGCGGAATTCTAGCTGATGCTATCGGCTAGCCCTGGTATTTAGCTCCCGAAACAAACAAACATAATCTAGTCTATGAGATGAAAGAGCTGTTACTATGTAGCTATTGTAATGAACGATGCGTTGCTGGCCTGACAAACAAGGCAGAAACCCCCCAACTTTATATGCGGAGTGCATGCTCCCCCACGTACGGTAGCCAATCACTCGTGGGCGGGGGTACTGCAACCTTGGAAGCATCCATCGGGACTTCACCCCGACTTCTTTGCTCTTTCATATATTCGACTTGTTCCTGAAGGTTTCTCTGATCCTGTCACATTCTCGACTGTCTTGCAGATCCTCGTTGGAAAGTCACGTGGGCGATGTCGCTAAAACAAGGTTCCTGAAGATTCGGATCTTTCGTGGCTGAGCCGAGATCCATCATCACTGCGACCCCGGTAAAGATGCCGCCCGTTCGATCTCACCGGTCGGGATCGTCCTTTGGGTCGATACCGTCACAGCAGGATGCCCAGGATGATAGCAAGGAGAAAACGTCGCTCTTCGGCTTTGTCAAAAAAGTGTGGCAGAAAACGGGGTTGGACAGACCCACAGTCCTTTTGATGATGAAGTGAGTTCAGGACCAAGCTTCCGAATGTGCCACAGTAGAATATCTCTAACAGCTACTATAGGGGCGGTGTTCCACCCACCATAGCCGTTTCCATGTGAGTTACCAACCCTGGAAGTTCCCGGTCTATCGGAATCAGCCTGACCCCAGTCCAGCTATCAATCAATGCCCGTTGCCAATGAGTACACGACCCTGGGATATCTCGTGGCCATTGTCTCCATCTTGGGATTTGCGATCATGCCCGCGCAAAGTTTATCCAGATGATGATCTTTGACGTTTTGGCTGTCTGCTTAGCAGCATGTTTCGCCCTGTTGACAATGTTCTCCAGTGTCAGGGCACGCCAACACACCTCTACTAACCCTAATGATTCATACAATGCTTCAGCATCTTCTGTGAGTGGTTTGTGGCTGTTCTTCCAAATCTGGATGGTTCACACCTTCCGTGCCAAATACCCGCAGCTGCAATTCCCCGTGATCATTTACGCAATCTTCGCGAATATTTCTTCGGTGTACGCTCCGCAAATGAAGGATATGCCAGCTGCGATTGGTATGGTGACTAGATTGCTCAAATCATGCCTTACTGGTCTTGCCATTTCAACAGCCACGTCGCTATTGATCCTTCCGATGACGTCACGGCAGGCTGTCTTCAAACAAATGGCGAGCTACATTGGCGGGCTGCGGACAGCCTTGAATGCCCATGCTATATATTTCCAATCATTGGAAAGAGACGACATGTTCGGTCGCACGGAGACATATGATGATGCCCGTGAGAAGTTTGGAAAGAAGGGAAAGATATACAGTCCTGAGGCAGAAGCCATCCGCGGTGCGGTCCGACAGATCACAGATATCCATGCCAAGCTCCATGGTGATCTTACATTTGCGAAGCGCGAGATTGCATTGGGAAAATTGGGACCCGACGATCTTCAGGCCATCTTCCGTCATCTTCGCCAGATCATGATCCCAGTGGTGGGGTTGAGCTTCGTGGTGGATATCTTTCAACGACTGTCGGACTATAACAGGTGGAATCAACCCATCGATCTAAATGAGCCTGTGGTCCCAGATGATATCCGGCAGCGCGTTGTGCACGAGTGGAATGATATTATGAGGGCGGTGCACGATCCCTTCGCCGTGATGATCCAAACCATTGACGAGGGATTGCTGCATACATCCTATGTCTTCGGGCTAACAAAGCCATCCGAGTGCACAGGTACAGCGAAACCTTCAGATGACAATTCAATGGAGGAAGACAAAGATATCGAGGCCAGAGCCGAGAATACTGCACCTGGGGAAAAGGCCTTTATCGATCACTTTGAAAAGAAACTTGGCGCATTTCGAATCGCAAAACGCCTTGCTTTGCGGACATGGGCCGAGGAGAAGGGTGTCACCCTCCCGCCCGACTTTTTTGATCACCCTGCTTCTCCTGAAATGTTGAACACCGATTTTTTGGATACCTCAGCCACGCAAAAAGAGCGAAGCCGGCGGCAGCTGTATCTATTTCTCTACGTAAGCCTTCGTCTACCGGTCAGTGATCGTGCTGGAAGCTAACAATCTCAGATGGAACAATTACTGTACTCGACAGGCCAAACCGTGCTCAACTTCGTTCGTTATGCCAATTACGTTGAGGCGAAAGGAAAGCTATCGAAGACCCGACTTGTTATTCCCGGTGGTAAGCGAGTCTGGAAGTGGGCTAAGTCCTTTATGACTGCGCAGGATCACGAAGATGATAATATGGGTGACATTCATACACAAAACAACATCCTTCAACTTGGCGAGGCGTATAAACTCCGCAAAGATCCCGAGCACCTGCCACCGACTACTCGTTTTGAGAAGATTGGGGACAGAATCCGGGTCATCCCGGGGTTTCTGCGCTCCCTTGAGTCGAGCTATGGCTTCCGTGTTGCCTGTGCCACCATGACCATTGCAATCGTCGCGTTCCTACGCGATACCCAGACCTTCTTTACCGCACAAAGGTTAGTATGGGGTATGATCATGGTTAATCTCAGCATGTCTCCTACATCAGGCCAGAGCATTTTCAGTTTCGTGCTGCGAATTTTGGGTACATTCCTTGCAATGGTAGCAAGTCTTCTGATATGGTATATTCCCGGGACGAAGACACCGGGGATTATTGTTTTCCTGTTCATCTTTGTCTCAATTGCCTTCTACATCCCCATCAAGATGTTCCGTTTCCGAGCTGTCGGGATTATCAGCATTATCACCACAAGCATGATCATCGGTTATGAGCTCCAAGTTCGCCGCGTTGGCGAGGCTGTCGCGACATCCAATGGACAACCCTTCTACCCAATTTACCTCTTGGCGCCTTATCGGCTGGCTGTTGTGGCGGGCGGTATCGCTGTGGCATTCATATGGACATTCTTCCCATATCCAATCTCTGAGCACTCAGTCCTCCGCCAAAGTCTAGGAGCCTCGTTGTATCTTCTGGCAAACTACTACTCGATCATCCACGAGACAATCTCCGGTCGCATGCGTGGTGACGAAGGCGAAAACCTGCTCAAGACCTCCCAGGGTCGCAAACTTGAGAAAGCGCGACACAAGGTGTTCTCAAAGCAGATGCTTATGCTGGCCGGTTTAAGGGAATACTCTGGGTTCCTTCGATGGGAGGTCCCGGTTGGCGGTCGGTTCCCTAAGAAGCAGTATGATTCGATTATTGTCTGCGTAGAGAAGTATGTCATCTCCTCCCATTACCGTTCTAGGCACTAACAGTGCTTATCTTTGTAGCATTGTCAACTACCTCAGCTTGCTAGGCTACGCATCTGATACCATCGTCCACCTCACCGAGGGCGAAGATCCCGCAGATACCGCGTGGATGCACGATTTCCGACGCCTGGTCAATACTGCCAAAGTGACGACCCATGAGGTCACATCTTTGCTTTGCCTTCTATCTGCTAGTATTACCAACCGACAGCCTCTGCCACCGTATCTGAAAGCTCCCCGTCCGTATGGTTTCGCGAGGCGCTTGAACGAACTCGACAGTGAACTTCTGAGCCTCCGGCACATGGCCGAGCCAGGATTCGCGGCGTTCGCAGTTTTGCAGATCTCCACCCGCTGCATCGTCGGTGATATGGACCGATTGCTCCGGTACGCTTGGAACTTCCCTTGTTAGATCCAGCTGGGTTTGCTAACAGTGCTATTCACTATAGGCTCGTCAAAGGCTTAGTCGGCGAATTAGACTTCTCTTTCCACGCTGTGAGCACAGGAGAGTCAATGGCCGAATCGCGAATGCCCTCGCGGGTGGGTTCGAGAGTGGATTTGAGCGAGTACGCATCCTCGCAACCTGGTGATAGGCACAAGAACGATTAACGTGGTGTTTTCTCTTGGTGTGTTCACCGTTTGGAGGCAGCTTTCCCCTAAATATTTTGACATGCACCTGTGGCTTGTACATAACGACATAACGGATATCATTAGATTATTGGCTTCGTCGCCGCAGAGTCGTACAAATGACCGCGGCAGACTTTCCCCTCAACGATACCCCACAACATACAGTTCTCCCGCAATCGGTCAATATACATATATCAGACTTCAAATCCTCAGTCTTTCTCCTTCCATCTTCATTCACATTTACTTGCTATGAACCAACCATAATGGCGAAATTTAAGGTAAAACACTCATGGTAGCACGGGGGGTTCCGAGCCGCAACAGTGATCCTATTCAACTCCCACGGTGGTAATGTCGTTCTCGACGACCTCCACCAGCTGCGAGACAGTGCTGAAAAGTTATTCAAGCACAGGTGGAGTTCCAACCCCAACACTATTCGTATCTACCGATCTCACCCACCGGCCAGAGCTAACGACATGCCTGGAAGCGGCGATTCCCATCTTCCGCAAGGTCGACAACGGTCGACACCGTCATAGCCAACGCAGATTTATGAAGTCTCTCTTTCACTGACTCCAATAGCCACGCGTCCATTCGGCAAATATCGAAGGGCACTGTGGTTCGCTAGCTGGTCCTTTCCCCAACGTTTCTTTACCTTCTCATCGTCCTCCTTACACGCATGGTCCAAGACCGTAAGCATATCCTCCGAGACAACCTGCGCGACAGCCTGCCAGCTATTCCCAATCATCGAATTGGTGGTGTAAATCACAAACAATACCGTAATAACCGCAAGTATAATAAAATGAACAACGATGATCGATACACCGGCAACAAACCCGTCCCACCGGACTGGAATCAAAGTAGTGGACGAAAACACGGTCAATGCCGAGGCTGTGGGATCCTCCCGCATCAGGTGCTCGTAGTATGCTGCCTGGGTTTCTCGCGTTATTAGTGCTTGAAGGGCGAGAGCAGGACTGTTTGTATCGTGTAGAACATCTTTGAATAAGTCTGTATGACTCTGGTCTGCTGTACTGGTGTCTGCCGTATTTGGTTTCGAGAGGAGGATGCCCGGGTTCGCGGCTGGAAAGTCCGGCGGCGCAAGAGCTTGCTGTGCTGGCGGGAAGCGGCCGAGGAATGTATCTAAAGAATGGGCCTACTTAGGGTTAGGAGCTACCGAGACGTCGAAGTGCATAGTGCATTGAGTTGAGATTCCTGCTAAGTTATGCATGACAAGAAGTCAGAAAGTCGGGATTAAATCATTCCGGACTCATTCCTCAAAGTTTCCGAATGATCTAGTGAAGGAATCCGATTTCAGGGACACGACAGTAATGCATCTCCCAGTCTAGGCGGTCATACAGCTCCACATACCCAACTAGTTGGATCTTATTATAGCGCACTCTCATGCACCCCACGTCCCACTCGGTACAACCATCAACTGCGTCGAAAACCTCCGGTTCATAAACACCACCGTATTCCTCCAGCTCCTCGTCATCAATCTCCTCCATTTCCGGGTTCCAACTCCCACTCACTAGAATAACATAGGCGGAGTGGTCACGCTCGTCTGCGTACTCGTCCATATCGGCCGGACGATTAATAACTGATTGCAATGATTCCTCGTCGACCATGAGACAGAACTTGTACCGGCCGGGAGGCGTCGCTAGCGCCACCTCTGCCGGGATGCCTTGTTCTTGTTGGGGCGCAATAGCCACCCACTGGTTAAAGTGATCCCGGATAGCGAACGAGGTCGCACCGTCAAAGCGCCGGTCCTCAAAGACAGTCGGCCTAAAGCGATCGAGTATATTGAGACCGTTGTTCCTTTCCAAGCTGGTCTTGACAGGTTTGAGATATTGATGCATAAACTTCTCCCAATCAGAGTCGCTCTTGTAGGTGCAGCGGTACAAAACAAACCCCCAAGTTTTGTGGCCGTTTTCATCCATAAGTCGTTCAAGTTGATCGGCGACTTGGTGTTTGGTTGACTCGGTAGGATCTCGTTTAGACGGATTTTTTGGTCCCATGGGAAAGAAGGACATGGTGGAGAGGTGATTTTTGGCTCGCAAGCGGCGGCTGGGAATTTGGACGAACTTCTCAGCAGGGCGCAACATTGCAGGAAGGGAAAGATAAGGCCATATCATAGTGCAGATGGTGCCTAGCACTATAAAGGGAAATTAATGTTATAAATGAAACGAACAGCTTTGTTACTCCGTACTCCGTACACGCTCGGATGATCTCCACTACTCGTCCCTTCACTTTCGCCCCTTTTGGGGTTGTGGGGCCGCTAGGAAAACGTCAGCCCAGGTAAATTGGAATGTACCTTTTGGGCATATGGAGTTCCATATCCATACAATGGTATCTTAAACTTAAGAAATTCAAAACTGTCATGTGGTAGGTACTGAAAGATGATAGTGTGAAAACTACCTCAATCTATAGCTACATATGTACTATATATATATGTATTGTACACACTACTTATTTGGAACTCAGTCCCTACTAAATATATACAGTTGAAGGCCAAGTATCATGCTCTAGCCTTGTTGCCTATATACGCCTAAGTAACGCCGTGTGTGAGATATAAAGGCTTTACTCAATTTATCTTGTGTATGGGCACCTATATGCGTATGGTCTGCTGTTGGAGAATCCCTATAGATCGGATGTCTCTTTATGTCATGGAGACCGAGCCTTTGCTAGTTTGCCATTTCTTTGCTAGATCAGGCTTTATAACAGCCTTCTTTTCATATATTGAATAACAATTTCTTCCTCATTTTTCCCGCTGTTAGTATCTCCATCTGCATCGTAGCCTCAACATCTGCTTAGTTGAATATCTGGGGGGAAGTATCTGGCTGCATGCTATATTAGACCCCAAAGCTTTATAATTTAAGCATGATAGGCGAGTTTCAGTTGTATAGCTGAGCAAATGCGAGATGACACATTTCCCGTAGTCTACCGCAATGCGCTCATAATGAGATAAGCCACCTATCCACTATATATGTAGGCATAGGCGTAACTATTTCTGGCCATGTACATCTTCTATCGTCTGTGCCTTCACAAAGAAAATAAAATGTCTGACAGTCGTTCTAACCCCGAACATCATGTTGGGCGTAGCTTCCTCAGGGATATCCCTCTATCGACTAAGAGGTATCGATATCAAGGGAAGGAGCACTTCCTTCGAACTAGAGATCTTGAATTTGATCGTTTCCAGCGTTCGAAACATGACACATCACAGTACATCCTCTTTGATATCGATGCTGATACCCTTAAAAGGGATTTCCTAGATCCTCATATCGAAGATAATTCCTTTACTTTCGACTCTTTCAATACAGAGGAAAATCTTCTTTTAATCAAGATGGAAACCCAAGAACATGCGCAAGCGATCCAGGAGTTTGGGTATACAATCATGCGCCAGCTAGACGATATGAGACTTCGAGACGTCATACAGAAGTTCTCGACAAAAGTAGAAGCAGATAGCCAAGGCAAAGTCCCTGACAATGGCTGGGGTCCAACGAGGCCAAACTCCGATCGTGACCGTAGGCCGACCATCGTCCTAGAAGTTGGGGTCTCGGAATCGCAACCCAAACTCGAGGCTGACACTACCTTTTGGTTGGATCCAGAGCGAGGCAACGCGAACATCGTCTTGACCCTCAAGTTGAATCGAAAAAGGGCCCAGATAACGCTGGATAAGTATGAATGGGACAAAGCCAACGGGGAAATAAACAGGGTGCAACGGATCCAGATGACCAAGGGTGGGAAAACGAAAAGGAAAATCACCGTTTCGAAGGCCCCATTGATTATCCCATTCGAGCAACTCCTAGAACGACCTATATCTTCCCCCGTCGAGAAGGATATTATAATCAAGGAGAGTGAGCTTCGGACAATCGCACGCAGTATCTGGAATGTCCAACGCAAGTAAAGGGAATCTTGCTTGACGTCCTCTTCCGCACTTCGGCCTCGTTCTCTATTTCATGGTTGGCTTGAATCGCACACTGCCGAAGCCTCTTTTACCTGAAGGTGCCAACCTTTGTATACAAACCCGGTGCGAACCCGCCTTAGATTCAGGCAGTTCAGACAGAGAGATCGAGATAGCTGCCTGATGTTTTGGTTCCGAGAGCTTGTCTCCTCCAATAAACAACTCTCTGCTCGCTCTGGGGCTTTCGTCTTATTGACTCATCATGAGACACTTCTATCTCTGATAATTGATCCCTACAAAGAGTCTCTTCTGGGCAATTTGCTCGCTTTGTTTCGTGCGTCTTTGCACCCAACCACCTAAGCTCACGTGCCCCGCACACCGCACCTTTTAAGGGGTATCGAGTTCTTCTCTCATTTGACACACGATGGTGACCAGGGGACTCTGGAACTTGCATGCCGACGGTATGGACTTCCCTCACTGACCAAGTCCTGGAGATTAACATTGTTATAGGGAAATGGTACCGTTGGTTCCACCCTCCCCGTGGACAATCTTCATCCCCAGACTCGCCAACAACACTGACTACTATTCGAAAAATTCTTTCAAGATCCGACACATTCAAATGGGATACTGTCCCATTTCCGACACCACTTCATATTGAGCTCGACTATGTCTATAGCATTGATGAAGATGCTGGTTATTTTACAGTCACCCAGTGGACAGGCGAGGATGGAACTCTATACCCGCAAACCCGCCGGGCGACATTGGACTCCATCCGAGAGACATCGCTCGAAACAATAGAATCACTCCTTGAAGAAGTTGTGGAGATGCCTGAGCACAACGATCACGAGCTGAGTGACGAAACCGATGTGCAACATCTATTGAAATCATTCCAAATCAAACCCAATATCCCCGCCCAGCTAAACGAGCTACAATTCCAGCTCTTTACAGACTTTGTTTTCATATGGCGGTTCTATTTTGACGGTACCCCTACCTGGGAAAACTCGTTTCCAACTTTCGCCGCCCTTGCTATTGGACTATTGCGCATCGCAGCATGGGACTTCGAGGTCAGAAACACGGATACTGAGGACCTGCCGACCACATTCTCGTCTCTTCCAGATTGGAAGTCACCTGTCGACGACATATTCTGGTTCCACAACTATCTGATCGTGTGCTGCAATACCGATCAAATTGGCACTTCTGTGGCTACAAAAGCAAATGATTTTGCATCCCGCAGTAACAGCCACGCAAAGACTGTCCATGGGATAGCCATTTCAATACGGCATATTGCTCTTTTCGAGATTCGCAATGGCGATATACTTCAATCTCCCCCTATCCCCCCTTGTTACCAATACTTCAGCATTGCATTGCTCCCCGGATTCAGGATACTAGCTTATATATTCACCTCAAATTGCTGGAACGGAACTTCGGCGGACTCCAGAGAGTCTTGGGGAGTTACAATACCCACGGAACTTTTCGACATGATCCTTAAGGCATGTGCACCGAGGGATCTGGTCTCAATGGCACAGGCGTCTTCTTTAGTCGAGAAATGGTATTACTCTTCCATTCCCCAAATCTGTGGCATCAGCATACACAACTTCGCCCTCTCAATACCATGTTGCGGCAAACTACATCTATCGGATGCCCCCCGGGGTTTACTGCTCGCTCTGTTGTGCCTGGTCACATATGGAATGTACAGGCCTGTCCCCTAATGTGTCTTCTGGAACTGATAAATACATCTGCTCTGATTGTCAAGAGACCAGACCTTGTACTTTTCTTGAGACTGGCGGTATTTACCAAACCTACCGTACAACGCGAGTACGGAAAGCATGCAGTGTAGTCCATGGTGGAAAAAGTACGGATTTTCTGTTGCGAGATTCTAAGCCATCCTATCGCCGGCCAGAGTTATGGTTAATCCGAACCCTCCCCCGCCAGCCTCCTGCGGGGAATGTCGAGTATACAATATTATTCAGTGGGGTGTTTTCTGGTCTCGGGTATGGATTTGATGAGTCGCATGATTGATTTACATAGCAAGGGGAGGTCGCATATCAAAAAGCGTGATCCTACGTGGACGTTGAGGTCGTGGTAGTGTCAGTTAATTCACTGAGGTTAGAACTAAGAATGAGCTGACTGGATGATAAGTATAAAATTCGTGTATAGCTCACTCCCTAGCATACAGTTGACCAGAGGACATAGTTCAAAGTCGACTTGCCATTTCCTCCCCAACTCTTGTCCACTCATCATCTTTCACATCCTGGAAATCCATCAACCTATCAGGTCCCCCAAACCGGTTCTGCGTAGACTTCCAGTCTCGGTGGATCGCAGTTTCCGGTCGCCACCGTACAACATCCTTCAGCTCCTTTTGTAGCTTCCCCTCGAGTGCGTCTGAGATAAACCCTCCAATAGTAGGCATTTGCATGGCCCCATTACCCGAGCCGCCAACGGCAACCACGAGAGAAGCATATTCAGGGTGTCGGTCAATCAAAAAGGCCCGATCAACCGTATCGGCATCCCAGCAGATACGAGCAAAGGAAAAGGGTCGATCGGCAAGATGAGGCATAGTGTCGCGCAGGAAATCCCGAGCCCGAGCTTCAGCTTCAAGGGGGATCTGCTCCTTAGCGAACGGAATGCTTCTCTTCTCACCCTGGTGATCAGGATCTACCACGAAATTGCAGTACCCGGGATGCTCATCACAGATCTTGAGTTCATGCTTCTCCTCATCGGGCTCCATAAAGAAGCCCTTGGCAACATTAAACAATACAGGGAGATTTCGATATTTATCGGCTTCCTCGGGCGTCATGGGTATATGACTCAAGGTCCAAGCAGTCGGACGCAGCTGCTTTTTAAAATCTAGCAGACGGTCACTACCAGCACCGGCTGCAAGAATTGTCCGATCTGCATAGTGACTCACGCCATCCGCGGTTCGAGCCCCGGCCACATCTCCATCCTTGTAGATCAGGCTTTCGACATTTCCCTGTGGTGATCCATTCACGAAGTCCACACCGAGGAGCTGCGCTTCGTTGTATGCTGATACCATCGCTTTTCGGGCATGGATCCATCCAGCTCCGACTCGGCTGATCCAGCCCTTCCAACCGGGGAAATCACCAGTCAAGACACCAGGTGGCATCGTTCGACGGAAATCTTCGGCTGATTCCAGAGCCACCCAGTCGCCTTCAGAGGGGTCGATGTCTTCTGCTTTGATGTGCTCTATCAGGGCGGGTGTGTGCCCAGACACAATGAAGCCGGTTTCGTGGAAGTACGGCTGGAAGACTGGATCGGTCTTCCAGCCTTTCAATGCCGCCCTGGTGCAAGTTGCAAACGCGATGCTTCGAGCATCGGGATTCGGCGCTGGTAGATATTAGCCGGTTTCCATATCTTCACGCCAGGGTGTATTGGTTGGATACATTTCAATTCCTTGTGCTCCATGATCTTGTTGATGTCGTTCCCGCGGCAATGGGCGACGGGACTGGGTGAGGGTCCAGCACTTTCACATTTTTGTATCCACGACGGGCCAGATGGAGAGCAGTCGAGCATCCCCAAGTGCCTGCGCCCACTATCAGGATTGAGGAGGTCTGGTTTAATTCGAGTGTTGCCATCTTGCTGTCCTGCTTCGTGGTAGAAGATGGAGGGGACAATTGGAAATTGCCAAGGGCAACTTGGGATTATAACGTCATATGATAAATGCCCAATCTGATCATTCAATGTGACTTTGAAGAATTAGAAAACACCTGCCAATGCGTGTCAGCTTAGCGTGAGTGTCGGAGGGGAAATGTCCCGCGTGGACCTTCCCTCGACTCCAACCTGGGGAAACGCTTCTCCGCACTTTATCCTCAACCTCGGGCTTATCGAACATCTTCAACACCTTACGCCAATGGGCATTTCTCTCTTTTCTATGATCGGTATCAATACTATCCCTTACGCCAATGAGTCTTCTCCTCTTTTCTATGATCGCCGATGCTGTCGCTTGGAGCTTCCGTGGGCTTTTCCCCTCACCAAGTGGCTTACCTCGATATCGGAATCTACAGTAAACAAGATCGGGCAGTCCCGACATACGATGTTTATGGCTTGGATCATGGCCATTTGCTGTATAGTAAAGTAGCTTCACTGGAATATATAAACATTGGCTGTCCCAACTTTCCTTCACGACTTCCATTTTGCGTGCAAATATGGCTCACTCAAACGACATACAAACCGACGTTCCTGGAACCGTTTACTTGGTTGACGGTATATTTCAGTCTGCGTCTAATCTTTAGATGCATCATGGTATTAACTAGCAAATCTCAGTATCCCGCACCCTACGAGATAGTAGCCACGCCGGTCAACAGGATGTTCTCCTCGTCCCTCAGCCATCCAAGTCCCCCGCAGATCCCCTAGTAAGTTATGGCACTCATAACAGAAGATTGGCATTCTAAACATCCCAGAACTGGAGAAAACTGAAGAAATGGTGGTCCCTATTCCTCATCTCCTTCTACGCCTGTGTATTCTCCTTCGGCGAGAACAATACAGGTGCAAGCTGGACAATGATATCAGCCGACACCGGCGTCACTCTAACCAACATGAACGGCGCATCCGCGCTAAACTACCTCCTTCTTGGTTTCTTTAATATCATCTGGATCCCTTCGGCGATGAAGTTCGGCCGGAAGATCATATACATCCTGAGCTTGGTAATCCTCTGCGGTGGGAGTATTTGGGGTGCTTTCTACACTGGTACTGCTCAGTACTATATCATGCTTGTCATTCAGGGCATTGGTACCGCGGCATACCAGGCACTCATCCAGCTTACTGTGAGTATATACCCCTTGTCTTTCAGTGTATAATTACTGAGATGTGTTAGATATTCGACATGTTCTTCGCCCACGAGCGCGGTCGAATGGTCTCGATTTATATCTTCTTCCAGCAACTCGGATCCATCCTCGGGCTAATTCTGGGCGGTTATATCGCCGACGGAATTGGTTGGCGCTGGAGCGGGCCTATTGTGGCTATCGCATGCGTAAGAAACCCTATATAGGGTGACACATTAACCGATCTAACTATCGCAGGGAGTCTTAATCTTGCTCTTTATATTCACATTCGACGACACCATGTTCCCACGATATCGCTTCAACAACGCCTTACTCGGGCTTTCCGTGCCGAGTGCACCTACTGACGACCAAGGCAAGGCCGAAAAGCACCCAAGGGCTGCCACGCCCGTATCGACTTCTGAGAGTAACAGTTCTGGCGAAGAGATCCCTGCGCGAACCTACAGGCAAAAGATCGCTTTAGTCCATTACTTCTCAGATGACCAAACGACCTGGCTTCAATATTTCCGGCGTCCGTTCTACCTCTTTGCATTCCCTAATATTGTACTGGCCGGTATCCAGTTCGCATTTGGCTGCACTGCAGGCATTGTCTCGTTCAATACAATCTCGGAGATCATGACTGTAGCTCCCTATAACTGGAGTGCCGGGTCTACGGGGTTGATATTCCTAGCTGCTCTAGTTGGAAACTTCCTTGGGTAAGATAACATCCTGGAATTTAGGGACGTCGGCTAATTTATTTACTCCAGGATGGGAGTTGGCTTTCTTTCCGACCGGATTGTATTGGTTTTGTCCCGTCGGAACAGGGGTTATAAGGAGCCGGAGATGCGTATCTGGGCTTATATTTTCCCTTTCATTTTCGGTGCTGTGGGTTACTTTACCTACGGATGGGCTGCCACGTCTGGTGAGCATTGGATTGCGATCGCTGTCGCTTTGTGCTGCTTGATTGCTCAGCAGGTCTCTATGACCAGTCTGGCAACGACTTATGCAATGGAGTGCTTTGACGGGGTAGGTCTTGATCGGCTATGGCATCTTCACAGCCTTGACTTTCTACTGTGGCTTTTTGCTAACAAGGTTCCTTTGCCTACAGATCTCCGGTGAACTGGTCGTAGTACTCGCCATCTGCTCATCCTTGATTAATTTCGCCATCTCCTTCTCTGTTCAGCCTTTTATTGACGCGACTAACTTTGGCTGGACATTTACCTGCTTTGGTATGCTGGTTGTGCTTTCTATGTTAATGGGTTTTCCAATGATGGTTTGGGGCAAGTCATGGCGGCGGAAGTGCAAGGGACGGTATGAGAAGTTCTTGTCGGAAACTGGGCGTGATATCCATCCAGCCCTTTAAGTCGATATTAGTATCAGTATGGATACCTTCGACAACTCGGCTTGATTTATATTCCTCGCGCTATTGGATATACATACCACATTTCGGGTAACATATGACTGTTTTGTGGGCTGGAGCAACTAGCGGCCTAGCTAACCCGCCAAATGTCTTGTCATCTCAGGTCGGAGGGGTGCAAGTCGGGCAAGGCAGTGCATTCTGGGTTGAGATAGGTCGGCGGCTCCGTCGAAGTTGTCATATTCTGATAATGAAATTCACTCCCCGTGTATATGTGCGTTTTTGTTAAAGTTGGTAGCAGCAGTATCGCAAGGAAATCCACTCAGCATAACTGCTCGGAGCATTACAATCACTGGGCCTTGGCAGTTTCGGGGTTCTGTTCATTCAAATTCAACAGGGACTTCATTCTGCCATTTTCGGACATAGTCGAAATTCCGATCATTCACTCCGTGTTCTCGATCTGACGAGCTGGATTCACTTAACACGGCATTATCATCCCTGTCAGTCAGAAATTCCAGCCATTCGTGTTTCCAATGTGTCTTTTCTTCTGCCCTGACACCTTCGGCGAAAAATGTCCAAGAAAACAAGTTTCGTGTAGCAATTTCGGAAACACTTTCGTCAAACCCTTCTTCAACACTGGGTTGTGCAAGGCTCGGCCCAATGATTGCAAGTGTTGACAGCTTCTTTTTCAGCCAAGAATATGTAAATAAGAGATACCCATTGGCGGAAGATCGAACTGAATTTGGAAGTAGACAGATGACAGCCAGCGTGCCTGTGAGAATAGTGCTGTACTGTAAAATCATCAACTTTTAGCACGTTATTCTCTCACAACAGGTAATAAATAGTTGGGATACATCGTGAAATCTGCAAACCTTTTGTGACCAGGTGGTAATCCTGAATGATGACATGTATAAACTTGCGCACGTAATGGCAGTGGCTGCCGGGACCCATGGCAATATATGGACTCTAGATCTCGGGTTTGCTGATTTCGACCCGCATGACATGCCAAAATCACTCAAGACTTCCCCATTTTGACATAGCCAATTCCAAGAGTGGTATTCCGGCCGGTGATCGCACGATAAATGCAGCCTCACGCCAAGAGATGAGTTCCGGACATTCACCAAGCCAAACGGAGGGTACGGAGAAAGCGGTGGGCTTCCGTACTCTTGCGAGTCCTCATCCGTGACAAATAAGAGGCGGAATTCATCTTCCCTTGAAATCATATCCACCCCATCAATATTCTTCACTGCCACTAGGCGGTAGGATTGAGGGTCCATAAATGATTGCGGAGATGAAGTCCAAACAGCAGCCTCCAGAAAGATGGTTGGTAGGAATGTTCGCGACACTTCAAATACTCGTGGCAAAAGACCCGTAATTGCAGAACCTAGCCATAGGGACGCTATGTTCGGTCTCCGACGAGACATGGCAAGAACTAGGGTGTGGAAATTCTTTGATTGGATGAAAGACGGGAAGACTTCCTTCATAGCTGGATTTAGCCACTGACTGGCTAGATTGCATGGGATGCCTGGTTCCCAAAAAGAGCTCCTAAGACATGACGCAACGAGATCTGAAGTGCATGACAAGGCCATGAAATGAGGAAGCTCGGCAGTGGTTGGAACTTGACTGACATATACCAACTCGGTGTTCCGGCGAGAGCTGGGCCTATTGATAGGTTTAGGCAGGGTGATAGAAGCACCAAATCGATTATGCGATGGGAGCGTCATAACAGCAGCTAACGCACCAATCAATTGATCAAAAGCATCATGGAATCGGGCAAAGTTGCAAAGATATCCATAAAGCTTCTGCTGCAGATGGTGGCTCGATGGCGCAGCCCGGGGACGGTACTTTTGCGCAATGGCGCAACCTGAATGGACTGCCGTCCAAGTGACATTCCCATGGCGGATAGTACTGTTTCCCATCCCGAGCAAGAGTTGCTTCCCAGCCACGTCCCTCTGCGAGAATTGCAGCCCACCAGCGAACTTCAGCCATATCATTACTTCCAATATTAAGGTCGAAGTAATCACCTGCCTGATCTCCTTCACCTCCATCCCATTGTGCATGATTGTTGGTATACCCAACTTTATCATCCGTTGTTCTCCGGCGTAGCTCTATCATCCGCACTGAAAGGATGTATGACCAGCCAAGGACAAACGCACAAAGATAGTTACCCACAGGCTCTTGGAGTGGTTGAAACCCAGTCCATTCCGGGATATATTCTGCTGACAGGTTGCATGTCTTCGGATGAGAATTTGCAATACAAACATTTCGGGATAAATGCTTTTTGAAAGTAGATAGCTCACAAGTACCCCTTGAAATTCTATCAGCTGGCGAGACTGACCATTTTGAGTAGCCTTCTAGGGACAAAGAATTCTTTCTGGCGCACTCTGCGACCTCTGTGGACTGGGGGATTGAAGGTGTTTTGTTGAGGAGAACTTTTACATTGCTGCAGAAATAAGGCATGTTGGTTTCGGACTGAGTGGATGATAGTAAGACATGCCATTTTGTCCGAGAATGATTCAGAGTCTTGGATGTAACGTGGAAGCCAGGGCGCAATAAGTCATGATTGAGATGCATGAGACCTTCTTGAATGACGTCAAACTATGAAGATGGGAGGGCTCTCCTCCCAGTGATGTTTTAAGTATGCAGAATCTCCGAAGGTTAACGACACTAAACGAGGACGCTCAAATGACGAGTGGTGCGAGTTCACAGAAAGGGGTGTGGATATGGGTCTGAATCAACTAAGCAGTAACCACACCACAGCACGTAACTTGAGCTTATTTTGGGAATTTTCAGTACGTGAGCGATCAAAAGGAAAAAATTCCTGAGTACGACCGAAAGGAGCGGATGGGGGGGAGAAGGAGAGAAGGAAGAGCCGAGTTTGGTGTATATCACGTGTTGGTGTCTTGCTACTCCTAATACTAGGAAAGTCACTATTAAACCAGTTAGTACTTCTTTTGATGGCTATATATACGCTTGGTAAAAGAATAAATAGCCAGAACAAGGTATCGTCTAATATTTTTCCTGGGAATATAGCTTATCCACTGTATTCCACGTAAATATTCCATATGATCTCCCTTCAACACATTTATATATATTCCGTATTTGTTTTTGCCATAACTTGAAGACTCTATGTTGAGATAAATTCGGCGGAGTTCAGCAAAATTCCTTACATCATCCACGGAATGTTCGTTGCACCTACATCACCACAGCCAACAAGGGGCGAGGAGGCTGGAATGCCAACGGTGCTAAGGCCCCGGCGCCCTTTAACCCATCATTCCTAGGGGTTTGGCTCTAACGATTTCCCCGCGATAGAAGGTTTGAATAAGTTTAGATCAAATTTCGGACCAATGGTAATGCATGTAATACCTATCCCTTCTTTTATGGAATCCGCCTAACCGTCTCCTTTACAGGTGTTTCGACGACGAAGGGGCGAAAGAGGAGCTACTATTACACATCTCTTCTATCCCACGTTAGTGCGGGTAACGTTTTATCGCTAGCTATGAAATTTCTCCGTGAATTGCTGTTCAGTTTCGCTTGATGCTGCAGTCGACCTCAGATACCGCAGTATCCCCAACTCCGCGACGAACGCCAGTCCAGCGACAAGTATAGAATACTCGGACAAGGCTTTCGACAGCCAGGATCAACTCAAATGGGACGCCATTCATTAGATGAAGACATCTACGATAATCAGTCCAAAATCAACTTCGGCGTACCGGACAGCGTCCGAAGCGAAGACGATGTGACACAAAACCCAGCCTTGGGAAGCTCAATCCAACTATTCGAGAGCGAACCCTCAGCCGAAGAACAAAAACGACGATTCGAAGTGCGAGAATGGCTGGTCTTCATCTGTATCGTCATCCTGGCAATGATGGATTCGTTCAATGCGACTGTTTTGATCCCGGCATTACCTGTAAGCTACATCCAACACTCCTAAGTGTCATTATATATCTATAACAGAGCTGACCAGACCCTCAATACAGCACCTGGCAAACACGTTCGGAAAGCCTCTAGCAAGCACATTCTGGGCCAACACGGTATACCTCATTTTCAGCGCAAGCAGCCAACTCTACTTCACAATGGTGTGCGAAGTCTTCAATCACGGACCGGTATGGATCATTGCCGTGGTTCTCGCAACAATCGGGACAGGGATCTGCTGCGGCTCTATGAGTCTCGCGGAACTGATAATCGGCCGCATGATTCAGGGTATCGGCAGCGGCGGCGCAATGAGTCTGTGCTCTTTGGTACTGACTGAGACGGCACCTGAATCCATGAACGCACGGTATTCATGCTATATTCTGGTGACGCGGATGTGTGGCGGTATCCTGGGTCCCATTCTCGGAGGCTTGTTTGTCGATAATGCCAACTGGAGGTGGGTGTTTTATTTCAACTTTCTCTTCTGCTCGCTTGGTTTGCTGGCTATTCCGTTTGCTGTGGATCTTCGCGCATTGAAATATATCCCGCTGCGCAAATTGCGTATTTCGGATTGGACGGGTACTACTTTGGTCACTTTGGGTCTTGCGGTCATTCTAGTCGGTCTTTCTTGCGGTGGGAGCTTGTATCGCTGGAGGGACTGGCAGACAATTGTGCCACTTGTGGTGGGCGCTGTGATTCTTGTTGTCTTTCTCTTTTATGAGTCCAAGTGGGCTCTGTATCCGCAGTTTGGGAGGAGGGTATTCCGGTCGAAGATGATGGCTATGACACATCTAGGGTGCTTTTTGCATGGCTTTGTGGTTAGTAGATGCTTGCTTTACATTTGGTTTGTGGTATCTGACATACGAATTTTAGCTCTTTGCTCACTTGCAATTCTTCCCGCTGTACTTCATGTCCACTCATTATATGTCCGCCACCTTGTCAGGCGTGAGCTTGCTGGCCATGGTTGGATTTGCAATTGCGCCAGCTACGGTGGTTGGTGTCCTTCTAGCAAGAGAGCTAAGATGTACCCAGTGGATCATCTCTGGTGGCTGGGTCTTGACTGCCCTAGCGAGTGGATGCTCTATCCTCTTGGATAGCTCCACGCCGACTGTAGCGTGGGTATTTCTGTTGTTCACAGCAGGCCTTGGGCATGGCCTCTTACTTTCGAGCTACAATGTCCGCATCCAGAATCTGCCCAAAGATGAGGATTGCTCCCCGCCAACCCTGCCAACAACCATGTCATTCTATATGCGAGCTTGGGGTATGGCAGTCGCGGTGCCTGTCGGGGGAGTTGTGTTGTTGAACTGCTTCCGCAATGGACTTGCAACTGTTGACCTAAATCGAGACATAATAAACACCGCCAACGGATATCTCATTCTAATGCAGGATGTGAGCATGACAATTGAACAAAGAGAAGCGGTTACAGTTGTTTCAGTTGCGGCGTTTCAAGCGGTATGGGATTTCATCACGGGTGTGGCTATCATCGGGGGGGTTTTCGTCTGGATTCCTGTGGCGAAAAGGAGGGATGTGAATAGTAAAAATTTCAAAAAGGAATGACATGGCGATTACAACATTTGTCCTGACACGGACGTCTCAAAGTAGCACGGTCAGCTAACCTGATAGAGTATAAGGACATGGCAGGCAACGCAACGGCAATGAGCCAACGCGGCTATTCAATTTTGGTAAGAATAAGTGGGATTTCAGGCTAAAGGCTAATTTGACATAAGAATGAAAGACGTTGGCTCGGCTATGGTAAAGGTCGTGGCAATCGAGTCGACATGGGTTGTCCCGTGATAGTCGCGTGCCTTTCTAGCTAGCTTTCACTCGATCCGCTTCTATCCTTCAGCCTCTCCGGGAGAACGAACTCTCGCTTCCCTTTGATTTTCCAGCCAGACAGCCTGTCTTTGCCAAGCATCTCTAGCGTCTTCTTCTCGACGAGACTGTATTTTGAGGGATCATTCCGGTCAAACTTGAATGGTTGTTTCAAGGCCACTGGCGGGTTGGTGATAACTCGTGGATGTCTCAAGCTGTTGACTGAAACCGAGTGGCACATCAAAGGATGTAGAAGAATCACATCGCCCACCTTGCCAGTCATCTGGTGGAATTCGCTGCAATTCTTAACGATCTCCGAGTAAAATGGGGTATCCTCAGGGTTTTCAGCAGGTTCCTGGCCACGGGGATACATATACGGTGTCACGCCCTCAGGATGATTGTACTAGAAACAAGAGTCAGAAAGACATGAAAGCGGAACAAGTAGCTTGGACACATACCAGATGCTGGGCAACCGATCTCATCGCCTGGGGGCAGATCATAGTGCCACCTGCACGATCTTGGATATCGGTAAATAATGGTATAACGAGCAGGGCCTGTTCAGGCGAATCAAGGAAATGGATAAAGAAGTCGCCATCCACGTGCCAACCCGGCAGATCAGCAGGATGGGGCCATGTACCCTCAGACTCGGGCGAGCCGAGATTGACAATCAAAGCATCGTCCCAAGTAGCCGATTCCGGGGCTACACGGTCTTCGCCCCCGAGAAGCTCGCAGATGGCCGCCCATGCCTTGGGGGCAAAGGTCCTGACCGGCTCTTCCTTGGTGTCTCCCATGTGGGTAATTTCAGTTGTCCAAGTTGATTTGTCCGTTGCTAACATACCGAGCCTGGTCCACACGTCGCCTGCCCATTCGGATGCTTTCTCCCGCGAGAAACAGTTTGGTAGACGCACGTACCCATATCTCATGAAGTGATCGATTTGCTCTTGTGAGAGCTTGTAGTTGGGATTGGCTGTCATTGTGTCTGGGTCCTCCAAAGTGGAGCTGCAGCGTGAGCCCATAATTTTTAAGAATGAGAGATAGGGATTCGTCTACCGGTGCAATATTTACAGTTACTTAGTTGGGGAAGGTGTGATGTGACTGGGCCCCTTATTCTGCCGGTAATTCAGATCGCACCAATCAGAGGTCGTTCCTTCTCTTTCTAATTTGAGGAGGACACCAGCACATCACCGAAAGAAGGAAGCGGTGAACCCGCCTTATAAGCATCCTCCTATTATTCTATCTCGTATTCCTCTATTCCTCTTCTTCAAAATAT